AATATAAATAATTATAATAATAATTATATCTTAATCTGATCTTAACTATATAGTTAAAAATCTTTTATATCTTAATCTGATTATCAGATTATGGCCAGGTTAAGGTTAAGATATAACAGTCAGGTTAAGCCACTCTAGTTTTAAATAATTTTTAAAAGATTAAAATTAACTAGAATATTATAAAACTAAGTATTCTGACTAAGTTAAGTTCAGAGTTCAGCTAAGATTATATTAAATATTATATTATTATTATTAATATTATTAGTTATTATATCTAATAATTAATAAATAAGATTATATTTATATAAGACTGATAAAATAATTTTAGCTAGATTTCTATTAATATAAGATTTAGATACTGATTAGAAATCTAGTAAAATCTTATAATAATATATATTTTTTATTAAAAAATATTTAATTAAATTAAAAAATATTTTCTAATTAAAGCTGATTCAGTAGTCTATTATAATTAATATTTATTTAATATCTAAAAACTTTAATAGCAGTTATATATATATTTTTTTAAATAGTTTTATAAAATATTCTTTAATCTATATTTAATTAGAAGAACTTAATTTTTAATAAAAAAATAAAATAATAAGATTAATTATTTATTTAAATTAAATATACTTAATAATTTAGAATAATAAATAATAAATAATTATAAAGTATAAAATTTAATTCTGAAAATCCTGTTTATTATAAATTATAAAGATCTAAAGAAAGATAATAATTAAAAAAGATTTATTTTAAAAAAATAAATAAATATTTATAATAGTTCTTTACTTAGTATTTAATTAATTATTTATTTAGATATAATTAATAATAATTTTTTCTTATAACTCTTACAGAGATAGTAGTTTATAGAATTAATTTTTAAATTTTTAATTTCTAAATATTATAAGATATAAAAATATATAATATAATAGATATAAAAAATTCTATTAGAAAATAATATATCTTTTTAAAAATTATTTTATATTATTAATAATTTTTTCTGATTAAAGTAAAATAATAGTTTTTTAATTTATATATAATCTTTAAAAAAGATTATTTTCTATTACTAATTCTAAAAAATAGAGAGTTTTTTTTAAAAAATTAAATATAGAATAATCTTCTGATTTTTTATAATATATATAATCTTAAGATTTAAAGAAGAAAAAAAAATCTAATTTAAAAAGCTTATCTTAATTTAAGTATTATTATAATTTATAAAAATCTAAGAAATAGAAGAAAAAGACTTAATAATATTTTTTAAAAATAAATTAAATAATTATAATTAACGTATAATTCTAAAGCTATTTTATAAATAATAAATATAAAAAGATAAAAGCAGAAAACTCTATTTAATAAATATTAGATTAAAATAAGAGCTTAATATAATAATAAAATAAAATTTAGTTTTTAATTATAAATCTAATAATAGATCTAGCAAGCAGAAATTTATATTTAAAACTTAAAATTATAAAATAGTCTCTTCTCTTAAACAGAGCTGTTTAAGATATAATAAACTAGAATAAAAAATAAATATTTATAAAAAAAATTTATAAAAGATTTTTATAAAATTTTTTATAAAAATTATAATATTATAGTACAGATCTAATATATTTTATTTATTTTATTTATCTATTTTATCTATTTAATTTATTTAATCTATTTAATTTATTTAATTTATTTAATCTATTTAATCTGCTCTATTCTAATAATTTAATTATTTATAATCTTTTTAATTATCTGTTTATTTTTAATTTTATTAATAATTTTTTAAGCTATATCTTATTTATAAATCTAAGAATAGTCTGATTCAGAAGAAATAATAAAATAAAAATAATATATTTATTCTTAGTATTCTAATTAATAATTAATATATAGTTTTTCTAGTATTTTATAATATAATTAAGATATATAGCTAAAATAGAGTAATAATTATATATTTTTATATATATTTTTTATTATAAAAATAATAATTTTATAAAAAACTAAATTTTATTAATATAACTAGAATTTTTTTATTATTTTTAATAAATAATAATAAAGAAGATACTAATTTTTTTTAATTATATTTTTTTAATCTAAAAAGCTTTTTTTTATATACTTTTAGATAATAATAAAGATAATCAGATTAATAATTATTTAATCTAAGTATATCTTAATTATACTAAAACTTAAAAAGATATAATAAATAGATCTTAATATTAAGAATAATTAAAATAATTAATTATCTAATTTTTAGCTATATTATAGTCAGATATAAAAATTTTCTTAATCTAATTATAACCTGGCGGTTAGATATAAAAATTTCAATTAATCTGATCTGACCTGGCTGTTAGCCACTCTATCTGATTCAGAAGAAATAGTAGAATAAAAATAATATATTTATTCTTAGTATTCTAATTAGTAGTTAATATATAACTTTTCTAGTATTTTATAATATAATTAAAATATACAGCTAAAACAGAGCAGTAATTATATATCTTTATATATATTTTTTATTATAAGAATAATAATTTTATAAAAAGCTGAATTTTATTAATATAACTAGGATTTTCTTATTATTTCTAATAAATAATAATAAAAAAGATATTAATTTTTTTTTAATTATATTTTTTTAATTTAAAAAGCTTCTTTTTATATATTTTTAAATAATAATAAAAATAATTAGATTAATAATTATTTAATCTAAATATATCTTAATTATACTAGAGCTTAAAAAGATATAATAAATAAATCTTAATATTAAGAATAATTAAAATAATTAATTATCTAATTTTTAGCTATATTACAGTTAGATATAAAAATTTTCTTAATCTGATTATAATCTGGCGGTTAGATATAAAAATTCTAATTAACCTGATCTGATCTGGCTGTTAGCCACTCTAATTAAGCTTTGCTTCTCTGTTTTAACTATATTTTTATAAATTATTAAATATATATAATATTTAATTCTCTATAAATTAATAACTAAGATTATTAAATATCTTATTATATTAAGATATATTATTCTATTTAATCTTTTATTTTTATAATTACTTTACTATTTTTTAGAATCTGATAATTATATTTAATTTTTTATAATTTATATTTATTAATATAAAGTACTTCTAGAGAAAGAAAATTATTTACTAAATTTAAAATATATATAATATTTTTTAATCTTATTATAAAATTATTTAGAAGCTTAAATTTAATTATTTTATAACTTTTAATTAATAATTTATTATTATTAATTATTAAGAAAGTCTCTTTTTATATAAAATTCAGAGAAATAAATATTTCTCTTTATTTTATTATATAATAAATTACTTTATTATTAAGATATTATTAATTAAATTAATTAAAATTACTTAACTTTATATTAATATTCTTTATTAATCTTATTTTAATATTATAGTTACTAAAGAAAATATTAATTTTTTTTATATAATAATATATTATTCTAGAGAATTAGATAATTATTTTATAAATATTTTATTATTATAATCTTAATTTAATTTTTTTTAAATTAATAATTAACAAATTATCTCTTATATTTAATAGATTATTTTTTATTAAAATATTTTTTTTTTAACTTTATTTTCTAAGTTATTAGAATATTAATTTTTTTTTTAATAGTAATCTTTTATTATATAGTTTTTTTTTTATAATTAAAATAGATTATACTCTTTTTCTTAAAATTAGATATTTTAAATCTCTTCTTTTTATTAATATTTATTATTATATTATTACAATTATCTATATAATTTATAAGATAATTAAGAATTAGAGAAATATTTGAATTAATTATTATATTTTTAAAGTTAATATATTTATCTAATAAATTATTAAAATATTATATAATAAAAAAATTATTAAGATTTAATACTTTTTCTTTATAAATATTAATTAATTATTAATATAGTTTTTTAATTTTAAGAAATATTTTTTTTTAATATAATTAAGATTCTTTTTTAAATTAACTAATTTCAGTAGTTATTATATTTTTAAGATTTTAAAGAATTTTATATAAATCTTTTATAAATATTATTATATTTTTTTAATATATTTAAATTTTTTAATAGTCAAGATTATATTTTTATTAAGTCTTATTTAAATTATTATTCTGATTTTTATATTAATTTTTTATTATTTAATATCTAATATAATAAGCTTATTTAGAATTACTCTAAAAATTTTATTATAAAATTTAATTATTTATTAAATAAATTATATATATAATTACTACTTTATTATATAGAATTAATATTAAATATTTTTTTTAGTTAATTTATTAATTTTAAACTTATTTATTCTAATATTAAAATTTAAGATTAATTATCTTATTACTAGCTTAAGTTTTATAACTAGAATATTTTAATAATTTAAGATTAATTATTAGAAATATATTAACTAATAATATTTATAAAAATAAATCAAGAATTAGATATATAAATAAAAGAGATTAGATAATTTATATAAAATATTAAGCTAATATAAATTTCTTAAAATATAGAATTTAAAATAATTTAATAAATTAATAAAATTAGATTTATAATTAATAAAGTAGATTCTTAAAGATATAAAAATTTTTAAATATTTTATTTATATATAATCTAAGATACAGGTGCAGAATACTAATAATAAATAAAATAAATATTTTTTAGTATTATAATATTAATATTCTAAGTATTTAGAGATTTCTATCTAGTAACTAGTCTACTAGTAAATTTTTTTAAGAGTTTATTAATTTATATACTTACTCAGCTGAAATAAAATAACTATATTCTATTCTTAGTAAGCCAGAGCAGAACAATCTTTTATCTGTAAATCTAGTTATATTATATCAGATCAGAAGCAGAAAGAGAAAGTTGTTCAATTTCCGTAGTGATGTGTAGTCATCGGGACGGTTCCGCGCTGCAAACAAGCAAAACATCGTCATTCTCCGCTTTGTTCTCCCCGAGCTTCATGAACCACTGCCTCAGCTCTCCATTCTCCCCCCTCATCCTCCCTCAATCGGTGATGCCATGTCTCTCCCAGGCCTGGAATTGACCCAACCCTCGGCGGACCGGGAATTCGCCCCCGCCCCGCCCTCGCAGATCAGTCTCTCGAAAGGCTCCGAGTGGCGGTTCGAGGTCGCCTTTGGCACGACCGTCCGAGTAAAGGTGAGTTCCTCCTCATCACACTCTCCAACGCCCATACCCATAGCCCCTCCCCTCTCCAACCCCAAAGACCCCCACGACTGACCTACTTACTCAATGGAGGACTAGCTTCTCGCCGGAATCGCCGAACTCTTCGGCACCGAATTGGCCCCCTCCCAAACCTACACCTTCTCCGGCACCAAGGCCGCAATTTACACCTGGCACGGTTGCACCCTGGAAGTCAGCGCCGGCGATACCATCTCCTCGCTCGATGGCCTCGCGCCCGGCGGCACCAACGGCACCACGGCTCGCGGACTCGGCGCGGGCGGCTGCCAGAGCGAATACGTGGCCGAGGAGACGCCGATGATCGAGTACGCCAACGTACATTTCGCGCTGGAGTCGCTGCGACAGGAAGCCAAAGCGACGGGGAAAGATGGCCCGCGGGTGCTGATTCTGGGGTCCGAGGATGCGGGGAAAACGAGTTTGGCGAAGATTCTGACGGCGTATGCTACGAAGGTCGGGAGACAGCCTATTGTGGTGAATTTGGACCCGACGGAGGGTATGCTCAGTGTCCCCGGGACGTTGACGGCTACGGCGTTTCGCTCGATGATTGATGTCGAGGAGGGCTGGGGGAGTAGTCCGATGTCCGGGCCGAGCGCGGTGCCGGTGAAGTTGCCCTTGGTGTATTTCTACCCGATGCAGAATCCGCTCGAGGCTGATGGGTCGGTTTATCGGTCTATTGTGTCGAGATTGGCGCTGTCGGTGACCGGGAGGATGGCCGAGGATGAGGATTCCAGGGAGACGGGCATTATCGTTGATACCCCCGGCATCCTGAGCCAGAGTAAGGCTGGGAATGTGGAGATGATTAATCATATTGTGACGGAGTTTGCGAGTGGGTTTTTTTGGTTTCGATGTTGGTTGGTGTGTGCATGCTGACGGTGGGACAGTCACGACGATCTTGGTTATTGGTTCTGAGCGACTTTACAGCATCATGCTGAAGAACTTCGATAATAAGCCCACCGCCAGCGCGTCTGCTGTGGCGTCGGATGAGCGGATATCTGTCGTGAAGCTGTCCAAGTCCGGGGGCTGTGTGGACCGCGACGCAGCGTTCATGAAGGCTGTCAGTGAGACGCAGATCCGGACATACTTCTTCGGCAATCCCATCCCCTCCACGGCGTCTGCTGCGCTTTCGCTGTCTGCGTCGTCGACGACGAACGTCACCCTGTCCCCGCACGCGCAGCAGTTGGACTTTGCCTCGCTCGCCGTCTACAACTACACAATAGCCTCAACGGACGAAGACGAGGACGACTACGACCCGTCACAGTTTGGCACCAGTGACTCCTTCCTCCCCGGTGGCACCCACGATACGGAATTGAGCCGGACCCAGCACCAGGAGGAGAGCTCCGCGACGCCGACCTTGCCGGGTGTTATTGTTCCCGTGAAGGAGGCTGTGGCGCCGGCCGGGAACTCGAACGTGCCGTTGAAGAAGCTCCTGCCTCCCGCGCCGTCTGGGCTGGCTAATTCCCTGTTGGCGATCACGAACGCGGCCCCGACGGCTAGTCTGGCGGAGGTGCGCGACGCCAGCATCATGGGGTTCTTGTATGTGGCGGACGTGGACAATGAGAAGGGCAAGATCAGGGCGCTGGCTCCGGTAGGTGGACGCGTGCCTCCGCGGGCGGTTGTATGGGGGAAGAATTGGCCTGGGGAGGTGGTGGGCTTGGTGGGTTGATGATATCTCTTGTAGCTTGGGTGTACTGTATCTACTATCTAGGCGTTGGATAGGTAATGGACTTATTTGACTTCATACCCAGGTGGGTTGTATCAGGCCTGATCTGGATCTTATTGCCACTGGCTGATTACTTTTGCAGTAAATAATCGCTTTCCATAATGGCTGCTAGTCGTCTGACTTGGATAGCCATTATTGATGTGCTCTGGCTTCCAACATGGTTTTCTTTCTTTCTTTCTTTTTTTTTACGTAGAATACAATTGCACACTTCTTTGCTTCTTGGGAGAGCCTTCAAACCCATGAGACCCATGAGACCCATTTCCCAGAATGTCACCCCGCCTAAGCTGCAAGGCTGATGTTTTCGAACCCGTGTACCCCACTCAGTTGGGCTCCCAAACCTACTTTAACCAAGTACCGAGTCCCATCAGCAAGGCTCAGTACTTCCTACTATGAGATATACACGGCATCCTCTTCTACCCGTCTCCCATCCCAAGCCCAACCCAAGAGACATGAGTCCACAAAAACAGCTCAGTCACGACGCCTACACCGTGGGATGGATCTGCATCATCGACTGCGAATTAAACGCGGCCCTAGCGCTTCTTGACGAGGAACATGAACTATTGGATTCGGATCTGAACGACAACAATCTCTATTATCTTGGTCGATGCGGGAAGCATAACGTTGTGGTTACTTTTCCGGTTACCTATGGTGCGAATGCTACTGCTTGTGCAGTTACGGATTTGGTTCGTACGTTTACGAAGATTCGGTTTGGGTTGATGGTTGGTGTCGCGGGGGCTGTTCCAGGTTTGCCGCATCCTGTGGATCCTGGTCAGGATGTTCGTTTGGGGGATGTTGTGGTTGGTGTGTCTGATGGGGGTCATGGTAGGGGACTCTTTTTTTTTCTTTTTTTTGTATTCAGCAGGTAGATTATAGAGGGAGAGGGGGGGATTGGAGAGAAAGCTAACAATGTCCACCGAGCAGGGGGCATTCTGAACTACGACACGGGCAAATGGGAAACTGAAAACGAACTATCAATTGAACCACATCTAAACAGCCCTCCTAGCATCTTACTAAACGCAATCAAAACCGTTCGAACAGACCATCAGTCTCACAATGGCCAAATGGCACCATATATAGAACGCGCCTTAGCCCAGCTAAGCGACCTCGCTGATATCGATGACCCCACCTTCCCAGGATGGGAGAGCGATCGACTCTTCAAGGCAGAATATCAGCACTTCCACGCAGATAGAGAGTGCAGCGACTGCGACCCAGCACAAACCATCACTCGACTGGCCCGATCTTCCAGCAGCCCTGTAGTGCATTATGGGTTGATCGCTTCCGGCAACGCGGTGATGAGAAATGCGCCGCTTCGAGATCGATTAAGGGACACGTGGAATGTACTGTGCTTTGAAATGGAGGCGGCAGGACTCGTGGAGCATTTCCATTTCCCGTGTCTGGTGATTCGGGGGTTGTGTGACTATTCGGATAGTCATAAGAGTAAGAGGTGGCAGGCTTATGCTGCTGTTGTTGCGGCGGCGTATGCGAAGGATCTGTTGCGGGTGGTCGGATCAATTGATATGATGGAAGATGGTATGGTCTCTGCTGACATTCTAGTTGATGGCTTATGAACTAATAAATGTGTGAAATCATAGTTGCTACAACTGTCAGTCGTCTCGATGAAGACGGTCAGAAGATCGGAGAAACTGTCGATGATAACTACTACTATCAGCATGATGAAGTGTGGGCTACACAATCAGTGGATTGCAAATGAAAACCCATCGAGGTGTCAGATCTGATACCGCTAATCTCGCACTATATCATATCTAGATGTCAATGTCAAATGCAGAGTTGAACCCCTTGATCTGGCGGCAAAGCATGTCCATTCGACCGTGCCAGAGTACTTATGTAAATCATTGACCACGGTGCAACTGGTTCTCCCATTGTGACACCTGCTTTGTACACGGATGAATTTCGTTCAAAAAAGGCCTATATAGTGGTGTCTCCGATAGGATAGGCAGCTACAGCAGCCAAGCTTGCGGGCGTCAAACCCGTTCGAGTAATGGAGTGGGTCTTCCAGCCAACCAGGGGCCCACCCGCCCTGGCTGCACGTGACCCCTCCGAGGCATCCATCATCCACCACTTACTTATCTACCATCCACCCTCCATCCCTTTCCTTTCCTCCTGCCAGCTCGCCATGGACTGAGCATCCCAGCTGCTCGTCAGCTCCGAACAATCCAAACAGTTACCTGCGAGAGTATCTCCGCAGTCCCGCTCATTCCACATCCACAAATCAAATCAACCCAATCTAATCGAGTCCTCCCTCTCAACGCCGCATCTTACACCACCACCACCACCACCACCACCACCTCAACCACACCACACACAACCACCCTATCTCCAAAACACCCCCCCAGCATGCCCCGCCTCCACCTAACAACGCTCCTCCTCCTCCCACTCCGCCCGTGCCTAACCCTCCTCCGACGCCCCCCGCACCGCAACCGGCACCACCACCACCACCACCACCACCGCACGCGAACCCTCACGATGCTGCTCCCCCTCCTGCTCCTCCTCCTCCTCCTCACGCCGCTCTACCTCCTGTACCGCCCCCCCACCTCCTAATCACCTACCTGCAACACCTCAACCCGACCACAATCTGGCACGTGCCCCTCCCAACGACCCTCCCCCCGTCGCTCCAAAACACCATCGCGTTGACCCTCGACGACGCGCCCTCGCCACACACGCCCGCCATCCTCTCCACGCTCCTCGCCCACCACGCCCGCGCCACCTTCTTCCTCATCGGCTCGCAAACCCAAACCCCCTCCACCACCCCGCTGCTCTCCTCCCTCCTCTCCAACGGAATGGAACTCGCCAACCACGCCCTCCGCGACGAGCCCTCCAAGGATCTCTCCCCCGGGGTCTTGGAAGCGCAGATCGGCTTCGTGGATGGCGTCATCGAGCGCGCCTATTACGCGGCTGGTGTAAACAGGACCGGGAAGTGGTTCCGGCCTGGCTCGGGGTTTTTTACCGCCGCCATGAGGGAGGTTTGTGAAAGGGTCGGGTATACCATTGTGCTGGGGAGTGTGTATCCGCATGATGCGCAGATTGGTTGGGCGGCGTTGAATACGTGGCATGTGGGCAGCTTGGTGAGGGGGGGAGTGTCGTTGTGTTGCATGATAGGAGGGGGTGGACGGTCGACATGTTGGGGATTTTGTTGCCGAGGTTGAGGGAGAGGGGGTTTAGGGTTGTTACCTTGGGGGAGTTGGTGGAGTTGGGGAGAGGAACGGGGATAGAGGGGGGTGGGATTGAAGCTGGGAGTGAGACTGGGTCTGGGACTGGGGATATAGAAGAAGAAGAAGAGCGGGGTGAAGAGGTGAGGGTGGGAGTTTGATTTTTGATACGGATACGGATACGGGAGGAGGGTCGATTTTGGAGGATACGGAGGATTGACATGGTGCATGTTATACAAGTTATACATGTTGTATATACCCAAGTCGAGCGTTCATAGCATACAGGCTGGTCCTGACCATGTACATACAAAAGGAAAGAAATGTACAAAACAAAAAGCCAGAAGAAAAAAAAAAAATTATACAGTCCCTCACTCGCACCGCTTCCACTCCTCCACGTTCTTCCGCAGCTCGCCCTCCACATCATACCCCCGACTGGCGTCCTCGAGGAGCTCCTCCTGCCGCACCCGGAACAGCTGCTCGGCCTCGCACCGCCGCAGAGCCACCCGCTTCAGGTACGTCAGGTCGTTCAGCTGCACCGCCTCCTGGAACTTGGCGCGCATGCGCGGCGAGTACAACTGGCACGTGGCCTCGCGGCACCGCGACGGCCCGTCGCCCGGGAGCAGGCGCATCGCCGTCGAGAACCGGCGCGCGATGGGCTGCTTGGCTTTGACATATGGCCATACCGCGTCGTCGTAGCAGTCCTCGCACACGGTGAGCTCCGGCAGCTGCGGCATGTAGTGCCACGTGCTGAGGATCGGTCGGTCCCGCCGACAGTCCCGCAGCACCACCTTGCGCCGCGCGTAGGAGAGGAACTCGCTCACGTCTGGTCGCAGAGTGTGTTCCAGCTCGGCCCGGTTCGCCGCCATGTCCAGACAGTCGATGTAGCGCACGAACCGCGGGCTGTCTGTCACGAAGTCGCAGGCCCGCTCCTGCTTAACTGAGCCCCGTTTGAACGTGTCCCGGTGCTGGGGCATCAGAGCCCTTAGGTTGCGGATGCAACCGGAGCACACGTTGAACTGGGGCAGATACATGTCCGTCTCGGGGTCCACAACCCGGTACCAGTGCTGGTCAGTGATGGTGCGTCCCGAGCACGGTTTGATGCTGGATGACCGGGTGATCTGGTGAAGGAGGTCGAGGTGGTCTAGCTGCTTCTTGAGGGTTTGCATCCACGCCAGCCGCGTCCACGCTTCGCTCATGGAGCAGCGTACTTTCTCGCCGCGGGGTCGGGGACTGCCCAGGATGAAGAGGTCACGGAACTTCGATTTGCGCATTTGCTTCATGCATGATGGGCAGATGTCCAAGTGAGGCAGCCCTTTGATCGTGTGCCAGTCCTGGTATCCAGCCACGGCAATTGACCGGGGACAAGGAGAGAGGAAGAATTGGCGTCTCGGCGATGTCTGGCGGGCAGGTCCCTGGGATGAGCTCCGCCGAGGTGGCAGCAACGGACGCTCTGGTGCATCCTCCGTGGTTCTCGGGAGAGAAGAGGACCTCTGTGGCACTTGATCTAGAAAAGACACGGCCCGTCGAGCTGGCAGCTGGGCGGACGACTCTCCCCTGTCGCTAGAGACGGATCGTGCGACTGGCTTAATGTCCCCTAGTGGTGGGCGTTGTGGGACTGGTGCCGGGGCGGCCGTCGAAGAGGATGACACGACATTTGCCTCTGCATGGCGGTCAGTAGTCGGTTCTCTTGGCAGCGACGATGACCTGGGCTGTGAGGTTGGAGCAGGCCGCTGTGGGACTGGATTAAATGAGGCCACTGGTGGCTCCGTGACCGCATGCTGGATCGGGGGCCTTGGCTGGGCAGCCGCCGGCGGACTAGGACTCGCCTTCGCCAGGGCATCGCCTTGTGAGGTCTCCTTCGACGCACGGAGCTCCTGCCTCTGGCGTATCTTCTCTTCCAACCGTGCCGCCAGGCTGGGACTGATGGACGGCTTCTTGTCCGCTGGGGGCTCAGTCTTGTCCGTTTGGGGCTCAGGCTGGCCAGGTTTCTTGGGCTTGGTAGCCGCCGTGTCGGACTGGTAGCCAGACTTGGAGGCAAGGGTGTCAATGGAGCGGCCATGCTTCACGATTACCGGTCGTTGGGGCGACGACGTGGTAGACTTGCTCTGGACTGCAGGAGGGCGTGGCTTGGAGGACGTCGGGGGAGTCCGGGAACTCTGGGCCGTGTCCCTCTTGGGAGGGATGTCTCTCTGAACATGGGTGTCCGCTCGGCCAGGACGGCCCCGGGTGGGAGCCTCTGGATTCCAGATGACTGGCTTCTTGGAAGTGCTGTCTCTGTGAGCACTAGTCTCCACCAGGCTGGGGCGGTAGCCACGGGTGGGAACCTCTGTCCGGACAGCTGGCTTGGAGGGGAGGGGGTAGGGCTTCTGGGCCGCGAGTGGAGCAGATAGTGGGACTGCCTGGTCACCCCCGAGGTAGTAGAGCATCGGGTCCTGTCTCTCATCCGTCGGCGTCAGCGGCCCTACATTGTCATCCGAGCCGCTGTCACGGTAAGTATCCTCGAAGAAGACGGTTGTCTGCGAGTATGAAGAGTAGGAAAGCACATCCACAAGGACTGGGTGTTGGTCGACAGTTCCTCGGGAGCAAACGCCTTCGACTCCGGGCCTTTCTCCAAGCTGGGACAATCCGTGTAGCTCGCGGGACAGGGAGACAATCTCGTCCTCCACGCACGGCGACGGGGGCCAGTGGGTCTGCTTGCGCCAGCGCAAGTTCATCTTGGCCGAAAGGTACATGGTAAGGAAAGCAACGCAAAAAGGATTTCATAAACTGCAAGCAAGCTCCAGCGGATGGGATCGGTCCTGGGATTATCCTGTGGTGGCACGGCGGATCAGAAACAGTTTCCAGGCAGTTGGCATTATATGGTATCCGTCGTGCGTCGGACTCACTCGAGAAAAGGTCTCGAAAAGAGCAAAAGCAGCAGACACGGGGGGAGGGGGGGGGGCGCTTGGAGACCGCAATTGAAACGGACTGGGACCAGATGGAACGGGGAACGATCAATCAATTAGCAGAGCGGACAGTCAGATGGCCTGAAGATCCTTTGGCAAGCGGCTAGAATTAAGGATTAGTTTCTGGAGGACACTGTCCGAGGATGAGGGAGAGCGAAGAGATTTCTGGCCGGGCTATATAAAGTAAACAACCCCCAATGAGAACCTGGTCGGGCAGCGCCTCTCCGGGGATGGTGGCCCTATCAGGGCCTGGGCCCAGACATTGGGCGTTAACAGGCAACGAATCACCCCCACGCGCACTGAAACGCGACGATCGTGGCCAGATGTCAACGTGGGAACGAGTGGCCCAGCTTGGGCCAACTCAACAGGAGACGTCCCAGATGAAACCATCCCCGACCCCATGCAGGTGAGGTCAAGTGCCCTGCCCTCTGTCAGTGTCAGCGGTGGGACGGGGTGTGCGCATCGGGCGACTCATTCGTCATTGCGCCTGGGGTGGACTGGCCCGCTGCCAATGGCGAGTCCCGAATTGCAGAAGCGATTTAGTCTGCGGGAAAGGCGCCACATTGAGGCCTCGGAGGCAGTGTTGGCCAAGCGAGGCTGTCGCGAAGCCACACAGCGTGTGCGTTCTGTCCAAGGGATATCCCGGGCTACATTGGGCGCTGCTGGCTACAGGTGCCACCTTTTGGGATGAGATGCATCCCCCTGACTTGATGATGCTGGGAGCAGGGTAAGTGGCTTCCAATGATACGATCTGTCGCTGGAATTGAGTCTGCGATGATATCAGTGGGAAAGACGGTGAGAGCAATGGTGGCAATATGCACGGAGGGGGTGACACCGGCAGTGCTGTGTTGTCTGCCTGGAATGAGGGTGAAGTGAGATGACGATGAGCTGCTTTAGGGGGGAGGGGAGGGGGAGGGAGAGTTGAAGGAGGAGAGTTGCAGGCGAGGAGAGAGAAGTAAGTAAGTAGACCACCCATTTCCCGATCGGGGTTTATGCAGTCCGGTGATTTATGCTGGATGCCGCGCATGACTCAGCTATGCTCGGAACGGTCCGTCGGCGGGCGGAAGGAGACGGGATGAGTCAGCATATTTCCGACGGTTCGGAAAAGTGGCCATCGGCCAATGGCGTCACCCCGACGGATCAAGACAACAGCAGTGGTTGAGTACAAAGCAGTAAGAAAAAAACAGTGGGTGACTGAGTTGCGGAGGAGAATATCACCATGGAGATGACCAATCAACAGAACCCCGTGGACAGCTTCAAGCGTGACAAAGAGCGGAAGCGATCCGAAACCCCCGACTCATCCGGAAGCCGACGACGACGACGTAATGAAGAACTGCGGGGAAGATTGGCAATCCACCAACCTCCAGCTTCAATCTCACTGAATGGCTCGAGACCTCCTCGGTAATCCAGCGGATGGCCCGTAGTTTAGCCCTCCGTCACCTTCAGATAAAAAAGTACGCCCCCCCCCCGACGATATAAGCCATCCATCCACCCCCCTCATTCCTCCACCAATGCCCCTCCATCGCATCATCCCTCGTCTCCTCCAACCCACCACCACCACCACCACTATTTCAACCCTCTCCCCCCCAGCCCTCCGCCTCGCCTCCATCACCTCCCACCTCCGTCCCACCTCCCTCACCCGTCCTCTAACAACCACCACAACAACAACCACCACCACCCACCCCCCACCATGTCCGTCCCCCAAACCATGAAGGCCATCCAGGTGACGCAGCTCGGCGGGCCCGAGGTCCTCGAATTCAAAGCCGACCACCCGGTCCCGACCGCCAAAGAGGGCCAAGTGCTAGTGAAGAACAACATCTCGGGCATCAACTACATCGACACCTACTTCCGGACGGGTCTGTACCCGTCGGCCAAGCCGGAGATCCTGGGCCGTGAAGGCGCGGGCACGATCGTGGCACTGGGCGCGGGCCCCAACCCGTACGACTTCCAGATCGGCGACCGGGTGGCCTGGCTCAGCACCGGCGGATACGCCGAATACACGGCGGTGCCGATGGCCAAGACGGTGAAGATCCCGGCGGGCATCACGGACGAGAACGTGATGGCGTCGTTTCTGAGCGGACTGACGGTGATCACGCTGGCCAAGGAGACGTACCCCGTGCAGGCGGGCGAGTGGGTGCTGCTGCATGCGGCGGCCGGGGGTGCCGGATCCCTGTTGACTCAGGTGCTGAAGTCCATCGGGGCGAAGGTTATTGGCACCGCGGGCGGGCCGGAGAAGTGCCAGATTGCCAAGGATCTGGGCGCCGATGTGGTGATCGATTATCGCAGCGAGGAGGGCAAGGATTGGGTCAAGCAGGTCAAGGAGATTACCGGCGGTAAGGGCGTCGATGTGGTTTTTGATTCCGTGGGTAAGGATACCTGGGAGGGGAGCTTGGAGGCCGTGAAGCGCAAGGGGACCATTGTTTGGTTTGGGAATGCTAGTGGGCCTGTGCCGCCGTTGCCTTTGCAGTAAGTTGTGTCCTCCGTCTCCGTCCTGGTTTGCTGGGTGCTACACTGGATGAGAGAGGAGTTGGCTGACCAAGTTGGTGCTGCAGGAAACTTTCCCCCAAGTGTGTCAAGGTCGCTCGGCCTCAGCTGTTCGGCTACATTGAGACTCGTGAGGAGTTTGAGTTCTATGTCAATGAACTGTTCTCGCTTCTGCTGTCGAACAAGCTGAAGGTTAAGGTGCACAAGGTCTATCCTTTGGAGGACGTTGCTCAGGCGCATACGGATCTGGAGGGCCGGAAGACTACCGGCAAGCCCCTTCTGAAGCCGTAGGGGCTTTGTCATGAGTGTATATCTGGACAGAGATGATTGTGTTTACTACTGTAATGTGAATAAGATTGGCTATCGGTGACTATGAGTAACTATGAGTAACTATGAGTGATATCCGATGTGGTGCTTGTGACAACAACAACAACATCATCATCATCATGCAACTAGGCTTAGAGGTTCGTGGCCTCCTTGGTCGTGCTCACAAGGTCACGGAGGAGTCCGAGCCATCACCGTCGTCTGCTTTCTCGTTTTTCTTGTCACTCTCTCCAGCACTGCTTCCGGTAGTCATATCTTTCGGCTCTTTCCATCCCAGCATCAGGTCGTTCGCCAGAACCGTATAGATGGAACCGTAAACTCGGAATACATCCTCGAAATAGTCAAACCCTGCGTTCATCCTCCACACCGGACTGATCACTTTCATCCCCGGGTAGCAATACTGGAGCAGACTGCCCTCCAAGAAGAACTGGAACTCCAGCACGGGCTGCCCGGCCAGAGATTCCTCCGGACTGAGGTCGAATTCAGGCTGCCCTGGATCCCGGTAGGACTTTGCCAGCAGTCGTCCGACAGGCACGAGATCCGGAGCGTTTCGCTTGTAGAATTCGCAATCGACCGCGTCGGGTGGGTGGACGGCAGTGATCTCAAACCCGCCGATGTCTTCGACACGCGTTGCTTTGAGGGAGTGCTGGTTCGCCATTTCCTGGAATTGGCGGGCCTGCGTGTCGGATCCTGCACCGGCAAGGGCGAACTTGACCACTTTGCGGGCCACCTCATTCGTCATGCGAGGTGAATCATCCAGGGGGTTTTCCCAGTCGCTCTCTCCCATATTTGAGTCGAAGAGGACTCCAGCAAAGAGAGTGGAGCAGGCCGTATTGAAGTTCCCGGGGCCCTTGGCCATGAGCTGCTGGTTCTTCCAAAGCTCCTTTGCAGCGATGTCGCACGACTTCCTGGCCTGGTCGATGTTCTCTTTATACTCCGGGCACACATCGTGGTACAGGAGGTACGACAGGAAGTTTCGGATGGTGACAGTCGCCAGCTTGACCGCGGCTTCGGTATCAGGGTTGAAGTAGTAGGGAAAGAAGGAAGTCCTATCGGCAGTCAGCCACATTCACATCAGCAGTGTATAGTCCACCATTTACAGGAAGCCTCGGGCCACGGCATCGAAATCGATAGTCAAATGAGAGAGGTCCTTTCTCATGCGCGCCTGGGTTCTCGCCTGAAGAATCTGCTCACTGTCCAGTGCCTTGAGGTCACGCGCGTCCATGCCTCCGAACATATTTTGGCTCACGTCCACACCCCCATACGCAAGATACTTCAGGAAGACCTCTCTTCTGTCGGACTCGATGCGGCGCTTTTTCTGGTAGCGCAGAAGAGCATCCTCCATGCGGCTGATGAAGTTAGCAGCCAGGTATTAATGTGCACTGAACGTACGTACCAAAGAGGAGACCGGGAGCTAATGGGTGTTAGTAACTAGAAAGAATGGTGATAGGAATAACCTACATATCGTACAGCTCCTTTTCGACCTCGAATTCGTCGGGAGTCATGGGAGCATCGCCAAACCAGTCTTCAAAACCTGTTGGCTTGTTCTACTGAAGTCAGCCAGCTTCGTTGAGGTCTCCCGGATATACTCACCTTTCCTCGTTTGCTCTTTGGACGGGGCTTGCTTTTCTTCTTCTTCTTTTGGCCCTCAACCCATTCCAGTGGCACGGGTGCATCCTCCTCCTCCTCTTTTTTTGGGCGTGGAGGCTTAGTCGAGCCAGATGTATCCGAGTCTGGTTGATCAGCTGGGGGAGGGTTTGGCTTCTCCTCCGGCTCCGTATCCGCAAAGGTCACCTGCTTTGCCAGACGAACAGAGATGTCTTCGTTTGTGGCTGGAGCATCCTGAGAGTCCGCCATCTTGGTGACAGATTGACTGTCCTCCTTAAGACTTTCGTCTGTCATTCAAGTGACTTGGAAGGAGGCGATAGTTGGCCGAGCTGACGCCTAGATAGAGGTTTGAAATACTGAAGAGAAGAAGAAGAAGAAGAAGAAGAAGAAGAAGGGGAGAAAATGACAGGTCAAAGAGAGAGGAGAAAAGCTGAGAGATGGAGAGGGACCCATGAATGGAACTTCACTGGGAGGGTGAAATTCACCCTGTGAATGGGTGGAAAGAGAGTGTGTTGCATTCATGCCGGCTGCCTGGGGGCGTTTGTCAGGCAGAAACCGGCAAACGCCAGAAAGTCATTCATCTTAAGGAAAGTGCAATGGGGAGAGTGACAGCATGACAGAGTTGAAGGTGAGCGAGTGTTGAAGTCTAGATCGAGACAGAGACAGACATCGGGCCGTGTGCCTCGGTATATTCCCCACCAACAGGAGTAAGCGACAGAAGAAGCAATATGGATGCATCCATATACTTAGTTGATCCTTTTTCCATCAGCCCCTCCTTCTAGAGACTCCCCTCCTGCCCATTGCCCAGTGCTACCACACCGCATGCTGTACCACCACTGAAGCTAACACGGCCGAACCCGATGATTCGACCAAGTATATGGCAGACGGCCAGCATGCTCGAGCCCTCTCGTATAATCCAGCGCCTCTCAGTCCCTCGTTTGATGTCCTTGGCCTCCTTGGCCAAGCCAGTGCCAGTTCCTCATCCCCCTTCCCCCCCCCCGAGTCGTGAGTGTGCCGGCCGAGGAATGGCAGCCTGAAGAATGTTGGCCGCGGGTTGCACGTCACTCTCCCTGCAGCCCGCATCAAAACCAAACCACCAAACCACCAAACCACCAAACCACCAAACCACCAAACAACAACCACCACCACCACCTCTGTGGCTTGTCCCTCCTTTCTGCCAGCCCTTTGTTTGATTTCCCCCCCCTTTTCCCCTCCTTTTTTTCTCTTCTACTTATATTTTCTCTCCCCCAGCCAACTCACCTTGCGTCCTCCCCACCGCACTGCACCGCACCGCACCACTCGATCGTCGTCGCCCGTGACTCATGCGGAATGCCGTCTAGAATCCAGCGGTCTCTGTTGGACAGTGAATAATCTCCTCGTCGCTCCAGATACCCACGATGCAGTCATTATCGCGTACGGACAGCCTGAAAACCCAACGCCTGGACACTGACAGCTTCGTCGCCTTCGACCATGCCGCCGCCGGACAGTAAGTTCTCCCCGCCCTCCCGCAAGAAACATTACAAGATACACTTCCCCCCCCCTCCCTCCCCTCAACACACAGTCTTGCTCGCACACGCCCCTCCGCTGAGCAATCGAGCTTCGGCAGCCTTCGCCCAAAATGTCCCCGCCTGCTGACCCTCCCTCCCCCAATAGTGACGGCGTCCAGTGCACCCTGTCCGGCTCCTTCATCGCAAAGCCCTGCACCCCGCAAGAAGTCGCGTTCTACGAGTCCAGCGCCCTCCACCCAGACTTCGCCAACTTCATTCCCACCTACATCGGGACCCTAACCTCTGCAGACCAGCAGCAATCCCTCCTCGTGGCCGCCCAAGAAGCCGGGGCGATCGTCCTGCCCGGTTCGGATTACTCGTCGACATCGGACACCCCCACCGCGACCGGCCCGACTCCGCCCAGCGCAGTCGCAGACCTCACGAGTGCCGCAACAGAGTCATCATGGGTGCCCTCGGGCGGCAAGAAGCTGGAAACGGGGCTGTCGATCGTGCTGGAGAACGTGGCTGCCGGGTTCAAGCGGCCGAATGTGCTGGACGTGAAGCTGGGCGTGAGACTCTGGGCGGACGACGCGCCCCCCACCAAACGCGCGAAGCTGGATGCCGTGTCCAAGGAGACGACAAGCTCAAAGCTGGGATTCCGCATTGCCGGGATGAAGGTGTGGACGGGCGTTAGCGGGGACAGCGATGAGGGGAGCAAAACGGATCCGTATGCCACCAAGTACGAAGGGTCGGAGGGAGCCCGCGGCGAGGTCATCGAGAAGGATGGCTACAAGCGCTACGACAAGTGGTACGGGCGGTCGCTCAATGAGAATAATGTCACGGAGGGGTTCCGGATCTTCCTCGCCGGAGCGAAAGCCGGGGCCGTTGACCGGTCCCAGATGGTGGCGCAGCGGTTGGCCGATGAACTGAGAAAGGTACAGCACGTTCTCGAGTCCGAGGAAAGCCGGATGTATTCCTCGAGCGTGTTGATCGTCTACGAGGGCGATCCGGACGCGATGGAGTTTGCGCTGGAGGAGGAACAGAAGCCCCGACCTGAGCCGGAGGACGAGGACGACGAGGACGACGAGGACGACGGGCTGGAATTCCAGCTCCAGCCCGACGGGTCATTCCAGGTAGTTGATATCCCGCTTGGTCAGGGCACGACTTCCCACCAAGCGATCAACATCAACATTGACCCGGAAACAGCAGGACTGGACGGTCTAGAAGAGGACGAGGACGAGGAAGAGCCTCCGAAGGTGCACGACCTTCGACTGATCGACTTCGCCCACGCCAGTTGGACGCCGGGCGAAGGGCGCGACGAGAACGTCCTCAAGGGGATCCGGAGTTTGATCCAGACCCTGGACGAGCTTGCTGCGTCGTAAAGTGTACGATAACGGCATCGCAGTCGCTGGCGGCTGATGCTGACAAGACTACCACTGGCTGTATTTAGCTGAAGATTGCTTAGCCATATGGAAATAGCTTACTTACTACATCACTATCTTGTGTAGATCATTCTGTACACCATTAAGATTGGCCGATGATCCACAAACCTCTAGAATATCCATTCAAAACCCCCATAACCCTCGATGGAAGTAGGCCTCAAACAATCCACCCCCGTCCAAACAGGTGCCTTATGTAATCACCACCTCCGCCAAACCTCCGAGACCCATCAGGCAAATCGCAACAACTCCGGCCGCATCAATCGCATTCCAACCCTCCGTCTCTTCTCCATCCCAGCGCCAAAATGTTTCCCACTCGCGCCCTCCTGGGCCGGTCCGTCTGGAAAGGTACTCCCCTTCAACCCTCAATCCATATTCCCAGATGAATGAGTATCCAGTCCCGCTAACCAGTGAATGAACCCAGGCCCCAACATCGTCCCGTACGTCCAGTCCATCCCATCCCATCCCATCCCAACCTGGATCCAAATCCAATCGCAAAGATCCCTCAAGAACACCACCAACCAACCCGACCCACACCACACCACACCTTACAACCTCCGCCCTCCCCTCCGAATCTCTAAAACAGCACTATCCCAATACATACGAGCAAATCGATGATGATAATACTAACAATGCAATGAATCTAGTCTCCCCCTCCCCCGCAAACTCCCCCCTCCGCCGGGCACACCACCCATCAAGACGCAGAAGCGCGCCGCCACCATCCTGCCGAACTTCGTGGGCCTGAAGTTCTCGGTCCATAATGGGAAGATTTATCAGGATGTCTTCATTACCGAGGAGATGGTTGGGAGGAAGTTGGGGGAGTTTGTTCCGTACGTATCTTATTCTATTTTCCTTTCGGTTTTTCTTTTTTTTTTTTTTTTTTTTTGCCTTTGAGGGTTTGGTTTGGGGGAGGAAGGAAGGAAGGAGGGAGGAGGGAGGAGTGCGGTTGGATTTGTGTGTGTGTGTGTGTGTGTGTGCTAATGGGTGTTTTCCCTCGGGGTTGGGATAGGACGAGAAAGCGCTTCACGTACAAGTTGTCGAAGAACAAATAGATGATTCGCTTCGATTCGTGTTGGATTATTCTGTCGGATGGTCGGATGGACGTTGGGCTTGGGGGGGCTTGGTGGGTTTGCTTGTCTGGGGATTGGGATACTGATTTAATGGGTTTTTTTCTATCTATCGATCTACCTCTACCGACCTACATACCTACCTGCTATGGCATGGTAGACAGGCAACCCTAGCCTATCCTGCGGGGAGATGTCGATGATGCATATATACATACATACATGCATGGTTCGGTTCTGTTGCTGCTGCTGCTGCTGCTGCTGTTGTTGGTTTTCTTCTAGGGGCGTTTTCTATTTCTCATCAATATCTACATACCTACATACATACCTACCTGCCTACATTTCTCTCTATCTGTGTATCTATATCTGTATCTGTCATTCCCGGAAGTGTATATCTACTCCCTACTACCTACCACCACCAGCTCCAACACAAGCGCAAGTGCTGCAAAATATTAACAGCAACATCAACATCAACATCAACAGCCACCAGAATCCCATCATCTTCCAAACAAACTAAAGATAAAAAGACCCGAGAATCCTATTCTTTTCTTTCTTTCTTCCTGGTCTAATCAATCCCATAAATTCCCCTAATAGTAGTAATACTAGTACAGCAATAGTAGATAAGTTGCTAAGTTGCTGCTGCTGCTGCTGTTTTCCATTTCATCCTAACGCCCCGACGCCATTATTGTATTTCAGTTCAGTTCAGTTCAGTTCGCCCGAATGGTCATGCTCGCAGCATGATATGTATGGGATATCGTGTCGCTTTCACCCCCCGCCCCCCGCCCCCCGCCCTAGGTACGCCCGCAAACTAGATGTAAAATGGATAGCCCTGTTCTTTCTTCCTTCATTTCTTTCTCTCTTTGATGGGGATGGATGGATGTTCGGCGATGGGGTTGGGTGGAGGTGGAGGTGGAGTTCGTCTGCGTGGATGGATTGGTGATGTTTGGTTGGTTGATTGTTCGTCTCATCCGTCACATCATATTCGATATCTCATTGTCGAATCGAATGAGTGGATGTATTCGTCTTGCCTCATCTCACGACCAGAAACGAACCATCCACCCCGTCCAACCACAGGACATCATCATCATCATCATCCCATCCACTCATCTCATCCACACAATACCACACCCCCTCACCGATAAAACTCCCCCCTCTTAACACTAACCCCATACTCACCAACCGCCATCCCCAGATCCTCCATAGTCAGCACCGTTCTCCCCTGTCCGGACCCTCCCGATCCACCACCTCCGAACCCCGCGCGCTGAATACCCAGATGCGTGCCCGCCTTGCCCTTCGCGTCGCCCCCAGCCATAGCAGCCGCACCTGCGGACCCGACGCCCGCAGCGCCCGCCGGCACGCCCAGCCCCGACGCGGCGTTCAGACTGCCCATGGGGTTGCTGGCGGAGGTGCTGTTGGAGGCGCGGATGCGCGCGTACTGGTACGAGTCGGCGGCGACATCGGCGATGAATTTCTGGGTGGCGAGGGCGAGGAGGCGCGCGAGATGCGGGGGGTTTGGTTGGGGCCGTTGCCGGGGGGTGGTAGGCCGGCGAGGGTGAGGTAGTGGGCTGTTACGGCGTCGGGGATCTGGGGGTTGAAGAGAGTGGTTAGTTATGTATTTAGGGAGAGAGAGGGACAGGACAGGGGAGAGTAGGGGAGAGGGTTGAGTTGGGCTGGGTTGGTTAGGTTGAGTAGTCGGAGAGGTAACGAAGGAATACCAGACGAATAGGAAGCAGAAGCAGAAGCAGAAGCAGAAGCAGATAACTTACGATCGGCGCATACTCGTCCATCTTCCCCAGGAACTCCCGCAGGCCGGTCTCCTTCTTCGAGGGCGTGGAGGACGCTGCCAGAGCGTCCACGGAGGTTGGCGCGGGATCCGCATTGGCGGCGGCGGCGGCGTCGTCGGCGGCGGGATTGACGTTGGCCATGTTGGCGTTGTTCAGATCGATGTCCTGCTCGATGGAGGCGTCCAAGCCCGGGTCGGCGGTGTCAGGTTCTTGTTTCGGGATGATGGTCGCGGAGGAGGTGGGTGTAAGGCCGGGGGTGGCTGAGGAGGGATCTTGTGCGGAGGATGCTGGATCTGGATGTGATTGTGGTTGTGGTTGTGGTTGTGAGGGAGGTTGGGGCTGAGGTTGAGGATGTTGCGATGAGAGGGGCCCAGCAGCGGGCTGAGAGGAGGAATCGGCCATGGTGGCTGACGAGCGAGCGAGCGAGCAAGGGAGGGAGGGAGGGAGGGAGGGGCAGCAGTCCAATGGTGGATGGTGTTGCGCAGGCTGGGAGGGAATGAATGGCGGAGAGTTGCTGGATGAATGACTGGCGCATCTGCCCGGTTGGCGCCCCCGGGGCGGAGAGCGAATCGCCCGCCGCGTTCGGCCCGCCCGACCATGGCTGTTACTGCGTACTATACTCCGTACTCTTACAAAGATCATACATTTAAATACATTATTCCACCTTGCTGCCATTCTCAGTCTTGCAACGGAATTAGCTGCTAAGCAAGAATATTGTTACACAACTTGCGCTGATACTCCTACAAGCAATGTCCCTCACCTGCCCTACTTACACCATGTCTACCATGCCCACCATGCTCACCCACCAGCCTCAAGTCCTGACCTAGAGTGATCGCTCAGAGAATAAGGAAGCAAAAAGAAAAGAAAAGAAAAGAAAAGAAAAGACAAGAAAGAGAAAAAGAAACGGAAAAAAACACATGGTTTTGGATACATGTGGAAAATTAACAAAGACACAGAGGCTGTGAGAGAGCAACAGACAGTTCATTGGCCAAGATGCATGTTGGGATCAACATGGTCCTGGTGGTGCCCATGGTGATGCTGATGGTGATGGTGGTGATGCTGATGCTGTCCAAAGGATTCTCCATGCACCTCCTGTCCGAGGGTCTGCATCAGGTTCTGCTCCGCCGTCTGATCAAACGCCGCATGGGCCGCAGCGTCAGGAGGCAGCGGCGACGCAGACATGCCGTCGTGCCCATGCCCGTGGAGATCAACAGGCTGGGGATGCGCGCCCGCAAGCGCCATCATGCCCTTGATGCCCTCGACGTGCGCCTTGTCTTCCTCGCCCTGCTTCTTCTGCCGCTCGCGCGCTTCCCGTTTGGCAGCCTGGGCGGGCGCCCGCGTCTTCAGCTCTCCCGTGACGAACTTCAGGTAGTACGGAACCTCGATGCCGCTCTTCAGGAAGAACAGCTTCAGGTTGCGCGCCTTGTCCTTCAGCTGCACCTGGTTGCGATCCTTCAAGGCCTCGCTGATGGTACCTCCCGGGCCAAACATGGCTAGGATCTGGCTCCAGTGCGGGCCCTTAACCCGATCTAGACCAGCCATCAGCGCGTTCTCTTCTTCGGTTGTCCAGGGCCGGCGCTGGCTGGGCAGTCCGGACTTGCGGCTGCTGGGAGACGACTTCGCCGACGCCGCCATGCGCGCCCGCTCATACAACACCTGCGTCGGCTGCGACTGCGAGTAGTGCGGGATGCCAGGCATGTACCCATGGTTGGCCGCGGCCGAGTTCGGCCGCGGGATCGTGGCGGGCGTGACGTGATTGTACTGCTGGAAGTTCGCCTGCAGCGGGCTTTGCTGGAACGTCAGCTGGCCGGGCGGTTGCTGGTAGCCGGACGGCGCAGGGCTGTGGTGGTAGGGTTGTTGTTGGTGAGGGGCCTGCTGGTGTTGCATCTGACCCGTGGGCTGTGCGGCCGAATACCCGTGCAGGATCTGCCCACCGGGTTGCGGCGAATGTTGAGGTTGTTGCTGCTGGAGATGCTGCGGTTGGTGCATCGGGTGCTGTTGGTGGTGCTGCGGCGGTTGCTGCGGTTGTGGCTGCGGCGGCGGCTGAGTCTGCTGCTGCTGCTGCTGGGAGCGCCGCAGTCCGTGGCCCTGCAGCGCAATCTGCGCCGCACGAGCCGCACGAGCGACCAGGTCGCCGTGCATGTTGCGATCCACAGGAACATCCGGAGGCTGGGTCGAGACGGGGAATTGGCCTTGGAGGGGGGCGTTGGGTGGCTGGGAGTCCCCATCCGACGAGGATGGCTGTCGGCCCTTCGCGGTCTTTTTAGTCTACTTCATCGTCAGTGCACGCAAGGGGGTAAAATATGCCACGGGCGCTGACCTGTTGGTTGCTGGTGAGGTCAAAGTTCTTCGTGATGTAGGAGCTCAAGTCCCGAAGGAAGTCCTCCCAGTGGTATTTGTCCGGCAACGCCTTCATCGCTTCTTCGTTGTTGACATCGCTCAGAAGAATTTCCCGGCGCGATCCAGCCCGCTTGACAAAGTCGGCTTCACTGGGGGCCAGCTGGCGAGTTCCCGGGCGTCGGTCGAGCAGCTGTTGCTCCAGCTCATCGGGGAACAGAGTATACAGCAGCTCGGTTCTGGTCCGCTCGGAGTTGTTCATCGACGCGATGAACGCCTGAGTCTTGAGTTCCAGGAACAAAGCCCCTTGTACCTTGAGGACACGGCCACCCTCTGGGACAAACACGTCCAGGAAGTTGTCGTTCAACTCGGAGAATCCGATCTCCTGGGTTCCGAAGATGCTTGACACGAACGAGGCCAGGTTGGCCTTCCGGATGATTTCGATTTGCGACGGCTCGGTGAGCTCCAACTCCGTAGGAGAGAGGAACGACCTCTTGGTTGAGTACACCTTTTTCGTGTGGTCGAAAAGCGATCGCATGGTTGCGTAGGCCTGGCCGCTCTCGGTCTCCGGCTCGGAAACGAAGGAAGTGATCTCCTGGTACGAGGACTTGGCCAACAGCGACAGGATTTGAGTAGACTGGATGGTCAACGCGTCAGACTGGACACAACATTGCAAACCTTTCCCTCAGAGATAATTCTTACCAGATTGTCGAGGATAGGCAGACTCTGGATTTTCAAGTGCGAGTTGGCTTTTACAAACACCATTCTCGGGGGCGACGCGCTCGCGGTGTCCGCCAATTGCTGCTGGCCGATCACGCATTGTTCCTCCACCCGTTCTGCATGGTTCATGATGCTCGAGATGACCGTCGCCATATCCGAGTCGATATCCGCGCTCGTCTCCGGGGGCGCCACGGCGGTGTCTGCCGGGCCTTCGATCGAAACGGGCACATCTACCGGGCGGTCCACGGGGTCCACGACGCCCGTTCCCAGGGCGGATGCCAGTTCCTCTTCGATTTGATTTCCCGGTTGCTGGTCTGGGGGCAATTCGGTGGGTTGAGGGGTCAGTGACAGGTCGCCTGGCTCGGAATCGAGGCGGCGTTTCTTGGAGGCCCGTGGCGAGAAGGAACCGTCATCTTCGTCGAGCGGGTGGGACATTTTAGGGGAGGCTGCGAGCCATTGGAGTCAGTAGCGGATCAACAGGAACAAAAAGGAAGCAAAAATCGTCCAAGGCTAAGAAAAGTCCGGGGAGGGGGGGGGGGGGGGGAAGCAGGGGTGGTTCTCGCATCCTGGCAGGAAGTCGGACGGCGGGAGAAACAGACTCCCTTGACACGGCGCGCAGGACTCACCATGAGTGGCGGGATCGGTCGCAGGGGGGACAGGCAGCTCGGAAGAGGCTGTCTCTTCGAGAGACGGGTCTGTACCTCTCGTGTCGAGCATGCTGAGGACGCTTCCTGATGGAAGGGATAGGCGTTGACTTCCAAGAGCAGAAATGAGGGCTTAGGGGTAGGGCGCAGGCGTAGGGCTTTTGGGAGTGGTTAGGTTGAGACGGGCGCGGCGGAAGACTTCGGCGGCTCAGATTTTTCGCCGGCCGCCGCCCCATCTCGTCCGATGGTGGCGCGGCTGTGGTTGTTGGGCTTGGGTCTTCAACTCTCTGGATCATTCACTTGGGGGAGGGTGAATTGTGTTTAATACAGCACTACTATGTACAATGTTACGAGGCCAATCCTGGCTGACGGTTTCTGCTGCAATGTGCCTTGTCTCGTCGTACTGAATTCAGTTCCCTCCACGATGCCGCCTCACCCCGTAAGAACGAGCGGCCCTTCCTGTTTCGGAAACAGCTCTGCCTGGGTGCCTGGACGAACACTGCTACTAGTCTGAACTGTCCGTGTAGATACGACCGAGTACCTCCTACCAATATACCTTTGCGACAGGACTACCTCTGACACCCTCCCGCCCCGTGGTAACATCCAGCCAGCGTTACTTCCACACCAATGCGACTCTCCGTCTACGCGTCATAGACTACCAACCAAACCATCCCACTATTGCAACAGGTTGACGTGCTGCAAATGGCTCTCCTATCAAACCATCAGCTAGGAACAATTTTGCGCTCGCAGGATGGATGTCGTTTCCGCCGGAAGTCGGATAGCATATCTGGCATATCTTAGGAAGATGGACGAGAGTTGCTGCGTCGAGCTCCAGTCTGCTAAGTCTGAATCGGCTCGACTCTACAGGATGATTTCTTGGGTGCAACTTCACTGATGACACTGTCTGTTCAGTTCCTCTAGTGTTCGATGAGGTTTGATCGAATCCATCCGGAACATCCATGGTTCATAGCTTGATGTCGTTGTCGACCATCGCAAGAGTCCAGATATACACTTATGCTTGCAGTCCCCACCTAGACTTCTATACTCCTTTACCCCTGGCCGTCCTATTTCGGGGCGATGCAACCTCTGGAGCTGTCTCGTTCTTAATCTTGGGCTCTCCCGCTGCTAGGTACCTTCCTCTTCGTATGTCCGATTCCTCTAGACACTCATAATATATGTGTTTGGTTTGAGGGTGATCCTCATCGTCCGAACATGCTGTCCTCGCGCCCGTTCATCGCGCTCGTCCTTGCGGCGGTGTTGCAAGCAGCTTCAGCCCAAGATTTGAAGGAGCAGGTCTGGGCCGTGTTCGCTTACAATCTCTACGGAGATCGTGTACCGACTGCCCTGCCTCGTCCGAACATGCTGACTCCGTATGGAGCCAACGCACTGTACGCAGCTGGGTCTGCGTTTCGAGATCGATATGTTGCTATCCATTCAACCAATGTCAGCCCGAGCACAAGGATTGAAAGCATATCTTCATATGCGTTAGAAGACCAGGATCTCGATATCCTGTCAGCCACCGACCCATCCGTCATAGCATCCGCCCAGGCGTTCATGCAGGGACTGTATCCTCCTCTCAATCAAACCTACGGTGTGCAATATCCCGATCCATCATATTTCATGGCAAACGGGAGCTGGGCATCTGCTCCTTTCAATGGATATCAATACCCCCGGATTGTCACCGCGAGCTCAGACGATCCTCAATCTATCGTAGTAGCGGGCCAAGATAATTGTCTGCTGCATCAGATCGCAAACGCCGACTATGAGCTCGGCTCCGACACCCAGGAAATAGTGCAGGAGACCGAGGCGTTCTACAACGACCTGTACAGCACGGCACTGACTGGCGTCTTTGACCTTTCCTCAGCCGACTATGTGAACGCCGTCGCTATCTCTGAGTTCCTGGAGTACCAGGTCTTGCACAACGAGACCCTGTTCCATAGTGTCTCCCATGAACAAGTCGAACTCGCACGCTGGTATGCCGATCAATATACCTTTGCCACGAACGGCAACGCTGGGTCCTCAGGGCCCATTGAAAATGACACCATCCGCACCATTGCCGGGCAGACCTTGACAGGCCATATTCTGGACGCATTCGACAACAACGTCCTTTTCCGCGGCACCACCGGGAAGATCACACTCGTCTTTGGGGGCTACGAACCTGCCGTCGCTCTCATCTCCCTGATGCAACTCGCCTCCCAAGACAACAAAAACTTCAACTCGCGCCCTGCGCTCGGCGCCTCCATGGTCCTCGAGCTGTTCAGTCTCGAGAGCGATGCATTCCCGACCTACCCCGACCCATCCCAGCTCTATGTGCGTTTCCTCCTGCGCAACGGGACCACCACCCCCGAATTCCAGTCATACCCGCTCTTCGGACTCAGTCCCAGCAGCATCGAGATCCCTTACACGGAGTTCAAAGCCAAGATGGAAACCGTCTCGCTCAACTCGACGGCGGAATGGTGTCTCAGGTGTGACTCATCATCTGTGTTCTGTTCGGGTGTCTTGAACGATACCAGCGCGGACGCAACAGCAGCAGCAGCAGTATTGTCTTCCTCGAAGCGCAAGGGAGTCAGTCCCGCTGTCGCCGGTGTCATCGGAGCCGTTGTGACTCTCGTCGTAGTCGGAATTGCCCTTGTTTCCGGGTTCTTCCTACTAGGGATGCGCATGCACCGTGGCCGCAGGCCTAGTCTGGAGGAGATCAAGGGCGGCATTGACTTGGGGAGTGAGTCGAACCTTGCCTTGCGGGAACACGCTGCCCCTCCTGGGAAGGCTGTGGTAACGTAGAGTTCCACTTGGTGGACGATGGCTGTTTGGATAAAAATTTTATTAGGATGAATGGGTTTGCGAGGATGGAGGGAAAGCAGAGAGTTTTGGCTAGTTAGGCCTTACAAAATAATCGTAATGTAATGAATATCAAGAATTAATTATTGTCTTCCAGTCCAGAGCACATGTCTTGCAAGATCCTCCATTTTTATGATAAGGTAGAATATGGAATGCAAAAAGATTGTCTGGGTTCAATGTGTTTTTACGCCTAACTTAATGTTATAGAGCTGACAGCAGCAGTCCAGTCTGGCCCCCCAAAAAAAAGAAAGCCCCTGCTAGTGATGCCTGAAATCTAAGGAGAGGACTATCACATACTCCCCACCAAAGGCCTTAAATTGACCAACAGATAGTCAACACTTGTGACATCAAACTGCCCTCCTTGATTATACGGATTTTTCTGTCACTTTCTTCACCTCACGGGTAAATCACACATCCAGGGCCCTTTGGCACGCGTCACCCTCCGTCTCATCTCGTCTCGTCTCGTCTCGTCTCGTCCCCCCGCGATGGACCAGCCAAAGAAGGAGCAGGACTCGCTGAGTCGTCGGCTCCTTCCAGATCTGGTGCTTGTCCAGGCAGGATCCCATCCAAGCCACTCATCCATCCATCCATCCATCCATCCATTCATTCCATGCGTCTGCATCCCAGGTTCTCATACTAACACCCAAGTGAACCAGTCTCCCGTGTTCCATCAATCCCATCCTTTCAGACAGCTCATTCGACCTGTGTGACCTTTGCCCATCCTTCCCAGTATTTTTGTCCTGTTTCCCCGTCAGTGTATTGGTTCCTTTCCACGTGCAATCATGGTCAAGTATGACATCCCCACCCTCCTGGACCTTAGGCAAGACGCTCGCATAGACCTCACCCGATTCAGTGACCAGGCATTTGGCAGTAAGTCTCCCCCTCAAAGCCCCAGTACGTGCAGATGGCACATGGCTTGCTTTGCTGACACCGCTGGCTCTCCTCAACTGGCAGACAACCTGCTTCGACAACGCCAGGCAAGTACAAGTGTGTTGTCTGAACAGCCTGTCAACCGGTCGAGGAATGCTTCAAATTACTCCCGCCAGAGCGAAAGAACCCTCTCAATCATAGAGCCTGCCGTGCTCCGTCCCTCGCGACAGCCAAGTGATCCACCACAGGGGGTTCGAGCCCAGACTGATGCCGGGTTTGCTCGCTTCCTCAAGGAGCATACGTCCCCGAAGCATCAGCGCGTCACGGCAGGTGGCCGGATCGTCCCGATGGAGCCTTCATCCCCTACCCCAAAGCCAAAGGAGCTCGTGCCCAGTAAAGATGTCAAGATGGATGATGAGATAATGAGCAAAGTCGCGTCTAAGAATGAAAACAAGAGCAAGCTCGAGAACAGGCAGCTGCAGCCCACCGACGCCAATGCAAGTATCAACATGCCCAAGGCGGCCTCGCAGCTGGCTGGAAGTCATGTCAATCAACCCCTCATCATGCATCCGTCGGGGACCCTTGACCAGCAATTCTCAGGCTGTGGGCAGATACCCAATCTTCTGTCAGCTGCAGCTACCACCGGTATTTTTTCGCAGCCTAACCTTCCTTGGTCCCTGGATAATCAACAACTGCCTCAACTCGGGCTCCAAGTCCCTGATATCACTCTGTCAGCGGCCTCGGATTACGGCATGTATAACTTCGGGGCAGATCCATACACATGGCTTCCCAACATGTATCAAGCTTTGAATACCCAGGGCCCTATCGCCCCCTCCATGCCAACAGTCCAGCCGTATCCAACAGTCACCACGTCCTCCGACTTCTCGACCGGGAGCAACACCAGCAGTGGCGGGGCGGCTTCGATATTTAGCCAGTTTCCCACCGGATACGAGTCCGTGTACCCTTCTCTTGGGCTCCAGTGGCAACAATACACGGGTGGACAGGTCCCGCTTCTCACTCCCCCAGTGGTGCCTAGCCCTCTTCAGACGCCAACATATCAGAAGTCTCTGGAGGATGCTGCCAAGGAGCACGAGTCTCTGACGGGCCAGCTTTCTCGCATCGATAGGTACATGGCAATACACAGCTGGGATCTCGACCAGCAGTCGAAGAACCTGTTAGTCGAACAGCGAATGAGTTTGGTCCGGGAGTTGGACGCAGTTAGGATCTATAGGGAACATCTGGAGTGGGCTTCTGGACGGTTTGGTACAAGCGCTTCCTTGCGGCACAATGTGATGAATCCGGCCACAGCCCCAGCAAATATGTATGCTGCCAACAGTCTCGCGGGCAGTCAGACGCTGCTGGGCCCCGGTCTGTGTGCAGCCAGTTCGAGCTGTACAGCTCCAACATTCCCTATGTTTCCCCTGATGAACGCACTTTCTCAACCACTGACAATGAGTGAGCCAATGAATGCTGCTGCTGCTCCATTCCATGCCACGGTGGACACTCATCCATATGAAAATAACACTTTCCAAGCGGAGGCGTGTGCAAGCCGCACATCATTTAGAGAGGCCGGGTTGAAACCTCCACGCGCGGTGGGAACATGTGCCGAACCCCTGCGGTCTGACAAAGAAGTCCAGACGCTTAGCGAGGCGAAGCCAATATCCAGGGATAAACCTGTTGCGGGATGGAAAACGCCTACCAAGGATGGGCCTCCAGAGCTTCGAAAGGTGTATGATCAAATCGAGGAGGCGGTCCGTCGTGGCGAACCGCTTGGCGGACTGCTAAAGGATCTATCGGCTGCCACATCCCAGCTCGTTAAAGAGAGAGTGAGCGAGAAGGAAGAGCGGTACGGCTCGCTTCGATCGCCATCAAGCAAGCCTGGTAAACCACATGCCAAGGCTCATACCGGTAGTGAGGCGTATGCGTTGAAAGGGATCTCTGACAGACACGAAGCGTATGCACCTTTCGCGCGCCCCTCCAGGAAGCTCTGGAAATCCGGAAACGATTTGCGGCGGCCCATCCATGGCAAGAACAGACCGTTTGGAGTCGAGGATGAGGATGATGTCAAATCCACTTCATCATACCTATCAACGACGGATTCATGGGCCACTATCCATGAAGGCGAGTACGTATCTGGCTGAAACCCCTGGCTGGTGAACCCAAGATTCCTGACCATCATTAGCAGCCGCTGCCTTGACAAGCTGGCACCAGAGGGCAAAGGAAAGGGAGTGTGTCGAGATGTGTTGCCTGAAAGGTAGTAGTAGTGTCTTGCTGTACTGGCTAGCGAGCTGACCGTGCCTTACAGGAGACCACGCGACCCGTTCGAGCGTCCTACCGTATCTGCCGAAGCCCTCCGGTCCACTATTCGACGGACTGGGGCCCAGAACCTCAGTGTAACGGGCGAGCTTGCGGCCTACAAGCCACGCAGTTCTGCAACCTTGATGGGCTCGAACAACTCAGGGAGGCAGACGAGCGTGGAGGAGATGAGACAGCCGTACCCCCAGCTCCTCACGCAATACTTCAACAAGGATCGGGGCCTAGCCTTTCAGAAGACAGCGGCCTTGGCTGTCTCGCAGAATGTGAATGCACATGGGTTTCTGCCCCCCTTCGAAGGCGTGGGGAATGCGCCCCAATCACGGCGAAAGGCGAAGGAATGCGCTGAGCCCTAGCCAGAGCGAGCCATCTGGGGAGAGCGATGACGGAGTGCGGTCGAGCGAGGCACCGGCGGGGCTTCATTTTCCCTTTCGATGCCACGCCCTGAGACTGAGACATGCGAACGGGGGAGCAGCATTCATTCACACGCGAACCGGCGGTGAGTTGACGGGCGAGGCCTGGTCGACGGACGTTGGGGACAAGTTGTTGGAGTTAGTTATTACTGTACGGAGTATGGCATAATTGTATTACATGTACTAGGGAGTCTCTTGTCCTGCAGGGTTGGAGCCCATCTGATTGGAGTGTATCTTAGTATGAGTCTGTGTTGTGTAACTGGGAGGGCATGTCAGGAGTCGTTGAGAGTCAGCTTATCCGGAAGATTCGGCGGGTCTTGTGCAAGTCCAGGTTGTTGGGTTGGGAGGATGAACTTTGTGGTGGTTGTTGTTGTTGTGGTTGTGTTTGTGTTTTGTCTCTTTTTTTTGTTTTTCGTACCATCGACGGCGGCTTGGTGGAATACTGTTTACGGAGTACCTACTTACGAACGAAGACATATGACTTCATTACTGCAGGGTGTCTGGACGAGTCGAGTAATTCCAGGGAAGACCTCCTTGCGTCCTGCTGAGATGCTCCCCCACATCGCGGTGCTGGACTGGTGGTACAGACCACCGGCCTAACCCCGCAAAGGCAGATCGGTCGGATTTCACATTCTTGATTGGAGGTGTAGGATTTCCCGGCCCAGGAGGGGACGAGACACTGGCAGATGTCCGCATTAGTCAGAACTGGGCTCTGTCGGTAACTAGTTAGGTGGTGGCCAATTTGGATGATGATTCTGCTTATTATCATTAAGAAGTACTAGGGATAACTAGGAATATTGCTACAGCGAAATATCATTGGGGGGGGGGAATCCGGGAGTGCCTCAGGAACGGCGAAGCCTGGGAGTTGAACCCGTACGGTACCGTACCTGGTGGCCCTATCAACTTCAACCCAACTGCGCCCGGCCCATGGATGGGCAATAATACACACCACTCCTAATAATGGATGGCGAGATCGAACAAGTCCAGAAGTCTGCATGCCAGGGTGGCGAGTCTCTCCGCCAATCTCCGTTGCCAGGCTTGCTTTTCCCGATCGGGTTGCAGATATTGTGTACCTACCTACCTACTTACCTACCTATTACTATTGTGAAGTAGACCCGCAGGGTTGGACTGGACTGCACTGCACTGCACTGGGCTGGGCTGGGCTGGGCTGGGCTGTGCTGTGTAGGGGAGCAGCATTTCAGAATCTCTCGACTGTCAGGTTGGAGAATTGGCGATAAGTGACATCCCGGGTCTGTCTCAGGTTCGATACCAGAACCACCGTCTGACGACAATGACAAGACCAACCCACTCCGGTGCGGTGGCCAACATAAACACTGACGGTACGAACCGGTATGATGTATCGCGCGGGCGGGCGTGACTAAGCGCGGGCATTCCCAGTCCAACTTTCTTTCCCTCCACGTCTCCACCTCGACTCGCCGGCTCTCTTTCGCCTTCTCATCTTTGGTCTCGTCTCTTTCCTCCCCTTCTTTCTCCTGCTCGATCCCGTCCTGGTTCTGGGTTCAATTCTGCTTGTTCAGCTTCACATCCTCCCATTTCCCCTCCTCATCCTGTCTCGCGCCTGCTGTGCTGCCTACCGTGGTCTAGCCGAGGTGCCTGTTCACGCCGCCGCCGCCGCCCCCCCCGTCATTCCCGGGCTGGACGTGCCTCTAAATCCAGGTTTCTGGTGCGACTAGCACCACCGCCTACCACTCCCCCCGCGGCTTCTGGCCCGTTGCTGGGGCCCCTTCCTCCCGTCGCAATCTTGTCTCGCCGGCCACCTGCACTTCCACTGAGATTATCATCCCAACTTGATCCCCCCTCCCATTTACCCCCCCTCCTGGGCACGTTCCTGGGTCTCATCCAGGCATCAACCGGCATGACGCAGCTTTTCGCTTCCAGCCCGTCCTCCGTGACGAACGAGAAACGGGGCAATTTCCCCGGTCTCTCGCTGGCCTCCAAGAAGCACTCGAACGAATCCAGCCACCTCCCCACCAGAATCAAGAATTTCTTCCGCATCAACAGCTCCAGCAGTAACTCCTCCCATGTCAGCCACCACAGCAACGAACACCGGGATCGCGAAGGCACCTCGTCCTCCCTCACCAAGCCGGAAACCAAATCCGCCTTCAGGCAGTCCCGGTTCCTCCCAACCATCGGCCGCAATCGCTCGACAACCGTGGCCAGCGAAGGCAACCCGCTAGACGACGGCGTCTCGCCCACCGCGACCGCCAACCCGTATTTCGTCCACCAGGGCCAGCCCTCCCTGCAGCATCGCAACGATGGCTCCGAGCCCTCGTCCCCTCCCGACACCCCCGAGTTGCAGGTCGACGGTGTGTCTGCTGCCGAGCAGGCCACCACCGCTAACAAGGAGGAATTGGCCCGGAAACTCCGCCGGGTGGCCTCCGCCCCGAATGCGCAGGGCTTGTTTGCCCGCGGCGAGTCCGATGACCGCCCCCAGACGGCTGAACTGGGAAAGGAACCGTTGGTGGAGCAGTCTGGGGCTGGGGATGCTCAGGTCACGACGGTGGAGCTGTCCGGCGAGCATGAGGTCAACCTGGCCGTGCCGAAACTCGGTCCGCTCAGCAAGATCCCCACTCCCGGCCAGATTCGGGACTCGGTTGCTTTCCGCAGGACTTACAGCTCCAACTCGATCAAGGTGCGCAATGTGGAGGTGGGCCCGGGCAGTTTCGACAAGATCAAGTTGATTGGGAAGGGTGACGTTGGAAAGGTGTATCTGGTTCGGGAGAAGAAGACCAGCCGGCTGTACGCCATGAAGGGTGAGTTCGTTGTCTTGGGACTGGATTGTCAGTATCCGAGCTGTTACTGACTGCACTAGTCCTGAGCAAGAAGGAAATGATCAAGCGGAATAAGATCAAGCGCGCGCTGGCCGAACAGGAAATTCTCGCTACCAGCAACCATCCGTTCATCGTCACGCTTTACCACTCTTTCCAGTCCGAGGACTACCTCTACCTGTGCATGGAATACTGCAGTGGGGGCGAATTCTTCAGGGGTGCGTACTACAACTGAACGCAAGTGCCGCAGTCGCTGATTGTATCTTAGCCCTTCAAACCCGCCCAGGGAAGTGCATCTCCGAGGATGCTGCCCGGTTCTACGCGGCAGAAGTTACTGCTGCTCTGGAGTATCTTCACCTGATGGGATTTATCTACCGTGATCTGAAGCCAGAAAGTATGTATGCCAGTCCTCAGGGGGAGGGCCGTGCTGACCATGACGTCTAGACATCCTTCTCCACCAGTCAGGCCACATCATGTTGTCTGATTTCGACCTTTCGAAACAGTCCGGCCCGGGCGGTGCGCCTACGATGATTCCGGCCCGGAGCGGCAACTCCACGACGTCTCTCCCGACCATCGACACCAAGTCGTGTATTGCCGATTTCAGAACCAATTCGTTTGTTGGTACGGAGGAGTACATTGCGCCCGAGGTCATCAAGGGCTGCGGACACACCAGCGCCGTGGACTGGTGGACTCTGGGCATCCTGATCTATGAGATGCTCTACGGGACGACGCCGTTCAAAGGCAAGAACCGCAACGCCACGTTTGGAAACATTCTGCGCGACGAAGTGCCGTTCCCTGATCATGCTGCGGCGCAGCCTACTTCGAAGTAAGCCCACCTTCCTTCTGTCCGTGATCGGGGACTAACAACAACAGCCTGTGCAAATCGTTGATCCGCAAGCTGCTGATCAAGGACGAGACCAAGCGCCTGGGGGCTCGCGCGGGCGCCTCGGACGTGAAGACGCACCCCTTCTTCCGGCAGACGCAGTGGGCGCTGATCCGCCACATGAAGCCGCCGATGATCCCCAACCAGAGCCGGGGGACGGAAACGCTGAACTTCCGCAACGTCAAGGAGAGTGCCAGTGTGGACATCGGGGGCAACACGAAGATGCAAGGCGTGCCGATGGACTCGGGGCTTGCCACGCCCAACGGCGAGATCGCAGATCCGTTCGAAGAGTTCAACAGCGTCACCCTTCATCACGACGGGGACATGTGAGGTGCTTTCCGCGCGCGGAGACGAGACGAGACGCCCAGCGTGCGTTGTATCGCTAGAGGCATTATTTTACGACCATGATGCATGAAAGATCTCTACCTCGGGAGTTCGCGATCTCCTTCCAGCCTATTACCTGGCGTATCGGCTTTGACCTTGTGCTTTGACTTGGGAGTTCTGTTTTTTGTTCGTTTTACTTACATATGGTGGCTATCGATACATGCTGATATCCAAGTGACTACGGTCCAACCCCATGCATGGGCTTAATTTTCGGTTGTGGATTTTGATGCGGTAGCATTGTACGGCTGCTGCTTTTTTTTTTTTTTCTTTTCTTATTTGTTTTTATTTTACCATCACTGTCATTGCAGAGCAGCAGCAGCAGCAGCCGGCGTTAGCGGTTTCGGTTGTACCTTAGCAAAGACCTTCTTGAGCAAAACGGCGGCGTGTTGACGGACGAAATGTCTGACTGACACAGGATTCGTTTATCGGGATAGTTTCTTTTTTTTTGTCGTGTGTGTTCTGTTCCTGTATTTGTTGTGGCGACAGACTTATTACTGAGTTGACTTGATTGTTGTTGATTGTTGATTGTTGATTGCTTGGATGTTCGTTCCGGATGGGCCAGGTGCCTGCTGGAGAAGGATATGATTACGCTACTTTACCTACTACTTTATATGAATCATTTATTACGTTAGAGTTGTTTTGGGTAGACTTGGCTGAGTGTAGTATGGACTGTAGAGTGTAGTTGAGGTGTTTACTTACATGACGGAATCTCCCCGCGACCCAAACTAATGATAAGGTACGAACCACCAAGAGTAAAACATCCCGCCCGCTCAACTCAACTCAACCTCCGCCCTCTCCGCCTTCCGTCCGCCGCTCCGAACATTTCTCTCCTCCACACCACTCACTCTACCACCCTTACCTTCCTTCCTACACCTCAACCCCTCCTCGACAAACAACCAGTCAACACACACTCAACACACACTCAACACACAAAGACAGAGACAGAGACAGACAGAGACAGAGACAGAGACCAGAAAGAAAAGCACAATGTCCACCACTCCACCCCCCAAACAACAACCAACACCAACACCAACACCTCCGACTCCCCCTCCGCAACCGCAAACCCGCTCCTCCGCGCCTCCAACCCCCTCGTCTCCGACCTCGAGCAGGAGGTCCTGGATGAGTATGCGCGGTTGTTGGGGAATGTTAATAAGGTATTTATTTCTTTCTCTCTCTTTGCTTCTATTCCCGTCTTTCATTCTCAATCCAACCCAATCCAATCCAATCCAATCCCAATCCAACCCAACCCAATCCCAATCCCAATCCCAATCCAATCCAATCCAATCCAATCCAATCCAACCCAATCCAATCCAATCCCAACCCAATCCCAACCCAATCTCAATCCAATCCAATCCAATCCAATCCAACCCAACCAAATCTAATCCGTATACTGAAAATGGAAATATACAGCTCTCCTCAACCCTCTCCACCCTCTCCGGCTCCCCCACCTCCCTCACCCTCGACGGTCTACGCCACCTCGAACGCAAGACCGCCACCGTCTGCACGCTTCTGAAAGCAAGCGTCTACAGCATTGTCCTCCAGCAGCAGATCTTTAATGAGAGTGAGGAGCAACAGCAGCAGCTGCTGCTGCAAGAGCAGCAGGAACAGCAGTATCAGTATCAGCACGGTATGGATGGGGATGTGGATATGGATGTGGATATGGATGGGGATTATAGTGGTGGTGCTGGTGGTGCTGGTGGTGCTGGTGGTGGCTATGAGGGGGGGTATGGCGGGGGTGGGGACGAGGTTAGTTATTTGGGGGGGAGGTATGCGTGATTTCTTTCTTTTTTTTTGGGGTTTGGGTTTGGGTTTGGGTTTGGGTTCGGGTTTGGGTTCGGGTTCGGGTTCTGGGTTTGAGGGGGAGAAGGTTGATGGGTGGGTTGAGGGGATGGACAAGGGTGGTTGGTGTCTGGATAGAATGGCTCGAATGATTCATGTGATATGTGATATACCCCTGTTTATAGTGTTTTTGATTGATTGATTGATTGATTGATTGATGTTCCAGATGTCATGATCAGGCCGATCGATCGGTATGGTAAACAGCAGACAGACAGACAGATGACAAGACAGCTTGTAGTAGAAATACATGGCATGGGTGTGGAAGTACATAGATGAAACGAAGAGAAAGAGACAGGAAGAAGAAACATTATGTACACCGCCAGGACGCAAACAATTCCGGTCTAGAAGGGGTGTGTTTCTGCGTGGTGTGGACACTCGGTACCATAAGAATATAGACATCAGGCCTTAGACTCAGACACTCGCGACGGCTTGCGAACGAATTTTCCCGAGTAGTAGACCCCCCGCACATCCACGATCTTCTTGCCCCGGGCCCGAGCAATGTCCTCCGGGTTGCGCTGGCTCATCAGCGCCGCGTACGCGGCCTTGGCGGTGTTCATCGGGTTGCGCGCACGGCTGATCCGCGCCGCGATGTCCTGGATACCCGCGGCACGGCACATCTCGAAGATCATGTGCTGGCACCGGAGACCGAAGCCTGGAAAGCAATGCCATGGGTTAGTCTTCTTGTCTTTTGGTCGGTTACACTTCGCGAGGAGAGGAGTCACATACCTGGCGGACGCTGGTACAGCTTCAACTCCGTCGCACCCACCTTGCCCTCCACATCGCCGAAGATGGTGCGGCCCTCGTAGCGCGGCACGTACTGCATGTTCGTGATGGCGCGGGCTCTGGCCTGCACCATCGCGTCGGCTACTTCCTCGGATTTGCCGGTTCCCAGTCCGAGCATTCCGTCCCTGTTGCCGACGATCGTCAGACAGAACACGCTGGCAATCTTGCCCATTCGGGTCTGGTTGACCACTCGCTTGGTGACCAGGTTCTTGGAGTATAGACTCATGAGGTACTGCTTCGAGTACCCGGTGACCTTGTGCAGTCGGACATCCATATCCGAGATAGCCTCGGGTTGTTGATCCTCGAGCTCTCCCATTCGGTTCATGACCACCACCCGCGGCGGCGGCGGTTGACCAATCGTGTCCAGAGACTCGCCGTGCTCGAAGACGTCCGGCACCAGCGCGCTGTGCGCGTTCAACTCGTTCTCCTCCTTGCCGTGCGTCAACCGCGTGGTCTCGAGGAACCGCACCCAGTGGGCCGCGTCCGGCTTCTCGGGCATCTCCTCGAAGTACTGCGCGAAGTCGTCCAGGAAATCCTCCTCCGACTTCAGCGTCGCGTTGTAGTCGGAGTTGCTCTCGGGCGCCCGCACGTGGTGGTCCACCACCGGCTCGATCACCGACAGATCGTCCAGGTATTTCAGGTGCATCGGGTCCCGACGGAAATGGAACTGCGATGCCAGGTCCTTGGGGTCAATGGCCGCCTCGCCCGCCTCGATCGCCGCGATCTGCTCCGGCGAGTAGTGCTCCCGCAGCACGGCCTTCTCTTCCTCGGTGTACGGCTTGAAGTCCTCCGGCTTCATGTCCCGGTAGATCTGCTCCAGGGACTTCACCTGGGATGTCTTAGCATCGAGGGCCTTCGTCTCGGGGGTGGGCGCTTTGGGTTTGCGGTTGTTCAGCTGGAGCGGCGTGGCGTGGAACTGGCGACGAGGCACGCGAGGGGCCGCGGAGGCCGCTCGAGAGAAGCTGCAGAACAGGCATCGGGCAGGGCGTGTGAGACTCATGGTGGAGGGAGGGAGAAGAAGCTCTCCGGCCAGCAGAGGCCAGTCGAGAGCTAATCGTGGGGGGGGGTGGTTTTGGGGGAGGGGAGGGAGAAGTGGAGGTGGAAACAGGGCGAGTAGCGGGAAGAAGGCGAGGAAGACGTTCGACGTTCGACTGAGCGAAATTCTCAGCGGGCCGCCGCCAGCCAATCCGCGGCCGGCTTTAGCTGCTCACTCAATCCCGCCCACTTTTTTGCTTTCCCCAATCCCTCTTTTTCTTCATCTCTCTTCCTCTTCCTCTTCCCCCTCCCATATGTTCGCCCTTCGGTCGCTGCGGTCGCTCTCTCTCAATCCCAATCTCCCTCTTGGTCGCCTCCTGCCCGTCCAGCGCCTGGCCCACGCCAATTTCTCTCTCTCGCATCGTCGCCCGCGCAATGAGCCTTGGCCTACACCTCCTCCTTCTTTCATGATGCAGTTCGACTCCCCCAGAAAGCCCGACCTCGCGGCTAAGCGCCGCAAGAAGGTCAAGGCCCCTCGCGACAACAAGAGCAGTGGCTTTGACGAGGTCCTCCAGGCCGATATCGACGCCCTCCTCCGCCGCCATAAGCCCGACACTGAGGTCCAGACCGAGCCCGAGACCGACGACGCTGCCACTCCCCCGCAACCCACCCTCCCGGAGACCTTCACCGAGCTCGAAGTCCAGGTCGCCGACATTTCGTCCACCGGCGATGGCCTCGCGCTGTCGGAAAACCAGAAGCACGTCTATGTCGTCCCCTTCACCGTCCCCGGCGACAAGGCCCTCGTGAAGATCGTGCGCCATTTCCCCGACCTGTCCTACAGCTTGACCGACTTCGTCAAGGTCCTCGAGCCCGGCTCCACGCGCAACGACGCCGGCATTGGATGTCAGTACTTCGGCAAGTGCTCCGGATGCCAGCTGCAGATGATGTCCTACGAGGACCAGCTGGCCCACAAGAAGCGCATCGTGGAGAAGGCCTACGCCAACTTCTCCGGCTTGATCCCAGAGCTGATCCCCGCCATCGGCGACACCTTCCCCTCCCCGATGCAATACGGCTACCGGACGAAGCTCACGCCGCACTTCGCTGCCCCGGCTGGCGCGAAGAGACGAGGACCCCGCGAGCCGCACAAGGAAGTGCCCCCGATCGGATTCACCTACAAGAACCGGCGCATGGACCTCGACATCGAAGACTGCCCGCTGGGCACCGAGATCGTGCGCAAGGGCCTCAAGAGCGAGAGACAGCGCGTGGCCGACAACCTCGCGCGGTACACCAAGGGCGCCACACTGCTGATGCGCGAATCCACCACGCGCACCCCCAAGCCCCAAGACGGCAGCACCCCCCAATCCCCCGCCGCGTCAACAAACCCCACCAGGAGTCCAGCGAAGTCATCCGCACCGAAACAGACACCTACATCGAAGAGAAGCGCTGCGTGACCGACAACAACGCCACCTCGATCGAGTACGTCGACGACTACCTCTTCAGCAACCGCGCCGGCGCCTTCTTCCAGAACAACAACTCCATCCTCCCCGGCTTCACCGAATTCATCCGCCAACACGCCCTGCCCCCCACCAACGCCTCGGACCCCAAACCCATCAAATTCCTCCTCGACGCCTACTCCGGCTCCGGCCTCTTCACCATCACCCTCTCCCCGCTCTTCCGCTCCAGCCTGGGCGTCGACGTCGCCGCCGACTCCATCATGTCCGCCCGCGAAAACGCCCGCGACAACAACCTCCCCAACACCGGCTTCGCCGCCGCCGACGCCGCCACCCTCTTCAAGGACGTCCCCTACCCCCCGACCAGACCCTCCTGGTCATCGACCCCCCGCGCAAGGGCTGCAGCGACGACTTCCTCCAGCAGCTCCTCTCCTACGGCCCCCGTCGCGTCGTCTACGTCAGCTGCAATGTGCATACCCAGGCCCGTGATGTCGCTGTCATGGTCCAGGGCGACGAGAAGAAGAACATCCGCTATGAGATCGAGAGTATTCGTGGCTTTGACTTCTTCCCGCAGACCGGCCATGTTGAGGGCGTGGCCATCTTGAATAAGGCCACTTTCCCGGAGAAGGCTGCTTAGGTTAAGCGGGTGGTTTTCGATCTGCTCTGATGTAGTTTTGTCTGGATTGGCGTTGGGGTGTATAAAAAGGTAGCTAGCTGGCATGTATTCTGGGTTGTTGCTTATTGCTTGGAAGTAGTACTTTCCACCTACATATTGCTTGCATATATATATATATATATATGGTTTATTATTACTATACCTGGAGTTTTTGCTACTGTAAGCGCTGTATTCATTCTAGATTGACTGACTTGTTGAAGTTCCTGCCAAGTTATCAAGACCGGGGCTGTAATATAGATTATATAGTACTATAGTATATCCCCCGGGTGGGTATTGCCTTCAGTTGTACTTATAGTATATGTGCGGAGTACTAGTACCTGTGAATAGGACTAGTACCTGTGAATAGGACTAGTCATGTACTGTAGTATAAGTATCTAACAAGAACCCTTCCTTGAAAGCGAGCCAATCATAAAAGAGATAAGATACTGTAAGCCAATATATATGTATATATATATATATATATTATATTTTCTACTGCCTCTGATAAGTAGTCGAGCGAGCATGGAAAGAATATATACAACAGATATACCTACGGAGTGCTGTGCTGTGCTGTGCTGTTCGTGCTGTGCTGTTCCATTAGTACTACTACTCTGATTAGTAAATAAAGATCCAATCTCTTACCATACTATGATGATAATTGATTTTTATATGGGTGTTTATGTTTATATTTATGTTTACGTTTAATATAGATACATAGATAGAAATAAAGTGAAATACGCTATTTTTTAATACCAAACACTGGGGATAGGATTCTTCTGGGTAGGTGGTTGAATTGCCCTGCGCTGCCATGCGCTCCTTAGTTGTTTACTACTTTATCTATGTATGTATATACCGTGACACTGTGCTACTATTTATTCACTTGCCCGCTACGGAGTACTGCAAGCCCATTTTATATTTTATATTCCACCAATCAACAGCACCAACACACCATTTCTCAAACAGCCACCACTCCCCAGGTCTTTCATAGAATAAAACATGCCTGTAAATATGGCTAATGTTTGTTTTAGGTTACATATATACATCGAGCCGAGAAGAAGAAAAAGAAGAAGCAACCCACTCAACAGATCCCATTTTAGCGACAGAAGCAAGCGAGCATAAAGCTGCATGCCATCTCCGCACACACCGTCTATTTACTTTCTTCCCCGGATACATAAGCCGGAAGGCCAGATGGAAAGGCATTCGGACGAATCATGAAAAACTATGGACAGACAGACAGACAGACAGACAGACAACGATAACAAACAGACACACAGAGAGAGAGAGATAGAAGAAGGCAGTACGACGCAGTAAGAAACCGCTTACGAGCTGCCAGGTCCACCCAGAAGAGCGAACCGACGGACAATGCTGGGGCCGATCTCGTCGTACTCGGCCTTGGTGTGGCAGTAGCTGCGGAACTCGGGCGTCTGGCCGAGCAAGCTACCTCCGAACCACGGGCCGTGTCTCTGTCTCTTATGCGTCACGACCGCGACGTCCAGACCTCCGCTCTTGGCGCCGCCGCTGCGCGCCTCGGACGCGCGGATGCGGGCGTCCACCAGGTGCCGGATGTCGCGCTGCAGACGCCGGCCGAAGTCCTTGTACAGTGTGGAGCCGCCGGACAGGACGATGTTCTTGTAGAGGCCTCGGCGCACGTCGATGGGGGAGGACTGGATGACGCCGTCGACGACGTTGGGCAGGGGGGTGAGGAAGTCGGAGGAGTAGATCTCGGGGTTGAAGAAGATCTCGGGGGCCAGGAAGCGCTCGTAGCCGATGTCGATGCTCACGCTGCGGCCGTTGGGCGCGCTGACGGTGTGCTTCAGGAAGCGATCGGGCTCGCGGTCGTAGCGGGCGAACTCCTTGACGATGTCCGGGCACACGTAGCAGTATTCCTCCTTCACCTTCTCGGCCGTCTTCAAGCTGCTGTCCGGCTCGCCGCGGTCGCGGAGCAGGCTCTGTACGAAGTAGGTGATGTCTCGGCCGGCCACGGGGATGCTCTTGATGGAGGAGCCAATGACGTAGCCCTCGGCGACGGGGATAACGTGGGTCACACCGTCACCGGAGTCGATGACGGTTCCGGTGAGGGAGCGGTCGGTGACTTTCGAGGAGGTCCAGGAGGCGGCGAGCGCCAGCACGGCCTGGACGGCGATGTAGAGACCGGCGCAGTTGAAGGACTCGAACATGATCTCGGCGGTATTCTCGCGGTTCTCGGGGGGGTTCAAGGGCTATGACATCGGGGTCAGTCAGTCAGCAGCATTCCGGGCGGGCCGTGGACGCCGGGCTGGGTCTTACCGGCTCGGTGAGGAGGAAGTAGTGGTCCTCGGGCTCGACGCGCAGGTACTTGAAGATGGAGTTGGACCAGAAGCGCTCCATGTGATCCCAGTTCTCGATCTGGCCATGACGAATGGGGTAGTTGATGGCATATCCGGGGCCGTTGGCGGCGGACAGAGCCTCGTCGCCGATGAAGAAGTCCAGGTCCTCCGTCCCACGCTTCGCGGACAGGTGAGAGCCGGCCCCACCACCGCCAGCCAGGAAGGACGGCTTGTTCCCAACGGGGGGTCTGCCCGCGGAGGCACCCCCTGCGCCTGCGGCCTTGGTGGCAATTGCCGTGGGGAAGACGAAAGAGGGCGAGTCGTTACCGGCGAAACCTGAGCTGGTCAGCCTGGAGCTTGGGGAGCTCCGCTGGGAGGAGGTTAGGGCGTACCAAGCTTGGAATAACCGGTTCCGCTGGACAGGAGGGTCAGTCACTGGGGCAGATGCGAGAGACGAGAGAGAGGGGTTGCAGGGGGGGACCTACTTGTCCATGACAACGGCGGGGGTTTGGGAGGCCATGACGGATGATGTGGAGCAGGGCACTCACTCCCCCTGATTATCTGGCCGGTAAAGGAAGAGGTGGGATAGGTGGAATTGGCGATTGGAGGGGGGGGAAGGAGGGGGGGGATTAGGAGGAGAGAGTAGAAGGGTGCTGTGGGGAGAGAGAGGGGGAGAGGGAGAGGGAAGATCAACAGCACGAGGGGGGGAGGGGATGAAGATGGAGATGGAGATGGAGATGGAGATGGAGATGGAGGGGAGGGGGAGACAGACGGAGGCGGAGGCGGTAATGCTGCTGTCTGGGCAGCACAATACGTCAGTTAGTACTCCGTACCTGGGAAGTACGGAGTATTGTAACTGTTACGATACATGTTAGTACAATCTTACCATATGGTCACGTGGGTCACCGCCTGGAAGGAGCTCTTCTTTTCTTTTCTATAGAGTAACTAGATGCAAGTTACAACTGTTGTCAAACTGTCGATTGGATTCCTCCTGGAAAACTGCACCAGGCCTCCAGTGCATACCAAGTGCATGTATAGTGTATCTCAAGGAAACTGCCCCCCATGGAGCCTGCGAGGAAGGAACCCAGCCTGACCCTCAGTCCTATCCCAGCATCCCATTGGCATTCACCTGATTCCTAGACCATGATATACTATAGCTATTCCCCATATCCTTAGACGCATTATTCCCCGGCCCTTATATCGTGCCCTTTTGGAGCTATTCTTACCGGGTGTCTGGTGGCCATTGTTACGCTGCATCCATTCTTAGCGTCCTAAGAGTCTTAAGAGTCTGAAGTGTTTTGTTGCAGCGCTCTCTCACTTACTCCCTCAACTCTCACTTCCTCACTCTCACTCTCACTCTCACTTCTTCCCACTCTTTGCATCTCCCCCCCCCCCCCCCTCCCTTTCTCTCCCATCTGCATCTCTCACCCACGACCCCATCAAGAGACTGGCAATGTCAGCAAGCCCGGTCCAGTGAGAGTGAACCGACGTGAAGCTGTCAACCTCCACCCTGAAGCAATCAAGGACTCCAGGACTGCTCAGACTTCTCACTCGCAGGGCCAAGGCCCGGCTGCACCTCTCTCATAGCCCAGCATTGCAGCAACAGACCCCCACCATGAGTCGCTCCAGACGAGGCGGAGATATCTCTGCCGTCTTTATCCATGCGGGGGCTGGCTTCCATGCCCCGCACAATGAGAAGGCACACCTGGAAACCTGTGAGAAGTAGGTCTCCTCACCATTCTGTCGCCTCGACACGTCCCAATTGTGTGTCCCGTGGACTGACAGGAACGCAGTGCGGCGAAAGTGGCTATGAAAATGCTGCAGAATGGGGGATCTGCCATTGACGCCGTGGAGATTGCCATCATGCTGATGGAGGATGCCGAGATCACCAACGCTGGCTACGGCAGCAATTTGAACATCGAGGGCACCGTCGAGTGTGACGCGACCATCGTCAACCATCTGGGACGGAGCGGCGCGGTGGGTGCGGCGGCTCGTAAGTGTTCCTTCTTCATTGACGCCAGGGACCTGGCTCAGCTGATGTCCGTGTAGAGATTAAAAATCCCATTTCGCTGGCGCGGGTCATTCTGGACTCGTCGACCAAGCCATTGTCGCTGTCCCGGGTGCCGCCCAACTTCCTCGTGGGACAGGGGGCCACGGACTTTGCCTTCGAGCAGGGCCTGGTGGTGCTTCCCGACGATGCGCTGGTCTCTCCGTCGGCGAGAGAAAGATGGCGCCACTGGCAACGGGAGCTGGAGGCCGCGTCGCTCCGGGAGAAGCAGCAGCTCAGCGAGCAGGATCGCGCCAGAGGATACATCCGTCGACCCGTCTCGGTTCACCCGGCCCAGCTCCTTGTCAACCCGTCGAGAATGCGACCAGCCTCCGCGATCGGGGTGAGTTCTGCGACGAGAGGAATCGATCCGCGTCTCCACCAACCCCAGCCTCATGGTATCACGCCCCCGGCCGAGATGGACCGGCCTCATTCCGAGTCCCCCCAGGTCAAGGATGGAGTGGATGGCCCGCTGCTATCACCGACTCCGACCTGGCCATCTGGCGATGGGAACCCGTCCGAGGACCCCCCTGACGCCCCCGAGGGGATGGAGATCGACCGGGTCAATGACACCGTGGGCGCCATTGTCGTGGATAGCGAAGGCAACATTGCGGCAGGCTCCTCGTCCGGCGGCATTGGCATGAAGCATCGCGGACGGATCGGGCCGGCAGCCCTGGTGGGCATCGGCACTGCAGTCATCCCCGTGGACCCCAGTGATCCGGAGGCGACGTCTGTGGCGACCATCACGTCCGGGACCGGCGAGCATATCGCAACGACCTTCGCGGCCAGCACCTGCGCCTCGCGTGTCTATTACAGCCACCGCAAGTGCAAGGACGGGAGCTACGAGGAAGTCAACGAAGAGGAAGCCATCAAGGCTGCGATTTCGGAAGATTTCATGGGTCGGTTTCTCCATTCAATAGCACGCGTGCGTGCGCTAACCTTGCCCAGCTCACCCCGGTGTCCGCGGCAGTCACTGTCAAGGCGCGATTGGTCTTTTATCGGTGAAGCGGACCGTCGATGGCGTGTTCCTCTACTTCGCGCACAACACCGACTCTTTTGTAAGACGGTCCCGATTCTGACGAGCGCCGGCTAACCCCTCCAGGCTATTGCGTCGATGAGCAGTGACGACAAGAAGCCCGTGTGCGTGATGTCCCGCAGCACCGGGAATGGCAGCATCGCGCAGGGAGGCCGTGCCTGCCGCGCCAAAAGGTATGGTTGACTACGAGCTGGGGGGTTACGATCGATCAAGCTAACAGAAATCCAGGCCCAGAGGTCCCCATGGCTTTTAGACGTCTGAAAGTAAGTGGTTATTCTCGTCTATATACATCGCGACAGAAGCTGGTCGGATCGTGGCTAACGTATCTATCTAGCTAGATATCGCGGGTCAGAGACATGGCGTTCCATCGATGAATTAACTTGACTTGCTTCCCATCCCGACACACCGAGTGCGAGCCCTGCCGCTTCGTTGAAAATGAGATGTGTAAGAGTATTCCGGGTGTGGGTGTGCGTTTGGGCGTATGAGGTCCGGAGTCTGGCAGGGTGATTGTTTCTTAGTTGTTCAAGACAAGATACCATGAATGAGTTCTTGCAGTGCAGTGGTTGTGGTTGTGGTCTCTGCTGGTCTGTAGCTGGTCTGTAGCTGGTCTGTAGCTGGTCTGTGGTGTGTTGGATCGGTAGTTTGCTGATCTGAAGTCTGCAGTTGATCGGTAGTCTGTCTGCAGGGTCCGTACTGTAGACTGCTAATCCGTACTTTAGTGTAGAACCAGGGCCCCATCTAGTCTGTAGGGTCCGCAGTCTAGCAGATCTGTTCCTGGGTGCATCGGACCATGGGTATCTCGGTAGGATTCCCTGTATACCAACCCTGAGCAGTACCAGTCTTGATTTAAGTCTTGGACTCGCTCAAACACCACTCTCTATCACTTATCACCACCACCACCACCACCACTAACTACCACCCCACAACAACCATTCAGCCACCAAACCCATAACCGTCACCATCACCATCACCATCACCATCAACACAACATAACATCACACAACACAACATATCGAACCCATAATATCTTAATTTTCTTCACGGCCCCGGCGTCGGCGTCGGCGTCTGCGTCACCGACCCGGGGGTCCCCGTCCCCCCAGCCTCCAACCCACTCTTATCCCTCTTCTTCCTCTTCCCCTTCTTCCTGCCCACAACCGCCGGTCTAACGCCGCCCTCGCCGCCCTCCAACCGACTCCCACAAGTCCAACACCTCCCTCCCCCTGTCCCTGCCCCCCATCCTTCCCATCCCCCTCCGCACCCACCCCAATCGGCTCGCAAAAGATACTCAAACAAACCGAGCACACCCAACCGACATCCACGACCCGTCGATGACAGAAGCAGGCGGCACGGAAATCGACATCGACGCGCGTCGGCACGACGAGATGTTTCCGAGTGCGCTGGTCGGGGAGGAATGCCATCATGAGGTATTGGAGCAGGCCGCGCGGGGTGGAGAGAGACATGTAGATGCCGTGGGTGGCGTCGGCGGCTTGTTGGAGGAAGACGGCGTCGCCGGATAATTTGCAGACGTCGATGGGGATGGAGAGGCGTTGGCAGGCGAAGATGGCGTTCATGAGGGGGATGTATTGGGTGGAGGTTTTGGTGGAGGAGGTGGTGGAGAGGATGAGGAGGCGGGATTGGAATTTATTGGCGTTGTTTTGGGATGTGCTGGGGGAGGTGGAGGAAGGGGGTTGGAGGTGGAAGGGTTGGCGTCGGTGCTGGTGCTGGTGAGTGCGGCATCGCCGTGCGCTTCTTCCCATGCGAGCGTGCGCCGGTTGATGTGGCTGAGGGCCAGGGTGAGTGCGCCGGCCATCATGGTTGAGGAGGAGGTGGAGAGGGTTTCTGCGGATGTGTTGGTGTCGCTCATCAGCGCGTGCAGGGACGCGGTGACTTGCTCCTCGACGAGACGGAAGGGCCGGTATTTGTTGACTGGGTTGGGAGGGTCCGGGTTGGGGAATGGGTCGGCGAAGGGGGCGGACATGGAGACGTCGCCGTCGCTGTCGCGGGTATTGTTGCCATTGCTGTTTCTGCTGTTGCTGCCGTTGGGGGGGGCGTGCCGGGCGTGTTCGACAGGGTACAGCCAGGTGGCTTTCGTGGTGTGGGAGGCGACGACGGCGACTTCGTTGGCGTAGTTGCAGGCTAGGTGGGCGTTGAGGAAGACGAGGATGTTGGCGATGGCGGTTGAGAGGGGGAGGGAGGGATGTAGTAGGGCCCAGGCGTGGGGGTTTGTGTCGATGATGACGGTTAGGAGGGAGGGGGGCGTTCTGGCATGGTTGGTGGTTAGATGGTGGTGAGGATGTAGATGGTGGAGAGGATGGAGAGGATGTAGATGGTGGAGAAGATGGAGATAGTGTAAAAGGGCGGAGGAGAGGAGAAGAGGGGAGGGAAAGAGGGGAGAAGTACCCTGGGCGCTGTTCTGGTAATGGTCTGTTGCGTCGATGGAGTTCATTTTGCCGGTGGGTGGTGTGGGTTTGGAGATGCGATGAGGTGTGGATGAGGATGTCTTAGTTGGATGTATGCATCGTGGAGTGGGAGCGGGAGTTGGCGCAAGGTTGGCTTGTCGCGCTTGAAGCTTCAAAGGCAATCGGTGCAGGTGGTGAGGGGAGATTGAGGCCTGGTTGAGGATTGATGGCGCCGAATCGAACGCTGGAAGGTTGCGGGTTGCGGAGAGACGCCGGAGGTGCGCCGCCCTCGCCGCAGAAAACGTTCGCCGCGGGCACGTGATCGTATACTCAGCTAGACCCTACGTATCATTGGAGCAATACTCAGGAGGAGATATTTCAATCAAGACATTTCACCAAGACAAATTGATGTTAGAATTTACTAGCAGGCATTCTGAGTGGCTGGACAATTTACTCCAATCCATCCTTATACACATCTACACCTCTACCTACACCTCTACTGAACATTTGTACATATGTACAAGATGAACAAAATATCATTCATGAATTGTATGTATGATACCTAATCAAAGAAATGTATGATAAATAAAAGGAAATGACCAAGTACGATCAATCAGCTCACTCAAGATGAGACGCGAAGATCGCCTCCGGCTTGACATGAAGATGATCGTCCTTCTGCTCCGTGTGGCTGAGAACCGGAATCGAGATGGAGTCCTTGAGGGCGCCGGACGCCGGCTGGGCCAGCGGACTGGGCTGCGGCGACACGCCGGGCGTGTCGCCCTTGCCCTGGTGCTCGGTGAGGCCCTTCCGGATGGCGAGGACCGAGTCCACGATCACCGCGTCGATTCCCTCGGATACTTGGAGCTGGGCGGTTGTCAGTAAGAGAATACATATTGAATGAAAGGTGTATACATACCTTGACGTTGTTGGGCTCGTTGTTGATCGCGCCGTACGACACGCAGACCAGACCGGACTCCTTGACGACTCGGACCAGGCGCGGACAAAGGACCAATGCTTCTGCCTGCGACACGACGCCGAGCAGGTTCCACCGGGACGCAAACCGGATCGCCTCCTGCAAGCTGCTGGCGCGGATGTCGCCGACGGGAGAAGCGCCGGAGTCCGACAGGAAGAGCACCGGGATGGACGGCTGCTTGAAGGAGAGGAGCAGGCAGATATCCGGGTTGAAGCTGGAGAAGATCATGTTGCGACCCTGGCCCATATCGTAGACCTTGGCGAGGATCGTGTCCACGAAGGAGTTCAGCTCCACTGCATACGTGTCCATCTCCTCCTCCTCACTCTCGTGGAGCATCGGGTATTCTGAGACATGTTAGCTTGCAATGAAAACATTCTGGCGGAGAGTACCTACTCAGTTCAATGTTGAACCCCACGGAGCTGGGCAATTTGTGGAACAACTCTTCCAACGTCGCAAACGGCGCCTGGATGTGGTTGCCGCGACTGTTGCCCTTGAAGCCCTTCTTCTTGAAATCGCGCGTGTGCTTGATTTTTTCGTTCATCTCCGACGGGTCGTACTCGGAGCCGCCCACAGACATCGACCGCTGGCGGAAGGAAGAGCTGTTGAACTTGTCCCCGAAGATGTCCGCCTGGGAGGGAGAGCCCGGCCGGCGAATGGGGCCCTTGTCACCGAGCTGGAGGAATTGCTCGAGGGTGAGAGTGTGAACGGGCGCATCGATACCGGTTTCGCTGACAAGGAAGTCGTGGTAGATGACCGGCACGTGGTCCTTAGTGAGCTGCACGTCGAACTCCACGTACGATGCACCCAGGTTAGCAGCAGCGATAAACGACTGGATAGTGTTCTCGCCCAGCTGCAAAGAGTTGCGGCTGGCCATGTTCTTGCCCAGACCGCGATGTCCGATCACCATGGTCGAGGCCATACTCCTCCAGTAAGTCTGAGCCCCGGTGACTGTCATGTTCGGGTGCTGGAAAGGAGTGATGATAAGGAAGTTGAAGGTCACCGAGCCAATGACCTCGAGAGTATTGGCAGCCACAATAGGTACCGTGGAGTCGCCCTTGAGGTTGATGCGGTGTGATCCCACCGTGGGTTTGATACTGGACAGCAAGGCAACACCACGTCCTACCACCTTGTCTTTCGAGCCGGCGTACGTGGGAATCAAGTCGAAGAGCAGCCTCACCTTGGTAGCATCCGCGGCGTGGAAAACGATCGGTTCGGTTGAGATGTTCTCCTGCACAGGCAGATCGATGACCTCCGGCTCTCCATGAGCTCCGCTGGCAGACACAACCAGGGACAGCGCAGTGTCCAGCTGGGTGGAGTGCGCGTTCTCCATGGGAATGCGGTCGAGGTTGACGGCTTCCACATGACTCCGCATATCCATCGTCCCCAGGCTGACCAAGATCATGGACTCATCGGTGAGATATCTGTGTCCGAAAGTCTTGATGGGCTCCGAGTTGCGCAGGGTAGAGCTCGCCCCAGGGTTGACATTGGACCGCCTCTCGGCAAGCGAGGACAGGGGAGGCGAGGGTGGCTCAGCCAACGGAGTAGGAACAGGGATGACAGGCTCGGCTTCAGCGATCTCCGGCTCGGGGGTGACCTTCGCGAGGCACCGGGCGATATCCAGATGGCCTCGCAGAGCGGCATGCTCCTTTGCAGTCCAGCCAGAGGAGTCGAGTCGCTCCACGTTAGCGCCAGCCTCGATCAACAGTTCCGCCACTCCTAGCGCCCCGTCGACACAGGCGATAAACAACGGAGTCCAGGAATAGGTGTTTTCCGCAAGCTCGGTATCCGCCTTTTGCTCATCGTTCCCGTCGAGAAGGATCTTCGCGCATTTGTCGTGGCCAAAGCGGGCGGCGACATGCAACGCGGTTTCGCCCTGTTCATCCTGATAATTGATGTCAACGCCGGCCTCAACCAGGAGCTGGACGATGTCAACAAAGTTGGCTTTGGTGGCCAGGGCAAGCACCGCACTGGACCGGGAAACCTGCTTGCGGATCTTTGCCTTGTCCTTGTTGGCACCGTGCCAGTTTTCCGAGTCGAGAAGGACGCGAGTCGTCAGGGGATGACCGCCGACCACACTCAGGTGCAACGGCGCCCAACCGTCATTGTCCTGCCAGCGCGGGCTGTCAATGCCCTCCGTGACTTCGAACATATCCCACGCCTGCAGATGCTCAATGATCACTTCACAGACGACCTTGAAGCCATACTGCGCCGCATAGTGCAGTGGAGTGCGCCCGGAGATATCTTTCGCCAGCAGAGCACTTCGGTGTTCTCTCTTCAACTGGTCCAATACATGCTGCAAGAGCGACACCGACGGATCAGACCGGTCCAGATGGCTCGGGAGATCCGCCTCCATCACCACCGAGCGAGGGGGCTGCAGGGTGGGCAGGGCCGCAGGGGTGATGTAGTTCGAAGTTTCCAGGGGGAAGTCGAGGACCATGGAGGCAGACTGTTCCGAGTCGGAGGTAGACTGCGCGCGACCAATTGCGATCACCAGGCGATGAATGCAATTGCGCTTGTTAATATCATCTTCCTCCTCCAGCGTCTCCATGCGGCCGAGAAGAGCCGAGACGCACGCCTTGGAACGGTAGTAGATGGACCGCTGAAGGAGATTGCTGAGAACCTTGGGATACACATCCTTGCCATAGTCATCCGCCGCCGCCTTCAGAGTCTCGAGCAATTCCAGCAGGACATGGGTGTCATCCTTGCGCAGCGCGTCATCCACGGTCTGAAGCATGCTCGCCGGCAGATTCAAGTTCGGGCGCGCAGGGCCCTTCTTCAGCGATAGGGAGGAGTGGGTGGAGCTAGCATCGTCGTTGACCTTCTGCTCACCCAGGACGGACAGGCGGTCGTTGATCTTCTTCAACGCGTCGGTCACCCGGGTGTTCGAAGCAAACGGAGCCGGCTCGACCTTGGTTTCCAGGTACTTCTGTTGCGCTTGCACGCCAACCTTCTTATCCAGCTTCTTGGTGATCTTGTTGAACCCTCGGCGGTTGACCTCGCCGTACCACTGCAGCTTGCGCAGCTGACCGCGCAGCTCCAGCAACGCAGCCAGAAGGTCCTCCACTTCCTCGGAGTCCAAGCGATGGCCACGATCCAGAGAGTGTCCGTACCGGTCTTCTAGCAACTTTAGGCGCCGGGCGAAGTCCGCATACTTCTTATTGTAAAAGTAGTCGACGTCCTCGAGATTTCGATCGAGGGAGTAGAAGAATCCTAGAACGAGTCAGCACACGATTCCACGGCAAAATGACGCAACAATCACAGAAATGTCTTACCTGCCAGGTCTGCCTCTTGGCCAGCCTTCACATTCTCCGCCGCAGCCTTGATGAGCTTCTTCAATGCCTTGTATCTGATGTAGGAGGCACTCCACTCAGGCACCATATTACGGGGCAAATTCCGTCCGAACTTCATCTTGCCGGATAGGTTCGAACTTGTTGTGGTTGGTGTATGATGGAGAGAGCAATGCGAATCGCCGTTGAGACGATGGAGCTGATCGAGTCTTTATATCGTGGAGGAGAACCAACGAATCCAAAAGAGCGCCACCAGGGAGCGGACACGGAGAGCTCAGACACTAGAGGACGGAGATATCCGATGCAGACAAAAAGAAAAGGACAAGTAGAGCTTCGAGGAAAAGGACGCCATGTGTTAGTTCAACGGAGAGACATTGGGGAACAAAGAGACGTCTGGTTTCTGGGAGGGAAAACCTGAGAAACTCCGCGACACGCAGCAACGGGTCGAGGAATCCGCCGAAACTGACAGAATTCAGGCAGATGACGCAGAAAGGAGGGGGGGGGGGAGAGAGAAAGCAAAGTGAGAGGGGCGCGAGAGGAGGAGTAGGAGGATGTCTGGTGCGTTATATGGATAGAGGGCAGCGATAAAGGAGCCGGCCGAACCTATCAGCACGTGCGCGAGTTAGCCAAGAGGCAGTTGCAGGCAGTTGCAGGCAGTTGCAGGGAGTTTCAGGAGAGTAAGGAGAGAGACCCCAGCAGGGGCCAGGCAGGGTAGTCACTCCGCTAGGCTGCGAGGAGGATCGTTGAGGACTCCATCGAAGAACCCACCGCGACGTAAGAGGGAAGTCCAGTTCGGGGCGGAACGACCATTGATGGCCGGCCGCTCGATCGGCTGCCCGGCGGACGCCCTCTGATTTGCTCGCTCCACCCGGCGGATGGGCGGTTCGAACCAAATAATTATTAGAATTCACTGGAGAGAGGACGGACCATCATAAATAATAATGGATCTCGTGAGATTAGTCCTTCGTGGTTAGTGGCAGCAGTAGCAGTAGCAATCAATAGATAGATAGATACGGAGTAGCAGAAGTGGTAATCCATCCACTCTCTCAATCAATTCCCATAGTAATAATCATAGGGAAGACCAGTCTGGACCCTGGTTAGGGGCCCTATATATAGTAGTAGTCGTAGGTCTGCCCAGCCGTGTCCGAGAGTATCGGGAGAAGCGAAGGATTCGATCCATCCTGATCAGAAGGGATGTGCTCCATCTCATGATCATCCTGGCTGGACGGGAAAAGATGACTCTTACGGGGTTGGGGTGAGAGAGGAGAGGGGAGGGGGAAGGGGAAGGGAAAGGAATGCTGCATGGAACAAGTTGAAGGGGGACGAGTGGAAGCCGTGGAAGCCGGAGGCTGTGGGGGGGGGAAGTGGTCCTTCCTTACTAGTTAGATAGTGCCGTGCAGGTATACTTTGTAGGTACTACGGAGTACAGGGCTGGTCACATGCCAGTCCTATACTTCCTTCCTTCCGTAATAAGTAGTCACCACCACCACTGCCCACCCTACTTAGTACTAAGTACTGAGTACTTCCCCACTAAGCATGCACCGAACCGTCTCTCCTACCAAGCTAAACACCAATACTAAACCCAACTAAGGGGGCGTCAGTGAAAAAGTCTCAGTGGTCACGGACTGCATCCAACTTCCCCCCCCTCCCCAATCAGACACCCCGTCACCCCCCCCCCCCCCCAAACATGCATATATGCATCTTGGGGTGCAGACAAACACCACTCAGCACCCCCCATCCCATCATTCCATCCCGAGGGCGCGGCTTATCCCCCCCTCTCAGTCTCGCCAGGGGGGAAGTTGTTGGCGTGATCCGGGCTCCCCCGGAATGCAAACTGCCAAGTGCATCTGCAGACGGACGGAATGGGTTGGAGGTCGAAGTTTTGGGGGGGGGGGGGGGGGGACTTGGATGTGTTGGGGATTGTGTAGATAGAGGGTTAGAATAATAAATAATACTGAAAGGAGGGATCCGTCCCACACGATGGTGTACGGTACAGAGACTCCATCCACACTACGGGATTGGGTTGTCTCGCGGCCCGTGACGATGGCTTCCCGAGGCATCACTACTGGCTAGCTACGAGCTACGAGCTATGACCGGGAGGAACCGGCATGGCATCGTGCGTATCATATCATATCATTCGGCTAGTCAGTCCGTCAGTCACCCGCGACTGCTATATCAAAAGCAATAATCCTGGTCTATGGCGCACTCCGAAGGGAAGTAAGGACCCGGACACCGTTCCCACGCTCATAAACCAGCCAGAGTCGTAAGGAGAAAAAGAGCATGTAGGTAGGTCAACATGAATCACACAAGCACAAGCACAAGCACAAGCACAATGCCAATCACACATACCCACAGACAGACAGACAGACAGACAGACAGAGAGAGAGACAGACACAAGGCTAAACGACAACGACCCAACGCCCGCAGAGATCTTCGCACAAATCATATCAACATGTCAGAAAAAACACCGGATATCACACGAGCCCGCCGCCCGTAGATGGCAGGTCGGGGAAAACGCTACATCAATCAAGCTCAAGCTCAAGGCACCGAGAATTCATAGAGCACACAGTATTACCCGCTGATAAGCGAGGCCAGGGAGGGGACGCCACCAGTGGCTCGACCCTTCTATTCCACCAGCGGCTTCAGCGCCTCCACTCCCACCTGCAGCACCATGGGGTTCTTGGTCTTCTTCAGCACGTTGGTCAGCATCTCCACGCCCCCGTTGGCCTTGACCGCTTCCTTGGCCCGTCGTCCGATGTCCCCGCTGGCCAGGCTGGTCATGTTCCGCACGCAGACCACCCCCCGGTGCACCAGTCCTTCGTCATCTTCCTGGCACATGCCCAACAGCAGCTGCACCCCGCGAGGCCGCTCAAGGATGGCCGCGATGGCGGCTTCAAATTCAGTGAGCATCGCCAGGGCTCCGCCGGCTGCACTCCGCGTCGCCAGATCGTCGGTGTCGGTAAGGGCCAGCAGCACGTGCAGGCGCTGCGCCGCGCGCTTGGAGCCATCGGCATACTTGACGATCCCGGACTCGCAGGTCATCAGGTTGCACACCAGCTCGCATGCAGCGCGCTGCACCATGGGGCTATTGGAGAGGAGGAGGTCCTCCGCCACGGACCAGGCCTGGCGGACAATGGCCTCGGGCGCGGTCTCGTCGGGATGGGAGGCCAGATTGGTCAGGGCAAGGAGACTTTCGAAGACTGGAAGCAAATCCCGTGGTTTTTCGGTGGACATGCTCGCCTCGGAAGGGGTGAGAAGGGCGGTCAAAGGTCGAATGGCTGACGTGATCTGGGGAAACCCAGAGGATGGGAACACGTGCGCTGGATTGACGGAGATGAGGATTCGCGCGAGCGCATGCGACGCAGTATGCACGGTCTCATTCAAAATCGGTCCGGAGGGCCCCTGTTTTGCGCTTGCCATACCGAGCAAGAACTTGACAGCGCCCTGTTGTGCCAGAACTCCTCGGGATCTCCGGTCCCAGGAGAGAGCAAGCATGATTTTGGCCAGGAGGCCCTGCACCGAGGGTAGATTCGTCTTGGTGCAGTCTGCAAGAAGAGGCATGATACCTGCCTTGATAAGGGCGTTACAACGGGTAATGACATGCTGCTCATCATCAAGGGGGTCTGGGCCAGCCCGGGCTCCGTTGGGGGAAGCTTCAGCATAGGACTTGAGCTGAGACATTTTCTTCTGTTCTTCTGACAGATGGGGGAGGAATTGGGTGAGGTTCGCGACGATCATGAGGCCACCGTACAGCACTGAAGAATCCGCGGAGTTCTCTCGCAGGACCTGAATCAGGTTCTGGAGGAACACCGGGTCCTGAGCAAGTTGCTCCTTGACAGCGGGCTTGACGGACGAGTAGGCCAGGCCCTCTATCACGTTCGACATGCTCTCGATCTTGCGCTTCGACATCTGCTCCTTGAAGCGATCGACCAGCTCGGCGACCCGGTCGTTGTCGTCCTCCGCCTTGCCGTTGGACTCACTTGATCCCACTTGAGCGGAGGTGCGGACCTTCGCCAAAATGACCGCCGCCAACTCGGAGCTTTCGTCACTGCCATTCGTGAGGAGGTGGGACAGCCACGTCGAGAGATGCTTGGTGATAGCTTCCCGGCACGCTTTGTTCATGCAGGCGGCGTTCAACAGCTCCAGAAAAGGGAGCTCCACCTTCCGGCTCTTCGCATCCCTGGAGGTTAAGGGAGCCAAAGCGGCCAGGAAGCTTTCGGACAAGAAAAGAGAGGCCGCAACCTCAGGGATGACGGGGAAGACAGCGGCCGTGGCAGAAAAAGCCTCGATCAAGTCATCGCTGCGACCCTTGAGGATCTTGGAAGAAACAAGCTTGGAGAATCGGTCTTCACCAACTTTCTGCGAAACCTCCAAATATTTGACGGTCGCCAGTGTGGCTTGACTCCTCCACTCGGAAGGGAGGCGGCTGTCCAGGGACGACAGGATCACCTCCAGACCTTCGTCGTCGATCAACTCCTCCAGCTTCGCGGCATCCACAGCAAGCAGACGCGCGATGCCCTTGAGGGAGCGACCGTCCATGTCATGGCCAGACTCCATGAGCTTGGCAATGAAGAGCAGGAACAGCTCGCGCTCACAGTGGAGACGATCATCCTCGGTCGGCCAGACGGCGGGGTCCAAGACCACGGTGTCAAGACACACAGCGGCCCCATCACCTCTCTCATAGATCTCATCAAAGAAAGCCGTCACCGAGGTCTGCAGCTGCTCCGAGAAATAGCGGCGCACGCTGGTATTCTGGCGGACCAGGCCCGAAATAACATCATCTTGCAGCTCCGACAAGGCATGTGGGCGCTGCGCCAGCAGGAGTTTGGCACATTCCAATGCAACCTCCTCGGGAGGCTTCAGCCCGTCGGTGCGGAGGTAGAGGGCGGCATCTTTGCCGGCAGGCTCGTCCTTTCCGGAGGTGTAGCGACGGCAGAGGTCGATCAAATGGTGGCCATTTTCCTCGTCTTGCTGGATTTTCACAAACGCTTCCTTGACCGCAGGATGTTCCGGGGCTAGGGTGAGGGCTTCTCGGAGATTTCGTGAGGCGGCCTGCAGTTACATCACAAAAAAAAAGATTATTAGTCAACCGGGATCAGACCTCGAGGCGGCGGACGAGACAAAGCAAAGGCCACATGATGATAGTTTCCCCCCCCTCCTCCCCTCCTCCAGAAACCGAGATCAGACGTACCTCACGATGACCAGCATCTATCAGCTCTACAGCCTCCCGTGTCAAATGTACAGCGCGTTCCTCGCTCGTAGAGTGAACCATTTCAGGCCGGTATGGAAGCCGACGCACGATGGGAGAACGGGACGCGAAGGGCGGTCGGTTCGGTTGGTTGGTTGTGGTCGATTGATTGATTGATTGACGGATGGATGTATTGATTGATAGCGGATCTGGGGAGGATTAGGGATTCGGCGGGCAGGAGGGACTGATAAGGGAAGCAGTCGAGAGGGACAGAGGGCGCGAGGAATCCAAGTCGAGGATGGCAGTCGCCGGGGGGAGTGGAGATTGAAGTAGTCGTAGTCAGAAGAGGTTCAGCGCAGTTGCGTCAACCCACGACCTCCGGAGTGATGGTCGAGCGACAAGAGACACATGCAATCATGGAGAAAAAGGACGAACGGGAGCGGGCGCGGCGCAAAGAGCTGGGTAGGAGGTAGGGTAATGCTGACAAGCGGCAGGAGGGACAATCAAGAGAGAGAGATGGTGGATGAGGTGGTGGTGGTGGTAGTAGAGAAGGGGGTGTGGGAGAGAGTGGGTTGGTTGTTCTCTTGGGTTTCCTTTTTTTACTTTCTTTCTTTTTTTTTTTTTTTTTTCGCCTCTGGGCGTGGATGGAGGAAAACGAAGTCTGGATGGGATGGACGGGGGACGGGGAAGATTGGCGGGATGGCCGTATGGGAGCACGTACGGTACAGTACGGTAAGTGTGAGTGTGAGTGTGACAGGTCGTCCTCGGAGCTCCGAACGCCCAGCAAACCGGGGGAGAAAGAGAAAGAGGGGGGCCAAGGGGGCCAAGGGGGGGGGAGATGGTCACAGCGTTACGGGTACGAAACGGGCGCTTTCATATTTCCACCCACGGCGGGGACTGATACCACCACTCCTGAGTGAGTTCGGCCGCCTTTCGGACTGCGCTTAACTCCGGAACATCAGAAACTAATTTGGAAGTAGATGAGATGAGATGAGATTATCATTTCCATAACCTCATCACCACTAGGTAACAGCAACTACAGTCACCGCAATCCCACCCGCTCCTCCGGCCTCGCGCAGCCGTCCGTCTGGGGGCTCGGGGAGGGCAACCACGCCGGACTGCAATGGCCTTCCCCCTTCCCCCTCCCCATCCCCAATGAGAGCAAAGCCGAAGGAGCAGCCGGTTACCCAAGACGGAGTGGATTCCCCGGGTGGCTGGAAGTCCGGAAGTCTGGAAGCATCAGTGCACTCCCTGATAAGATGGAGTATCTAAGTATCTATCTACAGCACTAGCCCCGAAGTGCTAAGAATAATCCATAATTCGACTCTCGGAGTCGAGTCGGCACCCTACCCGGAGGAGCCAGATACTACCCACCCACCTAGTAACTACCTATCTACCTTGATTGCCTTCCTCTTGTGACCTCCTGTCCAGGCGACAGCATCAATGCAGAAGTTAATATCGATTAATCTGTTTTACAATACGGGGCACAGACAGGCAAGCAGGAATGATAAGAGCGTGCACGCATGCGCATCGGGAAACTCTGGTTCTGGGGCCGATAAGACCAACCACAGAGGCCCGTTGCATCACGTTGCCTGAATGATTGATTCCCTCCCATCCGTCCCCAGACCTTGCCGACCGAATAATATCCTATCCCTAGGCTAGGTACCATGTACCATACATAGTACCTAGGTAGGTACTACAGGTCCAAGGCCTTGGATCATCAGAATCCCAACTCCCAAGACTTCTTGGTCCGATAGTCTCGTCGCACTAGTGGGAGCCTTGGTGCTTGGCTACATCTTGGGATCTACAGGATACAGAACTACGGACGCCCGTTCTCCCCTTCCTCCACCCCATCTACCTACCATCTAGTCTATCCTGTGCCACGCTGGCCGGCGTGTAACGTCCGCTGAATCGTCCATCTCGGCCCCCCCCCCCGGCTTCTCAGCTTGGTTGGTTTGCGCATTCCAGATCGCTCCACGCACCGCCCTGCTTTACTTGCTTATATGCTTGATCGGGTGCAGGACAAGAGGTTAAATGCTCCACTGGGTAAGTACATTGTACTCCGTACTTCCAGAGCACGCCCCCCCTCTGCCCACGGCTTCCGAATGGGACGGAGTCACGTCCGCGGCTTGCACAGGCACAGTGTCTATCTATCTACGGAGTACTTAGCTCCCCCCCAAAAGTGGGCTTGATGCCGATGCCCGTGGCCAATGGCAGCGTTCCCCTACAGTGAGGCCGGTTCCTCGGTCCGTGCGATATTGCCTACTGTGGTACGGAGTAGGTAGAAAGGCTTGGATGCAGGCAAACATGTTGGGGACGGGGATGGGGTAGGGGACTCGGACAGATGGTAGAATGCTGCAGACCATGATGGTGCTAATCTGAAATCACGTCAGATACAAAAGTACAGCTGCCCACCTGCCGTGGGCACTACATGTGATTGGTGGTTCGCGGACATTATGGAAAGGGCCCCGGCGATCAATCCTTCGATCGGAACAATGCAGAAGTGCGCTTACTTAGCTACGTAAGATAGATCATCCCTAGTATCTTACCTAGTCTCAGATCCCGCTTGGCTCCTCACATGAGACAGCCTTCCTTGATGCTGGAATGCAGCTCGCTCGTCCCAACCCGGATGCGCCGCCCCCCACGTGATTTCTGCTGCAGCCTGGGGGCGTCCTGGCTCTTCGAGCTGCCAGCGGTGGGAGATGCGCCTCTCCCTCCACTCATCACCACTTCGGTTGGCGCGGCCTCCTCGTTGCCTTCCACGGCAAACACTTCCACCATCCACTCGTACCAGACCTTGCGGTCGTCCGTCTGTCGGTACATGGTCACGACGACTTCTCCGTTGTCCGGAACATTGAGCGGCGTCTAAGCATCATTAGCATCCCGCGCTCTCGTTGTCCTGGACGGCGCTTACCTTCAGTGGGAAGTATATCGGAAACCAGCTGATCATGTCGGCACTCTTGGCATCCATCGTGACGGGATTGGTAGACAGTTCTACATCCCGGTACAGCACGGTTTCAAAGTACCCCGCCAGGCCATGGCACACTCCGCGGTTGGCGACAGGGAACGACAGGCGTGTTTGGCGTACGTTATGTGCGTTGGAGATCGTCGACGTGGACGGCGACTGGGGAGGGATGTTCCGATTGGGATGTTCAAACGACCATGTTGTCTGTACAAACGGAATGGGGGTTTCCCCAGAACCCGGGAGGGTGGAGATGGAATCCCGGACGTTAGGCCGAGCGCCAGCAGGGCTAGAATTCATAAGAGCAGTTGCGGAGGGCTGGTTGGTGGAGAGGAAGTCGATGGCGTGTAACATGACTACGTACGGTGTCTCGGGAGCTGCCGGGTTGGAAACGGTTTGATTCATGACGTCGGCATGAAGCTTCGGGGCCGCGATGGGGGTGAGGTGAGCCGTGTACGATTCCGGGATAGAGATACCGTGGACGGGGTTGAGTAGGGGCGTTATGCCGTCCAGGCATTCCGGCGAGAGTTCGTTGTCACCGAAGGAGCCCAAGAGCTCGGAAACCACGATGTCGATGGTGGTCGGGACGAGCTCGGCGACAGGCGGAGCGGCAGCCGATTCGGGCGCTTGCGCAGAACCCTGCTCCTCGTTGGCATTGTAAAGAAAAGAGTCATGGATTCCAAGAGTCTGCCCTACCGGTGCGGCTGGCGCTTCCAAAATATCCTTCTTCTCGACTTGCGGTCCCTTCCAGCTGCGCATGTCCGACTGGACGAGCTTCACCTGTCCATCCCAGCGTTGCTCATTGTGGCGCTGGAGAAGAACGAAGGCGTTGGTGTTTTTCTCTACTGCCCAGAGGTCGATCTTGACGCCCGTATCCATGCTGGCCTGGAGAGCGCGAGATACCAGCGGTCCTCGACCGGCACCCACCACCGCAACGACCACGCGGCCGTCCGGGTTCGAGGTGGGTTTCTTTTGCGACTCCCAGTCACGGAGCGCCTTGGCGATCGCCCGTTCGTACCACTGGTATTTGATGGGGTCTTTCTCGAACACTTCATAAGTAATGCTTTCCAGGTTGACTGTCAATGGCTGCAACGGAGCCTGGAGGTAGTCTTGGTAGCCTACACCAAATCTTTCCATGGCGGACCTAGACGGCTGGCGTTGCTGCAGGTTTCTTACGTAGGACAGATGAGGGGTCGGGTCATAATGCTTCTTGGACACTGCAGCTTGTGTCAGGCTGGGGTAGTCAGCGGTATTCACGGACGATTCTTTCGCTTCCGCGCCTGGGATGGAGTCCAGATCACAGATTAAGAGCCATGGGGCGGTCCGAAGGCGCATGAACCGAGAGATCAGCGCCTGATGTGTTTTTGCCAGCACGGGATAGCCCTTTTGGTTCTTAATGAAGGTGGTGGCATCTAGAGCGAGCAAATGCACTGGCTCGGAATACCACCTCGACTGTACGGACATGGGAGGGAGGTGTCTGGGCATTGATAGCGCTAGCAGCATCGTCTTAGCAAAAGCGTTCAAGGACGGGACAGGGGCAAAACATCCTCTTACCTACGACCAGCCTCGAGTGGTATCTACAGGTCCTCCGGATGATGTCCCAGGCATCCCATGTCCCGAAGGGATCCACTTTCGACGACTCTGCGGCCGAGGGATCTCCAAGAAACTCCGGGCGAGCCAGTGGCGCCAGATCACCCATCTCCATCAGTTCCAGGTCCGGCTTGTCTACCATGGGCATCCAGATATGAAACTGTATGTAAGGACCGAGATTGAGGGCGTCTTGGATCGCTCTGGCGTAGTAGATCAACCCCTCCGAATTCAGCTCTCTGTGGTGCAGTTTCGGGCCGGGAACCAGGAGGTACCCGATTCCGCAGAAGGCTGCGTAGGCAACCTCGCGCATGAGCACCTGGCGAGAGATGTCGGCAATGAGCGGATCGGGGGAACACAGATCAATCCATCTGCTGGTGACCCCGACCAGCTGTGTCATCACATCGCACGGAGTCAGATGGGTATCGCCAGGTGTCAACGGAGGAACCACGAGAGGTCTGATGTTTTGGGTGGTCATCAAGGTGCCACTGGCAGCAGGCGTTGGGGGGGCGTTAGAACTGGAGCTAAGCAGGTTGAGCACCCGAGAATGGAACGAGGACGTGGTGATGGGCACGGTCAGCATGTCATACTGTGAGTGGTGGCGGAGGTTAGCATCTTGACAGGGCCGGGTTTTCAGCACCAAGACATCCAGACATCCGTACATTGCTTTCATGTGCCGCCCGCACTGCCGCCGAAGTGATGGGCTTCTCGCGGTTGGTCTCATGCTGCCCGATGCAAAAGGTGGGAGCATCCTCAGGGTTGCCGAACGACTCCATGCTGTAGTCCGAAGCAGATTGACCCGTTCAGCTGGTGGAGGAGGTGTTGGATTGGGATTGGGGGGGGGGAGGGGGGGTGGTGTTGACACAGGATCTAACCCAGTGGAAGATTGTTAGTCCCGCATATAGTAAGTAGATGATCAATTGAGTTCCGCCGCAATTTTCATCTCGACATCATTCCGAAGAGATGCAGCATGGGAAGTAGAAGGGAACCACGAAGGAGCTGTTGTTGGGGGGTGGATAGGGAGGGAGAGTCAATGGGGGCACCCCTGCAGTGACTGTGGAACGTTGCGCGACAACGAGCTCCTTGACCCCGCGGAGGAAAAGTACCTGAGGAGGAAATTCAATGGCTTACTTTCCAATGGCGCCTTTTGCTCTCCCCTTGCCGACAACACTTTACTGCGTTGCGCGCTTTTCCCCGCCCGCAAAAGACCCGGCAGAACCCCCGCGGGCGGTGAATGCGGGCGCCGAGCAGCTGTGGCGACGGGCGGACAACCTGCCTATCCGGGCCGCCTTTTTTTTCCAGCCCAGGCCAAACAGTTGAAGTGAGTGCCTTTGCCTTCGCTTCACTTTTGCGACAAACGCCTCCCTCAAACCCCCCCCCCTCTCTCCTCCCTCCCGCACACCCGTCATGGTTGATCGTCACGCCGATTCTGAGAACGGTTCCCGTGCTAAGCGTCAAAAGATGGACAAGACTGAAACCGATCCTAAAAACAACCAGTACTTGGCTCACATGTACGAGGATGACGCCGCCGACACTTGGACCGATGGCGGTGCGGACCTTCACCCGGCCTTTGGCAAGATGAAGAGGCACCAGACCACCGCCGCGCTGGCCAAGAAGGTGGAGGATGGCGATGTCAACCCGTTCAACAACCAGCCCTTCTCCAGCAAGTACCTGTCCATCCTGCAGACTCGTCGCGATCTTCCGGTCCACGCCCAGAGGTGAGTTTTCCCCGCCTGGAACATCGTTGCATTGCTCTCGGTGCACTGTCGCAACCAGTTTCTGACCTGATTCTTTCCCAGAGATGAATTCCTCCAGCTGTACCAGCAGTCTCAGATCTTGGTCTTCGTCGGTGAGACGGGTTCCGGAAAGACCACCCAGATTCCCCAGTTCGTCCTGTTCGATGACATGCCGCAAACACAGCGCAAGATGGTTGCTTGTACCCAGCCTCGTCGTGTCGCCGCCATGTCCGTCGCGCAACGTGTCGCCGCCGAGTTGGACGTCAAGCTTGGAGACGAGGTTGGTTACAGTATCCGTTTCGAGGATATGACCAGTTCCAAGACTGTGCTCAAGTACATGACGGATGGTATGCTTTTGAGAGAAGCCATGCATGACCACAACCTGAACCGCTACAGTACCATCATTCTCGACGAGGCTCACGAAAGAACGATGGCTACCGATGTTCTGATGGGTCTGCTCAAGGAGGTGGTGGTGCGTCGTCCGGACCTGAAGATCATCATCATGTCTGCTACTTTGGATGCGCAGAAGTTCCAGCGCTACTTCAACGATGCCCCTCTTCTTGCCGTTCCCGGTCGTACTCACCCCGTCGAGGTCTTCTATACTCCCGAACCCGAGCAGGACTACGTCGAGGCCGCTATCCGCACCGTTCTCCAAATCCACGCCACGGAAGAGGATGGTGATATTCTTCTGTTCTTGACCGGTGAAGAAGAGATTGAGGATGCAGCACGGAAGATTGCACTGGAAGCTGATGAGATGATCAGAGAGGCCGATGCTGGACCCCTCAAAGTCTACCCTCTGTACGGTAGTCTTCCTCCCCATATGCAGCAGCGCATTTTCGAGCCGGCACCGCCTGCACGCCGGCCGGGAGGCCGTCCGGGCAGGAAGGTCATCATCTCCACGAATATTGCCGAAACATCGCTTACCATCGATGGTATTGTCTACGTCGTCGACCCTGGTTTCTCGAAACAGAAGATCTACAACCCTCGTATCCGTGTCGAATCCCTCCTGGTGTCTCCGATCTCCAAGGCTTCCGCGCAACAGAGAGCCGGTCGTGCCGGTCGTACGCGCCCCGGAAAGTGCTTCCGTCTCTACACCGAAGGAGCCTTCAAGAAGGAACTCATCGACCAGACCTACCCCGAAATCCTGCGGTCCAACCTGTCGTCCACGGTGCTGGAGCTGAAGAAGCTGGGTATTGACGACCTCGTCCACTTCGACCTGATGGACCCTCCTGCCCCCGAGACCCTCATGAGAGCTCTGGAGGAGCTCAACTACCTGGCCTGCCTGGACGACGATGGCAACCTCACCCAGCTGGGCCGTCTTGCATCGGAGTTCCCTCTTGATCCCGCGCTCGCCGTCATGCTCATCAGCTCTCCTGAATTCTACTGCTCCAACGAAATCCTCTCCATCACGGCACTGCTGTCCGTTCCCCAGGTCTTCGTGAGACCCGCCTCTCAACGCAAGCGCGCCGACGAGATGAAGGACCTCTTTGCCCACCCCGACGGCGACCACCTCACCCTCCTCAACGTGTACCACGCCTTCAAGGGCCCCGACGCCCAGGCCAACCTGAAGCAGTGGTGTCACGACCACTTCCTCTCCCTCCGATCGCTCCAGTCCGCCGACAACGTGCGCATGCAGCTCCTCCGCATCATGGAGCGCGAAGAGCTCGAGATGATCTCCACCCCCTTCGAGGACAAGAAGTACTACGAGAACATCCGCCGTGCGCTGTGCGCTGGCTTCTTCATGCAGGTCGCCAAGAAGGAAGCCCAGGGCAAGAACATGTACTTGACCATCAAGGACAACCAGAACGTTCTGCTGCACCCCTCCACCGTCCTGGGCCACGAGGCCGAATGGGTCCTCTACAACGAATTCGTCCTCACCACCAAGAACTACATTCGCACCATCACGGCCGTCAAGCCCGAATGGCTCATCGTAAGTTCATCCAACCATCTTGTCAAATAAATATCATATGAATATTCCTCCCCTCCCCAACTAACAACCCAAATAGGACATTGCCCCCACCTACTACGACATCAACGGCTTCCCCAAGGGCGACATCAGATCCTCCCTCCTTCGCGCCGCAGAAAGACTCACCCGCAGAGAAAGGATGCGCGCTGACCCCGGAAAAAGACGATAGATTAGCTGATTAGTTTTTTTTTTTAATACTCCCTGCGTTTTTTTTTATCTTCTCTCATGAAATCAATAGATCATGTTTCTTTCACGCCATGAACAATTTCATTCTCAAGCTCAATAAATGGGAATATCCGGCTTTATTATTCACTTTTTTCTTCTTCTGCTTTTTATTTCTTGTGGTTGTTAGTGCGGTGGTGGTGGTGGTTCCCTGGCTGGCTGGCTGGCTGGCTGGCTGGCTGGCTTTTGTCGGCTCTCGTGAGTGCAGATGAAGTGGACCAGGCAGCTTTTGGGGGGGGGGGGGGCACTCTTCATTCATTCGTGAATGCTTACTCGCATCCATATCTATATCCATATCTCTGATCTACAGGATACCTTCCGTGCCTCGTGCCTACCCTACTAGATCGATCTAGGTAGGTAGAAATTAGAAATCACTAATTTCGCCTGTGTAGCATACATACATACATACATGTTTCTTTTCTTATCTGGGTTAGTTGATATATATTTGTAGATTTTCATTTGTATGTAGATTTGATTTGGGTTTAGATTGATTGATGATTGATTGATGGGTTTCATCTTCATTCTGGTGATTTTGCTGAGTATAGAGAGAGAGATAGATAGATAGGTAGGTAGGTAGGTAAGTAGGTAGGTAGGTAAGTAGGTAGGTAGGTAGGTAGGTAGGTACTAGACAAATAGTTCCCACCAATAGGTACTGTAGTAGGTACCTAGATATATGGTATATTCCCATCAATTGATACAAAACAACACAACAACTGAATCTCGGTATTTTCACTTCCGCCCATCCACCCATCCACCCATCCAGCAAAAGAGGGGGAAAAAAAGAAAAAAAGAACAAAAGTCCGGCTCTATTCTAGGTAGGTAGGTAGGTAGGTAGGTAGACCTTATTCATCACAATAACACATGGGATAATATACAGGAAAAGGGTCTCGTTCTGCAGTCCAGGTATCAAACACTCCACAGCAATAACCACCAAAACCACTACAACCACAATAAGAACATCAAAATGGGCCAAGGAAATGGGATGGAATGGAAAGGAAAGGAAAGGAAATGTATCCAACAGTTCCACAGCCCACAGCCCACAGCCCACAGCCCACAGCCCAGAATCTATGCACAGAAATAAAACCCGAAGCTAACCTAACCAAAGCATACATGTTATATAGATTGGAATGTCAATGGCAATGAATGGCTCGTCTTGTCTTGGCACCTGGACGAGACATAGAGATAGACAGTTGGTGCCTTAGGGACGGACCAGTAAATCATTTAAATTTAACCATACAATCAATACCCGTCTCCCGGGGGCATATCAGGAGCTGAACTCGAGCTGTCGATGAACCGGATTTGTAATTTCTCTTGAGCGGGGGTGTTCTCGAATCGGGAGGCTGATTTGTGGTTGTATTTCGAGTAGGGGGGGGTTCGTTTGGGGGCGGTGGTGGTGGGAGGAGCGGGAGAGGGAGAGAGAGAGGGAGTCTTGGTGGTGGCGGTAGGGAGAGGTTCAGCCGCCATTTGGGGATCAAAAGCCAACTGCTTGAGATGCAGAATCTCGGCCCAGAGAGACTTCATCTCCGTCTTATGCGCTTCCGCCGCAGAGTTGTTCCGTTTAAGCTGCGAGACCTCAGCCCGAAGGGACTTCATCTCCTGCTTTTGGGCTTCTGCCGCGGACCCGGCTCGCTTCAGCTTAGCAATTTCAGCCTGGAGAGATTTGATCTCCTGCTTCTGGGCGGCGGCCGCGGACTCCTTCTGCTTGAGTTGCGCGATCTGGTCCAGAAGAGTGTTGATTTCCTCTTGCCTGGTGGCTGCGGCGTCAGAGCTGCTTCGCTTCAGCTTGGAGATTTCGATCTGGAGGGATGTGATCTCTTCCGTGGAGGCTGCTGCTGTTGCAAGGGGGCGGTTTTGTTTAAGTTGGGAGATTTCGTCCCGAAGGGTTGAGAGCTCTTGTCTGTGGGATTCACCGGACCCGGCTTGGTGTAATTTGTAGATTTCCTGGCGCATGGATATGAGCTCCCGCGTGTGTGCTGATATGGCAGACTCGTTATGCGCCTCGGTGATCTCGGCTTGCCTGCGGATTTCGCTGAGCACGTTTTGCCGGACATCGGTGGCGAGGGATGTGATCTCTCGTCTGCGGTCTGCTGCGGCCGTGGACCGGGTCTGCTTTAGTTGGGAGATCTCTTGCCGTAAGGATGTAAGCTCTGATGCTGCAGACTCGTTCTGCGCCCTGTTCAGGTCGGCTTGTCTGCGGATTTCCTCAAGCATGCTTTGCGGCATGTCGGCCGGGGCCGGGATGGAGGATGAGGATGTGGAGCCGGCGAGGACGGCGGCCAGGATATCTTGAGAGTGTCGCTCCATCATGTCTTGCCACACTGGCCGCGTGATCTTGCCTTCCACCTCGTCGATGTGTTCACTCAGGGCGCTGACAAAGGCGTGGTATTTCTCGGAAGGGAGCTTGGGCTGGCTATCGCTCGCGACGGATTTCCCGGCGGACTTCCAGCGAAAGCCGTCGGGGTCGTAGGCCAATTTAATGTCTAATTGTCTACTGGCCGCCTCCCAGTCAAAGCCGCTGTTGACTGCCGAGGTAATGATAGCCTCGGACATATCGTACTTCTCGCATTTATCGCACAGCTGCACCATCAGGACGATTACCCGCTCGGCTCGGAACTCCAGATGCTCTGTTGACGAGCCTATGAAGGCTAAGGCTCTCTTCAGGGTCTGAATGCCCTTCTGCCAGTCCTTGCGAATAGCGTAGAACCTCAAGTACGCGCTGATAGAAGCGAAATCGTCCATAAAGCCAGTCGATCTAGCCGCTACCAGGTATGCGTCAGCCCGCTCAGGCTGGTTAAAGCGTAAACATGCCGCAATCAAAGTGGAGTAGATAACCGGATTAGCAGAATCTACAGGCGGAACGACGATCTCAATACCGTTGACCACTCGGACGCTATAGGGAGACATGTAGCCCAGGTCAACCGGGTATCCCCTGCCGGTCAGCAAGTTCAGGAAGGAATCGAAGCCGCGAAGGTTTTTGGATTTGCGGAAGAAGTTCAAGATTGCGAGGACGAGGGTTGGCGCCAGAGGGAACTTGTGAGGAAGCACGGTCTTCAAGATCAGCTCGCACAGATCATTCTGGTGGGATTTGGTGAAGGTCAAGATCATCATCCGCAACAATTCCGGCCGGTCCGGATCCGTGCTCTCCATGAGGCTGTTGGACAGCCGCAGGAGAAGTTCCTGGAGAGACATTCCATCTTTTGCAAAAAGGCGAGTATCCCGCTGGACTTCAAAATCAAGTCGAGTGCGCTCTTGCGCCAGGTAAGACGTCGTCCGCAACGTGAGGTCTGTGGCCAAGTCATCGATATTTGGGTTTTTCGAATTCATGACATAGTTCATCCTGGACCGAGTATAATGCAATTCTTGGAGCAGGTCCGGCACGTTCAATTGGGGCGTTTCGTGGTCGGGACCATACTGCCTTTCGACGCCCAGATAACTGTGAGCGATTGTCGGCCGGAGCAGAAGCCGGATGGCCAATTGCTTCAGCGCAAGTTTCCGGATGACCTTTTGGTGGATGAGATCGCGGGAAAGCCATTCTGGTGCGTCCTCGTCGTATCTGAGGGAGATGCCATATTCGCCCACCTCTTCTTGTTCATCCTGACATCGCTCCTCTATACTTTCCAATCCCGAGTCCTCCGCCTCTGCCAACAGATCGTAGACGATCTGGTTGTCTCTGCTCTGATCAAACGCGGTGGTCGAATGGAAGGACGAAAACGGGGCACCCCTCCTGGCCCATTGGTATCTCAAGTATGTCGGTCGGGTCGCGGTGCCGAACTGCCTGGTCTGAAGAGCCCCGTTGAGAAATTTCGTCTTCCGGCGGGAGAGGGCTTCCAGCAGGCGCTTCTCCTCGTCGACCAGTTCGTTGACCTCCTCCTTGACCGCCGCGATCTTTTCCTCCCACTCGATGCGGCGCTGCCCTTTGGCCTGGGCGTCGGCCAAGGCGGCGGCGGCGAAAATACTCGTATACAGAGCCGTCACTGAGTTGCCGATGCGGAGGCGTCGCTTGCTTGCGGCCGAAGTCCCTCTCGACGCGACCCCATTGGAGGCGGTGCTCAGACAAGAGACGCACCGGCAAGACGACTGCGGCGCCGGAGCGGCTCGGGACCAAAGACCCTGCATTCTCAGGTCATATCTGCTTCGAACCGAGTCCAATGGCAGGGTTTCAGGTTCGGGTGGTGAAAAGAAAACCCCAATGGCGGGGGGAAGGGAAGTGGCGTGGAGAATTGGGGGTCGGTGGAGGAGGGGAGTGGGATGAAAGGAAGGGAAGGGAATAATAATGATGAATGATTGAACGATGCGAAGGAAGTCGAACCACCCGCCCGTGCAAACCGTGCAAACCGTACAAACCGCGTCGGCCCCCAAAGCGGCCGGCCGTCAGCCGCGGAATAAGCAATAAGCAGCAAGCAATTACCCCCCCCAATTGTTCCCCCATCCGGAGATCTGTCATATTTCCAGTTTCCCTCGCAGTGTCGAGTCTGGGAAGCCCGTGTTGCTATAAATACTGCGCCGCTGCGAAAAATTCACCATGCTCGTCACTCTGGCTACAGCGTTCCTGGCCTTGAGCGGCTTCGTGAGCGCCCATGGATCTCACCCCGACTCGCCGCCCTCCTCGGACTGGGCGACACGGCATATGCAAGGTAGGGATCGGGATGTCGGATACTAAACAACTCGCTGGCTGGATCTCCTGCTGACGATCAACTTCCACAGAGGAACACCACATCGATTCCTTCGACGCCGCATCGTTCTTCTCGCTGCACGACTACGACTCGTCCGGGGCCTGGACACCCGATGAGGTGCGCAAGACGTACGGGATGGACGACGAGACCAACGCGGCGCAGAGCGAGGACAGCAAGTCCCAGGCCCTGAGGACAGTGTTCGCGCTGTTCGACCCGACAAACACCGGGTTCATCAGTCGCGACAACTGGATGCGCATCGTCTCCGAAGGCACTGCGCTGCCTGACCTCGGGTTCGGCCCCGGTCATCACGGCGACATCGAGTATGAGTACGAGATCCACCATTTCGAGAAGTTCCACGGCGAAGACGCCACGGAGGAGGAACTCACCCACCCCGAGGATATCGAGCATTTCCGCAAGCACGACGAGGAGGACCTCGCCATGGAGCGCCTCGAGCAGCTCGAGAACATGCAGATCGTGGAGGCCAACATACCGCAGAAGTTCCTCAGACAAGCTTAGATGAGTGTATATTAGATTTCTCTTCTGTGGTTGCTGTACATATGTTTGATGATATGAGCCGGTGGGTGTCGGTTACACCACTACATACAACATGGGATATACCCTTTCCTGACTGACTTGACGCGATGTGCCTTGGAAATCTAACGACGCAAGCTGTCCATATCATCAGACCCCGGACACCTCGCCCCGAGGCGCCAGCCTGACATCGAAGACACAATGCATGACCCCCGGGGCGTACGTCTTGACCTGTTCCACATGTCGACACTCCGCCACCTTGACCTCTGCCTCCTCCCCTGTGCCCTTCTCCTCCACCCCCAGAACCTCCGCCCTCAACCTCCCCATGTCCGCCGTGACCTGCCCAGCCATCGCCTCAATGCCCCGAACATCCACATTCTCATGAACATGCGCCCAGCCCCCCTCTCCCGATCCACCAAGGCACACGCACTCCCCCACGCCGGCGCCGACGAGGGCAACAGACCCAGGTTAACATGCCTGATGGGGCTCCACGTCCCCATCGCCTCCATCAGCGCCTTCGCCTCCGTCAAAACCCCCTCCGCGAACCGATTATCCCCATGAAACACCACCACGCGATCCTCCTCCCTCAACCCCTCCACCAACTCCCTCACCTCCATCTCCAACCCCCCATCCTCCCCACCCTCACCACCCTACACCCCCAGCCATTCTCCAAACAACCCCTCCTTAACCCCTCCACCGACCACCCATTCATCTCCCACCCCCAAACCCTCTTCACCCCGCGCTTGAGGTACGAAAACACAAAATACCCGATCCCCGCATACAGATCCACCACGCCCATCTCCCCCACATCCTCCTCCAACCCCTCCATGCCCCCATTCCCACCCAATCCCAAAATCCTCGCCTTCTCCGTAACATTGCCCCTCGAAAACATCGTATACAGCGGCGCCCACACCTGCCTGATGCCATGATTCTGCACCGTACTCACCCAAAACGCCTCCCGGAGGTCCTGTTCCGACGGCTGCCCATTCCCATTCCCATTCCCACTACCACTGCTACTACTGCCACTCCCACTCCCACCCCCGCACACCGGCCCGAAATCCCCAAACAGCGGGACCAACCCCACCGGACTGCGCATGGTGTTCTCGGCGCCGTGGGTGGTGGTTAGCGTGATGGGCGCGTTGATGGCCACGTGCGTGATGCTGTAGCGCGCGAACGCGGCAATGATGCATTTGAAGAGGGTTTGTCGCTGGGTGGGGGTGAGGCTGGCGTAGAGGGTCGCCCAGGGGGGTGGGGTCGTGAGGGCGTTTACTGGGAAGAGGAGCAGGGGGGCGTAGATTGTGAAGCGGGTGGGGAGGTCGGTGGGTGATAATAGTGTTGGAGGGTTGACTTGTGGTGGTGATGCTGGCGGGTTGGGTTGGGTTGGTGGTTGTGATTGTATTTGCGGTTGTGAAGTGTGATGGGTTGTCAGGTACATCATAATACCTTTCTGGAGGGGATTGAGGAGTTTGGTGGATTTGGGTTTCGGTGGTCTCCTTTCTTGGTGGTATTTGGAACCCCGATTCACAGAGACATGATCATGATCATGAAAGTCTGAAGCTTTTGCTGCTGCTGCTGCTGCTGTTGTGGTGCTTCTCGGTGTGGATTCCATCTCTATATCCATGATAGTTTTGGTTGTGCTTGTCGAGTAGTTGAGATCGATGTCGCGATGGATGAAAGTGCCCGCACGCCATATATATCTGCGCGCAAACAGCAATGGTCTTTGTTGCACTTGCGCTTGGCGAGGGAAGTGGAGATCAGATCAGATGGATGCCCTGATAGCACTACAGAGTCAGAAGCAGGTTGGGGTCTGGGATTCTAAAAGTACTTTGATATCAGCGGCGGGCTGTCATTAGTCAATCAATCAATCAATCAAATCGGAGACGGGCGTCGCATGGGGATGACTAAGCGTGGAGGGCAAGGCAGATGATACCTTCGTCCCGATTGGGTAATTAGCTTAGCTTCGATTAGCTTTCTACTACTTATCTGGGCAGGTGCGACCAGTCCGTTTCTATATCGTATAGTATAGTATGGTATGGTATGGTATGATATGATATTTACTAGCAAGGCACGCGAATATGAGCCTCAAGGGAGAATGAATGCTGGTAAGATTCACGCAGCCACACCTTGCACAGATACATAGAATACAAGAAGCGAAAGCGAAAGCGAGAGAACCACCTATGCAGAGAGGAGAACCAGCAGCTGGCGGGAAATACAGCAACACATACCGACCCCAAGGAAATCGAGAAAGGAATCGATAGATAGATTCATACACATAACGGTTGGTTTGTCATACACCGTGGGACTTAGGAGCTGAACGATAAATCGCATCGCGCCTCGAAAGTGTCGAGCTATGGAAGGGAGACTATGTAGTGGGTGGGTGAGTGGGATGGCTGTATTAAGAATCGAGTATGTTGGACGCTCAAAAGTAGAAAAGATGCACGTGTCGCTGTAACGATCGACTGGATAGATAGTAAATAGACGCCCCTAGCGAGTGGTATCATGGCGAGTTTAGTAGTCCGTCACGGAGTATCCCAACCGGTCGTTGGTGTCGAGGACGCTGTGGTATCGGGTTAGATTAGTGATAAAGATACAACACCCCGGTGGGGGTGTCAGAATAAGGGGATTAAGGGGGCCACCCACGAGTATTGTTTGGTCAAGGTTCCCTCTCCGCCCTTGGAGAGATCAATGCTGAAAACATAGAAATTGCCATCGCTGGTCACGACCATCACCTGTGGCGTGTTGTTGCTCATGGCCACGACACTCCGCAGCGGTCCGTTGTTTGCATTCGCCCCTTGCCCCTGGTTCGATTTGGGCAGTTTGATCCAGGCAAAGTCGCGAGCCGGTTCCCACATTTCGCTGACCCCCTTGGGAAGATAATTCCCGACCTTGGCGGCAAACGAGCTACCGACGTTCTGCGAAGTGCGTCGGATCATCCCCATCAGCGTTCCATTGTGTTTTCTGGAAGCAAGCTCGGAAGAGGCCAGGTCACCCAACTCGTCTGTCTCAGAGGTTTGCCCAAACGAGCTCTGGCTATACCTCCTTTCGTTGTCTGTTGGAGAAGAAGACGAGGGCGTCGCATCGGGTGACTGGGACTGGTGGCTCAGCTTGAACAGATGGATGGTCTCAGTGGACGAGGAGACACAAAGGAGGGTAGACGTGGTATTGAAAGACATGCTGTAGATTCTGGAAGGTATCGACCCCCGCCGAAATTGGTAGAGCTTGTGGCCGTCGGGAACCGAGAAAACTCGTATGATCGTACCCTTGTCAGACGCCGTGGCTATGAGTGTCCCGTCGCTGTTGAGAGTGATGCATGCAAGCGGCGATCGGTGCGCTTCGATGACGTTGATAGCCTCCAGCTTTAGCGTATCAAATATCAAAACCTCTCCACTCGTTGGCGAGACATGCGTAGTTCCGGGAGGCGCGTGAGCCGGCGGAGTGAACGACGTCGACGGCGCCTTTTGCGGAAGAGGGTATGCGAGGTAGCAGTTGTCGGAGGATGGCGATAACGCGCAGATCGCTGTTCGGCTTCAGTTAGACCAGAGTCCTACCACATGTATTTCGAAGCACAGCCTTACCGTTGGGGTTGGGCGAGGTCTCGATGGTATACAAGAGGTTCATCGTCTGGATATCGTAAAGATAGATCTCATCCTCTAAAACGATCACGAGCCGTTTCCGGTTCAGCTTCACCGCGAGCACAGTCGTAGGGAAGGTCAACTCGCATATCGTCGATTGGCGCTATAAGTCCCGAACGGACCGGAAAAAAACGTCAACCACATGCGCCACGGCAACACACGCATCCGCCAGCATGGAATCTCGATTATAGGCTTATAAAATCATGCGGAATCTAACAGAGCACGCGCAAGGATGTCCTACGAACCTTGGTATTAGTGATTTGGAGGCGACGCGGCGACAAGATCAGTGCCACCAACGAGGTCGAGAAGAGCATCTCAATTATGGCTATGTTCCCTTCCTTCGTCTCATAGCTTTTCGCGAACGGATCTGTCGTGAATATCCGGAACCCCTTGGCGGTCGCTGAGAGGTGTCAAGAAATATCCCAGGATGATGAGCGGAGGACCCTTACCCACAGCCAGATAGCTATAGTCCTGGTTGAACGTCACGAAGTTCATAGCCATGTTTCCTGCGTCGATCCGAGCGATCGACCACGGTTTACCCCGGGGGTAGTCTTTTTTTTTTCTAGTAGTATACGGATGGTGAAGAGTGTATACAGTGCGATCGATGGAACGAAAGGCCGAAAGGATGTCCCGTGGACCGAGTCGTCGGGCAGATGATCTAGTGGAGTGGAGGAGGAGGATGGAGGGGTCGGTGGATAACCCAATCAAGCCCAGTGCGAGACCGATGCCGTCACAGTAGTCGCAGGCTCTTGCCTTTGCATTTCCAGAGCCTCAGGGCGAGTTCCGTCGGACCGACACTCCGCGCACCTCCGCGATCGCAGGGGGAACGACTGAATCAAGGGCGGGAAAACAGGATGGTTGGATGCGGAGGGAGGGGGAAGATCATTGATCAGAGGAGAACCGCAGTTCCTCTTTGCCTTTGCCTTTGCCGCGGTCTGCGTCACGCGCGGCAAGCGACCGGCGGCCGGACGGCGGCGACGCTCGGGCCACATCTTGATCGGCATTCCGCCTTTTGTTCTTTTCTGCTACTTTCCAGTGATTTTCTTCCTGCCCCTCCCCCCTCCCCCCCTCCACCCCCACCACAATTCCATCATGACGGCCACCAAAGACGCCGTTCCCACCCTGGCTCCGGGAAAGAAGCCGGTTATGGCTGCGACTCCCTCCAAGGCCGAGAAAGAGGCCGATCTGGTCATGGGGGTAAGTCGCGATCGCTACGATGGAGTCCCACGATGATGCGCCTGGCAGAACAGATCCCCAAGTTCCGACGGCTTTCCTCCCTTTCTTTGGCCTGTCTACGTCTGACAATCCTAGACCAACAATAGCAGCATTGTATCCAAGCGCAGCGTCGAGATGCTCTACTACCCCAAGCCTCACTTCTTCCGCTACTTCGTCAAAAAGCCCCAGCGACGGTCGCCCCTGATCAATCGCGGATACTGGATTCGTATGCATGCAATGGCGGAGACTGTGCGGCAGTTCATGAGGGAGCCCTCGGGGAAACCCAAGTTCGTCCTGAATCTGGGATGTGGATTGTGAGTCGTAGTGAACCGATGCCGCCGCCGGGTTGCGCGCACCATGGCCTGGACCGTATACTAAGTTGGAATGTCGTAGTGATCCTCTACCGTTTATCCTCCTCAGCGAAGACCGTGCCCTGTGTAGAGATACGCGTTTCGTCGATATCGATTACGAGAAGCTCATGCTCAACAAGAAAGCTGCGGTCAAGAGGACCGACGAGATTACTCAGGTTCTCGGGGATGTAGAGTTTGGATCGGACGAGAGTGCTGTCCAGATTCGCAGTGAGCACTACCTAGGCATTGGTTGCGATCTGAAGAACCTCAAGAAGCTGGACGACGTGCTCAGAACGGAGGTCCTCCCGGCGGAGTGCTCGGTGCTTTTCCTTGCCGAGGTTTCTTTGACGTACATGGATGTCAAGTCTGCAAATGCGGTCCTCGAATGGGCGTCCAAGCTGAACCAGGGTAGGGATCACTTTGCTGCCATCCCTGTTCCAGTATAGCCGCTAACGTGCTTCCAAAGATGCCAAGTTCTGTATCTTGGAGCAGTTCTTCCCCGACGGGCCCGATCATCCTTTCGCCTCGACCATGATGAAGCACTTCAAAAAGCTCGGAGCGCCGCTATATTCCATCCACGAATACCCTTCCTTGAACGAGCAAGAACAGCGTTTCAAGAACGCCGGGTGGCAACACGCACATGCAAGAAATCTTTGGGATCTCTGGTCGGATGACGGATTCGTGAGCAGTTCGCTGCGGACCTCATTGGATGCAGTCGAACCCTTCGATGAATGGGAAGAGTTCGCGCTCTTTGCGTCTCATTACTTCCTTCTTATCGCTTCTACAACCCAGGAACCACTGACAAGCAGTGCAGAGACGCCAGAGCTGCCAGAAGGGCTGGACGTATCTGATCAATTCAAACTGGCTGCAAAGTACCCTGCTGGAGGAGGCCAGCGGCGGTTCGGGGCTCTTATTCCTGATGGCGACAGCTCTCTCGGTTACCACGCTGGACTGGGCCGGCAGACGCGACTTGCCACAACGGACCTTTACACCAGTGATAAAGATGTTATTGCTTCTACCTCGTCGTTCCCTTCACGCGATGTGCCAGCCCGAATGTGTCACACCATAACGTCTCTTGCCTCCGGTGATTGTTTGCTTGTTGGTGGCCGAGCTTCACCAGCCTCTGCACTCTCCGATTGCTGGCTAAGACAGGCAAACGAGTGGCGTCCGACGCAAAGCCTCCCGGTTCCGCGCTTCAGACATAGTGCGACCAGCGTGACCTTGGAGTCCGATAATGTCCTTGTCTATGGAGGCAAGACAAGCGATGGCACGACGCTCGATACCTGGCTGTTATGGAGCAGTAATGGAGACGGGTGGCAACCGGTTGAGATGGCTGGAAGCAACCCCAGGGCCCGATTTGGCGCTTGCCTGGTAAGCATGGACAAGACCTCAGGTTTCCTCTTTGGTGGCCTTGGAGCCGATGGCGTCATGTGTGAAGATTTCTGGACATGGACGTTGCACCAGCGAAGCAATGGGCCGTACTGTCTGGAGTTGCACGACAGGACTGAAAATCTACGGACAGCTTCACCTCTCTTCGGGTATCTTAGCCGCTTCGGCGCCACTATCAGCCGGACTGCATATGGGCTAATCGTTGCTGGTGGCATCATCGCGCGGCAAATAGTGCCGCTGGACAAGGAGATCATGCTCCTCGATCCGACAGAGCTGACCAACTATCTGACTAGCGGAACTCCATCGCCGCCTAATCGTGCCCTGCTGTCAGCCGTGGGCTTGGGGGCGGAATTTGGTGGGCCCAGACCTTTGCTGGTCGGTCATGCCTCTTGTGCTGTTGACCCAAACCAGGTTCTGGTGCTGGGTGGTGGCGCAGTTTGTTTCTCCTTCGGAACGTTTTGGACAGAAGGCACTTGGCTCCTGAAACGCGCCGATGCAAGCGATGCAAGCGATGAGAACGATTGGACGTTGATCCCTGAAATTGTGCAGACGCCAAACGTCGAGGCGCCGTCGGCCGAACCGTCCAATGTGAGCCACCAAACCACCAAAGACATCACACCGATTCCTCGCGTGAAGATCGAAACCGCTGCACAATTCCAGCAGATCCTAGCTGATGGAAAACCAGTGATAATTGAGGGATCCGACATTGGCCCCTGTACTGAGCTTTGGACGAAAGAGTATCTCGCGAATGCCGTTGGCAGGGACCACAAGGTAGACGCCGTTGACCCCAGCGTTTAGCAATGAGATTTGGCTAAACGTCCTTGAATAGGTTGTTGTGCACGAGGCCCACTCGGAAAACATGAGTTTCCAAGCCAAGAACTTTTCCTATACAACCAAGGAATTTGGCTCGTTCCTGGACGAGGTGCATGCGGGTGGCCGTCAATATCTCCGAAGCATCTCCGCTGAGCAGCCAACCAAGCTCCCTGCCAACCTGGCCGTAGATTTTCCGAATTTGAAAGACGACTTTCGCCTCCCAGAGCCCCTGTCTCTGGTTGTCGACAATGCGCATAGTTCCCCACTGAGGATCTCAGGCCCCGTCACTTTGTGGCTGCACTACGATGTGAGTGTGCATGTGAACCGACACTGCAGGAGCGAGACACTGACCAGCATTAACAGGTGATGGCGAACGTCCTGTGTCAGATCCGTGGCGAGAAACGACTGATTCTCTTCCCACCTGGTGATGTACAATACCTCCAGATCCCTGCTGGGGCGTCGAGCTCTACCGTCAACATCTTCCAGAACGCCGGGGATGATTCAATTGCCTTGGTTCCACACACGTCGCCATATGAAGCAGTTATGCGTCGTGGCGACATTTTGTTCATCCCCCCGTTGTGGTTACACACAGCATCTCCGACCGGACAAGTCAGCGTTGCCGTGAATGTTTTCTTTCGCAACTTGTCCAAGGGGTATGCGGCCGGACGCGACGTCTACGGGAACCGTGATCTGCAGGCCTATGAGAAAGCGAGAAGCGATGTCCAAAAAATCGCGAAGTCTTTCGATGGGATTCCACCTGACATGGCCCGTTTCTACTTGTTGAGACTTGCAAAGGAGTTGAGGGATAAAGCCGAAGAATAGATAGGCCAAGTGTCCAGCCTTGGCCAGAGCCCGATGGCAATCTTCGGCTGCTGTAAATCACCACTTGTCAATATATCAGACTCGCCGCGGGATCTTCGCAGAGGAAGATGGCGCCCCCCCATCTGACTATCTAAGCCCAACTTGAGTGTTTCAGAGCCCTCCAGATTCTTTGACCTCTCAATGAATGCCTTGCCATGCAGGCATGCTGCATGCTTGAGATCGGGCCGCTTCCCAAAGCCAGCAGGGTGAGAAGCACGTGGTGGAATAGCAGCAACCTCCGGCCGAACTGGTGGTGCGGGGAGTTAAGGCAGAGGGGACGCGACGGGGAGGGGTTCAACTGTGGAGAGGAGTGCTCGAGCTTTGCTTGTAAAGAACTAAGAAAAGCCGAGGGTGGGTGGGGACTCTAGACCCGCCCGTGCACCTGTTTGACACTTGGTCCAGGTTGGCTACGGCCAACGCAACCCGTCCAGAAAGAACCAGAGTCCACCGCGGATGCCCGATTCGTTACATAACGTACGTTCTTACACACCACACGCCTCGGGCAATTAAGCCGGGGTATAGCGATGGGATGGTGGTGGAGGCTGCTGCTTATCATTCCAGATAGCGTTCAGGCGGCACCAAGGGACCGACCCTGCTGGATCCATTCGATGTCAGACCGGCCGCGGATAGTCAATGCCACGGCTGAAGGAGCCATGATTTCCCCTTGCACGCTGTTCTGATCATCAGTTCTCGATCGTAGTGTCGCGTGCCCAAGCGTAAGCATCCGGAAGGCGATCGTATTTGGAATGTGCTCCGTAGAGGGAGCAGGCAAGGGTAGACGTGCAACACACGGACGGAATGCAGGTCCAAGAGACGTGAAGACAATGTGAGAGAGCCTGAAGAAGCTCGGTGGAGGGAAAGGCACAGAAACAACCGTCTATGTATCTAGGGGCGATGAGGGAACAAGGAACGAGAACGAAAGAAAAGATCATCCCCATGTATGTATGCACTTAACGGCTCTTGCATATGGAACAGGGATTGACTTGCGCTAGTTAGGCACTCCTTACACTGCAAGGATGCCGACAGCGAGCAAGAATCTATCAATCTGTAAGTCAGCAAGTAAATAGTTAGCTGTCATGTCACTCGAGTTATTCCGGATCCCGGCCACCCGTGGTTGGGTGATATTCGGAGAAGGATGGTGGGAGGACCCATGACCTGCTTGCCCGAAACCATGGATCCTTGTCCTCGACCGTTGTCCAGCGAGATACCCTGGGTGGCACGGAAGCCAATCGCAAGACTGGCCGGCGAGGACTGAGTTTAGTGGCCCTATGATAGCTGTCGAGCCAAGGCCTCTCATTCGGTCGAACGGTGCTTCTGCACCTTTCCTTGTGTTGCCATGTCGCCAGTCCCAAGCCGGGAGGCCACCTCCTCTAGGCCCTATTGGGCGTTACACTAGAAGTGCTGGCGTCAAGACTCTTGAAAGGGGGGGGGGGGGGGGAAGAGGTTCTCGAGTGGTTGGGGGTGCGTTTGGAGATGACAAGGGCGGCGTCTTCAAGTTCAAGCCGACCAGCCTATTGTGTAGCAGCATGCGGCATCTGGGCTGGAATGGCCTGGGCGGCAGGATCGTTGGCCGCAAACGGGTATGTTGGATAATGGGCCTCTGCGGGTGGGGACGTCTGCCCGAAATCAAGGCGATGAGGTCAGTCAGGCCCAGGTCCGTAAGTTGATCGCTGCTGCGGGGAGGGGGAGGAGAGAGGGTGGGAAGTGTGTCAGAATAAGAGGGTCACAATAAGCCGCAGAACCACAGCAGCAGTAAATTGCGACAACGACAACAACAACAACAATGAAAGTGATGATGATGATGATCCCGAGAACCAGGCCAAGTGAGGTGGCAGCAAGGATGGCCAGATGGAATGGGGAGAGAGAGATTGGAAGACGCATGCGCAGGGGCAAAATACTAATACCTGGCGTAAAATACAGGAAACGACCCCCCTCTCTCCCCGGCGCTATCTTGCATCCACCCACCCGATTCCCCACCCGCCCGTGCTGGCCGTCCACTCCAGAGGCCCACCAGTCCTTACCCCTCCCCACCCCCGTACTGTACGGTGATTGTTATTATTTCTTGTACAACCACCACTTCGTCTTCCCCTCCACAGGTCCACACACCATCTCTCCTCCTCATCCTCTCTTCCTCCCTCTTCCCTCGATCAGAAGCAATAAGCAAAAAAAAAAAAATTAAAAATTAATCACCCCCCTCCCTTCTTGAAATCTCTCCGGGTTGGGTTATTACTTAGCTCGCCTTATCTGCTACCCTACGTACTTACTACTGTCTTGTCTATCCTTCGCTGGTTCATCCCATCTCTCTTCAACTTACCTGTCTTCCTTTCCTCCCCCCCCCCCACACACACCCTGGTCATTTCTGGATCGCCTTGGGTGCTCGCGTTTCTGGTTCCCTTATCGTTTGTGGGGTTGGGCGCGTCTTAGCTTGCTACTACTTCTTAGGCTTTAGCATCTATCTACTGTGGGTATTCATCTCTTCCCAGTTCCCACTTCCTAGTTAATTGACTTCTACCTAACGATCTCAGCCGCCTACCATTATTATTATTTTGCCGTACCACCTAACCTCCTTACTACTACCACCCTTTCCTTTTTTCTAAATCGAGCAGAGTTCGTCTATCTCTGTCAATGTTCCTTGGTTCAGTCTAGATTATCAATTAGCCTTTGGAAACGTGGTGTATGTCATCGGATCTCCCTCTCCACTGCCCCCTTCTTCGCCGAAACACAATGCGCTTGTTTGCTGTCGAACTTCGATTCCGGACGGATTTGCTAAACGACGTCTTCTCGCAGAAACTGATTGCCCGTTGGCCATTACGAACACGATCGCATTTTGCAGGCGCCTGTAAAGAATGTGCTATTGATTGGCCTCGTCCGCCACCTTACTGGATAGAGTCTACCCTCGAGGGATACTACCTACCATATTACCCACGATATACGGTGAAGCGAACCGACATCGAGCATGGCGACAGTTGTGGTACAGCAGCAACAGACCCTGCGACATTCGACCCCTCCTCCGTCGGGATTGTCCCCCGCATTGAGTCTGAACAGGACCTCGTCGCCCATCCCGAATAAGCATTTGCCCGTTTGCCCTACGGGGCCATCCCCTATCTCGCCTCATGCACCATCTCCAGCGACGAGAGACACCAGCAGTGATCAGACCTCTTCGCTGCTCTACCCACCCGACGCATTCCGACGGGTGCCCTCAACGTCGTTCTACTCGATTGACCTCAAATCTTTCACTGCTGCTCTGGCCTACTGGGCAGCGCAGCCCCTGCCGGATCCGTCTCAGGTCTTTCCATGGCTTCACGGACTTAACCCGGAGAACCATCTGCAGGTGGGGTTCTTCACAAATCGAAGGCGCTCTCTTCGTCGGACTCCGAAATGCTGGCGGGGCATTACCATAATCAAAGTCGGCGGCGATCTGACCAGAGCAAGGATAAAAGGCGCAGTGTCTCCCGAGGAGGTCCTTGCGCCATCGGGCGTGGAATTCATTCCAGTTGACCCGCGAGAAGGGTTCTCAGTGCGCAACTTCCAGATACAGACCGCGAAGCTGGCACCGTTGTCTGACATTATCGTATATGGCGAGGATGGTGTAACTCAACGGCAGGTTTTGGATATTGCTGGAAGAATGGCACTAGCGCAGTACACCTGGAGGATAAAGAACGACCCAGACCAGAGCATGCCTACTTACAATACCTTCGTCCTTGCCTGTGAGTCGGTCCCGATAGTCAACTCATGAACACGAACTAAATCATAGCAGCTCCCTTTTCAGAGGTTGAAAGGAGATATCCGGAGCTGGTGGCCATTAACTCCAACGGGCAGCTGACGGGCCAGGTTGTCGATTTCTGTGAGCTACAAAGGCCATCGCCTCGGGAAAGTTTACTTCTAACATCTCATTAGTTCAATGGGAACGGCTGGAGATGTGTGAGATGTCCCAAGCATCCGAGATCTCATCGAATGTCTGGTTAGGCCCGACGCCTGACCATTTATTGCGTCCTGGGTCTTGCGGGCCCGCACCTACCGATAATTACGATCTTTTAATCGAGGCTAGCGAGCTCGCGAACATCCCCGGTCCACGTTTTCTGGCAAATATCAACAGGCAGCTCGATGACGGTCCGCAAAAGCTTGAATTCCCTTCATCCGGCGCAATTCTTCTGCCGTCGGGCGAGACCAGAGAGATTGATGATCTAGTTAACACGGTCCGCTGGATGTACTACACAGCCAACCCTGATGAGCCAGATCACAAGGCCGATGCTGATGGAGATATCTCCATGACCCCTGTGAATAAGAAGGCCCGCAAGATCCTGATCCACTGTCCCGATGGATACACCGAGAGCTCCTTGCTGGCGATCGCATATGTGATGTTCGCGGAGGGGATTACCGCTCCTAATGCCTGGCTTAGGCTTCATTGCGAGAAGAAGCGGAACTTCTTCGCTTACCCATCCGACATCCAGTTAATGAGCACCGTGCAAGGGAGACTACTACAGGAAAGCCCCGCGACGCGATCACATAAAATAAAGAGTCTCCCTGATCCTGCTTGGTTCGGGTATTGCGACGGTTCTCTCCCAAGCCGGATCCTGCCTTACATGTATTTGGGCAATCTATCCCACGCCAACAACCCCGAAATGCTCTGTGCTTTGGGTATCAAGCGGATCCTCAGCATAGGCGAAACTGTGGCGTGGAGCAGCGCTGAGGCCAAGATGGATCCTAAGAATGTCATGCACATAACTCAGGTCCAAGACAATGGCATCGACCCCTTGACTCAGGAATTCGATCGCTGCCTGGAATTCATCCGTGAGTATACTCGACACCTACTAGTCAGATCACCGTGCTAACCAGATCGGATTGTCAGGACAAGGAAAATCCGACGGGATGGCTACATTAGTCCATTGTAGAGTGGGCGTCTCACGCTCAGCGACTATCTGCATCGCCGAAGTCATGGCATCTATGGGTCTTTCTTTCCCCAGAGCATAGTAAGTCTGAACAACTAGATCCAAGATCTCGAATACCATATGCTGACATACCACCAGCTGCTTTGTTCGGGCAAGAAGGCTCAACGTTATCATCCAACCCCACCTTCGATTTGTGTAAGACTCACTTTCATATTTCCCTCGCACAAGGATAACCTCATCTGACTAATTCCCCAGATATGAGCTACTTAAATGGGAGGAATTACAATTACAAAAGCGGAACAAGCCCGCAAGGAGAGAATTAGAGTGGGCCACTGTGGCTCGCGAGATCGCATTGATGAACAAACCATATTCCAGGTAGTGGAATGGGACCTGCAAAAACCACGCATACCCCCTGCAGAAGGGAAACATGGCCTCTGCGCTCACTGTCCACACCGCAGCCATGCCATGCCATGCCATGCCATGCCCATCTGTCCCGCACATGGAGATCCACCGTCTCACTTGATTGATGGATAGAAATCTGATACGATGATGACCGATATGGAAGACATGAGGGAACGAACAAACGGATTCATGAGTTATTTTATTATTTTTTTCCCCTTACTTTCTCATTTCATTTTTTTTCTTCATTTTCTTGATCTTTGGCGTTTGATGGACTTAATCTATGGATGCGATGCGATGCGGTTCAGGCATCCAATATATGCTATGCTAGGACTGTTTGTGTGGTTTCTTTTGGGAGGCGTTTCATCGTGGCTTGATTTTGATTTGGGAATAGGTATCCTCTCTCTATCTCTCTTTCTCTCTCTATTATGTCCTTACTATCTTTAACTGATTCATACACTACTTTGATGTCGGGTTTGGTCCTGACATAACTTACTGGGTTCGGACTTACTTTCCTACCTTCCTACTTTCCTACCCGCCGGCTGTCTTGGTCTGGTAATCTTTAACACTATTTCTAATCAGGGAACAGAGAACGTCTGGCTGGGTTTGTATGATGGATGGCTAGATGGGTTTGGATAGTTGGTCTGAGTTGAATATGTCTCATGTTTTTTTTTTGGGGGGGGGATAGAGACTACTATGGTTATATACTCGGATATGTAGTGTGGTAGATGATGCATCGTTGATTGGCTTTTGTTTGATTCGTGGTGGTGGTGGTAGTAGTAGTAGTTCATTGTTTCAGACAGTTGTTGTTCATCACATCTTCACATACAAACGCATATATCCCGTTCCCTGACCTGAAAGATATATATCTCGGGCTAAAACCAGTAGTACATTACAACAGACCGACCCCACTCATCAGGATCAAGATCAACATCACCATGATCAACACCGCTCAAACACCCTATACAACCCCTTCAAATCCGCCACCTCGACCACCCCCCTCAACAGCCTCGTTGTAGCAACAAGCCTCCCCCTCAACGCCGGAAAAACCACATGTTCGAGCATGCGCGCGATCTGCGCCCGTCGCTGCGTGATGAATTCCTCTTCCTCGTTCTGTGTCTGTGTCTGGGATTCCGAAGGACCAGCTGTGCCCGACTCACCTGTCCCATCCACCGCTGACTCCGAAGCCGGAGTCGGCAACTGCTCCGGAGTATAGAAAGCAGCCAACTCACGGAGAAACGTGCGGAAACAATCCTCCTCGCTTGTCCAGTCGACGTAGGGGCCGAGACGGAGGAGGAACCGGGGGAGTTTGGCCAGACAGGGGAGGTAGCCTTTTAGGAGCAGGGGAATGGAGAGGAGGGTGCCGTCGGGGGAGATTTCGAGCGAGAAGTATTCCGAGAGCATTTCGCGGCGGGAGAGGAGGGTTTGGTGGACGGTGGAGGGGGCGGTGGTGAAGATTTCGGTGGCCTCGTTTTCGGTTTCCGTGATGGTGGTTTGTGTTTGGGATTGGGATTGGGATTGGGATTGGTGGGCATGGGCATCGCGTTCAGTTTCAGCGGCGATGCGGAGGAGATCGATGATTTTGGGGGCGGGGGAGAGCTTGATAGTCCCGAAGTTTCCGAAGTCGGTGAGGCCGATTTGGTAGAAGAATTCCGTGCAGAACATGCCGTAGTCGATGAGGTAGAGCTTGACGCCGGATTGGATGGCTGCGATGCGGCGACGTTCGTCGATTAGGCCGACGTAGGTGTGCGAGGCGATGGTCTCGGTGAGCGTGTTGTGCATGTTGTTGCGGACGGAGGCGCGGAGGTTCTTGATTGAGGTGAGCGCAACGCGGAGGGGTTCGCGGGTGGTGGTTTCGTAGTGCAGGCCTGGGTCGGCGATGGTTGGGGGGGTGAGGGTGGAGGGTCGTTGGTTTGTCGGTGTGGATGTGGATGGGTCTCCGGATATAGCTGGGGAGAGCATGGAGGTGATTTTGCGGACTTTGGAGTCGGTGCGGACGAGGTTGTTTTCGTAGGGCTTTTTGGACGTGCTGGGGGTTTTGGGGATTGTGTTTCCATTGCTGTTGTTGGTGTCGTTGTCGCGGTTCAAGGGCTCGATGGTTGTGACCCCCGGGAGGAGGGTCTGGGTTAAGAAGGTTCGGCTGGAGTCGACTTGTGCGAGTTTGGATCGGATCTCGTTGCAGATGCTTTCGATGATTTCGTCCTCGTTGAGAAAGTTCACTTCGCGCTTGGTTGGATGGACGTTCACGTCGACTCGTTGGGGTTCGATCTCGAGATCGATGTAGACGAATGGGTGGCCGCCTTTGGGGAGGAAGCTGGAGTAGGTTTGTTCGACTGCTCGTTTGATGGCCGTGGATTCGACAGAACGGTGGTTGATAAAGAGGAGGACGGCGGTTCGCTTGACGTGGTAATTTGCGTTCGTGACGAGCCCTGAGGAGCGGAATCCAAGCTTGTCATCCTCGACTTTGAACTCCACAAGCTCGTTGGCTACTGCGCTGCCGTGGATCTGACGTATCCGCTCGATGGTGTTGGCAGCTGCCGGTGTTGAGACACTGACGCCTGAGTCGCCATGCTTGCGACACGAGAATGCCACTCCAGAGCAGTGGACGGAGTACCGACCAACTACGTCCAGGATCTTGGCGTACTCTTCACTTGCCGATCGAAATGCTCGACGTCTGGTGGGGACGTTGTAGAACAGGTCCTCGACCTGGTGAAGTTAGATATGCGGTAGGATATGGAAGAGAGGAAGTGGCTTTGCGTACCGTGATCTGAGTGCCACCACGTCCAGCGGTGGCTTTGGGGGCGGCGCTCTGGCCAGGTTTGGGTGCGACGAGATTCCCACCACTGTATTGGGCTCTCCATGCGCAGCTGGAGCCCGCGGTTTTGGTAGTCACAGTGAGATGGGCTATATGGCTTATACTGGCCAAAGCTTCGCCTCGGAAGCCGTAGGTCCCTATGGATGACAGGTCCTCGAACTGTTTCAACTTGGACGTGGTGAATCTCTCACACAGGATGGGAAGGTCATCTCTCTGTTATAGACATTAGTTGGTTTACCACAAGATAGGTTGTATACACCTTGATACGCACGTCAATGCCATGGCCGTTGTCTGTGATCTGGAGGAGTTTTAACCCGCCGTCCTTGACCAAGATCTCGATGGAGGTTGATCCGGCATCCACGGCGTTTTCGATCAACTCCTTCAGTGCATGCATGGGGGCCACAATGATCTCCCCTGCTGCGATTTTGTTCACGACATCTGGGTCCAGGGCCTGTCCATTGATATTAGCGCGGAAATGTATGATTGAAGGTGTGGAAATCGACCTTGATTCTCTTAGGTCGCTGGGGCACTTCAGCGTGCACTTCAGCGTCCTCGGCCAGTCTTTTGGTGCCCCGAGGTTCTGGAGAGTCCACCTCCATTTCTGGATCCATGGCCATTGTTTTTTTTTTTTTTTTGTTTTGTTGTTTCTATCCAGGACCACAGGGATGGTATGACGTAGGGTCTCTGGTCGTTCTTGAGACGGCCAACAATGAAGGGGTGGAGTGGAGAAAGAAAGAAGGCAAACCACTGCAGGCGGCGATAAGATGCGGAGGCCAATTAATAACCGCGTCCAACGCCCGCAACCGTCCAACTAACGCGTCGCCCCTCAGCACCATCCATCAATGCTGACCTCCTCCGCCACCGCTCCCTCGGAGCATCCTCTCACATGTGCGAATGATGTTCCCCTCCAGGAGGCCTTTTTTGGCAGATGAGGAGCTGGGGAAGAAGGATGACGACCACCGCCTGCGGTCCAGTCCTGCATCGCCATGGCGTCCCAAGCAATGGAAGCCACCCCGACCGCGACGCTTCTTGCTAGGCATCCTGGCCCTGTATCTCCTCTACCTCTTCTTCAAGAATATGCCCACCGACCTGCTCCCTGCCCCCGAGCGATTTAGCCCAGAGCTCAGTCAAGCGCGACAGGCCGCATTGCAGCTACAACTACAGCGGGGACAGCAGCAGCAGCAGCAACTTCAATCTCCGCCATCTTCGCAAACGGGCCCCCCTGACCGAGACGAGAATGACGCAGCGCCCAAGGATGACCTCTATTATGATGGGAGGATCAACTTCTTCTCTTTGGCCAGATCTCTGCACCGGTTCCAAAGACCACAGTCGCGCTACGAAAGGACCCAAAGCCGCGCAGTCGTCTTCGCCGGCGCAAGCTTAAGCAGTGTCTCGGACCTTATTCCTCTGGCTTGTCAGATGGCCAGCCGAAGAGTCAACGAAGTGCACTTCGTGCTGATGGGAAGGGATGATGTGTCCATTGAAGGGATCCAACGAGTCAATGGCATTGATGATGCGGCGTGTCCAGTTAATTGGCATGGTATGTCTTTTGAAAACGTCTAGCTACGATTTCGCTGGCTTAATGTGCTGATGACTATCTGCTTCAGATGCTCGGCCCGATTACGCGCCATGGTCAACGGACGCTCGTATGGAGAGAGCTGTAGCCGCCAGCCTCAACTATATCCGATCCTATCTCCTTCCCCAAGTCATCCTCACACAAAGCGAGTCATGGGAGGATTCGTTCTTCTGGAAAGGCCTTCAAAGTAGAGTCCCCGAAATTGGGGTTCCTCATGTTGCTCTTAGTAGCGCGGCACGGGATCTTATGTGGGTGTCCACGCTCGACAGTAGCGCTCTTCGAGGTAAATCTACAGCTCCGGGGTACAATAACCGTGCTAATGGGTTCACCAGTCTGGAACGATATCCAAGTTGAAATCCTCATTCATGCTCCGCCCGAGTCCTCCGGATCTTTGATAAGGTTGATCCGGACATTACAAAACGCAGACTATCTGGGAGGATCGCCTATTCTAACCATAGAGCTTCCCCCTCAAGTAGATCCAGAACTTCTGCATTTCTTGCAGTCGATGAAATGGCTCCCTCACGCCTCTGGCAAGATTAACCTTCGCCGACGAATCCAGCCGCACGATATGGATTCTGCTGAGGCGTCCCTGAAAACCGTGGAGGCTTTCTATCCCAGAGATCCGGATCTGTCCCATGTGCTAGTGCTTTCTCCACAAACGGAACTGGCACCCTCATTCTATCATTATCTCGTATATACCATGCTCAGATACAAGCATTCAACTCGATCAAAGCAGTTGGCTACCAAGCTTCTGGGAATCTCACTCGAACTCCCATCCTCTCGTCTTACCGACAACGCACCCCTGGAACCACCAGAGGTGGACAATGACCAGTTTTCCGGTGCCGACAACAGCGAAGTGTTACCGCTCTTCCTCTGGGAAGCCCCGAACAGTAATGCGGCGCTGTATTTCGGCGACAAATGGGCCGAGTTCTATGACTTCCTCTCGAACCGCTTTGCTATCCAGGAGGCCATGGCGGAGGCTCCGCCTCAGGAAAAGCTCATTTCCAAGAAATACCCCGCTGTCATGGAGTATTTGTTAGAGTTTACCCGCGGACGAGGGTATTATTTACTTTACCCAACATTCCCCGCCAAGGGAACCTTCACTCTTGCGACGGTACACAACGAATTATACCATGCTCCCGAAGAGTTTGCTCAGGATAGCTCGTCGGATGTCCCGGAACCGTCACCCGAGGAGATAGATGACCCGGCCAAGCCTCTTACACCAGAGCCTGTTGAAGGGTTAGGAGTTGTTGAAAAGCCTCTGAGCCGGGCATCCACCGTGATGCCGCTTCTTGAACGATTCTCCTTGAATCTGCCGCGGATCGACTATCTCCCTCTACTGTCTTACAGTGGCCAGAGGGTCTCGGGCTTGGCCTATACCCAGGGCATCGAAGCCTACAGCAAGCTGTTCCGAGCGCGGTATGGAGGATGTTCGGATGGCGATTCCAGCCGGGAGACGGCTGTGGGGGGCCTGTTCTGTCTGGAGCGATGAGTAGTAGTAGCTGGGCGAGACGGCTCCCACGTAGTTAGGATAAGCTGTATAATATACCCCCATGTAATTTTGCTTGTTCATGTCGCGAGTGCGTGTTTGATGTTCGTAGATAAAGGCAGACGCTAGTGCCTGAGGCGCCGCTTCCATGGCATGCCATGGCTTGGCGGCGCCTCTTACATAATCAGGCGGTAGCTCCACCAGCAGCGCAACGCCCGAGCGGCGAACGAACAGAGAGCTCTCTCTGCCTCCCATCAACAACAAGCTTATAATCAGTCCCTACTTCATCGCCTGGAGTGTGAAGGCTTGCCCCATCAAAGCTTTCCACTCTTGCTATCGCCTTCTGCGGTCTCTATATATCCCGTCCACCCGCCTCTCCGAACCCACCCAGACACCTCGCCCTATATAACCCGTCAGACATGGCGCAAGACGGCGAGCGGTCAGCTCCCGCCGACAAGGGCAAGGGCAAGGTTGACGATGTCAAGGACTTGTCTGGCGGAAAGAAGACCAAGGCTGACGAGAAGCCACAAGCCGATGGAAAGAAGAACGAGGACGAGTCGGAAGGTACGTGACCTTACGAGTCTCCGGGCGGAGATGACCCGACGCCGCGTTCCATCCTGAGCTACCTGTGCGTTGGGAAAGGCACTGACATATCCGATCATTAGAAGAGCTTAACGAAGAAGACCAGCAGCTGAAAAATGAGCTGGAGATGCTTGTGGAGAGGCTGAAGGTACGGGAGAGCAGCCATTCTCTTGGTGTCCCGAGCGATGACGTTAACCTTCAACCTACCACTCTCTAGGAACCGGACACCACGTTGTACGTCCCTGCCTTGGACGCGATCAAGAACTTCATCAAGACTTCAACATCCTCTATGACTGCTGTCCCAAAGCCCCTGAAGTTCCTAAGACCGCACTACGATGAGCTCACGGGGCTTTATGACAAGTGGCCGGCCGGTCCGGTTAAGGTTCGCTCCCTGGCCTGCTGCCTGCAGACGATTGCACTCGGCTAACCACACAATGTTGCATGCAGGACTCGTTGGCCGACATGATTTCGGTCCTCGGAATGACCTACGGAGACGAGGAGAAGCTCGAGACCCTGAAGTACCGCCTGCTTACCAAGTCGGAGGACCTCGGCTCCTGGGGCCACGAATATATCAGACACCTGGCGCTGGAGATTGGTCAAGAGTACCAAAATCGACTCAACGCGGAGAAGGATGTGCAAGACTTGATTGATCTCGCGCTGTCTCTTGTTCCGTACTTCTTGGGCCACAATGCTGAAGCCGATGCCGTTGATTTGTTGAGTGAGCTTGAGATCATCGAGGAGATCCCGCGGTTTGTGGACGAAAACACCTACCCCAGGGTTTGCCTGTACATGGTCAGCATGGTCAACCTCCTCACATACCCGGAAGACCAGCAATTCCTTCGGACCGCCCACGAGATCTATGTTCGCTACAAGCAGCTCACCAAGGCCATCGTTCTTGCCATCCGCTTGAATGACACCGATCTCATCAAGAGTGATCTTAATGCCACCGAGGACAAGTCGATCAAGAAGCAGATGGCTTTCCTTATCTCCAGACAGCAAATATGGCTTGACCTTCCTGAGGAAGAGGAAGACCAGTCCTTCATGGACTGCTTGAACAACACTTCGATTCCCAAGCACTTCAAGTCCCTCGGAAAGGAGCTTAACATTCTTGATCCCCAGATGCCCGAGGATATCTACAAGACGCACCTGGAAAGCAGCCGCGGAGCTGGTCTCACTAATGTCGACTCCGCCAGGCACAACCTCGCCAGTGCCTTTGTCAACTCCTTCACAAATGCTGGGTATGGTAACGATAAGATGATGCTTGTCGAGGGCGATAAGGGCCCCTGGGTTTGGAAGACCAAGGACGATGGTATGCTGTCGACAACGGCTTCGATGGGTATGCTTTTGCACAGAGATGTTGAGGCTGGTCTGGATAAGATCGACAAGTACACTTATGCCTCGGAGGACCAGATCAAGGCCGGTGCATTGCTTTCTATCGGTATTCTCAACTCTGGTGTGCGGATAGACTCGGATCCCGCTCTGGCTCTCCTCAGTGACCCCGACAACCTGGAGGCTAAGAGCGTGCCCATGAGAGTTGCCTCTATCATGGGTCTTGGTCTGGCCTATGCCGGCTCCAACAAGGAGGAACTGCTCGAGGTCCTGCTCCCGATTGTTGAGGATGTTTCGACGGACATGCAGCTTTCGGCGATGGCGGCCGTGTCGCTGGGTCTTATCTTCGTTGGCTCCTCCAACCACCAAGTCAGTGAGGCCATCGCCACCACCCTGATGGATGAGGAACGGCAGAAGCACCTCAAGGACAAGTGGACCCGTTTCATGGCCCTTGGTCTGGCACTCCTGTACTTTGGCCGTCAGGAAGAGGTTGATGTTATCCTTGATATTCTCAAGGCTGTCGACCACCCTATGGCCAAGCCGACCTCGGTCCTCGCATCGGTGTGCGCGTGGGCTGGCACTGGCACTGTCCTGAAGCTCCAAGAACTTCTCCACATCTGCAACGACATCATCGACGAGGAGGATGACGAGAAGAAGGGCGATGAGCTCGTCCAGTCGTATGCTGTGCTTGGTCTGTCGCTCATTGCTATGGGAGAGGAGGTCGGACAGGACATGATCCTGAGACAATTTGGTCATCTCATGCACTACGGTGCCAGCAATATCCGGAAGGCGGTTCCCCTTGCCATGGGGTTGATCTCTCCCAGCAACCCTCAGATGAAGGTCTACGACACCTTGTCCAGATACAGCCACGACAATGACAACGATGTCGCCATCAACGCCATCTTCGCCATGGGTCTTTGCGGTGCCGGTACTAAGAACGCCCGACTGGCCCAATTGCTCCGCCAGCTGGCCAGCTACTACCACCGCGACCAGAACACGCTGTTCATGGTTCGCATCGCCCAGGGTCTGTTGCACATGGGCAAGGGCACAATGACCCTCAACCCCTTCCACACAGATCGCCAGGTCCTCTCGCGCGTTTCCGCGGCTGGCCTGCTTACCGTGCTCGTGTCTCTGATCGACGCCAAGCAATTCATTCTCGCCGAACACCACTACCTCCTCTACTTCCTCATCACCGCCATGTACCCCCGCTTCCTTGTCACGCTCGACGAAGACCTGCAGCCTCTCACCGTCAATGTACGGGTTGGACAGGCCGTGGATGTCGTTGGCCAAGCGGGTCGCCCCAAGACGATCACGGGATGGCAAACGCAAAGCACGCCGGTGCTCTTGTCTCACGGTGAGCGTGCGGAGCTCGAAGACGAGCAGTATATTCCTCTCAGCAGCACGCTGGAGGGCCTGGTCATCCTGCGCAAGGTAATTCTGCCCCACTATTTGGATCTCGTATCATGAAGCTAATGTCGTGACAGAACCCGGACTGGGAGAATCCCGCGTGAGTAAGATGATCTTTCGACACGAAGTATTGCGGATGGGTTGAGCGCAGGGAGGATTATAGCGCTCGGGTCTTTGGGTCTTAATGTATTCAGCATGAATTGGAAAATAGCATACACCATCGGTCATCGTGTTCAATCCATCTATTAGAGTGGCGGATATGACATGCATAGGTGGACCAATGCTAGTATGATCATCAGCTCTATCTAGTCTCTATACATCTGTAGAACTTATCCGTATATCCGTCCCAAAGCGGAAACTAGGGCATAGGGCAGGGCGCCATGACTTTTCCGCGTACCTTGACGGAACGCCCGACCCTCCAGCGCAACTTCAAGTCGGATCGGCCAGGACTGCTATCCGGTATACCGGGAAACGATACCTATTTTCTAGATCTGATCCAGCTATCGAACGCAGCCCGCCATGAAGCTCGACCCGAAAGCGATCCGCTACCTCACGTCCGAGGACTTCCGCGTTCTCTCCGCTGTACGCACGCCCCTCACCACCCCCGCCTTCTGTCCGCATGGTCGCAGCGTGTTGTCTGACGGCTAACAGACCCATTTTCTAGGTCGAGACCGGAAGTCGCAACCATGAGGTCGTGCCGACGCCTCTGATCGCTCAGATTGCGGGTCTCCGCGGTGGCAGCGGAGTGCACCGCGCCATCTCCAACCTAGCCAAGACCAACCTGATCGCCAAGGTGAAGAATGCGAAATGTACGTTATATATGCAGCTCCTGTCGCCTCTCCGGACCCCCGGCGATCCAATAAATCACATAACACATACTTATATACGATACTTACATACGCTTCCTATTCAGATGATGGCTACCGCCTCACCTACGGCGGACTGGACTACCTCGCGCTCAACGCCCACCAAAAGCAGAAATGCATCTACTCGGTCGGCAACCAGATCGGCGTGGGCAAGGAATCCGACATCATCGTGGTGGCCGCGCATGACGGCACTCAGCGCATCCTGAAAATCCACCGGCTGGGCCGCATCTCGTTCCGCACGGTCAAGACCAACCGCGACTACCTGCGCCACCGCAGCACCGGCTCCTGGATGTACATGTCGCGGCTGGCAGCGATGAAGGAATACGCGTTCATGAAGGCGCTCCGCGAGAACGACTTTTCCGTCCCCGAACCCATTGCCCAGAATCGTCACACCATCGTCATGAGTCTCATCGATGCGTTTCCGCTGCGCCAGATCTCGAAGGTCGCGAACCCGGCTGCCTTGTATGCGGAGTTGATGGATATGATTATCCGGTTGGCGCGGTTTGGGTTGATTCATGGTGATTTTAACGAGTTTAATATTCTGATTAAGGAGGAGGAGGATCCGGAGGCGAAGGGCAAGGGGCGCGAGGGTGAGGGGGATGAGGAAGATGTGAATGTTCGTCTCACGCCCGTCATGATCGATTTCCCGCAGATGGTGTCGATCGACCACGCCAACGCCGAGATGTACTTCGACCGCGACGTCAGCTGCATCAAACGCTATTTCCAGCGCAAGTTCCACTTCGTCAGTGATATCCCCGGTCCGACCTTCGCCAATGCGCGGAAACAGATGATTAAGAACCCTGGCAAGCGGCTGGATGTCGAGGTCGAGGCGTCGGGTTTCTCGAGGAAGATGGCGCGCGAGTTGGAGAAGTATATGGCGGAGGTGGGCGCGAATGGGGATAACGAGAAGGGAAGTGGCGATGAGGACGAAGATGAGGAGGATGAGGAGGACTATGGTTCTGAAGAAGAGGAGGGAGAGGAAGAAGAGCGTAACGCTGCTGAAGAAGATGTCCCACCCGCGCAGTCTGATGATGTCGCTCGGCGACTAGGGAACCTGCAGGTGTCGGATAGGCAGTAGGGTGGTTTTGTGTGTTTTTTTTGGTTTTTGTTTTTCTGGGCTAAAAAGTAAACGATAATGACCATGATGAATATAGAATTTTCACATCTTCCCTTGTCTTTTACCCTTAGTCTGTCAACTGATTTCAATGAACATGTAGAACCGTAGAAGTCAAGTAAGTGAGCGCGTGAGTGCCTCGGAAAGACCGACAGCACTACGGGCGCCGAGGCGGCCAACCGCGCAAAAGCAAAGTTCCGCCGCCGACGAATCCATCCAATCCATACATTGATTTATTCGTTCATTCAATCCAGCTTCCTCCCTCCACCACCTCCCCCTCCTCACCACCCCACCCATCTCCGTGCTCCGACAGAATTGGAGCACATCCATCCCACCAAGATGGTCCGCAAATTCTCCAAGTTCCCCAAGAAGGCCGCCGGATGGGTATCCCCCGCGGCGCCGCTGTCCGCGCGGAAGCAGGTATATCTGTGAGTGAACACCAATCCCAATCCCAATCTCAATCCCAATCCCAATCCCAATCCCCCTTCCTCTCTCTCCCTCCTCCCAATTCCAACCCCCACAATCAAGACCCCACCCCCCAAACACCTAACAGCGATAAATCCGCAGTCCCGAAACAACAATCGCCCTAATCCGCACACCCTTCCTCCCCCCCCGGTACGCCGCCTTCTACGTGCCTCTGAATTTCAACAAGCTGGATATCCGCGACTACCTGCAGCGGCTGTACGGGGTCGGGGTGTTGCGGGTGCGGTCGTTCGTCGAGCAGCAGAAGGTGACGCGCTTGCGTCCGCTGGGTAAATACGGCTATGGACGGTTGAGAAGGCCCGAGAGTAAGAAGAAGATGACGGTTGAGTTGAAGAATCCGTTTGTTTGGCCGGAGGTGCCGAAGGAGTTGGATGCGTATGTTTTCCTTTTCTTATTCATGCGTTTTTTTTTCTTTTCTTTCTTTTGGTTTGTGGGGTTGGGTGTGTGGCTGTTTTGATCATGATGGATGGATGGGTGGGTGGATGATGCTAACGATCTTTTCAAAAACAGCTGGGAGAAGGACCAATTCTTCAAGGCCGCCAAGTACCAAGAAAAGCTCCAGGACGGTCAGAAACCCGACGCCGCCACGAAGAGAGACGAGGATGGCGAGGCCGCGATGGCCGCCGAGGCCAAGAAGTTGTTGAGTGGTGAGAAGACTTGGAGGCCGACTTGGCAAGCCCTGGGGCTGAACTATGATCGGCCCGTTGTGGGGAAGAAGCGTCCGTGAGGGGGTTCTTGATGATTTGGGGGTTGGTATAAGGGGGGAAAAGATGAAGAGAGAGAGAGAGAGAGAGAGAGAGAGTGTGTGTGTGTGTGTGGGTGAGGGGGTGTGTTGATCTGGTCATGGAGGGAGAGATGATATTAGAGATGCTGGAAGTGGGTGAAACCAGGGTTAACCTACGGGTTACTTGGGGTCGTGGTCATGGTCGTGGTCATGGTCGTGGTCATGGTCGTTTGGACGTTGCTCGGATGGATTGATTGGTTTATCGATTGGTTCTGTTTCTGTTTCTGGTTCTGGTTCTTTAGATTGCTGGTTGGCTCTGATCTGATTACTTACCCTTCCCTTTCCCTGGACTGGGCTGTCTTATGTGATGTATGTGTATTATATTGTCCTGGTCGTATAAATACGATTTTTCTTATTCTGAGAGTTACTTCATCTATCTAATCCAGCCCAGCCTAGCCTAACCTGTGTTAGGGTTGATTAATAAAATAGGTTAGATGGTTTCTTTTTTTTTTTTTGTATGGGTGTTGGGTAAGTTAAGAGGATGGGATAGAGTATTCATTCTTTGTATGGGCGTTAATTCAGATGTATAATAGGTACTTTACTGTAGGTACGTAGTATGTTTATACCGAGACAGGAGTGCGATGGGATGGAAGGGGCATATATCAAACCCGCATCGTCAAAGAAAGTAAGTGGTCGCTGCGCTGAAACACGAAAATGAACCAAAATGGAAGGCCACACAGCACATCCATAAATACATAAATGCGGAGCAATTTGTGTTAACGCCCAACACCCTGGGAAAAAAAAAAAGAAGAAAGTAGAGAGAAGAAGACAGAAAAAGGAAAAAAGATTACAGTCGACTCTCGATGAAGTTCGTGTGCTGACCGGGCCAGTGCGCGTCTGGCCAGACCTGGCGGATGGCTTCCCAGATGTGTCTAACAGAACAGTATTAGCAAGTGTTGGTATAAACACGGAGATACGGTACTTACTTGACGTAAACGATTTCGAGCCCCTCGCTGACCTCCGTGGGCACATCCTTGACGTCTTTCCGGTTGTGCTGGGGCAGAAGGACGGATTTCACGCCGGCGCGGTGCGCGCCGATGAGCTTCTCCTTGATTCCGCCGACGGGCATCACTTTTCCGCGCAGGGATATTTCGCCGGTCATGGCCAGGCTGGGGGGCACGGCTTTGCCGGTGAATAGGGAGATCAGGCCGATGGTGTGGGCGAGGCCGGCGGAGGGGCCGTCCTTGGGGATGGCGCCGGAGGGGCAGTGGACGTGCAGGCTGCGGTTCTTCATAATGTCTTCGTTGGGATCGGCGGTCAGTCCGAGCTCGAAGGCGTGGGCTTTCACCCAGGTGAGGGCTACTTCGACGCTCTCCTTGAGCACGTCGCCTAGCTTGCCGGTGAGTTGGACGCGGCCGTTGCCGGGCATGTCTGCTACCTCGATGAAGAGGATGCTGCCTTGGCCGCCGGTGGAGTAAGCGACCAGGCCTGTGACAACGCCGGGGCGGCCGTGTTTCTCGGCGATTTCTTCGTCGAAGCGTTCGATGCCCAGGATGTCTTCTAGGTCGTCCATTGAGACGACTGGGTTGTAGGTGTCGAGCTTGTTGGTGTCCCCTGCATCTGCGAACTGGACGGCTTTGGATCGACAGACTGAGCCGAGTTCACGCTCGAGGTTCCGGACACCGGATTCTCTGGTGTATGAGGTGATGACTTTGTCGAGGACGTCGTCGGACAGAATGACCTGGCCGTCTGAGAGACCGTTCGCCCGGACCTGCTTGGGGACAAGATGTCTCTTGGCGATATGGCGCTTCTCGACGGTTGTGTAGCCGGACAGCGAGATGGTCTCCATGCGGTCGAGAAGTGGTGCGGGGATGGTGTCCAGGGAGTTGGCGGTGGCGATGAAGAGCACCTTGCTCAAGTCGATGGGGATGTTGATGTAGTGATCCGAGAACGTGTGGTTTTGCTCAGGGTCCAAGACCTCGAGCATTGCTGCGGACGGGTCACCCTGGAAATTGGCTCCGCCGACTTTGTCGATTTCATCGAGCAAGAACACCGGGTTGGCGACCCCAACTTTCTTGAGGCCGCTGACGATCAATCCGGGCATTGCGGCCACGTAGGTTCTGCGATGACCTCTGATTTCGGCCTCGTCTCTGACACCACCCAGGGAGATTCGGTGGAACTTGCGGCCCAGAGAGGCGGCGACGGACCGTGCCAGGCTTGTCTTTCCGGTGCCAGGGGGGCCGACGAGCAGGAGGATCGGTGACTTGTCGCCCATGCGTCGGGACTTCAGGAGATGTAGTTTCGTCTCAATGGCGACCCGGTCCGATTCGGAAACATCGGGAATGTCCTTCTCGAGGTCGTTTCGCTCGGAGGCATCGAGCTCCTTCGACAAGGTCTCGATCTGGCGTTGGACGTCCTGGTTGGTGGATTGTTTGAGTCGCAGGACCGCCAAGTACTCGAGAAGCCGCTTCTTGATCTTCTCTAGCCCGTAGTGATCATCGTCTAATTGCTTTCTCGCCTTCTTCAGGGTTTCCGGTCCCAGCTGGTCCTCAGTAACCTTGACCCATGGGATATCGGCAATGTTCTCGAGGTACGACCTGCACACGCCATACTCCGCATTTGCCGGATTCATCTTGCGAAGACGGCGGAGTTCCTTGTCAGCAACCTTCCTGGCCTCGGGACTAAGCTGGGCCTCCTGCAGTCGCTGCTGGAGCTCGTCGACTTCATTGGATTCCTTCTCGTCGCCATCATTGCTTCGGTTGGGTGTTGCGCCCGGTGGCGTCAGACCGCTCAGGCCAGCCATAGCTCTTCTTGCCAGAATCTCGCGGTCACGGGGATCGATCTGGCTAATGTCAAAACCAGAGCTGGGGAAGCTGTTCGTAGTAATTGTAGTAACCTTCACGTTACTCTTGATGTTCTGCAGTTGTCTGCTCAGAACCTCGACGACCCGTTCCAGCCTGACCTTGACATCCAGCGACGCCAGAATGCGAAGCTTCTCTTCAAATCCGGCATCGGAGATATCCGCCATAAAGTCAGCCAGGCGACCTGCGTGGGAGACATCAGACTTGGTTATGAACAGTTCGATTTTCCGGGCGATGAGGGGCGGCACGCGGATCCCTGGAGAGGGGAGTAGCGAAGAGAGGCGCAGCAAGGTGAGAAGCTCGCGAGAGAGCTGTCGAAGCTGCTGGAACAATTCAACGGATTCGGGGTCGCCAGACACTGTTTCTAGAAGCACAGGTCAGTCGATGTTCCAGGCAGGGGTAGCAATAGTAATTAGCGAGGGTTGTGATTACTGACCTTTCTCGTCATGAACAAGAGCTTCGGCTTCGAAGAAGGGCCTTTCTTTCAGGATCCTCCGGATGGTGAATCGTTGCACTCCCTGAACCACAAGAGACGGCTCGGAATAGGCGCGGCGCTGGATGCCAACCACCCTGCCAACGGTACCATGGCGGAAGAGATCCTCCTTCCTTGCCTGTCCAGCATCAATCATATCATATTCCTCCCTCCTTTCTTCATCAAGGTTTCCGTCCTCGAGCAGTCGTTGGCCGTCCTTGCTCAGGAACGGCGAGCTAAGGGGGACGCATCCGAAGGTGATGACGGTTCCATCCCGTTTGGCGGCAGCCGATCGATCGACTATAGTCGACAGGAGGTTGGCCAGATCAGGACGGTTAGAGACGGGGATGCGGAGGGTGGCGCCAGGGAGCAAGACCGATCCTTTGGGCAGCGGAACCAACGCGAGTTTCGTCGTTCTACCGCTGTTGGAACCCATCTCGGTATAGTAGGTGGATCAGGAGCAAGACAGTTGAGTAGATGTGGCGAACAAAACAACGGGGATGGGGTGGAATGATACTGGGATGGGGGTGTCGTCAGGATAGACGGCAGTAGGAGGAGGACAGGCAGACGGGGGCAAGGAGACAGCGCACAGGGCTGATGAGGCGGTCGGGTTATAAGGCGACTGGCTGGCAGGTCCAGAACCCCATAGATGGAGGCGTGACTGCGAGTCTGGGGAGGAGATCCCAAGATAAGCGCCCGTCCGAAGCCGAGGTTCGCACGGGGCGACGTCAGTCCCCGGACCGGAAACCGGAGCATCGCTGTGGACCTCAACTGCAAACTGACAGCCTGCCCTTGCTGGATACTGCTTTTTTTAGATTTAAGGTCACTTCACCTCGACCCTGGACCCCTTGATGAAAAAAAACCCCCGACTTTCTATACGAAGAACTCTCCAGGTTCGGCCAAAACCCCCGACCAGAGAACCAAAGCGGTGTGTCCTCGGTAAGATTACCACCGCCCCTTACCACGCCGACGTCGGAAGTCGTGTGACCAGCGCCCGATCGGCGTAAAATACGGAATCCGGACTGCAGGCAGTTCATTGCCGATGATCTGATCCCGCGCTGCATCTGGAAACTGGAAAGATCCTCAGCTTTGCGGCATTACTATTGCGTGTTGCCAGTACTATCTCCCTCCACCCCGTCTCTCGTTGTCTTTTTGAGGTATTTTGAGACATCTCAACGCAGACCTCAACCCAAATCTCTTTCTCGATCCCCCCCCAATTCCTCCCCTCCGTCTCATACATACAACAAAGATCGTCGCCATGGCTGCTGCCCCGCCTTCCGTCTCTGACCCCTCCTCGCGCAAAACGTTCACTATCGGCACGCGCAAGTCGAAGCTCGCCCTGCTTCAGACGGATCTGGTCCAGGCGGCCCTCCAAGCCAGATGGCCCGAGTACGAATTCAAGATCCACTCGCGGGAGACTGCAGGCGACCAGAACACCACCATCGCTCTCCGTGACTTCACAACCAAGAACCTATGGACCCAGGAACTGGAGGACCTTCTGATTGCCGGCCATGTCGACTTCATTGTACACTCTCTGAAGGGTTGGTTTATCCTGCGGCGTATACAACCTTACTGTACAAGAAAGTGAACTAACAATTCTCGTGAAATCTCAGATGTACCGACTCTTCTCCCCGACTCATGCACGCTCGGCCCGATGATGGATCGCGAGGATACGAGAGACGTCCTGGTCATTAAGAAGGGACTGCCCAACATGAGTCTGGCTGAGCTGCCCGCCGGCTCCGTCGTGGGTACCTCCTCCATCCGTCGTACCGCCCAGCTCGCTCGCCGGTACCCCCACCTGAAGGTCATGGATGTGCGCGGTAACATCGGGACTCGTCTGTCGAAGCTGGATGCTGAGGATGGTCCTTTCACTTGTCTCATTCTTGCAGCCGCTGGTCTGCTGAGACTGGACCTGGGCGATCGTATCTCCAGCTATCTGGACTCGAAGAACGCGGGAATGCTGTATGCCGTCGGACAGGGCGCCCTGGGCATCGAAATCCGTAAGGATGACCAGGCTGTGGTGGATATGTTGAAGAACATTGGCAACAAGGAGACGACCTTTGCCTGCTTGGCGGAGCGGAGCCTCCTGCGTACGCTCGAGGGTGGTTGCAGTGCCCCGTTGGGTGTGGAGTCGGAGTGGATTCAGGCTGCTGATGGATCGTCGAAGTTGAGGATGCGGTCGGTTGTGGTCAGCGTGGATGGTAGTGAGAGCGCGGAGGTTGAGGTTGATGGGGCTGTGGACTCGAATGAGTCTGCGGAGGAGTTCGGCGTTACGGTGGCCAAGGCGCTGGTTGAGAAGGGCGCAGGGAAGATCCTGGAGGAGATCCAGCGGAACAAGCAGACACAGACTGCTTAAATCGAGTCGATGCGGTATGATTCATGCTGAGTGGTGGAGATGCTGGTCTTCTTCACAAGAAGATATGATGGACATGGTTAGACGGATACCCCATACAGAAAAGAAAAGTGTATAGAACCTCTTCATGACTACCTGCCAATTATTAAATCGGTCTCCTATGAAGGAATCGTATGGATTTATCTCCTTAGTCTTGGTTTTCTATGTCTTTTTTTAGGAGACAGACATTTTTGTGCTAGCATTCTATATCACATCGCGGAACTAGATGGTGGAGAGCTGGGTATGGGGACCCTAAATGGTCGAGTAAAAGCAGAGAATGCTTTATTAAATTCATGGCTATATTGGCAGTGCATCAAGTCATCAACATACTATTAACCTCTATTCAGCGTGTTTCCCGAGCCTCTCGGGTTCGCTTCTTTGAACTCGTCCCACTCTCTGGCTTTCATCGTCTCTTGATCAGCTATGTCGAAGTCATCTTCATCTACCTCCGGCTTTATACCCGATTTCTCCCCGCCGCCCTCAATGACGTTGCCTCTTCTGTGCTCTTCCTCGAGATATTCATCGATTGTCATCGTGGGGAGATTGTGTCCGGATCTGAAGACGCCCTGCTGAAGCTGTGTTCTGCGATCGAGCAGCGTAAACGGCTGCATTGGCTTGCCCTCCTTACTCAAGATAGGCCCGAACTTCCCTCCTCTTAGAAGCTCCGCAATGGGCCGATCCAGCCGCTCAGAATAGCTCGAGTCCTTTGTCTCGCCTCTTCTCCTCGCATCATCCTCCAGGGCCTGCGTGGGTGTCGGAGCCGCACGGCGGAAGTTCGAGAGCATTGTCAACTCCTGTGACAGCAGATCCACCGACTGGAACGCCTGGTGGATGTAAAGGTCGATCTCCGCGAGATAAAGCTTCCGGACATCCTCGTCGTCGGCTTGTAGTCGGCTTTGGTTATTGGTAAAGTACTTGATCATCGGGTGTAAGCAAAGCAGCCTGGTAGCCGGAAGCAGGGGTTATCCCACCTCAAGTTTCTGCTTCAGCTCCTTCTCCTCCTTGAACCGGTTGATCTTCACCTCCCTGCGGGTCGCGGCGTCGTTGGTCGTGGTCAGGGAAAACGAGGTAGGATTCGCGGCGTAACGTTCGTAAAGCTTCTTGTCCTTCTCATTCAGAATATCGTAATCGTCGAGTCGGCCGAGGAATCGTTCGTATTGCGCGAGCGCGCGTTGGAGGGAGGCTTCGCGGTCGGAGCTGTAGGAGCGCTGGAGGAGGTCCGCGAGGAGATACTCCACCGTTAGGTATCTGCGGAGACGAGAAGAACGAGCATCGTATCAGCACAAATCCGACGCAGCTGGATATCAATGGGACGGGGGGGGGTCCGGTTACTGGATATCTGTCGTGGAAATGTCCTCCAGCGGTTCATTCGAGCTGAACAGGGCCAGCAAGCCCACTTGTCGCTGACACTCCTCGAGCTTGGCTATTGTTGCGCTGACATCACTGCGATAGGCGTCGGTGTTGCTGTCGGGGCGCACCTCCAACGCCGCCTTCTCGGCTTTCGCGTCCGTGAACAACGTCCGGAGATTCTGCGGCTGCTCCATGGCGAGGCGATGTTTCACGGAATCCAACCTGGGGTGTTGATGCTGTACGATCTGGAACTTAAACTGGAAAGCTCCGCGGGGACGGCCGATCGACCGGGCGGCAGAAATATTAATTGTTGGGTCTCCCGCCCTGCCCCGCATTCGTGTCGAGGACCGAACTATCATGAAGTATATATATATACTATATATATATGATATATACGTATATCGTTGGTCTCGGCTCATGGGCAACTTGAAATTATTCACGGAGGGATTGCATTATTGTCATGTTGAATGTAGATGCTGTGGAATAATGCATTGACTGGAAACTGGAACTCAGGCCCTCAATATGCCTCACACAAGCAACTGCTTGTTTGTCCCCCGTTTGCGCCAGGCCCAGTGCATGCCGTGCTACAATTACTACTATTCACCCTTTCTACATTCAGCCCCCTCACTTGTGAGTTCAATGCTTTCCCTTCCTCTCATCTCTCTTTCTCTCTCTCTTTCTCTCTCTCTCTCTCTCTCTCTCAATGCAGGCTTTATAAATGGTAATTAGGAAGTCATCTACACCCATCGCCAACAGAGGACTTTTCTCTATTACTCCCGCAGACAAGACTCAATATGTCATCAGCCGACCTTCTCGAGCTCGACTTCTTCGCCGATATCCGGATAGCTGACCAGACGCCTGTTCCAGAGCCCCCAAGCGAAGAGCCCAAGGCCTCTGTTCCGGCTGTTCCCGAGAAAGATGTCACCGAAAAAGACAATGTCTCCTCGGATGAATCCAATGACGACGACCAGGAGAGCTCTAACCCTGTGGGTCCTTCAGAGCAACGGATACTTCAGAATGCGAAATTTGAGGCGCTGTCAGTATAGCTATCACATGGGTGATGTGAGATGCTAATGTGGCTTCAGTCTCGCCCAACGTGCCGATTCAGGACCGAGCGATAACACCAGATCCGTGCCATCGGACCTTCCTGATGCCCAGCTTTCGATTGCCCACTTGGTAGCCAAGAAAGATCTCGGGGCTGGCACGCTGGACCCAAGGGAGTACCAAGTGGAGCTGTTTGAACGAGCGAAATCCCAGAATACGATTGCTGTGCTTGATACTGGTATCTACACTCAGGCGAAGCCCCGTTGGAGTGATGGGAGCTGACGAGTTTCTAGGATCGGGAAAGACACTTATAGCAGTGCTCTTGCTGAAGGATATTATCCAAAAAGAGCTGAACGATCGGGCCGAGGAGAAGCCACATCGTATATCCTTCTTTTTGGTGCGTCTTTGGGCCCACTGCTGAATATATCGATTTCTTACAAACTAGTAGGTGGACAGCGTCACATTGGCATACCAACAGGCCGCCGTCTTGCGCAATAACCTGGATCAGAATGTTGGGCACTTTTTTGGAGCCATGGGGACAGATTTGTGGAGCAAAGAAGTTTGGGATGAACATTTCGAAAAGAATATGGTTATTGTTTGCACGGCGGAGATCTTGAACCAATGCCTGCTCAACTCTTATATCAAGATGAGCCAGATCAACCTTTTGGTCTTCGACGAGGCCCACCATACGAAGAAGGATCATCCTTATGCAAGGTTAGTAATATGGAATCTGGGAGTGACTGTGTATCTGATTACATGGTAGAATCGTACGGGACTCCTATCTCGAAGAAGTCCCTTCAAAGCGTCCGAGGATCTTTGGTATGACGGCGTCACCGATTGATACAAAAGGCGACATAATAGAAGCAGCGACGTATGTTCAAACTGCTCTTAGGGTGTATCAGCTTCACTAACACTCTGCAGAAAGCTGGAAACGTTGCTAGACAGTACGATTGCTACGACATCCAACCTGACCCTTCTACGCCAGGTAGTTAAACGCCCGGTGGAAAGAGTATGGACGTACGGCAAGCTGGAACAACCGTTCGGAACCACGCTATACAAGATCCTTGAAGATCGATTTGGTGATATGCCATGTCTGGAGGGCATATTCAGATTTGCCTGGCTCGCCACCTCTGAGCTAGGCAGATGGTGCTCAGATCGAGCATGGGCGCGTGCATTGGCAGACGATGTATTGCCAAAGTTGGAGGGAAATGTCAGCAAGACGACAGATACCCCGACGTCGACCCAAGTACCGGAGAGCGCATACAAGGAGATCCTGCGAATCAAAGAGGCTAGTGAAATTGTGAAGGGCCATTCGTTCGACAGCCCTGATGCTCCGGCACAACTGAGCTCCAAGGTGCAAGTCCTTCGTGAAGAACTTTCACGGTTCTTTCGAAGCCCGACGGAAACAAAATGCATTGTCTTTACACAGAAGCGTTACACTGCGTTGATTCTTTCGGAGCTCTTTACGGCTCTGGAGATGCCCTTTCTTCGACCCGGCGTGCTTATTGGCGTTAGATCTAGCGACCTCGCGGGGATGAACGTAACCTTTCGTCAACAGTTTCTTTCTCTAGTGAGATTCAGAAGTGGTGAGATAAATTGCTTGGTAAGTGATGGGATATATTGGACGGTGGAGTTTGCTTACCAGTATCAGTTTGCTACTTCTGTGGCTGAAGAGGGCCTTGATATTCCGGACTGCAACTTAGTTATAAGGTATGTTGATATAATGGCATGTATTTGTCTTTGTGACTGACAAATGAGGTTTGATTTATATCATACCCTTATCCAGTATGTTCAAAGTCGTGGCCGTGCAAGACATTTCGAGTCTACGGTGAGCTCAGTTTATTGTTGTTTAAAAGAACGGCACTGATGATGAATTATATAGTACGCGAGCATGATCGAAAGGCACAACCTTGACCACGAAGAAAGACTCCGCGAAGTCCGAGAGGCTGAAGTAAGTTAATTGAGGAGATAGACGTGATTACCAGTCTAACGAGCCAGAAAATGATGCAAAACTTTTGCAGGACCCTACCCGAAGACAGGCTACTTCACGGGAATGACCACGATCTAGAAGCAGTTTTGCAGGAAAAAGAAGGCAACAGGTCTTTCACTATCAATGCCACAGGTGCCAAGCTAACATATCACTCCGCCACTGCTATTCTTGCTCGATATGCGAGTTCTTTGGTGCGTATGGAAATTGAGCCCTATAGCGACATTTACTGAGAAACTGTCTCTAGCAATACGAAAAAGAATATCTGGCGCAGGTCAACTACGTAGTGCTTCCATCCAACAATGCATTCATTTGTGAGGTCATTCTGCCAGAGAAGTCGCCCATTCGAGGGATCACCGGGAGTCCAGCGATGAGGAAGTCCCTCGCTAAACGATCCGCGGCATTTGATACCTGTCTCTTGCTTCGAAAGAACAAGCTACTTGATGACTATTTCAGTTCGATCTACCATCGGCGCCTGCCAGCCATGAGAAATGCAAAGCTTGCCATTACCTCCAAGCGTACAACCCAGTATGATATGATATCGAAGCCATTGTTGTGGGGCAGAAACCGAGGCCTTCTTCCGGATAAGCTCTATGGCACTATGATCACTTTTCAGCCTTCAGGGCCGCTCTCCCGGGACCCCGGACGATTGATGCTGCTGACACGAGAGAAACTACCTGAGCTTCCAGGATTTCCCATCTTTCTCGAAGATGACATAGAGACTACGATTCTTACAACACCGCTGGAGGAAGAGTTTACTCTATCGGCTGAAGAACTAGACTGCCTAACAACCTTCACCCTTCGGGTCTTCCGTGACGTCTTTCATAAGACATATGATCGAGAACCTGAAAAGATGGCATACTGGCTGGCTCCAGCAAAGATGCACAATTCATCGAGTACAAATAGAAGCCCAAAGCAGTTACTGGACCATGAAACGCTGCATTTCGTGCGCGATAACGACGTTATACCCTTCTCCAAGGACGCGTCCGCAGAGAGCCTAGTCGATCGCTTCGTGTACGATGCTTGGGATGGCAGATGCCGATTTTTCACCGTGGGAGTTGAGAAGACGCTACTTCCCTCCAGCCCACCACCCCCATTTGTGCCCCGGCGCAGGTTCATGAATGATATTATGAATTACTGTTCAAGTCTGTCTAAGAATTCGAGAGCCAAGTTCATGGCGGGATGCCACTGGGAGCAGCCGGTCCTGAGGGCAGAGGTAGTACGCCTTCGTAGAAATCTACTGGACAAGATGACGGAGAACGAAAGGGAAGTGGAAACGAGGTGCTTCATATGTGTAGAGCCCTTGAAAATATCGGCGGTCAGTCCTAGGACTTAAATCCTCTGTGTTACAGCTACTGACCAGTATCAAGATTCCTGCGTCGACTGCCTTTTCTTGTCTCGCCTTCCCGGCTATTATCTCTCGAATAGATGCCTACCTGATTTCTCTAGAAGCCTGCGATGAGCTGGAGCTAGTCATTAAGCCAGAGTTTGCACTTGAGGCATTCACCAAAGACTCTGACAATACAGAAGAGCACCGCGTCCAGCAGATTCACATTCAGCGAGGAATGGGAAAGAACTATGAGCGTCTCGAGTTCTTGGGTGACTGTTTTCTCAAAATGGCTACGTCGATTGCCCTCTTTACGCAGAATCCGGAGGACGACGAGTTCGACTACCATGTAAACCGGATGTGTCTTATTTGTAACAAGAACCTTTTCAACACGGCCGTTAAAAGGGAGCTTTATAAGTATATTCGAAGTAGGGGGTTCTCGAGGTATGAATCTCTGTAAAGTGATTGCGGATCGAAGGAAGCTAATTCGTGAACTGCAAGGCATACATGGTATCCGGATGGCCTCAGCCTATTACAGGGTAAGGATCATAGCAGAAAGGTATCTACGGAGGCAAAACATGCGCTTGCAGAGAAAACGATTGCGGATGTCTGCGAAGCCATAATAGGGGCGTCCTTGCTTTCCGGTGGCACTGGCCATCGGTTCGACATGGCTGTCAAAGCCGTCAGCGCTCTAGTGGACAGTACGAGCCACCAAGCCTCATCTTGGAGGGAGTATCTTTTACTTTATACCATACCGAGATATCAAGCTCAGGCCTCGGATGGATCTGAACGTGATCTCTGTCAGAAGGTCGAGGAGAAGCTAAACTACCAATTTACGTACCCCAGGCTTCTACGTTCAGCGTTCACCCATCCCTCACTCCCCTCTGCCTGGGCTAAAGTGCCCTGCTATCAGCGTCTGGAGTTTCTTGGAGACTCCTTGCTTGATATGGTCTGCGTAGAAGATCTGTTTTACCGATTCCCGGACCGAGACCCCCAATGGCTCACGGAACACAAAGTAAGTTTCTCGGAGCAATATAATGCTGATAAGCTAAGAATGTACTGACTGCGATGTTGTAGATGGCAATGGTGTCTAACAAATACCTTGGTGCATTGGCCGTCAAGTTGGGGCTTCATACGCACCTGAAGTACTTCAGCGGCCCATTGCAGTCGCAGATCACCTACTACGCGGAGGAGATACAGACCGCAGAAAGTGAAAGCGAAGGTGCGGTGGACTATTGGACCGTGACCAAGGATCCCCCCAAGGTAACTGAGAGCCCTTGACTCCATGTAGAGTGTAGCTAACGGCGAGAACTAGTGCCTGCCGGACATGGTTGAAGCATATCTCGGAGCCATTTTCGTCGATTCGAACTTCAATTTCGAGGTAGTGGAGGAGTTCTTCCGGCAACACATCAAGCCCTTCTTCACTGACATGGCGATTTACGACACGTTCGCGAACAAACACCCAACTGTGAGGCGGTCCCTCCCGTGTGTAGGCTGGATGTCAAGACTGACCTGACTTGATTAGACTTTCCTGCACAACCGGTTGACTAACGAATACGGCTGCATGAACTATTGCCTGAAAGCCGGTGAGATGCCTGCGATCGATGGCGCCCCAGCCGAAGTGCTGGCCGCCGTTATAGTGCACGACGCTGTCATTGCCGAAGGGACGGCATCGTCCAGTCGCTACGCCAAGGTGAAGGCAAGTGAGAAGGCGTTGACCGTGCTGGACGATATCACCCTGGCGGAGTTCCGGAAGACGTACCATTGCGACTGTCGAGAGCCCAACAATGAAACGCGCCTGGATATTGGGACTGCCATTTGAACGTTGAAGGCAATAAAGGTCGAACGAGACGAATGCAGCATATCTAGTAGAGAGAGTGGGCCGAGGAATGGCGGGGGACCCCCTGTAATTAACAATGGATGAAATGTGATACCGGTGCACGTGGACGGGAGATAGTTGATTCCATGGAATAGATCATGAATGGTTGACCGAGAGATCGGCTGATTCTCTGTCTCTAGCTGCCATCACTGCCACTGCCACATGCATGGAGGTGCATAGTATAGTTTCCCGCCTGCGTGTAAGAGCAGGGTATCTAGTTACTAGTAGATGGCTGGACGCCGGCTGGGGGGAATCCATGGACGGGGCGATGGGAGACGCCGACAAGGGCCCGCGCTAGACCCCAAGCGGGCTAGCGGCAGTTCCCCCTGAAGGGAACCAGTCCACCGCAGCGATAGACAAGACAAGACAAGACAAGACACGCCTGCCGCGTTCTGGATGTCGGAACCTGAGGCCTGATCGGACTACTGGAAATCACTCCCCCCCTCCCCCTAGCTATCTTTCTTTCATCCATCCGCCTGAAGTCTACACTTCCCCCTCCACCTCTACATCCACCAAATCTCTCATCCTGTCGCCCTCGACCCTTTCCACTCCCGTCCGCCTAACTCTGTTTGTACCCCGACACCGCGCCCCGTCTTTTGTCAACAGACCATCTACCAACCATCCGACCCGCCACAACTTTACCAAACCCCCGGTCAACCTCTATGACTCCCGCAATTCGTCTTTCCTAGAAGAGCTACAGCTATGGAGGTCGCCAACGCGGAGGCCTCGAATGGCGTCTCCGCGCCAGCGCAGACGCCGTTGGTAGATTCCCATGCGGTGATCGAATACCTGACTGAGGTGCTGCGGGTGACTTTGGGAGCTCTGAGAAGCGAGCTCGAAAGCACCGGCAGCTTGCTCTCGGAGGCAAAGTACAATGAGACCATGCAGCGGTGTACGCGATTCGCGTCCGAGTCGCAAGTCGCTCTCTACGTACAGAAGGATATTGTGGCCTCCGAAGAGGCAAACGGAGCCGATGCGGTTGAAGGTATGTGCTTCCGCTGATTTTTTTTACTTGACATCGCAGGATACTAAGCAGGCGGGCGTCTCATCTAGGATCGTCGACCCAGTATGTCTATAACCTCTCCGCCGAGATTTCGTCCTCCTCGACTACCGTTGCGTCGGTAGCTTTCATCAAGCGCCCGGCTACTATCGACCCGTCGCTCCCTATATCGTCGCAAATCACAGTTACGAACTTCCCCGGTCCGGCTTCCCTCAGTACCGGTCAATCCCAGCAGGGGAGTTCCTTGTCACCCTACGAGATCTTGCACTTGCTGGTACACCATGGTCTCAACCCCTACTTTGAGGCCACCACTCGCAACCAGGAAGCGGTGGGCGGCTCGAAGCCCAGGACGGACACGGAGGCGAAGACCGGCATCTCGGGCACGAAGAAGAAGTTTGCTGAGCTGGAAACTACCCTTCGACACCTGCAGCAAAACGTCGAAATCCCGGCGTTGAACCTGCCGCTTCACGAGGTCGTCCAGGCTGCGCTGGTCGATGCGGAGAAGCGAGGAATCAAACCCACCGTCGAACTGATCGACCCTGCTATCCTGGAGAACAGTGCTTTTGTCAACAGCATCCAGAACAATGTGAATTCCTGGATTAGGTCTATCCAGACGATCACCAAGATGTCCCGTGATGCGGACTGTGAGTCGGCGGCCCAGGAGATCAACTTCTGGTTGTCGATGGAAACCGCCCTTGAGGGGATCGAGAACCAGCTGCGCGGTGACGGAGTGCAACTGACTATGGACATTCTCCGCCACGCGAAGCGTTATCAAGCTACCCTCAGTTTCGTGGCCGACACCGGTTTGCGGGAAGCCACTGATCTCGTCCAGAAGTACAACCAGCTCATGCGGGATTTCCCCCTGGATGAACTCCTATCGGCGACTACCTTGCAGAAGGTGCAAGAATCTCTCAACCTGATTTTCAATCATCTCAACAAGAAGTTGAAGATCTGTCCCTACCCGATCAAGCGGGCCCTTTCTCTTGTCGAAGCTATTTCGGGCGACCTCGACTCCCGGATCCACTATCTACTGCACGGCCGGACGGTGTTGCATTTAGATTACCGTGAGTTCCGCTCTCTTATGAAGACCGCTGGCGCTATCTGGAGGACCTGGGACGAAAACCTCAAGGAGTTCACCAACGTCGCTCGAGAGTCCACGAGACGTCGTAACGAGAAGTTCATCCCCATCAAGATCGCTCCGCGCCACGAAAAGACCCAAGAACGATTGAAATACATCAACACTTTCCGAGTCAACCACGAACAGCTTCAGAGAACGATTGTGAACGTCCTCGGCCCGAAGAGCTCGTCTGCGGGAGATGCGGCTGCCGGCGTTGGTTCTGACGGAGCCGTCATTGTGGAGGAGATCGGAGATGTCGACGCGGTGGAAGAGGTCGCGCAAGCTTACGCTGCTTTGAAGAATGTCGATGTTCTGGATGTGTCTCCCCACGGAACCCAGCAGTGGATTCAAGAGGAGATCGCCTACAACGAGCGTACTTCCCGCGTTGAGAACTCGATCATCGCTCGCCTCCGGGACCGTCTTGCGACAGCAAAGAATGCCAATGAAATGTTCCGGGTCTTCTCGAAGTTTAACGCTCTTCTCGTCCGCCCCAAGATCCGCGGTGCGATCGGCGAGTACCAAACTCAACTCATTGAGAACGTCAAGCAGGATATTTCTTCTCTTCATGAGCGTTTCAAGCAACAGTATGGGCATTCTGAAGCGCATGCCATGGCGCAACTGCGCGACCTGCCTCCTGTATCAGGTGCTATCGTTTGGGCCCGCCAGATTGAGAATCAGCTGAACGGGTACATGAGCAAGGTCGCTAGTGTTCTCGGAGAAGACTGGGCCCTGCATTCCGAAGGACAGAAGCTTCAGGCGGAAAGCAACCTTTTCCGGAAGAAGTTGGATACGCGACCCGTCTTCGAGTCATGGCTTCATGACGTGCAAAGACGGCATATTACGATCTCGGGCCGACTTTTCAACATCGTTCGCAACCGCGCAGCGGGAAATATTTTCGAGCTTACTGTCAACTTTGATGCGCAAATCATTGCTCTGTTCAAGGAAGTGAGAAACCTCATCTGGCTCAATTTCCAGGTTCCTCATGCCGTGAGCAACATCTCCAAAGAAGCCAAACGCGTGTACCCGTACGCTATCAGTTTGATGGAAAGTGTCCGGACACTTCTCCAAACCAGCCGTTCTATCGCAGCGATGACAGAGGTCGCCATTCTGCTGAACGGTTACGTCAACGATGCCCAGGGCATGATAATCAAGGGTGTTCCCCTCCGCTGGGAATCCTTTGTTCACTCTTATGAGCTTCATGTCAAGCAGTCGGCCTTGGCCAATGGTGCTATTGATGCGGCCATCCCTGCCAGGGGAGAGAGCAAGCATGTTCAGTTCGTCCGCGAATTTGCTGGTTCGGCATCGGTACTCCAATCCAAAACGGCCGTCCTGGCTTCGATCAACGAGAATATCCAGAAAGCGACTCACGAGCTCAAGACTTGTCCCTACGAGGCGGCCGCATTCAGGCAGCGCTTGGATGCAATCCAGGTTGCTGTCGATAAGTTGAACTTGGAGAACTACGTGAACCTTGGATACTGGGTCGCCAACTTGAACCAGAAGATCGAAGCTATCCTGCGCGAACGTCTACACCGCGCCATTCGCGAGTGGATCAACTCGTTCCAGGAAGCAAGGAACAATGAACAAAGCCTCCAGGTATCGAGCGGCGTGCAGACAGGTGAAGCGGAAACGCCCGCATACAACATCGAGTTTCCCGGGCTCGTTCACGAGATCTCTATGCGCAACCAATTTCTCCACCTTGACCCACCCTTGCAATATGCTCGTGCGAGCTGGTTCTCGCATTTCGACAACTGGCTTGGTGTCATCTGCAATCTTGAGAAAATCAAGTCCTCTCGTTACCAGATCTCTATCGATGTGCAGAAAGTTCAACTTTCTGAGGCGTGCTTTGCAACTCTGCCCCAGCATTGCACGAACGAGCTGAGCCAAGTGTACAATGCCATCGAGTCCAGACTGAAGGAAGTTTCTGGATACGTCGACAAATGGCTGCAGTTCCAGTCGCTCTGGGATTTGCAATCCGAGCAGGTCTATGATATCTTGGGCGATGACTTGTCCCAGTGGCTTCAGTTGCTTCAGGAGATCCGCAAGAGCCGGGCCACGTTCGACACGTCAGAAGTGCACAGGTCTTTCGGCAATATCAAGATCGATTACGAGCAGGTCCAGACACGCGTCAATGCCAAGTATGATCAGTGGCAACATGAAATCTTATTGAGATTTGGATCTAAGCTCGGTGGTCGGATGAGGGAAATTCATTCCGAGATTGCTACTGCCCGACGTGATCTGGAAGGCCAGACCCTGGAAGCGGCATCTACGGCTCACGCTGTCTCGTTCATTACCATCGTTCAACAATGCAAGCGCAAGGCGAAGGTTTGGGAGCCTGAAGTTGACCTTTTCCGCCAAGGTCAGGCTACACTTGCGCGCCAACGTTATCAGTTCCCCAGTGACTGGCTTCACGTGGAGAATGTTGATGGCGAATGGGCTGCATTGAATGAGCTGCTTGCACGGAAGAGCAAGATCGTCCAGGACCAGACGGAAGGATTGCGCGCAAAGATCGCGGCGGAAGATAAGGTCATTGGCGACAAGATCACAGAGGTGATCAGCCAGTGGAACGAAGAGAAGCCTGTGTCTGGTACCATTCCGCCAGAGGAAGCGTCTCGTACTCTGAGCTCGTTCCAGTCGCGCCTCGAGGCTCTCCAGTCTGAGTTTGAGATGGTTTCAAAGGCCAAAGAAGCTCTTGACCTCCCCACCGGCGTCGAATCTTCGTTGCCTGCCATCTTGGAAGAGGTCCAGGACTTCATGTCCGTCTGGGCCGCTCTGTCGACTATCTGGAAGAGTCTCAATGATCTTAGGGATACGCTCTGGACAAGTGTTCAGCCGAGAAAGCTGCGTCAATCTATTGATGGCTTGATCAAGATGACCAAGGAGATGCCCAGTCGAATGCGCCAGTACGCCGCCTTCGAACACATCCAGAACGTGCTTCGACAGCTTCTGAAAGTTAACCCCTTGCTCTCGGATATGAAGTCCGAGGCGGTTCGCGAGAGACATTGGCAGAAGATTTACAAGGCGCTGAAGCCAGGCTTGAGGTTCTCTCTTGTCTCCCTGACCCTCGGTGATGTTTGGGATCTCCAGCTTACTCCGAGTGAGAGTGTCATCCGTAGTATCATCGCCCAAGCGCAGGGTGAGATGGCGCTCGAAGAGTTCTTGAAGTCGGTCCGTGAGACCTGGCAGAACTACTCCCTTGACCTTGTCAATTATCAAAACAAGTGCCGTCTCATTCGCGGGTTCGACGACTTGTTTGCCAAATGCAGTGAGAACCTGAATTCTCTGCAGGCGATGAAGCATTCTCCGTACTACAAGGAGTTCGAGGAAGAGGCGTCTTCCTGGGAGGATAAGCTGAACCGAGTTCATGTACTCTTCGATGTCTGGATTGACGTCCAGAGACAATGGGTTTACCTTGAAGGTGTCTTTACCGGCAATGCGGATATCAAGCACCTTCTTCCCCTTGAATCTAGCCGCTTCCAAAACATCAACTCGGAGTTTTTCGCTGTCATGAAGAAGGTCTACAAGTCTCCTTTCGTCTTGGATGTTCTTGCGATCAACGGCGTTCAGAAATCTCTGGAGAGATTGGCTGAGCTACTGAACAAGATCCAAAAGGCGTTGGGTGAGTACCTGGAGCGTGAGCGTGTGTCTTTTCCTCGTTTCTATTTCGTCGGTGATGAGGATCTTCTCGAGATTATTGGTAACTCCAATGATATTGTCCGCGTGGCGAAGCACTTCAAAAAGATGTTCGCGGGACTGTCGGGTGTTCTCATGGATGATGACAATAACATCGTTGGGTTTACCTCCAAGGAAGGGGAGGAAGTCCGACTCAAGAAGGAGGTCAACCTGGTTAAGACGCCTCGGATCAACGACTGGCTGGGCGCTCTGGAGAGCAACATGAAGTTGACGCTTGCCGAGCTTCTCGCTGAAGCCGTGGAGCAGTTCGATCCCCTCTACAATGCCCCCGAAGTTGACCAGACTGCTTTCAACGATTTCCTGGCCAACTATCCCGCACAGATCGTCGTTCTTGCCAGTCAAGCGGTCTGGACTGGTGCTGTTCAAAGGAGCTTGGAAAATGGGGGTAGCAATCTGTCGTCGCTGTTTGATTCTCAGGTCCGTATTCTGGAGCTTCTCGCCGCGACTGTGCTGGGCGATTTGGATGCGATCAGCCGGAAGAAGTGTGAGCATATGATCACGGAATTCGTGCACCAGCGCGATGTAATTTCCAAGCTCATCGCGACGAATGCGACTACGTCCATGCATTACCTTTGGCTGCTTCAGATGCGATACGTTTACCAGCCCGAAGGCGACTTCCTCCAGAGATTGTACGTCCATATGGCCAATGCCAAGTTGAACTATGGATTCGAGTACCTGGGAGTTCCGGAACGTCTCGTTCGCACGCCTTTGACGGACCGTTGTTTCTTGACGCTCACTCAAGCGCTGTGCCAGAGACTGGGTGGTTCTCCTTACGGACCGGCTGGTACCGGTAAGACCGAGTCCGTTAAAGCCCTTGGTCTTCAACTTGGACGTTTCACTCTTGTCTTCTGCTGTGACGACACTTTTGACTTCCAGGCTATGGGCCGCATTTTCCTGGGTATTTGTCAGGTTGGTGCCTGGGGTTGTTTCGACGAGTTCAACCGTCTTGAGGAGAGAATCTTGTCTGCCGTTTCTCAGCAGATTCAAAACATCCAGATCGGTCTCAAGGACGGCGAAACCGACGAGAAGGCCCAGATCGAACTGGTTGGGAGACGACTTGCTGTTAACCGCAACACCGGAATCTTCATCACCATGAACCCCGGTTATGCTGGTCGTTCTAACCTTCCGGACAACTTGAAGAAGCTCTTCAGGAGTGTCGCCATGTCGAAGCCCGATAAGGAGCTGATCACGGAAGTCATGCTCTTCTCCCAGGGTTTCAAGCAAGCCAAGCGCTTGTCGAAACAGACCGTTCCTTTCTTCGATCATTGTTCCTCGCAGTTGTCTAAGCAGGCTCATTATGACTTTGGTCTTCGTGCGCTCAAGAGTGTCTTGGTTAGCTCGGGAGGTCTTAAACGTACTAGAATCGCCAATTCCGATGAGGACTTGGGCCCCGATGAGGTTATTGAGCCTCAGATTATTGTTCAGAGTCTTCGGGAGACGATTGCCCCTAAGCTGGTCCGAGAGGATGTTGATAAGATGCTGGAGATTCAAATGGAGGACTTTGCTGGCGTGGAGTACGTGCCTGCCAACCACGAGAAGCTTACGGCTGCTATTCGTGAGATCGCCAAGGAGCAGCACTTTGTCGACAGCGAGATGTGGATCACCAAGGCCATGCAACTTTATCAAATCCAGAGTATCCACCACGGTGTTATGATGGTTGGAAAATCCGGATCTGGAAAGTCTGCTGCATGGAAAGTTCTTCTCCAGGCTCTTCAACGCACCGAGAATGTGGAGAGTGTTTCGCACATCATTGACTCCAAGGTCATGTCTAAGGAGGCGCTCTATGGTAACCTGGACCCCACTACCAGAGAATGGACGGACGGTCTGTTCACGGGAATTCTCAGGAAGATTGTGGATAATCTGAGAGGTGAAGATGCTAAGCGGCACTGGATTGTGTTTGATGGTGATGTTGATCCGGAGTGGGTTGAGAACTTGAACAGTGTTCTTGATGACAACAAGCTCTTGACCCTTCCTAACGGTGAGCGTCTCAACCTACCGCCCAACGTTCGTATCATGTTTGAAGTCGAAACCTTGAAGTATGCCACCTTGGCCACGGTCAGTCGTTGTGGTATGGTGTGGTTCAACGAGGATACTGTCACTCCTTCGATGATGATTTCGAACTACGTCGAGTCGCTCAAGACGCGGACATTTGAAGATCTCGATGACGACAGTGCGCCTGCCGGTCAAGTTGCCGTCAAGACCCAGGATTCCCAAGACATGCTGGCTGGCATTCTCAAGCATCTGCTGCAGACGGACGATCTGGTTCTGCAATCTCTCGAGGAGGCCAAGAAGTACAACCACATCATGGAATACACCGAAATCCGGGCCCTCAATACGCTGTTCAGTCTTCTGAATAAGACCTGCCGGAACGTCCTCGAGTATAATATCCAACATGTCGACTTCCCGCTTGACTACGAGCAGATTGAGGCGTACACCTCCAAGAAGCTCTTGCTGGCGCTGGTGTGGTCCTTTACGGGTGATTGTCCGCTTGTAGACCGTCAAGCTTTCGGTCTATATGTGTCTGCTCTGACGACGACTGATCTGCCTATGGATGGGTCATCGTCGATCATCGACTTCGACATTACCTTGCCCAAGTGCGAGTGGATGAGCTGGCAGTCACAGGTCCCTTCTGTCGAAATCAACACGCACTCCATCACGCAGACTGATGTGGTCATTCCTACCGTGGATACGGTTCGCCATGAAGATGTTCTGTACTCTTGGCTCGCAGAGCACAAGCCGCTGCTGCTTTGCGGTCCTCCGGGTTCCGGTAAAACCATGACATTGTTCGCTGCTCTCCGGAAGCTTCCCAACATGGAGGTCGTCGGCCTCAACTTCTCCAGCGCCACGACTCCCGATCTCCTGATCAAGACGTTCGAGCAATACTGCGAGTACAAGAAGACCCTGAATGGCGTGGTGATGTCCCCGAACCAGATCGGTCGCTGGTTGGTTCTCTTCTGCGATGAAATCAACCTTCCTGCCCCCGACCGCTACGGAACTCAACGTGCGATTTCGTTCCTGCGCCAGCTCGTCGAGCAGAACGGTTTTTGGAGAACATCCGATAAGACCTGGGTCACGTTGGACCGCATTCAGTTCGTCGGAGCCTGTAATCCTCCCACGGATGCGGGACGTACCGCGATGGCTGAACGATTCTTGCGCCATGCGCCTTTGATCATGGTGGACTACCCTGGTGAGGTCTCGTTGAACCAGATTTACGGAACGTTCAACTCGGCGGTTCTCAAGATCCTTCCCTTGCTGCGCGGATACTCTGAGTCTCTTACGAAGGCGATGGTACAGTTCTACTTGGAGTCTCAGACGAGATTCACGCCCCAGATCCAGCCTCATTATGTGTACTCGCCTCGTGAACTTACGAGATGGGTCCGTGGTGTGTACGAAGCTATCAAACCTCTCGAGACTCTTACTGTGGAAGGGTTGGTGCGTATTTGGGCTCATGAAGCTCTGCGTCTCTTCCAGGATCGACTTGTCACGGAAGAAGAAAGAAGCTGGACGGCAGACGCTGTTCGGCGTATTGCGCTCGACAATTTCCCCACCATCGACCAAGAGCAGGCTCTCAAGGGCCCGATCCTCTTCTCGAACTGGCTGTCTAAGAACTACGTGCCTGTTGAACAGGAGAGACTGCGTGAATTCGTCCAGGCACGTCTGAAGACGTTCTGTGACGAGGAGGTTGATGTTCCTCTTGTGCTCTTCAATGATGTATTGGAGCATGCGCTGCGTATCGACCGAGTCTTCCGCCAGCCTCAGGGTCATCTCATTCTTATTGGAGTTAGCGGAAGTGGTAAGACCACCTTGTCTCGGTTCGTTGCTTGGATGAACGGGTTGAAGGTGTTCCAGATCAAGGTGCACGGGAGGTATTCGTCGGAAGACTTCGATGACGACCTGCGGACTGTTCTTCGTCGCGCGGGATGCAGGGGCGAGAAGATCTGCTTTATCATGGACGAATCCAATGTTCTTGATTCCGGTTTCCTCGAGCGCATGAATACCCTGCTCGCCAACGCGGAGGTTCCTGGTTTGTTCGAAGGAGATGAATTCTCGTCTTTGATGACCGCTTGTAAGGAGGGAGCGCAGCGCCAAGGTCTTCTTCTTGACACCCAGGAGGAACTCTACAAGTGGTTCACGTCACAGATTGTCAAGAACCTTCACGTTGTGTTCACTATGAATCCTCCGGAGGAAGGACTTTCATCGAAGGCGGCAACCAGTCCTGCCTTGTTCAACAGATGTGTTCTCAACTGGATGGGTGATTGGTCTGACCAGGCCCTCTTCCAGGTCGGCTCTGAGCTCACGCAATCTGTCGATCTCGACAAGCCGAACTTTGTCGCTCCCGATAGCATTCCGGTGGCGTACCGTGAACTTAGCCTGCCTGCCTCGCATCGCGATGCCGTGGTTAACGCTATGGTCTTCATTCATTACTCCCTGCAAAGGTTCAATCTACGCTTGCAGAAGCAGCAAGGCAGGACGACTTACCTGACACCGCGCCACTACCTCGACTTTGTTGCTCAGTATGTGAAGCTGTTCAATGAGAAGCGTGAAGACCTGGAGGAGCAGCAGAGGCATTTGAATGTCGGTCTCGAAAAGCTTAGGGATACTGTCGTCAAGGTCAGTGATCTGCGGGCCAGTCTCGCGCAGAAGAAGACGCAGCTGGAGAAGAAGGATACGGAGGCGAACGAGAAGTTGCAGCGGATGGTTGCGGATCAACGGGAGGCAGAGCAACGGAAAGCGGTGTCCCTTGAGGTCCAAGCGGCCCTGGAGAAGCAGGAGAAGGAGGTGGCTCTTCGAAAGGAAGTTGTGCTGAATGATCTCGCCCGAGCTGAGCCTGCCGTTGCGGAGGCTCAGAAGAGTGTGAGCAACATTAAGCGTCAGCATCTCACGGAAGTCCGTTCCATGGGCAACCCCCCCGCCAGCGTGCGGCTTGCCCTTGAAGCCGTATGCACTCTGCTTGGCCATAAGGTCGATAGCTGGAAGACTATCCAGGGTATTATCCGTCGGGATGATTTCATTGCCAGCATCGTCAACTACGACAATGAGAGGCAGATGACCAGGAACCACCGGCTGAAGATGCAGAATGAATTCCTGTCGAAGGAGGACTTCACCTATGAGAGAGTCAACCGCGCCAGTAAGGCTTGTGGTCCTCTGGTGCAGTGGGTTGAAGCTCAGGTCAATTACTCGGCCATTCTTGACCGCGTGGGACCTCTGCGTGAGGAGGTGGATCAGCTTGAGGAGCAAGCCCTGCAGACTAAGGCCGAGGCCCAGGCTATCGACAACACCATCAACGATCTCGAGAACAGTATCGCCACGTACAAGGCGGAGTATGCTGCGCTTATCAGCGAAACTCAGGCCATCAAGACCGAGATGTCGCGCGTGCAGTTCAAGGTTGACAGAAGTGTACGCTTGCTCGACAGTCTGTCGTCGGAACGTACTCGTTGGGAGGAGGGAAGCAGGTCCTTTGAGACGCAAATCAGCACCCTGGTCGGCGATGTCCTCATTGCGGCTGCTTTTCTGGCCTATGCTGGTTTCTACGACCAGCAATTCCGAAAGGCCATGATCGATGACTGGGTTACCCATCTGACGCAAGCGGGCATCAGCTTTAAGCCGCACAACCCGGTAACAGAGTACTTGTCCAACGCTGATGAGCGCTTGACTTGGCAGAGTCACTCGCTGCCTGTTGACGATCTCTGCACCGAGAATGCCATCGTCCTCAAGCGGTACAACAGATACCCTCTTATCATTGACCCGTCGGGCCGTGTCACCGAATTCTTGGAGAAGGAAAGCACGGACAGGAAGCTCACGGTTACTAGTTTCTTGGACGACTCGTTTGTCAAGCAGCTGGAGAGTGCTCTGCGTTTCGGAAATCCTATCCTTATCCAGGACGCCGAGCATCTGGATCCTATCCTGAACCACGTCCTCAACAAAGAATACCAGAAGACTGGTGGCCGTGTGCTTATCCAGCTTGGAAAGCAGGAGATCGATTTCTCGCCTTCGTTCAAGCTGTTCCTCTCCACGAGGGATCCGTCTGCCTCTTTCCCGCCGGATGTGTGCAGTCGGACGACGTTTGTCAACTTCACTGTCACGCAGAGTAGTTTGCAGACGCAGTCGCTCAACGAGGTCTTGAAGTTCGAGCGCCCTGATGTCGATGAGCGGCGTACCGACCTGGTTAAATTGCAGGGAGAGTTCAAGATCCATCTTCGTCAACTGGAGAAGCGACTGCTGCAGGCACTTAACGAGTCGCGGGGTAACATTCTTGATGACGACAATGTCATCGAAACCCTCGAGACTCTGAAGAAGGAAGCCGCCGAGATCTCCAAGAAGATGATCGAAACCGAGGGTGTCATGACGGAAGTGGAAAATATCACACTCAAGTACAGCATCATTGCGCGCTCCTGCAGTGCTGTGTTTGCGGTATTGGAGCAACTGCACCATATCAACCACTTCTACCAGTTCTCGCTCCAGTTCTTTGTCGATATCTTCAACTCCGTCCTGTACCAGAACAAGCGTCTTGCGCAGGAGAAGGACCATGCCGCACGAGTGCAGATTATCATCCGGGACTTGTTCGTCACTACTTACCAGCGTACGTCGCTGGGACTCATCCAGAAGGACCGCATCACACTGGCGATGCTCCTGGCCCAGGCCGCCCCGTACCCCATGGACAAGCGGGTCATCGATATGATTCTCGACGAGTCCATGGAGAGCGTCGACCTGTCAACTACGTCTGAACTCAAGGAACAGGTCCTCAGCAAGATCTCGAACATGTCGCTCTTCAAGTCCATTTTCCCTACCATTCCCTCCGAGCAATGGGAACAGTTCTTCGGCGATGAGCTCGCGGAGAACTCGATTCCTGTTGTGTGGGAAGAGAACACCGAGAACATTGACAGATTGCTGCGGTCGTTGCTGCTCGTCAAACTCTGCCGGATGGACCGGTTCGTGCCCACTGCCGAACGCTTCATCGAGGCCGTCTTCGGCAGAGAACTCTTCGAGGGAAGCAGTGACTTGAAGGATATCGTCTCACAGGTCACCGCCACCCGGCCGATCGCGCTCAGCTCCAGCCCCGGCTTCGATGCCAGCTACAAGGTCGATGCTCTCGTTGAGCGCATGAATGCCACCTGTGCCAACATCGCGATGGGTTCGAATGAAGGTCTCGAAAGCGCAGACAAGGCCATCAGCAATGCCGCCGCCCTGGGTAACTGGGTCCAGGTTAAGAACGTACACTTGGCCCCGTCATGGCTGCAGAGTCTGGAGAAGCGCCTCGAGTCCCTCAAGCCCCACAAGGATTTCCGGCTTTTCCTCTCCATGGAATCTAGTCCCAAGATCCCTGTTAACCTTCTGCGGGCGTCGCGCGTTCTCATGTTCGAGCAGCCTGCCGGTGTGCGCGCCAATATGAAGGATTCGCTGTCCTCGCTGTCCACCAGGGCCTCGAAGGCACCGGTTGAAAAGGCTCGCGTTTACCTCCTGCTCTGCTTCTTGCATGCCGTTGTCCAGGAGAGACTCCGCTACGCGCCCGATCTCGGCTGGAAGGGTTTCTGGGAGTTCAATGATAGTGATGTATGTTTTCCCCTTCCCTTCCCATTCAACTCATAACTAACCCATTCCTCAACAATAGTACCAATGCTCCGCCCACATAATTGATTACTGGGTCGACACCGTCGCACAAGGCCGCTCCAACGTCGCCCCCCAAAAGCTGCCCTGGGAGATGATCCGCACCCTGGTGACAGAGACCTACGGCGGCAAAGTCGACGACCTGGCCGACTTCCAGCAGCTCGACGGCCTGGTCTCCAGCTTCCTGACCCCCGCGGCCTTCGAGGACGAGCACAAAATTGTCTCTGGCGTCGAGAACGACGACTGTCTGACCCTGCCGGGCGGAACCAGTATTCGGGATTTCGTGGAGTGGGTGAATAAGTTGCCAGAGAGAGAGCCGCCCACGTATTTGGGGCTGCCGGCCAACGCTGAGAAGCTGTTGCTGGTCGGCCATGGCAATAAGATGGTGAAGGATCTAGCGAAGGTTACCACCTTGTTGGATGAGGGGGAGCAGTTGATGATTGAGGGTTAAGCTGGACATGGAAGGTGTGGTTATTATGAGCTTGCTTTGTGTGTGTGTGTGTGTGTGTGTTGTGGGGTTTTTGCTTTTTCTGGTTATGTCGCGATATTGGATTTGTGGATTGTTTTTCTTTTATTGCTGTTGTGTTGTGTGTATTATGGAGAGAGAGAGGGGGAGAGAGAGAGAGACTTGTAATCTAGAGTTGCACCGGATAGATCCTGCAGGCGAGGATAGAGTGTCGTTTACATACCTACCTGTATTTTATTTGATATGGTTCGTGTACCACTCACTCACTACCTAGACTTCATTCGAATGTACTTATTCTATTTCTTCGGTGCTTGTCGCTTGTCCCTGGTCTGGTACAGGTTACTTCATCTTAGGACCTTCCCCTTAACTTTAATTCAGAGATTGACTGACTATCCCCAAACTAACCAGTAAATTCACAACTATCACACCACCACCACCAAGTCTCCAACCAGTGCAGTGCTCAGCATGTGCAACTTCAACCTAACCTAGCGGATAAAATAAAGAAACCCGAGACCTTGATCCACCAGCCAAACTTCGCCTTCCCCGACCGATATCCAGTCCAGTAGAGTGCAGTTCAGTTCAGTTCAGTCCAGTTCAGTTCAGTCCAGTCTAGTCCAGTCCAGTCCAGTTGAATCCACGCTAACGCAAACGTAAACGTCACTCCACGGTAAACAAACTCCCTGTCCATTTCCATCAATCATAATCATAAGCATAAGCGTAATCATAATCATAAAATCCTGTCAAAACCATCGAGTCGAGGACAAAGAAAGCAATCATCCAGCAAAGAAAATCCCAGTTCGTCAAATCCCAGTCCGGCCCAGCATAAGGGATATCATACACATATGAGGGGATAAGAGAGAAAGCACATGTCAAAACCGAAGAATCCGAACTGAAAACCCCAAACCGAACCCGGAAAGCCGACAAACCGAAAGTGGTACGTATCATTGTCTGCGCGAGGAGAGCAGATACTCGGTTTGTCGGTTGATGGGATGGATGGAAGTGGAAGTTAATCGAAGCCGTAGAGGGTCTTGCCCATCTGTTGTTTTGTTAGTATGGAATTAAGGGTTAGATAGATGAGTGAATAGGATAGGATAGGATGGGATGGGATGGGATGGGATGAGTGGGTGACTTACCCGATTCAAAGCAAAAACGACCTATATTTACGAAGCAAAATAGATTATATGTTAGTGTCCATTTCCTGTGATGTATGTGTATGTGTATGTGTATGTGTAGGAATATATATTCCGCGTTGAGTATGCGCTGCGGTGCTTCGGAGGTAGATATGTAGTAGATGTGTAGACATAGATATGTAAGTAAACAACTTACATCGCGGGTAGTCACGACCTATAAGATATACAACACAACATATCAGCGATCATCCCAATATACCAAAGTGAAAGAAAAGCGAACCGAGCCATCTATCTAGATTCTAGACCCGAAACCCCGGTCCAGTCCAGTCCAGTCCAGTCCAGTCAAGTGGGAGTGGGAGTGGGAGTGGGTAATAGTCTCACCTTTCTCTCGTGGTTGGGCGTGGTCGCAGAATCCATAATATTAACGACGTGACGAAGGATCTATTCAGGTAGTGTAGTGAGTAGATATTGACATTGATATCTAGGGTTTTGGCTGGGGGTGTGATGGATGGATGGATGGATGGATGGATGGATGGATGGATGGATGGATGGATGGATGGATGGATGGATGGTATGAGAGGATGAACTCACGTCGGTGAGACGATCCTTAATCACGACGCGAATTTCGGCATAAATGTCTCTTTTGATTCTGACGACGCCACCGCGGCGGGCGAGACGGCTGATTGTGTTGACTTTATGTTAGAGAGGGAATTTGCTGGGAGGGGCGGTGGTTCTCCGTCCATTGCAGACAGTGGAAAAACGTGGAGGAACTAGTGAGAAGGGGCAGTACGAACCGGATAGAAGGCCGGGCTGCGTGAGTTGAGTTCATGTCAGTAGTAGTCTTATATTTCGGTAAACAGCACAGGTACAGAGAAACAAGAGGGAGGTAGGTGGTGGATGATGAACTTACTGATACCTTCAATGTTGCTACGAATGTATTTTCTGGGAAGGTTAATTAGTTCCTGTTACCTTGAGAGTGTGAGAGACAGATAGCAGCTGGCAGGATATACCGGAATCGTTTCTTGGGGGGCGCGAATCGACGACTTTTGCTCTTGGACCGGCTTCTGCGCAGCAGGTTCACATCCATGTTATCGATTGCTTCGTTCTGTCTGTATAGTTTGAGAAGAAGGAGCTGATAGTATTGTAATTCAGTGCAGACCAGAGGGCTGGGATGTGAGATGAAGGTGTTATACAATGATATATAACGGCGTTGGTGTTGGTGTCGCCCAGGGGACCGGACTCGGGGACAGTGAATGCACACCGACCCGATGGGTTAGTTAATGTATCTGGGCATTGCAAACCCAGACAAACAGACGAAGAGTGAAGGAACAAAAAAAAACATGTGGCATTAAAATCCTCTAGGAGGTTTGTTTATCAAGTATTAGGAATCAATATTTGCGTGGCGTAGCGTATAAATAACGTTCGTGGGGGAAAAATGTATGGATGGAGCAAAACTCATAACGCCTTCGATGAGGTGAGGTAGGTTTCGTGACAATGCCCTTGTATGTACCAGGTACCTGGATCCGTCCGTCTATGAAATGAACGTCGCCTCGGAGAACATGCTTCCCTCCTCGGTGACCTCGGTGTCGCCGACCTTGAGTTTGAGCGTGAGCTTCTCCTGGGGGGCATACTGCGGTTTATTTGTTAGTTGAGTGCTGGGGAAATGGTGAGAATGAAGGGAATCGTACCTGGAAGATGTATGGTCGCGTGCCCGCGACGCTGCCCGCAATGGTCTTGATGAAGCCGGGAACCTCGGCCATCACGTCGATCCGGTCCAGGCGCTTGCCAAGGGCGGCATCCAGCTCCGCGCGGACCTCGTCGCCGTTCTTGGACTTGCCCTCCCACACGCACTTGATCTGCTTGGGCTCGGGCCAGTCGCTTTCCTGGTCCTGGATTGTCTCGGTGTGGGCCGCGCTGTTGGTGGAGCCGGCGTAGATGATCTCTCCGTCCTTGACGATGCAGCCGACGTTGACCACGGTCGAGCCGTACGAGGGAGGGGTGGTGAATTCCATCATGATGGCCGAGTAGGTCGGGGTCTGGAGGTTGATGAAGTTCCACCGTGCGGCTATCTAAGGTCAGCCACCTGAAACACAGAGGCACATCTTCGCGGAGACTTACCCGCGTGGTGGGGCTTCATGCCCTGAAGGGCATGGATGAACATTCCCCGGCCCGTGAGGTCATAGGTCTTCTCCTGGGTGGTGATTGTGCCCTCCACGGCGCAGCGGGGCCAGAAGGCGTGGCTCATCGATCCCCACGGGTTCTGGGCATCCGTGCCGTAGTACGAGGTGCCGTCCTTGCCGACGACGAAGCCGGGGGAGGTGCGCTTGAAGGTCAGGTTCACCAGGCTGTCTTCGTTCACGGCGGACTTGATGCTGTAGCTCTCGCCGTCTTCGCTGAGCTGGACCGCCAGGTTGTCGGCGCCGAAGGAATGCATGCTCTCGTCAAACATGAAGTTGGAGAGGGGGTCGGAGTGCCAGTTGTGGGGCGCGTCACCGGCGAGGTTGAAAATCTTCGAGGTGAACTGGGCGGTGGTATGGATACCTCTGGAGTAAACAGGAAATGATTAGAATGTGATATATGAGATGAAGAGAGAGTGAGAAAATATAGCAGCATTCGGACTCACGCGATGTTGCTGTAGATGATCTGGGCCATGGCGAGGGTGCCATCGTCACCCATGACATAGAAGACCTGGGTCTCGACATTGGTATACTGGTGAGCGATCCAGCGGAGGTCATCGCGGGCGAGCTCAGTATAAGGGGTCTCCTCCGTCTGGCGGGCGACGGACCGGAAGGCCTCAGGGCCATAGATCGGTTCCTGAGTCCCGGCAACGGAAGCGAGGCTAGAGGGAGCAGGGTTGGTGAGCAAACCGGAATACAGGTAAAGAGAGATGCAAGAAAAGCAAAAGAGGGAGCATACGTAGACTTGAGCCAGTTCATTATGGGCGGATAGGAGGTGTGGTGATGGACAGCAAGTCCTGAAGTTCCGGATGGTTGAGAAAAGAGAAGGTGAGGAAAGATGGAAATCGATAGCGCGCGGGGCCACAAGGAAGGGGGGGGTCGATCGTCCGTTCTATCGGAGCTTCCGGTGGTCTGGACAAATGCTGGCTCACGCGCTGGCGGGTCAGGAATCGTCGGGAACGCAGACACCACGGGCAGGGGAGTTGCGATCGAGATGGACGGACGGCCAAGTGGTCTAGAGATGAATGACGGTCAACGGGACATGCATCCGCCAGTTCAGGCGCGTAGAAATGGAGGGGACAGTTGGGAGTGAAAGTTGTCTGCCGGCATCCGGATGACGTCCTGCGCGAGGCTAACGGGATTGCCTGACTAACCGCCTCTCCCAAACGGCAAGTTACTCCGGCCCCGCCGCGCCATCCCCAATCCAGCCGCCCCAAGAAAACCCTCACGCCCTGTCCGACGCCCGTTCGCCGCAGTGATAGCTTCCTGTGCCTGTGAAGTCCCTCCCGAACGCCTCCCCCCCCCCCCCAATTGAACCTCAGTCCTCCCTCAACTCCCCTCTCGCTCCCGTTCTCTCAATCCTCAGCACCATGGCGAAGAAGGTCTTGCCCAAGGATCAGATCGTGAAGCTCATCGTGGGTGCCGGTCAGGCCAGTCCCAGTCCGCCCGTCGGTCCGGCTCTGGGTAGTAAGGGTGTGAAGAGTATGGATTTCTGCAAGGTGAGTTGCAAATCAAACCCCCTCCCCGGAAGGATTGGCTGGGTCTTATAGTCAGAAAGAAGTCGGGTCTGGATCGTCAGAGGGGACTGTGCCATGGCTGACGGGGGGATATACAAAACAATAGGAATTCAACGCCAGAACCGCCCACATCACCACCGGAGTCCCCATTCCTGCGCGTGTCACTGTTCGCCCCGACCGCTCGTTCACCTTCGACCTCCGCACACCCACCACCACCTACCTGCTGATGCAGGCGGCGAACGTTGAACCGCGCAAGAACCGAATCCGCGGCGCCCAGAAGCCGGGCCACGAGACTATCGGCACCCTCTCCCTCAAGCACGTCTACGAGATCGCCAAAATCAAGCAAACCGAGACCCGACTCTCCGGCCTGAGCTTGGAGGGCCTGTGCAAGAGTGTCATCGCCCAGTCCAAGTCCATGGGCATCCAGGTCGTGCCGTGAGGCGTCGCGTCGCGGGCGATCGGAGAGATGGACTGTACTTTATTATCTATATGGTGACCAGAGGGCCGTGCGATTAGGGCTACTGCTACTTCTGTCTTGGACTTACGAAATTTGGCGTTCTTTTTCGTGGAAATGGGTTGGTTACCACATGTATCATAGGCATTGCATATTGTATAGAAAGCGTTGGATGGTGCCTGAAGCGATCACATGAATTGGATTCGGATTCGGATTCGGATTCTCGAGAATGCAATTGAGGGCGGGTGGACGGGCGTACTGTAGGGTGGCTGGGACGACTTATCTGGAGGCCCGACCAAGTGCTCCGTACCGAGTTCGAATCCCATTGCGATGCATCACATCGGAGATAGATAGGCCCCCGACACATGGACTCCTCACCTTCCGATCCCAGGAATAACCCTGCAGATCCCTTGCGACTAGTTACCCAACTCGATAGTGCCAGGAAAAGCAACAAAGGAAGGATGGACGGATGGGCAGGTGGTCGTCATTCCTGCACTGGACATCGGCCCCTTGCTAGGTCCGTCCAAGAACGAAGGGAGAGAAGAGAGTCCAGAAGATTACTCTGTAGAGCGAGCGATACACGGACGGCCGTCGCCCAGAATACCGCCGAGAAGGCCAAGAGCAGGAGGATACGCAAGTGTGCTCATCCATTGGCGATCGCCTCGATCACCTGGGATACGGTGTGCTTAGACGTCAAGCGGTACGAGGACCTGCACCGCACCCCCTTGGGGTTGGGAAAGGAACCGCGACTCCTTAAATGCGTAGGATTCAGTCCCATTTATCCCTTGGCAACTATGAAGGTGTGTGTGTGTGTCTCCACGCAATCTCTCGATAGTGCTATGCTTGGCATCACCCTGAACCAGGGGGCGGCGGGGGGGGGGGTTGACAGCAACAGGCCAGGCCGTGGTATGCCAGCCTGCCAGGATCCGCGACGAGGATGGCATCATGGCATGGGCAGGTAGGTTTGCCGGGGTGGACTCCCCACATTCGACGCCCTTTTCTGGAATTGTTGGGGACCCTTGAGAGGACGCAAACCCAATTCGGCCGCATTGGAAACCCGACCTGTCCCGGCAGTGGTGAGCTCGCTCGGGAAGAGCTCTTGTCCCCAAAGGATTTACCTACTCACAATGACCTTGTGGCGCCAGGTGCACGACTCGAAATTAAAGATGCTGCGGGCAATAAAGTGGTTGTTGTGTTAGCGTAGTTTGATTGTTTTGATCGTTAATCCCCCAGGCTCCAAAGGCTCCAATCCAAGGGAGGCCGGATAGAGCAGCCCGCCGAGTTCGAGCGGAAACTTTCCAGATCGGGGTTGGCCTCGCCCGGTGGAGCCGTCGAGCCCCAAAGCGGTACAGTCGGAGTTGCCCCACCCCCGCTAAGCCCGAACCAGCCGCGGAGCCTGCTGGAAAGGCGCGCAGGCTAGTTAAGGCAAGCAACCAGCAACCAGCAACCAGCGTCGTTACGCCCGGCTAGTCCGGACTCGGGGTAGTTCGGGCTGGTAAATTCTGATAATTCAACCAGCCAGGATGGGGACTGGAGAGAGGGATACCGATGAACACCGGAGATGGACGGGATGTTCTCCATCGGCAAGGCAGCTGATGGAGACTGGGAGGAGTGACAGATGATCGATTCATCCCGATTCATCAGCTGAGTGGACCGTGGGCTCGCCCTCAGTCCAGTCTGCATGCATTAAACCCACGCCAGATGAGATCCAGAAGAATCTAGCGGGGTAGAGGAGCTCGTCCTGGGCTGGGGGTAATGCGGATCGGGAAATCTGGAGGGTCATCCTCCTCCAATGCTATTCGCGGGCGGTACGGAGTAGGCAGGCATGCCATGTTATGCTGCTGGTGCTGGACGGCTAGACGGCACCGGAAAGCTCTTCCAGCTGATAACCCCTTCGCCGTGCCAACTGACCTGAGAGATAGTGGTTCATGGTGGGAGGAGAAATGAATCGAGCATAATATGAATAATCCCGGCTCGGATAAGATGGTTCCTGCTAGGTAAAGAAGCAGGCTGGCCGTTACGGGTATTTTTACATATCTTACCCCCCCCCCCCCAAGCATGCCTTGATGTCATCCATCCATCCATTCATCCATGAGGTAGTAGTTGATAGTTAATTTATACTTGGTGTGTACGGAACACTCCGTACCAGCTCAGAGCAGCCACATGCTCGATCTATAACAATTGGACGGCTCTTCTCCGCAGAATTCCGATCGAAAGGTGCAGACGAGGTGCAGGAGGCGAGGTCCAATCTCCAGAGCACGCGGTGCCGTTTCTTCGCGGTGAATCAGTCTCGATCCGTCCGCCAAGTCTCTGTATGTAACTTGAGGCGAGACAGCCATCTTATGCCTCCATCAGTATTGCCTTCTTTCTTCCCTTTCCACCCACCAACACCAGCCTTCTTTAGTTCTAGTTTGGGTCGAGTTCCCCTCGTCCTTTCTCCCCTCCTTCCCCTCTCCCCTCTCTCGTCTCGCTCTCTTTCTCTCTTTCTCTCTTTCTCTCCCCCTCCCCCCCTCCCCCTTCTAGACCTTCATCCGTTGGTCTTAATCATCAGGTGTCTACTTCCTGCCTGATGGTCCCGGCGTCCATCCACCGCTAAACTGCTCCGTCCGACCCGCCGCTATTGCCGCCGCCGTCGCTTTCTGTGGCTCCAATTCCAAGGCCGCCGCGCCTGCTTTAGTTCTTCTCCCAGAACAGCCCGGTGGAACCTCTCCTCAGTCCTCAGTCCTCGGTCCTCCCCTCTGCCTCGTCGTCGTCCCTCATCCTCGTCGCTCTTCTCATTTCCCCAGAACACTGCCTCCTCCTCCTCCTTCTCCTCCCCCCTCCCGCTCTTTCCCTCCACGCCTCTCCCTCATCTCTCCTAATCCCCAACCCACCACGCACTCGGTTTTCTTGGATGGGGCGAATATTTTCCGCCCCTCATCATCCCGCCCGTCCAAGTTCCTGCACTGTGTCGTCGTGAGTAACAACGGCTTCCGTTCTCGACGAAATATTTGCTCCGTCTCGCATACAAAATCCTCCGTGCCTTGCCTGCTGTCCTACTGGTGTCTTTGGCCGCTGCACTCCACAAAATTCGGTTCTACGGTGATCTTTTTTTTATTTTCTAAACTGCAAGGATCATTAGCAGACGGTGTCGTTGCTGGTGCTGCTGGTGAGCTCATTAAACAGGCTTCAACTGTGGAGGGGCATGCGTCCCACACTGAGGTCTTGACCTAGTATGACGTCTGAAGCGACCGACCTTACCCAAGCGAACAACAGCATGAACCCCGGTAAGCAATCCTCACCACCTACCCAACCCAATCCAGACTTTTCCGGCTAACCCGGTGATTTTGCAATTATTAGGCCCCGAAGCTACTCAATCCCCTTTCCAAATGGCTCCGGGACAGACCCCCCAGCCCGCCGATAATGACTCCAAGTCCAAGTCGCAACCCGGCCAAGTCCGGTTTTCTGCGGTAACTGAGGAGATCCAGCCTTCGGATCCGTCGGCGTCCGCCAAAGCCCCGAACGCGGAATCAACCAAGAACCAGAAGCAAGAAGAAGAACTTCGGTCGCTGGCCGCCAGTCTTCAGAAGTCCCAATTGCAGGAGACTCGGTTGCGACAGTTCTCCTACGATCCCATCTCTCTACCGTCTTCCAGGGTATGTAAATCGTGTCTCGTGGACCCCCAATCTGTGCGGTCATGCAGGATATACTGTAGTGGGTGGCAGATGATCTCGCTTCTACGGGCTGGCTGCCTCCTCGCGTGGCCCTGCGTGGTTTTCCAGAACTGAGCGGAAGCTGAGCTGACTTCTGCACCTCCCTTACAGGTTGCGTCCCGAGAATCGAGCGATCGCAGCGCCCGAGAAGCAAATGGATCCGGCCTCCCCTCGCCCCGTGGTTCGCCCACGGTGTCCGCGATGCAGTCGCCCCCGCTCACGCCAGCGGCTACTCATTCGCGTGAAGCCAAGTCCACGGATACCTCTTCGACGTCGAATGCCACAGACAAAGGAGCCGGACAGGCTGCGGGGATGACCCCCACGACTTCGCCGCCTACGAGCGCGACCTTGAAGAGCAAGGCCTGCCAGAGCGCTCCATCCTCGCGACCCTCGTCCACAGATCAATTATCGAAACAAATCGATGTGGCGCAAACCTCCTCCCACCCGCAGAATGGTGCCAGGCAGCGAGCGCAGTTCTTTGTCGGCCCTGGTGCTGATGCTGCCTCGCAGGACGAAAGTCCGCCAATGACGCCCAGAGCTGACCCGGAGAGCTATACTCCCCCAGGCGCTATCACCCCGGTCGGTGAGCCCAATGATCCATATGCCCGCAGCAAGCGGCCGCCGCAGCCGAAGAATCTCGCACAACTTGACCAACGGTTCATATTCGGGAGCCGGGATTCGAAACGTCGCACCAACACTTCGTCATTCACCCGCCCAATGTCACCCCGGTCCGCAAGCGCAAGCGATCTCCGGTCGACAGAAAAGCGTAGCGGCTTTTTCGGGAGCAAGAAGGATGCGCGGCCACAGGAGCCGGAAGGCAAACACCACGGCCACATGTCGGAGCTCAAGCGTTTCTTCAAGAGAAACCACAATAAGCACAAGCGCGGGGAGTCTCCCTCGTCTATACCCTTCAAGAAGTCGAGTCGATCCTCCGGGAAAAGTGGCACGTTCCATTCTGCCTCCGATAGCGTTCCGTTCGCCGATGATCATGGGCTGAATTCGAAATACGGAAAGCTCGGGAAGGTTTTGGGTTCTGGAGCAGGCGGATCTGTTCGGTTGCTGAAGCGCAACAGTGACGGTGTCACTTTCGCTGTAAAACAGTTCCGGGATCGCCACTCGTGGGAGACCCTCAAGGAGTACTCCAAAAAGGTGACCGCCGAATTTTGCATCGGGTCGACTCTTCATCACGGCAACATCATCGAGACGCTTGATATTATCCAGGAAGGCCCCCATTGGTATGAGGTCATGGAGTACGCTCCCTTCGATTTGTTCGCAATCGTCATGACAGGAAAGATGGTGAAGGATGAGGTTGCTTGCGCCTTCAAGCAGATTCTCAGTGGAGTGGCCTATTTGCATGGCATGGGACTGGCCCACCGGGATCTGAAGCTGGACAATGTGGTCGTTAATGAGCATGGTATTATGAAGCTCATTGACTTTGGAAGTGCGGTCGTTTTCCGCTACCCTTTTGAGAATGACATTGTCTCGGCTTCCGGTAAGTCTCTAGTTATTAACGCCCGCTTGTGATGTTGTCAGACCTGGGCTTACGGAATTGCAGGAATTGTCGGCTCCGACCCATACCTAGCTCCCGAAGTATACGACGAGAAGAAATACGATCCGCGCCCGACTGATGTCTGGTCCCTAGCCATCATCTTTTGCTGCATGACTTTGCGCCGATTCCCTTGGAAGCAACCTCGCGTCAGCGATAACTCGTACAGACTCTTTGTCTCCCCTCCGACCCCCGGTACTCCGACTCCAGATGTGGAACCCAAACGCCATCGGATCAAATCGTCACCGGACCTGCCCGCCACTGTCCCTGAAGAGAAGAACTCGCACACCTCGGAGAGCCAACAGGAAGCCCCCGAGTCATCCTCGCAGGCCAATGGACGACAGGAACCCCCGAAGAACCTCGCGCAGTCCGAGGCAACCGGTGGGGAGGAAAACCGTCCACCGGAGAGTCCCCAGGATAGGACGCCTACCAACAGGAATGTTGATGATAAGATTGTCTCCACATCCAAACCGACACGTACGACAAGCAAAGAAGCTCCCCCTCTTCCGGCTTCGGCCCAGCCTGCAGGCCAACGCCAAGAAGTCATCAAGGGCCCATGGAGGCTTCTACGACTTCTGCCGCGCGAGAGCCGCTATATCGTCGGGCGGATGCTCAAAGTCAATGTGAAGGAGCGCGCAACGCTCGACGACGTCTTGTCCGACGAATGGGTCCGCAACATCAAGGCTTGTCAGCAAGAGCTATCTGGCGAGGTCATTCGCGCCCCTGGTCATACCCATGTCCTGGAACCTCCTTCGTCCAGCGTACCTGTGGCCAGCAAGGCCAAATGATCTCACCCGTGCTCGAAGTATGTCTGCCGGTGTCTGTCCTCCACTGTTTCCACGTCTATGTGTTTTATAATTCTCGTCACCCGACTCCTCCTTCCACCATAATATTCGATTTCTTGTTCGGCAGTCTTTCTACCTGATTCCCTACGGCTATGGTGCCGGCCTGCCCCCGGCCGATCCCAAACCATGGTCTGGCTTATTGCTTTCTCGACGGTGGGGGTCGGACGCGGTCGGATAAACTCCTTCAATCGACGGTATTCCCCGGTCCTCTCCGGCTGTTTTGTTTACCCCTCCCGCGACCCGTGCAGTGCTGGAGACGAGGACGCGGGCTTTCCTTTTCTCTATCTGTTTCTTTCTTATCAATCTAGGCGTTGAGGTCACTGTCTGGTGGAACGGGGCTGCTCAGGCAATTCACTCTTCCCGATAGAGGGTCGGCTGCTAGATTTCTCCCTGCTATCTGTTTTCCAGCCTTCATTTCGTGGTCGCGTTCTCATTGGTGCTTTTGGCTTCCGCATATGCCTACGGGGGCTATTGTTTGCGCATCTGGCCGTGCTTCGGAGCCGTGCTTCACCCAAATTGTCCCTTCATTGTATCCATGGAGACCAAGTAGTCAGTAGATATTATAAATAAACGAATCAATGTACAGTGCCATTCTCGGATGATGTAGTACACTGTAGGATGTAGAATACATAGGGGATGGTCGGGGAACCGCCTGACGTAAGGCGATGCGGAGATTGCGGAGTTTGGCCGACGGGGCGATCATCGGAGCCTTCAAAGGCTTCGCCGCCAAACCTCCCGCCGGCTTCCTCCACGGCCGCATCCCTCTCAGGAACCGCTTCTGACAGCTATCCCCGCGGTCTTCGCTATTTCTTGTCAGCCTGTCAAGTGGTAGTCCCGTACGGTGGTTAATTGGCAAAATCCCATGGTGCTGGGGTCCGACACGCCCACTCGGTAGACACGCGACCTCTCGCTCTTCCAGCTTCAACCAGCCACATCCCCCGACCATGGCCCAAACCAGCGACCAGGAGCCATTGGTCTCCTCTCTATGGACCAGATCTCTCATCGTGCGTGCGCTCTCCCTTTCATCGACATCGCCCACATCCCCCACCCGCTAACCGCTTCATCTCGTGTCCGCAGTCCGGAGCCATCGCCGGCCTGACGGTTGACTGCTCCCTGTACCCGCTCGACACCATCAAGACGCGTCTCCAGAAAGCACGAGTCCAGGGCCCCTCGGTGGCCGCCCCGAGCCTCTCCCTCCGCCAGACCATCCGCGGCATCTATGCCGGTCTCCCCTCCGTGCTGTTCGGCTCCGCCCCGTCGGCCGCATCCTTCTTCATCGTCTACGACGGCGTGAAACGCTCCCTCCTCCCCCCCAACAGCTCCGACACCCCCTCCCGCTCACACATCATCCTCACGCACTCCCTGGCCTCCTCCATGGGCGAGATCGCCGCCTGCGCCGTGCGCGTCCCCACCGAAGTCGTGAAGCAGCGCGCCCAAGCCGGCCTCTTCGGCGGCTCCAGCCTCCTCGCCCTGAAAGACATCCTCGCCCTCCGCCACCCGGACCCCACCACCGGCGCCGCCCGCGGCTACGGCCAGGTCGTCCGCGAACTGTACCGCGGCGCGGGAATCACCATCGCGCGCGAGATCCCCTTCACGGTCCTGCAGTTCACCATGTGGGAATCGATGAAGGAGGCGTATGCGAAGCGTACCAATGAGGGTGTGGTGCCTGCGTCTACGAGTGCCATGTTTGGGAGTGTGGCGGGTGCCATCTCGGCGGGGCTGACGACGCCGTTGGATGTCATTAAGACGAGGGTGATGTTGGCGAGGAGGGAGGATGGTGCGGGGACTGGTGCGGGAGTGAGGATCAGGGATGTCGTGCAGGATATTTCCAAGGAAGGGTTCGGGGCGTTCTGGAGGGGTATTGGGCCTCGTGTGGCATGGATTGGTATCGGTGGGGCGGTGTTCTTGGGTAGTTATCAGTGGGCGTCGAATACGTTGGCGGGGAGGAGCGTGGCTGAGAAGGAGAAGGAGGGTGATGTGGTGGTGTAGATGACGTGGGTGGGGGGTGTATACATAGACATATGGTTGTTGTTATTGGTGGGGGTTGCATGCTTGTATGTGTAGTATAGTATAGAGAAGATCATATAGACTAGATAGGCTCGGTAAACGGGATCCATAGAAGGGATAGTTTCATGCTTAGTAGTGCTTGACGCTCTGGTTCTGCATGTATATATCACTTTAACTCGACGCTGAACCGGTCCAGGTAAGTAGATGGCACGAATATCTAGTCCCTTTACCAACCATCAGGTGTGTTGATATTGGGATGGGTATGGAAGTATACATATGGTTGGATGACAGAATAGGTATCTTTAGAACGCTTGTATAGGTATGATCAAGGGTAATATTTTAGGGAAGAAACGTTATCCATTTGCTTTATTGCAGAGAATTCTTATCTGGGGGTGATTCTGATGGCTGCATGGCTGCATGGCGGCCGGACGGACTGGAGAGCCGGGAAGTATTTTGGAAGTACTTTGGAAGTACCTCGTGGCCGGTGATATCACTGTGGAGTGTGGCGTGGTGGTACCTGCACCGTCTGCACCGTGTACAAACACCATGCGGATATTGAAGTGGAGGAAGACATCAGTGAAATATGATAGAATGCTGAGAATATATTGAGCAAAGATATACCTTATTTCCCAATATCTCATGACCTGTCAACCACGGGGGTAGTTGTTGACAGGAATGGTGACGGCCCCCGTCGGCAACGGTTGGAGAGGAACCGGCCGATCTCCTCTCCTCTCTGCTCTTCCCTGAGTTGAGTTCCCACCTTTCCTGCCAGGCAACAGAACAACCACTTCTCCTCCTCCCCCATCTTCTCTCTCTACTATCCTACCCCTTCTCCCTCCTCCTATCCCCCCCCCAAATCTCCCCTCCTCCTTTCCTTCTTCCTTCCGGGCTGCTGTTTACCAACCCCCTCCACTCCCTTCAGCCAGGGGAATGCTCCCCTCCACTCTGCCTTTGCGTGCCTGAGCGATCGTCGCTTCTGCCTCCGCATCGTCGCCTCACCTCCGCATTTCCTCAGCCACCGCGCCGACACCTCGCCTCTCACTGCATGGCCCGGAAATCAATCCACCAGAGGGTCACCTATGGTAAGTGACGTCGGATCCCCCTTCTGGTCTGCTGGGCTTCATTCAGTCTTACTCACCACTGCGCCTGGCGCTTATCTGATCATCCTCTGTCTCTCGCGCTCTCTTACTGCGCGCTAGAGGGAACCCAAGGCTAACATCTCCTGTGCTTGCGCACTCTGCAGTGCTCCCTCTGCCCGATGCCCCCGGCGGTCATCGACTGGGCGTCAATGGCCTGACGGTCGATCCGGACAATTCCATCCTGTGAGTCCTCTTCCCTCCCGCCAATCGGACCTCCGCAGTTCTCCGTTGCAACCCGCCCCGCCCACTGTTCGCCAGCCTGCAGTCACTCGGTTTCTAACCACGCGCGTCGCCAAAGGTACTCCGCCGGTCGCGATGGCGTGGTCTGCTCCTGGGACCTGAATCTCCCTCTCTCGGGCGCATCGTCCTCGAAATCTGGCTCCACAACGTTCAGAAACCAAGTCCAGGCTCACAGCCATTGGATCAACGACATCGTTTTGACCAAGAACAACTCCGCCCTCGTTTCCGCCTCATCAGACACCACCGTCAGGCTCTGGCGACCGCACTCCGAGTTGACCGAGGTTCCTAACCCCATCGGCAAACATGCCGACTATGTGAAAGCCCTGGCGACGCCCGGAAACCATTCCTCGTGGGTCGCATCGGGCGGTCTGGATCACAAGCTCAGTCTGTGGGACTTGAATGGCGGCGGGGAGATACTGGGAATTGATGCCTGCGGGGATGACCGGACAGCAAAGGGCTCGATCTACGCCTTAGGAGCCGTGTCCTCCGTTCTGGCCAGCGGCGGTCCGGAAAGCGTGGTGAGAGTGTGGGATCCGAAGTCCGGGAAGCTGATCACCAAGTTCGTGGGCCACACGGACAACATTCGGGATATCTTGATCAACCAGGATGGCGATACTATCATGACTGCGTCTTCCGATCAGACTGTCAAGGTGTGGTCGCTGACGGCAGGAAGATGCATGAACACCCTGACCATGCACAACGACAGCGTCTGGTCGCTGTACTCGAACCACCCGCAGCTGTCCGTGTTCTACTCGAGCGATCGGTCCGGCTTGGTCGCCAAGACTGATACGCGGTTTGCCCCGGACATCGAACAGGGAATCTGTGTGGCGGCACTGCAGGAACATGAGGGGGTGGTCAACGTGGTAGCTGCCGGCGATCACATTTGGACGGCAACCCCGAAGTCCAGCATCAATCGCTGGAGGGATATTGACACAACTGCCGGGATTGAGCCCCGATCGCGAGACGCCGAGGATTTGTCAGCGAAAGAACGGTCCAAGAAGATACCCTATGAATCGATTCTGTTACTGACAAGCACCTCCACCTTCCCCAATTCACGCGTTCCGGACGAAGGAGCCCCGCACCCCGTGACGAATGGCCAAGGCTCAGGATCAGATATGGAGGATGGATTGGAGCTGACTCTTCCCGCTCAATCCCTGCCGGAGGCGACCATCGAGGGCCAACATGGGTTGATTAAATATTCCATGCTGAACGACCGCAAACGCACCCTGACCCAGGATTCTGCTGGCGAGGTTGTCTTATGGGATCTCCTCAACGTAGGCAGAACTGAAACCATGGCTATGAAGTGTGCTGATGAAATTGCAGTGTAAGCCCATCCAGTCATTTGGCAAGCGGCATATGGATGAGGTTGCGCAAGAGATCAATACGGAGGAGAGCATCGCTCACTGGTGCACGATCGATATCCGCACAGGACGGCTATCCGTCATCATGGAGCCGGGCCGGTGTTTTGATGCCGAGGTATACGCCGATGAAGCTGATTTCGAGGACTACTCGCATTTTCGCGACGACCAAAGGAGTATGGCAATCTATGACGTCTATCTAATATGCACCTGCTGACCTGTGCCACAGTCAACCTGGGCAAATGGGTTTTGCGCTGGCTTTTTGCACCACTTGTTGATGAGCACGTTCAACGTGATGCCCAATATCGCGCCATGGCGGTCGCAAGAGCGGAAGAGCTTGCCCGGTTGACCTCACCGGGTGGAACTGCACCGATGGATATACCATTTGCAGACGGATTGAGACGGCCTTTGGGCCTGCAGACGTCTCTGGACCCCTTGGGAACCTTCCGTTCCGGATACGACTCCGTCGGCAGCCCGACGACGCCCGGGTTTGGGATCGGCTATGCGACGAGCCCGGGGACGCTGGGGTCACCAGTGCTCCCCCCTCATAGTTTCAACAACAACAGTTATTTTGGGACCTCTATAGGCGAGGCGTCTGACTTCCTGACGTCGCAGCAAAACCCGGATACTCGGGCCTCGTTCTCGGATCGGTCCAGCGATTATTTCTCGTCGTCCAAGCCCCTGGTTTCGGACGGGGACAAGGTACCGACGACGCCGGGCGAACTGACTCCGACTGCCCTTCCCCAGTCACCGGTAACCGAGCCTGACAAGGAGGAGCGGAAGCGAGGCGCCTCCATCTTTGGAAAGAAGTTCCGGATGGAATTTCCCAAGAAACTCGGGCGAACGTCCTCGGAGGTCAAGCCGCAGATCCAGGAAGAGAAGGTCGAGGAATCGGACAAGTCGTCCGTGAAGGAAGAAAGGACGTTTGAAGCCAATCTCGGTGGCTTTATCGAGAGAACCCGGTATGAATATGAAGAATGGCTGGCTGCCCACCCGGGTCAAGAGCTGGCGTCTGCCTTTACACCGAGTCCGGACAACGAGACGCCCGTGTTGGATATCCCATCTCGCACCGTGGTCCTCATCCAAGAGGAATCTGGGGACACGGCAGTGGCATCGGATCTGTGGCGGGGCACGGTGGGACGCATCAGCCAGGAGATCGATAAGCTGGAGAAATCGATACCGCTGTGGCTTGCTGACGTGCTGCTCAAGGTATTTATCCCCTTGCCCCTGTCTGATGCACCTTGCTAACTTGATGTCCAGAGCCAAGTCCCCGTGAAAGAGCCCATAAAGATTGCTTTCACCCTGAAGCCATATGATGACCTTCTGCCGCCGGTCGTCAAGCCAGAGTATGCACCAATCCGATCCCATCTTTAGATGTCCATTCGACTAATCGAACAGGCTGGTTAGCAACGCAACAACGAACAATAACCGGCTCAACGCCAACCGCATGCTTCGCGCCAAGAAGATCATTGCGTACGTGGCGGAGCGGATCGATCCCCCGAACCCCGAGGAGCCGGAGGAGAACCCCATGAAGCCGGAAGAGTACCTGGAGCTGTACTGCCAGAAAACGGTTCGTACTACCGAAACTCCCGTAAGATGCATAGCTAAGCCGAGATAGTTGATCCCGCCGGACATGACCCTGGGGACGATGCGCACGCTCATGTGGCGAACCGGGGGCGATATGGTATTGCATTACAAGGCAAACGGGAAGAAAGAGATCCGATCCGGTAAAGACCAAGACCAAGACCGCGCGAGAATCCATCCTGAGACGACGGGCCCTAATCATCTCCCCTCAGGACGCACCGCCAACGGCGAGGGTGGCAGCGCGCCCCCCGGCAGCATCCACTCGCTGACAGCCTCGGGCTCCGGGCCTGCCTCGATCAGCAATTCCTGAGCTTGAAGACTGGAAGACGACTCCCCCCCTGTGACATTATTTCTCTCTTTCTATGATTCATATTGATGGCGCGTATCCAGGCGATATGGCTGGTACATATTACAATTTTCATCATTTGTGACGTTGGTGGCATGATTGCTGGCTTCTCGATAGCGATAGCGATGCGATACCAATCCCAATACCAAGCGAAGCGACTCTGCAAGCAGCTCTGGATTCGTTGACTTTGACTAAGATGGTGGTGATGGCGATGATTTCCCTGTTTTATCAGTTGATTGTTTCATTCCAATTTATTTTACTTTAGCGGGGTCTGAATGGGACCGTGAACGGGACTGTGTTTGCGGGGTGCTCTTCTCGTAGAATGGTCCTGGCTATTATTATCCCCCATAATCATGGTTCTCGGGGTTCTATCAAATTCTCATTCACCGTACTTGGTTACTTACTCGGGATGATTGGTTGGTCCGGGGAATCCTTGCGGGGTAAGTCGGTTGTTTGTTGTAGGACCGCTGCAGTAAATAAGCGCCCTCTTTCCTAACCCTTCAACATCTCTTGATTACTCGAGTACTTGTCTTCTCTCCTCCATCTACATCCCTCCATCTACATCTACCTCTCATCTCACCTCATCTCATCTAATCAACTATGGCATCCCTCATAACTGGTATGGAAGCTAGCAAATCAGTCATCCAAACCTTTGCAAGACCTATCTTCTCCTCCACAGCGAAGGTGAGTGGGATCTCTACCTACTTAGCCTCCTCCTCCTCCTCCTCCTCCTCCTCTCTCTGATTTGGTCTGATCTGCTGGACTAACAGTGATATAATAGATAGCAACGGAATGGATACCAAAGACCTCTCCTGTCACTAGTATTTGCGCGGTGGTAGCAACAATAGGGGGCGTGATGCTCACTGCGCCGGGGGCGGTTTCGGGGGCTGTGTTGCCATGTTTGGGGTTTGGGGCAGGGGGTGTTCAGGCTGGTGAGTTCTCCGTATTATCACTCCACTATCTTATACTGCCTTGCTTCATCCTCCGTGGTACTGTGTGATCCTGGTTCATGTCATACTGGTTTCTGCTACTTGAGTATCTACATCTACTTGCTATTGGATTTGCTTATGATGAGGTCTATCTATATAGGATCGATAGCTGCTGCCATCCACACATTCATCGGGAAGGTTGCGGGGGGGAGTCTATTCGCGGTGTTCCAGAGTGCCGGGGCCGGGGGAGCGGGGATTTGGATTGTGAATGCGGTCGTGCAGGTTGCGGGGGCGGTTTTTGGTGTTGGTGTTGGGGTGGTGGGGTGGGCTCGGGGATGGTTCCGGTGAGGAGTTGGTAGGATGTAGGATGTTTTGGGTAGAAAGACTGTGTTGTATTACTTTCCTCGACCAATTCTAAATTGAGTGTTTAGGGATACTGTACTGCACACCGAGTCTAATCTAACATCCAAAATCATTATATTTCAGCCATATGTGCCAGTGGGATGTGGTCTGATACATATTCCTCTGTTGTCTTGTATACTCCGGAGTCCATCGTAAAGCGGCACCACAACCAGACTAAACGGGAAGGGGAAATCCGATGGAATCCATTCCGCGCTTCCACTCTCCTCAACCCAACCACCTCCAAATGGCAGCATCGCACCTCCTGCGCCATACCACCCCCGGGGCTATCACCATCAAACAATTTCTCGACTCCTTCCACCGCATATGGCTCGAGGCGCGTCCCGCCCGGACGGGTCGGAAACCCGATGCTCGTCTCCCAAGCCGACTAGGTAAGCGGATCATTCCATGCACCCAGGACCAAATATATTGACAGCCATCCAGGTCTGGCTGTTAGCGGGGGCGCAGACTCCATGGCCCTCGCTCATCTCTGCAGGCAGTGGGAGAAAGGCCTCACCAATGCCGGCGACGACAACGACCTCTCCGTCACGGCATTTGTCGTCGACCATCAGGCCCGCGAGGAGAGTACCCGCGAAGCAAACCAGGTCGCCGGATGGCTGGATGATATGGGTATGCACACACCTTCTATTGCGATCTAGCGCAATACTATCCCCATGGCCGAAAGAATGACCACTGACCAACTAGGCCTCAAAACCCAAATCCTCAAGCTCGAATGGCCCGAGATGAAAACCTCTGCCTTCGAAACGCACGCTCGACGCCTGCGTTTCCAGGCCCTGGGCCAGGCATGTCGCGCCCAGAGCATCGACACGCTGCTGATGGGCCACCACCAAGACGACAACGTCGAGACCACCCTCTGGCGACTCTGCACGGGGGCCCGCGGTGCTGGCTTAGCGGGCATCCCGCCTGTAACGCGCATTCCGGAATGCCATGGACTCTTTGGCATCGCGGAGAGCGGGTCTTCAGTCGTGCTGAGATCTAAGACACCCAGCTTCAAAATCACACACGCAAATGAACTCCAACCATCACCACTACCCGAGAATCAAGAAGACGATATCGAATACCGCATATCCACCGGCGGAATCTCCATCTGTCGCCCACTGCTGTCCTTCCCCAAGGCCAACCTCCTAGCGACCTGTCACGAGAATAATATCCCTTTCGTCTCCGACCCAACCAACTTCGACCCGACCCTGACGCCCCGAAATGCCATCCGCAGACTTCTCGCCGAGGGAAGACTCCCTCGCGCTCTGCAGGCCCCGTCTATCCTATCTCTGGTGCAGAAAAGCAATGCCCTTCTGCAATCGTCAACTGATGCATCTAACGACTTACTCCAGCAATGCACACTTTTCTCTTTCTCCCCGTCAACAGGATCCATGATCCTCCAGTTCCCGGAAGATGGAACAAATCCGCCTCAATTCAACCCCCAGATCCAATCCCTTACGCTCCGTCGCATCACGGAATTCGTCTCCCCGTTCCCGGAGAACCAGTTTCCCCTGCGCAGCTTTGAACCGTTCATTTCTCGCGTCTTTCCTTCTGCTGCTCAGACATCAGACTCAACTTCAACCTCCAAACGACAACCTTTCACCCTGGGCGGCGTCATGTTCCAACCTCTCAAGTGGACTGTCGCAACCGCAAACCCAGCGCTCAAACACAAACAAAACCCAACTTCAGATACCACAACCACAACCACAACAACCCTCCCCAAACCCAACACCGCCCCCCAAACCACCAAGAACAAGAAAAGTGAAACCGAAACTCATCTCCATACCGGAAATGGGAATACCTGGCTGCTTACCCGCCAACCATACATGCGCAACCGTCTGCCCGTAGTATCTTTCTCTTTCTCTTTCCCTCTGCCTCTGCCTCTGTCTTCCACATCACTCTCTTCCGCATCCGCATCCGCATCCTCACCATCATCCCCATCACCAAAAACCACCACCACAATAAACCCGAAATCAAAAACAGAATGGCACCTCTGGGACAACAGATACTGGCTACGCCTCACCGCAACCCCCAAACAAACCCCCCTCCCACCCACCACAAAAACAACGATAACCACCCAAACCAGGTCCACAACAATCTAACCCTCCACATCCGTCCCCTCCAAAAATCCGACCTGGGCCTTATTCGCAAAATTGCTCTTTCTCAATCCTCAACTTCAACTTTACCCTCCCCTCCATCCCCATTCCCAAATCAAGCATCCACTTACCCCCCCACCCCCACCCCCACCCCCAAATCCAAATCTCAATCTCATCCCCCAGCCCTAACAACCCTCCTAAACCACCTCTCCCGGACCGCCCCGGGTCAGGTGCGGTTTACTCTCCCCGTACTGGTTCTTCGACGGGCAGGATACAAGGAACGATCCATAAAAGGAAATAGAGAAGAAAAAGGAAAAGAAGAAGAAGAAGAAATCCCCATCGCCTTCCCCACCCTCGACCTCTGGATTCCCGGCTCAGAGACACTCCAGGAACTATCGTCCTGGGAGGTACAGTGGGAGTGGATGTACAAGAGTGTGGATCGGGAGGGGCTTGGATCAATGAAGGGGTTGGATAGTGCGTGGTACTTATCAACTATCACTATCTAGCTACCTAGTAGCTAATCTAGGATCTTTTAACAATTCCAGCTTGTATAAATAAATAAATAAATAAGTAAATTTCTGTACGTGTATCTGTATTTGCATGTGTATTTGTATGTATGCAAGTAAACCAAAGAAAAACAACCCTCAGAAATGAATGAATGAGTGTAAAATAACTTGAAAGTAGAGTAAAGTAAGTAAGTCTGTAAACATTACCAGCCAATCAACCAGCCACAGAAGACAACAGAAAAAGAAATGCATATCATATCTTCTCCCATTCCTATTCCTATTCCTATTCCTATGACTGACTTGCTAACCACCGAACCAAAAGCGGACCCCGACGGATGCAATGCAAACAGAAAAATCCAAATCCAAGCCGAGGATACATACAGTGCAGGCTATGCCGGGACAAAGGAAAGAGAAGAGAAGAGATGCCCTATGAACACAATTGGGGAGAAATAGAAGGAGAAATGAAAATAAAAGAAAGATGTCAAGGAAGGAAGGTCGCTCCTGAGCATAATCAGGCGGACGCCATAAACCACCACCCAAGCGAGGTCCCAAAAAAGAAAAGTGGATAAGAAATGAAGGGAATGTCCATCGTTCAATAACAGGCATGCACTCATATCCAGTCAAACATCTTTAAGATCAGGGTTCAAGAGAAAGAAATAGAGAAAAAAGAAAGGCAAGCCGGAAGGAATGCCTGCTTGACCAGCTGCCAGGCACGGTTGGTGCCGGCACCGAAGATTATGTTTGCCATCACTCGCTCGCCTTCAACAAGGCCACCGCTGCTTGCTGGGCGCGCAACCCCCCAACCTCGCGCTTCAATCGGAAATTCTCCTTCTTCAGTCTCCCGACTTCTTCCAAGGCCGAAGACAGCTGCGATTTGAGCGCCTCCTCGACGTTTCCTGCTCGCGCGTCTTTGGCGATTTTGCTCAGCTCCGAGTTAAATCGGTCGTAGAGCGCCTCGTTTTCCGCGCTGGCCTCACGATACAACTCATCCAGCTTCTTGGCTCGTTTCTCGCTGACCACAAGCGACGATTCCAGGTCCTTTTCGATGGCAGCGGTCCGGCCTCTGAAGTCCCCGGAGAGAGTGTCAAACTTCAGCTCCAGGTTGCGAACACGAGACATTAGGGCGGTATTGGCGGTTGGGGAGAATGGTTCTTCGAGTGGCGTCGGGCTTTGTCCATCCTTGGCTATTGACGGCGTAAGCCTCATTGCTCGTAGCTCTTCACCGATGAGGTCTAATTCGTCCTTCAAGCCCAACTCTGCGACGCTTTGCGCTCTTTTCTCGCTATTGAGACGATCCCGAAGCTGTAACGAGTACCGGTCAGCAGTGCACCTTCAAAAATATAAAGATAAGTAGAAAAGAAGGTGCCTCACCTTCTGTGGACTTTGCAACCGCAGCTTTGGCGTCTTCTGGGAAGACGACGTGGGCTGCAAGCGTCTTGGGTCTGTGCCATTCACCTGGACCGGCCGCTCTTTCAAGCCGGGTGCCCGGGACGAAGGTATACTGGTCGCGCGGGACCTCCTCTTGGTCTCCTGCGTAGGCGATACGGACGTATCTCCCTTCTTCCGGGAAACGCGTTCTGTCTGCGGTAATTTTGGATCGATGTTTTCCTTGCGGCTGGGGGTGACTGGGCGGGTTGGGGACCGTCGAGACGGCGAGGCCAGCCGAGTGGGCGAGCCGGTCTTCGCTGGAGATGTGCTCCGAGCTGTAGAGCCTGATTCATGGCTGGTCTGCGGTCGTGCCTGCCCGGCAGGGGTCGTCGTTTCTGTGCGAGGCTGGTTGGAAATGGAGGATGGTGTCGCGGGTCGCTGCTCTTGACTTGATGATACAACAGAAGCCTCGGAAGATGCTGTGCCTGGTCGGAGGTCGGACAGAGAGCTCCTCCTCTTTCTACGCACCTTCACAATTCCATTTGTCGAGATGCCGCGAATGGAGGAGAGAGAGGGCGGCTTCTCTTGGGAACTGCCTGGTCGTCGAAGATGTTCCTGCGAGAGTGAGGAGCCAGGACGGTCGCGGGAGCCCGGTCGGAGGAGAGAGCCTAGCCCAGTATCGATATCGATCGATTTGGACCGAAGCAGCGAGCCCTTTGGTGTGCCAGGTTCCGAGTCTCCAGAACCCTTGGTTTTGCTTAGCGTCCTCAGGATTGACGAGACCTTGCTCTCGCTCTCAGTCTTCGAGTTCTCCCGATGCAGGCTGAACCCGAAGCGCTTCCTGAACGAGGACGCATTGGAGTTTATGGAACCCGCGGTTTGAGAGACGGGTTTTGTCTGGTCGCAGTTCAGCGTTCCTTCCAATGATGCACCACCTGGGATGTATTCGTCGAACAGATTATCAAATTCGTCCACCAGCCGGTCCAGAAGGGAGATGTGCTGCATCGGGTCTCCTTCGACCGTTAGGACCTCTGCAAAGGCCGCCGTCAAAGCACCCCGGTCGCCATCACTCCCCGAGGCATCAAGTAGTTCCGCCAGCAGCCGGATCAAGGAAGCGAGAGCGCGGCGATTCTGGGGGCTCATGTCCGCCAGGAACTTTCGAAAGTTCTCCTCAAAGTCCCGAGGGAACAGGGTGTCGAACTGAGTCTGAAGCGATTTCAACGAGGACGGGTCCAAGACTGGGCCCATATGTTCTCTCCAAGCGTTGGCCATGAATGTTTCAAAGGCCACAAAGAGTGTATCCACAGGCACCTCTGCCGCGGCTTGGATCTTCCCAGGATCTTCCAACAGGATGTTGTACAGTTCATTCACCGACGACCGATCAACATTGTCTCTTCCCCGGAGAGATCGTCCGACAATATTTCCACTGCGAGATTGCAAAGCGAGTGCATAAGCAGCAAACGTCTGCTCCAAGACGCTGAACGGGCTTTCCTGTCCTTTCGAAGGTGCAGCGCCTACAACAGAGATCTTGATCGGGCCCTCCTCTTTCCCCGGGAAGACCGAGGGTAGCGTGTTGGATCGCGACATATTGCCTCGGGGGGGCGGCATTTTCGGGAATTCGCCCAGCAATGTCGCCGAACTGGGCAGCTTTGAGCTGGTCGCATTGCCGTCCTTTGCCTGGTTCCCACCGAGAAGGCTGGATAGGAGTTTCGAGGGGGACGGGGGCCGAAACCCACGTGGGACCTTGAATTGGGACATGAGGTGACCAGCAAGATAACGCAGGATCTCGAAATTGGAGTGCACGACCGACTCCGTCATGGTGCGATTCCGAGGTCCATGCAGAGGCAGAAGAACGTTCAACACTACAACAGTCAGCGATCAGACCGGTAAGGCTGGTTTGGTGTACTTACGGCGCTTGGAGAGCACGGGAACGAAGCTATCCACCGTGACGATATCTGAGGAAGCGTTGCCAACTACTGACTCTATGTCCACTCGATATTGGTCTTCACCCGCCACGGACAACGACACGATCACCTCCACATCCGAGTTGCTCAGCGTTTGACTGCAGGTCGCCCTCGGAGTATCGAACACAACCCTTATCTTCGACGAACTGGCCCTCTTCTTGGCTTCCTCCGGCTCTTCCTCGAACACACAGGCCAGGATACCAAGGTTGCCAACAGTACCGGTGGGACTTCGCAGCGACCATTTGCCATTCTCCCGCTCGCTCTCGGAAAAGCGACCCTCGATCTTTGCTTTCACGATCTCCTCAATTATTCGGCTCGCGCGACCTTCATACATGGAAATTGGCTCTAAGGCGAGCAGGTCTACAGTGGTGTTCTGGTCTGGTCTCGACTTAGCGGATGTGGGGGCTAGAAACAGAATGCGTCCACACGTAGATTGCATGCACCGCACGGTGTGCAGGTCGTACACTTGCACCACTCGGAGCTCAGTCACGACCGGGGAGTTGGCCGCGGCATTGGCCGTCGCTGCAGCGTTATCCAAGTCAGCCAAGAGACCTCGTGCCGTCGTCCGACTCCCCAAAGCCTTCGCCAGCAAGACGAGGCAGTTTTTGTATATCAGCATAATCCCTGCGCTGGGCTCTGCGGTTGGTTCGTCGAGGTGGTACGGAGGGGACAGCTCGTTGAAATCAACGGCGGTGATCAGGCGGCCAGTGGGCAGGATGGTTGACGGCCATCCGTCCACCAACTCTTTCAGGCGTCGAAAGCTCTGGTCGTGGTTCGTCGAGGAAGAGTCGTCCAGCGAGCAAATATCCTTGACGACATCGCGCGCCTTCAGCAGTGGTCGCACGGCGGGATGGACCAAAGGGAGACTGCTTGTCATTGTGTCAATCAGGAGACTGTAGCGAGGAAGACGCTGCACGGGCTCCATGAGGAGAGAGCGCAGCTTTTGCTCCCCGGTCTCGTAGACACGCCGGGAGAAGCTCGAGTTTTTATCCCTCATGAACGAGTTGAGCGTCTGCGTGAAGCCGGTGTGGGCCCGCATATAATCGGCGTAAGGCTGCGAAAACCGGGGGAGCCATTCTAGAAGCGCGTTCGCAAATGCCACCGCACCAATCGCATCCTTTTCCTCCTTTGAGATTGATCGCTGTGACACAGACGACGGGAGTTGTGTATCCTCTGTAATATCATCGATCGCATCTTTCTCCGTCTCCTCGAGAATCTGCCGAATCACCTCCAGGAATCCCATGTTCACCTCCAAAATCTCATTCAAGCAGGGCGGAAAAAGCGTGGCCAGATCAGCTTCGTTGGGGCTGGTACTGGACGGGACCCGTGCCTGGGCCTTTAACCGGTACTCCTCCGCCACATTGCACACCAGGGTATAGAGCTTGTTCACATATCGTTCCTCCGTATCCACCAGCTCGCACATGGTCAGGCGAAGGGCCTGTTTCTGGCTTTTGGAGAAGAGCTTTGACTTGCTCACGTTGGTCGGCTGTGACGGGGCGCGCTTGAGTCGGGATGTTGGCAGAAACATCGGCGCTCCCAGCGATCGAACCAGCGCTGAATACCGTCCATATTGGAGATCAGGAGTATCATAAAAGTCCACATTACCATCCTGCACATCATCATCGTTATCGGGCTGGGGAGGCGGCTGGATCACGCCAACGGGGAGGACGACGTCGATATCGACCCACGGAACCCTGCGCTCTTGGAACGCCCCCCGCACATCGCGCACTATGTCCGCTGTCTGGTCGACCTTCGTCATGCGATTGGCGAGTTCCGCGGCGTGCATCTCATCGAAAAGCCTGGGAAGCTTCACGCCTGGCTTGCCGGCACGGGCGATGGCCTGCAGGCACTCCTTGGCGGGGTCGGACAGCTCTGCGAAGTACTTCAACATGCTGACCGCGAGACCTCGGCAGACCTCATCGCCTTGTTTGTCCCTGGGTAGATGGTTGACTGCGGCATACAAGGGGGCGGCGGGAGAGACGGTGATGCGCGGGTAACTTTGGAAGCCGGCGGGGGTCAAGATATGCGCCTGGATGCGCGAGCTGCTGACGGTGGCATTTGCTGTGGCGACGGGGCCGTAGAAGACAAAGACGGAGGAGAGGTAGGTGTCGGAGGCATGGTACAAGGAGAGCTGCTCCAGAGGCAGGTCCGACGGGGCGGTTGACACAGTCGCCATGATGGCGGGGGAAGGGAAGGACGTTATCGCATGCAACAAAAGAGTGGGAAGTACCGATCCGGTGGGGAAAGAGCGACGGGCGCCGTAATAAAGGATGGGGGAACTAGTGGCTGGCTAATCGGTGGAGCGATTAATAAGTGGAGGATCGAATAAGAACTCCAGATAGAGTCAACAACAGGGCAGGAAGACAAGGAAGACTCCAGGGAACGAATGAGGCCGTCAGTGACTGGTTCGAAGGACTGAGGCGAGAGAGCGGATGGAACATAATATTGGCCAAGTTGCACACGGTCCGATCGAGAAACGAAGGAGGGGATCCTCATACAGCGGAAGGGGGAAGCGAAGGAAGCCCCTCCATGGGAGGAAATTGGATGGTGAGATAAGAGAGGAAGAGAGGGGGTGAGAAAGGAAGAGATGAAGGAGGAGGAGGAGTAAGAAGAGAGATGGAGATCGGAGGGACGCGTTTGTCGGAGACAGGCGCAAGTAAGCAAGCAAGCAAGCAAGCAAGCTTTCGGTGGGGGGGAGGGGGGGAGGAAGATGGGAAGCGAGGTCGATGTTTATTATTTGGGGGGGGGGGGGGGGAATTAGATGCGTCAGGGCGTCGCTGTGGTGCAGAGACAGACAGTCAGTCAGTCAGTCAGAGTAAAAGACCAGACGGATTGACTGGCTGCAGGGGATTTGCAGCGTTAGCCTCGCATCAGCATCAGCCAAAGTGAAGGTTGACTCGCGAATTGCTCTTGCGCGGGGGAAAGGCCGCCAATCCGGTTTAGCCTCAGATCGGGTTATACTTACGGATGGAGCTGACCATGGATGGCATTTCGGTATGCAAATACAACCTCAGGGCACCGATGGAACCCAGCTCTTCTTCTATCTAACGATCCCGGACGAAATCTCCGTACCCAAGCATCCCAAGGAGAAGAATCGCCATCACCATCGCAATCACACCTCGACACGTGTAGCTGGTGGCCAACTGTCAACAATTATCCGAAGAAAAAGAAACCAGTCCAGAAGCAACGCTCAGACCAACCATCCAATGGGGCACTTTCCGACCGTAAGGGAGGCGCTAAGCGGCCCAGGAACTCAGGAATGATTTGTTTACATCCAGTCCTTTTTTTTTCTCTCTCGTTCTGGGGAGGAGGAGGACTTTCTGGGCGTTGAACCGGGCCACACCGCCTAGCCCAGGCAGGCCCCTCAACCATGGATCCAGGCCGGTCATCCTCCACTTCGGGGCACCTTTTGGGGCCTTCTTCAACATGATCATTATTCCTTTCTTCCGGGAATCCAGCTTGAAGTTGGGTCTGATCTGGCGGCTCAACCTTGAACACCATCCATGTTGCTGGGAGACCAGTTCGTTACTGAGTTACTTTAGTTACTACCAAGTACTGTACGGCTGTAGACCTCCGCGACCAAGTAAGGAATCGCTCGTAAACCCCGCAACTTTATCCTCACAATTCGCCGTTTGGGTATCAACCCTTGCATATAGAGGTCGTATGCCTCCCATGACCTCCTCATGAGGGGAGTAACCCACCGTAGGAAGGTTTGTCCCAGCACAGCTCCATCAATCTTGTACTGATTCTTTTTTTTTTTTTTCTGCCACTTCTCTCCTGGCCAGTCTATATTAATATTTAACACCGAGTGTCTGTCCCTGAATAAGAATCGGGGAGCGAAACTGAGGGACTGGCGCCCTAAACCCGATCGGGCAGGCAGGTCACCTCCGCCGCCCGCAGCGGCCAAAGAAGACCAGCTGTTGTGTTCCCGCTTCCTCCTCCTCCTCCTCCTCCTCCTCCTCGCCCCCTCTCTTCGTCTCTCCTTCTCTCGCTCCCCCAGTCAAAGAGGGCCATGATTTGAAATTGCTCCTGTGTCGGGCAATCCTTATCCTGCCGCTCCCCTTCTCCCCTCCCTCTACCGTCCGTCCACCATGTCCTCTACACCTCTGCCCATCGCGGTCGACCCGGTCGCGTTGGTGATAACGGAATGCATCACCGTCACCTCGGCCATGCGAAAGCATGCCCGCTGGGCTCATTCGTCCGTCTCCGCCATCCTGGGAGGCGGCGCGGTCTCCAGAGTCTACGACCGTGATACCTCTGCTCCTCCAAGCCCCCGGAATGGGGCCACGCCGCCCCGTCCGAGGTCGAGACTGTCCTCCGCCGATGAGGACCATGCCCTGGCGAATCGCTGGGGCTTGCGAGGCAAGAAGGGCAAGAGTATGCAAGATAACCCCCTGATTTCGGCCTTCACCCGGCTGCGGAGCGATCTGAAGGGCTGCAGAGATATCCGAACCTTCGATGCCCCGGCCTTGCTCCATCCGTTCCTCCAGGTCATTCGCTCCTCGTCTACCTCCGCCGCGATCACCTCCCTAGCCTTGGTGGCCCTGACCAAGTTCTTCGCCTACAACATCGTCAGTCGCGACTCCCCGCGACTCCCCATGGCCATGCAGCTCCTCTCCGCCGCGATTACCCATTGCCGCTTCGAAGCCAGCGACTCCGCCGCCGACGAAATCGTTTTGTTGCGCATCTTAAAATTGATGGAAGGGATGCTGTCTCGCCCCGAAGGCGAGCTCCTGGGAGACGAGAGTGTCTGTGAAATGATGGAAACCGGGTTAAGCATGTGCTGTCAGGTCCGCCTCTCGGAGGTTCTGCGGAGGTCTGCGGAGATGGCCATGGTCAACATGTGTCAGGTGATCTTCATGCGACTGTCGCACCTGGATGCCTCGCAGGTCGATGAGCCGGGGTTTGAGATCCGAACTCGCCCCGAGGTCGAACAAACAAACTTGAAGATGGATCCTTCCGTCGACGGAAATACCGTGACCTCACAACACCCGTCCGCCATGGGCTCAGATACCGGTGTAGCGGATCGGGACCGTGGCAGTCGAGATGGATCTCCCGAGCAAACGCTGAATGGAGGCGCTGTCGCCGCGCCTCCGAATCCCCAAGATGATACGGGGGACGAAGTGAAGCCCTACTCCATACCGTCCATTCGGGAGCTATTCCGGGTGCTGATTGACCTCCTGGACCCCCACAACGGACAGCACACAGAACCCATGAAGGTGATGGCGCTGAGGATCATCGATGTGGCCCTGGAGGTGGCGGGTCCTTCCATCGCCAAACACCCCAGTCTGGCTTCATTGGCGCAGGACGATCTCTGCCGCCATCTCTTCCAGCTGGTTCGATCGGAGAATATAGCGATCCTGACGGGCTCTCTTAGGGTCGCTGGTACTCTGCTCCTGACCTGTCGCCCTGCCCTGAAGCTACAGCAGGAGCTCTATCTGTCGTACCTAGTCGCCTGCCTCCACCCCAAGGTAGAAATTCCGAGGGAGCCAGGTATCAACCCGGCTCTTTACGATGGAGTACCGCAGGTGCCGAAGCTGGTGAAGCCTTCGCCGTCGCAATCTAGTAGTGGGAGATCCACCCCGATTCCAGTGAAGGATAGGCAAAAGCTCGGACTGGAAGGGGGCTCAAGGAAGCCGGAAACCCGGGAAGCCATGGTGGAGAGTATCGGCGTGCTGGCGCGCATCCCGAGCTTTATGGTGGAGCTTTTCATCAACTACGACTGCGACGTCGATCGAGCGGACCTGTGCGAGGACTTGATCGGCTTGCTTTCCCGCAGTGCTTTCCCCGACTCGGCTACTTGGAGCACAACCAATGTGCCTCCATTATGCTTGGATGCTCTTCTGGGTTTTGTCCAATTCATATATGATCGGCTGGATGATGAGCCTGTGCATGATGACTTCCCTTCAATCGAACAGCTCAGGAGCCAGCGCCGGAGAAAGAAAATCATCATCCATGCGGCCCAGAAATTCAACGAGGATCCCAAATCAGGAGTTGCCTACCTTGCCTCCCATGGCATTATCGAGAACCCGGACGATCCTGCTCTGGTAGCTCGGTTCTTGAAGGGAACGACGCGGTTGTCAAAGAAGGTTTTGGGCGAATTCCTGTCCAAACGCTCCAATGAACGACTTCTCGATGCATTCGTTGAACTTTTCGATTTCGCGGGCAAGAATATCGTCGATGCCCTCCGAGACTTGCTCGGCGCATTCCGCCTGCCGGGTGAATCCCCTCTGATCGAGCGGATTGTCACGACATTCACCGAAAAGTACATGCAGCAGGCCCAACCCACTAACATTGCGGACAAGGACGCTGTCTTTGTACTGACATACGCCATTATCATGCTTAACACGGAGCTTTATAACCCGAACATCAAATCCCAGAATCGCATGTCATGCACCGCGTTTTCAAGGAATCTGCGAGGTGTAAACGCAGGACAGGACTTTGCTCCCGAGTTCTTGCAGGAGATTTATGATTCGATCAAGCGCAACGAGATTATCTTGCCAGATGAGCATGACAACCAGCATGCATTCGACTTTGCTTGGCGAGAATTGCTGTTGAAGTCCTCATCGGCCGGGGAGCTGGTGGTTGGTGAAACCAATATCTACGATGCGGAGATGTTTGCGGCGACCTGGAAACCCGTTGTTGCGACTCTGTCATATGTGTTCATGTCAGCTTCCGATGATGCGGTATACTCTCGAGTGGTAACAGGATTTGATCAGTGTGCCCAAATTGCTGCCCGTGCCGGTTTGACGGAAGCCTTTGACCGCATTGTCTTCTGTCTGGCCTCGATCAGCACCCTTGCAACACCGAAGCCCCCCAGCACTGCTCTCAACACGGAGTTGCAAGCCGATAAGAAGAGCGTGATGGTGAGCGAACTGGCCGTGAAATTCGGACGCGACTTCAGGGCCCAACTGGCGGCGGTGGTCCTCTTCCGCGTGCTGGCCAATAATGAAGCTGCGATTCAGCAGAGCTGGACGCACGTTATTCGAATCCTCAGCAACTTGTTCATTAACTCTCTCATCCCTCCGCCTAATTCTGAGCTGAGCGCTGAGCTCGATGTTTCCCCTATCCCGCTCCAGACCCCGTCGCAGGTCGTAGACCGTGATGGACGAGGCGCAGAAACCGGACTGCTCTCCGCATTCACCTCATATCTCTCCAGCTATGCAGCCGATGAGCCTCCAGAGCCATCGGATGAGGAGTTGGACAACACACTGTGTACCGTGGACTGTATCACGGCGTGTTCCACTGACGATGTCCTGGCTAATATGAAGTAAGTTATGCGCCATCCCCTCTGCCTGCTTGCCTAACCGTCCATTAGATCTCTTCCGTTGAAGTCGGTGGCTATGGTCGTTGAGGCGTTATTGGCTCAGATGCCCGAAGAAAATGCTCCGGCGGTTATCGTTGTCAAAACCGAGCGGCCATCAACCGGTTCAAGGATGTCTGGCGGCAGGGCCGATGCTAATAAATCCAATTACGACCCCGGAATGCTGTATCTCTTGGAAATGGCCACCATTCTGACGCTTCGTGATGCGGAAACCCTGGAGACTCTCGGTGAGAGACTCCTGACCACCCTGCAAGCATTCATTCGGGATGCGAGAAACATCCACTCCTTGGCACTGTCACGGATCATCCACTATCTGCTTAACCTATTGCGGTTGAGTCATGTATGTCTACTCTCTTCGTTTCGTGTTCTGCGCTAATATCCATTAGGACCAGCCTTACATGCGGGTACCTGTGGTTCTTCATGGCATTTCTGGCTTCGATCAGGATATCTTGGAGAACGTTGCCATTCCGGTAGTCAAAAGCCTATCGCGATGCGTCTCTGGCCCTGCGCCGTTGCGTAACGAGATCACTGTTTCTCCTGACTTCTGGTCTATCTTGCAGAGACTGCACCAGCACAAGGAAGCTGCTCCGCTGGTGTTTGACCTGCTCCAAACCATTGTGGAGTCTGCCCCTCCTATAATTACTGCGGATAACTACGAATCTGCTGTTAGCCTTGCAAACGATTTCATCAGCGCCGGTAGTGTGGGCCACATCGATGAACGGCAGAGAGATGCACACGGGCGACGCGTCCGGGGTGCCAAACAGTCGAAGTCAAGGTATTTTCCCAATCATTCCATCGATTTTTCCATGCTGACAACCAGTAGCAGTGAAAACGAGGTGGTTTCACGTGGCGTGAAAGCCATTGGTTTCATCCTCTACCTAACCCGACGTGTCCCTGCCCTTATCAAGCAATCTCACCTCGAGGAAAGCGAAGGTATGCACGTAACTCCTGTGAACCGAGCTTGAGCTAATGTATTTTCCAGCCTGGTCCGCGTACTGGTCCCCTATCTTCCAATGCTTGACTGGGCAATGCATCAACCCCTGCCGAGACATCCGTCACCAGGCAATTTCGGCACTGCAACGCACACTTCTGTCCCTCGAGATCAGCTCCACAGACGACCAGGAGTGGTCGGCCATTTTCGACCAGGTCCTCTTCCCTCTCATCCTCCGGCTGCTGAAGCCCGAGGTCTACCACTCCGACCCCGTGGGAATGGGCGAGACCCGAGTGCAGGTTGCCATCCTGGTCTGCAAGATCTTCCTGCGCTATCTCGACCAGCTTCCGAACCGCGAAGGATTGCTCGATCTGTGGCTCAAGATTCTCGATATCCTCGACCGGATGATGAACAGCGGCCAAGGAGACAGTCTGGTACGTCCCCGTCCCCACTTTATACTCCCAATGTGACCCCAGATCTAACCCCCAACAGGAAGAAGCCATCCCCGAAAGTCTCAAAAACATCCTCCTCGTCATGGCCGATGGAGGCTACCTGGTCCCGCCCTCTCAAGACCCGAGCAAGGAACAAACCTGGACGGAAACCAAGAAACGCCTCGATAGATTCCTCCCCGACCTCTTCAACGAGATCTTCCCGGACGTTCCTGCCGTCCCGGACGAGAAATTCGCCCCCGCATCCCCTGATTCCTCCTCCGTCCCTGCTACCGAACCCACAGGCGAGGCCAGCGCGGAGCCTCAACCAGCCACGTCCGAAGAACATCCCACCCCCGCTGAACCCGAGCCAACAGCCGAAGCTGAACCCGCACCCGCGGCTGAAGACAACGCCAGCAATCCCTAAACATCCACCCATCCACCCATCCATCCATCTCACAGGAAGGAAAGAAAGACACCGCTTCCATATCTTCCTTTCCATCTTCGTCTCCGATGACTTGATTTATCTTACCTTATTTTACTTTATCTTATTTCCCCTCAAGCATTTATAGCGTGGGTAGTTTGCTTGCTGTATTGCCTCCCTTCCCTTTCTCTCTGCTTCCCACTTCTGCTTCTGATTCTTCTGCCTGTGTGCTCTAAATACCTGTATTGTATTTGTAAATATTTCCATCGATGCACGCTGTTTCATCATCATCATCTTCTTCTTCTTCTTCTTCTTCTTCTTCTTCTTTTTTCTTATTATTCTATTATCCTAGAGGGCGGGCATACCATCCATCCATACTATCTATACCTATCAAGACCGAGATCAAGATCAAGACTATGTATGTAATGCTTTTTGTGTATGTGTTATTATTATTATTATTGTTGTTGTTGTTGCTGTTGTTGTAATTGTACCCTAGTTATTTTATTGTCGTGCTGGTTGTTTATAAATGGGGTTGGGTTGGGTTGGGTTTGTGTTTGTGTTTGATGCAGGTATTTTGGAGTGAGTGAAAGAGAGAGGGAGGGAGGGAGGGAGGTAGGGAAGGGAATAGTGATTGATACATACACACATACATACATATACACGTACACATACATTACTTTACGCTCTACATCCAGAAACCCCGAAATCCAGGAATAAGAAAGACCATCAAATCCAACAACCACCCCCCCAAAAAAATCTTATATTGGACTTCATCGACTCCATCTATACAGAAGCGCGCGGGCAGACAAACGCCAAAACAACAGCAACAGCAACAGCAACAGCAACAGCAACAGCAGCAGCAGCATCAAAGCAACAGTGGTGGCAGTAGCAGCAATAACAGCAATAACAAGTCAAAAAAGAGGTATCCATGATATTGCAGTCATTGGGGAAAGAATTTGATTCGAATTGATGGGCAGGTGCATGCACACTCACTGTCTCACACTCACTCACATACACTCACGCACACACACTCGGATACGCTCACACAGGCACAGTGGTTGGTTGGTGAAACAGAAACAAAGGAGACAGAGGGTTGTGGAATGTAGAGTAGAGTAGAGTAGAGTAGAGTAGAGTAGTACAGGAAGGGTTAGGGGGAGGGTGGGTTTGTCTGGATTGTTGAATTGCTTGATTGCTTCATTGTGGTCTGAGAGGTTGTCACTGTCACCGTCTGGCGCAGTCTCAGACTGAGACGCGGATGATGTTGTATGGAGATCGATCCGGAGAGGAAATGTGTTCAGGAAAGACGGAAGGAAGGAGTGAGTAAGTGACATTCGACCATTGGGATGCGGGGGTTAGTTGATTGATTGACATGGAGAAGGTGGATGTGGATGTGGATGTGGGTATTGCAATATCCAAAGGTATGAGTAAAACCACCTAATCGGCATCCATATCGTCATCGAGGTCGATGGCATCCGGGTTGACGGGGGCAGCAGCGGAGGCAGGCTGCTCCTGGCCGGCCGGGGGCGGGCGGTTGCCGCCTTCAGGGCCGGTGCTGGCGGCGACAAAGCCGACGGGGGCACGCGCCTGGCGCTCCAACGCGGCCATGGCATCGGCGCGCTCGGCGGCGGCGTCCTGGGCTTCTGGCTCTTCGCCGTCCTGGGCCCGTTGTTGTTGAGTGCGGGCGATGGCTTGGGAGGCGATGAAGTTGACATCGGTGCTGGTTTGAAGGGTTAGCCATGCGCCTGTGGGGTTTGGTTATCAAGGGAAGGAGGGAGGGGGTACATACTTGTACTGTGCTTGAACGCTGCGCTTGACACGGAGCATTTCCTTGAAGGTGTCCTCGTTTCCGTGCTGGACCTCGAAGGCCTCCCATTTCTGCCAGAAGACGGCATTGGTGCGCGGGTCGCAGAACTGAGAGGCGTGGCCGTAGATCGCACGGGCGCGGTCGATTTCTCCCAGGCGGCGTTCCATTTCCGCGAACTTGAGGCACATTTCCTTGGCTTCTTGGTCGGGGAGGGCGGCGATGGCCCTTTCGTAGATGGGTCTCGTCGAGGTCAGTCCGAAGTTGGAGGCCGACTTGGTGATGTAGAATTCGAACATCTCGAATCTGTCTTCGTCGGAGACGGCGCGAGTCGCGCGCTCGTAGATTCGCATGGCATGCCTGGCCAGACCGCGTTCCTCTTCCAGGTTGCCGTACATCAGATAGAGCGGCTTGGCGAACTTGGGAGGGCATCCATCCAGGGCCTGCTCGAACAGGTCCCGTAGTCTCTCGATGCCGATCTTGCGGTCGACGGCCTTGGTCAGATAAAGGTTCCAAAGCTCGAATGCAACCGGGTAGCTGAACAGGTCGAGTCCTCGTTCGTACACCTTGAAAGACTCCTCGAAGTACTTTTTCTCCTCCAGGAGATTGGCGTAGTTGACGACGGTTTGGGGCGTCGCGATGCGCAGCTCGAAGATCCGTTCGTACACGTTCTTGGTCTCCTCGATGGAAGAGACACTCTCGACCAGATCAACGTAGAAACTCCACAACTTCCAGCTCTTGTGAACGCGCTGCTGAGGCGAGAGGTCCTCATCGAAGTAATCCACCGTCGATCTCTTCGGTGCCTGTGTTGCCTTCGCCATGATTTCCACTGCCTGGTCGAAGTTCTCGCTGCGGAGTTCCATCTCCGCCCACTCACACCATGTCTCGGCCAACTCGACGACAGACTTCAATGGAACCTTGACAGCCTTCTCGAAAATGACTCTAGCCGTGTCCAAATCGCCACCGTTTTCGTAGAACTTGGCGTAGTTGATCCAGAGCTCGGAGAACTTGCCGTGCGCTTTCTTGGGGTGTATAGCCGCGATAGCAGCGGTGTAAGTCTGAACGACCTCGTGCTTGTTATCACCCCAGAGGGCAACTCTCTTCTCCCACTCGATGACATTGTTAGGGTTCTGTCGAAGAAGAACATCGTTGACAAGGAACGGGCGTCGGTCCATGAGCTGTTCGAAGCGCAGCATTCGCAGATCGAGGTCGAAGTCGGCCTCTTCGTCGCTCTGCCCTTTGTCGGTCCGGGCAGCCGCCGACTCCATCAGGCTTCCGATAATGGACTCCTCGAATTCGACGTACGAGTCGAAGATCAGGGTAAAGTCGCGAACCGTCATAACCGTCGTGATACCCTCCTCGTACACATCGCGGGCCTTCTCGAAATTGCCTCTCCTGATCCAGTAAGTCGCCAAGCCAGCCCAGAGCTTGCCCCTCTGGTCGGCAAACCGATCGATACCGCTGCGCAAGATCGCGTCGACGTCAATTCCAACCTGGGGACCGGTCTCGATCTTCTTCGCCTTTGAGACCAACAGGTCCACCATTTCCGTCCACAGCTGGAAGTTACTCTTTCCCTCCTTCGACTGGAATCGCGGGTTGTCGAGAATATCCATATACTTCTTCACGGCGTCCGTGTACTGGCCCATTTCGACCAGCAGATGGATGTATTCCTCGGCATTCTCAGGGTGAATCTGCATGTAACGGGCCCAGATCTTCACGGCCGTCGGGCCAGATGCGGAACGGGCGAAGGCCTTGTAGAGCTTCCAGACCCGGTTGTGTTGCGCGATGGGCAGGGCTCGCAGGGCACGATCGAAGGTCCGTCGAGTCTGTGTGACCAGCGGCTGCTGGAGCATGAAGGCGAGGTACATCTCCCATATCCGAGGCATCTTGTTGAGCAGTACAAGAGCACGCTCAAACAGCGCGTTCACTTTCTGATACTCGGCCCGATAGACGGTCGCGTTGCGGCCCTTGAGATGTTTTGTTCGAAACTCGAGGTACTACATTGGTTAGCTGGATTCGGATACCGCCCGTGTGACAAGGGTCTGAAAATGAGGGGTTTCAAAGAAAATGGGGAGGGGGAAGAAAAAAAGAAAATTCCGTACCATCTTCCACAACTTGTATGATCTGGGGAGCTCTCTACAGGCACGCTCCATGACCTGCGTAAGGATTGATTAGCATATGAATGGAATACGACAGATAAATGGCCGAGGTGAATATAAAACGTACAAAAGCCTGCTCGTAGAGAGTTCCCTGTTGCTGTTTGTATTCGATATAGGCCAGCCATGGCTTGACACTGCCGGGATTGCGGAGGAGATCCTGTTCGTACACGGTATCCTGATCGGCCTGTCATTCGCATTCGCATTCGCGCGGTTAGCCTGGCCTTGTCTCGACGCTTGACGCTCAATGCCAGCCCCCCACTTACAATCAGGTAGAGATCCGGCCCTGAGGCCGACGTTCGGTCCATTTGAGCGTGTTGCCGGAGGGATCTCGGGGGCAGGATTGTCCCTGGCATTGCGCCACTCAGTCGAGCGGGACCGACTCACACGGTCAGCACGGTATCCTCGGGGAAAGGGGGTCGCATAAACGGGGTCGCCTTCTGTCTGTCTTTCTTTCGTCGCGTTTCTGGCGAAAAGCGCCGAGCGCTGCGGCCGCTGAAGTCGGGCGGCGCGCACGTGACCGGGTGTCATGCGCGGCCTTTGCGGGCACGGGGTGGCCCGAGCTTCCCCTCTGCGACCGGCCGGCGTCATGGCTATCGCGCCCGCCCTCCTGTCTGTTCGCCATCGTGGCCTTTGTTGCGACTTTCTGTTGGTATTTTCTTGCGTCTCTCAGTCATGTCGGGTGCCGTGGTACGTCTCGCTATTTCTCTGTGTTTCCCCGCAAAAAAAACACCCCCCACCCACCCACCTGCGATCTCGTTGCTGACCTCCCCTGCTATACAGGGCCGTGAGGCCGTCTTCCCGACTCGCCAGTCCCTCGGGCTGATGAAGGGTAAATTGAAGGGCGCGGAGATCGGACACAGCTTGCTGAAGAGAAAGAGTGAGGCGCTCACCAAGTACGTCTCTTTCCTGCGCTTCAATTGCGATGTCGTTGCTGATCTGACTTGATCCACAGGCGCTTCCGGGGTATGATAAGCCCCCCCCCCCCCCCCCTCTCCCCATCCATCCATCGACCCCCGCACTATCGGACACTGACATCGGAGGCCAGACATCACTCGGCGTATTGATGAGGCGAAGCAGAAGATGGGACGAGTCATGCAGATCGCGGCCTTCTCGCTCGCGGAAGTCAGCTATGCTGTTGGTGGTGATATCGGCTACCAGATCCAGGAGTCCGCGAAGCAGGCTCGCTTCCGTGTGAGGGCCAAGCAGGAGAACGTCTCTGGTGTCCTGCTCCCTCATTTCGAGAGCTACACGGAGGATGGAATCAATGACTTTGGCCTGACAGGTCTTGGAAAGGGTGGAATGCAGGTGCAGCGCTGTCGGGAGACGTATGCCCGGGCGGTTGAGACTCTGGTGGAGCTTGCCAGTTTACAGGTATGGGTTGCCCAGTGAAGGGCTGGAATTATTACTGACGGACGACCATCAGACTGCGTTTGTGATTCTGGACGAGGTCATCAAGGTTGTCAACCGGAGAGGTAAGTCCTGACCGTTGCGCCTACCCACGGGTTGAAGCTAACATTGATTTACAGTCAACGCGATGTAAGATGCCGTCCTTATATCTAGACTCTGTCGATTGTCTACTAACATCTCCCAGCGAGCACGTCATCATTCCCCGGACGGAGAACACGATCAAATGTCAGTGTACCTTACCCTTGCTGCCTCCAGCTCATCTAACACACGCCCAGACATCAACTCGGAGCTCGACGAGCTTGACAGAGAAGAGTTCTACCGCCTGAAGAAGGTCTCGAACAAGAAGCAAAGAGACACCGCCGCAGCCGATGCCGAGATACTGGCCGCGCGCCAGAAGGAGGAAGAGAAGAGGAAGGCAGCCAAGGAAGCGAAGGAAGCGAAGGAAGTGGAGGGCGTGGAGGACGTGGAGGAAGTGCCCGAGGAGAAGGAAGAAGAGGCACCGGAAGCCCCCGACGTGCTCGGCGAGCAAGAAGACACGGACGTGATTTTCTAAGTCCGTGTCCATGTTCCAATTTCCCCCCTTCGTCCTGTAACTAGTACCTCTTCCAGCCTGTAGCTGTTCTCATCCTCGTCATTCACATGTCCATTCCCATCCAGCTTACATTGGACATACAGCACGTCACCCATACCTTACCTATAAAAGCTGGAATCTTTGCAGGCACCCATAAAACAACACCACCTGAAACAATCGAAGCGGAGGAAGAAAAGAAAAGAAAAGAAAATCACATAGATAAAATATGTAGACAAGAGACCCACCCCAACGCCAAACTAGTTGACCACAACCACAACCCCCAGTCCGCACCGCCGACTATTGTCTCTGGTACGTAACGCGGATGGGTTTCCCACTCTCGCCCATGGGCATACCCGACGTCGCCTCCTTGGCACTGATAGCGCCGGACTCGCTCTCGTACTCGACGAAGGCGATACCCTTGCGTCCCGGCACCAGTCTGACCTCCTGGAAGCCTTCGAAGCGCCCAAACACGGCGGTGAGGTTGTCCTGGTCGGCGGAGTCGGGCAGGTCCCGCAGGAACAGGATCTTGTTGGGCGGGAGATACTCGTCGGGGATGACGGCGGCGGCGGCGCCGCTGGTGGGCTTGAGGCCGGCGCCCTTGACGGTCTTCGCGGGACGACCGGGTTCGACGGGGCCGGAGGGGCGTTTGAGTTTCTTCTGCGCTTCGAGGGCTTCGTGGGCTTGTTTGCGCTCTGTTGGATATTCACAAATCCATCCCCATGTTAGAAATCAATCGGTTCAAGTTCACACGCGGCACAAGGCACACGGCACATGGCATACGGCACATAATCCCCGCAATCCACAACCACCCGTCATCTTCCCACCCAGAAGAGATACAGAAAAGAAAAGAAAGACACAGAGAAAGTTGAAAACAACAAAAATGAAAGAAAGAAGATGACATACCCTTCTCCGCCAACCTCCTCCGCTTATGAGCCTCGAGCTCATCATCCCCGCCCTCCCTCAAAACCGTAGCATCGCTTCTCGTCTTGGCGTAATCGACGACCATGGGTTTATCGAAGAGCTCGAAGCCATTGATCTCGTCGATGGCGCGGGTCGCGGAGTCGACGTTATCGAAGACAATGAAAGCCTGGCCCTTGGCCTTCAGGTTCGTCTTCGCGACAATGTCCAGCACGGTTCCGTATTCGGAGAAGATCTCCTCGAGGGCTTCTTTCAGCTGGTCGACTTTGATGCGCTCTTCGAGGTTGCGGACCTGGCGGTGGAGGGCGCAGGGGTTAGCTGGGTCTGGAGGGGTGGGGGATGGCGCTGGTCGCTGGTCGCTGGGGGGAGGGAGGGGGGTGGTATACATAGACTCTGCGGAGGAGCTTGGTTAGCTGGATGGGATGGGATGAGGGGATTGTGGAGGGGGGAGGGGGGGGAGGGGAAGGGGGAGTTTGGACTCACGTGCAGTTGGGGGAGACATTGGGAGTAGGCGCTGATGCAGCCGCCATGTTTGCAACGGGGAGCTTGGGTGTGGTGTTGTGTTGCTCTGCTGATGATCGATCGAGCTTCTTACTATTTAGTGTTCGCGCTGCATGTCGGCCGCTCTCTTGTCGGCGGCCAGTCAGTGGGCGCCGCTTTAGCGGGTGAGCTTGCGGTCAGGTGATCGGCCGGTGGAGCTTTGCCGTGGAGCCGAGCCCTATATGGCAAATTACTGTCCACTCCTTCACTACAACAGCATCATTGGTCTAGTGGTAGAATTCATCGTTGCCATCGATGAGGCCCGTGTTCGATTCACGGATGATGCATTGCATTTTCCTTTTTTGCTTTTCGGATTGCTCTTCTGCTTTCATTGCATGGCTTGCCTCTGCTTTTTTTCTATTCCACGCTTCTGATCTATGAATGCAGAGGTTTTTCTCTAGGAAACCTCTCTGTGCTGGCCCCATATAAATTGAGACTACTACTATTTACATCCCAGACTCTCCCTCAACTTCTCCACCTGTGCTTTAAGCTCCTTAGTCGGCCTAGACCAATCCTCTAGTCCCACCAGATCCAACTCGGTCTCCATGTAGAGGTACTCAGCCACTGTGTTTCGGACCTATCCATTGATCAGTACAGACTTCCTCCATGGTGCCAGTTAGACTTACCCTAGGGAACGGATGCAACAGCATCGCTGTCATCTTCTTCAGGACATCCGTACGCAGCTGTTCTATTCTCGACAGAGACGCATAAGCCCGGGCTGCAGCTTCAAGCCTCAAGATATTGGACGATTTGAAATGCGCTTTCTGAACGAGAACGAACAACTTCCGCAAACTGTGCGTTGTTAGCGGTCATCTCGTCCGGGCTTGTGGAGGAAGTGTACCTTGGGACCACATCTTCGGAGACATTGCAGACGAAGCCATCTAACAAGAATGCCAACAGCTCTAGCACGGGGATCGCGAAGCGGTCATCCTGGAGGTTCTCGCCTAGTATTTTTGTCAAATCATTCACGATAGCTACGGCCAAGGACTGTCGCTGTTCTGCCTCTTGTATTCTCTGCACCAAGGCCGCACGCGTAGATCGGATGAGTCCTTCGCTACCAGCAACAGTGGACGTCGCGAGGCCTTGAAAGAGGTGCAGTCGCAGCCAGTCAATGTCTTGCAACTGGAGCAGCTGCAGGAAGTATCCAACCGAAGACACATGACTGAAGTGCTCGTATTTCCTGCTCCAGTCAGTATCCATACCTCTTTCGACATATGAGATGATTCGAACCTTGTCAACGGTGGAAAGCCCTCCGCCGTCTCCCAATAGCTTTGGAGACATGTCCACGCCTGTATACGCACTTTGTCCAGCTTCTCTGCTGAAAGTCGGCAGAGACAGCCAACGATATCCTGTACCCGGAGAGTATCATCCGTACGTTCGGACTCCTTTTCTAGGACAATTCTAGCGGCTTGGATTGCCTCGAGCCGGATCAATGACCCAATGTCACCGCGTCGGTCTGTTGTGTAATCATTCAGGAACCTAACAAGGTGGTCCACAATATCGTCCGTCACGTCTATGTTGGTCAGTTAAGTATCGTGGTTCATTGGAAACAAACTTACCTATGTATGGCAGAACGCCGGTAGCCAAGCTTTTGACAGCGACTACCCTCTTCTCTATCAGTTCCTCCTTCTCCGCACACTGTATGATAATATCTATGATGGACTTTCTGAGAGCACTGCCGGGCTCAATACGCATGAAAACAGAGCCCAGGGCCGTGATCTGACCGCGGCCGGTTGGTAAGTTCCAAGTGGTATGGATGTGAGAGAACCAGCCCTGGATCATGACCTCCTGGTCAGGGGGCGTTAAGAGAGGCAGTAGCTCTGCTACGGCGTTCGATGAGCACTCGATAGAGATGTCTTCACTGCGCGAAATGCAGAGCAGAAGGATTTCACGGGTCTTGTCAAGTAATGTGCTTGATGGCTGGGAGGTCCGTGGTTCGCTTTCCAAGATCGCCGACCGGGAAAGTGAAAGAATTAGGCACGAAGAGGCTTCAGCCGTCAATTCTGGCCGGACGCTCTGCAGCGTCAAGTCATCTTTGGTAGGTCCGGCTGGAGAACCAAATATCTCCCACACTTGAGCCACTTGGTTCGCAACCCTCAGCGCCTCGGATGGGTCTCCGCTTTCACCATGCGTCTCCCGCAAGGTGTTGAACGCGTCGATAGTAGCTGCCAGAGCTAAGAAACAGCCGTGTCTCGTCTCGACATCACTGTGTGGGATGCTGGAGAGTTTGTGCAGCAAGCGCTGGAACACGTGTTGCATGGTCTTGTAGGATTTCTGAGTGCTCAAACTTCCTATCGCTTGAGCGGCGTGTCTCCGCGACTCTGCGTCCGGTGAGCCAATCCCACGCCAGTGCATCAAGGACTCGACCAGAGGACTCCAGTAATGGTGGCTGAGAGAGGCCGTGGCTTTTGCAACATCATTCATCGCTCTTGAGCGCCGAGCAACGGCATGATAGTCCACGACCTGTACGAGTGGTATGCCCTCGGCGATTGTGTTGGGATGACGGCCAATAAGTTCTTGCAGTGCTGCAGAAGCACCTCTCCGGATATTTCCGGAAGGATCAACGCATGCAGCACACACCAGCTCGATGGCGAGCATCTGCAATGTACTTTCTTCTACACCTTGAGCCGTCGCGGTACTGATCGTCTGCGGTTTCAGAGCGAGCAGTTCCTGGGTTGTATACTTGCGAGACAGAGCCCAAATGCCGAAACAAGAAGCATCACGCACACCGGTTCCAACCGAGCTTCCAGTTGATGACCGCTGTTCGAAGTCAAGTCCCGAGACTAGTGGTTGGAGAACGTCATTCAGCTGGTGGGTAGGGGGAGCGCGGCGGAACAGGAGATGACCTAACGTCAGAATCAAGCCTTGCCACCTTTGGGCATCGACGGCGCTCAAATTCCGTTTCAGAGTATTGATGCCGATTCTCCGCGCCTCCAGCGGCGTCACAATATTACCATCCCGCTTTTCGTACAGGATATTCTCCTCCAAGGAGCCGGTCACGGCTTCGATAACTTCGGTCGCCATATCCGGGTCCAGCTTCAGGGTGATGATACTCAGAGCCTTGCTTGCAGCAAAACGAACAGGTGTGTCCTTGTCAGCCAGAGCCACGAGGAAATGATCGATAGCGTCCTCTAAAATAGTGGAAACTTGATCATCTGAGATTACATTGTTGCCTCTCTCGTTCAGAGATAGCGCCATCACTGTTACTGTGCGGAGGATCTTGATGATAGTCTTCCGCGCCAGGGCAGAAGATTTAATAACATCGGAAACTCCCGAGTCGCCTTGTAAAACCCGTAAGGTTTGTTCAAAGACAGGAGCTACCAGAGGAGCAAAATCCTCAACCTGACCGGAAGCGCCCAAGCGCGCAATAAAGGATAACACGCCGATACACGTGTAGACTGAAGGGGGTTCAGCCTTCCCTGTCGGCCGCACCACCGAAAATGCCCAATCTGTCAGGTTGGTCAGAAGACCGAGTGCTTGCATATCGCGCCGAAGCACGAGCCGCGCCAGAAGGACTGTGGCAGCTTCGCGCTCCTTTCCCGAGGCATTGACGTAGTTCAATGCCACCGACAGAAGAGATTTCGTGACGGTTGGCGTGTGCGCCGGCATAGGCTTGAGTTGCCCGAGATTGTCATGTGGAATCGGGATGTCGTCCGAAGACATCGAATCCAGATCGAATGGAGCAAATAATAGGTGAGAAAGCCAGATCAGCATCACGTATCGCTCCTCCCAGACCAGACGCAGGGGAATGTCTGTCAGTGATAGTTCGGATTCATCTTGGCTAACAGAGTCCCACTCAATGAAAGCGCGTAGTAGCGGGTCGAGATACTTCGGCTCATTGTTCAGGAACCTGCTGATGACCTTGACCCCGCGAACCTTGCAGAAAGTGTAGAGCAGCCTACAAATGGCTCTCGGGAGAGGATAAGCCGCCTGCTGTCGCTGTGAACCTGCCGCCTTGGATGCGTACTGATCGCGATGCTTGAGCAAGTATGCCAGGAACGCATCGACCAGGGGGGGCAAAAGCGTCTGCAGGTGGGGATCCAGCAGCTGCGGCCACTCCTGAAAGGGCTCCAACTGTTGTAATGATCAGTATGGCTCAATATTTGATCAGATATTCTCAAGACTACTGTATGGGTCAGATGGTGTCAAAGCTTACAAGTGCTACGAGTCTCTCTGTTTTGGCCGCGGGCGTCCATCGCCGTGGCACGCGGGTGTTTGCCTGCTCGGGTCGGGACTTCCACAGCAACGACGGCAGTTTGGCAGAAAACTCCGTGACGAGGTCGCCAGAGGCGCGTTGAAGTTTGACCTCGCGGTCCTCTGCCGCATCCATGATCGATTCTGCTCCTGGGACACCAGAATGCCGGGATGTATAACGGGGACAGGGAGTCACGATCGAAGCGGCGGGGGAGACGATCGAAGCCAGTGCGGGTCATGTGATCTGCAGGTGGGAAGCCCTCATCTGGCAGCTCATGCAGAGTAGATGTTTACAAAATATGATACGATGGAAAAGATCACATGAGGGATACTATTATCTTTGTCTGGGGGTCTTTGTTTACCACTGTCATTCTGTTGGTGGTATCAGAATACTAGTAAACTTCATATCAAGAGCTTCCTATATAAAGTATATTATTACTCACGGTTGCTGCTTAACTACTACTCAATGTATATTCTCCAAAAAAAAAAAAAATAACTAAAATTTCATCAAGTTTCAAGAACAATCGTTGTCCATGTTCTTGACAAATCTACTAATGTAAAATCAATAACCATGCCCAACTACCTCGATATCTTTACAACTACTTGTGTACTACATCTAGTATTCAGAACCTTCATCTACAGTAAAAGTCTCCAAGGAAGACAGGGCTATAACCAGGAAAAGATAAGCCATTGAATTTCTGTTCCAATGTAATATATCCATAATAGCCAAATTTGGGTTCATTCCAGGCCATGTATTCCCCGCAATTCTCAGGAAGAAAGCCAAAGTATACCCCCCCCCCCCCGGAATAACCACATAAATCGGCGACAATCAGCTGAACAATCCCAGAAGAATCTATCTCGAAGCAATGAATACAAACTCTCGAGACAATAACCCCATCCACACTCTATACAGACCGTGCATTATCCAGTACATGCTGCCCGTGAAGAAAGATAGGAAAAGGCTCAATTATATGCAAGCTATACAATGAATACTATCGAGATGATTCAATATCCAAGGTGAATAGAATCGGGAATTAAAAGCCTATATAAAGACCTCGACTCCCGGGCAAATCTCCATCATTGATTCAAACATCCCACTTGCCCAAAAGACCTACCAGTCTGCCATACATGACTTATCGCCAAGCAATAATGACCCAGAGCACATATCAAGGATCTCAAATATCCGACAAGAAAACAAAAGCATCTGGCGAGACATAAACTACCGCCCAGCATGGCTCTAATCGACAAATGATGTTCCACAAAGATGAATACCAGCGCATAATGCGCAAAAGAAAGATAGAGGGTTGACCCTTTTGAAGATGATTATTCGCCGCGATACAGAGCTGAAGGGTAGGTATGCCCAGCCTGTGGACGAGTGGCCCGATTTCGAACAGGATTTCGATCATTCTACAACAGAAACATCGAAAAGCAATATCCATGCCGCATCCTTCAAAGGGGTATAAACCCGACCCGACCGAGTTCACGATTGGGGCCGGGGATGAACATTCCACTCTTCATCACTGTTTATCAACAGTGACAGTGATGAACGCTCTTCTACACAAGGGAGCCGATGACAATGATATACCCACTCTCTCGCAATGATTCCGACCTTTATGCCCTACATTCCTCGCAGTCCAAGACCAACCAAACCGTCGAGGCAGCACTTTACTACAAGATGATCCCCCACTAGGGGCTCAGAAACCAAACAAACGAAAAGCGAACAGCTAACAATCGTGTCTGTCGCACGGTATTTCCCTATACCCATACCCCCCTTGAAAGACCCTTCGGAGCAGAAACCAACCCACTAAACACCTATCTGTACCGGAATTTCCCCTCCTATAACTTTACAAACCCGAACCGCCCAAATCCTGAGGTCCTTCTTTCTACATCATCCCTCCAACGAGGAACATAGCCCTACCTATCCAAGAGAAACACGGCATTTTTAATTTCACAACAGCTTTCGAAAGCCAAGGCCATCAATCCTATAACCCGACTAAATTCCACCCAATAGTAGTTATCAATATCCCCCCCCATCTACCAACACTGTACTGTACTCATGCGAGGTTTACCATATGGCCGTGTCCACTCCGTCATATAGCAAAGGATCAAAACGCAATATCGCTGTTCGTGACACAACCCATTGCATATAGTATAGTACACCCAGCGAAAGAGGCCGTGGCATCCCAAATGGAGAATCTCGAACGGACTATATTCCGTTTCTGCTTCAAGTCTACACCTCTGTCTGCGCATCCGCGGGGAAAAAAAAAAGGACAACGTTGATCCATATACGGACGACGGATCGATCCTTCGACAATACAATGAGGGTCATCTTCAAGGCAGGATTATCCGACAGTCTCATCATGTACGGAGATGTCACCGGACGTCATATTCGGCTTAAACGCATCAGCAACTGCAACAGCAACAGCAACCAGTGCATGGATAAAATGTGACTGCACACGCTATCTATATAGCTCATACGGTATCTAATAGGCCTTGAATCATCGCTGACATAATGTTGTTGTTGTTCTATTGTTTTGTCTTCAGGGGCAGGGGCAGGGACAGGGACATCACAGTGGACGAGATCACACTGAGAAGATGAGATTGAAATCTGGAAAAAGGTTTGTGTCATATATAAATCAAACAGATAGAAAGGAGGATAAGTAAGCTCAAATGCAGTGCCAGTTAATCAAAAAAAAACCGATACTGGTATCATTAAGCCTTCATCCCATGTATGCATCCATCCATACATACATATATCAACGCCCAGAAACGAATACGTACTCTATCATCTCATATGCTCAAGAAGTAAAACCCCTTCCCAAGCAAATCCAACCCAACCCAACCGGAAAGAAAAAAAGTAGAAAAGAAATTCATATCGCATAATCATACAGCAAAACAATCATAGCCGCAAAGACCTTGAAAAAAAAAAGAAACAAGAAAAAAAAAATCAAAGATCCACATCATCCACCACCTCCCTCTCCACCTGCATACTATACCCGCACCTCCCCTCCTTCGCCAGCCACAACATAGTCCTCCGAATATGCATCACCGCAATGGCAATGGCAAAAGAATTCCACACGTCCTGGCCCCTCTCCGACAGATCAAACTGGGAGATAAACCGACCATCCTCGTTATCAGCCCCCTCCTCGGGGTCCGTCGTATGCGTCACGATAGCGAAGATAGGACCGCAGATGATGATCCCGATGAGGAGGGGGTATTTAAGCTCTTCTGACTCGGCCGGTGTATTACGCGCAGATGTTATGCGGAGCGCGTCGCTGTGCTGGTTGACGAGCTTTCGAAGGCGCTTTTTGATGGCGCGGAGGGCCTGGAGGGTGGTTTCGTGTTTCTTTTGGTCGTAGATGACGTGGACCGGGAGGGCGGTTTTGGATGGGTTGAGATCGGAGTCGTAGAAGGCCCATTTGATGTAGTGGTTGATGGCTTGTTTGATGAGGGGTTCGGGTCTGGTGTGCATGATGCTGGTGTCGCGGACATGGCCGCCGGTGGCGAAGAGGTTGGCGAGGGCTCTGGTTGCTGTGTGGGATAGGGATTGTCAGTATTGCTGGTGCTTTTTCAAGTCAAGTATCTCGTGATAAGTAGGCAGACTCACCGTAGATATCCGAGCTCTTGGTCACATCGATCAGCGGCTTTTCATGTCCCTCCTCGTTGCGAGGATACAAGGATTCAGGGAGAGTCGGAAAGTCATGGCGCCAGTAATTGGGCACGATGGGCTCGAAGCCGCGCATGGCGAGGCGGAAAAATAGATCCTTCTCCTCATCATTGTACAGCCCGTCGGGGATGTTGATGGCACTCGCCCAGCGTTTGGCCTTCTCGACGGAGAAGTCGAACACAATGCCCGCTTGCTCTTCGCGACGAATGTGCGTGTTTCTGTACTCTTCGTAATCGGATCCACTGGAGACAGATGCCGTATATTCGACCTCTGGAGTTGATCTGGCTTTCCTCTTCGCGCGCTTGGCTGGAGATTTATCAAGACCGGTGTAGTCCTCATCGTCTTCACTCCCAGACGACCCCGACGTCTTCCGGTATCCACGAGATCGAGAGGTATTCGAGGTCTCTTTACCCGAAGAACCCGTGTCTGGCGTTGGATATGCAGACTCAATCGACTCCACCACCCCATTACCACTACTACTTCCATTGTCATTGCCCTGTCGCGGCGTGGCGAGCTCAACATCCTCCCCTATGACAGATAGCTTGCCCGCGGTCTTCTTCACGGGCGTCTTTTTCGAAGCGTTGGCTTTTGTCGCGCCCTTCGCAGCAGTCTTCCTCTTCTTTGGCCGCGTATCCTCCACCACAACAGACGGACTGGTCTCATCACCATCCTCGTCCCGTCCCGGGCGATAGGTACTGTCCACGGTGCGCTTCCTCTTGGATCTGCGCGAGTTATCAATCTTGAGTTCTTTCGGATCCACCTCATGTGCATCTTGGATATACTCAAGCTCGTCCTCTTCGTCCTTGATGCCCTTCTGCGGGTCGTAGTCCTGATCCCAAGCCTCTGGGCTACTCGCCTGTGGTTTATGGCTGCTGACTGGCACAGAAGATGGGGATTTCGCGCGTCGGCGAGTCCGGGGCATTTTGAGGTCACTTGCTGGCAGTTGTAGAACGACGAGTCGATCGCAGATTCTCTGTTCGATCTTGTGGTCGGGGGCGGTATCTGAGCCCGCAGTGAGTCCGGCGCAAGCGGGAGGGGTGTAGTCTGCTTTGTGAGGAGACGATGAAGCGATTTCACTCAGCTCACGGGAGAGCCTTTCAAGATCCCCTGATGAGATCTGAGACAATTCTGTATCGGGGGTTGAAGGTGTCGATGCTTGATGGCGATCCTGAAGGCAGGAACGTTCCGGCGACGACGAGGATAATAAATTGGAGAGGCTATCGGATGACATTTTGGCTTTGTCTGTGGCACGCCTTTCTGGAGGGTTCTTTTTTAGTAGTCTTTCTGTTTCAGATGAGTCGCTTTGTTGGATGTTGACTGGTGACAAAGGGGAACCAAAGGAGGGACTGCGAGAAGGTGTGGACAGAACAAAGAGTCCGGGTTGAAGTCCGAGTCGGCAGCACACCACTTCAGTGACAGTGAATTAGTGGCCCTCATCGGGTGGTGAGGTGCCTGCCCTGAACTAAGCAGCACTACCATTCGGGGTAGAGAAAGAGAGAGCAACAGTACGATATCAGTCCAACGCCTACACAGTCCAGTCACAGTCTATTACAACTTCATTCTTCAATCAGTCATCATCAGTATATCTGCTTCTTCCATTCAGTCATACAGCATGAAACAGTGAGTCGAGAGAAACGCTGAAGCAGAATTACATTCCAGAAACGGGGAATCGCCCGCGTGGAAAAAGGAATTAAAAACAGCCTAAGATGCTGAACACATGTAAGAGAAAATACTCCCTGAATCAAGCCACTCATTCCATCTGCACTCACAAGGCCAGGGTGGCGCGTACACCGGCTCTCAAAACTCTCATGGGTATGTGGGGAACTGTCCAGCGCAAAAAAAAGTGCCGAGCGACCGGCGGCAGCAAGAATTCCGAGAAACAGATCGTGCCAATGTTGACATTAGATAAACGATCAATCGACGCAATACCAGACAACGTTCGTAACAGGGCGATTAGGCGAAGTCGGCGGTGTACGAGAAGCCGCGGAACTCTTCTTGCATGGCCTGGGAGAGCACTGGACACGGGGTTAGCGAGGTCATTTCTCCATCCGAGAAGATCGGTCTCTTACCTGATTGCACGGGCGTCAGGACGGGGGTGACGCTGGTGAACTCCTGGTCGAAATTGCTGGTATCCGTGGGGCTGGTGATGCTCGGCATCATAGGCACGGGAACCCGCTTGTGGTAGATATCATCCCAGTTGATGTTCCGGAAGAAGGCGTGGGACATAACTTCCTGAGCGTCCGTGGGTCCGGAGCCGAGACGCAGTTCCGGCTCACGGGTGAGAAGCTTCTGGAGGATGGAGACCGAATCACGAGGCATGTGGATGGGGTAAAGCGGCTCATCCGCAAGAATAGCGTCGTAGATTTCATCTTCGTCCTCACCGCGGAACGGAGACTGCTGAAGAAGCATCTGGTAGATGAGAACACCAAAGGCCCACCAATCAACAGCCCGGCCGTATCTCTTATCCAGGAGAATCTTTTCAAGGCGTCAGTAACGCATCCACCAACAGACGTCAGGCATATGAACTCACCTCCGGGGCCATGAACTCAGGGGTACCACAGAACGTGCTAGTCGTAGCGCCATACCACATGTTCTCCTTACACAAACCGTAATCACCAATCTTGATATGACCATCCAGGGTCAAGAGAATGTTATCAAGCTTCAGATCACGGTAGATGACACCGTTCTCGTGGAAGTACTTGAGGGCTAGCAGAACCTCCGCAGCGTAGAACCTGTGGGTGCATGGTTAGCGTTTCGTCCCATTCCAGGGCCGGTCTTCCGGTAACTCACTGTGCTCGCTTAAGACCGAACTGGCCGCGTTGAATGTGCAGCATCAGATCACCACCGCTGATGTACTCCATGACAAAGTACACACGAGTCTCGGTCTGGAAACAGGCGTGAAGGTTGAGCAGGAAGGGGTGGCGCTCTTTGTTCGCGACCAGGAAGACACGCTTCTCGGACTTGGTGCTCTCAACTTCGTCGTTTTCGATGATGAACTCCTTCTTCAACACCTTAATCGCATACAGCTTCTTGGTGTTCTTCGTCTCGGCCAGCATGACCTTACCGAAGTTACCCTTACCCAGCACCGCCAGGAAATTGAAGTGGTCGAGTCCGATGCGAACCTTCGGTTGCTGAGGAACCTCAGCCTGCGGCTGTGTCGCCACCGGCATAGGCTGTGGCGGAGGAGGCATGCCATATGCCGGAGTGATCGCCTTGGGCGGGATGGGCTGGTTGACATTAGCGTACGCGTTGGGGTTGTAGGCAGGCAGCTGCTGCTGCGCAGGGCGACTTTGCTCCACTGTACAATTTCCGTTAGCAATGGCGATCACTGAAGCGAATGCAGATGCAACATACCTGGTGTTGTCTGCTGCGGAGTACGAAGCCCCGTTGCCACAGCGGCGGCCGCAGCGGCAGGGCTCGACGAAGACGGCCTCGGGGGCATCTGCTGCTGGGTCGGGGATTGCGGGGGAGCGTAGGAAGTGGTTGCCGCGCTCACGGCCTCAGCGGAAGGCTGTCGCTGGGGAGCATATGGGGGCTCGACAGGCTTCTGCGGGTAGGACATGGCTGCGTTATCCTGGGGAGCACCGCTCGGCCGAAGAGTGCGTCCGCTGAGACCGGAGCTAACAGATGAGGTCTTGGTGTGGTTTGCGCGAATCAGGGTTTCCAAGATCTGGTTAGCTGCTTCCATGGTCATACCACAGAAATCTGGAACAAGATGTGTACAATGCGCGTGGCAAGTGAGATCACATTCTGTAGAGTATCAGCATGGCCCATAGGCCTATGTTCATCGAGATTCTGAAAAGTGTGCGCATACCTGTACATCGCTTCGCATTCTTCCGCCCGAAAGGAAGCAGGTATCCGCAGTGACAGCACCAGTTGGCCGAGATGTTGGAGAAGCCCTCGAAACGATGTGGGATACGGTGGTTGATCTTCTCCTCGTCGGGATCGGTCTCGTAGTTCGCTTTGCTGATACACTTGGTGACAACCTTAGGGTAGCATTTCTTGTGGCAGGTGTATTTGCAGTCGGCGCACTGCATACCAGCAGCGTACTTGAGGAAATCGCCGCACAGGGCACAGCGCATGATGTTGTAGAACTGTTGGGTGACGAACTTGTGTCCCTGCTTCTCGTGAATCTCCTCCTTCTTCTGTCGAACAGCACCCTGGCGGTTGAGACCGATGTCGAACGGCCGTCGGTCCTTCAACTGCTTGGCTGGAGACTGTGTCAGCCAAATGGAAATGTAAGGCGAAAGAGGTCCGAGGCTTACCGAAACTCATCGACAGATAGATACGACCAACCGGTTCCAGTGCGAACCACGAGTCGATCATGATCTGCCCACCAGCAGGCGCGCCGGGAGCACCACCTTGGCTCGGTGCCACAGGAGGAGCACCGGGGCCTGGCGAAGTAGGTCCCATCCCTCCAGCCGTGTCTGGCCGTCCCGACGCGCTTCCTCCGTGATCCATCTTATCCGCAGACATCCAGCCCGATGCGTTGAACTCCGTCTCGATCTTTTTGCGACGCATCTCCTCAGCGATATCGGAGATGCGCACCCAGAGCATACCAATTGGAGTAGGACGGTCTCCCGACTTGTCGTACACCGTAAGCTCAATTTCGTTCGCCTTGTCGATGTCAATCACAAAAGTCTCGTCCTGCCACCGGTCGGTGCGCGTCGCCTTTGTCCTAGCCTTGATGGTATCCTCCACCTTCAGCACTATAAACGTTTCGGGGCCCCTGGAAAACCTAGAGCTGGCGGCATGATCAACATCCTTGACAGCATGAATCCGCATGGTGAGCAGACCCGTGAGCGGCTTGCGCAGGTTAGGTGTGCTTAAGCTCTCGTCTGCCAAAAGAAACGTTAGCTGTCGGGGCCGATGGCACACCAGAGCGGGGAACGGCATCGACGGGAGTGAGACCGACCATCAGGACTATCCGTGGATTCAATGTCCACATGGAGGTCTTCATATCGCTTAAGGGCCTGCTTGAGCAACTGAATTTTCTGATTACTCTCGATCCGCCGACCTTCGGCGTCCGCGCGACTCTTCCTATCGCCCTCATCCTGGTATAAGCGGACCATCTTCTCGATACCGGCCTTGTACTGCTTCTCCACACTCAATTTGAATTCCAGCTGCGACAGCATGAGCTGAATCTTGGGTCCCAGGTAGGAGGTGTCATATTTGATCAAATCTAAGGAGCACTGATGTCAGTCCGGGGAGTTTGAACTCGCCGCACACAGCGAAGCAGCTCGAGCGGGCCGAACGAAATGCCTACCAAGTTTTGTGTAATTGGGCCGGGCCTTGGGCACGGGAGCGAAAGGTCGAGGGTCTGCGTATGGGGCCCCTGACGGCATGGACCCTGCTCCTCCGTGCGGGTAGGGCCCAGAGGCGTCGCCATACTCGTCGGCACCACCGTATCCCTGGGGGTAGTCCTTGGAAGGGGTGGCAGGACCAGCGTCCGGGTTAGGCGGCAGACGCTTTTCCGTGGGAGAGCCACCACCGTCCCGACGGAGCTGCAGCTCTCGCATCTTCTCCTCCAGGTAAGCGATGTTCTTTCGGCCATCGCGAATGTTTGCATCGACCCGCTGCTGCACCAAGGGGTTATCGGTCGACTGTCGCATGTTGGACGCGGCGGTGATGAGGGCCTTTTCCCGCTCGATCTTGCGGTAGACCGAGGCGATGAGTTCGTCCCCGTCCATGGTGGTGTAGTGTCCGCGGACGATTGAAACTCAGGGAAATTGAAAGGGATCGTGGCAATGCGATCGGGAGGGAGGGGGGGTTGAGGTGGGGTGAGGAGAGAGGGGGATGGGAGAGAGGGAGGGGGGGAGGGAGGGGGGAGGAAGGGAAGGACAAACGGGGCGGAAAGGATGAGGATGAAGGAAGGGGTGGTGGTGGAGTGGTAGTGGAAGTGGTAGTGGCCGCAGTGGTGGAAGAAGTAGTGGTGGTGGTTGTGGTGGACGGAGTAGAAGAAGGAAGAAGAATGAAGCAACGACGTGCGTCGCGGGGCTCTTGTTGACAGTTGCAGGGGACAGACAGACAGGGAGGGGGATCCCGATCGATCGCAACGGGATGTCAGTCCAGTCAGTTCAGTCAGTTCAGTCAGTTCAGTCAGTCAGTCAGTCAGTCAGTCAATAATGTTCAAGCCACTCGGACAACGTGAGACAAATCCCCCGTGGCGATGACGGAGCAGACCCTCGTGTCAGTGCTCAACTTCTGTCGACCCAAACAACTCCAACGCAACTCAACTGTGGCTCAGTAGTTGTACTAAAGAGTACAAACAAGTCCTGCTCACACGTCTCGTCCCACCCAAGTCAGTCCAGTTCAGTCCAGTCCGGCCCACTCGATACAAGTTTGGATGCCGCAAGAGAAGAATCTCACCGGATTCTGGAAACAGACATAGACACCGACACGATAGAGGAGGGGGGAAAGAAAGCAAAGTGAGGAAACTTGGGGAAGAGAAGAGCCAAAAAGGCTGGCCGATTCGGTCCGGTTTTGCTTACCGCCCCCCCAATTCAACTCTCTACTTAACTACTACTTACAGACTCACTCACTCGCCGGTCGGAATGGAATGCAACACTACTAGTACTACAAAGTGCTGGTCAGTCAGACAAACAACACCCGTTAATGGTTCGGATCGAATCGTCCCCTGGTAGGGATGATGCAATGGCCACGGGCCTGGTGGTGAGATACTTACAATATCCACCAGACCTCTTCAACCATAGCCCAACGCACCGTGGCGACCACCCGGCATTCCTTCGGTCCAGGTTGCATGCAAGATAAACTACCATTAAACTACTCCTCTCAGGTTCCCACTAACAACATGCACTATGTAGCCGACTACTGCTAGATACTCCTTCACCATCACCCGCACAGCCCCCTCCCGTGGTCCGGGCAGCACCAGCGCCTGCCGTGTATCATCCCAGACCCTGGATCTGGTCCTGTCTGGCTACTAATTCCCCGGTCGCCGGGGCCGCCGGCCCACTTGTTGACCTCACACGTCGGAGAATGAGGCACCGCGTCAACAGTCACCAGCAAAAAAGAGGCCCTGGAGAGATCACCCACCTGAACTCTAATCCAAGGCTGATGGAATCCACAATGGTTTTGTTCCATCAGCCCTTCCACATCAAATCGATCGCCCCTCCCTTTCCCCTCCCCCTGCCATGCGGCCGATCCAACTGTTCGGTTGCGCACCCACAGCGATATCTGGTTCTGTATGGGCGATGACGTCCATGCCGGAACGGACGCGCATTGGCGGAGGTCCACTCCCCCCTCCTGTCTCTTGGTAGAGGGGGCCCGCCTGGGAGATACCATTCCCCCTTGCTTCAACCTGCTTCGGGAGGGCTTCTCAAGTGCCACCTATGGTCAGGTGGCTCCTGTCGGATGTCCACCCATCGATGACTGCATTGCTCGCCCAAAAACTGTCCTGGAAGGGGTCTTCTCAACTAAACTTGTCCAACACCGAGACCACTAGAGGGAGACAAGTTCAAGAGATGGATAGTGGGAAACGGGTAATATGATGGCGCATCAGAGACCTGCAGACTATGACAGGGGGATATACTGCGCAAACCGGACAAAGTGAAAGGAAATCCCCGGAGAAAGCTGCGGATGAGGACTTTTGCATCAAGCATGGTGCAAGGCGGCGAATTACTACGTCCTGCAAGACCACCCACCTACTTGGATTTACTCGGCCCTCTTCGAGATACGGGACAGATATACCCACCCCGCAAGCATCACACCGTACAGTCCATTGCAGATCGAATGCAGATCGTAAATGCCCACGTCCTAGCCCACCAGGCCAGTGGAGAACGGCAATACAACCCCCCACTAATTCCCATCGCACAGGTGAATCTCAGATTCGACTTCGGCATCGATCGTGGCAGCAGCTTCCTGAACGACACACGGGCCCTAAGAAGAGAGCCACTGCAACGGCGTCCCCGATTATGTTAGGAATGAACCAATTCATGACCTGAAAGGTCACTGGTTCAAGCACCAGCCAAATGACCGTATTTCGATGCGCAGGCTGAGAAAGGAGGACCCTTCCAACGATACAACCGATAAAAAGGACACCAAGCAAGGCTCCTTCAATTTTCAATGCCTGCTTGGGTTGTTTTCCATGTAAGGGATTAAAGCGCCGGGTGAATCGTCATCCAACCCACTGGCAAACTTCACCACTCAGCAGTCCGCGGGGGGCTTATCAACGCGGAACTCGAATCCACAAGTTCTTCCTCGCAGGGCAACGCTATTCACCGGGTGTCACGAGCATTTGCACTTCTAGGGATCAGCCGCGTTCTGGCTGGACCTCATCAAGCGCATGGTCAGAGGGACCATGAGCGATACCTTCCTTGCCTATGCTATGACTGCGCACCACTGCCGCGGACCTCGTGATCCGAGCCGGGCTGTGAATTTCCAGAAATGTCCCCAAGGTTGAAGTAACCCTTTTCGCAAGTCCCTAATTGATGAAGCTTGTATCATTGGGCGTGTGGTTCAAAAATCCGCTGAATCGGCCAATATGCCGTGGTCATTGGGCTATTAACTAGTATCAATCCGGGGCAGTGAACGCACTGACCTAACTTGATCAACAGCATACCCCGGCCCGCCCCTCCATCCTGAAGAGGACCCTGGAGATTTTCGGTAGATACCGAAGGCCAATCACGCAATCGCAAGCTCGGTGATGTGACATGTCCACTGGAAGGGAAGGGAAGGGCCCTAGTCCGAAGGAATGGTCCAGAATGCGAGAGCCGTTAGACCTCGAGGGCTTTGTCAGTGGCTGCTGCGTAGACGATTCAGACTCATAACTGGAAATGATGTTTAGATAAACCCCGCGAAGGTAAGTCAAAGAAAAAACTAGTAAGTGGGTGTTGAATCACGTAGTGATGCATCAGTAGATATCATGATATATCGTAGTCCATGATGTTTCAAATCAGAATGTCATCCAATAGACATATATATATATGATAGTTATACTAGCTTGCCACTACTGGGGAACAGAAACGAGTGATATTAATTAAAAGCAGATTCTGGTAGAAAACTGGCCTTAGTAATTTCAAAAACCCATTCGCAAGTCCGAGTCACATTGAACATAATGCCAATTCCACCAGCCTGGAGTCTGGGCTGGACTGTTAGTTTGTGGTTGCCGCCGCATCCAGCGGGGCCCACAGGCACCCTGGCACCGTCCCGGCTCCAGCCCCTCCGGCCGGGGAATTTCTTTTGCAAACCCAAAAATTTGTGGCTTCCATCAAACCCCCTCGATCTTCAACAAACCAACACACACAAACCAAACCACCACTCAACCACTCAATCAGACGATAGCATTGGATCTCCACTCCCGACCAACCCGCACGAGAAACACCCCAGACAGAAAACCACAACCCCCCGTGCCCCCTCCTACTCCTAACCCCACTCCACCATGGGTCCCCCCCGGCGCAAGATGCTCGCTACGGCAGAAGAGACGATGAGGCCGCCGCACGAGCTGCAGCCCGGGCAGGTGATTACACGGGCGATCAAGGCGACAGGAAACAACATCTACGCGGTGGAGCTCCCGTCCAAGGAAACGGTGCTGGTCGAGCTTCCTTCGCGCTTCCGGTCGACGATCTGGATCAAGCGGGGTTCCTACGTGGTGGTGGACACGAATGCGCTGGAGGGTCGCGATAACAAGCTCAAGGGGGAGATCGTCAATATTGTTCGGGATGAGAAGGCGTGGCGGAAGGCTCCGTTTTGGTGAGTCACCTGCAACATGCGCACACACACACACACACACACACACACACATATATATGGGAGATGGAGGGGCAAGTGTTAATGCTAACGTTAACAATTGCAGGCCGAAGGAGTTTGCTAAGCAGGCCGTGGTCATCTCGGATGATTCGGACGAGGAAGAATCCAATGTGGGCAAGATGCCCCCGTCAGATGATTCGGACGCATGATTGGCATCCTTTCTAGCTGGTTTCCCGATGATCGGACACGGACGCTTCTCTTCTACTGCATGGATGGGGTATCAGCTGGTCGCAGCCCGACGAGGGGTCTTGCTTCGCTCGCTCGCTCGGCCGGCTTCTTCTTAGTGCACCATGGGTGCAAGATCAATTGTCACTATCACTGCGCAACGGTAATGTTGGGCGGGTGCCACTTTCTATTGCATATGCTGTTTACCGCTCTGTTTCGAACGGGTGGTATCAAAGGCGCGGGCGCTATTCGCTAGAACGCCGAAAGTCTGGACGGACAGCGAGAGGACTACAACCATGGAACTCAGGTTGGTGCTGGGATACGTGTTCCATGCCCACTCCTGCAGCGCCCAGATGATGTACACCAGTACGGGATGGAAACCGGCGCGCCAGAGGAGGAAGGGGCTTGCCCAGGCGAGATAGGCGAAGAATTGGTAGTGGAGCGACCTTGCGCACAGCAGTCCGATCGCCAGGGATGACAGCATTGCAGTCATGACATAGGGTTTGGAGAGGGAGACCGGTTGATGGCGACCTGCGAGCAGATTCTGGAGGAACCGGGGCACACTCACGCCGGAGGGCCTCAGCCAGCCGATAATAACGAACGCGCCCAGCAGGCAGACGTGCAAGGCCAGCAGAGCCAGCGAGAATCTCTTGGATAGAAATAGTTCTTCGCCCGCAAACCTCCAATTGACTGTCCACTTGAACATGAACTGTCTCGTCAGCTCAAACGCCCGCGAGAGATATCCCGCCGGGTTATCCAGTAGGAATGGCATCGCCAGTAACACCTGTATATTTCCACATTAATCCCAACAACACAAAAAGAACACAGCAACACAGTAGTACACACCTGAATAAGCCCCGCCACCACACCAATCCTCACACTCGGCAGAAGCGACAACTCCAACACCAAGACCACCGCAATCGCCGGCGCCAGAAGCAGCAGTGCCATCTTAACCGCCACACCAGTAGACCACACCGCCACGGCAGCGGTATACTTCCTATTCAAGAACAGCAAAACAGCCACCCACATCGCCAGTGCCGCCAGCCCATCATTAAACAGCCGCAGCACGAAGATGCTATGCAGCCTCTTCGAAAGAACAAGCAACGGCAGCAGATAGGGCGGCGCCCCGGACTGTCTGTAACAAGCCAAGACGACCACCAGCGTGATCAGATAAAGCACTGCGAAGAGGATCTGCCCGAAGAAAATATCGCGACCCTCGTCGGTCAGGTGGTAGAGGAACGTGTAGCTGTAGACATGCGCCGCGGGGTATACCAGCGGCCCGGTGGATCCTTTGATTAGGGTGTAGTCGCGCTCGCCGTTGAGGTAGAGCGAGATCTGTTGCATGTAGGTCGTCCAGTCAATTTCGGTGTCTGGGGGATTCAGAATATCGATGTGGTTAGCTTGGGCTTCATGCGCTGGACGACTGTCGCAAGGTGTGTGTGTTTATATGGAGCTAGCCTTACAGGGAACTTTCCAGATGATCAGGGCGCAGAGAAAGGCGTCGCCGAGGACTAACAGCGGAGCGATCCATTTTGTGTGCCAGGGGTTGACGCACACGTCGCGGATCCGGTGCTTCCAGTCCATTGTGAATAGAATGAAAGTGGTCGTTGGTGGTTGTTCAGTTCATGTTCATGTTCATGTCGGGTGGCCTCTTCATCCCGCGGAGCCAATGAGAGCTGTCCTTTTCGGGATTAGCGCTCGCGCGGTGGGTGACACACAGACACGCCGCGCTGCAGCGGAATATACTTCAATTGGGACTCGTATTCAATTGAACAGGCGTCTCTAGATAGTAATAGTAGTAGTAGCACATCATGGCTGTAAATAGTAGGTACACTATGGATACAAAGATGGGTATATTGCTGCCCTGCCGTGGGTTGATTGGTTTCTGTTTCTCTCCGGCCGACAAGATCCGAAGCACAACCAGATGCTTCAATGGCTTATTTCAGGCCCCGGTTTCACAGTAGCTCCTCCTATATTCTCGTCTCTCGTACGTCACTCGACATTTCCTGCATCCCGAATGCTGCCTGCGTGCCTGTCTACCGGCTCTGCCTAGCCTCCTGTGACGACTGTAATTGTGTCTGTGTATCCCCGCGGTGTGTAAATCCTAGCAAGTCGCCCAGAACGCCCCTGGGTTTCGGGACCGGGCATTCACGGCCTGCCGCCGCCAATCTCTGTGCTTCTTCCTCGAGTTGTAGGAACGTGGAGACTTCGTCGTCGGTAGCGGGGCTCGTCCGGGGCAGGACGCCCTCTACTGGACTGAGCATGTCTTCGTCCTTCCGACGTCTGCGTCGTATTCTCTGGATTTGTTGGCCGTCTGCTGTGACTATCATTTCGGAATCGGCGAGTGTGCGGCGCGGGGCGGGACAGGGGAAGACGTGTGGTAGACCGACGACGACGAGGGATGCAAAGAGCGTCGCGGCGAAGAGGGAGGTCGTTGACCGTGAGCGGGGGTGGAGGTGTGGTGGCATGTTGGTTGTCGAATGAGTAGTCAATTGGAGGGAGGAAGGGAGTGGTGATGATAAGACGTTCACTAGGCGGGGGAACTGCCGTCAGTCAAAGTGCAAGGGACGGACGGACACTCGGCGTCCACGACAGGAAGCAGGCCTACCTTGCAGCAACGGAAGTGGAAGCAATCAACTCGGGTACGCAGTAGATGACCCCACGGACGGCATGGCCTCTCCAATGGGTAGCGTGGAGAGCAGAACGGCCGGGGAATGGGGGGAGGGGGGGAGGGGGGGGGTTTAGTAGACGGAGGCAGCAGCTGGGAACTGGGAAGGGCAACCTGAATTCCCAGGAAGGAAGAATTCGGCCTAGTCTTGGCGATCAGATCTAATCTAATCTGTAGACCCTGTGATTGGCTTGAAAAGCCTCCAGCGACTCAGCGAGTCCAGCGGTTCTGCGGTCAGTCAGTCAGTCAGTCAGGGTCGCTCAACGCTGGCTATCAGCCGTTCAGCTCCTCAGCTCCTCCATCACCTCTCCGTCTTCCCCCCCCCCAACCTCTCTCCGGCTTGTCTCTGTCCTTTCGAGCGCTGCATTAGACGAGAAAATGACCGTTTTGTTTCTGCGCACCTAGCGATCTCTCTTTGCCATCTTCCCCGGGCCTCCCCCTCCAGCCTCTACTGACTCAACTGCCCTCTCTCCTCTCCTCCATTCTTCTCTGCCGTCAGGACCCACCCTCCCACCTCCCACCTCCCACCTCCCACCCAGCTATCTAGCTATTCAGTCCGACCATCTCCGTTGCGCTCGAGCATCATGAGCGACCTCGACAAGTACTGTTCCACCCGTCCCATCCGAACCCAACGTGAAACTAACCCTCTCATCTCCGTCGCGTAGGGCGATCGCGCAATTACGCGCCTGCCGCTTGATACCCGAAGCCCAAGTCCGCGAACTCTGCTACAAAGCGCGCGAGCTGCTGATCGAAGAAGGAAATGTGGTCAGCGTCGACGCCCCCGTCACCATCTGCGGCGACATCCACGGCCAGTTCCACGACCTGATGGAGCTGTTCCGCGTGGGCGGCGACGTCCCCGACACCAACTACCTGTTTATGGGCGACTTCGTCGACCGCGGGTTCTACTCGCTGGAATCCTTCCTCCTCCTGCTCTGCCTCAAAGTCCGATACCCCGATCGCATCACCCTGATCCGCGGCAACCACGAGTCGCGCCAGATCACCACCGTCTACGGCTTCTACGACGAGTGCATCCGCAAATACGGCAGCGCCAACGTGTGGCGATACTGCTGCGAGGTGTTCGACTACCTGGCGCTCGGGGCTCTGGTCCTGGGCGCCAGCTCGGAGCTCGACCCCTCCGGTCCCATGATGGACACCACGCAGTCCACCATGCCCATTGACGACAGCGAACTGGAGACCGAGGTCCTCAACTCCCGAGGCGAGGTCACCATGAGCACCTACCGCCCCCGCCAGCGCTCCTCCTCCACCCTATCCACCGACTCACGAAACATCTCCCCGCCGCGCGACATCTCCGCCGCCCCCGGCCAGCCACCTATTAGATCCGGAGCGGCGGGCACGGGCGCCTCGGGCGACGCAGGCGGGAGTCTATCCAGCCGCACCGGCGCGGTGCTTTGCGTGCACGGCGGCCTCTCCCCCGTCATCGACACAGTCGACAAGATCCGACTGATCGACCGAAAACAGGAAGTGCCGCACGAAGGCGCCATGTGCGACCTGCTCTGGTCGGACCCGGACGAGATCGACGGCTGGGGTCTCAGCCCCCGCGGCGCGGGCTTCCTCTTCGGCGGCGACATCGTCAAGCACTTCAACTACAAAAACGACCTATCGCTGGTCGCGCGCGCCCACCAGCTCGTCATGGAGGGCTACAAGGAGATGTTCGACGGCGGGATCGTCACCGTCTGGTCCGCGCCAAATTACTGCTACCGCTGCGGCAACGTCGCCGCCATCCTGGAGTTGGGCGAAGACACCAGCAACGGCGGCACCGTCACCAGAAGTAATGGCGACGTCGGACGAAGTAATGGCATTTTGGGCCCGACCATGGGCGTCCGCAGTCCCGGGAGACGCTACAGGGTGTTCGAGGCCGCCGCCCAGGATACAAGGGGCATGCCTGCGAAGAAGCCTGTTGCTGATTATTTCCTGGTTCGTATTCCTTTTCCCCCTCCTCCTCTACCTAACCAACCCAACCCATCTTACCCTGCATCTGCATCTCTCCCTCCAATCATCTCTCCCAACACGCCACTAGACACGAGCAATTAGAAGAATAGCAGACTAACGAGAATACACCCCAGTGAAATGTGATACCATTTGATAACGATGCTCCACCCTCCAAACCCCCCACCCTACTTACTACCTACCCCTCCCACCCTCACATACCTACCTACCTACCTACCTATCTGCCTACCTACCTACTTACTCCTACCCACCCCTATCTATCTATTCGCAGTTGCTTATATAGGCCGGCCTGTGCATGAATATGAACATGAGATTATTATTATTATTATTAGTTTCTTCCTTTTCCTTTTCCTTTTCCTTTTCCACTTTTCATCTACCTATTATTCACCACCCCTCCCTTCCCTCCTTTTCGACCTATGTCTTCTTCCCCTTCTCTATCTTCTTCACTGTCACTGTTAAGGGTCCTGATGATACATTCGAATTCTTTCTCTTTCCCCTTTTCTTCTTTTTTTCTTTCCTTTCTAGCAAATGAAAGACGAACCTTTGTCTGTGCGTGTGCGTGTGCGTGTGCGTGGCATGGCATTTTCGGAAAGGATTTATTTACTTCATTTATTTGGGTTTGTTTATTCTTTCCCAGTTGTATGTATTATTTAACTACCTACCTAGAATTAAAGTACTTGCTTGTCTTGTCTTGTCTTGCATTGTCTTTTCTTGCCTTGCCTTGTATTGTATTATCCTGTCTTCTTTCGTCTGACCGGGTTAAGAGAATTGATTGATTGGCTGATTATTAATATTGTCATTGATTGATTCATCGAGTGAGTGAGTGATTTGACTTGCTTTGCTTTGCCTTGCTTTCATTACATCATGATTGTCCAGAACGCGCCTCGGAGGTTTACTTATTAGATTTGATAACATGAAAGGCCCGGATGATTGATTATACGGCTGTGTGGGGGTGGCTTTTCTGAGACAAGAGTACTTGTAGTAATTGCTGTTTAGTTCACTGTTAGTTCAGTCATTTAAGGTCTCTATGATCTATTATTATCTTAAGCAGATAAAGCCCAGCCCAGGCCTGTCTGGGGTGGGGGTGAAAACTGAGAAGAATGATGTGCTGACTGACTACTCTATTAGTACTATCGAAGACCTTCATGTTAAGTATCATTACCTCATGCGCATGCATGGTATAACGAAGAAAGTCGTAGCAGTAGTAGTAGTAGTAACCCGCCCTAGATATCCCCGGGAAATCCACATTCAGGAGACCAAAACCGGAAAAAAGAAACAGGAAGCCATCTAGCCAGCCAGCCAGCCAGCCTTACGGTTGGTTGGTTGAATTCTATAAGAGATTTATATAGCCCTCACCCCCCCCAAAAAGGTATAAAAATAGTAGTAGACAGTAGAACAAAAAAGAAAAAGAAAAAGAAAAAGAAAAAAAGAGGAAAGAAGAGATGAAAGGCAGATGAACCATCTGATCATAACGTCATGATTTTGGTATTTATACTACAGAAGCGCGCAACGTGGAGCGAATCGTAGAAAGTCCCCAGCGCCACTACCGGTCGGCTGGTCTACCTCTGAAAATCACCTGGAAAGCCCATGGTGTTGTAGCCAGGTGTACCTGAGGGATGTTCTGGTTTGGAAGTGCCAGGAAGAGGAGGAGGATGAGGGACTGCAACTCCAACAGCGTACCTCATGTTCTGAGACGGGGGCGGGGGCGGTGGTGGCAATGGTGCACGGGAGGTGTTCTCGGGGCCCGGTGTGTGCCCAACGGTTGAGTAATTGGGGGTGCTAGCATAGCGCATATCGGGTGCCCTTCCTGGGATGCCAGAATTCCAGCCTTGCACCCAGTCATCCATGCCGAAATGCAGGGCGCTCGACTCGCGAGACCACCAGTCTTGGCTCTCCTCTACAAGACTCTCTGATCCGTCGAATCCGGTGATGGGAGTCGACGCTGTGGTGACGGGAGCATTCTGCCCGTTGCTCAACCCACGAATATGTCCCTCGTTGGGGCCGTACCAGATGTCATGCTGAGATAGCGGGACAGGGTGGAAATGGCTATAGGCGTTGTTTACGGGTCTCAGGTAGGTTGGCTCAGGCAGCCGTGCACCCTCCTGGGAAAGCTGAGCGTTCAAGGATCGCTCAGCTGCGCGCATTGCTGACATGGATGCGGATTTTGGAGCTTCGGGTGGATATTGAAGACCCATCGCTCCAACTGAAGCGGGTGGTGTATGCATGACCGACCCATCGTGTTCATCAGTGGTGATACTTATCCCGGGTTGTGTGTAGTTGCGACTGTTCGCGTTCGCAATCGACTGATGGACGGCTGTGGCTGGAGGGGACTCGTTGGAAGGCGGAGGGGATAGTGCTTGATCCCAGGAGCCCCAAGATCCCCATTTAGCATGCGTCTGTTCGAAGGTGTTTGTGGCCTCTCGAGGCAGCTCGACATGCCATTTGTTGGCAGAGATCTCCAAAATTCTTAGCGTGCGCCGTGCACAGAGCCAACTCTCTCCCATCTCCTCAAGGTGCCGCAGGCCGTGGATGACATCTCTTTGGGCGTTCTTTTCGGGAAGGTTGAGGAGATGGATGGTCAAAGCCGTATGAGCCATGTAAACCGCGATGTTGCAGATTTGCTTGAACCCGTAGGCTCGTTTATACATCCTTAGCAGCTTTGAAATTGCAGATGCCGCCTGCGTGCATAGCTTGCGAGGAGAAATATGGTGAGGAAGCGGCGAGTTGGACTTGGTGTACTTCAGGAAAGGGCGATATAGATGTATGAGGAGGAGCTGATAGAACATGCTTCGAGAGGTCAGCGATAGTGCTTCTAAAGCATTAAGAACAATGGTTCAGCTTACTGCATAAGAAGTGCCTGAGGGAGCTGGCCTTCCTGTGGCCGGAGTTCATTTGGCAGCTCTTTCTTCCAGGCTTCGAGCCTGGTGTGAATCTCGCTGAGCTTCTTGAGTTCCGCCTGTTTAGTGGTAGGCTTTTCCTTGGGAGCTGGGTTGTAGAAAAACACGAGCAGATCACCATTGATTTCACACAAACGAAAGACCTGGGAGGCAACGGTTCTGATTCGCGAGGGCTGAGTATGTTCACGGCCAGCCCCGGTATCCATATACGGCGACCACAGTTCAGCTTCCTCGTTAGGCAAGATATCCACCATCGGCACGCTCCCGCTACTTGTACCCAACTGAGGTTGACGACCCAGGTAGTTAGACCAGCACCTGCAAGGGTTAGCCTCCGCACGCCTTCTGTCAGGGTCATCAATTACATACTTGTCAAAAAGGAAACAACCCCAAAAAGTGATCCTTCGCGCATCCACTTCGTCCTCACTGAGATTGCGCGCCCCGAGGCTGGTTGAGTCAAAGTTCAAGCCTAGGTCAAAAGCCATCCGGAAGCTCATTCCACTGTAGACCCAGCCTTTGGTTTCGCGGCCACAGCCAGCCTCGCGGACAGACAGGAGAGCCAGTGCTTGCACAGTGCACAGCTTTGCATTCGCATGTTCGTCGTTCTCAAAGAACAATCGTTTGGCCTCTTTGAAAAAATGATCGCCAGCAGTCGCGGAGTTCCGTGGGTCCTCGCGAGCGCCTTCCCAGTCGCTGAAGTGACAACCAAGAGCCAGCATCGCATTGACTAGCAATGTCGAGCAATACTGGCTGGGAACCCCCCGAACATAGTCGCGGTAAAACAGGTCTTTGGCGAGAGTCGTGAAGAAAGGGTAATGCCATGTGAAGTACATTGTCATGAGATGGCTGATCAGCCTTTCGTCGCTGGTCACTCTTGTCCACTGAGTAACTGAACAATCAGGTAGCAGATCGAGTCCTGGACCACCCAAAGTCGGATTGAACTCATTCAGCTCTGATCCGGGCGGCAGGAAGATCAGGTTAGACGTTCCTCCGATGAATTTTCGAGACCCGTCCAACACGAGCTCGCTCATCTTCCCTGCCAGCTCCGATTCGAACTGGTCCGCCTGCGTGAGAGTTTCATCCTCGCTAGCGATGGTGGCAGCGTCCTCTGGGGTATTTGTGAAACTCCTCCCTTGGCCTTGACCGACAAGCGATTGCGCAACATCTTCCAGGTTATCACAGGACCGGAGCTGGCGAAGTAACTCGAATGCATCCTCTTCTTCGTAGTTTAGCAAAGCTTGGATCAGCGTCAATAATGTTGTGTGTTTTGTCCTGAGCGTGTCGGTATCCTTCTTGTATACACCTTTTCTGCGATGGTCGGAGTTTGGATCGTAGACGCCTGGGATGTTGTCAGCCTAGCACCCTGAACTACAGGGAGGACGACCACCTACAAGTCGTATGGTAGACGGAGGAACAAGCCGCGCAACTTGGCAGGTTGCCGTCGCACTGGACCAGTCCGTTAGATACAAAGAAGCCCTCACGGCATCCAATGTCAGTCTCACCTTGGACTTTCTCCTGCGGCACGCAATACAGGCGGTACTGACGCAGCGCCTTTTTGAGACCGTGCCATTGTCGGCATTTGTCCCTTGAGCTCTGGCCGTCGCCTTCCCTCGAGAACCCGTGTGTGCTGGTGCAGTGTCCATGGCTTGCGACTTCTCCGCGGAGCTGTCGTCCATCGCTGTCAGGTCCACCCAGGAGTGTTCGGAGAAAACGTCAAGACGGGGCGGAGCATGCTTCTCAAAGGTGGGGAGAGTGTGACAAATTGCTGGAACGACAACCGCGGAGGCCTCTGCGCGAGATAGGTGGACGCGACGAGCCGATCAATCGCACCGGCATAAGGTCGACAGGAAATGACGAATCTGAAGGGGTGAGGTCGCATTAGTCAGGTTGGTGCGCACGACTAGGGTGGGACTATTGGACGATGTCGCAGGAGGAGTTGATAGCAGGTAGCTACTAGCGATCTCGCGCAATCGGTCGGCCAGAACCCATGCCAAGGGACTCACAGATCGAACCACTCACTGACCAGGAGGATTACCCCGCGGCGTCCAGGAATGGAGAGGTGAGGTGACCCGCACAAGTGGAGGCGACAACGGTTGTGATGGGGATGGAGAGGAGGTTCGTCTGGGGTACGGAGTCAAGCAATGATCAATCAGGCTGAGGATGATTGCCGAAGATAAGGACGAGGGTTTGTCGGCGGGGTGATTGGACAATGCAGGCCCCGGGAGATAGAATAGCGAGCTGTGAGGCGTCCAAAAGCGCCGCAACTCGACGATCTGCTTGACTCGAGTAGTCAGTCAGTCGCTACTCGCTAGCTAACTAGTCACTGCGTGATGACTGATTGCGAGCTGACTAATGGGTGCCCGAGCAACACGATGCTCTCCTGCAACAACAGCGCCTGTGTATGTGCATGTGTATGTGTATGTGTGAGGTCATATCGTCTAGAATCAATGGACCAACGGATAGATGCACTCCCCAGCAAGGGGGGAGGATCATAGTCCCTGGTTCTGGCCATTGGTCGGTGGTCTCCGAGCGTTCTGGATGGAGGGGTCAACAGTTAGGTACTATTGACGAAGCATCCAGTGTATGCAATGGATCTCAACCCGCTTCGATTCACTTGAGTTGACTTGATGAGAGCATATAATGCCATTGACAAGGAGATGAGATCGCCTGCTTATGTCGACTGGTAGATAGATATCTATCATCTATGCAGGACAACCCAAAACAATGCCAATGCCAATTACCTAAGCCAGTCATCCAGCCACACGAATTATTATTAACTCCTGATGTATCACGAGTTGGGTTGCCCTCAACAATTAACCCTTATCCCTTGACCGCTTTTTGAAACCGCACAGTCCGGAAGATACTGCGGCCCTCCTATAAATGACCATTCTTTTCAAACATCTGAAAAAAAAAAAAAAAGAGGGCTTCTGGGCACTCCGCCAAGCCGAGTGTCTGAGCCTCTCAGGGATTCCGTAAGGCAATGTGTAAGCGTAATGGACTGCGTATTGCCCGGGCGGATTCCACGCTGATTGGATTACCCGATGCCAAGCCTGCCGATCATCTGGAGAATCCTGGATTATTAATTGCGGGTTTCTGCAGGCACCAGAAGGGCTGGCATCATTATGACTACTGCACTGCATAATCGATACATATCTCGATAGACAGTACTTTTGTCCTCGGCAGCAGTTCGGTTGGATGGATGGATGCCATGCTTCCCAGCATCGGAAGTGCGGTGGACTCCGGCTCCGATGGATGGAGAAAAGTTCCGCGTGTCTGAGACTGAGGGCCTCCAACACATCCACACGAGGGCGGAACACCGAATAGGGTGGTTGGGCAGACAGATTATTCCGACACACACCATCACCGCCCATACAGAGACGATTGATGCTAATCAAACCTCCCGCCGATAAATAATAAATTGTTGTAACCAAAGTTACGGTGTGACCACCACGTACGTAACCCTCGGTAACGTGGAACATTCTTTTAGTGGGGACGGAGGGCATTCTTCGATCCCCTTGAGGCTAGAATCGACTACCTCGATCGGTTCCAGAACTTACAGGCATGGAGGGGAGTACGCGGACGATACAGCGCTAAGACGGTTCAGCTCACACCGCGGCTGTTGGGTTGGCTGCAGCGGTGTACGCATACCGTCCCGGGACTCGGCATCCGCCCTTACCGCCTGAAACCCGCAGAGGGAGTGGGAGGAGAGTGGGAGAGTGGGAGAGTGGCAGAGACTGCCCGTTTCGGGGGTCGCCCGCCTCACTGTGGCCCAGCGAGGGGGCTAAACCGCTTGGGGTGACTTCACACGACGGCGCTAACTCGGCCTGCAGTTCTTTTTAGGCGATCAATATTGCCTTAGCGCGAGTTCACAGGCCCGGATCCGGTCTAGTGCGACTCCGCCTCGACCCGATGTTACGGACAAACCGTCATCCCCCCATGATTACGGAGTACCGTACGCCTGATTGTTACCGTCACTCCGTCCTTTGCCTGCCTGCCCGTTATCAGCCTTCAGCCTGTCGATTCGTGGTTGAGATCACTTCTTTGCCGCTGGGCTCTCTTGTCTTGTCTCTTGACCTGATCCCTTATCCTCTCCTATCCTCCCCCCCCTTCACCCTTCACCCTTCACCCTTTATCCTTCATCCCCTGCTCTTGTATTCCCTCCCTTTCCAAAACCACTCCCCTACACTCCCCTAAACTGCCGGTAACGGTTGATCTTTCCATCCTCGCTTCCCTCCGTCTCCATAGTCCACTTCCGTCCCTGCGAGTCGCGTGCCTGCATACGGCCCCGTCGTTTTCCGCATTTGGCTTCCTCCCGCTTGGCTGGGTCTCTGCCAACACAGCAGATAGTTGTGTCGCCGTTAGCCGATCTGGACGGACCACAGCCGACTATATCTATCAGAAATACTTCCCACCCCCGGGGAGTCGCCCATCCGACGCTCTCCCTCATTCTCTTCTGCCCATCCATGTATCTCGCGCAGACCTTGGATCAGAGTGGCTCGTCAGGCCTGGGACGCTTTACTAAACACTTGTGTCGCGGATCTCAGCTGTGAAGATGATGGTCCCCAGAGCTTTCCTTTTCAGTTCCATGCCTCCTTCTCCGAAGACCTCCCTCCGCCAGCATGGCGAGAAGATCCCCATCGCCAAGGATCTCTCGGGCCTCGAACTGCCGTCAGAGGCCTCTCCGCAGACCATGCACACCAGTCCGGTTGTTATCCCCCCGAAGCGGGCTCCTCGGGTCACATCGGTACTTTCACAGACGGCGAATAAGGGCCCAACGACTCCGAGGAAGCCCAGGACTATGTCCCACAGGTCATCGTCTTCCACCTTGGCTGAACGGCCCGTGCCAAGTACCATCGCGTCCATCCTCGAAGCCACGGCCATCCCGGTCCCTCGTCGGAAGTGGGGGGCCCGAGAGTCTCGCAGCCGCAAGCTGCCCCGCGGCAACCATGTGCAGGATTTCAGCAAGTTGTTGATGGACGGGGTCGGCGATAATTCGATGGACAGCACGGGCAATACGGCGCTGGACCTGCTTCTGAGCCCTCCGGAGGAAACCGACAAGTCCAGCGACTACGACAGCGAGGCACCGTCCTTTTCCGCTTGTTCCATGTCTATTGGGTCGACGCCGTCCCTGGAACACGACTACGACTCTCCCTCCAGCATCCCGGGGCCGTCTACGCCGTCGATCCACCGCAGCCCGCTGGAGAGGAAGTTCCAGCGATACTCGACATGTGAAAGCTGCATCTTCGACCACCCTCTACTGGACACGGAAACCTCGGACACGGAGGAGTATGTGCTGTCCGATCCTGTCACCCCGAAGACCCCGACCCCGTCTCGAACATTAGGATCCACCTTCAAGTCCAACCTCACGGCGTCGCTGCGGGCGATCAAATCGGCAGCGCAGAGCGTGTCCACATTTGCTACTCCGTCGGTCCCGCAGGACGATTTTTTGACGCGGTCTCTCTTCACGATTACGCCGGAGATGACGGACGACCGACGGCCTCCGCCCATGAACGAGCCCCCGTCTCCCGCGCTACGGCGGTACCTGAATCCAATTACTGTCTCACCCGCGGAAATGTACGCTTATCAGGACTACCCACACGAGACGCCAGACTCCCGCAACTGCCCTGTGTCCGTGCAGATGCAAACGTACCATCGTTCGGGTAGGCGCGGCAGTCGCAGGAGCGGGTTCCACCTTGCAGGCTCCGAGGGCCGTGACCGACAGCTGCTACCGTTTGACCCGGAGATCCCGCCAATGTCACGTCAGCGCGAGCCTCGGGAGAACAGCGATTTCCTGCGGATGGTGGTTCTGGAGATGAACATGCGGCGCAGCGGCAAGCTCCGAGATGACATCCCCACGCGGGCTCGGGTCTGGCTGCCTCCTCGAAAGGGCAGCCAGGGCCGTTTCGCGCGGCACGACTACTACGAAGACGAGGACGAGAACGCGGTTCCGTCTCGCTGGGTGGGAGTCTCGATGAGCAGTTTGTAAACTGGCTACTCATCTTCTTTCCACCCTCCTTTGCTTTTTTATTTCTTTCGCTCTCTTTGCTCTCACCCACTCGCACAGCGCCGGGCGTGACTTTCGGGCTTCGATATATTTTTTCACCCTTGTACATACATACATACACACTCAGATATACATAGATTGGTTAGGTACGGAGTAGCTGGGGTGGTTACCCTACGGGTTAGGGGACCATAGCAAGGCGTTTGGGGGGGGGGGTGTCGCTGTTTTGCTACATCCATTCAGAAACCGGATTATTACTATTACATACACAAACTAAACCATGACTATTGCTATCACTATTCTTTTCTTATTTCTATTCTCATTCTGTGGAAATTCAGCATTTAACTCAGACAACAAACACCATTTACATAAAGAAATTTACTTGGCCATTCTGCACCCACCCCACCCCACCCACCTATAAAACACAAGCGTCAAACAAGCAAGAAGCGGTCACTCCAGCTAGATACTATCTATACATATCTATAAAATCAACTACTAAACAATCCAACGGCGGGAAAACCACCCCGTCCACGGCCCAATGCACTAGTCCCGGAACTAGCCCGTCAGCCACGCTTGCCCAATGCCCACCGGGCCAACTTGTCCAACCGACTGACTACTGCATTCTGATTAGTCTACTACTGCCGTACCAGAAATCGGTTGCCTATTTTATCAGACTTAGTATCTACTCCGTACTTATCTACCCGTGCCGGCGCGCAGCTGCGAACCGAGCTTTATCTGCTAATCTGGTGGGTGGGTGGGTGGGTATCTATTTAGTGTGTATGTATGTGTATTGTGTACGGAGCTCTATAGTAGGTCGGAATTGCGACGGGATTACCTGCCTGCCGAGTTAGTGAGTGCCTATCTATCTAGTTGATGGAGGGTTTATTTTGTAATTACTCTGTTTAGGATGGTGGGTTATATGCAATATGCGATGGTAACGGCTAATATTAATATTAATATTAAAATAGGATTGGGAATTGGGATTGGGATTTATTGGGTAAGGAGGGAGGACTGTGGATAGATATCTACTACTAGATAGATAGATACTGCGTACTTAACAATAAATATCTAATAATGAATATCTACTTACCCAGAAGAGAAGTTGTACGCTTGATTGACACATGGTATGGTTTAACTCGGCCATTATTATTTACTTATTTAAATTAATTACTTATCTAATTAGTTAGATAGTTAGTTAGCCAAGTGAATAATAATCTGTGTGGTGAGACAGAGTACAGCATCCCACAAAGTAACACCGTAACACGAGACCACCAGACCCTGACTGACTTCTGTCTGTTTTACCTTACCCTACTAGTTACCTACCTACCGTCTTACTCCGATCCGATCCCAGCCGCACTGCACTGCACTGCATGACTACCCTGTAGTTATATCTACTAACTATCGACCTATTACCTATTGCCTTCCTAGTAGTTACTAGTAAGCACAACCATATACCTATCTCCAACTGGTCTCCATCTCTATCCCTGTGAACAAATCCCTACTTAATATGCACATATATATACATACGCATATAGATAGATAGATAGATAGATATACTATGCGCCCACACGCGACACAAAAACCTGTCTGTAACCCTTGTCATCCATCCCAACTGGCGAGGTATACTTAAAATAACCATGATAATAACAAGAAACAAGGTTAGATGTTAAATACCCGTTAGTCCATACAGGTACAGACAGACAGGTAGGGTACTGCTAGGTAGTAGGTGTGTGTACACATAAACTATACTCCACCCCCACGGAACCCAGAACCACCACCACCCTGTGACTGTTAACTAGTTAGTACGAAGTAACTAGCAAAGCTAATCTCACAGCATCCCCGGAAGTCATGACATCAGAATAAATTCATCAACCATCAAAGTCCAGGTTAGTTAGATTCTAATTCGGTTTTGTATTTACCTACTTACTACTTACTGACATACCGTATAAGGTAAGTATCATTTGTACGTATCTGGGTTTATTATAATTACAACCTTCCCCCCCCCCCCTGTATGAGACAACTACCACCTACCACAAGGTAGTTAGTTAGGTGGGTAGGTAGTAACTAACCAACTTAACCCTGTTTTTAGGTCACCTAATCAGGAATTAAAATAAAATCAATATCTAGAAAGTTATTTATTCTCTCTGGTCTGAGACAGATCATGGAACATGGAACATGGAACCGGAACACAATCCACAATTCATAATCCACAGTTCACTGCAGCCAGTGGTGTCTGTGTCTGTGTTTGTGTCTGTGTCTGTGGAAGTGGTGGTGGTGGTGGTTCTTATCTCTACCCAATCAACGGAGAAGGCGGAGATGGCAGATCATCCATCCACATCCACATCCACCCTTTAATGATAGTTCCAGCCACACCATGCCATTGGATTGGACGAGGACGCTTGGTCTTGTGTATTCATCCATACTGGGTAGATAAATTACAGTGATTGTCCTGTGGGGAGAGTGGATAGATAGGCCAGGTCAGGCCAAGTCAGGTACTGTAAATTGAAACAGGTGGGGAGGTTCTTCAGGCCAAAGTCTCCATGTCATACTTACATACATACATACTTACATCCTGTAGATGGCTTACTGTAGGTAATGGTGGGTGATGGATGGATGGATGGGTGGGTGGGTGGGTATTTGCGGATGATGCCGACAACCTAAGGTAGAGAGGTACTATACCTAGGATAACAACACTGCTGTGTAATGGAAGGATCAAGAATGGATCAGGGATGAATGATGCGCAGAGTGGGCAGTTAGGTAGGTGGCTGATCATGAGATACCAGCACTGGACCAGCGTTGAACAGATTACAGGTGTAAGATGATCGGTTTGCCGGGGCAGGAGTGGTTAGAGATAAGACGCGGCGCGGTCTGTCGCGGCCATGGTTTGGGTTTGCTACAGATCAAGGGATCGATCTATTGGCTGTGGCTCATTCCTGGATTCCTGCTTACAGTATGAGGCTGGCTTCCCCCTGTGCAGTGTGCAGTGTGCAGTGTCAGTACACTGCAGCCTGTCTGCTGAGTGCTCCATGCGCTGTGCTCCGTGATCCGTGCTGAGGCGAGAGAGATGGGACGATGACGGTGAGTCAGAGGCAGAGATAAGCATCCCGTCCACTACGCGCGCTACCTGGAGTGGAGTGTGGGGTTGGCGCGGACGCTTTACGACGGACGGACGGGGAGGATGGAGGGTCAGAACCTCCGTGCTCCGTGGGCGGTATATATGAGGCATCAGAAAGTGAAAAAAAAAGAGGGCGGATTGGAAATCCAAGGTTGCACCGGGGATGCGTGTATACCCGACGAAGCTCCGTCCATATCTCCGTCAGGACCTCAGGATGTTCTCGAAGGCTGAAACCCTAAAGTGCAAGACCCAAATTAGCCCCTGCATGGTTGACTGGTGACGAGACAATCCCGCGCTGCGCTTTCTCACTTACTCTCTTCGTCCAGGAGCGTCCGTTGCGTCCAGCTCTCCTTGATCCACTCCGTCGTGACGATGTGAGGGATCTTCGTGCCCGGCGTGGCAGACCAGGTCTTCCGCAAGGAGCTGATCTCGGACGACGGCGTGTTGGAATCCACAACCACATGCGTGATGGATGGGTTCTTGACCGTATCGACGACGCTAGCTCCTGCGAATAGGGCCGTCTGGCGGGCCAAAGGAAGCGGGTGGCCTTGGCCAGCGTCTGCGGGTTCCTCGGGGTCCGTGTCTTGCTCCGTCGGCTCGGGGAAAAAGAAGGTCAAGCCTTGGAAGAGCCATCCGCATGGCAGCTCCCAGCCCGCGTCGGCTTGCTCGTGCACGCTTTCTCGGAGCTTTTGGATAGCGTCGCCGTGCTGCGAGGCATCGAACCCATGCTCCTCGCTCATCTTCTCCAGTATCTGGCACCGTCAGCGACTGACCGGGGGAGCGTGTCGCACATGGCACATGGCACATGGCACATACCTCTCTCAGCTCGTCTTTCGTCACATTGCGTGAATAACTGTCCTTGAACTGATCAAGGCTGGCTGCAACCTCGTCCTCCTTTTCAGGCGTGGTGAAAAACATGTGCCTAGGTTCCATAGGAAGAAGCAAGTCCGGAAGGCCCGCATCAATCTCATTCTGTCGGACACAGTCCAGAATCCAACATGGACGGATGATATCCACAAGGCCGCTCTTCCTCAGCGAAGCCGGCTTGACCATCTCTGCCGGAATCTTAGTCCATGAACCCATACTACACAGGGGTATACACACCTCTATCTGCAATGCAGATAGTATCCGGCACTGCCCTGTGTGTCTGGTAAAATTTGCCCCCATTAGCTTTCACAATCTGCTCCAGGTCCGCCTTGGACTTCTTCGGCTTGAGCGAATCGGTCATAATGACTATAGCAGGTGCAGGTCAGAACCTAACAATCCACCAAAAAGGAACAGAGCCAGCAACATACAAAAGTTGAGTCCATCAAAGATATGCCCAGATGGCGTATCAAACTTAACCTCTGCATCCGAATCATACCCTGCAATCTTCAAAGGCTTCTTGGTCGTCTTCGCGCGTTTCTTGCGGAAGTTCTCAACATTGAACTCCTTCTCCTTCTGCCCCTGCTCCACGTTGGACTTAAGATCGAGGAACTCCTGCACCGAAAGCGCGGTCTTCCAATTCTTATCCATGCGCAGCCTCTTAAACCGGGGAAAGCGCAGAGTCAGTCCGATCCGGAACTGATCACTAACGGATACCGAAGCCGCTTTCACGCAAAGCACCACCGAGTCCTCCGGCTTGATCCATTGATCCGGACGCTCGTACTGCAGATTCCCACCTGCCAGTTCGATGTACGCCGTTGGCGGCTTCTTCGCGTTCCAGTCCATCCACTTGCCATCGGTGTGATGGCGAATATTGGCGAAATCGGCCGCCGTGAAGCCGCCTCCTACTTTGCAGAACGAGTAGCATTTAGTCACGTTCGTCCCCTGCGAAGACGTAGCATCGTCGGCCCTCAGTCCACAGAGAAAGCTGGCCAGGACACCGCCTCGATGTCCGCTGCCAAAGTATCCGCCGATGACGATGAGATCCAACGACTCCCCGAACTCGGTCATGTATTCGGGTTTCACTTTCATCCAGTCATCGTGGCGTTCATTCAGACGGTAGGGAGATCGAGGGTTCTTGAGCACCAGTCCCTCGGACGCTTCCGCAACCACTGTTCGAAGAGATGCTTCAATCTCGGCTTTGCTCGTAGCTTCCTCGTAGGGATGGATCTCGAACCGACGGTACACGGACTTGACGCTCTTCTGCAAGGCATTCCGACGATCACGTAGAGTGTACCTCGTCAAGTCATGACCATTCAAGTATAGAATGTCAAAGACGCGAAACAGCGGCCGGGAACCCTCCGTGAAGGGATTCCTCTGCTCGGCCAGCGCAACAGTCTTGAGCGTCCCAAACGGCTCAGGGCCATCCTGCTCGGGATTCCAGGCGACCATCTCGCCGTCCAGAATCAAACTGTCGACCCCATCCGCAAAGGCATCCTTCAGATGTCTTGTCAGAGCCCCATTCGGATCCTCCAACCCCTCCCCATAAAGATAGGTATAGTCCTTCGCCTTGCGCGACCAGAACCGAAACCTCCTCCCGCCAGCCACAGACGCATCAGACTCCATATGCAACTGCATACGCTCCCCATCCAACTTCTCCTCGATCCAAAACACATTATCCTCCTCCGTGCCGCGCATACGCGCGATCATACGATCCAGGGAATGCATCTGAAACTGGGCCAGCTGGGGCTGAAAGCACTGCATCAAGGCAATGCCCCTATTCTCCGCCTCCAGCCTCACATTCGGATCATGCAACTCCCAACACACGCGCCTCAGACTACTCGAAATACTATACAGGCCCTCAGCATCGGGATGCCAAACATCGAAAAACGTCCTTTCCGTAGCCCCCACCTTCATCTGCCTCAGTATAATGCGAATCAACCACAACATCTCCTCGGGACACATGCGGCGGTAAAACTCCTCCAGGATGACCAACTGCTGCTCCTCCTTAGACGCCGCAGCCAGCCGATCCAACCTCTCATTGACCTCCTCAATCAACATATCGCCGACCTGGGTCCTCATCGGACGCTTGGAAATAACATCGTAGCAGCGTCGCGCAAAGTCCCCCGCCACGAACCCCGCCCCCGCCCCCGAGGCCGTCTGCCCCGGCAGCTTCCAGTTTAGCAACCCCAGCCCGTCCTCGGAGTTCTTGTCGATCTTCATGATCTTCACTAGCATCTTGCCGATCGCTTTCTCTTTGAGGCCGTACATCGCTCGGTCGCGGTCCTTGTCCGGCAGGATTAGCCGGAAGGCCGGGTAGATGTCGTCGCCGACGGTCTTGCGCCATCGCGAGATGAATCGCTCGATCACGTCGCGGCGGCGTTCGAACGGGTTGAGCGCTGCGGCGGATTGGCCGTGCGGTCCGGCTTTGCGGCGCGCGGGGTTGGAGGAGGCGCCCGGGGGTGCCTTTTTGATCTCGCTGAGGGGGTTGAAGAGGGTTTGGTAGAGGTCGTGGAAGGGGAGGGTGGGGGAGCGGTTGAGAGGGCGGTTGGGGTATCTGTGAAATAAAATCATATGGTCAGTGGTTGTTTGTCTGGGGTAGCTAGAGGGTGACGCGCGCGCTGCTGGCTTACTTCTCGTCGAGGTCCATTTCGTCGTGGTCGGGGCGTTGGTTGAGGGACTCTTCAGGGTCCATGATCTCGTCGGAGTCCATGGTGTATTATGTTGAGAGAGGGAGAAGGCGCCTGGGGCGCAAGAGGAGAGTGAAGGAGGAAGGAGTCCGTCCATCTGTAGGCGCCAGTCGGGGTTTAGGCGGCAGCTCCGAGAAGATCGCGGAGCAGGTGACATGACATCACTGCCCATTGGGGGATGCTCTGAGCCGTCGGTTTAATCGCTCGCGTTTCTTTCACGTTACGTTCAGTGGTCAGCTTAATCGCTCATCTCTCATTTACAATATGTACAGCCAGAGTTGATACACCTAGTTTACAGTCCACCACAGCCTTCCATGAATCATGGTTGAGACACAAGGTCCGCAAGCTTTGTCAAGACCGCCATGAATCGCCTGGATATCCCCCACGAGTTGAGATGCGATAGTGTCCTGCAACCAGCGCGCAGGATCATCACCGGGCCTTGCGGAGCGCAGAAATCCCCCACACCAGTCAGAATCCCTTTCATCTCGAAACCGGCTCGGACGAAAAGCTGCACTAGCTCATCCTCACAGGGCCTGTCGAGGTGGATCAGCATGGGTCCTTTGGCTTCAGAAATGTCTGCATCGGGCATAGGGGGAGAGACTGCAGCAGCATACGCCCATAGGGTTAGTGTCGCAAGGAAGAGAGCCATCGGTTCGTGAAAGGCACGACTTGAACATTCGCGGATATGCCAGAGGGTTGCACCTGCATGTAGAACTGCTAGACGGGCCTTATACTGGTCATGTCTGACCCAGCGGAGGATATAATGCCACTCCAGGGTCTGCTGGCGCTCGCCCCACCGGGCCTTTTCCATGGTCAATGAAGTCGCTAATGACCGGATCTCGCTGAATGGAGCAAGGAGGATTATGCGGGCGGAGTGGAGATGTAGCATGGGGGGATGCTCAAGGCCAGGACCGTTGGCGGCCCAGTGGAGTATATCTAGGCAGTCACACGCACTGTTGCGCCACTTGGAATACGAGGGGATCCCGGGAAGCCAGACAGATCCAGAAGGGATCGCGACATTCCGCGATTGTTTCTTCGACGTTGGGACCCAGAACGACAACGGACGACGGAAGTAATTGCCCACTTCCCACATGCGGTGGTATAGGGCATGTATGAGCAGAATCTGACTGAATTCCCCAATGTCCGGCACGAGCTTCTTTTCGATGTATATGACAAGTACAGCGTCATAGAGGGAAAGGTCCTCGTGTCCTATCGAAAATCGAATCAGCATGTGCTTGCAGGTTCACAGATTGGGTCGACACGTACCGGGAAATCGCTTCAGACGCTGTTTCCAGATTTCAGCCGATTCTGCTTGCCAGAGGGCCTCATGGGACGGCAGCACTGCTTGTCCATCATCAAGGCAGAGTAATGGATGCGTGTCAAAGTGATACGCTATTGTACAGTCTAACAGCTAACATGTTGTCAGTTGAAACTTTTCAAGTGAGCCCTGCGAGGTGCCGTACCCATATGATGTAACCCGAACGTCTCTTGATCTCGTTCTCAACCCACAAGTCCCACTGCGGCTCTTGCGCGGTTATACTTGACAGGAGCGTCAAATTGTCCGATCGGCCAAGCAGATTTTCGCGGCGAACAAGGCCAACAAGGTTTCCGAAGTTGTCCAGCGTCGAAGCTCTAACTCGTTCGTCACTGTTATACAGTGATCCGATGCAGTTGAGTGCCATTGCCTGAAGAAAGCAGACGGGATATCCGCCCACACAGGACTTCTCCTTCTATAATGAAAGTTGGCAACTGACGGAACATACAGAGGGGATGGATACAGAAAGGCCGTGTCTTACCTCAACATTTATGGCTCGTCTGAGAAATTCATTGAATGCTGACGCATACTCGTTTCGCTCTTGAATCTCAGCAAACTGAACCCCAATTGCAGATAATGCCAGCACAACTAGCCAGTGTTGTTTGTTGGGATCGAACGTAGGGACGTGGAATATGGGGTATACGGGCTGAAAATGGTCGAAGTAAAGATGAATGAAGCTCGAAAGTGTGTTTGCATTAGGAAAATATCCCGAATCGAATATGGGGTAGAGAAGGTTCTCTGTGCTGCACAACTGCATAAATGCCTTATGTATCTTGTCATACATGGATGGCTCAAGTCGGTAGACGTCTGTTTGGCTCTCAACCATGAAATGAAACTTTGCCTCGTGAATAAGAGGGAACGAAAAGTGAGGTTGCTCATTTCCACTCAGCATTTGCATGGAAGCGCCGACAGGCACCCCTGAAATTCCAGACGACATATCTTGCTCCCGCCTCGGGTTCAGAAATCTTGTAATAGCTCCTTCAGTGTAGTGATCGGCTGGACGTCTGGCGGAGTTGTTCAAATTCAGCTGCAAACCGTGACTTGGACTCTCAGAGTTGCCACCTAAAGATGTATTCCCGGATGGTGTTTGGGATATGTTCTCTGACAGTAACGGGCTATTGCCAACAGCCTCAACTCTAGATGGGAACCATGCCGCGTGACCCAGAGAGTTCACTGGGCCCGAAGGGCCTGAGGATGGGTTGATTGAGAATCTTCGATCGTCGGATGTACTGAGGAGATCCTGGGGGGTCCAATTAATTGTAGAGCTCGTTGACTGGTTGAGTACGGGCTGTGTTGTCTGCATCTGTGCTTGCAGGTTTTCCATGGATGGCATTGCTTCGTCGGGATCGGAACGAAGATTCTTGCTTCGAGATACGGAATCTGCCATCCTACCCGTTGATGTATATAATCGTTGCGGCCCTCCACCAGTGCTTTGGGGTGAAGAGACACGCAATGCCTTGGCCTCCCCGTTAGCATTCGAACGAAATAATGGAGCAGAAATCTGTGCCACTGAAGCACGTCGGTTATTGTTGGCATCGTCTGGAAGCGTCTTTACAGGCTCGGCATGATCAGTGTTAACTGGGACATTGGAAGAGGATGCGCTGGAAATACTGGAATCGGGCAAATGAAGCTGGAACTGAGACATTTGGTAGGGAAGGGGCGGTGGCATCGATGCGTCTCCACGCCGCGACTGGTGTACCCCCGAGTCATCAGCCCATGTGAATTGTGCCGGTCGAGAAGACTGCTCGAATTCTGCGCCGTCATTGGAAAAGGAGGTCTGAGACTCCTTTCGAGCCTTTGCCTTCGAACGTCTCTCCGTGGGGTATTGACATTCGAGGGAGCGATTCTCGCAACGCGAGCAAGGGGAGCCCCCACTGCAGCGTACTCTTGCTATGGCACATTTGTAGCAAGCGCGAAATGTTTTTACGGTGATCCGATGCGTGCGATCCTTCCCCCCTTCCATTCCCCCATTGTGATGGCTGAGTTCGTGGCGGTGGAGAGTATCCCTACCCAGGATGTCAGTCGACCCAGCTCTGACGGAGTACAGACAAGGCCGGAAGGGACGTAGGGGCCGTGTCAAGGTAGCATGGAGGAAAAGGAACGGGGAACTAAGCAGGGGGCATACGTTCTAGAAAAGTGTCGGCCGCATTGCGCGCATTCGAACGGCTTCTCTTTGGTATGGCTCCGGAAGTGGCGCTTCAAGTGCTCTGGTCGTCGGAAGGTACTCTGGCAGATGGAACACCTAGTCTGGCTAGCTGTCGTGGAGCTTTGCTGCATGTCACGGTCAGGGCTACTGCGGTCATTGTTGGTCGGTCCTCCGGCTTCATGGTGGGACGCGGTTTCTACCGAGCAGTTAATCAATCTGCTTGCGCTTCCCCTCCTTAGCGGGGAAGATAGCCAGGATCAGCTCTCACCTTGTCCGGCATCACTGGTGTCCGGGGACATGGTGTCTCATGGGCGGGTCTTCCTCAAGAGACAGGACAGAAGCATCCGGCATGGCCAGTAGGACGCGGAGATCAAATCACGATCGAGACAAGAGGGGGACAGCATCCCGAGCGATTCTGCAGACCATCACCACTGTTGCACCACGGATGCCTGTCGCGTGGTCGGAGGGGTGAGGGGGGAGGGGGGGAAGGTTCTCTGGGACAGACTGAGACATCATTGTGAAGGAAACGCAGCGGGGACGGGGGTTGGGGGTTGGGGGTTGGGGGTCGGGAGTCAGACAACATTGACTAGCAGTAGTACAGCACTGGCAGGGACTGGAGGAAGCGGGGAAGCCATGAACTCCCCCAGTCCCGTTGCCGTTGCCTCTTTAGGCTCGCTAACCCCCCCGTTAGCCTCGCTTCGTGACAACTTGATTGGAGAGCCGAGATTGCCGTTGCATCATTTTTCATTATTTCTCATCGCGATGGATCACGTTCGGATCGTGCCCCTTTTTTACCGACCTCGGTTAAACCCATCCGCATTGGCATGGGTAGAGAGAGGGGAGGAGATTGGTGGTCAAGAAGCCACTCCCCCGAGGGTCATCCGGTATATATACTCTGGATGGATCTACGGAGTAGAGATTGAGTGTTTGGAAAAGTTGGAAAGGCATGTGTCAAACCAGTCTGACGCGGAAGACAATGCATTGTTGGGAGTACAGTACCTGCTTGGGTACAGACTTTAGAAGTGTGGACAACCTAAGTATCAACAGAATTGGGACCGGACCTTCTGTCGAGATCGGAATACCTGCTCATGCAAGCAAGACGCTGGGGATCACAGGCCATACATACATTTATGAAGAAAGTAAGGGGCCTTCCTGATAGTTAGCTAACAGCATCCTACTTATGTTCCTTGAGTGGGAGAGCAAAGCGGAAACGGGGTTAGTCTGTCCAGCCCATCCCCTCTGATTATTCTTCTTAGCTCAGCAGACATGCAGGCGGAGCTGACGGCGACTTGGGCTTGGGCTTGTTTCATCTGATCGCTCTGACGCCTATCGCTGCACACTTCCCCATCTTCCCCTTTCAAGCTATTGTTCTCTGCCCTGCTGTGCTTATTTCCACCGGTGACATCGGAACATTATTAGTTTGACATTCTCCCTGGACCAGACTTACGACCGCCGCAGAACCTTGGAACGGGGCTTCCATGAATGAATGGCAAGTCCGACTCCCGCTCTGGACCGCCGCTTCTCTCGCTATGCGCCCCCTAGCAATATTAACAGCTCCCTGACAGCCCTCCAAGGAGCCACGGCGGCCTTTATGGCAAGTCATTCGAGAGCGCCGTCGCCTGCGAGTAGTGTTGTCAGCCACCGGTCGGGCGCAACTAGTATGGGACCCGGAGCTATCAACTACCCCAGTCGCAGGCCACTCCCTCCTCGCCACGTCCAGTCCCCGGAGCTCCCCGAAGGGGGTTCTGTCAAGGACAAGATCGGGAAGTTTAGCGCCTATTCGCAGCCGGCCGGTGTGCGAGATGTATCGAGACATGCTCCTGAGAGCGTAGGAGTGATCAGGTCACGCACTCCACAGCAGATCGCTGCCCAGCTGGCCGCAGGAAGATCCACCCCGGGCGAGAAAATAGCCACAAATCCTGGCATCAGCAGGGTGCAAGGACCGCAGAGGACGATGCCCTCCAAGCCCAGCGATGACAATGACCGACCGCAGTTGCTAGCGCCAAAGCCGGTCTGGGCCACGGCTGCCAGCACCGCTTCATTTGACAGGCTTCTACAGAGCGAGCCAGAATTACCCCTTAGAGCAAAGTCGACGCAACGGAAACCAGTAACGCAGATATCGCCCGCGGACGCGGCGAGACTGGCGGCCTCGAAGCCTCGACCTCCACCAGTGCCTCAGAAACCACCTCTGCTAGGCAGTGGCCTAGTCGCCACGGCTAGAAATGTACCTTCAGATAGGATAGAGGATCACGAGCACATCCAAGGTCCCCATCCCTCACTTCCGCCCAAAGGCTCCATCCATTCCGAGACACCGCCAGTGCTCCCACCCAGGTCGGGTGGCTCGTCCGTGCCTCGCACAGAGCCGGCAAATCATCAACCTTCTTTCGAAGCCACTAGGTCCCGGGTGCGACCATCCACACCCGGCACTGCATCCCTGTATACCCCCTCGATGAGCAATAGCACTACGAGCTTGCTTGACGGCGGGTCCGAGGGAGCACTTTCGGATGCGATTGTCGCCTCATCATTGGCATCGGTCCGGGCCTCGCAGGAGCAGAAAGTCGCTCCACCGCCACCCCCGCGGCGTCGCGCAAGGTCTCATTCGATGAAGCGCTTCTCGCGCGCAGCCAAACAAGAGCATTCCGATTCGCCCAGTCCTTCCACCCATCTACGGCAGACTCTCCGAGAACCCCCCAAGACGGATGACGAGGAAGGATACCAGAGACACAAGCATCTGGTCCGCAAACATCAACACAAGCACCATGAAGGCGACCGGAAGAGATGGCGCAGCGAGATCACGGAGAAGGAGCGAAAGCGGTACGAGGGTGTGTGGGCTGCCAACAAGGGACTGCTGCTCCCCCCCGCGCACCTGCGGCCGCCCGAAGCGTATCCCCCCGATGCCCCAGACATGGTGGTCAATCTGGTGGCGCGGGACATCTGGTCTCGCAGTCAGCTCCCGCTCCATGTCCTGGCGCAGATCTGGGAACTGGTGGATGGGCAGCACATCGGTCTTCTGACGCGAGAAGAATTCGTGGTGGGGATGTGGTTGATTGACCAGCAGTTGAAAGGGCACAAGTTACCGGTGAGGGTTTCCAGCAGCGTGTGGGGGAGCGTCAGGCGGATTTCAGGAGTGCAAATCCATACGCTCCCTCCTGCCTGACGGTCTGCTGGCCCCGCCTCTATACTGCTGTACAGAAACATGCATTGGATCAGTAAGAAACGGCCACCAGCCTCCGGGCTAGGGCGATCCCGTCATGCAATAATCTGCCGTAGCCAGCTCGGAACGCTAACCAACTATCTAACTTTAAAAGATGAAAAGCATATTAAAGCATACATACTATAATCGACGAGTACCATTTCCCAGTTTCAATGATTCCATCGTGCATAAGCCAAGAGGCTACGGGACAGCGGTCGATCGCATATCCGCGACCCGAAGCTCCCCGGGAGGGTCTGGTAGAAGCCAGTGCTCAATGCCAAGTGGTCATGACCTCAATAGTAATCCTGCGATATGCTGTGGATAAGCTACCACTATCTATCTATCTACTGATCCGGTGATCCCGCGAGCAGGCAGACCGTCACTTTCCCAAGTACTTATCTACCGACCTAATTTAGAGTGCAGTGTGGTGCCCGCCAATATTGAGCTAGGTTATCACTCGGTGTTTTTGCGGAGCCCACTGGACGGATCGAGACTTGGCGATCTCTGTCTCTCTCTCTTATCCCCGGTACTACCGTGTCAGTCCCCAACCTATCCAGTAATCGCATCGCACAGCCCAGGGAAAAGTTTTCCTTGATGGCTCCAATCAGGGTTAATCAATATTAGGAAGAAAGTACTTTGTACTAAAATACTAATCAGGGGATCAGTCAACTCCCGAGATCCGATGTTCCCGTCAAGGGGAAACCTTGGCACCAAACCTGCAAGGTTTTTTTTTTTTCCCCCAATGGAATTCCGGGGCGAAGCAGGTAGATACTGGCATGAAGCACGGCGTGAGTACTACTTTCGTACTTTCGTACTTTAGTACTCGTACTCCATACTGGGCAGCGGGCAATCACTTCACGTGACCTCGGGCAGTCGATCCCTCCGGCAGGCAGGCCAGCGGGACATCTGTTTACCCATTTAGGAAGGAGCCAGGTGCCGCCCCGGGGAGGCAAAGGGAAGGAAGGAATGATGGACGGTCGGACGGATGGGACCACACCATGTTGCTGTTGCTGGCTGCATCTTCTCTCTCTGTCCCTGTCTTCTTCTGTTATGTCTTCTTTCAACCCCCGTGGTCCGAAACCAGCAGACCCTCTTCACCATTTAGAGCCTAGTCTCCGGGCTACTATCCACCAGAAGGATCGAAACCAAAAAATGAACCGAACTGAAATGAACTGATGATGAAATCGAAAAAAGAAACGATCGGACATCTTCCGCGAGGTCCCTGTCATTTTTGCATGTGGGCACTGGGCAGCCAGCGTGCATTTTGACTAATCGTCGCACGTCCACATCGCGCGCCACACATTATTTTATTGCTCTCGCCGGCCTTCCAAATCCCGGACTTTCGTGCCCCGGGATTTGCAGCCCCCGCTGACTCAGCCCGCGCTAACCACCCCCCCCAGCTGGCGGTCCGCCTGTATATCAGACCACTTCCTGAGGTTCCCGATTAAACCCCCCTCCAGATTGGCTCCCCTGAGGAGGGCTCCATGGGTTCGTCGCCGCCGCTGCCGTTGCCGTTACGGTTGCTGTTGCTGCTGCTGCTGTCGTTGCTGTCCGTACGGCCTTGGTCGACCCAGTAGTTGGCTGCAGGCCTGCAATCAAGGTCAAGCTCTATCTAGGTAAATGCGCCTGGGGACCCATCTCCCTCCGTTTAGTCCGCCGGTGATGGTAGCACGCTCCTCCCTGCCAGCCTTATTGATTGCATGACCTTTCTCTTCCCGGCCTTGCCTCTTCCATCGTCTGTCCAGTTCGCGCCGCCATGGTCCTGGAGGAACCCCAACCCCAGCCTTATGGAAATACCACTTCCGGAGTCACGGCCGTCACACAGTCCAAGCCTGCAAGTGCAAGGCCCACTGTGGTCCGCAAGAAGTTTGCAAAGCCCCCCGTCAAAGTAGCTTGTCTGGCCTGGTAAGTGATTCCTCTGCCAGCTCTTGTACGCAGTACAAGGTCTACCTTGTTTCCCCGCTGCATGCCGGCCCTGGGTCGTGTCGCTTCGGACTAATCCTGATCGATTTCTGTCAGTCGTGCTTCGAGGACACGTTGTGATGGCCAAGATCCGTGCACCAATGTAGGTCTGCTTTCTTCTTTCATCGCTGTCCTCGGCTTTATAGTATTTTGCAACGTTTGTAATCTGTCGAGGGGTTTTTTTTCTCTCTTTCCGTTTTTCCGTTTTGTTTTCAAATCCCTGTTTCATTGGCCCGTGCACCGTCATTGCTCTTGCTTGCTCTTTGAGCCTCATTGCCCTTCGCCAGCAGTCCAACCCTCTGGGGTATATGATAGGACATGTGCTGATGTTGTTGCCGTTTCAAAGTGTCTTGGCAAGAAGAAGAAGTGCTCCTATTTGCCTAGTAAGCGAGGTGGTCCAAGGAAGAAGAAGAAGACGTCAATAGCTGCAGACGCCCTCGTCCAACCAGACGATGTCCATAATCCAACTGTCCCCCTGGTATCTTCGGGGTTTGATGAGTGTACGTCCATGCCCTAACTGCAGCGCAATGGCATCGCCACTAACCAAACTAGCTTCCGGGATGTTTGGCCAGATCGATGTCCTCTCGATTCCGGGAGCAGGGCTGAGAAGCCTGGATTTTCCCCCGGGTGTCCAGGCCATGTTTCCGGCTCTCTTCGTGCCCAATGGCGAGCACAATGCCCATGTTCAGATGGAGCCCACACCCTCTCCATCAAACATTCCATCGCAGTCCTTGGTCAGGACGTATGAGAGTGATCCCGCCATGTGGGTTCCTCATTATCTCAGTCTATGACGAGCAAACATTCTGACGTAGGGGACAGTCTGAACGCCTATTATGACTTTATACACCACTATTTCCCTATCTTTCCGCCAAGGGTCACACCCCCTACTCCAGACCAGCCTTTGGATTGCATCGGTTCATTTACGGAGTCACCCTCTGAGAAGCCCATCCTCGCCTTCAGCTCACAGTCTCCCCTGAGTCTTGCATTATCAGCAATCCTAGCTCTGATTCCGCACCCAAATGATCCGGAGCCTTCCGGACCCGCGTCCGTCATCCGCCGGCGGACATATGCGCAAACATTTGCGCAATTAGCAAATGCTAGCATCGAGTCCGATTGTGAACTCCATGCATCATCTACCGATCCCGCCGAGGCGCTGTCAAGCGAGAGGCCTCTCCTTGATCGCAAGCCAATCCACTCTCGGACACCAGTCGAACTAGAATGCGTCCTTGCACTTCTGGTGCTTTCAATTTATGAGTACACTCAGCGGGGAAATCTCCTCAAGATGAGGTACCGTGCTGGCCAGGCTTTGGCCATAGCATTGGACATGTCTTTGCATGCTCTCGGGGATGAGTACGACGACTTCGCGGAGGCTCGACGAAGGGCTTGGTGGATGACTGTATGGACCCTTCTGCGATATGGCGCTACTGTTGCTAATGATCGGTTGCATGCAGTATTATTGTGTTCTTCAAGGGTCGATTGTTAGCACCACGGTGAGTCCCTCTGCTGAATTGTCCCGGCTATATCACGAATGGTTTGCTGACGTCCCGCTACAGCCGCTCTCTATTGTCGCGAATGATCCTCAGTTCGTCACTCCTTATCCGCGGTTCTCTGCAGATCCGGATGTAAGTACTCGAAAGAATTATGGAAGTGGTGGTGTCTGACAATCTTCAGGGCTGGTCCGTGTTGATCCAAGCTCAGCAAGTTCTTGTCTCGGCAACGCAATTCGTTATTGATTTGAATAAATGTATTTCAACGAGGACGAACATGCATTACATCTACGAACGGATGCAGCAACTTGACGCATGGGCGAGTTCTGCGCTGGCGCGGTCCAATCTGCTTCCCATCGTGCCCCAGTCCGTGGCCTGCGGTGCCGAGATAGAGTTCACGACAGCGCAAAGTATACGCGCGATATCGCGAATAAAACTGTCGAGGTCAGTACCACCCAAGTCTGATCATTTCATCCCTGTTTACTTATAGTCCTCCAGCGCGCAAATAAAGGTCCACCGTTTCAGGGCGTTCTCGGACATCCCCATTTTCATCAAAAAGCACTGCGACCTCACCGCAGCCAGCACCACCAACGTAATAGCAAATGACCCTTCCAAAACCTCCCGAACCGAAGACGGGATTGTCAACATCGGATGCTCCTGTAGTCTCGAGCCCTTCCAGCCCTCTTCAAGCGAATATACCCCCTCGGCATCTTCTGGCGCAGCATCCGATTTCCAATCCATGTCGCAATTTTCTTTCACCAGTGGATTCCCCTACAGCAGCCAACATTCAGCCAAGATGTGTCTCCGAGCATCTCTTCTGATCTCGCGAATGTTCCACTGTCTCCCCCTGCCGCAACCAATCCTCAAGACCCAGCAGGGTCTGCATCACATGCTACCGAACCAGCTCCCGCGCACTATGCCCTCATTTGCTTGTTGTCTGATGCAGGGCAGCTACGCCATGCTGATGATATTCTACAAGGCCCGCGTCGAGAATCAAATGCCCCCGGATTCCTATGGAAACAATAACACCAAGACCAATACCAATAACAGTAATCCTACCCCCTCGGACCGGCTCATCGAGGAAATCCGCCAGGGCCTGGAACGCATCATTACCACTGTCACCAACTACGCAATCGCTTTCGAGGCGTTGGATGGGATGAGGGGTGAGTTCCTTTCACACACACACACACACACTCTCTCTCTCTCTCTCTTTCTAGTCGCTTTTCGTTCAACTAACCATACAACCCAATACCCTACAGATGAAATCGAAGGAGCATATCACACGGCGTTTCCTCGCGTTCAGGCTCAAGTACAAGTTCCAGCTCAAGTTCAAGCGTAGACATCGAATTTATTTTCCCATGGTGGATTACTTCTTCTTTCCAACTTCTTCCACACACTCTACCTTTTGATAAAACCCCTCTAGCTAGCCAGCTAGCTAGATAGTTAGTCTACCTGCCTTAAATTTCTTGATGCAGGGGAACTAGACCGAGCTGCGTATAGTATAATAGTAATAGTACTTACTATATACCATATTATATACGCATGTTTTCCCCACAGACTTAATATTGAACGTGTTTATTGATAGTTAGTTTCCACCGCTGGCCACCTACCTACCTACCTACCTACCTACTATACCTATCTACCTACAAGCTAGATTCAATAAAGACGTAATAAACGAAAGAAACGAATAAAAAATATGAATAATAAACTCCAATCAATACCAGCTAAAGAAAAATAATAAATACTATACGGTGGTCACTTATCATAATTTATCTACTACATACAACCCTACCCACCTACCCACCTACCAACTTATCGTAACCCCAAACACCGCAAATCCAATCCAATCCAATCCAATCTATCTATCCACTGCCCTGTGTCCGTTGCTTCTTTCTTTCTCCTTTCTTTCTTTCCTTTTTTTTCCCCCCGTTAGTTGTTGCTAAAGTTTCGACCTTATACCCTCCAACCGAAACTTCACATCCTTGAGAACCTTGCTAGTGGGCTTCCAGTCATCGAATTGGCGGAGCAGTTCCATGGTTTCCTGGAGGAGTTCGCGACGGACGTATTCCTCCTCGAGGATGCCGCGCATGGCGAAGGGGAGGATGTATGGGTTAGCGGGGGAGGGTTGGGTGCGTTTGATGTGGAGGGATGTGGAGTGGATGGTGGAGGTTTCGAGGGCAAATTCGATGGCGAGGCTGGGTGGGGTGGTGTTAGTGTTAGTGTTATGAAGGTTTGTGGGTGGTCGGGGAGATATCTGAGGGAAGGGATGGGGAGATGTGACGCACCGGTATACGGATGGGTCGTCGTAGAGACGGGAGTGGCCTTCGCCGCTGTACAGGCTGCCTGCGAGAGGGGAGCTGAGTTCGCGGATGAGACCGTGGTCGGAGATGCCGAGATTGCGGAGCTTGAGGACGAAGCCGACGAGGTGGGAGAGGCTGGGGTGGGTTAGATATCTATGGTCTGATTGCTTTTTGAGATTGGGATGAGTGAGGTTCGGCGGGACTTACAAGCTGGGGGCGTGGACTCGGCCATCGACGAAGGCGGCCCGGTAGATGTATGGGTGGGTTACTGGTGTGAAGAGTGAGGACTGGGATGGCGGTTAGTAGGTCTGGTCTGTCTGAGTGGGGTTGGGGTTGGGGTTGGGTGTGTGATTTACCTCCAGAGAAACCAACTGGTCGTCAATGCTGCCGATGTAGGATATTCGAATTCCGAATTCGAGACAGGTTCTCAGTGCTGATTCGTAGTCCTTGGATACCTGGCTGTAGGGCAGGGCGAATTCGAACAGCTCCCCAGCCGATCCACTGATCCAGCGGGACCTGTAGTCGGCAAATGGGCCCAGATTAACGCCAGCCATGGCACATACACCAACACGAGATGCGTTGAGACAGCCAAACGAGATCAGCTTGGCGACCAGCATGATCGCCACGGGGACACCCTGACTATGGCATGCCACCAGGATGAAGTCTGCTTTCCTTATTTCCTCCATCCAGTTGAGTAGCAACTTCCACAAGAGATCCACACGCTCCGCGATACGGCCCTCGCCTTCCAGGGCTATTTTGTCAACGTCGCATTTGTAGCCACGCTCGTCGGCCCAGCTATGTATGGCTTCCGCGGCCATGTTCGAGAACCGGATCGAGGTTCCTGTCGGCTGGCCCAATACACTTCGAATCAACGGAGCCGGAAAGTACCCATGAATCCCAATGGCCAACGCCCTTTTAATCGGCGGCGGGTCTTTCGTCATATATACATGTTTGCTGTCTGATTCTTTGTTGTACTGGAAGTAGCGTCCGATAGTTTGCAGTATACTGGGTCTTTCTTGCAAAGCAAAAGTATCTTGGAACCGTGGCAGGACCTGATTAGGCAACACTTTTCGCAGTTGTTTCGAAGCGGCTGCCTCGGAGGGTCCCGGTCCCGGTCCCAAATCATTAAGGCCGGCGTCCAGACGCAATGCGGACTTATCAAGTAGTGCAGAACTGCTCTTCGGAGTTTTTAGCTTCACGCTTCCTTTCTTTGAGATCTCGACCCTGGACTCTGGTTCCGATTCGGTTTCACCGGCTGGCTTCTTCAGAGCCGAGTCCGGAGCTGCAGAGGCCTCTGCAGTCTGGATATCCTGGGGTGTGCCTGTATTAGAATCTTTCGAAGAGTCTCTAAACCAGAAAGACCATCCAGCAGGTTTTGCATCCTTAGCGGGTGCTTTGACCGAACTGTCTTCCGCCCCTTGCATATCAGTGTCTTGGCTAGGTGCAGACGCTGTATGCACCTCTGGTGGAGCCGGCTTATCTGCTTCATTTAAAGGTTCGCTCGCGGGCTCGCTCGCAGGTTCCTCCGGCCCTTTGGACGATGAGCCACCGTACCACATCTGGAGCCAAGAACGTTTGTGGGACGTCCGCGGATCCTCTGTCACTTCTGTCACTTCCGCAGGCTTATCCGGATCTGTCTTATCCTGCTCTTCTTCGCCCGGATCTTCCGCTGTGGTCTCTTCCTCCTTTAGATTCTGGGGTTCGGTGGGCTGTTCTCCACTGGACTCCGCCGCTGGCTCCTTCTGGGTAGGCTTTTCGGCTGCTGACGGGCCATATAACCAAGAAAACCATCCACCGGGTTGGGGGTTTGACGGGCGACCTTGATCTGCACCCTCGGGGTTTTCATTGGAAGCAGTCGTTTCAGGGGCAGTATCTGATTGCCCCTTAGCAGCGTCGTCCGTGGCTACTGGACCTTGATCTTTGTTTTGGTCTTGGTCTTTCGATGCCTCCTCGGATGGCTCCGGTGTTATGCCAGGTGGGCAGGACCGAGTATCCTCCTCCGGTGTGAAAGTAGTACCGTCGGATGCGATGTTAATTTTGGTTGTTGCAGCGTCGGCAGGAAGAGACCTGGTGGATGCACCGACTTTGCGAGTTAGTTGGCGAGAAGAGCCGCGGAGTTGCTTTGGGAGCTCGAGGTGAGAGGTGGATAGGGAGGTAAGTTTGGATGCTGTGTTGTGAGCGGCGGAGATGCTCTCACGGGCAACCTCGGTAACAGGGGCCGCTTTCGATGCTTTGGAGCTCGCTGGCCAGACCGTAGGGTACCAACTCTGAGCCAGGGGTAATACATTAGCTACAGAGTACGTATACAAACGAAGATACGGGACGAGAAAGGGCCCTGAACTCACCGCAGCGCTGCCTTTGCTTCTCGAGTCGGCACGGTCTCCGCCTGCGGATAACGATGCAGCCCCATTGTTCGACGCTGAGGTGGACTTAGAGTCAACACCAGGCGGGCTGGGCTTTACTCTCTTGCGAGATCCCATGGGCGCCATAAAATTCTAAAGCGTAACATCACCAAGCCTGCCGGAAATTATGCGCGGATGGGAAGCATGGATGAGTCTGTGGGGGGTGTGGTGGTGTGGGATGGAAGGCTATGATGAAAGGCCAGCAGACTACTGCGTACTGCGATGGCAGCCGGGGGATCAGCGCCGGTTGGTTGGTTGGTTGGGGTTGGACGTCACGTCACATGCCGTCCTCCCTGACCGTCTTTGTTGGCCTCGCCGCCTCGCCGCCTCGCCGCCTCGTCGCCTCAGGCGGTCAGCATCGAGTGGCGGTGCAGAGCCCTCACCCGCCACAGTCACCTCCCCTGTGGCTGGTGGGGGAAATTTTATTTTCAGGGCGATGTGGAGAAGGCCAGGAAAGGATCCATCCAGGCCGCCGATAACTTTTTTTCCTGCATACAACTCACCACCACTCTTTTTTGTCGAGTGTGCCTCGACCACCCGCTATACACAATGGCGATTCAAAAGAAGGTAACGCTGCGTCGCCCGGTTCAGTGATGAAAAATTCCCAATACTAACTCCGACTTTTCAGCACGGTAAAGGTCGTTTGGATAAGTGGTATCGCCTGGCGAAGGAGAAGGGATACCGAGCCAGAGCTGCGTTCAAGCTGATCCAGCTGAACAAGAAGTATGGCTTTTTGGAGAAGAGCAGAGTCGTTCTGGATCTTTGCGCCGCCCCCGGTGTGAGTATAGCCCGACCGGTCGTTCCCTCCGTTTGGTTACTGACTACAGGAAACAACAGTCTTGGTGTCAGGTCGCCGCAGAATGCATGCCCGCCCAGAGTATCATCGTCGGTGTCGATCTCGCCCCCATTAAGCCGATCCCTCGAGTCATTTCCTTCCAGAGCGACATCACCACCGAGAAGTGTCGCACGACCATTAGACAACACTTGAAGCACTGGAAGGCGGATACCGTTCTCCACGACGGTGCTCCCAATGTCGGTACCGCGTGGGTGCAGGATGCCTTCTCTCAGGCGGAGCTGGTGCTGCAGTCTCTGAAATTGGCTACGGAGTTCTTGACGGAAGGCGGTACTTTTGTCACGAAGGTCTTCAGATCCAAGGACTACAACCCGCTGCTGTGGGTGTTCAAGCAACTGTTCTCGTCGGTGGAAGCTACGAAACCCCCCTCCTCTCGAAATGTTTCCGCGGAAATCTTCGTTGTTTGCCGAGGATTCAAGGCCCCGAAGCGCATGGACCCGAAGTTCCTCGACCCCAAGCATGTGTTCGCCGAGCTGGCAGACCCGACGCCTAACAACGAAGCCAAGGTGTTCAACCCGGAGAAGAAGAAGCGTCGGAGAGAAGGTTACGAGGAGGGCGATTACACACAGTTCAAGGAGATCCCGGTTACCGAGTTCATCAACACGACGGATCCCATTGCCATCCTTGGTTCATACAACAAGCTCAGCTTTGCACAATTACCTGGTGGCGACCTTGCCATGGCCACCTTGGACCGCTTGGAGGATACGACGGACGAGATCCGAACCTGCTGTGAGGATTTGAAGATTCTGGGTAAGAAGGACTTCCGGAATCTGCTCAGATGGCGATTGAAGGTTCGGGAGCAGTTCGGTCTCGTTGTGAAAAAGGGCGGCCAAGCAAAGGCCGATGAGGCCGAAGAGGTCGCCGAGGTCGCTCCCATGGATGAAGAATTGGCTATCCAGGAGCAACTGCTTCGACTCCGTGAAAAGGAGACCACGAAGCAGAAGAAGGAGCGCCGCAAGGAAAATGAGAAGAAGCGCAAGGAAATTGTTCGACTGCAGATGCACATGACAACCCCCATGGATATCGGAAAGGAGCAACTGGGACCCAATGGCCAAGATGCCACGTTCTCCCTCAAGCGTGTTGACAGGGAGGGGGCCAGAGACGCCATTGCATCCGGTCGGGAAGCCACGATCGAAAGCGACAGCGAGGAGGAGGAATCCGACTCCGGTTCTGAGGAGAGTGATGAGGAAGGAGACCAGCTGGAGCGGGAGCTTGATACCCTGTACGAACAATACCAGGATCGCATGGAGGACCGGGACTCGAAACTGCGAGCAAAGAAGGCCCGGAAGGGCTACGAGGCCGAAGAATGGGGCGGCTTCTCGGATGAGGACAAGGATGGAAGCGACGCGGAATCCGAGGACGAGAGCCATGCCACTGGCCTTGGGGACAGTGCCCCCCCTAAGTCCGGGTCTCTTTCCAACAATGCTGCGCTTTTCTTCGACCAGGATATTTTCCAAGGTCTAGAGGGTGTCGATGATGAGGAAGATGAGGACGAGGAGGAGGATGACGATGAAATGGACGTTGACGAGGAGGAGGACGCGGAGGAAGAAGAGGACAGCGCCCTCGAAGTAAAGGAGAAAGATAATAAGCGCAAGGCCAAGGCTTCGGAAAAGAAACCCACAAAGGATTCCAAGAAGAGTTCGCAGATGGCAGACGACTCCTCGGATGAGGAGATCGACGCGCTCGAGGAACCGCGGAAGAAGAATGGCCAACTTGGTAAGTTCCCTGATACGGGGGTGGCTATCTAGTCTGTTGCTAACTCTACTACCCTAGACATCGATATCATCACCGCAGAGGCTATGGCACTTGCTCAGCAGATGGCCAGTGGTGAGAAGAAATCGACGGACGTCGTTGACGATGGATTCAACCGGTACGCGTTCCGTGACGTCGACGGTCTTCCGGAGTGGTTCCTCGACGACGAAACCCGACACAGTGCCCCGAACCGGCCCATCACCAAGGCGGCTGCCTCGGCCATCATGGAGAAGATGCGGGCCATCAATGCCCGTCCGATCAAGAAGGTGATGGAGGCCAAGGGCCGGAAGAAGTTCAAGGCTGCCCAGCGACTCGAGAAGCTGCGCAAGAAGTCTGCGCTGGTGGCGGACGACGAGGCGCTCAGCGAAAAGGACAAGTCGCAGGCCATTGCGCGGTTGATGAGCCGGGCCACCAAGAAGAAGCCCAAGCAGCAGGTGAAGCTGGTGGTGGCCAAGGGAACCAACCGGGGTATCTCGGGCCGTCCCCGCGGTGTGAAGGGCAAGTACAAGATCGTGGATTCGCGCATGAAGAAGGATATCCGGGCCCAGAAGCGCCTTGCCAAGAAGAAGAAGAACTAGGAGGAGCTGGTTGGGGGCATCCGGAGCAATCTCATCCATCACTGTCCATGTAAATACCCGGTTACCATAGATAATACCCATGTTGGAGGGGTAGTTGTTTGCCGAGTGATGGTGGGTGGTGTAACATGATAGAGTCTTATGTTGTACAGGGTGGCGTCTGGTTAGGAGAAGAAGAAAAAAAAGATCCGGTTTATAGGGAGATCCAGGATAGCTACAAATCGTGACACTGGTTCCTAATTCATATATTTATTTCTTTCTTTATTAATTTGTTGTGACTTGTATCGAAGTAGTAGCCCCTCTCCTCCGCAGTTCAAGGCCGGGCTAACTGCGGGACTAAGGCAAGGGCAGCTCAGCCGACCCGGAGTGGCGGCGCTGGCGTTATCGATCACCGGCGGCACTTTCCACTTTCCCTGCTCCTCGACCGTCGGCGCCTTTTCACTCCTCCTCTTCCTCTTTTGTTCCGCTGTCTGACAGCTTGCATCTGCATTCACGTTCACCTTCACATTCCCCTTTTCACTCTTTTCCCCGTTTGTCGTCTTACGGTACATATGCTACGCCCCGTATTATAGCCTGTTTCATTCATTCCTTGTAAATCTTTTACGCACTGCCGCCGCCGTATTTTACGCCCTCCGCCTGCCATAGTGCGGCTCGCGCTCAACCACCTTGCCTCCATGGGATTTTTTGACCACCTCCAAAAAGGAGGCGCCTTTTCACTGCAGTCGAAGAAACCCCAGATCCGCAAGGTCGTTCAAACGCGCTCCGCACCCCCCTCGAGATCCGTGTCCAGTCCAGGCCCCTCCCGGACGCCCCCCGCTCAGGTCAAGGCGCGAGAGTCGGCCAGCAGCAGATCCGTCTCGAGAGACCGCGATCCCCCCTCCTCATCCTCCAAGCGGCGACTCGGAACCCCGGCACAGAGTCGAAAGCGACAGACTCCGGAACTACGGCTCTCCAGCGACGACGATGCGAGCGATACAGATGCTTCCTTCGAGGTGCGCAAACGTGCTCGGACGGGCGACAGCGCGGAGCCAGACCCCGCCAGGCGGGTGCGTTCTCTGAAGGCGTTTGCCGATGATGGCGTTCGGTCCCTTCCCATGATCCACGCGGCAGAGATTACGTCCATTCAGAAAGTCGGGAACTTTAAGCCGTGGCTTGGGGAGAAGCCACTGCCGGAAATACTCCTACAATATCCCAGCGCGTCTGCTAAGGAACGGTACGAGACTTGGTATCCCGTGTGAGAGAAAAGCGGTGAATGCTGACTGATGCCTCGTGCGATGCAGGTACAACCTCGTCGTTCCTCGAGATGACGACGACTTCAGGCCCCTCCAGGACATCCTTCATGTCGTCGACATCGTATCCCAAAATTACATACCCGATAAGGAGGCGGATGCTTTCAACAACGAGTCAACGGGCTTCGTACGCAGAATCCGACGAGCGATAACCCAGAAATCCGAAGCTGAATTCCGTGAAGCCGTGGCGGAATACAACAAAGCGGTCGACGAGCTGAGGCGCAATGGGAGCATCGCAAAGAAGCTGGACTCGACCAGTCGGCTGGCTCTGCCCCATGTGGAACGGATTCTGACCCAGATATACTCGCGTACTGTCTCTCCTCGGGTCGAATCTCTGCGTCAGTATGAAAACGGAACGGACAACGTGTACGGAGAACTTCTCCCTCGCTTCATCAGCACGATTTTCAAGGAGACCGGGTTAAAGTCGGGGCAGGTTTTTGTTGACCTCGGCTCTGGTGTTGGGAACGTGGTCTTGCAGGCTGCGCTTGAGATAGGGTGTGAGAGCTGGGGGTGTGAAATGATGCAAAACGCCTGCGATCTGGCCGCACTTCAACAGACCGAGTTCAAGTCACGATGTAGGCTGTGGGGCATCGCACCGGGCAAGACGCACCTAGTCCGCGGTGACTTTCTCAAGGAGCAGAGCATTATCGATGTGTTGAAGCGTGCGGATGTCATCTTGATCAACAATCAGGCTTTCACGCCTCAGCTGAACAACGAACTGATCAACCACTTCCTGGATATGAAAGAGGGATGCCAGATCGTATCCCTGAAGTCATTTGTTCCTGCGGGCCACAAAATCCAATCTCGAAACCTCAACTCGCCCATCAATCTCCTGAAGGTGAAGCAGAGGAACTACTGGTCGGATAGCGTTAGCTGGACTGATGTTGGGGGCACCTACTTCATTGCCACCAAGGATAGTTCCCGGCTGAAGGCCTTTGCGGAAAGCATGGAATGAGAGTCTCGGCTGCCCTCCCCCCCCTCATCAATGCTTCCTGCCTTGCACATCGCGCATGCCATCGTCGCTGGTGGGACCACTAGCGCGATGGCGTGCTACTTTCGGTTTCTTGTATTGATATTCTTTTCCCCCACTTTCTATATACATATCCGCTTTTGGCATACATTGCTTTGGTACTGACCCCTTGTTTTGCGTTTGGACAGATGCTCTTGGCTTAGGACTTGATACCACATTTCTGATACAGGCATACAGCGCGTGCTAGTGTACCCTAGCGCTTTTGATTTTCAGTACATAACCGCCGTACATAGGTAGTGACATGTCAGATTTTGCCATGAAACTACATTGGAGGTTGATTTGAGATAGGACATGGATATGGATATGGATATGGGACGAAGGCATATTGTGGATAGTGTAGTATTTCACGGGTATCATAGATGTTGTGCATAAAAGATCTGACATGAAAGCGAAAGCAAAGCGGACATTTCACTGGCCACTCTATTCCCAAACCAAAACCAAGGTAAAAGTCAAGCGTTGGACATATTCGCCGGTTGCTAGGAATACTTGGACGCTGCATTCATGGCTTCCGCCTCCTTGCCCATCCTAGCCATCCAGCGATCAACGAGCTCCTGATTCTCCCGCTGAAGCCGAGAAGATCGCTCCTCCGCCATGTTGAGTTGGAGATTCAACGATGCCAGCTCATCTTGGAAATCCTGCAGTAGAATGCGTTAGCGTAGCCACCCTCCTCCATTCATCACTTCAAACCACCTCTCCATTTCTCTCTCCCTCTCCCTCTCCCTCTCCCTCTCCCTCTCCCTCTCCCTCTCCCCGCCGCAGAAACCGCAACCGAAATAAAAACAAAGATAGACAAGTGGCTAAACAGGCAACATACCTCCAACAACTTCGCCTTCCCCCTCAACTCTTCATCGCGATCCTTGGCCCGCAACTGCAGAAATGAAACCTCGCTCTCTAGCGCATGCACCCGTCGCCCATCGAGCGTGCCTCGCTTCCGCAACTTCTCTAGCTCGGTTGTTGTGCGGGTAAGTCGGTCTTGGAGCTCGGAGCGCGACCGTTGCGCTTCGGAGAGGTCTGTTCGTGCCGCGAGGAGCGATTCTTGGATTTGGAGCGTGGAGGGCGGCGCTGGTGACTGGGTGAGTGAGTGTGGGTGTTTGCTGGGGCGGGCGGATGTTGAGGGCGTTAGGGCAGAGGAGGAGGGGGACGGCGAGATGTTTGTGTTTGGATGATGTTGTTGTTGTTGGTCGTCGCTGCTCTGATGTTGTTGCGCCGCGGCTAGGCGGGCGGTGCGGTCGGCGAGGTTGGTATCTAGTATTGTTGGGGGGGAATTAGGTTTGGTTTTGGTTTTGGGTATGGTGGTGGGATTGGAGGGGGAGATGGGGTAGTATTGAGGGTGAAGGGAGGTGGTGGGTGGTGGGCGTACAAGCATCGTATATAGCCTGGTTTGCTTTCTCTCGTCGATCGCGCGCGGCCAGCGCGGCGGAGTACTCCTCCCTCCAGTGGGCCATTTGAATCTTGATAGCGGTGATAAGGCGGATGAGTTGGTCTGTCGGTCTGTCGGTCTGTCTGTCTGTCTGTCTGTCTATTTATCTGTCACTCCTCTTGTCACCGATGCATGGTTCCGGGAGGGTGTGGTCTGGGGGGTTGGGGGGGTTGTTTATTTCCAGGGAATTTAGTAAATAATAAACGCCCACGACGCTGACGAGCGATAAGTCAAAGGCAGGCAGCATGAGGTGTCGGGCGGACGGTGGATGGAGGACAGCCAGACCGCCATCTCCACCGCCCGGACCCTCGTGCATCATCGAAAGCCGCCGGCGCCGTTTAGCTCGGCTCAGTTCACCGTCCAGGCCCAACGAACCATCCCTCCTCCTGTGGTGTCTTCACAACAACTAACCATCCGACTCGTTCGGGCTCTCCTGCTAACCGACTCTTTTCCCTCGTGGTGCTGGCGGATTCAAATTATCCTTCCCACAACTTTCCCCCCCCACCTCCCTGTCCCCTTCCCCTATACTTACCTCGTTTTAACTTCCATCACTCACGGCCCCATATCTCTCCACCATGTCGTCACGGAAGAAGGTCTTGTTGAAGGTACCGACCGCATCCCGATCCCTGCACCTCGGATTGGCGCTCGGGAAGGGCAACCTCAATTACTCACACGGCTGTTCTTCCATCTAGGTGATCATCCTGGGCGACAGCGGCGTCGGCAAGACAAGTTTGATGAACCAATATGTCCGTGGCCTTATCTTCATCCTCTCCCTCCTTCTGCGACTGCGACTGCGACTCCCCGCAGCGGTGTCGCTGTTGTCACTGTCGCCATCGTCCCACTGACTGACCCCGTCCCCGTCAACAGGTCAACAAGAAGTTCAGCGCAAGCTACAAGGCCACGATTGGAGCCGATTTCCTAACGAAGGAGGTCCTGGTGGATGATCGTCTGGTGACAATGCAGGCATGTTACCATTCCCCACCCTTGGCGAAACGAACGGGGAGTTAACCGTCCGGTCGCGATTAGATCTGGGACACGGCGGGCCAGGAGCGCTTTCAGTCTCTGGGTGTGGCTTTCTACAGAGGTGCCGACTGCTGTGTCTTGGTGTACGACGTGAATAATTCAAAGAGTTTCGAGGCTCTGGATAGCTGGCGCGATGAGTTCCTTATCCAGGCTAGTCCGAGAGATCCTGAGAGCTTTCCTTTTGTATGTTGAATATTCTGTCCCCGTCCCTCCTCCCCTTTCCCATCGGCTCCGCTCGCTCGCCCGTTTGTTCGATGTTTGTTCAGCGCATGGTTGAGTTACTGCTACGTTGAAGGATGACGTCTAACGGTGTGTGGCAGGTCGTGATCGGTAACAAGATTGATGTGGAGGAGAGCAAGCGCATGATCTCCTCGAAACGCGCGATGACTTTTTGCCAATCGAAGGGCAATATCCCCTACTTCGAGACGAGTGCCAAGGAGGCGGTTAATGTTGAGCAGGCGTTCGAGGGTAAGTTGGCCTTCTAAACTACGGTCCCCATTTCGAAGATGGCTAACTCGCGCATCAGTCATCGCCCGGAGCGCCCTGGCCCAGGAAGAGGCCGAGGAGTTCAGCGGCGAATTCAGCGACCCGATCAACATCCACCTTGACGGTGAGCGTGACGGATGCGCTTGTTAATGTGCGGCCGCTAGACCTGCCTTGCGAATGATTTACATTTCTGCCTTAAGAACGCACCATTTCCCGCTGTTTGCGCCTCTGATTGTTCGTCGCGTTTCTTGCCTGGTAGAGAAACGACTGCTGTGTACTGCCTCTCGCCCAGGGCCGCGAGAGTGTGGGTGATTGTAGGTGGTCCGAGAGCGTCTATACTATACCGCTATGGAGCTCCTCATGTGTCATGCTCCTGTCATGTATTTGCCTTCCGATTCGCATGGGATATCCTTCGATGGCCTTGATCGTTTCTGTTTCATGCTGCGTTGTTACTGTACTGAAGGGTACTATCATGTTTTGTAGGAGTCTGGAATCTCATCATCACTTATCTGTCGATGCAGTGCTGTACCGTAAGAGTAGGTGGGACAGGATTGCCACCTGGGTCGGTATGTAGCAGCGCATTGCAGTTGTACCAATTACGATCCGCCAGGTGCGCTTCTGTGTTCTTGCATTCTATGCAATCCATACTTTATTCCACATCACATTCGGAGCAGTCAACCAGACGGCAGTGGTGGTGGATGACTAAACAACTACTAGTTACTCGCAACGAGTCGCGTGCTTATCTCGGGCAGCTCGTGATGCGCGCCGGCTTATCGCCTCGGGTTACACCGCAGCCCTTTTGCTTCCTGCCGCCGCTGCTCCGTCTTCCTCCCTCATAAGCGTCGCCTGCGGGCCCAGGTGGTCTTCCCTGTCTATATTTACGGGCCTTCTTTGCGCCCATGATCTACAACCCTTGACTCGCGGCCTCAGGATCGTATACCTCGTGTTGCTCCGGGTGCGCCAGCGAGGAACCAGTCTATCTATACCCTCTACCTACGGACTACCATCCACGACTCAAGCCCAAACAGTCTGACCCGATAACCATCAAGCACACGAAAGATACCACACACCTCACGCGACCGATCCGATGGAACCCGCCCATCCCCCCGAAGGCGCGAGGCTGGTGGGTGCCGCAAGGCGCACCCTGGGCATCTGTCTTCTTCTGGTGGTCGTATTTCTCTGGACGGCCTCCAATTTCCTGGCCAGTGTGGGTGCTCTCTTCCCTCACCCCCCCCCCCCCCCCTTCTCTCTTATCTCTGATTTAGACGAGGCTAACCGTATCTCCTCGCGGGGCTGTCACAGACTATCTTTGCAGACGATACATACTCGAAACCGTTCTTTGTGACATACATCAACACCTCCCTGTTCAGCCTCCCTTTGTTCACCATCATCTCCAGTCGGCTCTTCAAACTATGGCGCGTAGGGAAGCTTCATCGCATCCGCTCGTTTCAGAGCTTGTTGGAACACCTGGATTCCTATGCGACGCATGCTGAGGCCCGCGGGATACTCAGCCATGAAGAACGCTGGCGCAGCGACCAAGACCCTGAGACATGGGCTACTTCTCCTCGGACATCTAAGCTGGGGCTGAGGGCGACAGCGAAGCTGAGCTTTGAATTCTGTCTCCTATGGGTATGTATATGTACCATCTATACACTTCTTTCTCTGTCTCTCTCTCTCTCGTTCCAGAAGCTAACAAGCAACTACATAGTTCTCCGTAAGTACCCACGAATCGCACAAGCTCATACTCGTGATCTGGCACAACCTAACCCAACCAGGCCAATTACTTCGCAATGGCTTGTCTCCAATATACCACAGTAGGAAGCACAACCATCCTCACATCCACAAGCGGTACGCAACCACCCCCCTCCCTCCCCATCAACAACCACAAAACATCCTAACCCCCAACCCAGGCGTCTGGACCCTCATCTTCGGTGCCCTCATCGGCGTCGAGCAATTCACCATGCGAAAGCTCATCGGTGTAATCGCCTCCCTAATCGGAATCATCCTGATCTCCCGCGTCGACATGTCCAGCCTCTCCATCCCCACCCCCAACCCCCCACCAGACGGCAGCATCAGCACCAGCAGCAACGAGGGCAGCACATTCCCCCACAAAACCCCCGGCGAGATCGCCCTCGGCGACGCCATGGCCGGCTTCAGCGCAGTCCTGTACGGCGTGTACACGATCGTGCTGAAAAAGCAGGTCGGGGACGAATCCCGCGTCAACATGCAGCTTTTCTTCGGCTTGGTCGGTCTCTTCAATATGTTTCTCATGTGGCCGGGCTTCATCGTCCTGCATGTTTTGGGTATTGAGACTGTCGCCTTGCCGGATACCGGGAGGGTGTGGACGATTATTTTGGTATGTGTATCCTTACCTATTCAGCTTATCCCCTCCCCAATGACAGATAGATTAAATAACTGACGACAAAATGAAACAAATAGGTCAACGCCCTCGCCTCGCTCGCCTCAGATATCGCCTGGGCCTACGCGATGCTCCTAACCACTCCCCTCGTCGTAACCGTCGGACTGAGCCTCACGATCCCGCTCTCCCTGGTCGGCCAGATAGTCCTGCAGGGACATTACGCCAGCGCCATGTACTGGGTCGGAGCTACTATCGTCTTTCTGTCATTTTTGGTCGTGAATCAGGAGAGTCGTGATGCGAATGATGATCATCATGATGATGGTGTTGGTGTTGGTGGTGGTGGTGGTGGTGTCGCTGGATATGAGACTATTCCTGGGGATGGGCGGGATAGATGATTCATGATTCATATGGTGGGTATGTGGGTAGTTAGGGGGGTGAGTGACTCAACGGATACCTGCTTACCTACTACCTATTTACCTATCTAGCCAGATAGTTCTTGAAGGAAATAAGGGGGGTATATAGAATTGGTTATTGGTTATTTACGACTTTGATCCAAAGTATGCGTGCGGTATAGCGATATGTGATTACTTTGGAATTTCAGGATGGATATGGATATGGATATGGATGTGGATATATATGAATATGATGGCATCGCACAGGGATACGATGTGATATGTCTACTGACACAAGTACCTACCTTCCTACCTGCCTACTACTTACTTATCCAAGATAAGATGGAAAAAAGAAGAATGTGATATAGAAAAACAAATCTCTTTAATTCCTCCCCAGTAGCAACCCGCTAAGAAGGATGGAAAACAAAAAAGAGATCATGATTAAAATTACAAAAGCTCACCAATGAAAACATATTGTCATCATCAGTGCAAAAGCACAGGCACAGGCAGAAGAGGAAGAAGAAGAAGAAGAAGAAGAAGCGCAAACAGAAAATTAGTAAGTAGGTAATATAGGTAGAATAACATCAAGACAGGGTGATGTGATGTCGTATGGCTGCCACTGCATCCAAGCGCTTCTCATGTCATCCAGGACAATAAGTAGTACTAGGTAGGTAGGTAGGGAGGTAGGTAGGTAGGTAAGTAAAGTAATACATAACGTAAGGACTATCCCAACTCGTTGGCGTCTCCTATTCGTTCCGGTCTCCAAACTTCGTAGGTAGTAAGAGCAAGATAGTAAGTAAAAGTACATGGAAGACATCAATCAGGAAGACAAGTTCATCAACAAGGTTGGGTATGTATATCATCAAAAAAGAAAACGAAAAAAAAAACCACAACCAGGACTGAAACTCAAGATAACTGCTGAGTATTGGCACAACACAACACTAGGAAATGAAGGAGTGTGGGGATGTAATCTAGACTAGCCAGAATTTGAAAGGGGGATGAAAGGAGAGGAAGAAGTGGACGGTGAAGCGGAATCAGAAAGATTCAGCAAATCTGTTGTACAGTAGTAGTGGTGGTGGTAGTTGATTTCTCAAGTGAGGCTGGCGGCTCCTGATGCGGGCTCCAGTTTCTTGCGGGCGACGATGATACTCTTCAGAGACCCGAGCCATTTGGCCAGAGCCTCTTCATCGGGGGCGCAAAGCCGGTACGACTTCTCCTCGGCAATGATCTGGAGGCAGAACAGCTTCGAACGGGAGATGGGATCGACCTCGGCGGCATCGATGACCTGGGCCATGGGGACGACTTTGACGGCAGAATACTCCTGAACAAGTGTTAGTCTTGGCACCAGACCACTTAACGATCGGAGACCCTACCTGCTCGTCTTTGTAAAAGCCAAGGCTTTTGGGGCGCAACACGACCCACAGCCGCTTCCACTGGCGCATGGACCCCTTGATCTTGAGACACTGGAGATACCCGTTGCATACAACCCTTTCGGGGTCACGGAGAATCCCGGAATCGGTTCGTGGGACGGAGGGATGTCCGTCGCTCTTAATGGACGCGGGCTGGTTCTGGATGGAGGGCGATTTACGGCGCACACTGTGATTGCTCGTAGGGCCATCAGACCATTCTGAGTAAGAGGTGATATCGTTCCCCGAGCAGTCGTGGGGGGAGGCAAAGCGCTTGGACTTAGTAGACGGCGACAGTGCTCCTCCCAGCTCAGGAGAGCTTGGTCTTCCGCGAGGCTCTACGTCCGAATGATCGGTGGTATCATAGACGCGGCGCTTACTGCTTGCCGCAACATCGCCGTTCTTCGACAATGCCAGGAATGCCTGCTCGTCTTCGTCCACGCGAGTTTCCCCTCGGATGTGTTTGATCCAGACCTCCGCCTCCTTGTCCGAAGTGGCCTGAAAACGGTAGTTCTTCGAGGGAGAAAAGACACCGAATACGTGCTCGCGGTTTGACCGGGGAGACCTGACAGGCGCAACCGCTGTCACCTCGGACAGGGTAATAGACGCCCGTAGTCTTGTAGCCTCCTCATCCTTGTATACCGAGAGAAGATTGGGGCGGAGAACGAGATATGCGGGCTTCCAGGAGGCGCGGAATGCCTGTTGCAATACCGTTAGCTCAATGTGTACCAAACCGAATAGCAGCGCAACTGACATGTTTGTGCTTGACGCGGCGGGTCACCTTGCCGGTCTTCAGAACGCGATCGAACTCGAAGCTCCCGTTTTCGTTGACGGGAGAAAAGGTATCCAGGTTGACATGCCCATTGCGATGGTACGAGGACGGGGCGTTTGGGGATAAAAGCGTCGACTTTGGCGTGGTGCCGTCAGGGAGTTGAATTATGGGAGCCTTGGGATTCCCTTGTGCAACCGGTGCACAGGTAGTGGAAATGGTTTGACTCATGGTTGTACAAAGCTCTTACGGAGCCAAGAATAAGTTTCGGGGTGGTCGCAAAGGAGGCCGCGTTTGAGTTGGCGTTGCACCGCGCGACGTGGGGAAGGAGCGTTGTCTAGACCGACTGGGGGGGGGGGGGGGATGCGCATGCACGGAATGCACATGGAGAGCTACCCCGGACGGCTTTCGATAGTATTATAGAGAGCGACGGTCTGCAAGATCAGACCAGAACAGGCAGAAGTGTTGGCGACGAATCTGACAGCTGACAATGAAAGGCAGTCGGTCTCGACCGGGTCATGGAGGCTGTGCCGAAAGGAGGGTGGGCAGCGATGACCGAGGGGGGGTGAGAACGAGGGAACGCGGCGATCGGAGGGAGGTCTGGAGGTAGTTTGGCAGCCTATACTAGGTCGGTCACAGGGAGGAGAGGGAGGTTAGAGAAGCATGACTCAATGCCCGAATGCCTCACCAAACGGATTGGCGATATCCAAGGCCCAGGATGGAGGAAAAGGGGATATCCTTGGGGGGAGGGGGAGAGGGGGCGGAGGTTCTTTTTCTAATTTTCCCAATCCAACGGGACGGACGCATGGACGTTTGGCTGTTTGGGACTTGGGACTTGGGAGATCATCTGGGTTTAGTCAGGGCGGCCGGGGCTCACCTTGAGACGCCCACCGCGTCTCCCCCCTGCGGTTTCACCCCGGCGCTTCCTCGATCCTTCCTCCAAATGATGCATGCAAGTGCACCAAATGCACCAACCGACAACCTTGGTCTGATTATTATTATGGTTATTGGGTGGCTCTTCTCCTCCCCCTCGTGGGAGGCCGGCCAGCCATGACATCGTTGCCCGAACCTTTTGACTCTTGACTGATATCATCCATCCATCCATCCATCCCTTCCTGCCTCCCTCGCTCCCCCCCCCCCCCCCTATCATCGATGATGACAACCAAGTTATTAAGCTTTTTGGGAATACTCTTAGGTTCCCCGGCAGTTTATCTACGCAGAAACTGGGACGGACTATATACCCTCGCACGCATATCTAATAATAGAGACATACGTACTGCCCGGGAGTTGCGACGACCCAGACTCATGCTGCAGATCATGACGACCACCCTCAAGGCCAGAGGCATCCAGATGGCCGTGCATGGGAGCATTCGTCGCCCCTGTGCCACCCATGCATGGTGCGTGTACCTACATATGGGATAGATAAGTATCTACCGACCGACATGCTTCACCGACGCATTGAATGTGACAGCTCCAGCCGCAAAGCTCCAGGCCCCCATCCCGATCAAGATCCGCACGATGCTCTTCGCCATGGGCATCGCATCAGCCAGATATCGCAAGATATCCCGAGACCGTCGGTTTTGTTGCCAGTGTGTGAAAATCCGGCTAAACCTGACCCAGATGCGGAGCATGGCAAGGCAAAGCTCTCCATCTCGGCCGGCCACCGTCCACCCTGGGATTCTGGGACACGCGCCTTAAGTAAAAGGCCACCTTGACAGATCCCCCTAGACCGGGGTCACGTGTGGGTCCCGGTGGGATTTCAGGGTTCTGGATGCATAAATTACCGGTCTGAATTACCGCCAGGTACCGTTGGCCCACGGTTACGGTACATTACATTCCCACCACAGTCGGGCCCGCTCCGTACACTTGGATCCAATTGGGAAGTATGAATAGGGCATTTTAGTACTAGTTGCATCTATCTGGGAGTAGTATCGAGATTAGAGCCGTGGGAATTTCTTGCGATGGTAGCCGACGAGATACATTTCGACAAAGGGATGGTTCACCTAGTCATATCACCACTACTACTACTACTACTACTACTACTGTGAGAAGATGCGGGATGGCATCTCGTCCACTGGATCGAAATAAGCAGGACTTGCACCTGAAACCCAATCAGATCTCTAACCCCATTAGTAGTGATCCGGATACAATGAAAGGACAGGCAGCCAATCATTACAGCTGCGGAATGTGCCATCAACTGAAAAGGCGATGATGCTCATGAATCTCCACGGCCATGGAAAGAAAGAAACTTCCCGAGGAAGTTCGTGGCTTCTCAGCAGCTTGTTGTCTTGGTTGTTATCAAGGCGTTCGAACGTCCGTGTGTCAAGGGGGAGGGAGCTGTCGGGGTCGTGGACCGTTGCATCCGCGGTAACGAAGCGTAGCCACCCAGGACCCAAGATCTAACCCTACGTTGGCCTCTGACGACGGCTGCGCCAAGCTAAAGACGAGAGAGGAGCACCGGTCCTCCCTTCTGGAAAGGACTGAACATAAATAGAAAACCAATCAATCCAATGTGGCTCGCAACCCTCACCCCCTCTGTTGAAGTGATGAACATGTTGATCACGAACTCAAAATCGAAGTCTGCTCGGCAAATGCCTTGGACATCTTGCTGGCCACCGCTGATTGCTCTACTTGGCCCGGACCGAGAATGATTCAAGGAGCCTGGAGGACGTGTCTTGCAGGTTAAGCTTCAGGGTCTTCGCATGCACAAAGGATGGGGCCGCAGGGCCTGTATTCTGCTTACAGGCAGAGGGAGATAGATAGTATTCCCTTCTTTTCTCCTGTGCTCCGTCTTCCTCGTCCACTCTCCTCCTCCTGATATGTGGACGGTACCGCCCGGTCTCTATAGTGGCTGCTTAGACGTAATTTTGCCTGACATTATGGCCCAATCTAATAAATATACGAAGTCAGCGATAATTTACCACCAGTGATTGCTGGATGCTGGCTGGGGGGGGAAACTGGGGACGTTGGAAGGGGAAAAAGGGCTCCGGGCAGGCCAGCCATACATAACATACGGTACCGAGATACCGGGCTAGAAACCGCCGTACAGCGTACGGGAGAGCCGCGACTCCCGACCTGGAGGGTAAGTTACCGTCAGCGACCACGACCGCTTGCGCCTCCTTGGCCTTGGCGGAACTTCCACCCATCCCCATCCCCAAATAATCCTCTCGAGCCTTCATCTCATCCGGTTGCTCTCCCGCAGCTCTCGGCTCCCCCCCCCCCCCCCAGCCTCAGCCCGTCCCCCCCCATCGTGATTAATGACCTCGTCGCCTGCCGTCGTGTCTTCGGCCTCATTGCTCCGGACAACAGTCCTTCGCGTTGTTGTCGACCCTTTCCCCGCCCATCTCTGCCTGGCCGACTGAGAGGGAAAAGTTGACGAGAAAGGAGGCTTTCCTCCGGCCACTCGTTTTTTCTCTTCACTTCATTTCAATCGGGATTGCGGCCTCCGTTCTCGATTTTATCCTTTCTAGTCTGTTTACTGCGGGCCTTTTGGTTCTGCTCGTGGGTGGAATACAGGCACCAACTCGCCTCCTCGGCGCTCGCCTGCGGACGTTCGTCCCTTGACATCAAGATCTCCTCAGGGACAGGGCTTCAAAAGCCGTCAACCTGGCCTGGGAAACCCGCCCACTTGCTTGGTTTGGTTTCGACCACGGTCCTCTAAATTCTCGCCCTTGAACGAACCGCGTGGCCATCTCAGCACCCATGGGCCTCGTTCAACGGGTTACAAAATGGCTGCCCTCCACGCCGAGTCTGCCCCTAGATGACTCTTCGCGCGAGAAAGGCCATAACCCCTCCAGATTCGCCTTCTTCAAGCGGAGGATACGGTTAAAGGGCAACTCATCGATTTCGATTCCCCTGGGATTCGTTCTACTATTCCCATGTCTTGTAATAGTCCTCATCCTACTCCTTTTCGTTCGACATCCTTCTTCGCCCGGGGGAATCTTGATTCCTGCTGGTACACCACCGTCCATCAGGTTCGTTCCACCTTTGACGCCAGGGTCTAGTTTGAACCCGTTTGACTAACCGCGCGGATCCGATAGAAAAATAAGTGAACAGTACGACAAGGTCTTCGCTACTGGCTGCCTCCCGGTCGAAAAAACCGACGCCCCACGCGCAAACGCCGCTTTTGTTGTTCTTGCCAGAAATAAGGAAATTGATGGCGTGGTTCAGTCGCTCAAGTCTATTGAAAGACACTTCAACCGCTGGTTCCATTATCCCTATGTGTTCCTGAACGACGGTGACTTTGACGATACCTTTAAGGAGACCGTCAAAAACTACACCAGTGCCCCTGTAGAGTTTGGCAAGATCGATGAGTCCATGTGGGGTTACCCGGACTGGGTCGATCATGAGGTTGCCAAGGAGGGCGTCAGGAAGCAGGGAGATGCTGCCATCATGTACGGAGGAATGGAGAGCTACCATCACATGTGCAGATTCTACTCCGGGTGAGTTTTCAGTCTGGGGTGTTTTCCCGCAAAAACGCTAATCTTCGAGTAGCCACTTCTACAAGCACCCCCTCCTGATGAAGTACGAGTGGTACTGGCGTCTGGAGCCCGAGATCAAGTACTTCTGTGACATCACATAGTAAGGGTTGCTTTCTCTATTGCCACTGGAATTTACTTACGCCTAGAACAGTGATCCATTTATCAAGATGGCCGAGGCCAACAAGACCTACGGCTTCACCATTGCTGTTAAGGAGCTTCGCGAGACCGTCCCCAACATCTTCCGTTACGCCTCTGCCTACAAGCGCAAACACAACCTCAAATCGAAGGGATTGTGGGAAATGTTCCTCGAGCACCCCGAGGAGGAAGAGCCCAAGCCGGAAGAGGAGAAGCAGGAGAAACTCCCTGAGGAAATCCTTCAGAACGAACCCGGCGAAAACACTGTCCCCGATGTCGATCCTGAGGCCATGGAAGGCGAAAAGTACAACATGTGCCATTTCTGGAGTAACTTTGAGATCGCGCGTTTGGACTTCTTCCGCAGCAGGGAATACGAGGAATTCTTTGATATGATGGATAAGAGTGGAGGGTTCTGGATGGAGAGAGTACGTGCCCCCATATGTCTGGATTCCCCCGGATTTTGCTGACTGACTGCTCTAGTGGGGTGACGCGCCTATTCATTCCCTGGCGGCTGGTGTCCTCCTGTCCCCCAGCGACATCCACTACTTCCGGGACTTCGGCTACCGGCACACCACCATCCAACATTGTCCCGCCAACGCCCCCGCCCGGCAGCTGCCTCGCATTCCCTGGCTGGAGACGACGACCGAGGACGAGAAGGAACGGATCGAGGAGGACGAGTACTGGGCGAACCCCGACCCCGTCAAGGAGAACGGCGTCGGCTGCAGATGCAGGTGCGACACAGACATTGTGGATGTGGAGGGCAAGCAGGGCAGCTGTCTCGCCGAATGGGTGGAAGTTGCTGGAGGATGGGCCTCTCCATAGATTTTCGGATTGTTGCCCCTTAATGTTCGCTGTATAATCTTCGCCTCCTCGTTTCCGTACCTATTTGTTCGACTATGAGCATCACTCGGTTCGCCCTTGGAGTTATTTGCTTGAACCTGCATGTTACGTTGGCTGTGGGTTTCTGGACGGCGTTATACGGATCTGACGGCTTCTTACAAGGAAGACGGTGTGACCATTCTCATCAATATTAACAAATTCATCTAGCGTGATTCGTATATGCTCCCTCGCTTGCCACATTCACTCTTAAAAGCAACACTCCCCGGTCCGGTCGAAGGCCTTGCCTGCCGATGGGAATGGAGTCGGCTCGTCTCACGAAACCCCGAAAGCCAATGTCGCGGCCACCCGGTGAAACTGTTCATTAGGGGGTTGCAAAAGCCTTTTGCCTGTTTCGACACGGCCTCTTCTGATGGGACCACGCCCGGGTGGGTAGTCTCTCTGCCTGATTTCCCCCCGGTGCTCCCCGGGAATAGGCAGGCTATGAATACAAGAGACCAGGATGGGCTGAGGGGTTTTGTATGGACACGCGAAGATGAGTGGGCCTATTGTGCAGGGCATTTGCTGGCGGGGGGTTCCATCCACAGCTCCACTGCCTGTTTGATGTCTTGTTCCGTTTTCCCCTACTACCCTTGATTCTCTCCTGCTTCTTTTGTGCTTTGGCTTTCTGCTCGTCCATTTTCCCTGATTCCCCTCGTTCCACGCCATTAACCTCATGTCATGAAATGTACATATTTCGTATATGTTTCTTTCGCGTTTGACCCGTTCTGTAACCCTGGAACCACCGGGGAGGTCCATCCATCATTATAATGGTAGGTTTGCAGTGATCATGTGTCCATAGTGTCCGGGCTTGCGTTCCCTGTGGCTATGTTAAGGACCTGGTAGAAATAATATGGGGTACACGGTTTCTTGTTGGCTTGCGGCTTCATTGAACCTTTCAAGGAGTGGGCTGTAGTCGCAACGGTGTCGGATGAGGCGATTGTGAATCTTGTATGTAGAGACTGGTGGAGCCGGGAACTAGCCTGGTTTGGGTGTAGTGGCCTGATAGCGGCTGCCTTATCGGCGAGGATCCCAAGGGCACGCCTCCACCCGCCCCGGGGTACCTCTTTCCTCCGACAATTCCTACCAACTCCCCTCATGGATGATGGACAACACATGATGAGGTAACAGCCCGACTGAGTCACCGTCAGCCCTTCAGATGCCCGGGTTCTTTCCCCGCCTGACCAGCCATAGAACGGCCGCTTCGTAGCACTCGGGACTGTAGGACTGGACTGGTCTGTAGTTGTCATGTGCCCCGCCGCCCATGATAGTACTAGTCAGTCAGTCACTATCTCCCGCTCCAGTCAGTCACTGGCTCTCTCATACTCTCACCCCCTCGACCCTTCCCCTCCTCACTCGCCCTCTCTCCTCTCCCCCCCCCCCCCCCTCTTCCTCCCCACCACCTACATATCCTCCCGGGAAGCCTCCCTCTTCCTACTTACCGCTAGCTTGCAGAATAATTTGAGAATCTGAGAACATACTATTCAAGAAGCCTGATCGTGAGGCACCTGACTTCCCCTGCCGCCCGGACCCCCCGGGACAGCATCAACCAACCCCCCCACACACGCATCGTCGTCTCCGCCTAGGCTGTCATCGGGCATCTGCCTATTAGGCTGGGTGTTCCCCAAGGAAGTTCACAGGCCAGACTGCACCTGTAGTAGACAACAGAACTTTCCTCGTGAAGTTAACGTATACTTCCGCTGACTTTCTCTCATTCTATTTATTTCTGGGCTTATCCGTCGTCTCCTGTACTCGACCGAAGCTCCGCTCGGCAGCTCTGCACTTGCGTCCCCTCAAAACTCTACCTACCTATGCCACTCACGCTCGAGGCAACATGGCTGACTCTTCAGAGCCTCATCCCAGGCATTCTTACCACGGCTCCACCACTGCCCACCTGCAATATCCTACTCTCCCGCCTCTCAGCGCCTCAGTGGAAGAGTGGCTATCCCGCTCGAGACCTATCAGCATGACGTCAACCCCGCCGATGGACCACATCCCCAGGTCCCTGAGTGAAAGCTGGGCCACCATGAGTGTGTCGGACGTGCATTCAGAGGATGGAACTCGCTCCGAGCAGACAGATATCGGATCTCTGATCGACCAGACTGGCCCGGATGACGTAGCAAGCCTGGATGGGCGGTCTAGCAACAGTGACATGGATACGAATGATGAGGACGGGTTCGACGGTGGCAGTTACGAGTCCAGGAGCAACGTCTCGGTGTCCCAGGAGCTGCCAACCGCCTTCCCTCACATCCGACATCCCATCGATGACAGTAACCTGACCGCCCAGACTGCATTCCGTCAGTCGGTCGAATCAATCGAGTTCATCGAGCCCGAGAGCTGGCCCGAAGCCGAGCGAGTCGAACTCAAGCATACAATCCGTGTTTTCGAGGGGTCTGATGCGGCAGAGTTGAAACATAAGCTTCCTGAGGGATTGGAAAACTCGACCCTCACGGCCACCGTCCAGCAGACCATGACGAGGAAGGGCTTGGACACCGACAAGCCGTTCCATGTACTGTACATTGGCAGCCCAGAGTTCCGGAACATCATCCTCGATAAGATCGGTGATGTTCTCGTTTCCAGTTCCTATAGCGGTTTTGAGAGCGGTTCCGCCGAATCGTCCAGGTATCATGTTGTGCCGACATCCTTCGGTGCAGGCGCCGTTCCCAACTTCGCCGAACTTCTTCCTATTCATGTCCAGCTCATTGTGGACGAATGCCCCGAGGCTTCTGCGGATGCTCAGACTGATAAGCCCAGCGCAATTAACCTGAACTTCAAGAATCGGCCCTCGTGCACCTCAACATGGTCTGGGACCGAATATACTGTCGCATCCTCAGTGGAATGGATTCTGCCTGATGTGGCCATCTTTTTCCTATCCAGCACAGATACCACCAAGGATATGGAGACCCAGAAACTGGCTCGCATCTTCATGGAAAGACATGGTGTTCCGACAATGGTCATCTCTGAGAAGCCCCTCTGGACGATGTCCCGGGACCCTGTCCCACTTAACCACCACAGTCTCCACATGTGCTTGGAATCGCGCAATTCGCTGGATGGGAAGTCTACAGTTCTGAGAAGGTACCCCATCGATCTCAAGAGCTTCGAAAGCATTACGCCTGGGCAACTCAACAGAAATCTAGCCTCGCTAGAGACCATCTATCCCAAGAAGTCCTGTAAAATGGCATTGGACAACCCGAAGTTGCCTCAAACCAAGTCAATCTTCGGTATCGCCGATTACGCACGTAACTTGTTTGATGCCAGCAACGACTATGAACTGGCGCCTTTGTTTCGCTTCATCTTTGTTGTTATTATGTCAGCTGTAGCCATCTCTATTGGACATGCAGTTGTGCGGGCATCTGTCACATGCATTTCTCAGTATTTCACCCAGTCTCCGGTCTCCAACGCGATCTCCCCTGTTTCGATCAGTGTTCCTGCTACCAGTATTCTTCCTACGGGAGGGTCGCTTTCGGCATTGTCTTCGTCGCTTAGCGAGGTCCAGCGGCTAGGCAACCAGAATGGCGCCCTTTCTCAACTACAAGAGCTAATTGAAGGAGTCCAATCTGTCCAAACAAGCGATTCATACGAGATTCAGGTGGTTGGCGACTGCCACCTTGTTATCAAGCCACCGACCAAGTCTCCTGCCGGCAGGAAGCAACCGAAATTCAACGTTCAGGTCACTCGCGGAGGAAAGCCACTCGAGTACGAGCTCTCCATGCTGTTCGAAGGAGTGTACACCTTGAAGTTGGATCGGAGCGATGCATACGGCCAGGTGGATGTCACGATAGCCACGGTTTCGAAGCCTCCTCGTACGCAGACCACTTCCGTGGACTTCGGAACACCATGGCTGAAGATCCAGAATTGGAAACGTGCGGCACATGACATCACTTCGCAGTTTGTGAGAGAACTGAGCACGGCGCAGACGGGGCTGACCGAGGCGTACGGCCGGATCTGCACCGACCTGCAAGTGCTTATGGGAGATGTCGTGAAAAAGACCCATTTCTTGCAACAGGAGGCATCTTCTCTGAGACAGGACTCGGTGCAGCTTTCCGTTGAGACAAAGGACTTGGTGCTCGCCCGATCGGGGAAACTTGGGGAGGTTGTTAAACGGACTGCCGTGCAACCCCTCCTGGCTGCGTCGGCTGTGCTACAAGCCCGGGCCAACAAGGTGCAGGCCGGGGCCCGAGAAAAGATGAGTGACACGTGGGACAGGATCAGCTCTCAGGCCCAAGGGTTTGATCTCGGGGCGTTGAAGGAGCACTTCCGGAATGCGCGGAAATCCAAGGCTTTGGACAAGGCGCAGAAGGGAGCGCGGGGTCTTCTGAGGCGGAAGACATGCGGGCAGTCCGAGTGTTCGCAATGAATCTCGAGCCATGAGCCCACCTCATCTTGTAGTAGCTTCTATTAACACCATTCTTTTGCATGCTTTTCCTTGCTTCTTGGGTTTGTTTTGATGGGGGTTGCTTTCAGGCGAAAGGATGGGTCAGATATCAGGGACGGACTGAATCATGGGAAGGTTTCCTGGGATACATGCTGGATTATGTACTAACGGACGATGTTAACGAATGTTTTACCTGCGGCTTTGTTGTGCTTCCCCCTTTGTGTATGCGTGTAGATCCTTTGTAGCAGAGTAGATAGATAGCGAGTACTACTGCGTGGGGGGGGGGCAAAGGCTTGCCGGGCGGTGGCGCTAGTGCGGCCTTAGGCGCTTAGGCAATGGACCAGGCTACCCACCCGCAAAACAACCCCCCGTTCATATTTTCCCCTCCTCTTCAAGTGACTCCCATCCCCCCACCTCATACCTTACCTCTCTTCTCCTTTTCTATCAGATACACGGTACCTCTCCAGACGCATCTATCTCCATCGCCTCTTCCCGCTGATAAATCTGCCAGGAAACACATCCATACATCATGTCTGACGTCGCTGAGCCCAAGCCCGACCCCACCACCAGCGCTCCTGAGGCGGCTGAGAAGCCCGAGGAGACCACCACCGCTGCCGCTGCTGAGGAATCCAAGCCGGCGACCGAGACTGCGGCCGAAGCCGTCCAGGACGCCGCCACCAAGACCACCGACAGCGTCTTTTCCATGTTCGGCGGCGGCCCCAAGAAGGAGAAGCAGGAGGAAGCCGACGAGGGCAAGGACGAGCCTTCCGGCTCTTCCAAGGCGCAGAAGGGTGAAGATGAGGTGAGTGTGTGATTTCTGTGGCCGTGTGTTGCGTTCTCTTTTTTCTTCGAGTTCCCCTGGCCGTTACCCCGCTTTCCCCTCCACGGCGGAGGGGCCGATGTTGATGTTTTATGATCCGTTGCCCACGCTACGTTTTGATTCACATCGACGACGGATCACGATACACCAGCTCTCTAGAATCGCAGTGTCTAATCATGTGTGCGCACCCCACAGGACGAGGCCCCCGAGTCCCCCGATGTTCACTTCGAGCCCGTCATCCGCCTGACCGAGAAGGTCGAGACCAAGACCAACGAGGAGCTGGAGGAGCAGTCGTTCAAGATGCGTGCCAAGCTGTTCAAGTTCGACCGGGAAAGCAAGGAGTGGAAGGAGCGTGGTACCGGTGACGTGAGACTGCTCAAGCACAAGGAGAACCAGAAGACCCGCCTAGTGATGCGCAGAGACAAGACCCTCAAGGTCTGCGCTAACCACTACAGTAAGTGTCGCCGTCGGTCGGTGAGGAAGTTGTTCTTCTCGGTTGCTGATTGATCCTGCAGTCGTCCCCGAGATGAAGCTGAGCCCCAACGTGGGCAGCGACCGCAGCTGGGTGTGGAACGCCACCGCCGATGTCAGCGAGGGCGAGCCCGAGGCCTGCACCTTGGCCATCCGTTTCGCCAACAGCGAGAGTAAGTGGGCCCCAGCCTTGCGAAGCATGGACGAGAACGATGATAGCTAATACGCATTTCCAGATGCCAACCTGTTCAAGGAGGCCTTCGAGAAGGCCCAGCAGGAGAACGAGAAGCTTCTCTCCCAGTAGAGGGTAGGCTCCTCCTTCCTGGCCTTGATTTTCCCGCAGTCGCCAGTGATATAGAGAAGAGGGCTTATTTCTTAATTGAATTTCCGATCCCCTTTGCACCCTTACAAGTCTGATGTGGACTGCTTTCTGAAGAACATTTTTGCTCCCCCATAACATCCCCCCCCCCCCCCCCTCCCTTCGCTGTCACAAAGTTTTCTCTTTTAAAGACACCCCATTACCCTCACCATTGCATCATATTTCACACCAACCCCCCATACATGTTTCAAGAAAACAGAATAATGACGCCGGTCATGATTAGCCGCGAGTCGACACATGGAGGGACTTGTTATGGGTCCCCTGTTGTGTTTGTTCGGCGACGTGGTAGTAGATAGACACATATTCCTAAAATCTACGTATGAAATTTACGAACCCTCTGCAGGCCTTTGCTGTTGTAGCATGATTGGTAGATGAGCGAGTGGTAGAGTGGTTGATGTTGATGTTGATGCTGATGCTGCTTGGGTGCAGTGGGATGTGTGAGAAAGAGGCTTTGTTTGTGGATGGATGGATGGATCGTCTAGGAGTTCTTTGTTTGAGCCGGTCCATTGATGCGGTGTTAAGCTGCCGGTGAGTGAGAGGGAGGAAGACAGAAAATGAAGCCGAACCTGGGAGTGAAAAAGAAAACCAGAGGGGGGGGGGGGGGGTTTGGATGGAGGGGAGAAGGAAGAAGAAGATGAGGCCAGCGGGATCTGTTCTTTCCTGTCTTGCTGCCGCGTCGAGAATCACTCGATCCCCACCCCGGCCTCAACCCGCGGAAAGCTTCACTCTTGCTCTCCTGCTCATTCTTCCTCCCTCCCTCCCTCTCCCTCTCTCTGCCCGCACTCCGTCATCCCCATCCCTCGCCCCGTTGATCCCTCCGTTGGAATCGCCCCACTCACTGCCGCCTGCCTCTGCGGGAATCCCGACCGAAGCTCGCTTCAACTGGCGTCGCGCGACCTCCAATCCGCCCCCCAAGAGCTTCAGCCCTTCCGTGCAGACTGCCGACCAGACAGACCCAGACCTCCCTCCGCGCGAACGTCCACTCCCCGACAACCTCACCTTTCATCCGACCCCCCCTCGACTTGACTCGCCCGGGCGATTGAATCCCACGCCCCTCCTCTCAAGATGCCTGACGTGAGTCCCCCGTCCTCGTCCCCGTCGCCGTCCTGCCTCTGATTGAACAATGGCTGGCTCCTGCGTCGATCCACCGCCGCTTGACGCGGACCAGAACCACCCTGCCTCTCTATCGCATGACAGGACACCGCTGACGCGACCTCCTCCGGGTCTTCTCCTACAGGTGAAGAGAACAGTCCGACTGGTGACGGAGCAGCACATCGTGTACGTTCTATTCCTCCTCGTTCCTCCCTGCCTCTCGATGACCTATCCATCCATACACCTGCCTGTCTACCTACCTACCTACCTCTCGAATCTGACTTCACCACCGCCTCTCCTCTCTCTCACTACTCATCACCTGAAGACCATTCCTTCTCCTTCCTCTCCCCTCTCACATCCAATATCTATTACCTTGTCGCGCGCGCCACGCGTATTATCCCGTCGCGCCAAACCCGAACCCCCATTCGGTGCAGGAACTTGAAAAGGAGAGAAAGAACGCCGTTTACTGACATCGTTTCGCGCGTCCACAGAAACAAGGATTCCGGCGTCGAAGGTTTTCCCCTCCGGTCATGGTCAATTGAGGTCTACGTCGTCAATGAACATGGCGACCAGATACCCGCCAATGTCTTTGACAAAGTCACGTACACCTTGCATCCGAGTTTTGGCGAGAGAGCCGTTCAGAGTACGTTTTCCTTGTTCTATGTTTGTTGGTTTGTATGGATTGGATGGGAATGAATGGGGACGTGTGTGGGTTTGGGGGGCGGATGGGAGGAGGTGGTGGATGGATGTCTGTCTACAAGGAAAGGAAAGAAGGAATAAATCTCGGATTGGAAAGAGTGCGATGACCGCTGACATGCGACTTGGCCAATGCCAACAGCCTTCAAGAACCCCCCGTTCCGAATCTCCGAGGAAGGATGGGGTGAATTCGACTTGCAGATCAACCTGACTGCCGCGGATAAGGATCACATCCTTACGCATGACCTCAACTTTGCTCAAGCTCGTTATGAGTCTAAGCATAATATTGTGAGTTGGTACCTACTCTTCGGATGGAAATCCCATCGTTGGATGAAGAGAAAATGATCTTTATCCCTGATGAAGAATGAAACGACCCCTCCCATCAGACGAAGACAAATACTCATATAATCCGTCTAGACCTTCAAAAACCCCAAGCCCGCTCTTCTATCGCTCCTGCGCGAATCCGGCCCGGTTCCCGGCGACGAGAACGGGGTGAAGTCGAAACGCGCCGCTGCCGGAGAGGAGGGATCGAAGAAGAAGAAGCGGACGGAGAAGATCGTAAGTCTTCTTTTTTTGTCCTTTCCTGATTATTTTGCATTCGAGGTGATGACTCACTAACCGGAACAGGTCGACATGGACAAACTGGCCGATGGCCTCCAACGACTCGGCGAAGATGACCTTCTCCAAGTAGTACAGATGGTGCACGACAACAAGGCCCCAGACTCGTATACCAAGAATGATGTTGAGCGTATGTTCCCCTTCCATCCTTCTCGTTTCTTCCTCCCATCTTCTCCATCTAAAATGAAACCTCGAACTAATATACATCAATATATCCCACAGAGGGAGAATTCCACGTCGATCTTTATACCCTACCGGACACCCTAATTAAGATGCTGTGGGATTTCACGCAGGAGAAGGGCGCGTTGTGAAATTTGAAATCGAAATGGAACCAATCTTACCTAACTTTGAAACTAAAACTTTGAAACTTGAACCGACTTTGTTACTTTGAAATCTTTTTTTGGGGGGGGGATGGAGTCCGATCCACAAATTCAGTTGCTGTTTATTTTCAATCTCGATGTTCTTTTTTTCTACTTTTTTTCTTTGCTGTTGTTGCATTATGGGATGTCCTTATCCTGACCTGACCTATCCTATCCTACTCAACTTTTTCTGAACTACCCTATCCTACCTGATCTATCCTGGCCCATCATATACTGTGCTGTGCTGTGTTATGCCGTGCTTCCCTATCATACCCTCACTACCTACCCACCTACCTACTACTTACCGATCTTCCCGAGTGACTTGATTACTTGCCTGCCCGCCTGCCTATCCATCTATCTGGCTTTGTTTATCTAGTACCAGAGCTAGTGCTAGTGCTAGTGCTAGTGCTGTGCTGTGGCGTGATATAACCTTTGGCTTTTCTTCTGGGGCATGGATTTGTGGATAGGTAGAGAATGGATGGATGAAGGATATGGATGGATGGATGGGTGGATAAAGGGGATGATGGAAGGAAAGATAAATGGAACCGTATATCTAAGCAGTAAAAGAAAAATAATAAGAGTGATCACTTTACTTTAGTTTCCTCTACTTTACTTCACTTCACTTCACTCCACCCCACTCACTTATAGTACTCTGTACCTTACCTAGCTAGTAAGTAGTATTTATTCTCTTCTGTTCTGTTTCATCTTACGTACTTTATTCATTTCTTGATTTATATTGTTTATAAAAAGAAAAGAAGAAAAATTTAACGTCCCTTCTTGGACCAAAACGGACCAGATCAGATCAGACCGGACCAGACCAGACCAGACCAGATCAGACCAGACCAGACCAGACCAGATCAGACCAGACCAGACCAGACCAGACCAGACCAGACCAGACCAGACCATTACCTGAACCAAGCAAGCCTACAAGGAAGGACAAGGGAACCCGATATTTAGAAACAAACCTAGAAATGATAACTTAAAAAGAAATCCAGTTAATTAATTGAATGGCGATAAGACCAGCAACTTGAACTTGAAGATGAACATGAACATTATCAACATAAAAATAAGATAAAATAACATAATATACATATAGCTATAGCTATAGCTATAGCGATCTAGCTATGCACACAACAAGAACAAGAACAAGAACAAAAACAAGAACCAAGAACTTATGTGGATATCTCAAGCTCAAGGTCAAGTAAAGTAATCAACAAACAACCAAACAGACAGATAACAAAAAAACCAAGCAGACAAGCAAGCAAAAATGCTAAGAACCCGAACACCCGTACTGTAGATCCGTCTATATGCATGTGATGGATGTACCTGAACCAACAGAAAAAGAAAAAGTCAAAAGCAAGATAAATGTGATGTATGTCCGGATCGATCGTCTAGGTATGGATGGATGAATGATGAGATGGATGGATGGACGTCAGTGAAGAGTAGGGAGGTAGGTAGGTAGGTAGGTAGATGATGTAGGTTAGAAAACGTGAAAAGACCAGAAAGTCAGGACCCGTGATACGCCCGCTGTGCTGCATTTTGCATGATGATGGATGGATGTGTGGAGAACATGTGATGTCATGGGAAGTGCATGATAAAGAAATGAGAGATGAGATGCGATGAGACGAGACGACATGAGACATGGAGAAATAAAGAGCATGAGGGTATTGTTTAGAGGACGCGGTGGCTGTGGCTTGTGTTAGTGTCTGACGTCCATATTGGGGGTATAGGGGTAAAGGAAGAGAGAGACGTACGATTTCAGCAGATCTTCCAGACTATCGGAGCTACAGCTCCTACCCTTGGGGATCTGTTGCATGATCTCGACGATCGTGGCGAAGACGTCACCGTCCCGGTAAGCCAGCAGGGCGGGGGCTTCGATGTTCTCCATCTCGGCGATCTCGTGATGGAGCTTGATGAAGTGGACGGTAGGCTGACGACGGGCAATGGTGTTGAGACAGTCTTCGATGAGGCTGCTGGTGCTGGACTAAAGGGGGCGGGTTAGTTTAGATTCTTGTTTACGGAGAGGAAGAAGAGGGGTCAGGTCCTACCTCCGGGTCATAGACGCAGACGACCACCACCGTCCCCGACGTGACCTTCTCAATGGCATCGAGGTATCCCACCGCATCCACAACATCGACCGACCCGTACAGCTTCCGACGGGGGCTGGGCTTCCTCAGACTCTTAGCCTGCATTTCCTGCATGCGAGACACGCGCCATTTGCGGAGAAAGCCCTCCTCGTCGTCGCTGGCGGAGGAGCCATCGGGCGGGGAGGAGTTCTGGAGGAGGGTGGCATCGTCGGTGACGGACTTGGAGGAGAAGTGGGAGCGGTCGAGACCGGCGACGCCGAGGAGGGTGCGACGGAAGGAGGTCTTGCGGGCACGCTCGAAGGCCTGCGCGTCGGCGATGACACCCTTGGGGCCAGTGTTGGCGTCGTAGACGGTGTTGGGGATGCGGAAGCTGCTGGGGGTGCGGGAGTGCATGGCCGCCTGGGGGTCTTCGGAATCGGAGAACTGGGGCTGGTCGTCGTCGTGGTCGTCGTCGGTAGAGGAGTGATCAGAGTGGTTGTCACGATCCTCGGGGTGAACAGCGAATTTCTCTCGGTTGCTGTTGAGGATTTGGTTGAACTCGTCTTGGGCAGATGACATTGTGACGGAGGGGGGTGGGGTGGGGCAAGCGGGTTTTAAGCAAGTTGAGAGGACGAGGGTGTATTCTTAGGAATAGTAGGCAGGGCAGGTAGGCAGAAAGCTTGGGTTGATGACTGCGCCTTGATCCGCGTTTAAGGACGGGGTACAGCAAATCTGCTTTTCCTTTTTCCTTTTTTCTTTTTTTTTTTCCGTGAGTAGGAGGATTGGTGGTTGGAGGGGAACGAATGAGAAACGAGGAGGGAGAAGGGGGGGAAGGTTGAAAGTGGTCGTATCCAACGGGTTACGGCAGGGGAGGGCGTCCCATAGGGTGTTAGTGCGAGTTTCAGATTGTTTCTGTAGGAGTCAAGGGAGAGAGAGTTCGAGTTCGAGGGGAGTCGAGGGGATTGGGGAGTGGTGGTGTGGTGAGGAGAGAGAGGGGAGAGAGAGGGGAGAGAGAGAGAGAGAGAGCGAGTGGCGGAGAAGATGAAACAATCTCGGCGAAGGAAGGCACCACGACGATCGGGGCCTTGGGCAGCCCAGCCCGAATAGGGGCGCCGTTTCAGAAATCGGAGATCAGCCCCCGCCCGAAGAACCTGAAGAACCTTCCATCCCATTGCCCATTTTTATTGCCCGGTTGCCCGCAGCTTGTCCATGGTTGATGTCACTGGATGGCTGCAGCAGGAACAGGCACAATAATAATAATGAAACAGACGCATCCAAGGTTGGGTGACATCAAAAGAAATTTGTGAATTTTACCTTTTGCCTTTTGCCTTTTGCCTCTCTCTCTCTCTCTGTCCGTATTTTGTCTGCATTTGCCATTATTATGATTTGTGCCCCCAATAATCCCATCCCGGGCGCCACGTGGGGTCTCGTGACTCTTCCATTGTTTTCGGCTGACTTGTTCGGCTCAGACTATGGATGCAGGATGCAGGATGCAGGATACATGATACATACAGCTGGTGGAGTGGAGTACGTAGGTAGGTCGGTAGGACAATGATGATGACAATTCTGATGATGATGCACATCCGAACAAAGGATGGATGACAACTGTCAGCCTCCCTCCAGTGGATCCTCTGCATCATCACCTGTTTCACCCCCCAACACCAGATATTATTTACCTCCCCTCCCTGAGGAGTATCTACCATTATCTATCTCTGATCTAGGGATGGAGTATCCAAACACCGTATACCCCATGCCCCACGACCCATTTAATATCCATACTCCATACTCCCTACTCCCTACTCCATCAAAGTACCCAAGTACAAGGCTCAACCGTTCATCAGATCCAGACCCTCCCTCCCCTTCTGGTCCACCGTCCGGATCCCCTCCGCGAATTCCGCCCGGTCGGTCGGTGGAGACTCCCTACAAAGAATGACACGTCTTTTTGCCCTGCCTGGGGCCTGGAGGCTGGGGGCCTTTCCAGTGTTCCACTCCAGACCGCCGCCGGGCTACTTTTAGACCCCTTGGACCCATCCATCCATCCATCCATCCATCCGTTCGTTCGTTCGTTTGTTCGTTTGTTGTTCATGGGTCCGCGGGCCGGGCGTGGGCGATGCGGATGGACGTAACAGAGGACAAGACTTCCGTTTCTTGTTTGTTTGTGGTTTATGGTTTAGTGTTTATTGTTTGCTGGGTCTATTTAGGTAACATCATAAGTAATTAGTCCGTGGGTGGGTTGGTTACTTCCTTCCAAGGTACGTACCTAGATATCTTTTATTCTTCTTTAGTGGCTATGTGTCTGTTTGGTGGTCACCGGTAGGTTTTACTATACACTCACTCTCCGCATCAGAAACTACCTACAGTCTACAGTCTACAGTCTACAGTCTACAGTCTACAGTCTACAATCCCAAAGACAAGCACCAATGGGGAACCCATAGGTAGGTAGGTAAGCTAACACGAATCCAATTCCAATTCCAATTGCATATCCATCTTTCCATCCCATCCCACAACACAACCCCCCCAAACCTCCCGCGTGATCAGCCAGTCGACCCGACCCGACCCACCTGCGGACGCAGCAGGTATGCTTAACAGCATACCTACTACCTACCTACCTACCTATCTAGAGAGGCGTTCGCACGGTGCCTATGACCTATGCTGATTGTTGAACGCCAATGGGCCGTAGGTAGGTTGTGGGCCGTAGGTTGGGTTGGATTTGCCTGGTGGTACGAACGAAAGTATCTGCATAGGGAGTAGATAGACAGGTCAGATCAGATCCCCAACCCCCACGCATGCATGGCGTGGCATAATACGTAGGTATACTATAAATAAGACCAGGATTCCCCGAGAGTGAGAGTGAGAGCCCGACCCCGGAGGGGAGGCTGATTGAGAGAGAGAGTGGCACGGGATGTGGGAGTGGGAGGGGAAGGGACATCCCTGTCTGTCTCATTGTCTCGTTGCGTGGTTTTTCATCTATATATCTATATATACTTATACTTGCCTACCTATATCTATATTTACGCCCGGTATAGATATGCACTCAGTATACATGCCTATATGATATAGGAATTAATTAGGTAGATAGACTTTGAACGAGGTAGGTAAGTAGGTAGGCACTTACCCACAGCAGATGAGAAATTGGCGCGAGCGCGTGCCTGATGCGGTGTGAATATGCATGGAGAGAAGAATAAGACTCGGTGAATATGTATGTTTTCAGCATGTATCTGCTATCTCTGGTTGGGGTTGTCTGGTCTTGTCTGGTCTTGTCTGGTCTTGTCTGGTCTTGTCTTGCCTCTTCTACCTGCTTTGAATCAGTTGAGATGACGAATGTGGTACAGACAATGAATCAGATCAGATCAAATCAGAAGTTCCACGCCTTCTACAGTTAAAGTCTACAGTCATGGAAACGAAGCCCCGCGACACGGGGCTGTAGCGTAGCAGCTTACCATGCCCGACGGACAACGTCCATCCGGATCTCGATCGACCTGGTGGTTTGGCGACGCGGCGAGGCCGTGACGCTGCGACTCTACTAACCGTGGTACAACCGGTTGTTTCAGCTCGGGGTGGGTGGTTTGATCCAGTCTACGAAGGCCCTTCTACGTAAGCTACTTCTACGAGGCTACTCGGCCAAGGCAAGTCTTCCACGAAGGATATTTCTCCCCTTCTACGAATCTACTCCCTACGCCATACTACACTCCTCACTCTTAAGAATTGCCGATGTCATTCGTACTAGTACGTACGTAGTGTCTGCCTCAGCTGACGTACACGAGTAAGACTAAGACGTAGCCGTAAACGTGAACGCAGCATGATGTGATGTGAGACGGACTCGACCGACACCAGGCAAAGAAAAAAAAGAAAAAAAAAAAGATTTGCTAGAAAATGGGGGTAGATTTCAACACCAAATCAAGAGATAAAGCCCGCTTGAAAACAACTCAAATGACACAATCAACACTTTCAAGGCGTAGGCTGATGATTAGTAACAGAGGAAGTCAGTCAATAATAGAAAAAGGGAAAAAAAAAAAAAAAAAAAAAAGGAAAACGTCATGGCCTATCCGGAAACATTCCCGCCCTGTCCATCCATCACCCGCAAAAAAAAAGTACACAAGGAGATCGACGCATGAGGGAAAGGGAGGGAAGGGTAATAGGCAAGAATCGGGGGAATGGAATAGGTCGATATATCGAGGCGGGGCGGGGGGAAATTCAGGTAAGGGGGGGAAGAAGATAAAAGAGTTCAAGAAGAAAAGAAGAGGGAAGGGGAGAAATTAAAAAAAGGGCCTGTGACTCTTCAAACCCCAAAGATCACAGGGGAGATGCGTTGCCTCTGGCCCACCAACGCGGCTGACGTCCGTGCAACGAATCCCCGAGGTTTCCAACATCAATCACATTATTACAACCCACCGCACCAGTAGTCGAGCCTTGACGTGTCTTGCCGTCTGCGTTCTTTTTCTTTTTCTTTTCTTTCTTTTCGTTTCGTTTTGCCGTCGCTCACTCGCCTGGGCAGGCGGCGGCTTTTTAGCCCAGTATACTCAGGCACCCTGACTGCCCCGTGTTTTCGCTTCTTGGTGACTTCGCCTGTACTCCGAGATAGTACATTATGGAGAAAGGCGACAAAAAACTGCTCCCCAGTGAAAAGGATTATCGTACAATGGCGGACATTTAACCTAGTGGTGCAGAAAAGAACAGAGAAACTTCGAATGAGGACGTCGCAAAAGACGGAGACAGGGTATCTTTGCTGTTTTTGTTCGTTTTGCTTTTTTACCAGGCCCAGACCTTGAGCTGTACGAGGAGGTGATTAGCACGCTGCGAATTCAGCATGAGAGAGGTGAGGCTTACCAGAGAATCCCAGGATCCCGTGCACAGGCTGATGCCGTCGTTGCTGACTCCCAGACAGCTTACACGGTTCTCGTGGCCGCTCAGAGACCCAACCTTGTCGCCTCGCAAAACATCCCACACCTATGGAACCATCAATCGGCCGTCGGACCAAAAAGCGGGACGATAAATCTTACCTTGCACTCAAAGTCATCATAACCCGCAAACAGCAATCTACCAGAGACAGAGAAAGCCACGGAGGTGATGCCGCACAATATTTGATCGCTCTGCAGGAACTCGTTAGCGTCGGATCGGCACGTGTCGGGGATGTCGGCATTACCTGGTAGGTGTTGAGCTCCCGGTCCGCGCGGATGTCGAAGAGACGGCAGGAAGTGTCATCGGAACCCGTTCCGAAAGCGTTTCCATCGGGGAAGAACTGGATGGCATTGATGTCGGATTCGTGGCCGGAGAAGGTCTGGACCGCCTTGCCGGTACGGATATCCCAGAGCTTGGCGAAGGCATCGCAGGCACCCGAGACGAAGATGTTCTGGTTGGTGGGGTTGATGCTGATGGACATGACGTCGCCGAGGTGGTCCGCAAATTCAGTAACTTTCGAGCCCGATTCGATATCCCACAGCATGCAAGTCATGTCGCCGGACGAGGTGATGATTCTGCGATCGTTGATGAAGCGGCAGCAGGAGAGGTAGCCGGAGTGTCCTGAGAGCTCGCGCGCGACCCGGGTCGGGCCCTCGCGGGACGAGAGGTTGTAGATGGAGCAAATGTTGTCGAGACCACCACAGGCGACGTAGTTTCCGCTCGGGGCGTAGGCGCAGGTCATGACCCACGATGACCTCAGCGGGATCGCATGAACCTTGTTCGTGGTGTAGGCGTCCCAGATGATGAGCTTTCCGTCCTGCGAGGCCGAGACTAGGTGACGGCGGTCGGTCGACCAATGCATGGCGTAGATTTTGGCCAAATGGCCCTTGAGCGTCCGACGGGGCTTCATGCCGATTCGGGGGAGGGTTTCGGTCTGGTTCTGCGCGACTTGACGGACTGTTTGGGGGGGGTGAGGGATAGAGTCAGCAAGCCAGAACGCATGGTCCTGTCGGCAGTGTCCCGCGGCGAGGTCGTGCGGCGAGCAACACGCACGGCCGGCAGCAGGGCGGGCCAGCAGGGCAGGAGGGGAGGGGAAGGCAATTCGTACGGGTAGTGTCGGCCAACTCATCCTTTCTGCGCTTGATCTTGTCCTTGAGGCCTTCAGCTTCGCGCCGGGCCGCGGTGATCTTGGCCTGCATCTGTTCGCCGCTCATATCGGCCATCTTGACGGAACGAGCCCCTGGTGAGGAAGGAGGGGGGGGTCAATGGTGAGACGGGGACGGAGACGGGCGTGAGGAGAGGGGGGAGGGGGGAATTGAATTGACGGCGGCGGCGGCGTCGTGAGATCCAGGGGAGAGGAAAGAACCGTCGCGAGAGGGAGGGGGGGGGAGCGGGAAGAAAGGCAGGGCGGTAGGGGAGAGGAGGAGGAGGAGCAGCAGCAGGAGCAGCAGCAGGAGGGCCAGGAGAGAGGAAGAGGGAGAGGGAGAGAGAACGAGGAGGGGGGTTGATTGGGTGTGGAGCGAGCACGGCGGAAGCGACCGAGCGAGAGAAAGAAAGTTTCGACCCGGAGCAATGGTGAGGTGGTTCGGGCGTTTAAGTCAGCAGCAGCAGGAGCAGTGGCAGGGGGGCAAACTGCTGCACTCTGCAGAGCACGAGGTGGATGGTAAGTAGTAGTGGTAGTAGTGTAGGATGGAGAGTTGGTAAAGGGAGTGTGAGGGAAAAGAGGTCAGTCAGAGAGGGAAAGGGGGACCAAAAATTCCAGCAAATGACCGACGGAGAGAGAACGAGAGACAGACAGAACAGAAAAGAGAAACAGACAGAGAGACAGACAGACAGCAGACAGCAGACAGCAGCAGCAACAGCAACAGTAGCAGCAACAGCAGCAGCAGCAGCAGTCGAAGTAACTCCGTAATAGCAAGTTCGTCGCGGCGCGCCAATAATAATGATGTATGGCCTCACCCGACTAAGACGTGCCTTTGCCTATCGGGGCTCAGATGGCTGCTGCTAGGCGCGGCCGTACCGACTCACTACTACGACTACCCAAGGGGATGATGGGATGAGATGGAGGGACAGATAGGGATGTGGTCGCTGCTTCTTCTACTTCTTCTACCTTCTGCTTCTTTTCCTTCTTTTCCTTCTTCTTCATCTTCTCCAGGATCCCTTCCATCGTGATAATGAACCGGTTAGGGGCCACTGGAAAAGAGGATCGGAGAGTCCATTTCGATCTCCTCGAAAGCCTTAGCCGGAGCCTCCTGAGGAAAAGTCCCCGTACGGTACGGTACTGCCCGTGTCGGCCCCGTACGGTCAGGTACATACGAGGGTCGCAATACGGGGACTCAGCCCAGACAGGTTAGGGGCCCCTTCCTGCATCATTCACCAGAGATGGTGTGGCTCTCCTGGTTGGTCAGTCCCCGGCCTGCAGGTCTGGACGGGTAAATTAAAGCCAACCTCATCTCTCGTATTCTCGATTCCGGTACGGGATACATTACCCAGGGGGGAGAGGATAACTAGTACTAGTTATCCCAGGTGAACCTGGTTAAGGGGAGCAGGAGGAGGAGACCAGGAGGACCGGCGACCAGTCTAGTACGAAGTACCAGTGCCCACTGCCCAGGTAGGCAAGTACTCCGCCTGAGTCCCGAGTCCCATGGAGTCGACTAGCTAAGGGGTACACCCTGGTAAGCTCGGTGGAGTTTGCCCGCTTGCGTCTCCTGGTTGGCCCGTGGGCTAGACTGCCCGGCCAAAAGGGGATGGAGAAATCCATCGATTATTACTATTCTTCCGGTTCCCCCCTGCCAGCGGTCCAGTCAGTTCTTCTAGTATCAACCGCTTGTGCGGTTGATAGAACCTTCACGGAAGGTTCACGTCGCACAGGGTTCACAAGCCATTAGTATGATTAGTAGTATGGAGTATGGAGTAGTACATCCGTTCTGACATTTAACTCCCTCCCTCCCATCATCCCCAGACCTCCCTACGGAGTACATGTTAGCCTCTCAGTTCTCCCGGGTGGCACGTATCATACCCGATACAGGTATCTAATACGCAATACGCAAGTCGCAGTCGCAATCCTGCCTCGTCCGTTCAACTTAAGCCTCGCACGAGTCAAGGGCCCTTCCCGAGGATTAACCCGGCAGAGAGAGAGAGAGAGAGAGGGAGGAGAAATGTTTGGATTGCAGATCATGGTCATAGCTACCCAGGACCTAGGGAGAATGGAGATAGATAGATAACGTTGACCCTCCTGTCGTCTGCACAGAATTGCAAATCCAGGTCCCGATGCCAGATTGGGGGATACTCCGTCCGGCATCCAGGGGCTCGCGGCTTCTGCAGGTGGACTTTCATGGGGTAGTTAGATAGATACTTAGTATCTACACTACAACTTACTACGGAGTTACCCACGCACTATTCCAGAAAACTTGCCGCAGAAAACGTCTAATACTGCCTGGGTAAGGGATTATTATTATTTCCCTAGTACCTAAGTAGTCATATTGTTCGGTACTCCCGGTACAGGACCGGTTGTAACGTGTCTACCTTGCAAGGCAGAGAGATCAGATCAGGTTGGATGACGACGGTTGGAATGAACGTGCAATGCAACGCAACCCAGTGGAAGATCGTAGAAGCAGAACTGATAGATAATCAAGATGCAACCTCAGCCTGTATTTCCTCGTGCCGGTTCAATGAGCCAAACAAGTAAGTAAGCGGGGATAAATTATCATGATGATGATGATGTTAGCTGGCTGGGGCGGCCGATGCAAGTCAGAGGCACTCTTTCCGGCGTGGCTGACGGAAGTATCACTGAATGGCTTACTCGACGGACTGGCCCAGGCATTATTATGTACCTACGTATTGATCATTATCTTTTTTTCATTTTCATTGTCTTTCAGCGGCAGCCAACAATCCTATTTTCTATACTCCGTAATAATAGTAGATAGTAATAATACAACTAATTTTTCCCCCTGCTACCGGACCTTTTCCGAAACCGACAGCTCGGGATGTTTTCAATAGTTCAGTTCTTTTTGTTGTGTGCATGCCTGCCTGCCAGCCAGCCAACGCTTGACTTGAGCCGAAAACGCGCCCTACTGGTTGTTTAATTTGGAGCGTTGGCATACGTCAGTTTCCAGAATCTTACGGCGGCCTGCAAGCTAAAAGATTCCTGCCCTCTCCCATTGTACGGCGGAAACTCGGAGCAGGCCATCTTTAAGCCTCAAGCTGCAGGCAGGCAGGCAGGCAGGCAGGCAGGCAGGCAGTCTGTCTGTCGTAGAAAATGAGACGATGCCTCGGCAGTCGGTCCAACTCTTCCCGGCGACTCGATAATGGGGCAAAACTGGCAGTTGCAGCTGTTGGGATTTGCAGACGGGCGATGGTCAGTGAGCGCAGCCAGCGGGCGGGTCTGCCCTCCCGAAGGGAAATTGGCCAGCACTCCGTAGCCACAATCCGATATCTCAGACTGCAGTTTGCAGTCAGGAGGTCATTACAACTAAGTATGTACGTATGGGGCAGGTATGGGGCAGGTGTAATAATCGCAGCGTTCTGTATCGATCAGTCTCCTACTCCGTAATTGCGTCTCCTGCACCTGGAGAAACTAAGTAGAAAGGGCGCTCCACCGAGTGGGAGGATCGCTTCAAACCGTGCCTGACTAGCCCATCGGAAAGCCCCTCTCGGGCCCTCTCTTCGGATGGTCATTTCTTCCAGTTCCCATCGCGCTGATTAATCTCGCCGGATGGAGCCGCCGCTCTCGTAATCCATCCCGTAAGTAGCTTATTATTAATGGCTGTCCCGTGTCATTGATTGCTCTATTGAGATGGAGTGATAGATAGTCTTGACTCTGGAAAGTAGATCTGAATAAAATAAAGGGATGTGGATATGGATACAGTTGTGTTTGCTTATTCTGATCCGAGGAACGTGTAGTCGTCGAATCTTTGTTTACCAACCACAGTCCACTCCGTAGCATCATCCCATGTCAACCACCACCCATGTAAACCTTTTATCTATATTTATCCCGACGCACCACGGTATAATGCCAGTCTTTCATCTTTCAATCTATAACTACCCTCCTTGTCATTGGCAGACGGAAGCCATCTGGAATCCCAGACATAAGCCAGACCATGCACCGAACCAGGCTGAGTCTGGTTTGAGATTGCCCATTGGCTGCGGGTTAAAGACGCCACCGTTGACGCTGCAGCTGCGCTATCGCCAATCCGCGCTGGCTATGATACTGCCTCATGTCGAGGCATGGGGCCATGCGGAGGCTAAGTACATGATGCACGCCGACATCCCCTCCGGTGGGAGGATTGATTGATCGATTGATTGATTACGATCATGGTCCAATCTTACAGCTTACATGGGTACAGAGACCGCTAGCCACTACTGCAGGACCCGGGTTGGGTGCGGCGGAGGGACTAGGTGTGATCAGGCTGTCTGCGGCGTTCATAGGTAGATACCATGGATATAGATGGCAAAGTAATCTGGGCAAGGCTGCTAGGATCGTGTGTAGAGATTAATGGACTGGCAGGATGGGTTCCCCACATATCATGTACCTTGTTGCTTGTCCCTTTGTCTGGAGATGTCAGACATAGCCGCTGGGCAGTCGGCATCGTGTCCGGTTGGGAGCCAACATGGCCGCCGTCAACTTAGGGAATCAGCTGAAACAGACCCTCATGCTAACCCTCCCTTCCAGAAGCACGTTGCGCTTAAGCATTCTATATATAGCATGTCAAACCGGGTTGGCATGGCCATGATGGGCTTGAAACGTGTTGATGAACCGGGACCCTGCGCCGTCCGGGGATGCCACGGCTTCTTAGTAGTTCTCAGCACCTTGAACCAGCATGATGCATGCGAGTGTATCTGGAGGTGATTCGCGGGGAACGGCACTGGCGTGTTCGTGGGCGGTTAACTCAGGCTCCCCGTCGGCGGCGGTTCGCGCCTAGAGATGCCTTGTTTCTAATCATAGAATGTGACCGACCGTCTGTGCGGCTGGACATGAGGGGTAAGTAAGCAGGATGGCTGTCGTTACCGGTTGCCGAGCGATGAGGAATCACGCTTCTTCTACGGGATGAGGGGTTGTTGCAACTTGCAGGCGCTGGTTGGTCCTGCCCGAGCAGGGATGCCAGCATCGAATGTGACGACCGGCCGCAAGTCTAAATATATCCCTCATGTTGACGACTTAGCATTTGAAACCCCACGTCGGGGTTGATACATCGGGTTTTACTCTTAAAACGTTTTTGATCCGTGTTATCTTGGTTCCCCGCAGAAGTACCAGTTGATGTCCTTCCAACCGGCGAATCAGGCCGACCAAGAGGAAGAGCGCATGTACCTATATGGGAGCCGGCAGAGAGAGGGATCATCGTCGATACACCGAATCCAGCAGGATCAGAGGATCGGGATCAGGTCGCACGGTGCTCTCTCCCTGGTAATTTCCCCTGAAGACTAGCCCGCAGGACAGAGGAGGGACATATCAGGGACATAGTATCGTTGTCGTACCACCGTCCAAGGGACCCATGACCGAGGCATCGAGCGAGACCATCGAACATTTCAATATTCTTAACCCCTTCAGTCGTACTATGGATGTAGAAGGACCCCGGTGGGTTCTCGGGCTGGTCATTGCTCCTGGATCTACGCAGGACTCCGCTCGTTCAGGTAAATGGGGACCGGTCGAGCAGCCGACCATGCGCGCAACCATGGGGGGTGGTTCAACGTCGACGACTCCTGATGGCGGTGGGCGACGAGGGCGATAGATATCACCAGGAGGGAGGGGGGAGGGGAAGGGGGGAAATTGTAGCCAAGTGACCATGTAGATCTGCTGCAGGCATGAGAGGAGAGGAGAGGGGGGGGGGGGGGGAGAAGGTCATGTTGTCGGATGCCAAATTCGGTGGCGAGCCCCGAGCGGGCGAGGAACTCCTCACCGGGAAGGAAGGGAGTGTTGCACGCCTAGAGAATGAGGGTGCCGAAGAGTCGCCAAACCGGCCAGGAATATTGGCAGAACAGAAGGACCGGGCGACTCCGTGTCAGAGCGCCGTCTGATAGTTTATAATTTCCGGGACAAGATGAGAGCAAGCCCAGGGGATCCCATTTTTAGACAAGCCGGCAGAAGAGAGGCGAAGGCGAAGAAGAAAGAAAGGGTGGTGGCGGGCCAAAACCAAAAAGCCCGGAGGAGGAAACCGCCTGACACGGCGACGCTCTCAGGCTCAGTCGCTCTCCGCTTTCGCTTTTCCAGTCCTTCCCTCCTCTCCTCTCCTCTCCTCTCCTTTCGAGTCTCAACACCAACAACGAACAACCAACACCATCCCACCCTCCCACCCATCATTCATCCCTCGACGCTATCCTCCACCCTCCACCCTCCACCTGGTCCTGTTTGTGTTATCCGCCTGGAATCGTCAGTCTTTAACCCACGGTCTTTTTCTTGTCTGCCTGCCCCGGCCCGAGGGCTCGCTTCCTTCCCGTCGTGATTCATCTGGCCGCCAGGCTCTGACGGACTGGGTCTTGGCCTGAACAATCCTCCTCTCTCGCCCCTGTCAACGCCCGCTCGTCCATCGTTCTGCATCCTCCTTCATCCCCAACCCCATCGCCTCGAAGGTTCCCTCGTTGACCTTGTACTTCATGACTTGGATATAATCGCCTCGATCGCTCCTCGGACTCGCCTCCTTTCCACCCCCCCGTTCCCCGTTTCGTCTCACGTTCCCACCGTCGGATTTATCACCCATCTCACCCATCGAGGTTTCATCGTCCTAGTCTTGTTTCCGACCGATATTCACACCAGATCAGATTCTTCACCTCTCGCCCACCATGCGGGAGGTCAACTTTAGCATTCCGAATGTCAACAAGGCCTCTGTCAATATCACAACCACGCTGTACGACCGGCGTGCCTTGGACTGCACATCGACGCTCCCGCTCATCAATTCGCTCAACCACCTGGCCTACCTCACCACATCCTCAGCCCGCATCCGCGACATCCTCACCGTCGATGGCGGCATCGAACGGCTGGTATGCATCCTCAAGGAGGGCCGCAGTCGGGATCTGATGGAGATGTGGAAGTGGAGTCTGGCCTTCCAATGCGTTGTCAACATCGGTGTGCGGGGCTCGGAGGGCGTCAGAACTCGCGTCGTCGAGGCCGATATGGTGCCGGTGATTGCGACCATCCTGGATAACTATATCAAGGTCGTCGAGAGTGCCCGTTCCCGGGCGATTCAGGATTCAGAGAAGCATTCGTCCCGAAGTGCCCCCAGCCTGAACGACGCCACCACGAGCGCCCCCCTTAGCACGGTCGCCGCCAACGATGCCCCTGTGCGCCCGGTCTACGTGGATCAATCGACCAACACTGAACAACGTCCTTCTCGCCGCCAGGCCCCCCCTCCTCACATCGAAATCCCCCCCTTCTATCAAGACACCACTGCCTCCGACTCGAATGCCATGGATGTGACGTCGTCCCCCCGGGCGCCCATGACTTCTCCCCCGGAGCGAAGCACTTTCACACAGGATGTACACCCTCACAGATCCAACGATGCCCGCTACGCCCATGCTAGCCACCGCCACAGAGCAATGCAACCCCTTGCGACCGCCCTCCCGCCGATGGATACTGCCGATGGCTTCGGTCTGCGCCCGGTGCGCGACACGGAGCGACTTCCCAGCATGCTGCCGGGCTTCCACAACGGCCTGGCGTCGCAGCCCGACTCCCCCACCACCCCCAGCGGCCCGGCGCAGCTGCGCAGCAACGCTCAGGCCACGCTGGCCCGGTCACGGCCCACCTTGAGGCAGCAGCAATCCGCCTCGGGCGAGTCGGATGACGGCAATGGTGAAGGCTCAACAATAGGTGACGAGGCGGTCTCGGGCGCGGCAGGTGAGCCAATCATCGGCATTCAGAACCGGATGGAGATCGAAGATGTCGGTGCCCGGCAGACCGTGCTGGAAGGAGTCTCTAACACCCACGACCTGACCGTCAATGACACGTCTGAAGGCCAAGACGTCGAGACGTTCAACATCACGCACCACTCCACCGTCGACGGCAGCATGATCAACAACGACACCACGGGCACGAACGGGGCTTTAGGCTTGTCGCCCACGCAGGCCACCAACAATGCCAATTCACCCGCGGTAGTCCCCAGCCCATACTCCCTGTACGTGCGCGACCGTTCGACGACGGTAGCCCAAGGCGTCCTGACGACGATGCCGCGTGACGAGGACGTGCTCATGTCGCTCCAGCTCCTGGCGTATGTGTCCAAGTATTGCGATCTTCGGTCCTACTTCCAGCACTCCCACCTCGTGCCCAAGCTCAAGGTCGACCGGGAACTCCAGATGATCGAAGATGGGGCGTCGCCGATCGAGCCTGCCGAGGAGGAAGACGAGTACCTCCTGCCAGACGACGTCAACATCTTCCCGCTGGTGGAGAAGTTCACGGTGCGCCACCACTCCAAGGACATGCAGTACTGGGCATGTGTGGTGATGCGCAACCTCTGCCGTAAGGACGAGTCGCGCGGGGGCATCCGGCAGTGCGCGTACTACAAGTGTGGCAAGTGGGAGGAGTTCCAGCGGCAGTTCGCCAAGTGCCGGCGGTGCCGTCGCACCAAGTACTGCAGCAAAGATTGCCAGAAGGCAGCGTGGGTGTACCATCGCCACTGGTGCCACACCACGCCATGATATGAACGCATGAACTGTTTAATACCTATAATGCATATCGGCTTGCATAGCGTCGTATCCGTCATCTGATACCATTTCATCCATTCCATTCGATTCGATTTCGTTCCGAGGGTTCCACGTCTACCCGTGCATGGCATTTCAAAACCTGGCGGCGTTGCTCTTCATCCCAAAGATACCTCTTGTATGCCGTCGATTCTGCGATCCTTGTCTGATTTATCTGCTTCATCAGTGTTTCATTACGCGAGGCTCGAAGCCTGCTTTTACCCCATATGGATTTATTCTAGCGGTCATGAATTTGTTTCTTGTCATCTTCCCCCCCCTTACCCTTACCCTTACCACTTTAACACATATTGCCGCCCCAGTCCGTGTCCGACGCCCGACGATTTTCCTTTGTCCGTGGCTATCTAGCATTGAGATCCACCACCCTTACAATCTTTGGAGCGATTTCTTTGGGCTTTGTTTGTTTCTGGACCGTGTATGACTGGCCGGTCATGTTTGGGTGCATGCTTGGACCGAACCTGTGCATATCATTTTGGCCTCTTTGGAAGGGCTTTTGAATCTATGTTCGGAGTTCTGTACAGGAGTTGTAGATGTAGAGTAACCAACCCACCCTCACTGTAATGCCCCTATCTTTTTTTTTTTTTTTTTTTTGGAGAAATCACTCAATCCTTCCGAAAGCTATACGTCGCATTCAACCGCGCCATCAAATGCTCATGCGCCGTGATTGTCCTCCCCTCGCCCAACCTCCCCGCGCCGCCCCCAAACCCCACCCCATCCCCTCCGCCTCCGACCCCCTTCTCATGATACTCCTCCACCACCCGACTCGGCACCGGCACCAACTCCGTGCGATCCATCGGATGGCAGAAAAACGCAATACTGTACCGATCCTGCGGGTTGGGGACCCGCTGCTCCGAGAGCGGGAACACCACCCGGTGCACGGTACTTTTGAGGAGCCCGTTGGTCCAGTAGCTTAGTAGGTCGCCGATGTTGATGAGGATGGGGGGGAAGGGGTATTCTTCTTCTTTTTCGTTATCTTTTTCTATTTCTTCTCCCGAGTTGGAGTTGGAGTTGTTGTTGTTGGACTTGGTCACTGGGATAACAGGCACGGACGCCCATTCCTGCTTCTCCTGGGCTGTAACAGACGAAGGAGGCAAGATCTCCAACCCGGGCTGGCCCGGCCGCTGGAACAGCAACGTGATGGATCCGTAATCGGAGTGGGCGCCGGCGCGGACGTCGACGTCGTGCTTGTAGCTGGAGGTTTCGGGCGCGCTGATCGAGGGGTAGTACAGGTAGCGCAGGATGCTCCCTGTTGGGCCGCGGGTGGGGTCGTGGCGGGTGGTGAAGAAGTCGGGGGGGATCTGGATGATGGTATATTATATTAGATTGGGGTTGAGGTTGGGAGCCTGAGGGGGAGGATAAGTTGTTGAGGGTTAGTTATGAGGGGACATACACCAAGCCCCAAAGCCAAGAGGGTCAGGATCCGCGAACAGGTCTTGTTGCAGAGGGAGGCGAAGTGGGCGATTTCGGCTTCGTGGGGGGTCAGAGAGGCTGGGAGGGGCTGTTGGGCTTTGTTGGTGGGGAGGAATTCGCCGAAGTTGAAGGCTCTTTCAGTTTTGTTTGAGTTAGTTATATATTATATGATGGGGTGGGTGGGTGGGTGGGTGGGGTACTCTTTGAAATCTCCAGTCTGTATGCAGTGTTAGTTCATATACGCATCATATATGGATGGCATCTATCTGGGTTTGATAGTTTGATAGACAGAAAACTCACCCGCTGATGCTCCGGATCCAGCGTCTCGGAATGCATGCCTGACCAGCCGCGGTTCTGTTCATTTAGTTCGGTTTAGTTAGCAGCCATTCATTCACTCGTCACTTATTCACTCATCCCCTCATCCACTTTAACATGGGTAAAGATTGATTTATGGTATGGTAGGGTATACACACATTCGGCTCAATCCGACACTTCTCCTTCTCCTCCACCGGGGAAGCAAAGAACGTCTTCGACTGTCCAACAGCAACATATTAGCACAATCGCAACCCGTTTATCAAAGGGGTGTAAACCCACCAGCTCAAACGCCCGGTCCACCTCCTCGGCCGTGAAATCCGTCCCCCGACTATCCACATACAAGAAGCCGTACGTGGCGGCCGCGTCCAGCAGGGCCTTCCCCGTCGCGGGATCGAGGGGGTTAGAGATGTCCAGCACGGGGAGGGTGATGGGGGGGAGGGAATCCGCCATTTTTTTTTCTCTCTTCTTCTTCTTCTTCTTCTTCTTCTTCTCTTTATCGGGTGGATTTACTGAGAATGAGGGAGTGCTGAACAGCTCGTTAAGTGGGTAGGTGGGTGCAGTGGTTGCAGTTGGGGGGTGGGGGTGGAGGGGAGGTAGGATATAAATGTTAGGGTCGGATGCGGGACCGGCCGATGTCTATCCGTATCCGTATCAGTTCGATACTCGATGCCGATGGCTTGGATTGGATCTGGAACCTAATGAATGATAATGATAATGATAATGATAATGGGGCTCGTACGACTGGCTGGGTTGGTCGGTTGGTCCACATGGGCCCTTGGCTATCGGCTATCCATCGAATCGGCTATTGACCGGGGGGGTGACTAATAGATTGACTGTCTGAGTGTGAGTGTGAGTGTGATGTTTTGCATAGGCTGGCTATCTTATGTGCGTCAGACGAGATACTACTTACCTATGTAGTATTCTGCCTTGGCGGGTTAGAGTTCTTGAAAGCTGGGGAAGGAGAGTTCGGAATCCCGGAATGGCGGGAATTGGATGGAAAGTATAAAACCAGGTAATAATCTAGGATAAATCGGTATAAAAACCAAACAATCAACATCCCATCTCCAACTCCACACACTTTCCCCCCCCCCGGCTGGACAATTACTATAACGCCCGCAAATACAACATAATCCCTTAATCCGATCTCCTCCATACATATCCCCAGACAGGATGCTACAATAACCATCCATATGCGGGGTATACCCCGCGTACTCAGAATGTCCGACGAAAAGGCGATAATCTTATTAGAAATCGGGGTTGGGCCGATTCATTTCTCGCTGGGGGATGTCCATGCCCTAATCGACTGGGTGTTATAGGAAATGCTAGCAGGGTTGAGGCTGCATTACCTACGGTAGGGGTAGGTCACAGCAAGACAGGAAGCATTGATCTTCCCGATAACTTAAGACTACGGATCGTTGATGGTGATCTAACACGAATAAGAACTATTGGCTGATATAAGTTAATTCATGGTCTAGATAGTAGCAGTAATTGGACTTGTTATATCTGTTACTGACTGTGAAGGGCCTGAGTATCATGTCTATGTCTATATATTATGGATCCTAATTGCCATATACTTATTCACTACCAACACCCTCTGGTTTTATCCCCACGCCGGACCGATTGTATATAAGCTGGCAGATTTGATCAATCCTAGTTAATTGGGGTAGCGATGCAGCAGAGTCAGAATTTCCCCAAGTTAGCGTGAAGTATCAAACGATGCTAAACTGCATCCAAGGTGCAATGATTTCTTCTGATAATCCAGGTTTCAAGTACGACCGATTGCGCGTACGTACGACTGACTATAACCGGGATACCGTCCGCCAAAGTATTGCGCTTGATTGAGGACATGGACTTGGAAGGGTAGAACAGCCGGAGACTAGCGTTCCTCTGAGGCGAAAGATCTGTATAAAAGGGTCCGTTGGATCTTATCCAGTATTTCGTGGACAAATATACCAAACACACGGTCAAGATGATCATGTCCATTGTGGACGAAAGGGTAATGCGTGCATGTAATTTCAGGGATGACACAATGGAAGCAAGTCAGCCCGAAGGTAAAACCGTGTGTTTTTCGATGTTATCATCTCGGGAGATTCTGCGTGAGCCAAAAATAAAGTAGTGTGTAGTGTATCTAGTCGAATTCTGGGCGACAGTTGACAGTGGGAGCTTGGCGACTCTCTTGCTGAAAGAAGAGACTTGGCAGGAGGTAGTTACATATTTCCACATCTGACCAGTCCTGCTGTGATTGATTGATTGTTGTCGAGTTGTGTTTGAAGAAGGTCGGGGATGTCGTTGTCGTATTGTTTTAAAATGTTTTTATAGACCTAGATGTACTCTTGATGAATCCAGTCCCGTGCTTGTCTTTTCCAATGATGCGCTATGCGACGCTCTGGATAATCATCCGTGTCTGTAGTTGGTTCATTAAACGACGAGTGGCAGGTCGTGTAGGACCAGGCTTCTTGCTCGTACTCGACAACATCTGTAAGAACAAAGCTAAGATCTGTCAATCAGCCGGTTATATAGGTTCAGCAGAGCCCAGAGAATCTCCTTTAATAAAACAGTATGCCAGCAACGCAGGAACAAGCAGAAACAGAAGAACAGGAAACAAATGCATTGGTTTTTAAGACGGACGTCCCGTCCGAAGGCATACTGTTAATGTAATTCAATTCAATTCAATAAAAGCAATTTGATGAAACCGATTAAAGCAATGCAGTTTAAATAAGACTGTTCAGTATGGCGACGCGCTCGCGTAGAGTGTTGATGTTCTTAGGAATTCCGTTGTAAGAGCCTAGGTATAGGCGACCAATATATAGAGGAACAGATCGCGTGGAATAATATTATATGACACGCGTGTATTTATCAATAATGTTTTTGATACAAGTCCGTGATCACAGGTATCCGCCCTGACAGTATCAAGCTCGGGATCATCGTAGCTCTTAATAAGATTAAGTATATCGACAATAACATTCTTAGTTAAGCGCCAGATGTCGGTGACTAGTTCTTTGTAGTCATCATCGGGGATGTTCAGGAGTCGCGTCATCTTGAATGCGGACGATGAGGTGTAGAGGGCGAAATATAAGTGATCGAGGGAAAAAAGATGTGTAGTAATAATTACGATAAGATGCGAGATGAGAGATAAAATGAATTGAGGTGAAGGATAGGATGAGGTGAAGATAAAATAAAATAAAAGACAAGGTAAGATAAAATGAGATGAGGTAGAGATAAAATAAAATAAAAGATAAGGTGAGATGAAATAAAATAAAAGATGAGATGAGAGTTATGCCACTTTATTTTCAGCATCGAGGTCGACAGATAGGCCAGCAGTAGTAATATATTATTTATACTATTCAGTAATCAACTCAGGTGCGTTGACATTGCGAGCAGAAACCCACCAGTCATCCTCAGGATCATAATTATCCCGTCAAATAAGATACTTGAAAGTGTATTATTTTGCTCTGCCACGCTTCATTATACGCTTCTTTAATATAAACTTGATTTCGTAGCGGTCAGTGTTATCGGGATACTGCTCATCAACAACCGGGGGCGGTTTAGATAAAGCACGGTTGTAGGGATCAGCTTCACGATTGCTAGGAGCGGGTTCGAGCTGGGCTATCAATATAACATCATGTACCTTCCACTTGTCCAGTAGTTTCAACTTATATACTAGGCGACCAACACGTTCAAGGACGGGGAACGGGCCGGTATACTGTTGATTCAACTTATTCTTTATGATTTTAAGGCCTGTGCCCGACATTGGCAAGTTGTAACCATGATGTAGTCGTAGATAGACATTGTCACCGACATTGAATAACATTTCAATATGATTGTGGTCGTAAGTACACTTCATATAGATAGCAGCGAACTTCAATGCTTCATCTGCGTCAAGCCGAGCGCTGAAAGTTTGATGTTCAGGTTGATCAATATCGCGACGTCTGAAAAGCCACACGAAGCAACGGAAAAGAGTGGGTTGATTCCGGTGGGAGGGGCCAGGAATCGCGGCGTCCAAGTAGGGAGGTGCGGTCACCGCCAACATCTTTTAGGAATCAACCGGTAGGAAGACAAATTCGACGGCAAGACGTTCCGAATGCAGCGAGTAGCAAAGAAATCATTGCATCCCAAGGGCCTAGGCGCATGTAAGAGATCTGGGAAGAAAATCGCGTCTCTCTGGCCATACTAGTCCTATCTTCGCATGCCGCACCACACCATTCCTAATACCGAGGCAGGTGCAGCATTAGATCATCCCAATATAACTCAACAACTCACAGAAAATAGAAAGATGAGCCGGCCAAGGTTATTGACGTAGGCATTTAGATGTCACCACTCAGTGCACCCGAATCATTTCCAGAATGTCGTCACTCCGGTCAGCCGTCTCCCGAAGGAGCGTCCCCCGTAGCGAGTCTGAGAAGCGTGCGATCGAATGCAGCAGAGATTCTGACTAGGGGGGGTCCCCATTAGACGTCGCATAGAGCTCTTCGACTGTTATATCGGACTGTTGGCGGCTGCGTAGAAGACAGTGCGCTTTGCCACTGGCGTGCTGTCGCATTAATGTGTTGAACACAATATAGTAGAGTGTCCGTCTTGATATTTGCGAAGATGCTTGATAGAGTCCGTGAGACGAACAGAACAACTCGGCTGAAGTACAGTGAGAGCCCTGAAATTCCACCCACACACCGTCCTTGTGGAATTCCTTGGAACCGAATGGAATGCTCTCATGTTGCTTGCAATCACCCCGGCAGTGGAAAAGTCCCCATCTGGCAGATAGCCCACGAAGAACAGCAACATCTGTTCGAATTCGTTGGGTAGCAGTTCCAATCGTAGGAATCAACTGATGCGAGGTCCTGGGAGGCCATAACTGAGTCCAGGCATAGGTAAGTTGAGTGACAAGGACGTCTTGTAGTCATATTGGGCTCATATTGTTTGATGCGGCCGAACAGGGCCATACGGCACTAGAGATTCTGCTCATGCGTCATCCATGAAGATCCTTCGTCTCTTCCGCCTCATCAACTTGAACTTGAACAGGGTATATTCACACGTGCCGTAGAGATAAGCCTGTTCCCTCCCGTGCACCCGTCCTCAGTGATACTTGCGCCAATAGTGTATCAAAGCTTTCTATGATTCGGCGAGGTTGATAACGGACAGGGGCGTTGAAACTCTCTAGGGACATACCGTCCACAATGACATGGGCATTTTCGACAATTCAGTCTGCTAGAAACAGGCCGCTGGAACTTTTAGCGATAGGGACCTTTGCAAGTTGCATAACTGCTGAGCTGCTACATATTGTAAATTGCTGTGGCAACAATTAGTAGGACGTGTGTTGTTGCGGAAACCTTCTATTCCTTTTCATCATCCACTTCGAAACCGATAATAGTGGAGTATCCGTTAATCTGCCAACTCCGATACTGAAGTGTATGCAGAGTCACAATCCAGATGACGCACGGACATATAGAGCCCCCATAAACCCCCAGAAGGAGAGTCAAGATGCCTGATTGCACCCCATGACACCATAATCGCCAGATCTGCATCTCTGTGCGTGCTGGCCTCAGTAGGTTCAAGTAGCAGTATCGAGTACGGGCAGATTGTGTTCATGCGAAGGTAGACCTGTCCCTCTGAGATAGGCACCTCTGTTTTTCTTATCTTCACCACTGATGATAAAGGTTCCCCTTTGCAACTTGGCAGGAATATTCCATAAAGTATGAGAGCTTTGCTTCAGAGCCCTGTCTATATCAGATATACGATGGCTGCACGAGCTTAGCTGACTGGTGTTTCTCAGCCTCTTCAACTTTCGCCAGCTGTTCGCTTGTTCTGTTCGGTTGTTTTTCCAGAGTTGAATATTTGGCAGCGCGATTCCACGTGCGCCGTATGTCAAGGTTCTTTGAGTCTGCAATAACCTTGACTATCTCCCAGTTGTCCTTTCGTGCCGTGTCCATGGTAGTGGTAGGGTTAGTACGGACGATCAATATAGAGTTGCGGACGACATCCACCGGCTGTATGACTGGTGACTGATACCGGACAGCCCCGAGCCCCGAGGCTTCGGTATAATCTTGGATACCTTTGAGGAGTAGGGAGACATTCCTCGAGCTTCCCAAACAAACTTGTGTGATGGATAAACGATGCCGGAGGAAGGAATATATAGTCATCGGCATTTGGGAATATACCATCTTATAGGTAAGCTTAGAACGCCTACTGTCTTTTCTTGTCTGCTGTAGGTAGATAGAGACTATAGTACTGTCCTCAGTGGAAATGGTAAGTGGTAGCGATATATATCAACTGTAGTAGTGATAGCCAAAAGAAATAGTATATGAAACTGCTACAGTCATCAGCAATGGACACATCACAGGAATGAAGAATGAAGATAGAGAAGAGGGAGGAAGAGAGAGAGTATCATCCAGGGAAAAAGCATGTTTAAATGTCCATTTACTAGCAATTGTATTGAATGAAGGCAGTGCTGATGAATTGATTGTTCCTTTCACCATAAGGCCTGTTAATGTTGTCGCCATGTATCTGTGAAACGAAAGTATGAATCTGTTTTTGAATAATTCACTGCACTACTGATAAAACAGTCAGAGTAGATGCAACCGAAATGATGAACGATGGACAAAGAGAAGAAAAGAAGTTCCCCAGATGGAGATAGATAAAGATGTAGTACTGCCTCAGGCAGCAACCAACCACGATTGGCAACGATCAAACAAACACAACACGCCAAGGCCTGCCCGCACTATACCCGAACGGGGAGGCAATACTGCTGTCTGTCTGTCTGGCTCCTTCACATGGCAATCAACAATCAACAATCAACAATCAACAATCAACAATCGACAGTCGCATACAAGAACACCACCACCACCACCACCACTCAACAACCCACCAATCTATACCTCCATCCAACTTTCCCTACCACCAGAACCCAATCCACTCAAGCCCCATCGAAACTCACCCCAAAATGTCCGAAGAATCCCCCCTCGCAACAATCACCGACTCCGTGACAGCCCCGACAACATCCACCCAGGTGCGTCTCCCCTCCCCTCCCCTCCCCCTCGTTCTCTATACAAAAATACCATCCCAACCCAACCCCTCAGCATCCCTATCCCCACCCCCCCCCAACCAACGAAACCACACACAACTAATACTAACGCAACACCCCACCTATATGAAGTATAGACCCCCGACCCCCAAAACCAATTCACCGCGGCCGTAGACGACCTCCTCGACCAACTGCAACACAAGTTCGACGGCGTCTCGCGCGAGATGTTTGGGAAGTGTGCGTCTTTCTTTCTTCACCTATCCCTGCCCGTCCCTGCCCATCCCATCGCTATCCATCCCTACCCTCTCTCCATCCATACCCGCCCCCCCTTCTCTCTCTCTCTCTCGCGCGCGCATACTATATATCCCACATACTGCAACCTACATACCCCCGCCCGACAGAACAACCAAGACCAAGCACATACGGGCCGAGATCCACTGTTGTCTGCGCTGCGGTGCGGAGGAAGTTCATGTTCATCGATGAGATACTTTTACATAAATGCATGACTGGATGAATATACATGCTAACAAAATATCTCTCCATGAACAGTAGACGACATGGCCCGACGACTCGACGAGCTAGAAGCCTCATTCACGGTCGTGGACGGGACGGCGAGCGCGACAGCCAGTGCGGCAGCCGCGGCCGCGGCGGGGGGTGAGAGTCCGGCTCCGGCGAAGTGATTCATTCATTCATTCATTCATTCATTCATTCATGCGTTTCCTCCCAATTACTTTTGCGAGACGGGAGTTCGAGGGATTCGGATTGGATTGGTTTTTCTTGAGCGTTTGCGCTGTTTGATTCATCGTGTTTATTCATTGTCGGGGGGTTGATTGAGATTGAGATTGAGATTGGGATTGAGATTGAGATTGAACAATGATGTGGTAGGAGGAGGAGGTAGTAGATTGAAGGTAGAGGAGGATATACCCTATGCACGGCTGGCGGATTGCGTCGATTTCATACATAATAGTTTCTAGGGGCATTGATATGCTTCCCTTCTCGGTATCATACAGGAACACTAACCCAGCCCAACCCAACCTAACCAGACAATCTACCCCCCCCCCCCCCCCCCAAGCGAATTCATAACCCATACAAGCCGGAAAACATCTACAACTCATCCTTCTCCTCCTTCTCCTCACCAGCCAAGAACTGACGGAGGATGTTACTCCTGGAGACCAAATCATCGACCTTCTCAGGGGCGGAGCCACCCTTGGCCAGGATCTTCTCCAGCCTGGCAAGCTCCTTGTGGACATACTCGGCGTTCTGGCTCAGCTTATCGGCGACCTTGACGTAGTACGTAGCGTACTTGTCCTTGAGGTCGGCAGCGGCGGCGGCCAGTTCAACGGGGGTGGAGGTAGCGAGCAGGGCATCGAGGGCGGCGATGGTACCGGCCTTGGCGTCGAGGCCGCCGCCGATGGCGCGGTGAGAGCCGGTCTGCTCGTTCAGGAAGTCGATGAAGGCCTGCTGCGAGCGGGCGCCGTTGTAGGGGACCGACTCGGAGGAGCCCTTGGGGAAGAACTTGATCGTGGGGTAGCCGGAGACGCCCTGCTCGCGGGCAGTGGCCTTGCCGTTCTCGGCGTCGGCGTCGACCTTGGCGATCACGACGGAGGATTCGAGCGCGAAGTCGTTGGCGAGGAGCTCCCAGGTGGGGGCGAGGTTCTTGCAGTCTGTATTTCGTTGTTGGCCATCTGTTAGTTTGCGCGCGCGCCCCATGGGAGGGAGGTACGTAGAAAAGAAGAGGGAGGGAAACTAACGGCCACACCACGGCGCGGTAAACGCAACGAGAACAGCCTGGTCACCCCCAATAGCGGACTTGAAGTTGGCATCGGTCAACATCTCGACATTGCTCTCGGGCTTCTTGGGGCCGCGGGGCTTGACGCCAGTCTTCTCGGTGATGAAGGCAGACAGGGACTCGAGGTCGCGGCCACCCTTGTAGTCCTCGGGCTGGTCGCTCTTGCCATCGAACCACTTCAGGGTGGGGAAGCCCTGGACGCCGAACTGGCGGCCCAGGTCGCGGTGCTCGTCGGCGTCGACCTTGCCGACGGTGACCTTGGCGGAGGCGTGGGCGAAGGACTCGCCGAGCTCCTCGTAGATGGGGGCCAGGTTCTTGCAGTGGCCGCACCAGGGGGCGAAGAATTCGACCAGCGCGGGCTTGCCGGAGGTGAGGACGATGTCGTCGAAGTTGGAGGGCACCAGGTCGACGACCGCGGTGACGGCGGAGGCCAGGCCCAGGCAGCTGATGAGCTGGCTCAGGCGAACCATCGTGGGTGGATGGGTGACTGGGAGGGTTTTTGGGGGGGGGGGGGGGGAGGAAAGGCCTATTGTCGAGGTGGAGGTGACAATAGGAAGCTCGAGAGAGAGTGGGAGTGGGTAGAGGTCGAATGGTATTGAGGACACAGTCGATGATCGTATGAGCTCCGCGGTGGAAGGCGGAAGCGCTGCGGAGACGCCGCGGGAAGAGGACACTTTGTCACTACGCATCACTAAGCAGCGCAGCGCAACAGCTGCTTGCTCAGCACAGCACAGGGATGGTCATTTCGGTCATTTGGTAATATTTGTATTCGCCACTACGCTCCTTCACAGCCCCCCCTGATTACGGTGTGCTGCCTACGCGTTACTCGACGCTCGCCCCTCTTGTTCCTAATAATACATCGTGCTCGAGTTGAATCGCGGAACGGGCAGGGCAGGGGCTCGGAGCCCGGCGCCAACACGATCGCCGTAGTTCGCGAAGTCGTTGTCATGGCCTGCTACTCGGCCTCTGCTCGCTAGCAGAGGACGCCGAAGGGCTGGGATCACCGCCGCTCGGCCAACCAGAGGTTCGCGTCCTCCCACTGCTTGCCGTTCTTCAGTTCCTTGCCCGCACTCTGGGCACCGCGGTAGACCTGGAGGAAATGAGTCAATAGATCAATCACGCAGCATGGGGCGGAACACTCACCGCGTCCCACAGCTTGAATGCCATGTCCAGGTTGCCCGTGAAGCTGTCGCTGTGCTGGAACCACTCCTTGCCCTTCGACTTCACCTCCGCCCGGGCCTCCGGTGAAGTGGGATCCCCCTGCTGCAGCGGCAGATCGTCGAGGTAGGTGCGGACAGCAATTCCCAGGCCGCAGTCATTGTCGTCGATGAACGGGAGCCTAGATAGTCAGCGTGAATGTATCCTGGCGGGCAAAGGCACTTACTTGATGATCAGCTCGCCCCAGTCGCTACGGTCCCGCTCCGCGTCGCCGCTCAGGAGGAGGCCAGCCAAGACCACTTCAATGAGGCTCCGTAGCGTGGAGCGGACTTCGGATATCAAGGAACGGTAGCAGAGCAGCTGTCGGCTCAGCGGCCCGGAGTAGCCGATGCTCTTGTGCTGCAGTTTGGCGATGCAAGCGACGCGGGAAATGAGCATGTTGCGGCTCTTATCTTCGTCTGGGGAGTGTCAGCGTGTGCGGGGACCCAGTAGAATATGTAACTTACCCGACCCTCTCATCGGGCCCCCGGAGACGTGGGCGAACCAAGGCGTGGAGTTGAGGAGGCCAAAGCGGATCATTTCGATGGCAAGGAACGTCGACTCCTCCAGCGCATCCGCCGGGTCGAGTCCCGACAGTGCCTGTTCTAGGCAGACGCCCCACGGGGTGAGCTGATGTTTCTCGTTGATGTAGCCACGGAGCTGCAGGAACCGCCAGAATACGTTGGCGAGAAGTTCATCTTGCGAAGTGAGTGGCTAGGGGTGGTTAGCTTCGTTCGGGAACTCAGGACAAGCCACTTACTTGGTTGTCTCTGGCAGTCAGGGACTTAGCGACGAAATCCGAATCCTTCAAGCTCTGAACGGCAAACTTGAACCGTCCACCGGAAGTCTGCAGCTTCTTCAGACTTTCGGGGAGCTGCTCGGTGCGGATCTTCCAGGCCTGGATCGTTTCCTTGACGGACGGAAGAGTCTTGAGGTTGATTGTGGAGGGCGACTTTTCATCGTACCAGGTGCGCACGTTGATGTCCTTAGTCTGGTAGAACCGGTGGAGGGAGTTCGATAGTAGGCAGATCGCCTGAGTACGGGTGGGAGTGAGAGTGCTGGCCGCGACCTCACGGTAGATCTCCGTGTCCTCGACGCCCAACGGCAGCGAGACGAGCACTTCACCGGAAGTCAGGTAGTTGGGCACATCGGCACCCAAGATGCCCTTGGACAGGTAGAAGTAGAGCTCTTCCGGCAGGCGCTGGCCGATCAGTTCGTGCATGTCGGAGGAAGAATTTTCTTGGTCCATGGGACCGACCCGGCCGTCGACATCAATGTAGACATGGTGCTTGACGGTCATCAGCGCACGCTTGTAGCGATCCGTGTACTGGAGCTCCTGCATGCGGCGGTCGTCCTCGAACTGGGCGCAAACTGCGAGGGCATTGCGACCAGCTGCGTTGAACATGGGCAGGGCATCGCGGACGTTGGCGCCCTTCCCGGGGAAGGCGGGGGTGTCAAAGATCGGGAGGGGTTGAAGGAAGGATGAGCCCAGCAGGAGGCAGAAGTCCAGAAACTGCTCGCTTGATAACCGGCCTAGCTCCTCCAGGCAGGTCTGTTTTGTGATCCAGAAGAATTGTGCCGGGTCGATATCAATGCGGGTGATGAGCTTGTCGACGTCGAACATGAGGACTTCGGAGGATCCCCAAACGGCATCGACTAGTGGGTTCGAGCCCTTGGTCAGGTAGGAGAGCTGTGGGAGAAACGGCTGTCAGCGAACGCGCCAGACGAGTATCAAAAAGAGCGTATCTTTCCGCACCTGAGCCGCAGCACTGTAGGGCGCCACGATGTAGTCGACGCCATGTTGATAGAGAATGCGCTGTAAAAACCGGTAGAGGGACTCGGGTCGAGGGGTGCCTGAGACGAAGCAAAGTCAGTTCAGCGCCCATCACCAGCTCCCGGAATGTATTGCCATACCGGCACCGCTGAAGGCGTCCACCACCTGGTCGGCCTGTTGTGCGTCGTAGAGCTCCCAGGCCTGCTCGAATGCCCGGACCGACTCCTGCTGCACGTGGGGCCGTTGGTCCTTCTTGCCAAAGTCTAAACCGTTGAAGACGAAAACGCACGCCACACCGAGGTCCTTCAGGGCCTGCAGCTCTCGTTCAATGTTGCTCTTGAGGGCGAAGGGGAATCCGCCGAGGGCGACCAGGAGGGGCTCGCGGGTGGAGGGGTGGAGGAGGTGTTGAGCAATGTAGTGCGACGCATCGATACCGACCACCGCCCCCTTGAGAGCGGAGAGGGGGAGGGACTGGGTGCGGGTGGCGGCCCATTCATCCAAGGGACGGACTGTGTGAATGCGAGGTGGTGTTAGCTGCGAAACGAGAGGTTGGGGGAGCCCGACTGCAGGAGACTTACTCGGCATGGTAGCTGGAGCTCTGTCACGGACTTTGGACGCGGGAGCCGATACCAGGCATGGGAGCCCGGGGGAGGGAAGAGGGAGGGAGGAAAAGAGGGGAGGGGGAGGATTATAAGTTCGGAATAGGAAAACGAGAGGATAGAGAAGGAGAGAAGTGGGGGGTGAGGGGGTGAGGGGGGAGAAGGTGGATGAGATGGGATGGGATGGAATGGGATGATGGATGATGCGACAGCCGTTGGATCGAGTGGCTGTTGAAGCCAATCACGGGAGCCCGTCTTGGCCCAACCAACTGGCGGATCCGCCCCGTGCCGCGGAATGCGTTCCCGACGGCTGCAGGGTGGGTTATGATGGTTATTATGGATTTATTTTGAGACTGAATTCAATTCCTCTGTCAGTTTCCTGCTCCATATGGTTTAGAGCCGTGGCTTGTTTTTTCAATGTTTTGGTGCCAGTTTTGACGCTATATATAGTCCGCGGTGCCGCTGCTTTAAGACGCTGACAACGAGTAATCTATGAAGATGGCACTAGACAATCCATACAGTAATAACAATAAAAAGCTACCTCACCGGTCTATAGAAGGCAGCTCATTCCCTTACCCCCCCCAAAGATGAAGTTGAGTGACAGCACACCGGATTCCAACATTCACCAACCGACCCAAGTCTTCCACCCAAATCCCACAGTCGAATTGTGTTATCCCAAGACCCGGTCACTAGAAAATGACCACCCTGGGTGAAGATAATATCCGAAACACATCCAGAATGTTCCTTGAGCGTTTGCAAACAATGTCCAGTGCTGACATCCCACAGTTGCACGTTCCTATCTGTTGAACCGGTTGCTAGAGTCCTGCTATTTGGGGTGAAAGCCAAACATTTCACCCAACCACGGTGACCCTTGATTACTTGGAGACAATCCCCGGACTGTAGATCCCAGAGTCGCACGGTGCAATCGTGAGAGGAGGATGCAAGGACTTTATCATCCGGACTGAAGTGGACGGAGGTGACGGTCTTGGTGTGGCCTTCAAGGGTGTGGAGACACCTTCCAGTCTGGGGGTCCCAGAGTCGCACGGTGCCGTCGCTGGAGGATGAGGCTAGTATGTTGTTATCGTGGCTGAAGGCGACATCTGCGGTGGAGGCAGTGTGGCCAGTGAGTCTGTGCAGACGCTCACCGGTGGCCGGATTCCAGAGCTGTACTGTGCCATCGCTGGAGCACGTTGCTAGAATCTTGCTGTCGGTAGTGGCGGTGGTAGCCCTGACGGGACAGACATGGCCTTTGAGTGTCCGCACACACTGACTGGTCACCGGGTCCCACAGCTGTACTTGCGAGTCATAACAGGCGGAAAGTAGCATTCTGCCCTCGACGAACATTACTGTAGTGGGTAGGTCGGTATAGCCCTCGAGAGTCTGAAGACACTGCCCTGTGGCGGGGTCCCATAATTGCGCTATGCAGTCAGTTGCAGTGGTCACCAGGATTGTCTCGTTCTCGACGAAGGCAACGGAGTTAACTGATGCAGTCGGGGAAGGTTCCCTCAAAGTTCTCAGACATTGTCTTGTTGTTAGATCCCATATACGCAGCGCACCGTCGCGGCAGACAGATGCTAGAATCCTGCCTTGTTGGGCAGCAGCAAGCGCAGTGATCGCTCCCGGGTGGCTGTTGAGGCATTGTGGTATCCCCCCCCAGTTCTGTATATCAGGTATCTCATCAATCCACTGCAGCTTGGGGTTTGTCGAGAATGAATAAGCCCCCATGGATGTATAACGCGGGTATGTGCGGGCAGAAAGATGTTCCTTTTCTGCTTGTACTGCTGGTACCGAAAAGGCAAATCGAGGCAGTTTCCTCCCCTGAGGCATCCAGACATTGTCCTTAGAAAGATGGAGATTGGCGTCGGCCAAAATTCGAGCCAAGTTGTCTCTAGCAATCAAAACACTGTCCGGATATTCCCCGGTGCTATGAGGCCCGATCTGGTCATCGTGGTCAACCACCACAATATCACCCCGCTCAACTGCAGCAGCTAAGCTAGTAGACTCATTGCCTTCACTATAGACTGCAGGATATACCATGACCTGCTGGAGTGACGACATGAAGGACAAAATCTCGGCATAGTCACGCTGGCAAATGTGCACCATCCTATTGTCCTGCTTACTCGGACACCGCTGGTCACATTCCGATCGCCTCAAGATCACGTTTTCAAACCTCATGAGGGCATCCTTAGCATTTTCAAATTTGAATGACCCCGGAATAGAATCGGGCCTCCAGGCAGGTATCGGAACATCCGCAAAATTCTCAGCACCCAGTTGCGGATCAAAGTCCGCCCTCGTGGTGCGATGTTCACACGGTCCCATGATGCTCAGATCCAGGATGTCAACCTTCGGGTTATAGCGTATATCGCGATACGTGTTTACCTGAGACGTGACCGAAAACCCCAGCGGCTCCAACGGGGATAGACGCCCTACCCGTACCGTGCGTGGATAGGTGAGAAGAACTGCGGCTCGCGCCTCGCGACAGACCAGGCTGATGATTGTAGGTGTCTTCGTAAAGCAACACAGATCCTTCTCGAGATGTGAGCCCTGCATTAGATAAAGCGATAGCATGTAATATGCAGAATGGGACGCATGCGGATCACCGCCATGTTCTGGGGTCCCGCAGAATGGCCTCGCAGGCGATCCCAGACCGCAGTGGCGTTCGTAGTATCCGAGATGATGATGAGCCACGGCTTCGATGCGACGCGGTTTACCGGATTCTAGCACGTGTTGCCAAACCTTGAGACGTAACTCGGGATAGAGACGCGAAAAGGGTCGGAATTCCTGGTGATAAGATGGTGTTGGTGTGGCTGGTGATGTTTTCGCATCAGCTTGATTGAAGAAGGATATGACTAGGTCGTGGAGAGCGCCAGGAACGATTTATATCTTCAGTGTCTGTCTTACCTGTATCCTCGGCGTCGGAATCACTCCCATCCTCAGTGTCTAACCCGCCCAGTTCTTCAGCGTCGGACTCTTCCGTATCCTCGGAGTCTGAACGTTCTAATAGCATCTCACCAAGCTTCTGTTCCAACGGTGTCCTTAACATAGTGAATCTGGAATCTAGGTTGTGTAACAGAACAGTTCATGTGCGCACCAACGCGTTAGAAGAAGTTGAGAAAGAGCAGGTCCAGCCCAGGTTAAATTAAGGTAGGGAGGTAGGCAGCAGTGGCCGTAAGCTAGACCTGACATGACTCATGAGGAGATGAAGGTTGCTCAGGGGTGGTTCGTGTTCTGTTCCATGCTAGCGCTGGGCTAGTTGGCACTTGCTCGAACGCCCAAGTGCACCTCTATGACTAGAAGGATTTCGAGACACCGTTTTACTACTCTATTGGGGGGCACATGTCGACTTCTGACACAATGTCAAATCCCGATCACCTCCGAGACAGCTTAAATAGCTGATATCTTTGAGGGATGCACATATGACCATAGCAAATAGTTGATATAACAAGATAATCCCCAAAGGGGTCCTCAAAGCCACCCAGAATTAGGCTCATCACGACATGAACATTTCACCCTAGAAGATACTAATTATGGCTTTGGAGAAGGCATAGGCGCTCACCAGGATATTATAGGGGTTCGAGTCTAAGCATGCGGAGAAGGAAAACCCGGTGGGGTGCAGATCCATCTGGACAGTCGCCAAACATCTAACACCCAGCTTGAAGACTTAGCTATTGATTGCTGTTAAACTATCCAGTTGGCATATTATGTACTGGCTACTTCATTCAAGGACCCAAAACTGTACTTCGTTATGACGTTCGATAGGTAGGTTATAAGGCGACTGTCAGTCAATGAAACATCATTAAGCTGGACACAAAGACCTCGAACTTAAAACACCAGAAGGCTAGATTAGGATTGTTAAAGTAAATGCATTCGAGGCATGTGCTAGTATGGCTGGATATAGCCAGCGGCCCACACTCGCCCATGGGGCTGTCCTGGGAATTACTTTCTCATTCACCCAGTGCCCACCGTAGAGATGATACGAATCCACAACAAAAACTGCCTCTTTTGAAATATCCACTATAACCCCATTAAACAACCGCAAGCAACCCGAATTTACATATCGAACCCCCTAAGAACTTAGAGACATGCAACTGTTCCAAATACCATCTATCTGACAACCACCGAGAGCCACTAAAGTCCCACCGGCCTTGCTCCTGCCACTCTTTGATGAGCGAGGCCGACACGGCAGGAGCCGCCCTTTAAACGCCGTCCGTCATGGATACGGTTTCACACACTCCGAACCCTACCTGAGAAGTCCCGTCCAACTTCCGTGGTCATCTAGCGACTCTCATTCATATCGACTGATTCTGCATTCTTATATATACCTGCTACTGCGCACGATTCGCAAATACAGATCGAAAATGGCCGGACTCACGGTTCTGGATGTTCGCCAATCAAGCACGGAGGAGAGTATCCGCGACAAGATCATCGAAGGGATGTGCAAGGAGAAAAAAGAGCTCACAAGTCTCATAGTATGCAGCGCAGAAGGCCTACGGCACTGGGACCGTCACTCCGCCGACACAGACTACTACATACGACACGAGGAACTGGGCATCTTCAAAAGCAAAGCGAACGAGATAGCGAGCAGCATCCCAGATGGTGGCGTGGTGGTGGAATCTGGAAGCGGGCAAGTGCAAGCGCACGTCACCATGTCAAGTCTCACTGCTAATCAACTCAATGCATAGAACCCTGGAAAATGTCATCCCGATGCTAGAGGCACTTGAGCACCAGGAGAAGAACGTTACCTACTACGCGTTAGATGTCAGTCACTCGGAGATTGCCTCATCGCTGGAAGTGATCCCAACGGAGACATACAAACATGTGCGGTTCGGGGGACTGTATGGCACCTTTGACGATGCTCTGCGGTGGCTGGAGGAAGATCCCGCGGTTCGAGACTTGCCTCATTGCGTTCTGTTCCTGGGCTCGAGTATTGGGAGCTTTTCGAAGTCGGACGCAGCTAGATTTCTGCGCAGTATCGCGACCCATGCGCTGAAGTCTCCGAATAGCTCTGTCTTGGTCGGGATTGACGGATGCAAGGAGCCTCTGAAGGTGTTGCGGGCGTATACGGCCGATGGAGCCCGAGGCTTCCTGATGTCCGGAATGGATCATGCAAATGCTATTCTTCGAGAAGGACACAGCGAGGATGAGACTGGTTCGGTTCCTCCGACATTCGATCCGGAAAAATGGTACTATCTGACGCGGTGGAACCGTCACCTTGGTCGGCAGGAGGGCTCATACTTTCCGAGATCAGACGACGTTCGACTGGGCCCGCCTTTGGAGCATATAGTGGTCAAAAAAGACGAATTGGTCCAGGTTGCTGTGAGTCAGAAGTATGGTCACCAGGAAAGAAAGCAGCTGTTTGACGAGGCCGGGCTCCAGGAGGTGGCCTCTTGGTCGAATGAGGGCTGTGATGGAGGCCAGTACATCTCGCCATATGCGGTGCTCTATAGACTCCAACCAACGAATCTATAGAATTACACCTACCGATGCAAGCTCTGAATTGGAAAATCGTCGACTGGGTATTTCGAGGAGATTTCGTTTCGGGCGTGTGAGATTACTTGGACGTGGCTGGATCTGCGACTAGGCTTCGGACCGTGTCCATTCTTTTCATAATAGAAATAGGAATTGAACATGAGATGTGAGTCGAGTGGATACTCGAGATTTTCCATCTCACGCAAGTAGTCTCATGCTCACTAATATCCTATCAAGGTTGCATACTGGTGTCAGCGGGGCTGGGTGTTACCGCCTGTAGTGGCTGCCTCCCCAGTCATCTCGCTTCCTCCTAGCTAGCATCACGACTCCAGCAGTCACTCCTGTTACAGGCTCCCAATTACTGGTCTTCGTCGCGCCTTACTGCCCTGCTTTACAGAAATGACATTTTCCGTACTCATATGTGACTTTCCTTTACTTCGACCAGTTCAATCAGAAGTATGGACCTTCAATCTCCGGAAACCGTCGGCTACTCCCTGCAACAAATGATCGACTGCGACCAGAATTGGGCTTGCTCCACTTTGGTAAGAGAATTCCCGATGCTTTTATCAGCGTTAGGGTCTGAGATACGTGTATCTAAGACAAGCTCCCGGGCTCAGATAGATAACTCCCACCTAGACCGTCCCGGATACAGGTGGTAGTCACGTCTGGCGGTGGCAATGTCCTGGTACGATGCCTGGATCCATAAAATCACAACGGACTTTGCCTTACCAGACCCTGGCAACCCCTTGAAGACAGCATAATTCTCAGGAGCGGTCCTCTTCCAGAGAGACATCGACAGGGAGTTCTCCTTTTGCTGCAGTGGCCTCTCATCACAATTGGTTGATTTGGAATGGTTCGCGACCGTACAATCTAGGAGATCCTCTTATGAACATAGAAAAGGAGACGGAAAGCTTCGTTCAACCATTGCGAGGAGGAGACTTCCTCCGGATAGAGTCAACATGGATAGCAGATATCGGCAGCCCGAAGACTATACATACAGCTCCAACCTCGCCCCGGAACAGAATCTTTTTTTCTCCACCAACAGTTCGAGTTTCGTTAGCATCAGTCTGAACATTCATACCTTCGGCACAAATTTACTACAGGACAACATTCAAACTTCACTCATCTACCGTGAAAATGTCTTTCGGTATGAATGCCGCCGGCTGGGTTAAGGTCTTGCGCTTCTACTTTCCCAGTCCCACCGGCGACCAGATGGCCCTGGATGGATTCGAGGAGACTGGCCCGATTTTCGACCCTCAAGATGGAATTGATACCGAAGTCCGCTACTCCTTCGTTGACGTGGGCGGATTCCTCGCATTTGTTTACAGCGAGTCCACCAACCCGGAGCAGTTCCAGGCTCTGTTCACTCGTCGATTCCAGCAGATGAAGCCCCAGGTGAGAGGTGGAGTGGAAGGCAGCTATGACGTTATGGGACTGGCCGCCTCCGGCAGCTCCTATGCCTTCTACAAGTCTGTCACTACCATCGATCATGGTGGTGTGCCTGTGGTCACCGCTGTGCGCATGGGGCCCCCAGGTAACCTGCAGGGTAGGGGGTTGCCTATTTTCAATGGAATCATTCAGGCGATGATCGACCAGACAGGGGCTCTTCGCCAGCAGTATGATGTTGATATTCATGATCAGCATGAGCTGGATCTTATCCTGGGACCCGTTCGCTCGAGCGCAATCCCCTACGCTCCCGGCGGTCACTTCGAGTTGCAGCGGATGCACTCCTCTGGTAGCCGCCACAGCGCTGGTAGCCCGCACGCTGCTGGTAGCAACCGCACCACTGGTAGCTATCGCATCACTGGTAGCCATCGCTCCACTGGCAGTCATGGCTCCACGGACAGCGCCTCCCACCCCAGGTATTGCCCGTGCGGGTTCTGCATCCAGTAGTGTGCTAAAAGAATACACTGCTTCACATCCTTGTCACCATTTCTGACAGTGACATTATCTTTGTTTAGTTAAGTGCTAATCTTAAATCAGCTTATTTATATTTCCACTCTAAATGAAATGCATTTTTCATGCAAAATGTTCCCTCTCCTCAAGTAAAATCGATATACGTAAATCGATTCAAGTAAACCTGTTTTTTGTAAATTGTAAATGATTCTGACTGTTCTAGATCTTGAGTATAAGATATTAGGGACTAGAGTAGATAAAGGGTCACTTTCCTAAGTAGAAAGGCCTGGAGAGTTGTAAATTTGTATATTGTAGTAAAACTTTAAGTTCGTCCATGTGTAGCTCCAAGACATAGTGTGACACCTTCTTGAGAAGATGCGATGGAGAGGGCTTCTTTGCCGCAGCGGCCTTCCATCATAATATTATAGTAGTACTGGTAGTACTAGTTGTTGTTGTTGTTGTATTCTTTGACATCTAGCAAGATGCCGGTATTGCCAGTAGATTGTCGAGCGTAACCCTAACTTTAACCTGGTCCCTAATCTTAATTTATACATCTGCCTGGTTATTTAGAGAGTAAGATAGTATTATATTATTCTGTTTACACAGGTAGCGTGTTATACATATCTTTATATTAAAAGGATATAGTATCAGAACAGTAGATATGTGTGTGGTAATCCTGATGTGTGTGTGTGTGTGTGTATGTAGCAATCCGGGTGTGCGCGTATCACCGCCCTCTTTGTGTGCACCCCGGCACCATATAGTACCATCCCTGGGCCTCTTCCGGCACGGAACGGCCCGGAAGGTTGAATTTACTACACGCAGGTATAGTATATTGTAATATAAGCAGGTTGATTTACTTAACGCGCAGGCAGTGAACAGGCCACACGCAGGGATATCGCGCAGGCGGGCAGGCGGGCGGGCAATAAATATAGGAAAGGCGGTTGGACAATAGCCCTAACTGAAAACACGGATTATAAGGAAAGGTGTGTGTAGCAATCCCAGTACGCCTGTAAGATGTATCATTGAGGGTGTGCCTGCAGCGCCTTCTTATATCTACAGTGGTTGGAAATCTTGATGGACTACGAGTTATAGCAGATAGTTGTACTTTATCAAATCAAATTCAATAGTGTAATGATGTATTTCAGAGTCTCACTAGGAAATAGATAAATAATGAAGATAGATGATTGGGGGGAAAGGGGGGGCTTTAAGAGACTACAAAGCCGTTCCCACCCAGGGCTCTACGACCCCGGCGACCCCGGGCCTGAGAAACTGGAGTCCCGGGGGTCATGGGGGTGTCATCGTCGGATTCTTCCAGGCCAGACAGGCAGAACGCAAGGTCCCCTGGTGGGGTTTCCCTAACATAAATCTCCTCTTCTCTCATCCTCCACCGGTAATCTCCTCAACATAGCACTGTGACGACTTCGTTACCCTGTTTCAGTGTTGAAGGGGAATTTGAAGGCCGTGGTGGATAGGAATCAGATCGAAGATCCGCTGGATGGGTGTCGGGCTGATGTGGAGTTTTTGATGCCGGGGAATTGGCTGTGGGGGAGGCATATTGGGGGGGGGGGGAAGAAGGGGATTGGAAATGGAGAGGGAAGAGGCTCTCCATAATGGAGTTTCTCTCATCTTCTTCCGCCTGGGATGGTCTGAACAGGGAGTTCTCCTGATCCATCAGTATTCTTCCTGGTAGTTTCCCATATCACCAGGGGTAAATTCCTTATACATCGGTAGTCTTCCTGGTAGTTTGCCATATCAACAGCGATAAATTCCTTATCCTTGTAGAAATGGTAATCTCCGTCTACAGATCAAGACATAGACCCCCCCCCCAAACACGAATATAAAAAGGCCCAAGATCCCAGAGAAAACAGATTTTATTTTTCAACAGTTATTACCAACACAACAGACTTTGATCTTTCAAGCTTTCAATTGCAAAACAAACTGAAATTGCTGAAAGACAAGATGTCTAATCAAGGTGAACGCCAGGGCGCACGCCGCGGCTCTGAGTATGAACTTGCTCAGATGCGCGGTGAGCATGCCCAGAGCAGCAGAACTGCGGGTGTTAGAACCCAGCCTAGTCGTTCTCATGGCCAGGGCGGTGGTTCCCAGGGCGGTGGTTCGCAGGCCCGTGGCTCCCAGGGCGGTGGTTCGCAGGCCCGTGGCTCCCAGGGTGGTGGTTCGCAGGCTCGTGGTTCCCAGGGCGGTGGTTCGCAGGCCCGAGGTTCGCAGGCTACTGTCCGCGAGACCAGCGGATGGTATGCTGATAGTACCCATGGTAGCAAGTGCGGCTGCCGTGACTGCTTGAGAGGCTGTTCGATCTCCTAAATGGAGACGTCTCGTACACGCCGCTTAGCTACACAAGCTCAGGCTCCGCTTATTTCCTTTGTTAAATCATGTATCTTCTAGAGAATCTCAGAAATACATCGCCGCAAGATTGCGCTATCGAATTTGCTATGATCACGTAGAAGTAAACATATCTGCTGTATATCCGTAGTTCCTGTAGGGTTTCAACTACTACTGTAGACTTACATGGCGCGTAAATAGTATTCAGGAACTTCTTATTGGATGGCCCTGTATATTGAAGCCAACGAGCAGCCCTGCAGCTCTCCAGCCATCCAGCCATCCAGTCAATTGACTGGCTTCGCCTCTTCTTCCTGTACGTAGCCTAGCTGGCATCACCTCACCACTTCTCTACGAACTAACCTCTACTTGAGCCTCGCTGTTCCCCTCTATAAAGTCGTGAGAGGTTATGAACCCGGCTTCTATCTCTTTATTTGAAACAAGACTTTAACTAGCCGTATCTTTGATAAAGCCAGACCTTTTTTGGTTTTATCTTATTAACTTCTATCATAAGACATGTAGATTTGCTTATTTTAACTATTTTAACGCGTGTCTGACTTCCCCCCCTCTACTTGACCCTGACATGGGATTCTGGATTTACTCTTTGAAGTAGCCTCAAATCCCACCTCACTGAATAAAACCCTCAAAAACGCGCGGGATAAATAGACAATCATATGTAGAAACTAGAATATATGTCAGGACCATCGCAGGTGTCCCTCTTCCGGAGCGCCATGCGCGGGGAGTACTCCTTTTCCCGCAGTGGCGCTCGTCAGTATATTTACTGGTCCTTTTTATTCATAATCTTTCTTATTATTTTAATAAGTTCCGTAGCTGCGAAGACCTCGCTAAATCTCTTAAAAATACTCACCCTGTGGCTATTATTAGCAAATGTAAAGAAATGATGAGGATAGGAAGAAGAAATGCTTGAAAATAGCCCGGTAATTCTATCTTGTTTAACAATCTTCATCTCGAGGATCTTAGTCAGCCAGAGCCCTAGCCTGCTTTATGTCTTAAGTTAGTAGATAAAGCGTCTATATTACTAGAGCTAAAGCTAAAACTAGAGTTTATACTAAAGCTAGAGCTAGGTATATGAATAGAGTCTATATTAAAGCTAAAGGTAGAAAGGGAGGAGTCAGAGCTGTAGATCTTATTAAGATTAATCTTATATATAATCTTATATGAAATAATTAACCCGCGTACTTGAAAGAAGACATACTTAACCAATTACTAAAAACCTCTCTACTAATTACCAACGGAGGCTAATTACTGCGTATATATGGCAAAATAGCACTTTATATTATCCAAGAATAGCAAGTCTTCTTACTACAACGGAGCCTTTTATGAACCTGCTATTTGTTTTTATCTGATTCCCGATCTCCGCCCAACCCGCCAGAGGCCCTCGCCTAGAATATAAGCATCTGGAAACCTCACAAAGCGCCCGAGCGGCTTTATTATCATTAATCAAATTACTGGATAAAGTCCCTGATAATATACAATCAATCTCACTTGATAACCTCACTTGAACTAATCTTATCTAAACCGCCTGTACAGAGTGCCTCTTCGCCTCCGCTGGCTCCCAAGAAACCTTATCGGTTGAAGAACTTCAAGTCTTTACTACCATACTCTCTATAAGAATTAGCCCTACCAACGATCAATCTTATAAATCTTATACATTTAATCTTGAAAACGTCGCCCTACCTCGCTTGTATTAAAAAGCCCTAATAACCTTAATTCAACGACTCAAACAACGCCATACTTGTTACCCAGCTTCCTTTCCTCGCGATAGATTTTTTTCTATAATAGACTTCAGCTTTATATTTCCCTTTTTCAGCTACAGATCTACAAGGCGGCATTAGAGCCAACCAGCAAGCCACCCTACAGCCCTCCAGTCAGGTAAATGGCTTCGCCTCTTCTTCCTATACATAGCCTAGGTAGGATCACCTCACCACCTCTCTACGAATTAACCTCCTCTCATTGAGCCTCGCCGCTCCTCTCCACGTAGTCGTGACACTGTATATTCTCAATAGTGTGTAGCTGCTAGAAGCTCTTAGGTATGTGACGGGAGTGCTGGATAGGGTGGAGGAGGTTTCCTCCTTCCTTCGTCCCTTCTCTGCTATAGTGAGTAAGTGAGTAAGTAACCAGAAACTCCCCTGATCCGGATCGTGAGCATGTAGGTAGGAGATCTCCATCTTTTGCCGTATATGAGTTTGATGTGAGGATGGTAAACTCCGTTTCATCGAGGTCTGGATAGCCCCGGGCATGGAGATCTCCACCCTTCCCCGTATATTGTTTTGATACGAGGATGGTGACCTTCGTTTATCAAGATCTGGATGGCCCCGAGCATGGAGATCTCCTTCGGAATGAAGATCATGGTAGGTCAACACCATGGTAAACTCCTTCTCATGGGCCAAAAGAGGCTCTAGACCCGGATACCTGCTGATAGAATAGATAAACGTCGAACAACACTAGACAAGTTCCAAAACATCACAGCCTCTGAACGTCTATAAAAAGGCGTCGGAGACCTCCAGTTACGGAACTTTTTCGTCAACTTTTTTGTCAACTTTTTCTTCAACTTTTTCTTCATCTTCATGCGACAGACACACTTGCAAGCCCGCAAGTCCGCAATCCTCCAACCCAAATCCACAAACCGACCACCTGTACACAAAAAAAAATGGAATCCACAACCACAGCCATGACCGACTGGTGCGGTTACCTCAATCGCTACTTCCCAACCGCGGACGGATACCGCCTGGAGATCGTCCGTGGTCATTACCACAGCCAAGGACACTACGTTGAGATCCATGTGTCCCGATTCCAGTCGGGTACCTTCTTGGCCTTTGTCAGTATGCCCATGGCTGAGGAGGGTGACTGGGAGGACCACCGCGGGTGCATTGAGCACATTTGGAAGACCACCCGGGAGAGTCTCCCTGAGTGGGTGCTCCCGTATGGAATCGCCGAATGTGGTGGTAAGCTGGCGTTTTATATTGGCACTCATTTGAGTGACTGGGCACAGCACGTGATGGTGTATCGCAATGAGTATTTGACGATCGGCCGGGATGACTGGCTGATTAATGATTACCTTGCTCGCCTTCGTGTTTGCGTGGGAGCTGAGAGTGAGATTTGCTCTTGCTCCTGTGAGGAGAGGTCTGAGGCCTGCTCTTGCTCCTGTGAGGAGAGATCTGAGGCTTGCTCTTGCTCCTGTGAGGAGAAGTCTGAGGCGATGTCTGAGGGGGTTTGTGAGGGGGTGTCTAAGACGGTGGTTGAGGGGGAGCCCGAGGCAATGTCTGAGGGGGAGCCCGAGCCCACGCCTGAGGGAGAGCCGGAGGCAATGTCTGAGGGGGTGTCTGAATATGACGCCGATTATGAGCCCGATCATGAGGCTGAGTGTGGGACTGATTGTGAAGGGGAGTGTGAGGCCGGGTGTGAGTGTGAAGCGATGTCCGATAAGGGGTCCGAGCCCATGCTTGAGGAGGAGCCCGAGGCGATGTCCGAGAGTGTCTCTGAGTATGACGCCGATCATGAGAATGAGGCTGAGGATCTGGCTGAGTATCAGCCTGCGTCTGCGCCTGAGTCTGCGCCAAAGTCTGCGCCGGAGCCTGCGCCTGAGTATCCGGCTCAGTATACACCTCAGTATACGCTTCAGTATCCGGTTCAGAATACGCCTCATAATACGCCTCAGTATCCGCCTCAGCATACGCCTCATAATACGCCTCAGTATCCGCCTCAGCATACGCCTCAGCATGCGCCTGAATATCCCACTCAGTCTGCACCTGATTATCCGCCGGAGTATTCGGCTGACCGTCCACTGCCCCATCATGAGCCTGCTCAGGGGACTGACATGATCTCTGTGTTGATTAGTTTGATGACTGCCCTTGTGGAGGAAACCGAGGCGAACGCTAGGGCAACCGAGGCGAACTCTAGGGCAACTGAGGTAATCTCTGAGGCAACTGAGGTGATCTCTGAGGAAACCGAGGTGATCACATCTGCGACGGATGCCGGAGTTACATCTCAAGATCTCTCCGATTTGACTGAGATGACTGATCTGAGCGAGTTTGAGATGCTCTCTGATTATGAAGATAAGATTGAACTTGATGTGGTCCCTGAGGGAGATTCTGAGGAAGAAGGTGGGGCGGCATCTGGGGAGGGCGGTGCTAGTGAGACATCGGGGGAGTTCTCCGATTTGACTGAGTTGACCGATTTGAGTGAGCCCGAGTGGTCATCTGACGATGAGCCTGAGGTGCAACCTGACGTGACTTCAGAGGAGGTCTCTGAGTTGACTGAGTTGACCAATTTGACTGAGCCCGAGTGGTCGTCCGAGGGTGAGCCCCAGGTCCAACCCGAGGTGACACCTGAGGGGGAAGCTCAGGAGGGCACTGGGGTGACTGACGTGGCTGAGCCCGAGATGCCTTCTGAAGATCACGCTCGTCTTTGAATTGACGTGATTTAACCTCAGGGGGGTGAGTCCGAGTGGACAGCCTAGACTGCTAAATAGCATGTCCTTCTTCCAACTATCAACTTTGTTGGTCAATTTCTTATGCAACTGCGTTGTTTCATTCTCTTCATTCTTCTTTCGGGCTTTTACCAATTAGACTGCTGAATAGCATGTCTTCTTTAAACCATCAGATTTGTTGGTCAATTTCTCGCGTAACAGTGGTATTTCGGTCTCCTCATTCATTTTTTTTCAGGTTTTTTTTTTTCAGGTTTTTTTTTTTCAGGTTTTTTTTTTTCAGGCTTTTTTTTTTCAGGCTTTAGCTGACCGTTCCTCAACCACTTTTCGGGCTTTTACCCATCCTGCTTCGTTATGGTGGAGTTCAGTTGAACAAATCGAATACCTGTTGGAAAACCCAAAGACAGTCCACTGTAATAGGCCACAGTGCCGAAATCAATAGTCGTAGCCCCGGGTGCTGGCTCTGGCCATTGCACCCATCGTAGCACTTGTAGTGATTTCATATCCTCACTATCCCTAATAAGAGTAAAAGTAAATACACCAAAGGCACCGCCCTTCCCAAGACCCACTGGTAGCAGTGATTGGTGTGCGTATGTAATCAGCTGTCGAGATATTCACTGGTGATGGTTAGCCTGGAAATGCTGCTGTCCCAGCGAGCAGTGTTTCCTCGCCCGATCAACGATCTGCTTCCTCGATTTCCCCATTTTAACTCGGTGAGACCAGCTATCTTCGACTGTTGTAGAGCTTTTTTGTGGACTGGCCTGACACTCTTCGACGAGCTTTAGTTGTTGAATGGGTCCCTCACTGCGAAAGTGAATCCAAAGAAAGGAAGAGGGAAAATGTTCCTCATGGCGGGGAAACGCGAAGCCGGGATTTCAGCCGGCGGGGAAAGAAGATAGCAAGTGGACAACCGTATTCAGTTGACTTCCGAGTCGACAGTAGGAAACTATATTGGCGTCGCATTCTGGCTCCAATACAAGAAAAATAGTCCCGGAGAGTTTCCGAGGCGCCGACAGCCCACGGGGGCATAGTTCATTGACTATTGTTGTCGGAGAGGATGCGGCGGAAGAAAGATGAAGACGACGGCGCAGGCAGTCATGATTGATTCCCCCCCGCGCTAAACCGCACTTGGACTCCGACCCAACAGGGCTTTTCCCAGCTTGGACCAGCAAGGGTTCGTCCGATGTTCGCCGGGCCGAAGCCCACAATCAATGCGCCGAGTGGAACCTTAGGGCTTTTTCTTCCGGCTAGCCGCAATCCTGGCGCTATTTGAGGCTGTCAGGGCTGCTGGCAAGGAGATCACGCGGGTTTTATTGGCTGATCTTATCTGGTGCAGCAGGGAGCGCACTTACGGTATGCATACCTGATTACGCCGGGCTTGAAATCATCTTGTGGGCTTGTTAGGCAGAAGTAAGTGGGAAAAAGAAGGGACTGAACAGCTTTCTAGGTGTAGATATTGTCGGGAACACGTGGTTCTGAATAGTTGCCCGTAATGACCTTGCCGAGCCAGTCACTAAGCGGGAAGCGAGTTATCCCTCGTGATTATGGGGTAAGGTGGGAGGGAGTCAGTGGTTCAGTTATCATAGTAGCAGTCTTCCCACCTATATATTCCGAAAGTCCACCTTAGGACCCTGAGACCCATTCAAACCGGAGCCACTCAAAAATGAGCGCAGGCAATACTGTACTACGGAGCTACCTATCCAATTTTTGCCCCTGCGGATCCCCTCCAGGACTCCGTGGGAGGCTCCGAGAACATAATAGCCAAATACAACCCCATAACAGGAAAATTATCAACTAGCAGGCTACCCAACAAAACCATACATTCCTGCTGCAGTTAATCCCGGACCTTTCGGACAGATCCAGTTAGGTGTCGGGCCCAATGGGAGAGGTCTAGGGTCCGATCCACTTTTTCTGGCGACATCCGAGCAATCGACAATCAACCGTCGAGGCCAATTGAACTGAACTAACAGGAGATGGCCGCAGGGACTAAGTGCGGGCTAACCCAACACAACATGGCCAGGGTTGGCAGGTATGAGACATTGAAGCTCGACTGGGTTAATTCTTATCCGCCGAAATGAAAGAGATAGGGCTGCTAATATGGTATGGCGAATGGGCTAGTGGGGGATTGGCGTAGGGGTACTCTGCTTGGCCAGGCACATTATAAGATGCTAGGCTAGGGCCTACCCTCTGCCCTGCACTGGAGTGTGTTGTTTGGCTTTTGACCCCGTTGAGATTTTGTTACACAGGGAAACCCGAAAGGGACAGGCAGTATAGCGTCATGGTCACTACGCGTTCTATGATCGGTTTGTTGGCACTGGCGCAGTCTGTGGGTGTTCTCGCGGCGGTCGACACCTCCTATAACTCGTCGCTGAACTTTCGTCCAAACAACGTCACTGGGTTGTGGTACCCCCTATATGACTGGGTTGGGTCGTGAGTGTTCCCTCTATACAGGATGTATAGTAGCGATCCTGTCATCTCTGGTATTATTAACAACCCCGATGCGACAGATACTACAACGCCACTCTAGAATTCGAACTCACCCCGACGACAGTCGGCAGCTCCACGAACGACTCCGTCTGCACGAACCTCCAAGGCAAGACCGTGACCGCCGAACGATCATCCTACCTGGCCATCACCGAGACGGGCATCTGGGACAGGGACCCCCAAAACCCAGTCAACCTATTCCTGACCGTCTGGCCAACGGACTATGATTTCTGGGCCGAGCCCCTGGACGCAAACATCGCCTCAGTCTCGGATTATTCCATCCTTTCTTCGAAGTAAGCCCACCGACTCTGTCCCGGTCTCAGTATCAGTCGCGATCCAACTTCCAAACCATACCCTCGACTCCGTCAGCTAACCAAACCACCCCCTCCCCCCTCCCCAGCCCCATATACTCATGGGACACCGCATCCAACACCAACAACTTCGACCTCAACCTCACCACCACCGCCACCAACAACAACACCTACCAGCTCTCGGCGGAATACACCTATCCGCGCATGAGCAGTGTCCTCCTCAACTTCACCTCCTGCAACCCCACCACAACCACAGATAGCTCGAGCGAGACATGGCGCATGTTCCTGATCAACCAAGACGACGAGGGTCCGGACGGGTTCACCTGGTCGTATCCCACCCTTGAGATGCAATTCGATGACCGCACAGCCAATCTCACCATCGAGGGGGAATTCATGGCGTATCCGTACCATCCCCAGGGATTGGGAAACGGCACATCGGTGTCTATCGCGGGAACAGTCAAGATGGTGTTTCGCGGTGTGATGGATGATGATCGGTCGGATATTCTGGTCCAGGGAGATGGTCAGCCGACGTGGGAGAGGACGGTGGGGTTTGCAAATGCGTCGATCATCTTGGATGTTGAGAGTGGGGGGTGGAGTGTCGTGAGATCGGGGGGCAGGGGGGTGAAGGCGGTTATTGGGTTGGTGGTGATGATGGTGGTGGTGGTGGTGGGTCTGTGATTGCGATGAGATTTTTGTTTGTAATGCTTTTTAATGATGCATGAGTTGGTCTTACTGATAGAGATTTAATGGCAATATTTCGCTTGTTTCATGGTGCAGGTATAACAAGTAACGCAAATAGAAGATGGGTGGATAAATAGATGCCTGACAGGACGTGAGCCGTACTGGGACCCCAACCCCACAATGAGATGTGATTGACCCGGGGGCGGGGGGGGGATTGCATAGACGGATGGCTTTGAGGCATGGCTGGCCTGAGTGCCTTGCGAAAAGGGCCGATGATTGTTCCCTCGCTGGCTCGTCAGCCGATATTTCCCCCCTCCACCTCCACTTCCAACTCTTCTTTCTTACCAAGCATACCGACAGAGGCCATCCATCGTCCGCGAGACCATCGCTCCTAGGTCTACCTGCGCCATCAAGAAAATTTGAAGCAATAAACATGCGCCGTACCTGAGGTGAAAATCAACCTCCACCCCGGATCCACTCCGCGCAAAAGGCGCCGCCCCGGCCGCGCGTGCCAGTAGTGCCGGTGAAGGAGGACCAAGTAAGGGTAGGTGGGCTCAGAAGCTGGCCAGGTGCGTGGCTCACTAAGCAATAACCGCGCAATGCATGAATGCAGGCGGCCTCATCCTAACCACGCTATTTGTGGGTTTCTTCTCCGGAATATTCATTGCCACTCCCCCACCTCTGCCATTCGTCATCCTCAGCAAGGGCAAGTCCAAAGTGGGCAGTAGCATGGGCATGGCCTTTGTCCTCCACAGAATCGGTATTCTCGCGGAAGGAACCTGGAGTGGAGGCGTGCTTCCGCGTGAGGCTGGTCGTCTGGACTGGGCGGGTCTGTGGGTTTATGCGGGCGTCTTTGCCTGTGCTTCCAGCTTTGTCTTTTGTCTTTTGATGTTCTGGCCACTGAGGATGCAGGTGGGTGTGAAGGCCTAGTTGGGACCTGTGTTTGTGTTGGAAATAAACTTGGGTCAGTAGACTGAGAAGTTGTCTTGACATCACTTCAGTCAGGGAGGTTTCCTTTTCTGTTTAATGTTTTTGGTTACTCTAATATCCTTTACGGTGAGACAATTAGGTGGATGTTTCGTGATCTACTCCATGACAGCTATGGCAACTCTTATGTTCTCCCTGGGACATAATCAAGGACTGTAACGGAAGCGGTCGAGCCTGTCGAGTTACTGCCATCTCAATGGCGAGAATGGCTGATCTGCTAATGTCCAAAGTCAATACTATCTGCTGGTGGACTGTCCCATCATTCCAGCCTGTAATCAAAAAGAAGTTAACCTGATTTCCTCTTTTAACAAAAGTGATATAGTAATAATGGACTTGTACTATCCCGCCATATGATCCCTGTCTGTCCATCCCACATCAACTCTATCCCATACCACTCTATCCCCATTGGCCTGTTCGTTCAGTCTGACAGCGCCAGGTGGGGCTGTCAACTGCACGCGCCAATCAAAGCGCAGACAGGCTTCCCGGCCGCACATCATTGACTGGGTCCCGGCCGGGAAGGGACCCGGGCAGCAGCAGCCTGCCTGTTGTGTTCCTGAGCATATAAGTAAGACCCCGTCGACCAGCTCATTCTCCTCTCCATCTACTCCCCCCCAACCAAGCTGTAACCAACCTCCTCACGTCTTCTCCTAACAAAGTCCCAAACAAGACCACAATCCACAGCACAATGACCTCCCCGCTCCCCCCCTCGGCAGACTACATCATCGTGGGAGGCGGCACCGCCGGCCTCGTCGTCGCCAACCGTCTCTCCTCCGACCCCTCCGTCCGCGTCCTCGTCCTCGAAGCCGGCCCCGACCGCACCTCCGACCCGCAGATCCAAAACCCCAATGCCTGGCAGTCGCTCCCGGGATCAGACGCGGACTGGAAAATGAAGACTGTTCCTCAGGTACCCTTCCCCTCAACTACTTACGGCTTGCTTCCTTGCCGTGCGAGCTAGCTGAGACAGATAATAGGCTGGCCTGAATAACCGTACTCAAGACCACCCCGCTGGAAAACTCCTGGGTGGATCTTCCTCTCTCAACGGGCTTGTCTATGTCGCGCCTTCCCCGGCGGGGATAAACGCGTGGGCGGAGCTAGGGAATACGGATTGGACGTGGGAAAGGTTTGCGCCGTATCTGCGGAAGTCAGTGACGGTGTCGGCGCCGGAGAAGGAGGTTTGCGAGACTGTCGGGGTGCAGGTGGGTGGTGGTGGTGGGGATGGGCCGATTCAGGTAACGTTTCCGGCCCTGCAGGAGCGGGGGAATGACCCGTTGTTGAGGGCGTGGGTGGAGGGGTTTAAGGGGCTGGGGGTGGGGTTTACGGGTGATGTGCTGGAGGAGGGGAAGATGGTCGGGACAAGGGCTCATGCTGCGTCGATTGATCCGGTTGAGGGGCTGAGGAGTAGTGCGTGTGGACAGCATGGGGCCGAAGCGGGCCGAAGAGAGAATGTTACGGTTGTGACTGGGGTGATGGTGCGCAGGGTTTTTTTTTCGACTGTGGGAGAGGATGTGGTTGCTACGGGAGTGGAAGTGGGCTTGGGGGTTGGAGGGGAGGCGACCGTCACTGCGGACAAGGAGGTCATTCTCGCGGCAGGGGCCTTCCATACGCCGAAGCTTTTGGAGTTGTCGGGTGTGGGGGATAGGAAGTTGTTGTCTGGACTGGGCATTCCGGTGGTGGTGGAGAATTCCGGGGTGGGCGAGAACCTGCAGAACCATCTCATGGGCGTTCTGGTGTCGCAGATGAACAAGATCCCTGAGATGGAGGGAGTCACTCCAGGCATTCAGGCATTGGCGTTCCTCCGCCTGGACGGACAGGAACAGGCTGATCTGGCTGCCAGGTACCTTACCCACGAGCAAGGAGTCGAGAAGGTGATTCGTGGCATTCTCAAGAGTCCCAACGAAGCGACTGCCTTTCTGCTTCTGGGCATGCTCCCCGGCGACATGTCCATCATCGTCATGATCCCGTGCTTCCCAGCCTCCCGCGGCAACATCCACATCACTTCTACGGACTTTGCAACTGAGTCTAAATTCGACCCGCGCTTCTTCTCGCACCCGCTGGACATCGAACTGATGGCCAGACATTACCAGAAACTGCAGCAGGTGCCTCTGCTTCCAGAGCTACAGCCTTTCTTCCAGCCCTTGGCCGCTCCGGCAGATCTGGAATCGACTAAGGAAGCGCTCCGCACGGCGGCCGCGCAGTCTGCTCACCACACCTGCGGAACGGCTGCGATGCTGCCTCGAGAGGCGGGCGGCGTGGTGGATCAGGAATTGAGGGTGTACGGAACACGCAACCTGCGGGTGGTTGACGCCAGTGTGTTTCCGCTGATGCCGCACGGGAACCCCATGTCGGTGGTGTATGCTGTGGCTGAGAGAGCGGCGGATTTGATCCAGACGGGGAAGTAGTCTGTTACTTACTTTCAACGTGCAGTCGGGCCAAAAAATGTACCTTGGAGGGTGGGTTTAGTTTAATGAAGCCTGGCGTTTTCTTAACTCGTGGGGTGCTTCTAAGTAATATTGTGAACTGTCCAGTAACATTTAACATCAAGCATGTACAAGTGCTGCTGCCTAAGGTAACAGCTATGCTCTTTTGATTGATCTTCAGACATATACTTCACATAATCATTACTAGTATCTTGCGGGTCAATCATTTGAAGGAGCAGTCAATGTCAAATTCTATATATTCATTCTACCCCACACGCATATCGACAAGGTACTGATATATCCATCACCAAACCATATATACCACCCAACAATCCCGTTACCTCCTCCACCATATACACTCCCCAGCTGAAACCCCTTCCATTATCATCATTATATATACCATCCATCCATCCAACCATCCATCCATCCATCCATCCATCCATCCATCCATCCATCCATCCATCCCATCGCACACTCCAGCCATTGTGCATATCACCCGTTGTGTATATCACCCATATTATATATAGTACCACCCCACCAAACCCTACTCCTCACCCTACACTTCACCCCCCACTCCTCCCCCTCACCGGTCAAATCCCCACCATCCCAACCCAACACAACCTCCCCCCCTCCCGTTCTTCCCACCACTCACTCCCCACGCCCGTCTTCGCATAAAACAGCCCCTCGGGATCCCACTTGCGCTTTACCGCCAACAACCGCTCGTAACTCTCCCCGTAAAACACCCCCTGCCAGTCCGGCTGGTGGATGTCCGCTTCGTTGAGATACGCCCCGCTGTCGGGGGTGATGGCTTCGAGGAAGGGGAGGAGGACGTCCGTCATGAGTTGTTGGTTTGCGGCGTCGAGGGCGCGGTTGGTGAAGTTGTATGGTCTGTTTTGAGGTTTAGTGGGGGGGTTTATATGTTGAGGGGTGGGTTTGGGGGGGAGGAGGGTAGCATAGAGACTACTAGGGTCAAAAGGTACTAGCTAACCAGCTAACTAGCTATACCGAAGCAGACAAGAGAGTTGGGGGGGGGGGGGGAGGGGAGGGAACATACAACCCCAAAACAATATCAATGGCACTCTCCCTCCACGCCGGATTGACCGCGTTATCAGGGATCGCATGTCGGGAGACATTCAGCGATACGCCTGAGATGGCCGCCCCGTAGCCGGCTATTTGCTTGAATGCGCGCATCAGGTCGCGCATTTTGGAATTGACTGTTGATCGCGGGATCAGTCGGCCTCCGATTTGCGATTCCGTGACGTTGCTGAGTGGGTTCATGGTCGTGTAGCTGGAGTAGAAGGTTGGGAAGGGGGAGATGTGGTATGCTGTGTTTTTATGTCTTTTGTTAGTTTATCTGGTTTAACTGGTTCAGAATGCAGTTCAAGAATGGATATTGACCGGGGTAGGTGGGAGGAGAATTGAAATCGAATGGAAAAGGCAGGGGGGAGGTGGGAAATGGAGAGAGAGAGAAAAAGAAACGCATAGAGAGGAGGGAGAGGAAGAGAGAGAGAGAGAGAGAGAGAGAGATAGGAAGAAGGAAGGGAAAACATACAATAAGTAACATTCCACTGCTCCAAAACCCCCACAATCCCGCCAACCACCCCTCCAACCAACCCCCCAACTCCCCGGCACCGTCACCGGCGTCACCCCAAACTCCCCCCCCTGGAGCATCCAAATCGCCGCGCCCCCCACATCCCCCACCGCCGCAAACCCACTCACCAGCCTCTCCACCACCCCCCAAAACACCTCCCCGGGCACCCCCCCGTCCGCCCGAAACGTCAAATTCGCCGTGACGACACCCCCATCCGGATACACCTTGCTAGTCATGGAGACCACGGCGCCGAACACACCGCCCCCGCCACCGCAGAGCGCCCAGTACAGATCCTCATTTTCGGTTCGTGAGGCAGTGAGAAGTGTCCCAGAGGCAGTGACAACCTCCCACTCGAGCACCTGGTCCGCAGCGAGCCCGTACATGGATGCGAGCTGCCCGTGACCCCCGCCTTGGGTGTATCCGCCTGCCAGGCCGACGGATTGGCAGTTCCCCGCCACCAGGGTGAACGGGGTAGGGCTGGCGTGGTGGGCGAATGTGAGGGCTTCGTGGACTTGGATGCCCGCGCCGAATTGTATGGCGGGGCCGGTGTAGAGATCCTTTCCTCTCTCACTCTCATTTCTATCATCACTCACACTACCATTTCCACTCCCACTCCCGCTCCCGCTCACAACCTTGCTGGTATAGTTCCGAATAACCCGCATATCCTTGAGATGATGCGTCCACAGCGCCAACGCCCCACTCCCCGTCGACTTCCCCAGATAATCATGTCCGGTGTTTCTGATCACCAGACGCAGGTTATGCGTTCTGGCGAAGTTGATGGTCTGGATGTAGTCGTCGGCGCAGGTGGCGTTGACGACGTAGGCTGGGAGCGCGCCGAGCGTGCAGGGGGCGTCTGGGGGGAGGAACGGGTTGCAGGTTTCCGTGTTGAACCAGGGCGCCATGGGGGAGGAGGGGGAGGTGTAGTGCGTTTTGGGCAGCGGCCAGTCGGCGCGAAGGGTCTGGCAGGCGGAGGCGTTGTAGGGGGGGTGGTTGGGGGTGGTGTGGCAGATGCTGGCGAGGGGAGTGGTCGAGATGAGTTTGCCGTTTAGGGTGGCGTTGAGGAGCGTCCATTCGGAGGGGGACGGCCAGCAGGGGAGGTGGGGGTGGCAGCGGCAGGTTGGGGATGGTGTTAGGGATGGTGTTAGGGATGGGATTGGGGATGCAATTAGGGAGGAGGATTGGGGGATGGCGATCGTAGTGGTGGGTATGGTTAAGGACAGGAGGAGGGTGAAGAGCAGCATTGTGGATGTGTGAGTAGGATTGGCATTAAAGAAAGAGGGACCTCCTGGAAAGAAGATTGCCAAAACCTCTAAACTCGGGATTGGATCCTATCTTGACAATGGTATACGGGCCAAAGGAAACCGGGTTCTATATGAAGCTTTGCTGACCCCTCGCCGACCACGCTTTCAAACAGGGAAAATGCAGTCCCAATGCCCATTGTCTCAGCGAATACGACTCCATCCCCACATCAACTCAGGTACGGGTCCACATGGCGTCAACGTCGCGTGTTCTCGAAGCTCGGAATCTTCCATTGCAGGACCCGGTGTCTCGGGGTGGAGTCTGGAAGGATATGCTTCGGGCATTCTTACTGGGCTCTCGCTGCAATTCTTACTTCAACGAGGCCTATCATATCCTCTTCACGCCCCATGCCCCCACGTGGCGCTCCCTAGCATCGAAGAAGAAAGTCGGCCTCTCAACGGGACGGCGTACATAACCCTAACCCGGTGAGGCTGGCCCGGATAGGGCAGACCCGGCATCAGAACATCATACCCCCAACCCCACATCCTTGACAGTAATCTTCATCTCTGGTACTCCGTTTCAGGTGGCGGGCCGATCCACGTGGCCGAATCTAGTATTCTTATGCTGATGCTGATGCTGATGCTACATCGTATAGATGCGACGCTGACCAGCTGACTGACTGCACCTGTCACGTCAGCCTGTCGTGCGTCTCGGGGGATATTAGAATTCAATCGCAGAGTTAGGCGTACTAATCAGATTCATGGTATTGGCAAGTCATGTTGGTGTGGCCAGTACTGAGATGCACATATTGCGAGGGCACTGATATTAGTCTATCCACGACACCCCCCAACTTGCACATACAGTACTTCCCAGAGTACGGAGTGAAAATAAGAATGAACCCATGCAGGCCCCACTCTCCCATTCCTCCGTGATCGTCACATCACGCCAATCGGACTGAGTAGCGTCGCCACTAACTCAGTACTAGTGTATCTACTATCTGTGTTGACTGCAGGGTCTAGATCTCCGATCTCAACAACTACGTTACCTACTACGGAGTACTCCGTAGTAGATAGCCTGCGCTAATTTCTGACAGCGCCCGGCACGCGCGGGACAGACGTGATAGGGTGGGTGGTTAAGCATATTTCTTTTGATATCCGAGGACGTAATTATGCTGATTTGCAGTGGTCAGCGATAGCAAGTGGCCAAGTCGCGAGCTGGGGCTTTTTAGATTGGCTGTGGAGGTTACACCAAAGAGCAGATAGACTATCACCAGGCAGCAGGCAGCAGGTAGCGAGGTGAGGAGAATGAGGTCTAATGACGAATACGAGGGATATGTAACCCGAGTTTCTTGGCTGACGGGGCCCACTGGGGGTATCGATATCCGATCGATCGCGGATCCAACATCCTGGTCCCTATAGCCAGCCCGATATTTCCCTATGCCTGTAACAACCAAGCAACCCTATCAAATCCACACCAAACCATCACATTCACACACACACACACACACACACACACACACACACACACACACACACACACACATACACATCAACTTAACCACCTACGCACCCCTATCCCCCAAACACGGCAACAAATACAGTCCCACCAACCAAGCACACCACGCCCTCCACGCCCCTGCATCATCCCTCCGACACAACACCCATGTCGCAACGCAGCCCCCAACCCCCCCAGCCCCAGATACACCCACCACCCACCACTCCAAAACCAAACACAAGCCACGCTCCACACCCCCACGAACCCCGCCACGAGCGCGCGCGAGCACCGCTCCCCCAGCACAATCGGCAGGGTGCGCCGCCCGCGACTCCGATCGCCCGCCTGGTCCTTCAGATCCTGGATCTGCATCGTCGTGAGAATCACCCCGCTGATCAGGGCGCTCCAGATGTAGCCGGTGGGGGTGGGGTGGATGTCTTCCATTGTTGTCATCGTCATGCTGGGTAAGGTGGTGCTTCCCCTGCTTCCAGACCCACGCCCCCCACTCCCATCGAAACACGCAATCCGCAACGAAGCCACGTTAAAAAGTCCGTACGCGACCGCAATCACCGCATCACGAATAATCTCATCACCCGCCCGGAGGTCGTTGTACAGCCAGGTGATGAGCATGATCAGGGCTGTTTCCTGCCACACGCCCAGGTGGTAGTTCAGGGCGAGCACGGCGGGGATGGCGCCTAGCAGCAGGCGGCGGGTCTGGGTGGCGGTGATGCGGTTGGATGGGAGGGGGCGCCACGGCTTGTTGAGGTGGTCTTCTTGGATGGATTCGGGGAGGCGTTGGTTGCTGAGATCGAAGATTAGGACCGTGGCCCAGTTGAAGAGGATTGTGGGGGGGCGCGGTGGAGGAGGTGGATGTGGGTGTGGGTGTGGGCGTGGGTTAGGGCTGTGGTTGAGGGGATGGGGATGGGGATCGTGATGGGGCGGTGGTGAGGGGGACGCGGGCGAGGGATCCGAGGAGGCCGAAGAGGGAGTTCGGCAGGACGAACGTGGGGAAGTTGCTTTCGGTGAAGTGCCAGATGAGGGGGGGGAGGGTGGTGAGGGTGAGGGTTGGTGGGGGTGGGGGGGTGGGGGGGGATTTGGAGAGCGTCATTCCGAGAGATGTTTTGTAGGTCGTGCTGGACTATCTGGGATATAGCAGAAGGAGGAAAGTCGGCTGGGTCAGGGTGCGAGGATAGCGCTTAGTGGGGGAGGACGGTGGTGGATCGACGTCGGGTCTGGTCTAATATATACTCTATAGAGAGCCCTGATGCGATCCGATCAGGAGGCTCAAATATTGATCCGTCTGGCATATACCACGCTCTATCACCGCGTTTGGCGCACGGCGACGCCGTTGACAGCTGGCATGGCTACATGCACGCATCACAGCCTCGTCCATCATATCCCCATCCAACCCATTGTCTTGACCCCCCCGCTCTCGTGCGCTGGACAGCCATCTTGAGTGGTCCGCGCGCGGTGACACGGATACGTGATCGAATAAGAAAACCCATCGAGCCGCAGGGCAAGTACATGGCAGACGAGGAGCCTCGGAGCCTCAGCTTCTATCTCGACATCAGTGTCAGCCAGCATGAACAATCCACTCGCGTTGACTGTCGGCGCGGTGACCGGCGTGGTCATGCACCACGGCGTCTTCATCCACGGTGAATGGCACCTCCAGGCCCCGAGTATCCTGGTGGGACATGTGTCTGTCTTTGCTGTGCTGCTGCTTGCAAGCACCCGCTCCTCCTGGCTCCTCATCGCAGGCTATCTGCTTTCCCTCTTCGCCAGCATCACCATCTACCGTCTGTTCTTCCATCCTCTGCGCCACTTCCCAGGCCCGCTTGGGGCACGGATCTCCAAGCTCTGGCATGTCTGGCAGGCGAGGAAGTGCAAGAACTTCCTTGTTCTGGACGCTCTTCACGCTCAGTATGGCGACTTTGTCCGCACAGGCATGTCCCATCCCCCCCATATCACGCGAGGCATAACTAACAGGCCAGGCCCCAACGAACTCACCATCTTCCACCCGGACATCTACATCGCCCTCGACGGGCCCAAATCCCACTGCATCAAAGCGGAGTGGTACGACCTCCTCCACCCCAGGCAATCCCTCGTCACGACGCGCGACAAAGCCATCCACGCTGCTCGTCGGCGACAGTGGAACCGCGGGTTTACTGCTAAATGTATCCCCTCCCCTCCCCTCTCCGAAAAAAACAATAAGAATCAACAAAAGAAAGAAAGCTAACAGCCCAGCCCTCGCGCAATACGAAGCCAAGATCCTCACCTACATCGACGACCTCGACGCGCTGATCTCCCACGACGCCGCCCACCAGAACACCACAGAAATCAACCCGCTATTCTACTGGTTCGGGTTCGACACGATGGGCGACTTCGTCTTCAACAAGTCCTTCGACATGCTGCACCGGGGCGAGTGGCACTTCGTGATCGTGCTTCTGCGACGGGCGATGTCGATCCTGGGCCCGTTGAGCCCAGTGCCGTGGGTTGTACAGATAGCGTTTCGGCTTTGTCCGCGCGTGGGGATCGTAGGGGACTGGTTTCGCATGATGGGTTGGTGTGAGGGGCAGATGAGGGAGAGGATGGGGGTACTTTCCTCTTTTCATTACCTCCGTTAAATTACCTACCTACCCTTTCTATCTCCATAGCCAACTGTTACGCTAACCGGTGGATTAATATGCATATGCATATAGCTCCCCGCAAACCCAACCCAAACCCCGGACGTTGCATTCTACCTCCTCGAAGACGCCAAAACCCACGCATCGCAGATCCCCTGGCTCACCGGCGACAGCATCCTCGCCATCGTGGCCGGCAGCGAGCCGACGGCTAGTACCCTGATTGGCATCTTCTGTGAACTGGCGCGGGGTCCCGTCCACGCGGATAGGATCTATCGTGAGATTCGGACTACGGGCGTGGATGTGAATGACCCCCGGGCTCTGGCGAGGGAGTGTCCGCATCTGGAGGCTGTGGTTGCCGAGGCGTTGAGGCTCTATCCGGCGTTGTTGACGGGGGGGTATCGCAAGACGCAGGGGGAGGGGATGTGGATGGGTGGGAAGCATGGGGAAGAAGGTGCGGTGTTTGTGCCGCCGTTTACGACGGTCGTGGCGCCGAGGTTTTCGGTTATGAGGAGTATATCTTCCTTTTCTGTTTTCTTTATGGGAGGGAGGGATGTTATGGGTGACTGGAAACTGGGATGATTGGGTAGTAACTATGGTGTTAATGATGCTCTGTATAGGAGAAGACTGCTTCATCCGCGCCAGCGAATTCCTCCCCGAGCGATGGTCCGATGAGCCCTGGCTGGTGAGAAATAGGGCTGCGTATGCGCCTTTTGGGACTGGTATCTAGCTAGCCCTCTCTATTCCTTCAATCCCTCCTTTTCCATCCTTCAACCGTTCCGGTCCTTGGCTTTCTTTCTCTTCCTCTGTTCCATTTATATTTCCTTGATGCTTTCCCAATCTGATCTATGTATCTATCTCTGCTCCCCAGAACTCTCACTTCTTGCCTCTCGACACTCAATACTGATGCGTGTCTGCAGGCCACCACAGCTGCCTCGGCCGCTTCCTCGCGATGGACGACATGCGGCTCGTCACGGCCCGACTGGTGAGTAAATACCACGTACGCCTGGCACCAAGGGACACGGGGGAGGCGGTGATGGGGGAGATGACGGATCAGTTTACTTCGAATCCGGGAATGCTGAGGGTTAGGTTTGAGAGGAGGGTATCGGCATCGGCATCGGTATCGTCGTGAAAGAGTATCTGTGCCAGTGTGTGGTGGATGGGTCGAGGTGAGGATGTAGGTAGTATCTAGCTGTTGGATGGTGAAGAAAAAAGGGGAGGATGTGTGGGTATGGGAATATAAGAACTTGAAAGGAAGAGGATAGAAGTATATATATTAAATAAAGAAGTAGGAAGATGGATAGGGCCAAGTCAAGGTTCTCCCAGTGGTAGACCTCCCCATCGGTCAGTCCACTCCCCGCTGAATCTGAATCTCATGTCGCACGCTAATCCCTCCTCTCCTTCCTCTCCCTCCTCCACCCATCCCACCCCCCTTGACCAATTCCGCCAACGACCCCTGACTCTCCCCATCCCCATCCCCATCCCCATCCCCACCATGGCTAGAGCCATCCCCCTCCCCCCGCTCCTCATCACGATTATCACGATCATGGTACTGATGATGATGATCACTCCCCCTCCCCACCCTCGTCTCCACCCCAGTCCCAAACTCATACCCTTCTCCTTCCCCCCAACTCCCATCCGCCCCATTCCCAGCCCTACTCCCACTCCCCATTCCCATCCCCATCCCCATCCCATCCTCAAATACACTATCCTTCCCAACACCCTTCCTCCGACTCGACGGCTCACTCCCAATAGTATGCAACGCCTCGCGCAACCGTCCCGGCTGATTCCCATTCCCATTCCTATTTCTATTCCGATTCCCACTCCCCCCACTCCCCGACAAATACCTCCCCAAGCACGGCTCGACGTACAGCCGGAACAGCGGCGCCAGAGTCGGCAGACTCACGACGATCATGCTCAGCCAGAGCTCAAGGAAACTGACCAGGCCGACGAGGTACAAGCCGTGGACGAAGTCGAGGTTTGTGCTTGGGTCGAGGGTGATCTCGAGACGGTAGGCCATTATTGCTACGACTCTGTTTGGTTTCGTTAGTAATGGGTGGGGGGTTCATTAATCTTGATGTTGAGGGTGAGGTAAAGATTGTATGAAGGGGGGGGGGGGGGGGGGAAGAAACATACACCAACCCCATCGCAAACATGACACTAATTGTCAGTTTATTCCTCACAGACATCTTTAATCTCCACAGTGCCGGGATGGGTAACACGGCGATGGCCGTATCAATAAACATATTCAGACTGATGGAGAGGATCTCCTGGATGAACAGCGAGCGACACTTCCCGCCGGGGACCGGGTGCCACCCGTACGAGATGGGGTGGCACTGCGTCAGGAACAGACAGACGAAGGCGATGAAGTAGCTGATCACGATGGCGGTCATCGCCCAGATGGCGTAGGTGAAGCGCTGTGACGGGAAGAGCGTCCAGTAGAGCGCGATCATGGAGAGTTTGCAGCTCACTGTGCCGACGAGCCAGGTCATGCTGCTGCCGACGATTAACTGGGTTTGGTTAGGGTTGGTTATTATTATTATTATAATTGTTCTTGTTGTTGTTCTGATTGGAGTAGGGAGGGGAGAGGGAGAGGGAGAGGGAGAACCAGAAGACAAACCTGGTATTGCACCCCGAGCTCATAGGTAGTGAGCTCGGAGGTGTGCGCGCCTAGCCCGTTGGCGATGGCCCACCATGTTAGGGCAGACATGCAGCAGGTGCTTGTCTATTTTTATTAGGGGTTTGCGTTGATTAATAGATTAAGAGAGGAGGGATAGTAAGCTAGATAGCCATAGCATAGGATCGACTCACATAAGCCAGCAAAATCAGATAATCATGGAGTTTAAACGCCCGCCTCTTCACACGAATTGCCCACAGCCGCAGCCCCAGAACCACTGTCGTGAGGACCGTAAAGACAATCATCCAGATCATCAGTTTGAGACCGCCGGGACTTACGGTGCCCATTTTGCTGTGCTGTGCTGTGCTGATCTGATCTGATACTGGCCACACTACTGATGGCAGTATGGTAACCGGTGATGGTGTGGATACTGGTGTTGCTGTCGGTGCAGATACAGCTGCGATGGGAGGATGGATGAGCAAGCGAGCAAGCAAGCCAGCCAGCCCGCGAGCGAACGCCCAGAAATAACACCCTCAGCCGTACATGGTGCCTCGAGGACAAATGGCCAAGTCAGGTCAGGTCAGGTCAGGGAGACCTGCAGGGAGCCGCGCGGGGACTTTCGCGTTTATCAGAGCAGGGCTCGTTACCCTCCGCTGGGGGCACAGGTTCGGTCCAGGCCAGGCGGGCAGGCGGGCAGCGTCGCAGTGCAGCAGATCGATCGGCGTGATGACTGCATTTGGGGGGGGGGGGGGGGGTAACAGGTGAAATTAACAGGAGTGAGGAGTGGGAGGGACAAGGGGTGGTGTGGTGGTGGCGTTGTGGCCTCGGAGGGTAGATGGGGAATAGGGTTAGGATGGGATGGATGGATGGATGGGGGATGGGATTGGGGAATGGGGAATGAGGAATGAGGAAGGGTCTTTTCCCCGCAGGTGGACAGGCTGCAATCTGAGTCAGCTGGAAGTGTGTTGTGTTGTGTTGTGTTACACTATCAATAAACATTAAACATGCCCTTTATCTGTCTGTCATCTTTACTTCATCATCGCATCATCCCTCCCTCTTTCCACATCACCATCAATATCCTCGCCATCGACAGATTAAATCAACACAACAGCAACACTAATCATGCCTCCCCTCCCCTCCCTCACCCCAACCTGGCATAACACCACCTACCCCTCCATCTCGCCCACCCGCCCCGACCTCTCCGCCGCCAACAGAACCATCATCATCACCGGCGCAGTATTCCTTCCCTCCACCCCAACAAGCAACACTAATAATCTCCCAGGGCAGCGGCATCGGCCGCGCCACCGCACTCTCCTTCTCCCGCGCCGGCGCCCACAAAATCATCCTCATCGGCCGCACGCTCTCCACGCTGATCGAGACCCAGAGCGCGCTCTCCTGCCCCAGCTCCGTCCACGCCTGCAGCGTCACCGACGAAGCCTCTCTCGCCACGCTCGCCTCGGAAATCGGCCCCTGGGATGTCCTGATCCTAGGCGCGGGGTATCTAGCCGGTCCGGCGACGATCCGCGACTCGGGGGCGGAGGATTGGTGGGGGAGTTTTGAAGTATTCATTCCTTCCTTCTTTCTTCACCCCTCTCTCAAGTCCCTCCCAACTCATGGAGAAAGACGCATAAGGCAATCAAGGGGACTAATAACAGTCTCCTGGTTTGGACAGACAAACGTAAAAGGCGCCTACCTGCCCATCAAAACGCTCCTCCCCACAGCCCGTCCCCAGCATGCGACCATCATTGCGATCACGGCGATCACGACTTTCCCGGCCACTGCACTACCAGGTCTCTCGGCGTACGTCGGTTCGAAACTGGCCCTGCACAAGGTCATCGAGTTCGTGGCGGCGGAGAACCCGAATGTGTTTGCGGCGGCGCTGCATCCCGGGATGGTTGAGACGGGGGTGTTTCGCAAGAGTGGAGGGGATAAGGAGCGGTTGCCGATGGATGATGGTATTTTCTCCTCTTTTTCTTTGATATTGTGTTGTGTTGTGAAGCTAACAGTCTGTAAACAGTCTCGCTGCCGGCGGATTTCATGGTGTGGCTGGCGAGTCCCGAGGCGGCGTTTCTGAATGGGCGGCAGGTGTGGGCGAATTGGGATGTCGAGGAGCTGAAGCTGAGGAGGGGAAGGATTGGAGGGGGGTTGGAGTTGACGGCGGGGGTTTATGGGTGGCCGTTTAGGAGTGGATTGTAGATGAATAGCTGTAGCTGTAGTGGTGTGGTGATGCCTGGGGGATCTGTATTTTTAGGGCGGATGGGGAGAAAGAACCGTTTTACTACTACTAATGAGCATGAATTATGATCACACCTATGATTATGACATTCACAGCCAATCACAAACATAAATACTCCAACTGCCCTCTACCATCTAACAGAAGAATACTAAATATTTCCCAAACAATCTGATAAAATAGTCAAAAATAAAAAAATAGTATAGTAAAAATAATACATATCAATAACGGAACAACAATCTCCCTCCCTCATCCGCATCAGCCCCACCCACCACCCGCCCTAACCCAACCCAGCCTAGCGCCATCCCCAAAAAATTCCCTGGCGTCTTTGCTCGGCCTCACTCTCGACCATCCATCCAACACGACTCTTCCCACCTTCCAACCCCCCCCCACCCCCCAACCGCATTCACATCTCTCACCATGCCCAAGCGCAGCAAGCTCCTCCAGGCCCTGGACGACCACCGCGGTCGGGACTACGATGCCGAGAAGCAGAAGAAGCTTGTCAAGGCCGCGCGGAAGCGGAAGGGCGTGAGTGCGGAGGACGAGAAGGCGTTTAACGAGAAGAGCAAGAAGGAGCAGAAGGAGGAAGATAAGAAGAAGAAGGCGGAAGAGGAGGAGGAGGAGGAAGAGTCCGCCAGCGACGAGCCAGAAGCCACCCCCGAAGAGACCTCGGAATCACCGTCACAAGAACAAGACGACGAGGAAGAAGAAGAAGACGAAGAAGAAGAAGAAGAAGACATCCCTCTCAGCGACCTCTCCGCGGACGAAAGAGAAGACATCATCCCGCACCAACGCCTCACCATCAACAACAGCACCGCGATCACCGCCTCCCTGAAACGCATTTCCTTCCTCACCCCCGCGACCCACTTCTCGGAACACAACTCGCTCGTCAGCGCCGAACCCATCGACGTCCCCGACGCCAACGACGACCTGGCTCGCGAACTCGCCTTCTACAAAGTCTGCGCCGCGGCGGCCGGCACCGCGCGCGCCCTGCTCAAGAAGGAGGGCGTGCCGTTCACGCGCCCCGGCGATTACTTTGCCGAGATGGTCAAGACGGATGAGCACATGGGGCGCATCAAGAAGAAGCTGTTTGATGAGGCTGCTGGCAAGAAGGCTGCCGCGGACGCCAGGAAGCAGCGCGATCTCAAGAAGTTCGGGAAGCAGGTCCAGGTTGCCAAGTTGCAGCAGAGGGCGAAGGAGAAGAGGGAGACCTTGGAGAAGATTAGTGCGTTGAAGAAGAGTATGTTTTTTTTTTTTTTTTTCCATCTTCCCCTCTTATATATCTTCCTTCCATCCTTGTTCCTATTTCTTTCTTTCTTTCTTTCTTTCTTTCTTTCTTTCTTGTTACGTGTTGTGGGTTGGTTTGGGTTGGGTTGAGATGAGATGGATGGATGGCCTTCCACGCACTTTGAAATGGTTCAAATGCTAATATACATGTTCCCACAGAGCGCAAGGCCGACACCGCCGGTCCCACCGAAGACAAAGACAACCTGTTCGACGTGGCCATCGACGACGCCGCGCAGCAGACCGCCGGACGCAAGCGCGGCCGTGACGCCGAGGGCGGCCCCTCGCTCAAGCGCCAGAAGAAGAACGAGCGCTTCGGCTTCGGCGGCAAGAAGCGCCACATCAAGAGCGGCGACGCCATGTCGTCGGGTGATCTGCGCGATTTCTCCGTCAAGAAGATGAAGGGGAAGGGCGGCCCCAAGAGGCCCGGGAAGAGTAAGCGGGCCGCGGGTCGGAATTGATCTATCCTAGTGTCTATCACTCAAGCATTCATTCCATTGGTTTGATTGATTGATTGATCAATCAATCAATCGGTTAATCGTTATTTGTTGATGGTTGATGGTTGATGGTTGATTGATAATACAGAGTATCTAGTGATGGTGTGTTTTTTCTGTATGTTATTATATTATCATGTTAGGTTAGATACCGGTCGGGTCCTAAAAGCAGTGTGTTGTGTTTGTTATAGACAGTTTTGTGGTTTGTATTGAAAGATATCATAAGGTAGGTAAGGTAGGTATCTGAGGGAACGGTCTGTCTGTCTTAAGGTAGGAAAGGTAGTCATAGCTGGTATCTTATCATCTCTCGTGCTGTCTGGACGTGATGTGATGTGATGTATCTCGCGGCTGCATGTCACTGCATCTGCATCCCACTGCGTAAATCACTCCATCGTCGCCGTGTGCCTGTCTGTCCGTCTGTCCGTCTGTCCGTCTGTCCTTCCGTCGCATCAGCCCATGCATGTGGATGCCACGCCGTCTCGGCTGTCGGCTGTCGGCTGTCAGCTGTCAACTGTCTCATCGGCTGTCCTATCTATTCTGCAGTCTGGAGCTATCCCATTCCCAGTAGACTGACTAGCCATCTGCCAGAGGCATCCATCAACCACAGAATCAACCACAGAATCAACCACACCATGAACCAGAACAACCCGCTCTATCATTATCATCATCAGTGAGTCAGTCAGTCAGTCATCTCATTACACCGACAGCCCATTCACCGCGACGCCCTCCGCCAGCTCCCCAATCGCCGCGCCCGCGCCCAGCTCCCTAATCCGATTGAGCAGATTATCCACCGGCAGCCCAACATTCAGCCTCTGTTCCGCAAACACCAAATCCATCTTCGCCTTGGCATCGTCCGCGTGCGCCAGGGAATGGTCCTCGATCATGTCCTTCCCGCGCTTAGAATGGCTCTTGTGAATGACCTTCCCGCATCCCCGCACCTGACACGTCCATGTATCCGACAGACTATCGTCGGCATCGGGGGGATGGTCCATCTCCGACGGGTCGGCGGTGGGTTCGCGGTCCGCAGCCGACACGGAGGTGTTCCGGCTCTGGAGGGTTTCCTGGAGGGGCGCCTTCTGGTAATTCGACCCGGAGTCGGAGAGGATGGAGCGGGTTCTGCGTTTGGCGCGCGTGGAGAGCGGATCGCGGACAAGATCGTGCCCGCGGACTTTGCTGGGGGTCTCGAGGTCGTCCATCGCGTCCGGGTTGGGATCTGATGCGTAGGCGTCGTCTGGGTCTGCTGCCGCCGCCGCGCTGCGCGTGCGTTTCCCGGTGCGTTTGGACGCGACGGAGGATTTAGGTCGTAAGACGGATTTGCGGACGCGGCGACGCCGGGGTTTGGGGGCGTCGTCTGGCTCGCTTTGGTCGCCGTCGCCGTCGCCTTCGCCTTCGCCGGAGGAGACATTGTTTTCGGCGGGCCGGGGCCGTAGGGGCGTGAGGGTGATTTCTTGGACGCGGTTCTTGCGCGACGCGGCTTTGAGTTCCCGGTAGATGACCTTGCGGGACCAGTCGAAGTTGTAGGTTTTGGCGTCGTCCATGAGGGAGAGGATGGCGTCGGCGCGGGAGGAGACGAGGTCGTGCGCGTATTCGGGGCCGTCGATCTCGAAGCGGGAGACTAGGGTGGTGAGGAGGAGGTCGAGGTTGAGTTGGCGTTTGGCCAGGTAGCCTGCCTCCTTGAGGTCGAGGATGACGGCGTATATAGAGTCGGCTTGTCCTTTGGATAGACCGGTGGAGTCGGGCTCGTGTGTCTTCTCTTCTTTCATCTCGTCGTCTTCCGATTCTTCGTCCTCGGACTCTACCTCCTTCACGCCTTCGTACTGCGCTTTAATCTGCTCGTAATCCTCCTGCGCGGATTAGCTACTGCTAGCTTGAAAGAGGGAGAGGACAACATACCGGGAACTTCTCACACAGATGCTCGAAAATGCTCGTATTCGTCCACTGCACGTTCTCCTCGCCCTTCAGCATGCGGGACAGCAGGAAGTGATGATGTTTGTAGAACACCTCTGCGGAATCGTCTGCGTCCTCGCAGATGCCGTGCGTATGGCTCACGTACTGGGAGAATCAGCACCATCCAACACAATCCATCACTTTCAACGCCCTCCGCAACCTGAGCAACTCGCCCACCCCCACATTATAATCCCCGAAGCAGAAAACCTACCTCATCGCACAAATACTCCACACTGGGGTTCCACCCCCTCTTGCGCCGTTTCGACTGATGGCGATCGGCCAGAAAATACAGCAAGTCAATAGCCTCGACCACGTCATTGAACATGGGCTTGTAGCCCTTGGCGGGGGAGATGGCGAACCAGCCGGCGCGGCCGGCGACCCAGAAGCCGACTTCGCCGTCATTGTGCTGGCCGTAGGCGAAGTGGGTGACGTTTTCGAGCACGATGCGTTTGGTGAGGTAATCGGGGTCGAGGACTGTTTTACAATTTAGTTGGTCAGCGGCGCTGTACTGTGTTTGGTTGGGTTGGGAGGGAGGGGAGGGGAGTGGGGAGAGAATGGGATGGTGCTGTGAGGTGATATGATGCACAGGGTGGGAGAGGATACCCAATCGCTCCTGCTCATCCTCCACCTCATCCAGACAGCCCGTCACCTGGACGGGAGTCTCCGGCGAGGCCGTGAGCAGATTGGCATAGCGGGACTTGCCCGGCAGCAGGACGCGGACCTCGGAGAGGCTGAACTCTTCCCAGTCGTTCTCGTCGGCGAGAGACGGGTCGCGGGCGGCGAGGACGTTATCTTCTCGCGAGGTCATGGCGGGGGGGGGGACATGGTGTGTTGGGAGGGAGACGTGAGGGACAAATTCGAGGGAGAAGTAGAGCGAGAAGGAGAGGAAGGAGGGAGGGAGAGAAAGAGAGGGGATAGCGAAACGATGAATGAAGACGTCCGGCGTCGTCACTCGTAACGAGGAGAGCTACTTTACCTACTTTACCTTACTCCAGTCCGTACCTTAGTAAGGTACGGTAGCTGCTGGTCTGTCCCTCATACGCAGCCATACACTGTCTCCCGCCCGCTCTCACGCTGGGGCAGACTGGATTCCTGGTATTTACAACCCAGTACACCAATCCCGGTAAGTTACCAGCTCCGGCCGCGCTCGAAAATCTCTCGACGGCTTCACTGACTTCATTCCACTCCACCTTCGCATATCTTCTTCCATTTCCATTTTCAATTCTACTCCCACTTCCACTCCCACTCCCCCACCTATCCAGCCGGTCAATTGCGCGCAATCGTCCCGGTTACCATCCATCTCTTCCCATCCTCTCAGTCCGCCGATGGCCGCGCGCCGCGCCGTGCCATTCTTCCGCACCACCATGTCCGGCGAAAAGATCTACGAGGGCGTGTTTGGTATGTCCATCTCTCAAGCCTGTCCAACCCCCTCCCCCTCCCCTCCCCTCCCCTCCCCGCTCCCCAACCCCCGAACCTAACGAAATAATAATAATAATAATAATAATAATAAAAGCCATCCACAAACCCCCCACCCTCTCATCCGCGACCGTCCTCCGCGACCTGCAAAAACACTTCAACCCCTCATCGACCTTCGCGCCCTGGCTGGCGCACGAAACCGCGCGCCTCGCCGCCGAAGACGCCTCCCAGAGCCGGTCCGCGCGCTACAACCCGCGCCACCGGCACCGCAAGAACCGGAACCGCAAACTGGAAGTCAAGATCGGACACGGCGGGACGCTCGATCCGCTGGCGACCGGGGTGCTCGTGGCGGGCATCGGCGCCGGGACGAAATCCCTGCCCTCGTTCCTGGGGTGCACGAAGACCTATACGGCGGTGTTTGTGTTCGGGACGGAGACAGATACCTATGATGTGCTGGGGAAGGTGGTGAAACGGGGCCCGTATGAGCATATCACGCGGGAGATGGTGGAGGAGAAGTTGGGCGCGTTTAGGGGGAAGATTATGCAGAGGCCGCCGATTTTCTCAGCGTTGAGGATTAATGGGAAGAGGCTGTATGAGTATGCGAGGGAGGGGACGGTGCCGCCGGTGGAGATTAAGGAGAGGGAGGTCGAGGTGTTGGATGTGAAGGTCGAGGAGTGGTTTGAGGGGGGGACGCATGGGTGGGGCCCGCCGACGGGGGGGGTTATGGGCGGGGAGGAGAAGGTTGTTGCTGAGAGGCTGTTGGAGATGGAGTCTGGTTCTGGTTCTAAGGCGGAGGGGGCTGGGGAGAGCGAGGGGAAGAAGAGGAAGGATATTGATGGCGATGCGGAGGAGGAGGGGACCGGGAAGAAGTTGAAGGGCGTGGAGGGGGAGGCGGTTCCGGTTGAGACTGAGGCTGAGGTTGAATCTGAGAAGAAGGCTGAAGCTGAGACCCCCGTCGAAGCCGAGACGAAACCCGAGACTGAGACTGAGCCCGCCGAAGAACCAAAGGAAACCCCCCCGGCCGTCCGGATCAGCATGACCGTAACGTCAGGCTTCTACGTGCGCTCCCTCGCGCACGACCTGGGCCGCGCGCTCGGTAGCTGCGGCTACATGAGCGAGCTGGTGCGCAACCGACAGGGCGACTTCGTGCTGGAGCCGTCGCGGGTCCTCGAGTACAAGGACCTGGAGGCGGGCGAGGAGGTCTGGGGGCCTAAGGTGCGGCGGTTCCTGGAGCAGTGGGAGGCGAAGAGGGCGGCGGAGCAGTTGGAACTGCATGAGAAGCAGGGAGGGGAGAAGGAGGAGCAGCAGCAGCAGCAGCAGGCGAAGGAGGAGGCCAAGGAGGAATAGACTATGGTGTGTAATATAAAAAGACATTAAGGCGTTTGTGGGATTAGGGATTTGAATGTGAATATACACTACGGTATAAGGATTAGCACGACTACGATTCAGATAGACCTCGTAACCGCGTAGATAGGTAGATAGGTAGAAAGGTAGGTAGGTAGGTATCTATCGATCCCAACACATGGTATGATATGATACTGTATGGTATGGTATGGTAGCCATGATCTAGCTAATGAGCATGCATACAAGCCAACAAAATCAGCTGAAATGCGCCTGAACCAGGGACGGAACCTGCGGACAAGAAAAGATGTAACATGCTAAGCCAGCACATGTGTCGCAGCCACAATGCATACATAAGAACACAAATGCAAGGCGCACCAATACAAACAGCCACCAACACAGCACCAATAGCCACCACTATAGCAGCAGCACATGCAATTCGACAAGAAACCTCAAAGGGGCTGACAATAGGCTGACGGCTGACAGAAGGAAAGTCTGACTAGAATGTGGGCAAAACAGAGGTCCGTTTTGAAAGGGGTATACCGCTGAAAACACCGGATAGGAAGGAAACGGGAAGGAATGCGTATATGCAGGCGGAAAGGCAGCTCTAGAGCTAAGCGGTTTGGTAGGTGCTGTGGGCGTCGACGAGGGCTGTATATGTTAGCTTGACACAATGACCGGGGGGAATGAATGGAGGGAAATCATGAGGGAGACTCACTCTGAAGCACAAAGGTCTGTCCCTGTCGCGATTCGCAGGCGCACTGCAGCGTGTTGCCATCAAGAAAGTCCAGCAGGATGCTGTTGGGCAGTTCCTGCCGGTCCTCGTCCGGCAGACACGGCGTCCGGAACTCGCTCAGGTGGTACCGCTTCACGATGTTGCGGTTGCTCGAGTCCACGTTGCCCGGTGTCAGCACCAGGTATCCCTTGTCGTCGATCCGCACGAACCGCCGCTTCCACAGGAGGGTGTCGGGGAACTGCACGTTCACCTCGCCAATGTCGATCGCCTGCGGCATCTCGGTGGTCCGCTCGGGACTGGTGCTCGGGGCGACTTCGCTCACAACCGGGCTTACAGCGCTTTTGCGCGAGGTGATAGACGACATCCGGCGGAGGAGCCGCGACGTGCGCGATCCCTTGTCTTCGGGAGAGGAGGGCACATCAATGGATTTGACGGGGGAGGTTGCTTCTTTGGAGGAGGATGGTCGGGTTTCAGGTTGCTCGGGCTCGGACGGCTCAGGCTCGGACGGTTGCTCGGTCTTCGCAGGGGTCGCGCTTTCTTCCGGGCTGGCTTCCGGTTCGGGGGTCACCGGCACCTGCGTGGTTTCCTGCTGCACGGTGATCTGACTGGGCTGCAGGTTTAGCGCGGCGAGGTCCGGCTCAACAGTCGACCCTGCCCGCTCACGCACGATCCGCGCCGTCACCGACACCGAACTCGCAGTGCGCGTGAGGCCCGGGGGACCCGCCTGGGAGCTGGGCCGTCGCAGGCTGGGGGCCCGCGAGAAGGATTCAGGGTGGAAGGATAAGGGGCGGGGGGTCGCACTGTAGCCCTTGCGGATGCTATCAAACGACGGCGCCGCCAGAGATTGGGGGGCCGGCCCGGAGAACTTCTCCAGGGCCTTGATGCGTTGTGAGATGCCTGATGACACGTTGATCTTCTTGGCCACCAGCGGGGCGTTGGCGTCGGCGTCCACAGGCGGCGTCGACACCGACCGGACGGCGACGGTCGGCATGGTGGATGGTTCGGTGAGATGGCTCAAGGCGCTGGGATTCGACACGGCACGCGAGTTCTTCCACGCATCCGGCGACACCTTCCCGTTGCCGCTGTTCGAGTAGCCCGGGGATAGGGGGGAGATGCCCACCGAGATTGGCTTGGCCTCTTCCACCGTAGCGCTGGTCAATTCTTCCATGAAGGAGTCGTCGGACAGCAGGTTATCGTCATCCGAGTAGTCGGGGGTAGGGACTTGGATGGGTTCGAGGTATAGTTTGCGTTTCTCCTTTCGAGTGTTTGATCGCTCCACATGGGATTCAGGGGTCAAGTCATGCTGCGGCTCCGTCGGAGGCTCGGGGATCGACGAGGGAGGGGGGGCAGTCGGCCGTGAACGATGCGGTGGGGATTCGTGTCTGAGAGGAACTTGGTCCGCTGCGGTGGTGAGGACCTCTTGTTCGCCAGGAACAAGAGGGTTGAGGTCTGATGGTGGCGAGGGGCCGACAATTTCTTCGCCGGGGGCTTTTCCAGAAGTGTTCTCAAGTGGGACGTCGATGGCGCTAGGGGAGCAGGGGCCACCCGTAGTGCCGCCGTAATCAGACGCGGCCAAGTCCCTGTCGCCCGGCTGTGTTTCAGGTTCCGAACGAGTGGGCGACCTGTCCGGTTGCGCTGCTGCTGCGAGTGCTGGCGAGGGGGGAGTGTCAGGGGAATCCGAGCCGACGGGGTCGGGCTGGGTAGAAATAGGAGATGGATGCGCCCCCTGATCTGGCTTCGCAGAAAGGGGCTCCTTGGGCTCCTTGGCTGGCGGGACCGTTTCGTCGCCCCCATCGGGCCTCATTTTAGCGGGGAGACGGCCGATGTTCTCCTTATTTTCGGTCCCATCCGACACGCTCCCTATACTCGGCGCTTTCCTCTCCCTGGCCTTGGCCATCTGCGTCTTCCGCATCTGCAGCGCCTTCATCAACCGCTCCTTCTCGTTGGACGTGGTGGAAGACGATAGCGCGCTGAGGGATTTGGCGCCCGGGGATAGCTTGGGCCGCGAGATGGCCATGGACAACGGCGGCACCAGCAATGGCGGCACTGCGGGCACCTTGCTTACCACCGGGGTCCCGTGCCCCTGGGAGCGCGGTCGAGAGGGACTGGGATTGGCCTTGCGCAGGGAGGACGACCGCACGCCCGCTGGCAGCGACGCCACTGGCCGCTGTTCCGCGCTCCGCGACAGGTTGCCCGCCGTACGAGGCCGTCCACTGCCGTCTACGGAAGGTCGGGGGCCCAGTTTGACCTTGGGGGTGATTCCTGCGGCGCGCTCCAGGTCTCGGATCGAGGGCCTGGCCGACTGGGACGATTTGCGGGGTTCCGACGGCGCAGAGTCCTCGCGGAGGGTGCGATTCGACGGCAGCCGTTCCAGCGTGGCTACGGACGGGGATCGTTCGCGGATGGACCCGGCCTCGGAGCCTCTGGTCTCGATGATGGGGGATGGATGCACGCTCGACACCGACGGCGACGGCGGAACGACGGTGGCGTCCGACAGCTGACTGAACGAGCGCTGATGCATGACATTGGCGGGTGTGGGTGCGGGTGTCTGGGCCTCGTCCTTGCCTACGGTATTCTCCTCCGCATCTTCCGCGATTTCCTTGAGTCGGCGCCGGCGGAGGGAGTTGGACGAGGAGGTGGTGATCGAGCCGGTGGCGGTATGCAGCAGGCAGGCGGAGGAGAGGGCGCTTTCCGTGAGGTCGGACGGCTCCTTGACGGAGAAGACGGTATCGTGAGGGGAGAATTTGTCGAGGACGGATTGGAAGTGGACGGTGGTTCGGGCTGAACGGTCAGTGGGCGGGCGACAGGAAAAACAACAAGCGCACATACCTTGCACGAGCCGGGACATGCCCTCCGGCAGGTAGCTGAGGACGACCTTCCTGCGGCGGTATTGTAGAAAGCCGTAGAGGGGGGATGTCTCTTCGTAGCCGTCGATCGCATTGCGCACGTCGGGGACCCCGCCGGTGCCGCGCTCGAGGAGATCGACTTCATCCCTTGATACATACCGGAGCAGAAACCTGGAGGGGGGGAGAGGGGGGGGGGCGTCAGTGGGAGGGACGGACAGCGATTGAGTTGGCACCCTTGCGACGGCGGATGCGCGAGGCGGAGACTCGACTCACCATCCACCGGCTTCGGTCAGCGCGGTCTGGTAGGCTTCAAGGACGGTGGCATGATCTAGCCCATTGAGCGACATGGCGGGCGCTGCATTGAGGCCGATGCCCTGAGCGGAGGTGACAGCAGAGCAGGAGAGACAAGAACGGAGGGAAGGGGAAGGGGAGGGGGGATGAGGAGAGGAGAGGATGAGGGAAGAGGGGAAAGAGGGTCTGGCGGCGGTCGGGGACGCAAGGAGGAGTTGAGGTGCGAGTGAGAACGGAGAAGTCAGCAACAGTCAATCGTCACGATCCATCGGCAGGCGGAGTCCACGGTCGGAGGCCAGTTCTTCAGTCAGATCAATCGATCAATCGATCAATCAATCAATCAATCAATCAATAAAGCTGCATCGATCCTCTCAGGAGCAGTTCGGTGGTTCAGGGGCAGTTCCTCTCCGCGGATTGGAGGGTTCGCGGCTTGGACGCCTCCACCTGCAGCCGCGGGCTTCAAGTATAGAAAAAGAGACAGAAAGTTCCCATTAATCAGGCCATGAGCAAGAAGGCAGCTGGAATAAGACAGGCCCAATAAGGACAGTCCGCCGGGTGCCCGACCGTGGGACTATTGGCAGCGGAGATGACCTGTTAGGGACTATCTTGCTACTTACTACCACCAACTACTCAGTCATGCCATTGCCCTTTTTTTTTTATCTCCTGCTGCAGGTCCTGACTAGATACTAGTACTGACTGACTGACTGACTGACTGACTGACTGTCACACAGCAGGCGCTGTACTCAAGGAACACACGCAAGGCACACTCCAGTACCCCGTACCTGACCGGACCGTATCGGGTATTGTCACTTGTCACTTGTCACTCCTCCCTTGCTGCCTGAGAGAGACAGACAGACACCTGACATTTCCGTTTTCTGCTCCGCCCCGGATTTCCCTCCGGCCTGGTCTAGATCCCCCTGCATTCCACCATCTGACAGTGGACACACACCATGGCATCCCCTTCAGTCCGCACTTTACGGATATGACCCTTCGGGAGGCAGTTGCAAAGACCTTCGATAGCTAGCCGTCGTGTTTGTCCATCTTGCTTCTCCGAGTGACCGACCGCATCGGGAGGTCGCCGCGGCGTGGCTCGGAGGCGGCCGATGCGGGGACATCGCCCGCGCATATATCCTGCGCCAGTCCGACCAGAATCTCCAGACTGAGACTGACTTCCAACACCTTCCTGGCAGTTTCCCTGCAACGCAAGAAGAACCTCAACCCACCTCAAATCAACCGAAGCCATGTCCGCCCTCCCCCCGCCATCGTCTCTGACGTCACTCCCCCAGGACCAGCAGTTCCGCGTCCTCGACACCCTCTTCGAGTCCTCCCCCGAGCTGCACACTCTCATGGCCCCTGTCCTTGCCAACCAGGAGTTCGCCTCCTACTCCAGCTTGATCGACGCCGTTGGCGGCCGCATGTCCGCCCTCTCCGCCGCCAACTCCTCCACCGATCACGATATCCTCGTCGGCATCCTGGGGTCGCATCCCCGCCTCGGACAGCCCAAGGGCGCCCCGACGGAGCATCTGAGCGAGCTGAGTAAGAAGGAGCAGGCGAATCTGAACACCGGAGCGGCTGAGCAGGCGGAGAAGCTGAAGGGGTTGAACGCTGAATACGAGGACAAGTTCCCGGGACTGCGCTTCGTGTAAGTGGTTCGCGTGGATGGTCGGTCGGAGCTTATTTTCGCCAGGACCTTCGTCAACGGCAGAAACAGAGAGGTGATTATGGGCGAGATGCGTCGCCGGATTGACAGGGGGGATGCCGATCAGGAGGTGGAGGAGATTATCCAGGTGAGTGGCTCGTGCTGGTGTTGAACTCTGCTGACGGGACAGGCGATGTGTGATATTGCAAAGGATCGGGCGCGGAAGCTGGATGAGTCGAAGATATAGACTTAGATACCACAATACATACCAAGAATCCCTTCACCTTTATCCTGTCCTAGTGTGCTCCATCGGTACTCATGAATACGTGGGATCGGCGTTCAGTGCACCAGGTGGATGGCGGACATCCCGGTAGCATACTTGTAGTGTGCTTCATATGCAGCATTGCACGAGGTCAAGCACGGCACCGTCTGTATGACACGCCCTTTCTGACAACCGCACTCATGACAGCCCGACAGCTCCTGAATACTACTAAATCCTACCGAATAATTCCATCTCCAGATGGTTTGTACCACACCATTCCCTACCGCAGTCTTCTTCTATCGCACAGCCATCCCTTGATCTTTTTTTTTTTTTGCATCACACAGGCAGCAATCTATCTGGAGCACTATGACCTTATAGACCATGTGTGAAACACAACACGACGGCTGCCAGGGCATCGGTAACTAAAGAGTCGCACACTTCTATCGGCTGGCAACAGTAATGTTGGACAACCGCCTTGCCTTGAGCAGCACGCTCGAAGCCAGGAGCTGAGCAGGTGATGCATCTGCTGCGGACTGCGGCATATAAACGGCGGTCTCTACAGCATGGAGGTCTTCCCGAATATCATCGCCTCGACAATGCAGTTTCTAGTACTCGGGGCCGTGGCCCTGCCTTTGGCTATCCTTGCGTATCCTACGCCCCAGTCAGCTCCAGATCGACCAGCCGTTGATCTGAATACCCTTCGCTTGACTGCCAATGCCGAGTACATCAGTTCGCTCGATGTGGCTCACGGGAACTCGTCCATTCCCACCTTCGCGGAGGAAAGCTACCTTGATATCGCGATGCGGCTAGTCCAGGGGACCGTTCCCGGTGCAACCTTTCGTCTTGTCGACGACCACTACGTTGGCGACAACGGCGTCGCCCATGTGTATTTCCGTCAGACCGTTCATGGTATCGACATTGACAACGCGGACTTCAACGTCAATGTATGGTCCCATCACCTTTTCGGTCCAGCGCTGATGTCTCCAGGTTGGAGAAGACGGCAAGATCTTCTCCTATGGCAACTCATTCTTCACAGGAGCCATGCCGCAGGGCGATCCGCTCGAAGGGAAGACCATGGATCCAGTAGCTGCCCTCAGAGGAGCACGGGATGCTCTACAACTTCCAATTCTCATCAGCAATGCTTCCGCACAGGCTACTGACGCGCGCGCCTCCTACACCTTCAGAGGGACGTCGGGAGCAGTGTCCGATCCAAACGCCAAACTGGTGTACTTTGTCAGGCTTGACCAGAGCCTCGCTTTGACTTGGAGGATCGAAACGGATGTCGACGAGCACTGGCTACTGACGTATGTAGATACCACAACTACCGAGATCCATGGAGTGGTCGACTATGTGGCAGAAGCAACATACCAAGTATAGTAGGTAACATCCCAGCTATCCAACCCAGCTAACAGAAACAGCCCCTGGGGTATCAACGACCCCAGTGACGGGCATCGCACCATCGTGTCCAACCCGTGGGACCAGACTTCGTCCGAATACACGTGGATCGGCGACGGACGAAGCAACTACACCACCACCCGCGGCAACAACGCCATCGCGCAGTGGAATCCCAACGGGGGCGGCGAGTATCTCTTCAACCAACGCCCATCGGAGGCCAGCCTTAACTTCCAGTACCCATACTCGCAGAACACAACCACCCCAGCATCCTACATCAACGCCTCCATCGTCCAGCTCTTCTACACCGCCAACATCTACCACGACCTCCTATATACCCTGGGCTTCAACGAAGCCGCCGGCAACTTCGAGTTCAACAACGGCAACCACGGCGGCCAAGGACACGACTACGTGATCCTCAATGCCCAAGATGGATCCGGGACCAGCAACGCCAACTTCGCCTCTCCCCCCGACGGCTTCCCGGCCCGCATGCGCATGTACATCTGGACCGAATCCACTCCACCGCGCGACGGCAGCTTCGACGCGGGCATTGTCATCCACGAATACACCCACGGCCGTGAGTTCCCCCTCCCCTCACGTCACATCCACCCCGCTAACCAACCAACCCAGTATCCACACGCCTCACCGGCGGCCCTCTAAACTCGGGCTGCCTCAATGCGCTCGAATCCGGGGGCATGGGCGAAGGCTGGGGCGACTTCATGGCGACGGCCATCCGGCTCAAGCCCAACGACACGCGAACAAAATCCTACGCCGTCGGCTCGTGGTCGTACAACGACGACGGCGGCGTCCGCAAGTACCCGTACTCGACCTCGTTCGCGCAAAACCCGCTCAACTACACCAGCGTTAACAACCAGAATGGCGTCCACGCGATCGGCACCGTCTGGGCGACGATGCTGTATGAGGTGTTGTGGAATCTGATCGATAAGCATGGCAAGAATGATGGGCCGAAGCCGGAGATAAGGCATGGCGTGCCGACGGACGGGAAGTATTTGGCGATGAAGTTGGTGATGGATGGGATGGCGTTGTACGTTTCTGCTTTGTTTCTCTCTTTCTCGCTCCCTTCATTTGTTCTTCTGCCTCTTTTTTTCTACCGCAGTGCATCTTTCAGAAGGATCAATCAGGCTGATGATAATAGTCAACCATGCAACCCGAACTTCATCCAAGCAAGAGATGCCATCCTCGACGCCGATTCCTGTCTCACGGGCGGTGAGAACCAGTGTGAGATCTGGAAGGGATTTGCGAAGCGCGGGTTGGGGCTGGGAGCGGCGTATAGTCGAAGGAGACGGGTGGGGAGCACGGCCATCCCAGACGGGGTTTGTGGTTAGGCGGGTGTGGGCGGTTGAAAGCTGGGGGGGATACATGTGTTGCTTTAGGACACTGCGCTTGAGGTTTCAGTGATGAGTATGAGTGATGGCTACCTAGTGGAAAGTGTGGTCACTGGGCCTAGTCTTAGTGTTGTTAATCATGAATCCACCGTCTTTGGGTATATATAACCCGCCATCCCCCGAATTTCTCCTTTCTACCTAAACATTATGAACTTGAAACTGCGCACAAAGAAAAAAAAATTAAAAATTAAAAATTAAAAATCCGAATAGGAATCCTCACCCTACAAACCCACATACACAGATTGAAGGTTGATAAATTGGTAGTATATATCCAGATGATGGCCATGCCACTTACTAGCGCGCCATCCTGCATCTACTATCTGCATGGCTGTTAATCTCCGCGGACCATCCGCGGAGCCTCCGAGGGAGCAAAGCGAGTCATCCACGATGAGATTCTGGCACAACACAGGCCTAATGCTTCTCTTCGATAGTCTTTCTCGCTGTGTCTGCTAGTACAGTTTCTTGACTGATTTTATCGAGAACGAGAAAACACATACACGTGATCTTCCGGGCCTCAGGCACCTTCAGGCACCCCGCGGAACTCGGAATTGTTCCCTCGCGTGGCTGTCAATCACTACTTCACTGTCAGTTCACTGTCAGTGTCAGTCAGTGTTCTTCCTTCTTCCGCTCCCCAACGATGAAGCGAAAGGCCACGCCGCTCCCCAACGCTTCCAAACGCCCTCCCAGGCAGGATCCCGTTTCGTGCGACTCATGTCGCACCAAGAAGATCAAATGCGACCGCCAGCAGCCCTGTAATAGCTGCTTGGCGCGGCGGTTGCCCTGCAGTTATGAGAGACCTGGTCCGAGGACTGGGTCTCCTGCTCCATTTCAAGGTCCAGCTGCACCTCTCCAGCATGGTTCGGTGGACAGCTCTGTCGACAGAAGAGATCGCGTCCCTTCCCAGCCCGCAGGCCAGTCGCGCAACAGAGAATCCGTCCTCACAGCCGACTGGCTGGAGAACATCCACATGGCCGACCGCGTCGCAGCAGCGACCCCGAAATGGCTGCGCGACGAGATGACCGAGTCTGGGGGCGGACGAACCCCCGATCAAGCCGCCCCCTCGGCGGCGCTGCTCTCCAGACCGTACATGAACAAATCCGCCACGAGCGAAAACCCAGCAACGGTCGGGCTGACCTCCTTCCTGCCCACCAAGACCGAGACCCTCGAGCTCTTCCGCTACTACCACCGCTACGTGGAATACCAGTACCACATCTTGATCCCGCAGCGGGTCGAGGAGCAGATCAACGGCATCTACCGGTGTGTGGACACCGGCTCATCCGTCGACTTGAACCATCTGGCCCTGCTGTTCAGTATCCTGGCCAGCTCGCTGTACCTGCAGCTGTCCCTGGAATCGTCCGTAGATGCGGAAGCATGCAGCCGGGAGTTCTCGTTCTTGACTGGCGCTGCGCTGATCCAGAGCCACTACCCGGCTTCTCCCACGCTGGAAGGCCTGCAGGCTACCTTGGTTGTGGTGCACAATCTCTCGAACTGGAATATTCCGCCATCCGTGAGTAGCCTGTTTACGCACGGTGCGTTGGTCAGCCAGGCGAAGAATCTTATGCTTCATTGCATTGACTCGCCCCGGCTGCGGGACGCGGGCCCGCAGGATGAGACTGAGTTGGAGCCGAGGAGACGGCTGTGGTGGGATCTGGTATCTTACGATTGGTGAGCGGTCCCGGAATCTGCTCCGAGCGTAACTGACATTATCCAAGGCTGGTGGGCTTCCTGACAGGCCCGCAGGAGTGGACGTATCAGATCCATCCGGATCAGATGAACGTCAACCAACCCTCAAACGTCGACGACGCCGCACTCGGGACAGTATCGCAGCCAGAATCAACACCAACAGATATGTCTTTCGCGCTCCAGCGTCTCAAACTATCTTTGATCTGCCGGGAAGTCGTCGACGCGACCTCCCACGAACACCTTCACGGGTTAGAAGTCAGCTACGACAAGATCCTCTCCCTGGACCGCAAATTCCACCAAGGCCAGGCCTCAATCCCGGAATTCTTCCGTCTCGACCCGACCTCTCGACGACGATTCGCATCCCTGTACGAAGCGCGCCCAACCATCGCCTGGCAAGGCTGTCTGCTGCAACAGGGCTACTTCTCACGACTGTGCCGCCTACACCGCGACTTCTTCATCCGAGGGGCCCGAGAACCCGCCTACTCGTATTCCCACGTCATCTGCCTGCAGTCCGCGCGCAAGGTACTGGAGATAAAGCGGATCATGGACGGCAGCGGGCCGAGCCACACGCCACCCAACTCGGTGGTGTGGTCTGTCATGCACCATGTCTTCATGGCTGCGGTGATCTTGTTGCTGGATATATGCTTCAACTGGGATGATATCCTGGCGGAGAAGCGGAAAGAGGAGGTGCTGGATGCGTGTCGCATGATGAACAAGGCGCAGGAGTCGTCTTCGCTGGTGAAACAGGGGATCACGGCGATGATGGGTGTTCTGCAGAGGCATTGGAAAAGCGGGAAGCATCCGGATGGGCATCTATCTGATAGTGGAGTTGAGACGGGTGGTGTTCCGGGACCAGATCACCCGGCTACGATAGATTTATGTGAGGACGCAGAGCGATTCACTGCCCCGGATCCATATACCGTGGCCGGGGATAGACAGCTAGAGGACATTTTTTCCGAGCTGCTCGATACCGGGAATGAGCTTGCCCTGGAGAGCACGGATTGGACGGACTTGCTGAATGAGCTGACGGAGCCGGGTTTTCATGGTTGAGCTGTTGATAATACGGTGTCCTACGTGATAGGTAAGTGATACACAAGGTATAGCCTTCATGTTATTCAGCTAACGTACGACCTTCCGAAAAGCTCACTCCACCTTGACTTCAACCTTATCAGTATCTATCACCCATCAATCAGCCTACATCACAGCAAGGCAACCTCCAAGCGAAGACAACATACAGAAAGCCACATGATCCTTGATATTGGCTGCCGCCTCAAACGGGGTGGCATAATACCACGCCGCGTTCGCGACCGTCTTATCTGGTTCTCGCATTAGCATCATATACTATACATCCCACCGGAGGAAACCGGAGTGACGGAGTGACGGAGCGAAACAGACCCCCAAGAACGATGGAATAATACGACGCATTCCCCTTCCACGGACAATAGGTCGATAGATCGGTCGGCACGAAGAGCGACTCGTTCAAGATTGCCGAGGGAGGGAACTGGACTGTTAGACTCAGCGGATCTACGGGGGGGTGGGGTTCTGGGGCTTACATAGATGTTGCCCTCGACGGTCTCCCAGGTGGGGGATTCCGCGAGGATGGTGTTGTTGATGGTTGCGCGGGCGAGAGGCATGCTAGGTGACTTGAATGGAGGACAGGAATTTCCTGGCGAGAAGGTTATTGAGATACCTTTTTGTCTAGGGGTATGATGGAGGGGGAAGGTGAAGGAAGCTACGGCTACGACGACGGCTTACGAGGGATACGAGGAGACGAAGTGCGGGGAAGCAAACGATACCATTGGACTGCCTAACCCTAACCCAAATCCACCAAAACTACTCTCATCCCGTTGCTTCCGATCCTCCCAACGGCGTTCACCACGCACGCCATCAGTCATCATCATCATCATCATCATCATCAGAAAAGTCAATCAAGGGTCCCGGCCGAATACTGCACGTCACCCACCACCTATGGTCGGGATAAGTGTCAATCCCAGCCGGCGGGTAGGGCCAGCCAGCGAAGCGGAAGATGAAGCGGAAGCCCGCCAACCGCTCAGGCCTGGTTCTAGCGGCATTATCACCATCCGGGAAGATGCCACTATAGCTGCCGACAATGCCATTGACCTTGCGCCTGAACCCCTTATGGAGGAGGCCTTTGTCACACACGGTGCTCCACGGCCCCGACATGGCCGCATAACTGCCCAGCCGGCGATGAATCATTTCAAACACCAACCCCGGCGAGAGGAGGTTCTTCTTGGGATATCGCATCCACCCCAACAGCCTTCTCCAATCCCGCAACAAGCGACAGGGACACATGCCCGGCGCCTCCTCATGCGCCTGGTACCTAATATCCCGAATCTGGTCCCTGACCGCCCCGCGCAACGCGTGCATGATCGCCTCCCGATCGCTCTCGATCCGACGATACACCGCGGCGGGCGAATACGCCCCCTCCGGCGCGACCGTCGCCGTCCGCTCCAGCACCAACTGCCTCGTCGCAGCCATGTAATCGCTAGTCAGCCGAAACGCAAACAGCACACACAACACCCAATCCACGATGCGCTGATCCCCCGGCGAGGGCTGCACCGGCCGCACAGCCGTCATCCACGTCGGCGCCGCATTGCGCACCCCCTCAAAGAATCCGAAATGGTCCACCACATGCGCGATATTGAACAGCAACTCCAGCGGAATCTTCGGGCATCGGGCCGGAAGCGCGGTCGACAGCCCATGCGCGGCCCGCAGGACCATCAGCACCGCGACGGGGTTGAATCCCTCGGCCTGGTACTCCACGCTCCCGCCCTGCTCGACAAGCCGGGGATCATCCGGCAGGATTTCGTGGAACAGCACAGACGTCCGCCGGAGGGTGCGCACGGATGCCCGCACGGTGATATTCGGGTTGAAGCCCTCGACCTTGATGATCACGCGGCCGCGCGGCGCCAACACGTAGTTGTGGCCGGAGTGGCGGCGCCGGTCCAGCAGGTCGCGGCCCGCGACCGGAAGCCCGACCACCGGGCTGGGCTCGCCTTCTTCGCGCTCCTCCTCGTCCTGGTAGTTGTCCGAGTCTGCGACGGAGAGCATGTCGTCGTGCGCGAGGTACGGGCTGTAGTGCCGCTGGGTTTCTGGGCTGAGGTTGTTCAGAGCCATCGGGCGGCGGAGTTTGTTGGGGTTGAAGCCGAAGTGCAGTTTTCGGGGGTCCATTTGATGGATCCCCTTCCCCCTGGTTGGTGTGTAACTAGTACTTGTATCTAGATGATAGTGATTTTATGGATCTGAAAAATGTGAAAAAAAAAATGAAAATGAAAATACAAACGAAAAATCTACAGGGATGTGGGCGGGCTTCTTCTCTCTTATATAGCCCAGACTCCCTCCCTGGTCTTCTCATTCTCATTATACACATACATACATACACATAAGGCGATCCCCGAAAGATGGGGGAGGTGGGAGGGGGTTGGGGGAAGGTAAATTCCGCTATAGCATGGAGACGGAGGATGTCGTGTCGGAGATATGCTTGTGTGTGTGTGTGTGTGTTTTGACAGATCAGAGTGTTGTGAATGGGTGTGCTATGGCGGGCTGTTGACGGGAAGGAGAGTTCCTGGTTGGTATATATATATCATGTATACTAGATGGATAATGGAACGGAAGATGCCGTGTTGTCTGCATGGATGCATGGATGGAGATGGGGATGGAGGTTTCCTGAGTGGAAGGTGGATATTGAGAATGAGAATGAGGGCCGGTAGGAGGGAAACTCTGCTTTCTGGTTAGATTTAGATTCGGATTCTGGGGAGTAGGGCTGGGATTGGGGATATAGATGGGTGGGTACATGGATAGATGGATTATTATAGGTCCAGGTAACGGTTCAAGCAACACCCCCACACCCCTGGTTGGTTCAACCGACACCCCCTTGAGTCTTGACCTCCTATCCTATTAACTAGAGGAGCTTGGCTCAGTCAGTCAGTCACATAATGACAATAATAATAAATTTGTGAGTGAGGTTCCAGGGCTTAACCTTCTGTAGCTGGGTTAGCTTGCTTATAGCGTCTAGCTGGATTTGCTCCGATATAGAACAGATGTTGTTGTGACATGTTTGTGGTGTGTCGGTGTGGAGGCTACTATAGCTGCGCGGAGGGGGAGATAGTCTTCTTGAATTGGAATCAAAAGTATAACAGAATCATCTTGTTTTATTTCCAACTTTTGTTATAACTTATACATAGGAAATACATATCTATATCTGGATTATTACTAAGATGAACTTATTAACTATAATTTAGTAGTAGAATCTCAGACTATAGTCCCAGAGTTCATTTCTCTACTATACAACCTATAATCACACTACGCCCGACCCAGCCTAGCGGCCGTCGACACGCCCGCCCTGTCGGCGACGCCTCGGAACTGGACGTCGGAACACGGAATGGCCAGCTTATCGATAAAAGTGCGGCGGGTCCCTCTTTTTCTCTGTCCTCAATTCACTTCACTTCACTTCATCCAGTTCACTTCATCCAGTTCAATTCAGTCCCAGTTTGCACTCTTGCAGATTTATATACACTGCCAGCATGGACAGCCAGCAGTTCAGGGCTGCCGCCCATGAGAGTATTGAGGATAGTACGTCTACTCACTCATCCACCCCCATTGCCTTCCCTAAAAAAAAAAACCCACCCACTAACCCCTCCCCATAACCACAGTAATAACCTACTTTGACACGCTCCCCACCCAACGCGTCCTCCCCACCGTGCCCCCCGGATACCTCCGCCCACTGATTCCCTCCTCGCCGCCCACGGACCCGGAACCCTGGAGCGCGATCCACAGCGACATCGAAAGCAAGATCAAGCCAGGGCTAACGCACTGGCAACACCCGAACTTCATGGCCTTCTTCCCAGCGGGGGTAACCTACCCCAGCATCCTCGGCGAGATGTACTCGGCGGCATTCACCGCCCCGGCATTCAACTGGCTGTGTTCGCCCGCCTGCACGGAGCTCGAAACGATCGTGATGGACTGGCTGGCCCAGGCGCTGTCCCTGCCGGGGTGCTTTCTGAGCACGAGCGAGAACAGAGGCGGGGGCGTGATCCAGGTGACGGCGAGTGACACGGTCGCGACGATGATGATCGCGGCGCGAGAGAGACGGGTCACGGAGATGGTGGTGGCCGAGGGATTGGCGCCTGATACGTTGGAGTATGAGGATCGGATGATGGAGTTGCGGGCCAGGTTGGTCGCTGTCGCGAGCAACCAGGCCCATAGCAGTACGGCGAAGGCGGCGCTGCTGGCCGGCACCCGCTTCCGAAGCGTGTCTGCGACGTTGGAGGAGAATCTGGAGATGACGGGCCCGAGGCTGAGAGAGGTGCTGGAGCAGTGTGATAGGGATAGGCTGGTGCCGTACTTTGTTACCTTGGGCATGGGCACCACGAATACCTGTGCGGTGGATCGCGTCAGGGAGATCAAGGCCGTGTTGGCGGAGAAGGAACATTGGCGGCGGATCTGGGTGCATGTTGATGCCGCGTATGCTGGGGCCGCGCTGGTGCTGGATGAGTGGAGGGAGCTGGCGGCTGAGTTTGGAGAGGGGGTGGATAGTTTCAATATCAATATGCATAAGTGGTTGTTGGTGAATTTTGATGCCAGGTTGGTGGTCCTTTCCCTTTGTTTCGCAGGGTTTGGTTTTGATTGTGATTTTGATGCTAACCAACGATGCAAATGATGAAACAATACAGCTGCCTCTTCATCCGCAACCGTCACGACTTGACCTCCGCCCTGGACATCACCCCAGCGTACCTGCGCAACCCCTACTCCGACAGCGGCCAAGTAACCGACTACCGCAACTGGTCGATGTCACTGGGGCGGCGCTTCCGGGCACTAAAGATCTGGTTCGTGATGCGAAGCTACGGCCTCACGGGGATGCAGGCCTACATCCGCAAGACAATCGGGCTGGGCGAGACCTTCGCGGGGTTAGTGCGCGAACGGCCCGATCTATTCCAGATCATCACGCGGCCCGCGTTTGGGCTGACGGTGTTTCGGGTATTGACTCCGGACGCGAAGCGGGAGGACGTGGAGGGTGAGGTGCAGGTCGAGGAGGGTGAAGAGGGGAGAGTCCGGGTGGCGCTGCCGGATGAGGCATGCAACGAGCTGACGAAGCAGGTGTATGAGCTGGTGAATGCCAAGGGGGAGATCTTCATCACGTCGACGGTGGTGGCGGGGGTTTATGCCATTCGGGTGGTGAGTGCGAATCCGGCGGCGGAGGAGGCGTACGTGAGGCGGGCGTTTGAGGTGTTGGTGGAGGCTGTGGGGGAGGTTTTGAAGGATTGAGTGGGTATGAGGCGGTATATATATATATACTATATTGGGTTGAGGTAGAGTGTAAATTGGGGCCGAGTGTAAATTGGGGCAGAGTGTAAACTGGGGTAGGGTGTGTATAGATGAGTGGCGTGGTGTATTGGATAGATCTATACTTGGATGTTGATACTGTCGGCTGGACTGGGCTGGGCTGAGTTGGCTAGGTGGTGGAATGGGCTGGTATCTCCCCTCCGATGTACGATGGATATAATGCATTTACACAATTACAAATTATAGATAATTCAGAGTTGCAACATGAACCTTATACCGAGGACGTCTACTGATCCTGCCAGTCAGATTCCAATAGTATGCTACTTTTTTTTTTAAAGAAAAAGGAAGAAACAATGAAAAAAGGGGGGGGAAAGAAGATGTAGTACAGAAAGTGGGAAAAGGAAAAAACAGTAAGAAAATGTGAAGAAACAGAAAAAAAAAGAGAAAAAAAAAAGAGAAAGATAGGAAATATCATATCATGATTAACATAAGATTTTAGGGTTAAAGTAACTTATCTCCCCACATAGCGCAAGTGTGATTTCCAAGATATATGGGTGACGGTGCTAGGGAGGAAACAGATCCTACCGTCCCACATAGTAAGAATAATAATGGAATAAAAAAAAGTTCAAGAGTAATGTAGAAAATCAAAACGACTACAGAACACCCTCGCAATGTACATAGCCATCTACAACCATCAACGCTCATCCCATGCACAGGCACAGAATCAAGGATAAAGAATGAGATTCTAAGACTGTCTCACCAAGAACAGGCTATAGGACAGGTCATAACAGACATGGAATAAAATTGTGACGCTTTCTCAGTAGTATGGAATAACTACAGCCCCGAAAGCCCTCGACACCAGCCAAAACAGCTTGTCCCAGAAACTCAAACCAACCCAGAGAACCAAGACACTAGAACACGATAGAGAAGATGGAGATGGTACTTTTACCAGTGGTCAAAATCTTCCCTCCCCCATCACGATGTTCATAGCTTATCGATCAACAAAGATAAGTATGGTCCATTACTTCAGAAAGGAAAGAAATAAGAAACATTATGCCGAGCGTCTCCGATCACCAACAAGAATCCAATTCCAAACATCAATCCAACAACCCATCAGACAAAACCAACCAGATATCAACGACACCCGCCCTATGACGTAAACCACATAAATCTGTCCTCGTTAGCCAGAACCAGTAAGCATCAACCAAGTACCTACAGCTCATAGGCCATCGACGGAATGTCCCTGCAGATGGACAAGCCCGATCGAGCGACCGAAACCACGGCACCGGTCAGAATCAAGATGGCCAATGGACGCAGCGCGAGGAACCAGGCATATCTCCACACGTCCGTGAAAGTCGAGCTGTTGAGTCAGCTAGGATGTCAGCTCCTGAGGAACCGCACCGGCTTACATACAGGATGGATACGGTCATCGTGACTGATCCGCAAATCCTGTCCAGCAGAGAGACACAGTGGGTGATTACGGGTAATGTCTGACGAACAGCCCTGCCAGGAAGACCTCGGTATCTCTGAATTGAAAGGCGACACCATGCTCCGAAAAGAAAATGCGCAGAAATCACTGAAGTGCCCCAGGTTATATCCCGCTGGCCAAGGTGGCAGCCTGATATCGTCATCCGCGGGATACGTCCGAGCCAGACGGGCCAAGGCTCCGGCGCCAACGGTATCAGCGGTTTGGTGTCTAGCGCCGTGCAGCAGGGCAAATGGTGCTGCCTGAAGCGGACGATCGTGCTGAGCTCGTCGTCTTCCGGCATTCCGAGGTGGACTCAGCAGTGGCCAACCAGGGGGCTGTCCGGCAGCAGTCGTGCCATCGCCGTCGCCGTTATTGGCTGTTCGGGAGGACAAGGCCCGCTCCTCAGCCCTACAGGGCTGCCACTAGTATGCTTGGGGGACCTGGTCGGAGGGCCGGGGGTCTGGAATGGGCTGAATATTTGCTCTTCACGCTTTGCTTATTTCTGTTTCTTGCTTCTCGAGTCGCACTATTCTGGCAATCCTCCCAAAATGCCACCCGAGGAAATACTTCTCCAGCCAGACGCAGGAAGCCCACCACCTCCTGCACCTGGGAAGACCTGGCCTTCTCACCGACCAAGCCAGTCAGCTCGACACCAAGGGATCGGCATCAGCAGACACATGGTGGCTCGACATCCGCGACGCCACCGAAGAGGACGTCAGCACCGTCTGCCAGGCCCTGTCCATCCCCCCGCTCACCTCACAGCAGAAGACATCGCAACGCGGGAGCCACGCGGGAAGCTCGAAGTCTTCCGGAACTACTACCTGATCTCTCGTTCCAGACCATACTCTCAGAGCAAGAAGAAAGCGAGCAGGGGGATTATGAGCGAGAACACAATGAGCAGGAATCACCTCAACCCCTATCGATCCCCGACCCCGCAGGCTTCTACATCCTGGTGTTCAAGAACGCGACGGTCACGTTTTCCCCGACCGGGTTGCGCCCATGTATCCCGCGTTCGGGAGCGAATCCGCAGATCGCAGGATTATCCCGTTAGGGCTGTGTCGAGTGACTGGATCTGCTACGCTCTGATGTACGTCCTCTTTTTTTTTTCCACTTCCCTTCCTCATCCACCCCTCTTCCACCCTAAGAACCAGTCTTCCACCTCTATCTATCAATCTCTAACGATCCTCCAGCGACGACATAATCGACATCTTCACCCCCTACATGCGCGCGACCGAGCAAACCGCCGACCTCATCGAAGACCAGGTCTTGATCGCGCGCGGCGACGACATCAAAGCCCTCATCCCTCATCCCTCATCCCGCAAGTCAACCACCTCCGCAAGAGCATCGCGCAGCTCACCCGCCGGCTCAGCGGGAAATACGACGTGCTGAACGGGTTCATCAAGCGGTGCCAGGCCCTTGCCAAGGATCCTAACTGGGGTGCGTGCTCGAACACGGGCTTCATTTTTTCCGCCAACACCACCCCCAATCCTGATAATACCACCACCCCCAAACCCACCGACCTAACAATCTACCTTGACGGGGCTGGTTGGGATGAATGTCCTGGTGCACGGGCAGGATGCGGACGGGTTGGGCTGGTTTGGGGGTGTTGTGGGGGCGTTTGTGGTTTTTGTGCTGGTTTGTTGTGATTATTACTGTTAGTGGGGTTAAATGGCTTTTTGGTTAGATATCAACGTATCTGATCGATGGGAAAGGTATAGATAGATAAGTGTCCAGCACTGCACCTAGAAAGAAACTCAGTTCATTCCATCCCGGATGACTACACTCAATGAATCCGTCGAGACTGGATGAATCCATCGAGACTGGGAACAAATCGGTATAATCCAGGTCAAACCACCCATCAATCTGGAAGTTGAAGATGATACAGTCTCTCATCCGAACCAAGATCCAGAGCCGTCTGTCAACCTCAACCACAGCCTCGGCAGAGCGATCATGCGATAGAGAATCCAACCCAGTCCCGATAACCCCAATTCCCACCTGTCATCACCCTCATCAGATAGGTCGATAGTGGATAAGTGGGCATCCGATTCGATCTTGATAAACCTATCAGTCTGTCCCAGCCATCCATCACTCATCACTCGCCCTATCAGTATCAGCACTCCAGCGCAGCGCATCTAGACCCTTAATGGTCTAAGCTATAGCTACAGCTATAGCTATGGCCACATCATGCACGACAATCTCCAATCAAACAGACACGAGGTCTGAGCACACGCCCCGATCTGAGCCTGATCAGTCCGGAGTCCTGATACTCTAGATAGAGGCCAGCCAGGAACGAACGATGGGTAGATAGATAGATAGATAGATAGATAGATAGATAGATATTGACCAGTAGTCAGTCCGGTTTGCGACGTCCGGATGGAGTGGTGTTTTCCACTGTGCCAGCCTGCCAGGCCAGGGCAGGCCAGGGCAGGCCAGACCAGACCAGACCAGGTCAGGGTGGGTGGGGTGGGGTGAGGGGACGGGAAGGGAAGGGAAGGGAGGGAGGGAAGGGAGGGAAGGGATACGGGATGGATCCCAGTTCCAGTTCCAGTTCCAGTTCCAGTGCCAGTGCCAGTGCCAGTTCCAGTTCCAGTCCCGGTGAGTCTCTACCTACCTAGTCTAGTTCTAGTAATCCTCCGTATCTGGGTGATGAATGGCGATAAGCGTGATATGATATGATATGATATGATGTGAGATGAATGTGAGGGGAAAGAGTTACCGGATCAGGGACTGTTGGGGTAGGGGTAGTAGTCTAGCAGTAAAGTATCCTGCTTATCATGAGACAAGCCTTCCACAGCTGCAGCCAAGCCCCCCTCCACCGCAGCGCCCAATCAGAGCGTCTTCCCCGCTGTTGGCCACTGGGAGGGCGAGATAAGGGTTATGTAAGCCCAGTGGGGCAATTGTGCAGTAGTGTCTCTGTTAGGGGCAGTAGGGGGGGAGATGGATAGTAGTAGTACTGTAGTAGTACTGTAGTACCTGGGGCCATGCATGCATCCTGCCCGCTCCTTGCATCCGCTGTTTGGTGGCGGTGGTGAAAGAGTCAGGGCCAGACACTTGGCGATTCATGGGGTTTCATGGGGTTTCAATTCACGGGGCATGGGGAGAGTGGGATAAGTGGATGCCCTCATCTCGGCAAGCCACCGCCCACATTTCCCCCTTCCAGTCAATAAGTAACTAACTAATTAATCTGCCCACTCAGTCAGCCCAGGCCATGACATCAGAGGGGCTGAAAGTTCCACGTGGCGTTGTGGCTGACCCCACGGGCCAATCACGCCCCGGACAGACCAAGCCAGGAGCCTGTGGCCGACGCGAGCCGTGGACGGATCCGACCGACATCGACTGGCAGGGAATCGAGCAGGATTTAGCGGCTTTTAGCAGGGGTTTTAGCGAGCCGGCGTTCGAGTGGCGCACTGGCTAACTGGCTGTAGAAAAGGTGTCCCGCGTGGATGATAGTGCTGCTGTCACTGCTGAAAGAGAGAGAGAGAGAGAGATAGTTACTGCTGACCAGTGCTACCGTGCAGTCAGTGGTGATAGATAGATAGACTCGTAGACAGCAAGTGACAGCCCGGATACTCACAATGGATGTCATCCCGATCCAGTGGGCCCGCCGCCCGCATCCCCTGGGTTCTCCTTCCATCCCTCCCGGAGAGGAATCATGCTCCCGTAGTGGCAACCTACACGAGTCTATCTCGAGGCCAACCACATGCCCTCGTGAGACTATACCGCAATCATCTTAGGCCGACAGTCGTCGCGAATGCCCTGCAACCATGCGAAAATCTTTTTTTTTTCCTTTCCTTTTAAGACAAAGACTCTGCCTGTTTCTTTATTCGTCTCTGTTTTTTTTTTTCTTTTTCTCTTCACTGACCTCATCTCACCTCCCCCACCTTCTCTTCCCTCTCTCTCTCTCTCTCTCTCCCTCAACGTCTTGACATCCGACAACCCCAATCATGGCAGACATCAAAGCCGCCGCGCATCCGGCCGTTGCCCACGATGCCGCCGATCTCGAGAAGACCGGCCTCACCTCCGACCAGGCCGACGCCCAGCTCGCCGCCGAGTTTGGATACAAGCCCGTCTTCAAGCGCGAGTTCGGGTACCTGTCGACCTTTTCGTTCGCCGTCAGTATCAGTGGCCTGTTCTCCACCGTCATGACCACCCTGTCCTACCCGCTCGAGGCGGGCGGGAGCAGCGCGGTCGTCTGGTGTTGGTTGATCTCCGGGTTCGGGTGCATGTGCATTGCGGTAGGTCACTCACTCACTGGCTTGGCAGTGGCATGCAGGATGAATGGCTGACGGGATGATGCGATGTCGATGCAGTGTTCCGTCGCGGAACTGGTGTCTGCGTACCCAACTTCGGGTGGTTTGTGAGTCGCTCCCTCCTTGGCCGTGACAACACCGACGGTCTGACCTTCGATCCCAGGTACTTCACCGTCTCGAGACTGGCGCCCCAGAAATGGGTCCCTTCCATCAGCTGGTAAGCCACCCCCCAGACATATAACGTAATCTCTCGGGGAATTGACGCGCGCAGGGTGACGGGGTGGTTGAATCTGCTCGGGCAGATCTGCGGTGTTGCATCCTCTGAATACGGCGCCGCGCAGATGCTGCTGGCCATCGTCTCCATGTGCCGCGGCTTCGACTATGAGATCACCACCGGCACGACTGTCGGCGTCATGGCGGCGCTGACCGTCTTGACCGGCCTGGTGAACTCGCTGTCCACCTACTGGATGGAGAAGATGACCAAGTTCTACGTGATCTTCCACGTCGCGATCCTCCTCTCCTGCTCCATCGCCCTGCTGGTCTTGACGGACGACAAGCACGACGCCTCGTACGTCTTCACCCACGTCGAGTCGACCACCGGCTGGAAGCCCATCGGCTTCAGCTTCCTGTTCGGCTTCCTCTCCGTCAGCTGGACCATGACCGACTACGACGCCACCGCCCACATCACCGAGGAGATCAGCAACCCCGAGGTCAAGGCGCCCTGGGCCATCTCGCTGGCGATGCTGTTCACCTACGTGGCGGGCTTCCTGTTCAACATCGTGCTGTGCTTCTGCATGGGCGACCCCAAGGCCATCCTCAGCTCGTCCATGGACCAGCCCGTGGCCCAGATCTTCTACAACAGCCTGGGCAAGGGCGGCGGCATCTTCTTCACCGTGTCGGCCCTGATCATCATCAAGTTCGTGTGCTTCACGGCCATGCAGGCCCTCGGCCGCACGGTGTTCGCCTTCTCGCGTGACCAGATGCTGCCCTTCTCCAACGTCTGGAGCAAGGTGTCGTCCAGCTCCGGCACCCCGCTGTACGCCGTGTGGATCTCCGTCTTCTTCTGCATCGCCATCAACCTGATCGCCCTGGGTTCGTACACCGCCGTCGACGCCGTCTTCACCCTGTGCTCCATCTGCATGGACTGCAGCTACTGCATCCCGGTCGTCTGCAAGCTGGTCTTCGGGAAGTTCAAGCCCGGACCGTGGCACATGGGCGGCGCCCTGGGCACTGCCGTGAACGTCTGGGCCTGCCTGTGGACGCTGTTCGTCAGTGTGATCTTCGTGCTCCCCACCGAGCGACCAGTGACACCCGACAACGTAAGTACCACCCCTTATCCCGATGGCCCCGTTGGCTGACGCCCTCCCCTCCATCCTCAGATGAACTACTCCTCCGTGTTCCTGGCCGCCGTTCTGCTCTTCTCGCTCGTCTACTGGTACATCCAGGGCAAGACGATGTACACTGGCCCCGTGTCCGAAGCTGTCGTAGCAGACAACTATTCCGAGAGCAACACCAACCCCAACGACTACAAGGCGGACAAGGACGCCCGCGACGCCTAATCCATCCCCTCTATCAGTTCGATATGCGACAAGCCCGAGCCAGACCGCGCCCTGCCCAGCCCAGCAAAGCAACTTCGTATACCCAACCCGAACCCTTGCAACAAGCCCAGGCCCGCCACCGTCCCGCGATCCGACCGACCCGTGCAGCAAACATCTTCCCGTATCACCGCAGCATCCACCCCTTGGATCCGCGCATTAGATACGCAGCGTCCCCAGCGCCATATCCATCCATCCATTCCAACCTATCGCCAAGCCCTATTCTATCTTCGTCAGTCCCGGAGCCCTTCAGCAGCCAGCCCATCTATCCGATTGATCCCGTTGTTGTTTCTTCCCTAGCGACTCGATATGACCCACGCGATTCCATCACCCAAAACAAAATCCATCCTTAATGACCCCCCCCCCCCCCCCCGCGACCGATATTAACGATCTGATTGATTCCCAGCGCCCGCTATGACTGACCCGACTACCCTCTGCGCCATCCTATCCATCCTATTCATCAAATTTCCTCGATCCGCTTCTTCGAACGGTATCAGCACCCCGATCCCAGAGCGACAACCCAACCCAACCTAACTCAATTGGAAGCCCATTTCATCTCGACCGACCGACCGATCGGATTGAGTTGATTTCACATTCATTGATTGATTGATATCACCGATAGGAGCCCCCCAGCTGCATCTGCACGTGTTATCTGTTATCTATTCTATTTTTTGTTTTCTTCTTTCCTTGGTTAGGATGTAAGGTGGTTTCTTGAGTTCTTTCTTTCTTTTGCCTTGGTTGTGTGGGTGGCTGAGTGTTTTGGTTGTCTGTCGTGAGCCCGGTGTGGGTTACGGTGGAGTGTATTTCTTCCTCTTCTTCTTTTCCCGCCTATTTTTTCTTCCTCTTTTTTTTCTCTCCCATCTTGTTCTTTACCCATGTATTTTTATGGTGGGATCCGGTCTCATCTAGTCTGGTCAAGTCTATTCGTTTAGACAGGACTAGGCTAGGTGTTTTTATGATTTGTTGGTTGGTGGTTGAGGTCTGGTCTGATGACTCTGGATAGAATTGACAGGATATTTCCTTACTTTTTCTTATTTCTTCTTTTTTTTTTGGTGTATCTGGTTGGTCTTCTGGCTGTATGCGTCGATATTGGCTGGTTGGAACTGATTACACTGAACTGAACTGACCTGGTTGAAATGGAGCTGAGCTGAAGTATCATGCCGGTATCTGACATTAGTACGTGCATGGTAGTATGTATACACAACCTGGCTGATGAGGGGGAGATTATTCGGTGGACTGTTGAGGCGAGCCGAGTCGATCCCAGTTGACTCGATTCTGGTTCTTGGGGTGATTGTGATTTATTTATTGATTGAATGGCTGATTGATATCTGGGATGAGTGCTACCAATTCTATCCTACAAGACTTACATCCATCTCATCTCATCTTAGAGAGGCATCTCTGTGGATATCATATCATCCAGATACATCCCTTAAAATGAAGAACCCTGAACCCTGAACCCTGAACCCTGAACCCTGAACCCTGAACCCCGAACCCTGTGCTGATATAGATAGATACCACCTCCATCTACATCTCCCATCATCATCATGCAGACCAACCCATCCGTCCCACAATAAACGGCACAACACCGTACCCATCCCTAACTAAAGACCGGAAATAGGTGAATAGCACCTAAGCATCTCATCTAGTCTTGGTTGGAGATCCCAGATTCCTCCCTAAACCGCATTCCCATCTCCATTTCACAATCATAACCACCCCATAATGAATCAAAGCTGTGCACTTACTTGTATGGGTGGATATTTTGAGGGAGAAGACTGTTGGGTGTTAGTATCAGCTGGGGGGAGGTGAGTGGTGAACCCCCCGGGCGAGGCAGTGGATGCACCGCGACGGGGAGCCTGAGATGTCATAGTAGTTAAAGTATTTAGTCTAACATAATTCGCATCCAGAGCAGACAGATGGGCGCTGATAGCCCTTCTTACCCACTCACTTTCTGACTCAAATGGGCTGGGACTTCTTGTTCTGAAGAAGAAGATCTCAGCTTCACCTGACAATAATCACTGGAACAATATCAGCAATCCTTGAATCGTTACGAGTCTTCAAGCGATCCAGTCATATTATATAATATACTGATAAGTCATAAGTCCGCACGAATTCGACCACCCGTCTCATCAACCCAGGATGGATATCAGCCACCCCGCAACCATCTGAGCAGCTTACCCCATGGTTTCACTGCATGGATCCGACTACACGCAGTCCGTCAACGAAATGCACGACTGCATCGCCGGAAACTCCACTGCGGACCGCGGCGCCAATGTCTTCGGCGCGGTCGGCGTACAGCATTGGGAGTGCTTCGAAGACAACAACTACTTCCTTCCACTATCCAGAACAGTTATCAGATACTCATCTTTGACGATGCGTTCTACATGGTGAACAGATGGTTGGATAGCTACCTCTCCCGTCCCTCCATCCTCACTACAAAAGGCCAAACCTTTTGGAAAGAATTAGGGAGGGGTCCAAGGATTTCATATAGGATAATTCGTGTCGGAGGTACATGATCGCGTTTCACTGTCTCTGTATATTTTGCGCGTTCGTGTGAGTTCTGGGAATGGGCATGGGAATGAATATATGGTAGCTAGGATGGCGGTGGAGGGGAGAGTGGTGTCTTTCTACCTAGATAGATATAGATACCCATCTCTTCCCCTACATATCGACCAGATACCAGTACTAGGGTAAGTACTTCCTATCTAAACAAGAACGCACACCATTAGCAACTGGCACCTAGCACCTAGCACCCAGCACCAGCAAAAATAAACAAATAATTCCTTCCACCCCCATCCCATCCATGCAAGATGACGCACCCCTTTCTCCCCCCGGCAAACCTCCCCGATCCAGCCTCATCCCCATATTCCAACCCATCCATCCACCCGAATCCCATGACGTAACCTCCCCCCCTCCCCCCTCCCCATTAAAACGGAAAAAAAGGACACGATCACTAAATGTCAGCCGCAGGGCAGATTCGTAATGAGGAATGCTTCACACATGTGGTTTAAGTTGTGGTGGGCGCCGGTGGTGCTACCTCCTTGCATGAATGAATGTTTAGTATGTTGACGGGGGATATTGCCCGATTGGTCAGCGGGGGTAATGTAATGTAATGCATGCAGGGTGAGGTAATCTGAGGGCGGTAACTAACTAAATAACTACTAGTAACTAGTGAGTATGCTGTGTCACGGTGCTTATGCATAGTAACTACTACCTAGGTCGGTAAGTGGGTAGGTAGGTTAGATTAGTAGATAGGTAGATAGGTAGGAAAAGGGGACGCGTAATCTGATTATCAATATAATAATCAAGACAGCATCTGTTTCTGCCTGTGGAGTTGATATTATGCATGGGGTTGACAGGTATCCAAGCACGGACTAACTACCGGTAAGCATGGAGTAGACGGTCAAGAAACAGGGATTGAAAGAAGAGGATGATGGATGGATGGATGGATAGAGAAGGGGATGGGTAAATTAGCAAGAGACAGCCTGCGTACGCAATCAATCCTCATCTCATCTCCGACGGAAACCTTCCAAAAGAGGGGGGGGAAACATCAAATCTATTTGTTTTTTCTGATTTAATTGCTTATTCTGTAGCTAATTTACTGGTAGACTAGCTAACTAGGTGGAGAGAGTGTTTAAGCTCTCCCCAAAAAGCAAAACCCAAATAACCGTCCCTGCGCGGCGCGTAAGCCACCCACCCCTGCACAGGGTGCATGGAACCCACCTCCGATAGGACCCTGCTGCAGACCTAGGACCTAGGACCTATCCCGCAGGGTAACGGCGCCACAGACGCACTGATCGACGCTCTAGTTGTTAATCCCTACACAAGCTAATCTACCGGTAGGTATAGGGAGGTGGGTACTCCGTAGTGTAAGTGGGTAAGTAGGTGGCTGTTGAAAACACCGAGAATAAAAAATAGGAAAAGAACTGGTCTGTCACGGCTCAGCCCTTCCTTCGTCCCGGGGAATAATCACTAGACTAATGGATATAGTTCGGCAATGATAATCATTTTAATTAACCTTGTTTTGTTTGTGTCGGGTTTTTTTTTTTTTTTTTTTTCCCGCTATAGATGGATGGGAATAACTGGTTTGTACTATAGGTATAGCAGCATTTAGACTGCAATCTTGTATACTCTTACTTGAATAGATTGTCTATCTGTATATATAGATATATATATGCGCGTACCTATGTGCATGAATATCTAGTAGGTATATGTCATACAGGGGAAGAAATAGCCGAAGATATCATTTGACATTGTCTTGCCTTGCCTACTTCAAGTTCCAGTAAATAGGTAGCAGAATAAAGCCAAGACTCAAGTCAAGTCAAGCAAGTCATGAAGTAAAGTGACGAAGCCCGCAGAATAGCGATCTACAAACACCCCAAATATCTACCAATACGGCATGTAACTAAGCCTACATATAGATATAAGCAAGTATGCCTTGCAGAGCACATCAACATCTTACTTATGTCTACATTTACTAACTTATTTACATAGACATGAACATGACCATGCCCACAAAAACGAACATCAATCTGTAAATCCATCCATCCAAAACCCATAATCCCTACCCAAAGGATCCAACCCATTAAAACTTCTAAATTTAGTCCAAGCAACAGAGCAGAACAGAACAGAACAGAACAGAACAGACAAACCCCGTTCCCCCGAACCGAACCATCCGTCCAGAACTCCAGACTGCTGCAAATTCGACCGACCGACCGACCGACCGTTGGCTGGTCTGGTTTTGAATTGGGTTGGGTTCACGGTTCCCCTTTCCCGCGCGGTGGGGCGGGTCCACTCCACTCCTCCCTTCCCTTCCTTCCCTTCCCTTAGCACGATTCCCTACCCTACCCTAGATACCCTACCCTAGGAACGGGATCTAGTTTGTTAGTTTGGTAGTTTGTTGGTTGGACCCTCCCTCCCTCCCGAGTCTGATTTTTTTTTTTTTTTTTTTCTGTTAGCTTGTGGCGCTAGGGAGGGAGTTTGAGTCTGGAACATCCGAACAATGGATTTGATTTGAGTTGGTTTGATTTATTTGAATGGTTATTTGGGATTTGATTGAGGTTTTCGTAGTCAGAGGAATTGATATTCGAGGGTAGGATTTATTGATTTGATTATTGGGATGATTGATTGATTGATTGATTGATTTAAAGTTGGATAAATAAATTCATTATCATTAGGAATTGGTTGGATGGATGGATGGATGGATGGAAACTATGTTCGCCACTCTAGGGGGTGTATGTACTCTAAATAACGTAGGATGAGTCTCGTGGGTGTCATCACAGCGAGACTGACGGTGAAATGCAGACAAAAGAGGGATGATGATGATGAAGAAGAAGAAGAAGAAGGGAAACAGAGTGGACTTTTTGTGTTCGTGCTGTGTGTTGTATGTGGTGCAGGGTAGGGTAGGGCAGGGCAGGGGAGAACATGGGCCGATAGATAGCCAAAACAGACAGATGAAACAGAAAGACAGAGACAGGAAAGGGGGAATCGTAAATCATTGTGAATCAAATCAGATCATGTACCGTGTAGTCAGTCAGTCAATCAATCAATCAATGAATCAACTCAAGTGTGGGTACGTGTGTGGTGTGGGATAATAGTAATGCAGGAAAGAATGGCGAAAGGGAGAAAGAACGCCGACGACGGACGCAGGGGCAGCAGCAGCACCACCTATATAGCGCAAGCCGTGTCATCGCGATCATTCGGGCCGATGCCTCTCCTCCGGACGGAAAGTAGGGCGATAATCAGGCCCAGTCCGGCAAGGCCGGCGGAACACCACAGGCCTGTGGCGTATTGCTCGGCCAGCCCATGGCCCTTCTTGATGTCGACGGTTTCGGTGACGGCGGCGGAGATGGCCAGGGCCACGCCGGAGCCGATTTGGAAGGCGGTGTTCAGCTGGAAAGATCAGAATTATCATTAGTTTCTTCCTTCATGGTTGGTTTCTTAAGGACCGGCTGAGGGTCAAAATGGGGGGGGGGATGGGGGAGGCTCTCACCATTCCACCACACAGACTCTTCACGTTCACCGGAACAGTCGTCAGGATGGCAGTACTGGTGGTGACGAAGATCAACGACACAGCGGTGATACTGATGAGCGAGGTGGGGAGGACATTGACCCAGCTGCGACAATCATTAGCACTAGATCCGGGCTCAGGCAATAGAGAGTGGGGCCGTACAAGCTGGTCTCGGGGCTGGCGGTGATGGCGCTCGGGACAGGGGCCAACACCGTCAGGATCAACCCGGCAAGGAGGGTGTATTTCCCGTTTACGTACTCGAGCGCCTTGCCCGTTCCCATCGAGGCAATGAACCCGATCACGCCCATGGGGAGGAACCGGAGCGCCGTGTCGCCCGCGGAGAGGTGATCGACCTCCTGCGCCATCAGGACGATGTAGTAGATGACGTTCTGGTAGCTGCCGTAGCAGGCTAGACGGAGAGGGTCAGCGGAGGGACTCAAGGGAGGGCTGGGGGGAATAGAGGCGGCGACGACGACGTACTGAAGCCGGCGACCCACAGCCCCGCAAAGTTGGGGAGTTTCCACAACGACAGAGGCATGAGCGGGCAGGAGATGAATTTCTCCAGCACGACGAACGACGCCAGGAGCGCCACCGCCAGGATGAGCAGGACGATGATGAACGGCGTGCCCCAGCCGTAGACGCCGCCGCTGGACAGCACGAACTGCAGCAGGATCAGACCCGCCGTGGAGAGCATCGCCCCGACGTAGTCCATCTTGGGCTTCGCCTTGCCCGCCATGTTGTCCGCGGGCAGGACGATGAACCCCAGGATGCCGAGCGCACCGGTGATGATCACGATGAAGTAGAAGATGTACCGCCACCCCAGGGACGAGGTCAGGAACCCGCCGAAGATGAGCCCGACGCAGAAGCCCACCGTGCCGGAGGAGGCGTAGATAGACAGCGCGCGCGTGCGATCAAGCCCCGTGAAGTAGGCGCTGATGATTCCGATCGCGGACGGCACGGTCAGCGCGGCCCCGATGCCCTGAAGCCCGCGGAAGACGGTCAGCTGGATGAAGGACTGTCCGAACCCGATGGCCAGGGTCCAGATGGATAGCCAGGTGAGGCCCAGGCAGAGGATCAGCTTTCGGCCATATCTGTTTCCGGTCAGTTACACAGTGCGTCGTGACGACACTCTTGGGGGGGGGGGAATACCCACCGGTCGGACAGAACGCCTGCCAGAAGCAAGAAGCCGCCAAACGTCAGGGTGTAGGCGGAGATCATCCACTGGAGGTTGGTGGCGGACACGTTGAAGTCCTCCTGGATGGAGGACAGGGCCACATTGGCACTGGTCATGAAGACATTGTCGAGGAACTGGGAGCCGGATGTGACCAGCAGGACGAGGGCGCCTTTCCACGAGCCCAGGCGACCGATCTCAGGGACGGGCCCGAGAGGGCTGAGGCCCTTCTCCTCGGTTGGGGTCGCGAGACCGGACGAAGGAGTGGTGCTGCCTGTGGAGGGGACAGAGTGGGAGGAAACAGTGAATTGGGATTTCTTTGCGTCGTTGTCGTCGACTCGTGCCTGGTGGTCACGGCCACGAAAGAGCCCGTCGAAGATAGCCATACTTGGTCAGTGATGAGGAAGGGGAAGGAGGGCGCGGCGGGTCATTTTTTAAATAGTAGATAGCGGGGCCCAGGATCGAAAAGTCTGTAAAGAATCTGAGAAAAAGTGGGCTGGTTCGTTCGGGTCTGAGTCTCTCGGTCGCGCTCCGCCTCGCCTTGCCCTAATTTCTGGTGTTGCACCGGTTCCTCATCGATTGCGCGTCCCAGCATTGCTCGATTGACCGTTGCTTTTCGCCCTTATCTGCCTGCCTGTCTGTCTGTCCGTCTGTCCATTCACTACGTAAATTCTTCCCTCCGTTCTATCGTGCTGGCGACATGTACATTCACAAGATCGTGATCGTACCTTGTGGTGGACCGTGGAAATGCGGCGCGGATCCTGCGATTCGCCCTCTCCCCTGCGGTTACCCTGCGGAACCCCCCAGCAGTGGCCCCAGCAGTCCCCAGCAGTCACCACAGGCACAGTTCACATGCTCGCCACCCCATCTCCACCACCGATGGTGCTATTGAAGCTGCTACTGTACGATATTGTAGCATCTCCACTATGGCAACATGACATGTGGTCTGCGAAGTATCCTTGAATGGTTCCCTCCCCTGGTCCAGCTGTCGCCCGATCGGCACAATCAACGGGTCTAGAAGACCTCCCAAAATTGGCATTGCTTCTTCTTCTTCTTCCTGCGGCGCCATCACGTTGATGGCCAACATACCCCATTACGACAATTGCGTGCTCCCCAGACCCCCCGGATCCGACCCCTAGAATCGTAAATCCATTCCCCAGGGGAGACAGCGTCATCGCCCCCTAGTCAATTCCCTCCGGACAGCGCACTCTACGGGAGTGACTCAGGGTGTGTCTCTCTCTGTTTTCCCCCTTCGCTCTCGCTTGCCCTCCCTCCCTTCCTTTCCGGACACTGCGGATCCATCGATAATCCCGTGGAGCTGATCGTCAAATCGCAGCACAGATGCCGACACCATCGGGCCGAAAGACCCAGCGGGTCCACGGAACCACTTTGTCCTGCTGAGTCTGAGACCGCCCTTGCTCGACCGCTCTTCCGCGTCGGTCATCGTGGTCTCCCACGATACTGTCACGGCTGACGACGTCCCGCATTCCTAGGACTGGGTCCCTGGGCAGAAACGATGAAAGCTAAGCTATCTGAAACCGCCACTATCATTCCCAATCCCAAACAGCACGATGTGGCGAGAAGCCGCTTCGAGTAGGGTCTCCGTCGGCAGAGGGATTTGATGATAACGCCTGCCTGCTACAATGGTCGTCGTAGTCTCACTGCCCTGATAGGCAGGCGACCGGGGAGTGAGTGAATGGCCCACGTTTCAGGGGCGAGAAGGGGTCTGTCAGACACGAGCAAATTAGACAGACCCCTTGGGTGGTTATGTCTGGTGTTGTCATTGCCATCCATTCATCCATCCATCCCTCCCTCCCTAGTCCGTACACACACAGTACACAGTACACAGTAGTAACATTATAGTGGTTGTGTGTCTGTCCTTGCCTCTACGCAACCCGCACCCACACCCCATCGATTCCATTGACAGGCAACCACACCACAACCTGCACGTGGAGATGCTCAATTCTACCACCCAGCAGGACACAGTCCAGTCCACTCCAGCCCCCCCTCCGTTCTAGACTCACGATACCCCATAAAATCATCGAGAACGGCACCAATTGCGGGGCTGGGCCAGTTGGTCGAAATCCCGAGTCGAGTCGGTAGTAAGCCTTCGATCCGCCTCCCGCGTCTCGCCAACGGCCTCTTTAACTACTACTGAAAGAAGCCTCTCAGTTCTCCACCCGGCCCACCGTCCCAGACTTCCTCGCCGGCAGGTGGGTCCCTTCAGGCGAAAACGCCAAAAGTCTAATAAATAAAGCAGTCAGTCAGACAGACTAAGCACTGAAGCACTGAAGCAGCCGCCCGGGCGTTCTCGGGGTCCGATCGGCGGCGGATCAGGGAGGATCATGGGCGGGAAAGATTACCGGAGTAGATCCGGCAGATCATGCTGTCTTCAATATCGAGTTGTCCGTTCGAGCTGGATTGAATTGAGTTCCGGTTGATCGCTGCGGCATTTCGACCGACCGACTGACCTCCCATCCATTCATCCATTCATCCACTACTTACCTACCCCTACTACCTACTTTCCCCTCCTGCACCACCAAAAATAGAATCAACCCTCCCTCGGGGTAATTCACCCCGCCTACAGATATTAAACGTACAACCCACTAGTTAATCACAAGAATAGTAACTGTCCCCCGGAACCAGTGATGCAACCAACCCACCACTTCACCACCCACTACCCACGGAGTACCATCATCCATCGCCACAGAAACAGGGAATCTGATCTACGCGGGGGGGTCAGTCACTGGTCAGATCCATCATCCTTTATTAATCGCCAATTTCCCCGGAGGGAGGCAGATCTCTCGCTTTCTCCCTCCTTCCTTCCTCCATCTACGTCATCTGTGCGGACGGCCAAGAAAGGGGTCTGGGATCTTACCCTGCATCATGTATTATATCCTCCGGTGTTATTGCGCATCCATTCCGCGATTGACATCGACATCGACATCGGTGCGAAGTCAGATGGATAGATGGATAGATGGTGGTGCAGGCTGTGGGTTGGGTTGCGTCATCTATCGTGGCCTTGGCTGCATCTGCATTCCGGATGAACGTATGCGAGTGTTGGTATGACATAGGGTGTCTATCGTGGTGTGGTAGCCGGGATATGATGATGATGATGATGATGATGATTACAGGATGTTGTCATCTTTGGTCGGTGGTATGGTTGTCTCGTGGAGTACCGCTAAGACGGGGCGTTTTATGGGAATATGAGGCGGGCGGCCCTCGTCGCTGCGGGCTTGTCTGTCTGGAGGCATGGTTCCTTGCGAAGGCTTCGTTGCAAGTCATGTTCCAGATCTAGGTGTAGACGCTACTATATGGCGTCGCTTTCCAGTCCCAGACTATCGAATCTTCCCCCCCCCCCCCTGGACATGGCCAAGTTCAAGTCCATACGGTCTTGGTTATATATACACTGGTTTATTTTAATTGCTCGCGCTCGCCAAAATGAAGCCATCATTCCAAGATAACTGATCCAATACCCCGTCCGATAGATCTTTCGGATGAGGAGAGGGGGTTAATTATACGGTCACCCGAATTCGAGCATAGAGGTTGCACGATGGCACATTTCAACGTCCAGCGATCCATACCCCCCAGGACGTCATACGGCACGGTTCGTTTTTGGTTAGATTCGAAGGTCCTGTTTCGTGACTTGATCAGGATTTCTATCCCTACATCGGCGCATGGAAGGGCAACTCAGACCGGAGTTTGGTGTGATCGAGCACGGAATAGTGCCTTCGTCGGCGTTCGGTCGCTATGTGTGTGTAGACCTTAGTCTCGCAGCAAAGACATCCACTGGGCTTGAAAGTCCTCGTGCCCCTTCGCTGCATTTAGTCCTGGATCCTCAGATAGAAGGTTACCTGTCAGGACCGCAGGTGTCCCTCTTCCAGAGCGTCATGCGCGGGGAGTACTCCTTTTGCCGCAGTGGCGCTCGTCATTACCATCTCGTATGTCTCAATCTTATACCAGAGGGTAAGCCTTTTCAAGGTCCAGATTTTCTGGCTGTTTTGGGGGGTGGGAATACTGATTCTGGAGCGACAGTGGTTTGCGAACAAAGAGCTGCGCGGCTTTGATAGGTCTCTTATAAATGCAATAGTCTGGCTGGACTAGAAGACCATTCTCTGTCACGATTCTAATTGATCTGTTGATGCGCAGGGTCCATCTGATCCGGTGGCTTGGTGCTTGTCATTGACTTCCTCCCGCCTATATAGACAATAAAAGTCCTGCGGCTATGATATTGCGGAGAAGCGGCGACGAGGAAAAGTCGTCAACGATCCAACATCAACGCCCGAATTTACTATGTGCATCGTGATTTAACACGCTCGGCTGAGAAAGACGCTTACCAAATGGTCTCGGTTTCGCGATACGACCGCGGAATCCACCTATTTCATCCATTGGATCCTTATTCACAGACTGTTATATTTTCTTTCAAGGCCTGGACGCGCGGGCCAGTGTATTGTTTTCCGGATATCTGATATAATACTCGAAAGTCGCAGTCGCCGTGGCGTCGCCGCACCTGGGGCTTCGCTTCCCTGTGCGGCCCTGGAAGCCGTCGCGAACAGTCCGACGTTTTCAAGTCTGCTCTGACTCATTCCAAGAGCCCGGATTAGGGAGAATAGGGCTGTTCCTGGCACGGTCCACCTTGGATATGTGTACATATACATATCCGGATTTATTTCGCTTCGTGCAAACTTTTCAGAAGATATGGCACAAGCAGCGCAGTACATGAAGTGCTCTTCGGAAATATGGATTCAAACCGACATACCTGCCGCTGAAAGTGTGATTGCCACTGAGAATATGATTGCCGCTGGGAGACACTACAGCCAGGCCAAATTATCAGGTACATGACTGCCGTCGAATTCAGCGGTTTAGTCATGTCCGCGGAGGACGAGTGGACTTTGTGCAGATCAGCACCGTACAGAACCCATCAATCGTATCTGAAAACCTGGTCCTTGGCAATTTCCTCTATTGAACAGAACAGACCTCGCAACAGAGCAAATCTTTGTCGGTGACGAGCACGGCAGGCAATGCCGATTCAACAAGAGAGTAGCACAGTTCCTCGGGTAAAGGCGTCTTCAAAAGCCATGTCTGTGTCCGGGACAAGCACGGCGTGCAGGGCCGGTTTAACGAAAGGATTGCGAAAGCGCAAGCAGTCCGATATCTATTAACTGTTGTCCATTTCACTGCGGTTGGAGATGGGCTGGAAAGCAACGCCATCCGCGTCCAAGACAAAAAACATGGATATGCAACCGGGCAGCTAGGCATTCAGGGCCTTTTTGTAAAATGGCAAACCTCTGCATTCTTCGCAAAGTTGATCGGGCGTTGTATGCGCCTGCAACAAACCACTGAACATTTAAGTATCTGGCTTCGGAGCTAGCTAGGTACAGCAAAGCAGCCATGGAATTGGCCAGCCCAGCAGAGCAGATAACTCTCTCTGTGAGACTATTGCAAAAACAAACGCCTTCTTCCAGAGTATCCCTGAAGTCCTACCTACCTACCGGAGAGCCGAAACACTTGTTTCCCACGGGCACGCCAGTATGGAATAATACTTGAGATATGTCGTGATATATTAGGCATCGAAAGCTTACTCAAGTAGTCCATGATGGATGACCTCGAGAGAATGGTAGAGACCGTCTCGGACTATGTTCATGATCGGCTGGGGGTCTACCTTTCCCATCGCTTATTTAATTAACTGCGAGCCTCATCCTCCAGGCACCAAGAATGGAAAGCATGTCAGTTTTAACAAGTGAAGCACTTGTCGGGAATGCCACCTGGATGTATGGCAGGTACTGTGATGCCGGCTGTCGCCAATCTCTACGTTGTGACGACTTCCGTGCTATCCGAACAAAGTAGGATATTATGCTGCAAACTCCGCTACACTCTCCTCTCTCAGCGGTCTTTCGCAATGCCACATTTGACAACTTAGGAAAGAATTTGCTGCTATATCAAATCACAAGAACGCTCATAGCCCTCTAGAATTATTCAATGAAAATACAGGATATACTAACAGGGCTTCCAGCTGATAAAGCAGCGCATGCTGCATCTTCCCGTGCTCGAACCTAGAATAAGGAAACTCTTTATATCCGTCCTTTTCTTCTCACACCAGACCTGTTTCTGCGCGTATGATGAAACATGTCCAGATGATCTATCTGGTGACTCTACTCACCCATCCTACGCCTTGAAGATGTTGTTCAGGAACATTATCTACTGTTCCGACAAATACAGATCAAATCCCCAGCGCTGACATGGCCTCCGAGGTCAGAGACCTCTTCCAGTGTCACCACTATCAGCAAGGCCTTTCACAGACATCGAACCGCTCATGTGCATAAGTAATTTTAGAGTCCTTTTGGCAATTCTTTGATGAACAGGATATTCATTTTTCAGATTCTGCAAGATAGTATTATAATACTCTTATATCTTCTGCTGCTGCGAAAGAGTTTTAATATAAATTAATCTAAAAAATCAATAAATACAAGATCTTACTGACTTATATGCTATCTGACTTATTATTAATTGATTTTTTAATAATCTCTTTGTCCTCTGACTCCGTTTCTGAAAGACCGTCCCAGTACCAACCGTCCACTTCCTTTCCCACGAAGATTTGCCTATCGGGGAGGGTGTTTTCGTTCCTGACTGTTAGCACCCTTGCTAGGGAGTTCTCTCAGGTTGCCATTGGGCGCTTCTCTCGACGCGACGGGAATTTTCAATTGGTACCTGTGGGACCCCATAGTCTCCGAGGATAGGATTCCTCGGGCTTGCGCAGATCCCGTCGCCCTCCTAACCCTAGCATCACGTTTCAGGTCCTCTACATGATAGATTGGTGGCGCATTCCCCAAATGCGAACCCGCTTTATGTCCCCAAATCATGTCTCAAGGGATAGCCGATCACGATGAATGGATGGATGGATGGATGTACCACACAAGGGAACTAATGTGAGACCAACAGTCACACTTATTCTAATTTCACAACACCAAAATACATCCGAAAATGGCAACATGCCAATATGACGACCGACCAATTCTCAACTCAAACGAAGAACTCCTCACCAGACTCACAGCCTGAAACCATCATATCATGATCCTCCAATCCTCCAATCCCCCTCCCCCCCCAAAAAAAACATCAAAACATGAAAGCTCTACACCCCCACAAACGACACAACCATCAATGCAGTAGATCACAAACGAAATCCTCGTGCCGGATTCCCATTTCCTCCTTCCTCGCCGTAATAATCGCAACTCGGGCCCTATACAGCACCAAGAGGGTCTGCCGTAGTTTCCGTCGCGTGTGGTCCGTCATCTGCAACACGGAGGTACGGTGATACAAGGCGATCAGCATCTCCATGCGCACTCTGTCCTCGAGGGCGATGTCGTATCCGAGACAGAACTGACATAGATGGTCTCGGCTATGTCTGATCATAAGCTCCGGGTATACTTCGATTGCGGGAGGACAATCGATCCAACCGTCTCCGTCTTCACAGTAAGGACAGTCGCCCTCGAAATATATCTCCATGACATCACTGGATGGTGGTTGTTAGCTATTGGGTTGAGGTGGGCACGGTGGGGGAGGGAGATCATCAGCATCAGCATACCGCCCATGTGGCTTCACCAGGATGTCGAATTCCTTTTCGCCTTCCTCTTCGACCAGGTCCTTGAGAAAGGTGGCTAGAGTGCCATATGGAGGGTCCACCGTGTGACTCTCGGAGAGGCACAACTTTCCCTCCTTATGAGGTTCGTGTTCGTGTGGGGGCCCGCCGTACAGGACCTCGGGGCCTGAGACCATCCAGTAGCCTGGCTGCAACGGGATGTGCCATTGAGTCTCGCGTACTGTTATCGTGGATGTGTCGGGGGTTGTGGAAGTGATTGCTGCTTCTTCCACGACGAGCATACATCTCAAACTAGGAGTTTGGACCAAGAGCAAGTCCCCTGGTACGACGGGCTCGGTGAGGGCTCGCATGGTGGTGCTGGGGTCTGATGGATGGTCGGGTTGTATTATAGATTTTAGATTCGGACGGTGGGAGAGATGGGAGAGATGAGAGATGGGAGAGATGAGAGATGGATGAGAGATGGATGAGAGATGGATGAGAGATGGATGAGAGATGTGAGAGATGTGAGAGATGTGAGAGATGGATGCGAGAGGGAGGAAGGAGGAAAGGGCTGAAAAAAGAATTCTCCCGTACATAGGTATCCCATGATGGGGATTGTGTCATCGATATGGAATTATGATATAGTGGTAGTGCGGACCTCTATTTCCCCTCGCTGACTACCTATATCAAAAATCAACAGATGGTGAGATTGATGGAGTACAGCAGTAAGTATGATGTATCCGAGACACAGCGATGAACAAGCCATTACCACACACCATCGATCGATTCGCTGATCCCGACTCGAACCATCTGACCGTCAGTACTATGGAATAGTGATCAAGGTGTGTGATCCTACCATTACAAATTACTATATCACAACAATAGATTAACAGTCAGATGAATCCTGAATAAATAAGGCCCATAAATTGACCTCATCTATATTACCCTCTGAAAGATCTCCTCCTCTCGACGTCCCATCTCCTTCCTCCTATTAATCGCATCCATCCGCACCTTATACCGCCGTAGAAGGTTTACTTTGAAGGCGAATCGCTCCATCACCGTGCCTACCGAGTCTTGTCTTTCCATGTCACACAGGAAATTCACCGCCACTTTATCAGTAAAGGGCAGGGCAGGTCACATCCGATGCAAACCTCCCACGCGAGGCTGAGGTGGTCAAACACACTCATAATGTCCGGGTACTCTCGATTGCCCTCGGGGATGCAGCCGTCCCCGTCACAGTGATATTCTGCAACCTCAGGCACCCACGCACCGGCCCGGACCAGCCAACCAACCCTAAACCACCACCAAGTGAAACAAACAAACACACACAACCCTCTTCCACTGGGATCTCTAGACCCAGTCTCAAGTGGCATCCTCAGACTCCCGGCCGAGAAATTGTCCTCGTACTCGAGCAGAAAACCGGTCCACGGCGAGACAGACCCACCGAACAATACCAAAGCTTGACTATCTACCATAGCTTGCAAACCCTTTGCTTCATAGAAACAAAGTATTGCTATTGTGAATACTACCTGGGCTATTCGGATGTCTTCCCGGCCGTCCAACCGAAACCAGCTTATCAGATGAACATGGATGGATCGTTCGGATTCGGAGTTCGCACAGCAGTCCGAACATGAGCGAACCTCAACCTCATTTCAACTCGGTCGAGAACAGGGACCGACCCACTGCCCTGCATCACAGGAAGTGACGTCATGATCATAATCATGTCATAGTTAGCCATCAACAATCCGGATGATATAAAAGTGGCCACAACCTTGCCTTCGGGATAATCCGGCCAAACCACCAGCTAAAGTAACTAGCTGAATATCCATACTCCCATCCATACTCAACAACCACAACCACAACCACAATCACAACCACAATCACAACCACAACCACAATCACAACCACAATCACAATGTCAAACTCAACCTCAACCTCAACACCAACCCCCGAGCCAAACCAATCCCAACCACTCAGCTACCAAACAACGACCTACCAAAACGGGCTCCTCCCCCACCCAGCCCCTCCGCCGCCCCTCCCCTTCAACCCCCTCACCTGGGAAACCCTCGCGCAAGCCCACCTCTCGCCAAACAGCTACGGCTACGTGCAAGGCTCCGCGGGCACGGGGTCAACAGCAACCAACAACCTGCAAGCATTCACCAAATGGGCACTAGTGCCGTCGCGTCTCAACCGCACACCCACCCCATACGCAGACCTCCGCACCCGACTATTCGGCCACGAGTACGCCTCCCCGATCGCAATCGCCCCCGTCGGGGTGCAACGGATCTTCCACCCGGCGGGCGAAAAAGCAACCGCCGCCGCCGCCGGCGCCGGCGCACCCGATCTCCAAGTCCCGTACATCCTCAGCACCGCGACCGCGACCAGCATCGAAGACGTGGCAGCCGCGAACGGCGCCGGACCGCGGTGGTTCCAGCTGTACTGGCCGGGAAACGAACACGACGAGATCACACTATCCCTGCTAGCGCGGGCCAAGAACGCGGGCTATTCCGTGCTGGTCGTGACGCTGGATACATACGTGCTGGGCTGGCGGCCGGGCGATCTCGACCACGGCTATAACCCGTTCCTGCGGGCGGATGACATCGGGGTGGCGGCGGGGTTTTCGGACGCCGTGTTTCGGCGGAGGTTCCGCGAGAGGCACGGGGTGGAGGTCGAGGAGGATGTGGGGAGGGCGGCGGCGGAGTGGGCGGGGGTGATCTTTCCAGGGTATAGTCATGGCTGGGAGGATGTGGGGTTCCTGAGGAGGCATTGGGAGGGGCCGATTGTGTTGAAGGGGATCCAGAGTGTGGGGGACGCGGAGAGGGCGGTGGAGGTGGGGGTGCAGGGGGTGGTGGTTTCGAATCATGGCGGGAGGCAGTTGGATGGCGGCGTCGGGTCGTTGACGGTGCTGTCGGAGATTGTGGATGCGGTGGGGGACAGGTTGGAGGTGTTGTTTGATTCCGGGGTTAGGTGTGGTGCGGATGTGGCCAAGGCGTTGGCGTTGGGGGCGAAGATGGTGCTGGTGGGCAGGCCGTATGTTTATGGCCTGGCCGTGGGGGGCGAGGAGGGCGTGAGGCATGTGTTGAGGTGTTTGCTGGGCGAGTTGCAGTTGACGTTGCATTTGGCGGGCGTGCAGTCGGTCAGGAGCGAGCATTTGAATAGGGACGTGTTGAGGTGGGTGGGTTAGGTGGTTTTGGGATTTGTCAATTGGGGGGTGGTGGAGATTGAGATTTAGTATGCCAGGGGACAGTATAGAGTATAGATAGATGGCTGTCAGGCTTGGTGTATCTACGATATGGTTCCATACTCCACTTCTCAACCAACGCATAATGGAACATATGCCATGCTGGGAAACATAGAAATAGATATTTCGTGAATATCTCAGACTAATGTTCTTACGTTGGCAACTTGATGGACCATCAACTATCACAGGAATCTGCTAGATAGAGCAAAGAAGTCTCCCCGCTTAGGGCTTCCGAGGGACACCCGACAGCTTCCTCTACCAACTACACTCCCCACCCCATTGCCATCCTTCAACCCTCCAAGCCTGCACACGTCAGTCCCGACCACCCAGCCCAGAAGGGAGGAGAAAGAATAACAGAAATCACATACACTGCGAGTAAAACTCATTCTCGTACGTGCACGTATACCCACTCGGACACACCGTTGGTCCCGAATACCCATCCCCACCACACTGGCCATACGCGGTGCTAGATCCGGTTGCCGTCGCAGACGACGTCGTACTCGTCGTCGTAGTCTTAGTAGTGCTCGACGACGTGGATGACGTCGAGCTGGTAGTCGTGACCAAGGTAGTCGACGTCGTTCCACCCGTACTGCTCGAACTCGAACCAGTCACACTCGCACTAGCCCCCGTTTTCGACGCCGAAGAAGCCGAAGCCGAAGCCGAAGCCGTAGCCGTAGCAGAGGGCAACCCCCCACTCGGGTCCCCATAAAAGATGCCCCTGCCATTGGTACCCACAAACACACGGCCATAGTTCTGCAAGTCACCATTAACGACATTCGCATCGACAGCACCAAACCCATGATTCGCATCCGAGATAGCCTGCCAATTCACGCCCTGGTCCTCCGTCTTGAACAGCGCCGTGACACCGTCAACCGTAAAGAAGCCAAAGAGGACGGGATATTCGCCCGTCGCGGAGGGCTTTCCGAACCCGAAGCTCCAGCCCGCGGTACATCCGCCGGCGATCGGGACGAAGGAGGCGCCAAAGTCGGTGGAGTGGAAGAGGCCGGTGTCGGTGGAGGCCCAGAGGTCGCCGGCGAGGGAGGGGTGGGCGCGGAGGGCGTTGATGGTGGTGCTGGAGCCGAGGGTGGTGGTTTTGGAGAAGGAGGAGGCGGTGTTGCCGGAGACGTAGATGGCGGAGGCGGCGCCGCCGTAGAAGTAGCTGTTGTTGGCCTTGTCGGAGGCGATGACGGCGCCGGAGGGGAGGGAGGGGATGGAGGCGAAGGTGCTGGAGGATTGGGACCGGAAGGCCCCGTCGGAGTTCATCAGGAGGATCGTGTCCGCGTTGGCCGAGTATGCGACTTGGCCGGTGCCGGTGCTGGAGGAGGCCGCGTAGTCGGCGTACCAGGAGGCGCCGAAGCTGGAGGACAGGGCCACCGTGGGGAGGTCGCTGCTGGCGCCGGAGCGCACGATGTTCCCGGGGCTGTTGCCGGCGTAGTCGATGCCGTTGGTCGTGCCGTACGTTGGGGTGTGGAAGGCCTGGGAGGGGGCGGTGTCGAGCGAGGCGTGGTAGAAGCCGCCGTCGTCGCCGACGGCGGACAGGAGGGCGGGTCCCCCGGGCGGGGTGATCAGGCCGAGCACGGCCATCTCTTCGACCCCGACGGCCAGGGACTCCAGCGTGATGTTGCGGGTGGTGTCCCAGTTGAGCAGGTCGTGGCCGCCGTAGATGGTCTCCCCCGTGCCGTACAGCCAGTGGTTGGAGTCGAAGGGGTCGATGGCCAGGGCTTCGACCATCCAGCCGACGCGCACGGGGAACTCGCTGGTCGAGGTGTCGTCCTGCAGCCACGGCGCGGTGGAGATGTCGTACGTGTAGTAGTCGTCGATGCTGGGGTAGCCGTTCCAGGCCCAGATGGGCGACCAGGTCGCCCCGGAGTCGAGGCTGCGGAAGATGATCTCGTCGGGCCACCAGCAGTTTAGGGCTGCCACCATCACGGTACCGGGCACTTGGAGGTCGACTGACAGGCCGCCGTAGCCGTAGTAGGTCGACGCCATGGACGTCGGGCTGATGTCGGTCCAGACTCCGGTGGAGATGTTGTACTTGTGCACCGTGCCGTTGGTGCCGTCGTAGGGGCCGGCGCCGTTGGAGTAGGAGATGTACAGCGTCTGCTCGGCCGGGGAGAGCACGCCCTTGTGGGGGAGGAAGCCGTACAGGGGCTCTCCGGACACCCAGGCCCCTGCGATCATCAGCTGGGGTGGAATGTGCTGGGGGGACGATCCATACAGGTTTCGCCAGCATCTTCGGAGACAAAGACAGACTCTCCGGTGTCCACCACGCCTGGGACCGTTAGCTCTCGGCCGTGGGACGAGTCGGTTCACTCACCAACGAAGATTCGAGGCGTCGCAGAGCCTGCGCTGCCGGATGTCGAGTCGAACGTCACCCACGCAATCCCCACCGGATCATCGGTGTATTCTAAGCTCGCATCTTCAACGTAGGTACCCGTCCAGGTGAAGGACGTCACATTCGCCCAGGTCTCGCCGTAGTCGGTGCTCTTCCACAGACCGTGGCCACTTCTGGCTCCGAAGTAGAGAATGCTGTTGTCGTTCGGATCCACGGCCAGTCGCTGCGCTTGTCAGTTCCCGAACCGACTCTAGTCGCCCCCTGAGGTCGAGATAACTGACCTCCCCAACACCACGGCCAGGCATGTTCCCGCCGACCTTGAACGGCAGCACCGTCTCCGCCCAGGTATCGCCCTGGTCGGTGGAGCGAAGAATCGACCCATCGTTGGGATCCCAGTCGATCGTGTACATGCCCACGGCAACGTACACACGGTCGGGGTCGACGGGGTCGGTGGCGATCGCATCGATGCCCCAGTCATGCCTGCGCTGTTAGTCTGCATCCACAATGACGCAGACGCCTCGTACCAGTTGGTGTTGTTCACCCAATCCATCAACGGGGTCCAGGTGTCATCCGAGTTCAGACGGTACGCGCCGCCAATATCGGTGCGAGCATACGCGACGCCCTTCGCCGATGGATTGAACACAATCCCCGGGGTGAATCCTCCGCCGCCTGGAGTGTGTCAGTTGGACCTTTATGAGAATGGACCATCCATACCCCCAGTGAGGACATTCTTCCAGGTATAGGCCTGTGACGCGGCGCAGTGGACGGATCCCACCAGGTAGCTGGCCACGAGGGCCACGGCTGTCCACATATTGCCGGATGCCTGCGCTGAACGGTTTGATGCGATCGTAACAAGGGCTTGGGCCAGCTTAAATAGCCCCTTTCCACAGTGAAGTTCCTGCCATCGCGATCAAGTCCTGATCCTCCGTCGCAGTGTCAAGTCCGAGAGGCGTTATTCCCAACTAGCGACGGAGTGCCCGCCATTCCAGTCATGCGATCGGGAAATATTACGCCATTCCTGGGCGACAGGGTGCGGAATGAGCCCATCCCACCAGCGACACGGGCCTCGGGATCGAAGCAAGCAGGAGGGTGAACCGCGTGGCGGATTCAACACGGAGGTGATTCCGCGATTCCCACACTCCCAGCACCAGCATCTGAAGGAGGCCGAGAGTTGAAAGCTCCCGTGGAAACGATTAGGGTGGCTGATTCCTGCTGGCAGGGGTGCCACACGCTAGACACGAGACGGGGGCGGATGATTGGAGGGTAAAAAAAAAAAAAAAAGGGCCAATTCCCCCGGCTAGCCCTGAAGTGGTAGGCAGCTGTTAACAAAAATAGGTGCTTTCCTCGCTAGTAGCCATCTAGACACCTTTTCGGTTTTTAGTCCATAGCCTGGAGGTCAGGTCCTCTTCTTTTCACCAGTCCGCAGTAGTGTAGTGCACAGACTGAGCGGATCCAGCTAGCTCGCTAGCTGGCTAGTTATGACCCACTGGACTTTCGAACGGGTGGTGTGGGTGCTCGCCCACTGCAGGCACCGGAACAACGGTCGCAGAGGGCGAGGGCCGTGTTGACCGTCCCGCCCAGACCCAGACGTCAAATTAAAAATGCATACATCACCTGGGAATAGATAGATTGCGCGCTTTATGTGCGGGCGCTGCGAATGGATGTGTTCGCTCGGAGAACGGCCCGTGCCCGACTCGGATTCGATCCGGATTCACCGACGGGCTCGGACTCGACGCCAAACAGTGCAGAGTACGGATAGATACTCCGTATTTCCCCGGTGCTTCGTCGGTCGTGATGCCGGAATTTCCCCATTAGGACGTTCCTCGCACCGGGGGCGTTTCTCCGTTCCCGTCACGTGATACCCGATACGATGGGCGCGTTGAATAGGATGCAGTCCTGGTGATTCTCGCAGGATCCAGGGTCGAGAATGCCAGGGCGAGGGGAATCCCCTCCAACACGAGGTCTATTGACTCTAGCCTCCAGGGACCAGGGCCCGACCGAGGCAAGCTCTCGTGCAGGCAAAGTCTATCACCCACGATCACCCCGATCATCACGATCACCACGCCTCCTTTCTCCGAGGTGGGCAATTCTCGGCGGTGCGCGGTGGTCGTGGAGGTCAGGCAGGGCAATGCCCCGGACATGGGCGCTGGCCTGATCTGCGCCAAGATGATTTCCCTCGTTTGATGATTGACTTCCACCAGGATCGCGTCTGCAACGCTAGGCGACGTTTGAGGGGGCTTGACAGTGCGACACATCGACCATCGAGAGAGAGAGAGCGATCGGCAGGCGTCGTCGGGCAATCCCCGCACGAGTTCGAGATAGACGCAAACACTATTATCGATGGTCGTCCGGTTCAGATCACGACGCCGACTGGGCAATCTCTCCACTGGGGCAAGATCGACTCGCCAGTCGTTCGCAGGAAAAGGCTCCCGGGAGGCAATTTCCGAACCAGGGATTCGCATCGCCGCAAGAGGGATGGTCTCAACTTTAAAGATGAAGTCAACTTTGGCAATGGTCGGAAGGGACCGTTGGCCGGTGCGCGGTGGTACGAGCTTGGATCCTGCGACGCTGGATTGATATCGAAGAACGACGACAGTTCCTTTTTTTTTTATGACCACACCCGACACGCGTCTCTATCATCCTATTCTACTCCGTACCTCCTCAATCAATACCACACACACTAGTTCGAGTTGACAGGTGCCAGGACGGGTGCCAGGACCACCGGGTTGGCGGGGTTTCATGGTTGAAACGCCCTGATCTGCAGCCCTAAGTGGGATTGACCCACTGGCCGACAGACAGTCTCAAATTTGCGTTCGCAGCCGGATGCAGGCCGCAGAGTCACATCGTCATCACTCCATTGGATCGCTGCCGACGCCAGTCCACCATTGGCTCGATGCTCAAACCACAATTCCCAGAATGGGGCTAAGTGTCAGGTTCCTGCGGCGCGACCGCTAAGCTCTTCCCTGCCTGCAGACACGAAACAGCCCAGCCCGCTCGGGTTCCCGTGCGTGTCGGACCCGACATTTATCTACCGGACGGATGCCCTGGCCGGTTTCATGTCCTGCCTTTCTTTTCGTCCTCATCCCCGGGTCCTCCTCCCTCCCTGGTTCTTCTCTTCTCACACACCCTCTATACCGACACCATGCCTGGGGGCCTTCATCCGCCGCTCTCCGTGATGGAGTCGTGGCCTGCTCCCAACACTGTCGACCCGGAGTCCCATGGCCCAGCCGCCACCATTGTGTGTGCCGTGTTCGGCTCCATCGCCGTCGTCATCGTGGCCATGCGTCTATGGGCACGCTGTATTATCCAGCGACGGGGAGGATTAGACGATATCATCGTGGCAGTGGCCCTCGTACGTCCTCCCCTCCCCCCCCCCAACGCCACTCACTCAATCTAACCCCACCCCCTTCAGATCCCGCTCATCGGCATCAACATCGCCGTTCCAATCGGTACCTCCCCCTTCTTCTTCTTCTTCTTCTCCCCCACTAACCCCATCACAGGCTCCTCCGTCTACGGCGAAATCCACCACACATGGGACAACAGCCTAACGAAGCTCATCGGCGAGCGCAAAGTAGCGATCGGGGCGGAACTATTCTACGTGCTCGCCTCCAGCCTGATCAAAGTGTCTGTGCTGCTCTTCTACCGACGAATGGGCCAACGAACGGTCTCCCCGCGCTTCCTCACCGTGATCTGGATCAGCATCGCATCGGTCATAGCCTACAGCGTCGCCTTCTTCGTGGTGATCTTCGTCTCGTGCCGACCCTTCCACGCCTTCTGGATGGAGATCGACCCCCTCTGGTCCGCCACCAACCCCTACACCTGCTACGACGAGGGCGCGCACCTGATCGCCGCCACCGGCATCAGCCTCACCCAGGACATCATCGCCACGACGCTCCCCGCCATCCTGTGCTTCCGGCTGCAGATGCCCCTGCGGCAGAAGCTCGCGCTGAATGCCGTCTTCGCGCTCGGCTACCTGGCCGCGGTCATCGCCGGCATCCGCATCTATTTCGTCTGGCGCATGTTCTACGATACCTATGATGCCACCTGGGAGGCCTGGTATTGTTGGATTCTGGCCGCCTTGGAGATTAATATCGCCGCGACTTGCTCGAGTTTGCCGGCCGTGAAGGTCTTCTTTCGGGATAGTGTGCTTGTCGCCGTGAGGTCGTTGAGGCATTCGCGCAGTGCCAGTCGGAGTAATGGCTCCGGCAGTGTGCAGAAGAGGTCGGTGCAGGATCGGGATCGTGACCATCGGGAGGGGGGCCGGTTGAGTGGGGATACTGATCGGTATTTGTTGAAGGGGGTGAGTGCGACGGAGTTGAAGTCGTTTGCTCTTCCGATCGGGCGTGGAGGGGGGGATGACTCGGTTTAGATGTTCTAGATCAGTAGATGGGATTTGAGAAAGTTGGAAGCAGCTGGGCTGTGGCGGAGGGTTGTATATTGTATCATAGTAGACGTTCTAGAGGAATGTACATGTTTCTTAAACTTGGTGTCTTGGGTAATTGGCCAGTGTACATGGTCATGGTCATGGTCAGGATCGTTCTGGCGAGAAACCTGATTGAATATACAGCTCGGGAATCCCGAACGGGGGTCTTCCTAGAGCCAGATCCCGGATCCATCTCCCGGGCCACTATTGCAACGATCTGACTCGGAGAATAGCTGGATGCGACTCTTACTTCCCTCCCTGCAAGACATACATCGGTCACCTACCACCTACCAAACCTATCCCCCCCCTCCTCCTCCAAAACCCCAGCACCTCCCTCCCCACCCCTCCCCGGCCCCACCGCCCCATCCATATACCCAACCCAATAATCCGCGGCCTCGGTCCCCGCAAAAAACACGCCTCGCTCATCCACGCCCCCCGCGCCCGCAACCAGGGCCCCAACTCCGTCAACACGCCGGGCCCCGCAAACGCGACCGGCCCTCCCCTCGAAAACTCCTCCCGATCCCACCTCTGCAGCACGACGCGACTCGGTCTCGCCGCGCGACGCCCAAACAGGGCCACGAAACTCCCCACCACCTCCGCTACCGCCTGGCTCTCGTCCATCGCATCGAGCCGCCGCATCTCGTCCCCGACGATGAACCCCATGATCGCGCCGAAGGGCGGGCGCGCCCCCGGGGGCGTGTTGTCGAATGTTATTCGCACGGCCCCGGTGTCGGAGAGGCCTTGCGCGTTGAGGTGGGAGGGTGCGGAGCGCCACCAGGGCGATGGGTAGATGGCGATGGCTTTGCCGAGGGAGCCCATTGCCATGCGCTGGGTGAGTTGGTCGCGGGCCGCTGGGAGGGGGGGTTGATAGATGATTCGGGCGGCGAGGGGCGGGGGAGCGCGATGATGATTTTGGTGCTGGTTATGGTGAGGTTGGTGGGGGGGTCGGTGGTTAGGGTGTAGCGGGAGCGGGAGCGGGAGCGGGAGCTGGAGCTAGTGGTTTGGGGATTGGGATTGGGATTAGGGTTGGGGTTGGGGTTTGGATGGTCGATGCGGGTGATCTTACTCACGGCCATGTTGAGATGGATGTGCTCCAAGCCGAGACGCTCCGCCAGGCGCAGCGCCAGGAGTTGCGTGCCGCCGTGGATCCTACTTTCTTGCGCCCCGCCCGCCACGCCGGTCAGACGATCCAGAGTCCCCGGGAACGAGCGGTTCCCGGCCGCGGCGATATAGGAGAGGGTATACAGGAGCGAGGGCTCGATCAGCTCCGTGGACAGAATGCCCGTGATGGCGGTCTCCATGAGAAAGCGCGCGTCCGCATGGCCCAAATGCGCCGCAACATACGACGCCAGGGTCATGCTATCCCACAGCGACGCGTTGGGATGGGTCCACGGCGCCTGGACATCGATCTCCGCCGCGAGACTGTTGAGATGCTGCTGGAACGAGGCCAGCTCGATCTGCGCTTCGGCGCTGACGGGCGGAAGGCCCCCCTCGCAGGCATATTCGGTGACGGTGCCGTTGCGCAGCAGACTGCAGTTCCCGTCGCTGTAGGTCGGGTACGTGGTGAGGTTGAGTTCGTGGGCCAGTGCGAGCACGCGGTCCTGTGTCGGGCCGACGAACTCAGCCCCGACTTCCTCGATGCTGTCGTTGGGGAGTGGCGCGTTGAGGACGCGCCCCCCGACTCGCGCGCGTGCTTCGAAGATCGCGAAGGTTTTGCCCGCGGCGGAGATCTCTTTCGCGGCGGAGAGGCCGGAGAGGCCGGCGCCGATGATGGCGACGTCGACGTCGATCTCTTGGGCGGGGAGGGCAGAGGACAGAAGGAGGAGGAGGGGGAGGAAGAGGTTCATGTCGATAATCGGGACCTTCCCTTTCAGAATGTCTCTATCCCGTGCCCACGGTACCTAGGAAGCTTGCAAAATGCACCCTACCAAAGTGAGTCCTAACCCCAGCCTGGCATGCGGCATTTTATACTCCTGCACGAACCCCCAGCTTGGCTGTGTCACACCCCTCTCACCCTGAAGAGATTAATTCAACCGGAATCACCGTACCACGAGAAATCTAGACACACTCGATGGGTTGCAGTGGAGAGTGCATGCGGGATCATGTCTGCCCATATAGTATCTCCGGGCCGGCATCCCTGGCCTGACGAGCAAATCGGGTTATATACCCATGCGGGGCTTCCCGGGGGGGTTGGCGATTGCGTCGGTGATATTTGGCGGTGGTGAATGTGATAGACAGTGTCTGCGGGGTGTAAATTTTAAATTTCCCGAGGGGGGGGGTTGTTGATGGGAGGGGATATGGTATGGTTTGGGGATTATAGGATATAGGTAGGTGAGAGTATGGTGATTGTTAAGTGGTTATCGCCGTAATATTTTCCTCCTCGACTGTGCCTGTATCACTCGGTATGCAGTAAACGTGATCCATTTCCTCTATCAGAGACTCTTCATCGTGTGGAAGTGGGGATCAATCCCGAGTATCTATATATCTCACACGTCGTAGCTATAGCCATAAACAGGTCTATCATCAACGCTATCCTCAGCACAATCAACTAGTACCCCCCGATCAAACCAACCCTCAACCCTTACTCCTCCACCACAAACCGATCCAAAAACCTAAAGGTAAACAACCCCCTGACCACCCCCTCCGCCACACTCTCCGTCTCCATGACCGACCCATTCCCCTTCCCCTGCACATACACCCCATCCCTCTCCGCCGCAATGCCCACCGCGCCCAACACCCCCTTGCCACTCCCCACCGCGCCAACCGGCTTCCCATACCGAAACGCATCGACGAGGATCTGCGCCGGCCTGGCGGGCGGATAAAACGGCAAGACCGCGACAGGCGCACTGCTAGCATTCGCAGCCCAGCTCGGCGCAGCAAACAGACTCTGCACGCCATCCGCGACAATCACGGCGTCGAAGGTAGTCGCGTCAGACAGCGCGTACGTGGTGTTCACGCCATCGGCATACATCTCCGCGACGACGTTAAGGTCCACGCCATGGGCGCTGAAGATACTCGCCATGACGTGGCCCTGGGCGATGGAGTCCGGGGCCGAGGTCGAGGCGAGGAAGCCGACCTGCAGGCCCTCGATGCTGAGCAGCGGACGGCCGAAGGAGCCGACGTTGGCTGTCTTGTTGGTCGTGTAGTATGTCGGGTCGGGGGCGGGGGCGACGAGACCCAGTCCTGTCGCGACCCGCGCTGCCAGGTTATGGTTGACTTTGTTGAGCTGCGTGATGACGTTCTGCCGGACATGTGGGCTCGAGACTTTGGAGTTTTCGAAGACGATGGCGTTCACCAGGAATTGCTGCTCCGCGGGGATGAGCGAGTTCCAGAACATCGCCGGTTGGGACCAGTGGTCGGCGAAGGTGGGGCTGGATTGTCGGACCAGGTGGCCGTGGATGTAGCGGTTGGGCGCCGTGAAGAACCCGTTGCCTGTCGTTTGGTTGGCTTGTTGGGGCGAGGTCGACATCGTGTTCGGTGTGTAGGCCCAGTTGTTGGTCGGGATGTGTTGTTGCCCGAATCCGTCCCGGTTGTGGTTGTGCACCCCGTTGCGAGGCCGGTTGACTGGCATTTGTTCGAAGTTGGGGCCCCCGTGTCGGTTGAGTTGCGTGTCGAGGTATGAGAAGAGTCGGCCTTGTAGGAGGGGGTCGTCTGTGAAGTCGATTCCGCGTACGATGTGGCCGGGTTGGAACCGTGGGTGGGTTAGGGCTTGGTTGAGAAAGAGGGATGAGGGGGGTACGTACGCCGACTTGCTCGACTTCAGCGAAGTAGTTGGTTGGGTTCGCATTCAGTTCCATCACCCCGAGAGGCGTGTAGGGGACGATTTCCTCGGGGACAAGCTTGGTGGGATCGAGAAGGTCGAAGCCGAACCGCAGCATGTCGGATTCGTCCATGATTTGGGCACCGAGCTGGAGGGCGTTAGCATGTGTGCCGCTTCAATCGAGTACAACACATCGCGATGTGGTATGCAGGGTTACGGTTTACCTCGTACTTCGGATACCGGCCGTTTTCGATCGCATTGTACAGATCCTGCCGATGGAAATCACTGTTCTTGCCCGCAGCTGCCTGTGCCTCATCCCACACCAAACTGGCAACGCCCTGCAGCGACCGCCACCGGTACCGGACCACCTTGGAGGTGCCATTGGCCGCGACAAAGCGGAAGCTGTGCACGCCGTAGCCGTTCATATGGCGGTACGACCGGGGGATACCGTGTCCGGACATCAGCCACAGGGCCGTGTGGAGGGCGGTGCTCTGCTGGCTGAAGAAGTCCCACGCCGACGTGTGGGCAGTCGCGGCCTGCGGGATCTCATTGTTGGGCATCGGCTTGATGGCGTGGACGAGGTCGGGGAACTGGATGGCATCTTGAATGAAGAATGGGGCCATGTTGATGCCGACGATGTCTGAGATGGGATTTGTTAGTGGGGGTTTGTGTTGGATTCATTCTGGGGCTAAGGTGTTACGTACCGTAGTTGCCCTCATCCGTGTAGAATCGACAGGCATGGCCATGGACGTCCCGCGCCGTGTCCACGCTGCCACGGAAGCCGACCACGGTGGAAAAGCGACAGAACGTCGGCGTCTCTTTCCCGGCGCTGCTGAGGAAATCGGCCGCCGTGATGTTGGACCAGTCGCCGTAGGAGGTGAACTTGCCGTATGCACCCGCGCCGCGGGCGTGGACGACGCGCTCGGGGATCTGGGACGAGTCAGTCATGGACGAGGGTTTGTCAAGCAGAAGCACCCACTCGCTCGTGGTCGAACCGGAGGAGCTTCTGGCGGAAGATGAAGTCTTCCAGAAGGGTCGGACCGCGAACGCCCCCCTTCAAGCTCTCCTGGTCCGAGATGGCCGTCCCCCAGTCGGTGGTCATGTAGGTGTCCGTGTCGTTGGTGTAGAGGGTGTTGTCGATCGGCTGCTCGACCACCTCGATCGTGTCGGTGGGGTTGTCCTGCTGCTGGGTGAAACTCATTTCACCCGAGACAAAGGGGCATTGGGCCCCAGCGAGGCCAGCTACAGCCGGTAAAAGCCAAAGAGGACGCATGATGCCGGTGGTGGTATGGGTTGAGAAAGAAAGGCTCGGTCCTGTCCCAGCACTGCAGACACATCCTCCCACCTCCTTAAGTAGGCCCCCAACCGGCGGGGTCCAGGACGTAGTTAGATAATCTGGGCATTCCAGACCACTGCTGAATCAACCCATCGTCGGATGATCGCAGCCCGATTGCTGCTGTGGGGATCCACTTGGGTCATGCAAGGTTGTGATGGGCGTTGATCATGGCGACGGAGTGCATCAGCTATTATAGGCTGCGAAACCACCTTTCTCCGTCGGACATGCAGCAATGGACCGACCAACGGCGATGAACCCTGCTAGCTTGATATAGCTTTGTATAGTTTCGTGATGACTCTCCAGCGATGGTTCCCAGCCATGTGCGCTAAGTGTGCGACCAGCGAGCTAGCTGCATGGCGGCGCCTCGAAGGCGAAAGACAGCCGAGGTCCAGGCCAGATCAAGACCAGGCCAAGACAAGCCAAGCCGTGTCTGGCGAGCAGTGCAGTTCTAGGCACGCGATTCGTAATAAAAGGCTGGCGAGGATGTTTCAAGGCACGGCTGATTGATCCGTTCATTCGTGGCCGCTGCTTGGTAATCGCCCGGACCTGGATCGTTCGGTCGATCCACGAACGTGCAGCTGCCCATTACCCATTACTCATCGGATCTGCATATCCTCGGATGTCAGGGCCGGAATGCTCACTAAGAATACTCGTGTGCCTTGGCGAGCTCGGTCGAGATAGAGGATCTCACGTGACCAGGGCAACCCCCCGACCAGCCCTGACGAAAAGATGACGATGGCAAAAGACATCATGTCGTCTCGTATTGCCAACCCGAGTTGCTTGTTGATCCTTCCACTCCAATCCAACATGGCCCGTGCACCGTGAGCCCGGTCTGCACGCAGTCCGTAAGCAGATCGATGGCTTCCCCCGCACTTGCCACTCGACGACCAGTTCTACTTACGAGATTACTCAGGGCTTAAATATTTAGTCTTCAGGTCTAGCTCGCACAGTCCCTCAGCTGTGCTGGCCAAAAGTCCCCGGAGCTTTGTCCGCGAACCAAGGTTTCATCCGTGTTACCGGCCGGCGCATTGTCCTCTCCATTGCCCTATGGGATCAGTTCTGGACGGGGGCAGATGACCTCAGCCACCTTGACTAGTTAATGTCAGCTGCCAGCGCGGGGAAAGGTACGACGACGGTGAATACATAAAATGCTGCTGGGCCCCCGCTTCGTCCCCGCCAGGGATGGATATCGCATCCGAGTCTGATTCTCGTGTCAAGCCATCCACCATCGCGCTCGTCGAGTCCCCAAGCAACCACCAACATCCACGATGGGCGAATCCAAGTGCCCCTTCGCCAACTCCAACGCCAATGTCGCTGGCGGAGGCACCCGCAATACCGACTGGTGGCCGGATCAGCTGAAGCTAGACATCCTGCGCCAGCACTCGCCAGCGTCGAACCCCCTCAGCCCAGGCTTCGACTATGCCGCTGCCTTCAACAGCCTCGACTACTTCGCTGTCAAGAAGGACCTCCTCGCGCTGATGACCGACTCGCAGGACTGGTGGCCCGCCGACTTCGGCCACTACGGCGGCCTGTTCATCCGCATGGCCTGGCACAGCGCCGGCACATACCGTGTCTTTGATGGCCGGGGTGGCGGAGGCCAGGGCCAGCAACGCTTCGCCCCCCTGAACAGCTGGCCGGACAACGCCAGCCTGGACAAAGCTCGTCGCCTGCTGTGGCCCATCAAGCAGAAGTATGGCGCCAAGATCTCGTGGGCCGATCTGATGCTGCTGGCCGGCAACGTGGCCCTGGAGTCCATGGGCTTCAAGACCTTTGGCTTCTCCGGCGGCCGTCCAGACACCTGGGAGGCAGACGAGTCCGTGTACTGGGGAGGAGAGTCGACCTGGATGGGGAACGACATCCGCTACGCCGACGGCTTCCCCGGCACCACCAAACACGGCGCCATCGACGCCGACGAACCGGCCCATCTCAACATCCACACCCGCGACCTCGAGAGGCCCCTCGCAGCCTCGCACATGGGTCTGATCTACGTCAACCCCGAGGGCCCCGACGGGAAACCCGACCCGGTCGCCGCCGCACGCGACATCCGAACCACCTTCGGCCGCATGGGCATGAACGACGAGGAAACCGTCGCCCTGATCGCAGGCGGCCACAGTTTCGGCAAGACGCACGGCGCTGGCCCATCCGGCAACCTGGGCAGCGAACCTGCCGCCGCCGGCCTGGAGGAACAAGGGCTCGGATGGAAGAACAGCCACGGGTCCGGCAAGGGCCCCCACACCATCACCAGCGGCCTCGAAGTGACCTGGACCAAGACCCCGACCCAATGGAGCCACGCATACCTGGAATCCCTCTTTCGCTACGAATGGGGGCTCACCAAGAGCCCGACGGGCGCCTTCCAGTGGGAAGCCCAGGACGCCGACGCCATCATCCCCGACGCCTACGACGCAACCCAAAAACACCGGCCCAAGATGCTGACCACCGATCTGGCCCTGCGCCTCGATCCCCCCTACGAGAAAATCTCGCGGCACTTTCTGGCCCACCCCGACGAATTCGCCGACGCCTTCGCGCGAGCCTGGTTCAAGCTGCTGCATCGCGACATGGGGCCCCGCACCCGCTATCTCGGCCCCGAAGCCCCCATTGAAGACCTGGCCTGGCAAGACCCCATCCCGGCGGTCACCCACCCCCTAATCACCGCCCCGGACATCGCCTCCCTCAAACGCACCGTCCTCGCCACCGGCCTGGACCCCTCCAAGTTCATCTCCACCGCCTGGGCCTCGGCCTCCACCTTCCGGGCCACCGACAAGCGCGGCGGCGCCAACGGCGCGCGCATTCGTCTCTCCCCCCAACGCAACTGGCCCGTCAACCAACAGCCCTGGCTCACGGAGACCCTCTCGACCCTCGCCTCCGTCCAGTCCGAATTCAACTCCTCCCCCTCTGCCGGCCCCAAACAGGTCTCCCTCGCCGACCTCATCGTCCTAGCCGGCTGCGCCGCCCTCGAACAAGCCGCCCACGACGCCGGCCACGCCCTCTCCGTCCCCTTCACCCCCGGCCGCACCGACGCCACGCAATCGCAGACGGACCCCGAGTCCTTCGCCCATCTGGAACCCCGCGCCGACGGCTTCCGCAACTACGGACTCTCGACCGCGCGCGTCCGCACCGAACACCTCCTCATCGACAAAGCCCACCTCCTCGCCCTCACGGTGCCCGAAATGACCGCCCTCGTCGGCGGCATGCGCGCCCTGAACGCCAACTACGATGGCTCGTCCCACGGCGTCTTCACCTCCAGCCCCGGCCGTCTGACCAACGATTTCTTTGTGAATCTGCTCGATATGAATACCGCCTGGACGGCTCGGGATGCGGACGGTGAGGTGTTTGTGGGTACGGATCGGAGGACCGGCGTCATGAGGTGGACGGCCACCCGTGTGGATTTGGTGTTTGGCTCCCATCCTGAGTTGAGGGCTGTCGCGGAGGTCTATGCCTCCCTGGATGGCGAGGAGAGGTTTGTGGCTGATTTTGTCGCCGCTTGGGATAAGGTTATGCGCGCGGATCGGTTTGATTTGGTTTGATTGTTTGGGGGGGGGGGGGAGTGTATAATGGTTGGGGTTGGGGTAAAGGGGTGAGTTTGGTGTGGGTAAATGAAATATTGTTGTGTTAATGTTTAGCGTGGACTTTCTGATGGAAGGAAGGGAGGAAGGCATATCGGCATCTGAATGGTTAATCTGTTTACTATTTTACTTTTCTTATATTCTGGCCTCTATTGCCGCGACATCCCTGCTTCCGGACACGGCTAAGCTTAGTTAGATGCCTAACCAACTCTCTCCCGGTCTGGCTTCCCGATTAGGACTGTGGCTTTCAATTAGGAAAGCGGGTAAGGTAAGGAAAGGGTGTGTCCTGACTACTCCGGTGTGCTTGGATCGCCTCTCCCTAAGGTTGTCGACCGACACAAACAGTGGTTCTATCAGAATGATGACAGGAATTCAATGAAATATCGAATCATATCGCCAGAATGAATTTATATTATAGAACGAAGGATTATTTATTACATATATGCTGAACCTGTCCAACACAGAACACGACCGACGGGTCTCAGACTCCGAACTATCCACCCACACCTCCATGGCTTGTATATAACCACATGGAATGGGGAAAGCGGCCAGAGCCAAAAAGAAAAAGAAAAAAAGGACACGATGCCTCAAACTTCCCCCCGGAAGCCACGGGAAGACGACTACCGCATCGACTCCGTGACTTCAACGCGCGTCTGAACCCTAATCCCCGGCGACGCACACTCCGCCCTCTCCTCATCTCCCCGCCGCTCCATTCCTCCACCCTTCACCCGAGTCCGCTGGCCCTCATGAGCCTGCCACCGGGCCGAATCCTGTGTGAGTTCGATCTGCGACTCCGTCTCGGTCCGATAGCCATAGCCGTGGTGGCTGTTCTGGCTGCGGGTGGAGAAAATCGACCAGACGTTGCGCACCATCGACCCGAGGCATCGATCATCCCGGAACAGGTTCCCGTAGCATGGCAGACACGCGGCGATGATGGAGCAGTTGGGCTCGAGGACCATGAACACGGCCTGGTTACTCTCTAGTCGGAGAATGACTACGTGGGATTGTACGGCGCCCTGGGATTATGCTTAGTAGCTGAGCCGAGCTGAGCTGGAGGGGTAGGGGTGGTGGTGTTTTACATATCCCTTGCCCACGCTGGCGAGTGCCTTTCGGAGGAAGAAGTAACGGATTATGGCGGCGATGCAGCAACTGTGGTTTGGGTAAGTACATATGGACGATCGGAGAATGGGTTGCAGGGGGGGGGGGAAAGGAGACGTACAAAGCCCCCAGCCAGAAGATCAGCATGATGCCGATCTTCCTCTGAGCGGGCATTTGGAGAGAGAGAAGCATGGGCATCGGAAGTAAAAGAACGGCGAAGTCTATCGCGATACTGGTGGTTGACTGGGCCATGCCCATTGAGATGACATTGAATCGGAACCTGCCACGCCCCGTCCAGGAGCCGCTCGTCGGGTCGCGGGCGAACATAATCAACTGGTTGTATGGGATGGGTAAGAGCCGTAACCTGCGTTTTGAATCTCCGGGTATGGTACTCACACAAAAGAAAGTAAATCCCCAGATGACCACCAGGGCGATGCTGATCCACGAGATGATCTGGAACTTGTTCGTCGCGAAGATCCGCTTATACAGGAACAGGATTGAAATCTTGACCGTCGACAGCGAGACTTGGAGGATGAGGCTCAGGACGAAGAGACACTCGAGTGACGTTCTCATCCCCTCTACTATGTTCATCTTGTACTGGGTTATTCCGGCGATGCCGCCATACACCCAGATCGTGATGCTTATGCCTAAAGTGGAGAGCTGGGGATGGTCAGCCGGTTGCTGCATTACAGTGATGCTTTGGTCGGCGGTACATGCCCACGCTGCGAGAATCCACCAGTCGTCTCCTTTCAGCTGTAGTCGACATCTCGGTCGCGCCCGGAACCGAAGAAGGATCGATAGTAGAGACAAAATAGGAAAAATGACCGAGACAATCGCGAGAGTGACAGTAACGACCGGCGTTGCGGGAGTTGTAGACAGATCTATGTCTGAAATACACAGAATCTTATCAATCTCCGAATGAATGTACTCGAAAATAAGAGAAGACATAATGAAGACAAAGGAAAGAAACGGTGTTTTGCCAGCCCTGGGCTGTTTTTACATGAGTGAATGGGCCCAAGGCATGTAGCGAGCACGGGTATATTAGTATTTGACATATTGAGCTCTCTGGGGTGGAAGGCCGAGTTAGGAAATTAGCTGAGAGAAGCGCAACAAAGCACAAACGGCGCCATCGTGAGCTGTGTGCTGAAAGGCCAGTGATCGTCCACTCGGCATGAATCATTCTGTGCGACATGAGAGGTCGCGCCAACACTGGTTATCTCTGTAGGAGGATTATCCAACATAATGATCATTCTTCAGGGCGATCGGGCATTCATAAATCCCTCGAATGAAGATCCGAGATTTCCCGATCCCGAATCAGGCACCAATGGACTGCGTACAACCCTATCTTGGACCTAACTCCGGTCGCTAGATCTTTCTTGAGGAGAAACGAGCGGGAGTTCTCCTTTTGGCTCGGTGGTCATCCTGTCAGGGTCAATGTGGGCGCCACAGAAACATCGCCGATTGAGCAGGTGGGTCATCAGGAGCGATGACTCGCGTCTATGCGCGGAATGGATGCCCACCTAGGCCAGACATCACCACCACTATAATCCCCCTTTGAAGACCTCGGAAAGAGTCTGATCACGGAAGCTGTGCGCTCATCTTGATCGTGCACCTGACCGAGCTGGGCTGCAGCCATCCGATGCTGGCCCGGCCGGCTCCGAGTGAATGCCGTCGCGATCGAGGTTGAAACGGTGGACGTGCATCGCCCAAGGGTACACGATATCGAAGTCTGGGTAGTGATATGATGTGTACCCCTTGGATTGAAACACAGTACGCTCCGACGCAGGCATGAATTTGACAAGCGTGCGAAAGTATTGACCACTCTGGTGGTGGCTCAACGTTGCCTGTTCTCCCTAGCCTGTATGGTGGAGTCCAGAGGATTTCACGCATGTTGTGATCGACGGACGAGATAGGCTGGACTGCCCAATGTCTCCAAGCTAATATAAGCCTCGGCGCCATGGAGCTTCCGTGTAGTTACAGCATGACATCCGGTGTTGGGCCTAGGACACCCAGGCTGCGGATGGGCATATGTGGAATACCTCTTTCTTTGTTCTCATATTTAGCCGAGGTATTAGCAAAAAGCAAAACGGGTGTTCCCATCCATGGGCTTTAAATTTCCAACTCTCTCTGCTGTTCGGACTTTTCACAGTCCGGTCAGGGATCGAGAAGAGCTTTCTTTTCTAAACATCAACAGGAGCCGCAAGCATGGCCTTGAGAGCCTTGGCGGGTCTGGACCGCTTCGAGAATTCCCTAAGAAATTATGCTTGTTGGTTGGTCTTTGCAGGACTCCAATAGCATGTCAAGTATAGCCTATGCGACTGGCCGAATAGTAAAGTGTTGCCTCCGCGGGTAGTGGTTGGTACTCGCTCGATCCTGTTTCAGAAATGGGTCAAACCCACTTTTTTCCTGTCGGGAATCGGGGACTGGTTTGCCGTCTGCAAATGTCCATTTTAACTAACCGAAGGGCGAGCATGGGGACTTCTTTTCCAGGGGTCATGCTGACCTGAGCCCGATCTCCATCGGCCTAGCCCGCCACTCAATCCAGTTTGACAAAGGAAATCATATCGTACGCCAAATCACAAGCATAAAAGAATTTGTACGCCACCGTCTGGAGTATTATCACCTCCAATCTGAGTAATACTGATACGTGATGTTGGATCGGAGAGGTCTCAACCAAAATTCCAATAGCTGAGAGAAGGGGGGGGGGGAGAGCAGCTCTCGCTATATTCACTTTTCTTTGTTCACAGAAACTGGTGCCGGTTATCCGTCGGGATGCCTATCTCGGTAGCCCGTGGAGCCTGCCCCCCTTCTATCATTTGAGCTCTTGCTGTGCATGACCAGTAGGCTAAAGAGCAATCAATGTATGAACCTGATTTACCTTGACTAGTCATATAGAGGGATCACGTGCTCCTCGCCCCTGTATCATGTCTGCCGGCCTCCTATTTATCATACAACAAGCATCACCTCCCTCCCCAGAGGTTCCGACCTCCCCCAAGTCGGCTAAATCCGTGGGTACTAGCTAGGAGGAAGAGAGAGGCAGAGGCAGTCACTGCATGTAGTATCCTCAGGCACAGCCCGCTGACAAGCGGCTGCATATACAGACACGTCTATCATGTGATTATACCTTACCATTTAGAAAGGCGGGGTGGTGAAAAGGGTGTGTCTGTATCGCCTTCCTATACAGACAGACCTTGATGTCAAAATTGCATCATGCCGGAACTAGCAATCATTTTCGTCCGGTAAGAAAAGTCTTTAAGATTGACAGCCTCTGCAAGCCAGATAGTCATAGCGGAGGCCCAGGCCCCGGCCCCTTGTCTATCAATCCAAAAGCATTCAGAGGATTGTCATCGCACACCATGGTACTGGAAATGCCGTTGTAACGGGAGATCCTCTCGTCCTGCCTCTTTCGCTTATCTTCGATACCCTCCCCCCCCCCCCCCCCCTCTCCATCCTTCGGTGAATGTCGATACAGAACTTTCATTCGGTGCTCAGGAACTGGGAAAACTGGCAATAACCTACTTTGACTGGTGATCATTTGGCTAGGCTCTGCGGTGGTATTCTATGCTTCCGGTGCATAGTCCAGCTAGGCCTCTGCCTCACCATCCGCCTCTTCCTGTGATTCCTCGGTTCTTGCCTCCGTGTACTCGTGATACTGAGTGTCAGAGGGACTGTTTCTGGGGTTACCGTCTGTGGTGACTGCCTTTCCAGTCTCATCTGCCTCCCTGCCTTCTAGCTGGCCACCCATATGACCTGACACCAATCCAACGGTTCTACGGTCCTACAGCCTCGTTTCCTTGCTACTGTCGGCTCCCATCGTCCAAGTAGGGTAAGGAAAAAGTGCCAGTCCCGAGGGGAAGTATAAAGAGATGGCAGAAGGCATATAAGAAATACTGAGGGTGCACCTGCGGTAAAAAAAGAAATTTGAAAATTGTTAGACTGGATTAGTGAGATACTGAAAAGAAAAAGAAGACAAAAAATGTGATGATTGGCGCTGCCCGGAATCGAACCGGGGCTGGCACGGCCACAACGTGACGTCATACCACTAGACCACAGCACCTGTTGTGATGAAAGCCGCATGAATTATGGCATTATGAGCGAACGATTATATATTTATTGATTGCCCACTCTTCCATTGTGAGTCCCTAGGATAGAAACACCTCAGGGCAGAGGTCTGTCTGTTTCGAATTAAATATTTAATCAACGGGCTCGAGGCTCTGTAGGGTAGATATGCATTCTTCGCTTTGTTTTAAGAGCTAAAGGCGCGAGTTTCTGGAATAGACATTACTATCTGTTGGGATGATGGCTGAATAGTAAATAAGTAAATATATTTTCACTTCTGATACTATGCCATGATGCCATCCATCCTCTGTCTGCTAGGACACAAATCTTATTAAAAAATGGTAATTTTTTAGTGGACCCATGTGAAATATTCCCATAATAATGATATTAATTATTTATTGTCTGCTTCCATGTTGTTCTACGTCACCCCCCCTGGATCAATCCATGGTAACATACACAGACTTAAGAGTCTAGATATTGAATCAGTTATTTCTCGCATCCTTTGACCAGGGAGTTATCCAATCATCCAACTCGTTCTACAATTGCTACTCAAGTTTATACTTATACACCTCCGCCTAATAATTAAGATATTGTGGCTTCCCAGTGTTCCACGCTTGCAAATAACAGGATGACTCAAGAGGTGAGAGGGTTATTCAGGCAGCATACCAATCACTCATCTACCAATCCTGTCTTATTGTTCTCCCGTAAGGCTAAACCCTTGTCTGCATATTATACCAATACATTTCTTCTTAAAAGGAGGGATTTACTCTTAAGCACTAGCTATACAAAAGGCTCTAATAAACACATGACAATTGCCCCTTACCCACCACGAACAATCCAAGAGAAGGGGGGGGGGGGGATGTAAATAGAAAATACAGAAGAATAAAGTATGATTTGGTCCCCGCTAAACAAATGCGAAAGGAGCGAAATCGACTCGCTGGCGAGGAATTCTTCGTGCCCAATCCATGGACCAACCACATCAAGCGTAAAAAGAGGCATAGCTGTGGCACGCAATATAGATAGCGGGATTACCACTCCTTCAGGGTGCTATACCGCTTCGCCACGATCTCGACAAGTTATAGCCTGCAATTCGGTACCCGTTGCATCTAGAGACCAAGGACTGATTTTTCATACCGTGTTAAGTGTTGGTTACGATCATGCTACATCAGAAGTGGTGCTGCAAAAGCGATACTTATTATTTCAATATAACTAGTTCGACATTTCACCGGTTCCTCCGCACAAAGTCATCAGATCAATACCATTCCGTGGAAAAAAGAATGCCACTCGACCACAAAGGTGTCCAGACACCCCAGGACAGTAGAGTGTTGATTAAAGGATGTATGTGTTCCGATACATGCACCCCAACACGTCTGCACAAAACCAGGCCCAGGCAAGAGAACAGCTCCTGACTTTCAGGGCAGCAGACCCTCAATTCACCCCCCTTAAACAGCCACAGCGACAGGGGCAGCCTGGAAAGTCTCAGCCTCAGCCTCAGCCTCAGCCTCACGCTTCTTGGGCGCCTGGTCCGCAAAGTCCTTGACACCAACAGCAATGGCATCGGAGATACCGCCGGCAATGTTGCTAGCAAGGCTCTGCAGGTTCTGGGGAACCTTCGAGACAATAGTGTCGGATAGCTTCTTCGCAGCCGCCTTCTGCTGAGTCAAGTCATTGTAGGTCTGGGCGCCCTTGCCCGCCTTGACAATCTCGGCCTTCTTCTTGTCGAGGTTGCTAACGACAGTGGTGATCTTGGTCTTTAGGTCGTTGACCGGGCCGGGGAGACCCAGGGCGTCACCGGAGCTGAGGGCCCCGGAGCCGCTGACCTTGGTGTTGCCGTCGTTGATGGCAGTCACCAGGTTGTTGGAGGCGGCCTGGACCTTGCTCACGTCGCCACCGTTGTAGGCGTTGATGGCGGAGCCGAGAGCGTCGACCTTGGTACCGATTCCGGAGAGGACGCCGGTGACGGTGGGGAGGTCCCGCTCCTGCACCTGGGTGGGAGCGGCAAGGGTGCCGGCGGCGAGGCCGAGGGTGAGGACGGAGAAGATGGAGAGCTTCATTTTGGGTGGGTTGGTGGAGTTATTAGGATTAAGAGTAGATTTGGTTGGGTTGAAGAATGCTTGAGTGATTATTGAAGACTGTGATGCTGATGAAGGTTGATGTTGGGGGATGTTCAAGCGACTTTATATATTCTTTAATCCGACCCCCGTGAACATGTTGAAGGCATGTCGAACCCCCCAAACTCGCAAAGAAATGATCTCATGATGCACGTTGCATGATGGATGAAAATTGGATAAGATGATCTCCAGGCACATCACAATGCGCAAAGACCTAAATTTTCAGTGATCGACAGGGTCTGAATCACCCGTGGTTCCAAATGTCTGAAATTCCGGGGAAGCTGAACCCCACGGACCACAAAATCAGGTGTTTGGAGTGTTTGCAGTTGGTAAGTGGAAGTATAAAGTGCAAAAATTCCAAGACGATCTCAAGCATGGCCGGTGACACCATCGGTCCAGATCGCCAAGATCGCCAAGATCGCCCACGGGGTAGATTCCGATGTGTCGTTCTCATCTCTCGGATAACTTTATCTGTGTATCATCACATGGCAGACTCAAGACTTGGTGTTTTTTTGTTGAATAGACTTTGCGTGGAGGGGTTGCAGCTATTCGCCTGCCTCTGGTGCACTGACTGGCCCTATTACAATAATCTTCATTGATGTAATAGGCTCTACAAGAGAAGAAGTCAGCAATATGTTTTCTGTATGACAATTAGGATAATAATTACAAAGTAACTGGGATGACTAAGGGGCCAAGTTCAAGTTTGGTCCGTCCGTCCGTCCGTCCGTCCGTCCCGAGGGGGACTGATACCCCAGAGGGGGGCGATGAGCCGCAGTGGGGCGACAAATAGGATGGATTGAGCTAGAAATAGGTACAGCATGGTGGAGTATGGTGTCTTAGTATGAAGCACAGTGCTACGCCTCCCAGAGAGCATCTTCCCATCGGTTGGTTGACATTGACTTATGCCAGGGGGTCCTGTCGCGGGTGCAGCCCGAGTCCCGTCCCGATGTAAGACACTTAGGGCACCGCCCCATAACCCTGATCTCGGGTTCACCAGCATGCATGTTCCCCACGAACTCCCTTCCAACATAGCGAACTGCAAAGTTCAGGATGTGCAGTTAGCAATACCCTACTAGGACTTCGTGAAACTCTACGTATTGCCTGAAGCGGCCACCGAGTATTGAACTATAGTAGATCGCACCGGAAAAGGCGTGGTTTGAGCGGGGGGAGCCGCCCAAGCACCTCATCGACACGAATATGCTTGCAGCGCCTAATACCCTAGACTTTCATTTCAATTTAACTAATCCCATTCGAGTAATATATCTCTGGACGGGAAACCTTTCTTACAGAAAGGTGATTCACAATGTTCATCAACAACCCTTGAGAACTGTGTATGGAGATCTGTGTTTGCCTAAATTATTAAATCACACTCAATGAACGAAGGTATATTCAGGCTCGCGACGAGTGAATTAACTGGGTTGAAACAATTGACGAGCCGGGACAAGTCGTCTCATCAATCCTCTAAGTTACACTGAGACATGGCTGGAAGGAGCACCACCACCACAGGAGCTGGGGGACTACGCGCCCTGTGTCGCTTAGAGACACGCAGAGCAAAGTTATGTTCTAGTAAGAAGAGTACCCGAAGATGGAAAAGGAGATTAGAAGAAAAATGCCTAGATACATAAACAATACAGCATCATATTCTAAATAATGTTATCATGTATCATCAGTTGGCCTGCTGGCCCAATGGTAAGGCGCTTGACTACGGATCAAGAGATTGCAGGTTCGAATCCTGCGTAGGTCATTTCTTTTTTTTCCCTGCTGGAAACAGGCTTTCGCGGGAAGTTACTCAAGTCCAACTAGACCACGGGGAAGAACCCGAGCACATAGGCCGGAGGTTATGGAGATAGACTCACTAAAAGCCGGGCGGACATAAGAAGGCCCAGCACGATGCGGCCACTAAACAGTAAGCTGAGCTACAGCACGCAGCGAAGGAATTAGAGGCGGTCAAGAAAGACCTCAACACCGCAAATACGACGATCACGCAAATGCGGACCAAAGTGTGGCAGACCGAATCCAGGTATCAAGGCTCCTTGAATGGTGTCCGCGAGCGTGACAAGACGATCGATGAGATGAAGGCCGAAAAGGAGGCTGCGCGCCTGGACGACTACAATAATCTCGACCCCGATTACGATGGGGCAAAAATCATGATCGTCAGCAGAACCTGCTTGGCGAAGGCAGTGGATATGGGAAAAGGTACGTTGCTACGCTGCCATTTTTCGTCTTCCCCTTGGATTCTTCCCTTATTAGCCACAACGATCACACTCTAATGCCATGGTTACTAGACGGTGGAAAGAAAGCCCACCTGTATTCTCATGGGTACGATTACCAGAACCAAGTGCTTCAGATCAAAAAGGTGAATCCCCGCGATCGACGTTCTGCTTGGATCATCACCTTGGATTCGTCGATGAAAAGGACACTTCGGACAGTGAGTGTCTCCGTCGCTATACGGACAATGGTGGGGGAATGAGGTCTCGGGAATGGTACATCAGTTCTACTGAGCCTGGAACGTACAAGTATATACGCCTACCATCTTGTTCCCATGTCTGTCTTGCCTAATCTAGTCTGACAAGTTCCAAAATCTCTACGGCAAGAAATATCTGTATTCTGACAGAGAGGGGTATGTTCATCTTTATTCTCCTGCCTTCTCAGTTGATTGGTTGTGGCTTTGCTAAAGAAACGTGCAGGTACCTAGGTGCAGCTCCTTTGCGGACAAATTCCTTCGGACAGCTGTTTTCGAGACTCCGGCTTCCTTGAATGGTCAATATCGCGTTTTTTAGTACATGAAATTTATTTGAATTCATATATAAGATCATCCGCGACAGTCTACATCCCAGACGTGTGACAGAGTGAGAATGTGGTTTTTATAACATGGAGGAGGTCGCTGGGTATTAGCAGCTCGGATACAACTGCTGGACTCATTCTACGTACATCGAGGATATCAAGAAAGATTGATTTAAATCTCCAAGATAGAGACACTTCGGTTTCCCTCATGATCAGATTCGTCCTGTCAATTCGGTGTATCTAAGCACTACCAAACTGATATTATAAAGGTCCGAAGCTGCCGTTCTTCCGGCAGAGAAAGGAACCCACTTGGGAGCTTGGACAACAATGGACATTGGTTCCAGATGTGGTTGACGGGCCAATGTCTTCTGTCTTATTCACTGTGTCAAGGAGTTGGGTACCCACGGTTCCAGAAATTACTAGGGTCTGAAGAAAAGATCTTTTTCTCGAACTTACTCTTGCGTTTCCCGCTCCTTCCTATGTCCTTCCCCTATGTCCTTCCCTATTACCCGTACAGTTCATCTGCCCAGCAGTCGGTTGATGGTGATTACCATTTTTTGCCACGTACGTCGGACACTTGTTCTCCAACAGTGATTAGTACCACGAAGAGCTAGGACATGCAGCGCTGGGTGCGCCATGGCACGTCCTACCCCGGTTGCTACTCTTGCAAGCTTCAAAATGTCAAGTTTAATGACACGTTGCCTTGTACGATGATTTTAACTGATCAAATGGCTGCTCAGAGCAGTGTGTCTAGGTGCAGGCGTTATATATGGGTGACTAGTGCGCTTTCTCTCGGCTGGTGCTACCCATATATATGTGCAGTCCCCTCCCTGCGGTACTGTGATTTGATATAAGGATGCTGACATCCAGGAACTATGAGTAGACGCCGATCACACCTGGTGGAAATATTTCTTCGCTATATAAGTATGTACCGTGGCCACCTGACCTCAACAAAACAGAAAGGCTTATGCATATAACCTAATCACGTCTTTAGTCCCCACCATCCCTTGTTACGGGGTCAAATTGATGGACTCTCAGTCTGTCTCACCATTTCATTTCCAGTATCTTCACCCATCCCTGCCGAGCTCTATGGAGAGGTCACACGATTGTTTATAGAGGTCTGACAAAGCCAGGGCCAAGCAAGCTAAACCCTGCTCAGTGTCGTACTCGGGAAGGCGGGTTTCGAACTACTGGGTTACGCGGGTAGCAGCAATGCGAGTGCTTTCCTTTTCTTCTATCGTTACTTCTTCTGCTGGTGACCCTGCGCCTGGGCTTCGGGGCTTTTGCTGAACGCAATAAGAACCTGCTTGGAATCTCTCAGGCATTGAAATATACTCTGTGGTGCACGGATTTCTACCATCATGTTTAGCAAAATGACCAGCGTGACCGTGGTAGCTGTGCTTCTCGTTGCCCTGTTCAGATCCTGCCTTGCGCAGTCTACTGGCAACCAAGATCGATGCGTACGTCCAAGCTGAAACCTCACTTAACCGACAGCGCAACTAATTCCCTGACGTGGCTGAACTGTAGTGTGCAGCCCTGAAAGCGAGCGCCATTGGCGACAGAACGGCCTTCCCCGGCAGCATTACATACAAGGGATTTCTCCATTCCTACTATGCCAGCAACGCCGAGCTTCATCCCAACTGTATTGTCCAGCCTCTCTCGGCACAGGACATTTCTGTGACCGTCCAGACTCTGACCAACTCGAGTGCTGAGCCCTGTTTCTTCGCCGTCCGCAGCGGCGGCCACGTCGCTGTTACTGGCGCAGCTAATATCGAGCATGGTGTCACTATCGATCTCTCAATGATGAACGGTACTACGTATAGCCCTCGCACAGGCACGGCTTCGATTCAAACTGGAGCTCCCTGGGGCTCGGTGTACGAGACTTTGCTACGTGACAATGTCACGGTCCCGGGTGGCCGTGTATCGCCTATAGGAGCCGGAGGCTTTCTCACGGGTGGCGGAATTTCCTTCCACGCCGCGCGTGTTGGCATCAGCTGTGATAATGTTCAAGGCTACGAGGTGGTTCTAGCGAGCGGCGAGATCGTGAACGTGACTCAACACTCGTACCCTGATCTCTTCAGGGCTCTCAAGGGAGGCTCCAACAATTTCGGGATTGTGACCACGTTTGACATGCCAACTCAGCCTGCAGAAGATGTTTGGCGTGGTGATGTTGTCTATAATATCTCCCACACCCGCGAGTTTATCTCGGCGGCTACAGAATTTGTCGATAACATTGCCACCGACCCCTTCGCTTCCTTCGAGGGAATCTTTTCGTACAATTCCACCACGGATCTGACTTTAATAGGCAATATCTTGGTTTACACAAGGCCAGTTGCGCGGCCTGCAGCTTACCACGCGTTCTACCAGATCCCTAATATCACTGATATTTCGAGATTGACGACGATCATGAACATCACTGAGTATACATATGTATCTTACCGGTGAGTTCATTAGTTCTTACTGGCGGCTTCAATAAGCCGGCTAACTCAAGCCCTCAGTATAGCCGGCCGAACAGGCACCTATCTCAACCGAGCGGACATCATCCATAAAGCCACCAGGGTCTTGTCCAAGGGAATCCGCGCAGCCAAGTCCCGAGCGCAGAGCAAGGACTTCAGCGTTATTCTCGTCGTTCAACCATGGGTCCCTCTTTTTTGGAAAAACAGCCAAGCCCGAGGAGGGAACGTGCTTGGATTGGAGCGGTTCGACCAAAACATGATCAGTCAGTTAGACTATTTTCTACCCTCTCCCTCGCCCCGGGATACCGTGTGATTTCCTACTAATCGCATCTTGCAACTCACCGCGACAGACATCGACTGGAGCTACTTCTGGAATGACAAAGCCGACGATGGCCTCTTCGATGACATAGTTGGATCTGCACAGGTAGAGATGGATGAATATGCAAAGTCAACGGGTGCATATAATGAGTTCATATACTTACATTATGCCGGTCGCACCCAGAACCCGCTGCGTGGGTATGGACGGGATAATGTGGAGTTCATGCGACAGGTGTCGAGGAAGTATGATCCACAAGGTGTGTTTCAGCGTTTGGTTCCGGGGGGTTTCAAGATCTCCAGCGTAGGAAGCGATTGAACTCAAGTGCAGGCAGGCTATACAGATTACATGGATGTGTAGTCATTCCGATGAGTACATGGCAGTTGAGCGGTGGTGGTTTTTTCTACGTATACTCGTAACGGGAAATGGGGTGTGTCAGTTGCTTCCCGAGCTGTACACAGTTACTTAGACCCCTCTTATATTCCCAAATTGGATGTTACTCAGTCTTTGACTAACCCAGTCAAACTCTCTCCATCACGCATCGATTATCGATCCATCTTCTCATACTCCGGTAGAGCTCAATTCACCGTCCACTCCGACTCAAGAACCTGCTCGGCAGAAAGACGATCCTCCGCTCTAAAGGACGGCGTCCCCTCCCTTTTCCGCGCTTTTTGCACCCTTTTCTCAGATCGATCCTCCCACAATGGATTTTCAGATCATGGTCCGCCATGCTCAATGAGTTTCTCTCCACACGCCTCTCGTTTCTCTCACCAGTCAATTGGCAATGGGCCGAGAGCTTTGATCTGCTGTCACGTCATGTCATCTTCGTCTGTGAGGAGGCCCTCGAACAGGGATTTCTGGGCAATGAGGGTGGACGCTTATGTAGACGTTGTTCACTATTGTTCACTTAGAAGTAGGGGTGTTTAAGAGGTTTGGGTTCCGGGTGCAGATGCAGCAGATAGATTTTATGAGTGGGGAGTTTATACTGTACATGGTGAAGGATTATGGTTGTTTTGGTGAGGTTTAACCAATGTCGTTGGTGATTTAATAGATTTTGGCTTTGCTGTTCGCGTATGGAACGTGTAGCTCAAGAGTATCTTGGAAATATATACGTAGAGAGCTCTGAGTTAGGGCTTGTCGGGCAGTCCGACTCAACGGCTGAAGCAGAGATCCCAGTGGGCTGCGATCGGGCTGGGCGGGGTGCCTTCCCGAGGGGGGAGCTGAGGGTGTTCTCAATTCGAACATTCCGGTCTTTTCGGGTGCTCTGAAAGATTCGCTAAAGGAGACCGGACGCATAAAATGATGAAAGTTCATGGATACATATTGTTGTTGAGTCTGTGCCTATCCCCAACATAAATCTTTCATTTCTGCTATGATGACTTCTCCAAAGATACCTGCGGCGGCTAACGAGTTTCTGGGATGTACTGCGGCAGGGGATGCTAGAAGAGTAAAGTTGAGACCGGGGTAATGGAACATTAAACCCGCTAATGGTGAATGGCTGATGCTGCCAGAGTTGATGTTGTGTTACTAAAGTATTACATCAGGCCGGGATCTCGAGTAACACACCCGCGACAGGGGCATTGTAACTATATTCTCACACTTTAAGAAATAACTATCAACACCACCGACCCACGACCTTCATTCTTGATCAAAATTATAGGAAATATAGCGAGAGAAACAGCAAAAATACATACAACAGAAGGGATTCGCTGGTGGTCACCCACCCAACTACTAACCTCCCGGCGTGTGGCTTAAGTACGGCTGAGCGGACGGGAAGCCCTGTTCTCCACACCCTATGGTCGTATGTGCTGCTTTAACAAAGGATGTGTAATATGTCCAGACTAGTTTTCCCGGAGACACATGTCTCCGATGATGGTGGAATTCTCAATAACATCTGTGTATCCCCTTTTAGTCTCTCCTGGCTAAGAAGATGTAAACAACACCAACCTGATCCCACAGTGCCACTGGTTTGAAGTTTGTGTTTTTGTCTGGTTGGACGGTACTGTCACAACTAATGTGTGTGGGACTGTTTTATGTACCGTGCCGTGTACCAGGCTATATATACACCGCTCCTCAATATCACTGCCGTGCACCTTGGAGGGACTTAACCAGGCAGCATAAGGACCCTGTAGCAAGACACAATTCCCATAAGTAAGTTATGTTTATTCGGACTCTTATTACACATAGTAGATGGAATATTAATGTGAGACACTACATACAAATCCCTTAGCTTTTACAGCTTTCTGGTTGGGAAGGAGACATAACAGGATATTCTATCCACACGAAGTCAAGCTTTCTAGTTTATACCTAGACTGGATTAGCGGATCTTGATACCGTAAACCAGGGTGTCACCTGTCTAACAACCTATGTTAAGGTGTCTACAAGGCTAGATAGTTAGCCAGACAGCTGACAAACGCGTTACTACCAACGTCAGCGGTAAACAAACCATCCTCTCTCCAACCTTCAGCAACCACGGAAATAATCAACAATGAAGAAACTCCTCAGTCAAGTCTATCCAAGACAGCAAGGGGGCGATAAAACCGAAAAACAGGCCCAACAAAAATCAAAAGCCCTGCGCCGGATCTTCCGTCGCCTAAAAGGGACCAGCATCGATACACGCCCCTTTCCATTCCTCAGCCTCCCCCGCGAGATCCGCGACATCATCTACCGCGAGCTACTAACAACCCCTGCCAACGGCACCCTATGGATCCGATACAATGTCAGCCTGCCTGGATCCAGCGCAAGATGCGGCAACTGCACACGCTGCACTTCCAGCTCGGCCCGGGCCGCTCCTGGTATGTGAGGAATATCGGTTCCGTGTCCCCCGAATGGCAACAGTTCTTCCAACGAGGCTGGATGGAGAAGATTGTGGCAATATCCCACACATCACGACTTTGCGAGTGGATGATGCGTTCGTTCAGTTTTGTGATCAAGTCCGGGATAGTGAGTGGGCGTCTTTCCGTGACCTGCTACCTTCCTACCACCTCCCGTCTCCACTCTGATCCGGATCTCCACCACGAAAGAAGAAAAAAAAGGAAATTGGGACGAGCCGGGCTTGAACCGGCCACCTTCAGATTTACAGGAACATCCCGAAAGGATGAAACCTAAGGCCGAAGTTTACTTCAGTCTGACGCGCTCCCAGATGCGCCATCGTCCCTTGGTAGATGACTAAGAGTTGCTCAAATGCCTCTATTAACCAGGGCAACCCAGACACATCATCAACATAGACAGAGAAATGAAAGAAAACAGGAAGTATAGGAAATCTGAGTTTAGTTGGAGAAGTGCAGGCGGCAAAATAATAAAAGGGTCTTTATTTGGCTCTCAATAGTTACCTCGGAGACTATAGCAGCTATAGGGCTTTGTAAATACAAATTTGTTCTTTTTGCAGGTAGATACACCTGGTATTTTTAGTCCTGGATCTATTCCCTGATAGTGATAGAACATTCCATGACTGCTAGGCAGTGAATTGGCCAAGGCCCGTCTCGACTTAACTCACTTCCCATGAGATGGCTGGCTTGTCACCCCGCCCTTGATAGAAGAGCGTCACATGACACTGCGCGAGCTAGAAAGGACTAGCCTCAAATCCCGGGATTTCAGTTCCGGGCTACGAGTGGCTGTGCAACAAGGCGGAAGGGTGCCAACAAGGCTGACAAGAAAGTGTGTCTGCTGCAACCTGGAACCTGGAAGTTTCTCTTCGTATCAAGAACTCTAGCAGGCATGCTGCAGTTTGCCGATAATTCATCTCTCGCACCACGAGCTCGCCAAGCTTTGGATACCCCCTACTAATTCACCAAGTGATTTATTTCATCATTGCCCATGGTCTACTGTGGGCGCCCATCGGCCAGCTGCGCCCCGTGCCGCGCCAAGAAAAGGGGGGTGGGTGCCTGATTTCTCCGCGTCGCAAGGCTGCAACTGACCATGCCCCCTCCAGTGCGACAAGGCCGTCCCCGCCTGCGGACAGTGTACATCTATCTATCTTTATCTTTCCCAGTCACGAACAAACTAACCGGATCCCGTAGGCCTTCGGACAGGCCAGAAATGCCCTGGTTATCGCGATGTATCCATGCTCCGAGTCCGCGACGAGACGAGCCGGGTCATTGATCGTGCCCGTGCCTCCAAAACATCCCGGATGGTTGCAGCCTCAAACCGCCTGCCGCCATCGACAAAGTCTTCTGTGCCATCTGGGCTGTCGTCGGTGGGCGACACCATCCCCCCCGACAGTTTCCACGTGGTATCGATTTTGTCCGGCCCGCCCGCGCCATCGGAGAGTCTCCGCGAGCTAGGAACCAGCTATTTCCTGGCCAACTACGTCCTAGCCGGCTCCGGGCCGTCATCGGGCTTCCTCAGCTACACCAAGAACGTCCTCGCAGACGGGGTCGGGGATCACGAGCTGGTCCAAGTGGCCATTCGCGCCGTTGGCCTAGCCGGCATAGCCAGCACCACGGGCACCGATAGCATTTTATACCAGGCGCGCGCCAGCTACGCCGATGCGATCCGCCGGATCAACGCAGCCCTCATGGATCCCCGCCAGGCTAGGAAAGACAGCACTATTTTCGCGGTGATGGCCCTCAGTCTATTCGAGACCATCACCTGCTCCGACTCCAACTCCATGGAAGCATGGCGGAATCACATCAACGGTGCGGCAAATCTACTGATGCACCGCGGCGCCACCCAGTTGAGATCCCCCCAGGGCTTGAGAATCTTCGGGGAAACCATATCCCACATCATCACCCTCTGCTCCCGCTACAACCATCCCGTCCCTTCACCTCTGCGCCGCTTGCGGGTCGAGATCGAGCGCCAATTACCCCGCAAAAGCCCCTCCTGGATTGTGGCCACGGCCCATGTCGATCTCCTGGACCTGCAACAGGCAATAAAACCAGAACAAGACACCGCGTGTCTGCCCGATGAATGGGAGACGATCCTCGCACAGGCTGTCGCGCTGGACCAGCGCCTCGACACGCTCATCGCCGACCTGCCCACTCCCTGGCACTTCAAGATCGTCAACGACCCGACAGCGAACCCCCGCGTTGTATACCACGGCACCTACCACATCTACTACAGCACCTGGATCGCCAAGATATGGGATGCGCTGCGCGCGTGTCGTATCTTCGTCAACCAAGCCATCTACTGCTTACTCCTCCGCGAGGCCGGCATGTGGGCCCCGCACCTGGTCTCCCCGGACGGGGGCGTCTACGCGCCCCTCCTGCAGCAAGTATCCGATACGACGGCCGAAATGCGCGACGGGATCCTCGCGTCCGTGCCCCAGATGACGGGCTTCGTGCAGCACGATGTGGCGACCGGGGCCTCGTATCTAGATTGCAGTAGCGCCGGCATGCCACGGCGTGTTCCCGCCTCCGGGCCTTATTTCTTGCTCTGGTTCCTGTTCCTCGCGGGGAGTCTGCTGATGAACCCGCCCGAGACGCGCGATTGGGTCGTGGATCGCCTGCGTGAGATCCGCTCCGCTACGGGTATCCAGAAGGCGGGCTACCTGGCGGATCTGCTCGAGAAGTATCACGGATTTCGGAGTGTAGCGCTCCCGGCCAGCGTCTTTCTGATTCCTCGAATTTAATTTATTCCGTTTTTTGTCTTCACTCTGTCCCCTTTTCCTCCTATGAATGAATGAAGCGGCGCTGTGGTAGTTGGGGCGAAACGTGGGTTCGAGTCCCCGCTGGTCTTCTCTCTTCCTGTTTGAGACTAGCCGTGAATAAAATACAGCATTATTATTATCTGTGGTATTTTTCAACGGCGCTCTTGCGGATGCTGCTGTGGGGCGTTAGGCTGGGAGCCTGCTATGGATCCATGCGGAGATCACGCCGGCTTTATCCGGGTGGAGCCTACGGATGGATCTCCGCGCTAGTCCCAACATGGTATGCATTCTGAACGGCATCGTGCATGCCTTCTTGGGACAGTGGGTCTTTTTTTTCATCATCGATGCCTGGTGTGGCTTTTCTCATGCTTTTTGTCAGAGTGGATTAAGATTTGCTATTATTGCAGCGCCTTCAGCTGTTATAGACAGATTGGAATTACAACCCTGCAGTTCTGAATCCCATGACTACATCTACATCATTCTGCCATACCGTCAATCCCGAGTGTGTAATATAGAAAGCTGCCGCTTGACATTCAGCTGGGAAATACAGAAGTATGCATCCCGTCGCAGTAGCACAGCCCTGCGAGGATGGACCCCACCACGGTCCTGGTGGGGCTGCCAGCCAATCCGGAGCCATGGGTCCCGGGGTGCGGCACTGGTTTCCCAAACCGGTCGATTCAGCGCCCGGACGCTTGGACCGCCGATCAGCCCGTTATAACCGGGCGTGCTCCCTCGTGCTTTCAGCTTCATCCTTCCACCACCACTCTACACATCACCATGACGCGCGTATACGCAGACGACAACGCCCTCCCCACCGGCTGGCGGACGCGGCAACCCGGCACGGCCATCTGGCTATTCATCTCCGTCCTCTACCTCTCCCTCCTTGCCCTCTTCTATAGCATCTACTACATCGCCCCTCCCCTCCGCCAATCCTCCACCTGGACCTACCGCCAGGCCTTCACCACGCGCTTCTCGAAACTCGCCGTGAACGTCGTCTACCAGATCGGCTTCAGCCAATCTCTAACCCTCGACCCGGGCAGCCTCGGCGACCGCTTCGTACTAATGCACCCCGCCGCCGCCGAGTGCTACCGTGGACCCCTCGCCAGCAAAACCACCAAGCCCGAAACCATCGGCGGAACATGGTATCCTTCCCCGCCGCCCAAACCATCGCCCTCCCCCTCCTCTTCCACCTCCACAACAACAACCACCACAACCGACGATGGCAAAAGCCTCATCGTCCTCTCCTTCCACGGCAGCGCCTTCCTCTGGCTGAACGGCCGCCCCGACGACTCAGGCTACACCGCCGACCTCCTCAACAACACCCTAGGCCCCAACACGCGCTCGCTCTGGATCCAATACCGTCTCGCAGGAGGCGACAATCCCACCCCCTTCCCGGGACCCATCCAAGACGCCCTAACCGCCTACCTCTACCTCATCAACGACCTGCACATCTCCCCCTCCCGCATCGTCCTAGCCGGCGACTCCGCCGGCGCCACCATGGCAGTCGCTCTCCTCCGCTACCTCGCCTCCTTCGACCCCCACTCCGTTCCCGGCCACCCCCTCTCCGACCTCCCTCCCCCGCGCGCCTGCCTCCTCTTCTCCCCCTCCGTCGAATACACCTTCGAAGGCGACGCCCACGCCTGGGACTCCCACCGCAACGCACCCACCGATTACTGTGACGGCACGCTGGCCGCGTGGGGCGCTCGCGTGTTTGCACCCCCCGATGTCGTGAGATTCGATGACCCGTATCTCTCGCCGGCGTTGTTTCCGTTTGCCACCCCGGTGCCGATTTTCGTTCAGGTGGGCGGCGCGGAGGTGCTCTGTGATAGTGCGAAGGGCTTCGTGAGGAATATGGCAGAGGTCCCGGGGAATCGCCTGCAGTTGTTGGAGATGCCTGGCCTGCCGCATGATATCTATATGATTGGGATGTATTTGGGGTGGAAGGAGGAGCAGAGTGAGATGATTAGGGAGGCGGCGAGGTTCGCGATCGCTGGTTAGGCCGAGCTGTTACGTGAGCGGTGTGTGCATTCTTTGTTTTTGAGGCCAGGTGTATTCCATTTTTCTGCAGGGGTTGTTCTTGTTGCAGCGGGGTGTTTTATCGGGGTTGGGCGGATTTCAATTTGTTTATATTGTACCATATGCTAGAGATATCCCTTTTGTACCTAGTTGATATGGCATTCGATCTACTCCAGTTTGCGGGTGCGGTCGCAACCGAGCAGCATATTTACCCTCAAACTTACTATGGAGCCAGTCGTGATGGATCTGGGCACCTGAATTTGAAGTTGGAAATCCCGATGTTTGGTGGTGAGGATGGGGAGGATGGGGGCCATTGATGCAATCATCTTTGGTTTGGTAGATGTTGTGTGACTGAAGCGTTGGGTGTGGAGCGCGAGAGGCCTTTCTCTATGATATGATATGTCTAAAATCTCTATACAGAATACAGAGATGCGAGGCGTAAGGGAAGTCGGTTCCCTCGCACACACTGCTATCCCGGTCCCTGTCTGTCTGCTACACCATCGCTTGAGACAGATGTCTTGCTGAGATGTATGGTTCCTTGCTGCAGTGAGAAAGTCTATCAATGCCAGTCACCACGTACCACTGATAACCATTCCCATCGATAATACCACATAGAACAAACGCGCCAATCTACTCAACCAAAACAATGACAAATACATCTAATCTAACCTTATAAACAGAAAGATACCCCACCCCCATCTTAAATTCTAAAGCATGAAACCAACAGCCCTACCCCACCCATCCTCAAATCCCAATCCACCCACCTAAACACCCCAACCTACTCCAAACAACCCTCCCTTTCAAGCACCACCTCATCGATATAAACCCGCCACACATCCGAAGTATCAGGTAAATTGCACCCCACACTGATGGTAAGCATATCCTTCGTCGTCAGCGCCGTATACTGCCCGGTAACAGCGGTCCACTCGTCCGAGGGCTCGAGGGACGCGGTCGCAATGGTGGTGTTCAAGCCCATGATGGCGCTCACGTAGCAGTAGTCGGCCCCGTAGGGGATGAGCACTTGCGCGCTGAAGTCGTAGGTCGCGCGTCGGGTGAGGCCCGTTAGGAATTGTGAGATGGAGTTGGCGTCGTTGTTTATGGCGGTTGTTAGGGCGCTGGAGTTCATTATATTATAATTAGCGTTGGGGGTTGTTTGGGGGATTCTTGGGGTGGGTAGACATACAGCGAGTACTCGCCATCAAAAGCAGCAGTCGCGTTCGTGACTGTCGCGACGTTGGGGACTTTGGTGAACCAGGGCGAGAGAAAGCCTGTCTCGAAGGACGGGTTGGTGATGAGGTTGCAGGGGGAGAGGGACATGGTGGGTGAATGGATTATATGAATCTGAGCGTTTTTTTTTTTTTTTGTTCTGAGTTCTGAGTGATGATCGGACTCAGAGACCAGCAGCAGGATATCAGGATTAAATAGTCTGCACCTCTGCATGGTCCGATTCTTCATCGGTCAGCCCGCGTTATATCCGGCTTAGCGCTCGGATGAGCCCGTACAACTGATCGAACGGGTCTTCGGGACGCCTGAGTCTATTTCGGGTGCATGGCTTAGGCCGCATCTCGTATCGCGGGCCGCTCCATTGGATATGTTTGGATATATTTGAGACAGTAGGAATTTGGAGGTGGATGGTTACGGGGGTGGGTTTAGGTGTCGGACCTTGAGGGAGGCTAAGTTTAGGGTCTTGGAGTTATCTCGCGCACTGGTGGAGGTGGAGGTGGAGGTGGTCAGCCGCTACGTGGGGTGGGCTCACATCTTAGAATGGAATGCTCCTCGGCCTTTCGACAGCCTGATACGTGCATCGAGGTGGTTATGGTCTCTGTAGGAAACATGTGTAACTGGATCACGGGTTGGGTGGAAAAATCGCCACATGATGGCACGAAGTAGGCAGAAATATGATGACATTGTCTGCTCTGTTGATTTGCCTGTTTTCCACAGGGACGGGAGTATCTCACTCTGCTCACTGTGTGGCAATGACGACGACGATGACGATTACAACTCCTCTAGCTATTCTAGGGCTGTCTCTGGAGATGGTGCTAGTGTCAGTGCTAGCACCAGTGTCAGTGCCAGTGATCCATGTGTAACCACCTGCCACGAGGTGGAGGTACCATGTCTAAGACATTTATCATCTAGCTGCCGTGGTACGATTTTCCCTTGAAGCATAGAAAGCGGAGTGGAAGACTTTCTGTCACAAATGCTGTTATGACAGTATTCACAGTCAGTACATGTATTCTAGTTTCGACATGACACTCCTTATATTTTTTAATACAGAAGCACATTTTGCAATTATACAGAAAAAGCCGGCCAGATGTTCATGGTATCAGTTGTTTATGGCCCAGTGGTGGTCTCTCAGACTGGTAATTGGAAAAGCTGAGCCTCGCCCCGACATAACTGACATCATGAATAGCCCCAGGGCGAGGAGCATCAGACCAAGTATGCCTAAACATAGGTGTTACGAGATATTAAAGCTCCGAGATCGTAATCCGAGCCCCTCGTGTTTGGGGTGATTCATTTCTCGTCCAGAACAAACATCCCCCCAAACCAACCATAAGCCCTTTTAAGTCTACGGCCAACACGCCGGGCAGTCGTGAAGCGCATTTTCCCGCGCGGATGAGGCTCATGAAATTGAATGTTCCTCTCAACATCGAGCTTCGTCGGCTGAAACTGCCAGACGGAGCCGTAAAGCTTCATAGCGGCAAAGCCGACCGAGGTCATGGCATGTAGAAAGTCATTCCACGGGACTTCGCCTGGCGTGGACATCACTGCGGGGTTAAAGAAGATGGCTCGGAAGACTTTAAGAGCACGCGCATTTACAGGAAAGCTGGGTTGGTCATCTGCGGGATTGGCCTGGTGAAGTGCTGCGGCTTCCTCGACGTGTGCGGGAGCTGGTGCTGGCGTCCCGCGGGTTTTGATTTTGGCTTTAGGCTGTGCGACATCCAGTTCTTTAGCCGAAATGCCCGAGTAGACCGTGGAGATTGGTTGGTATGAAGTGTAAAAATCGAGCTCGCTGATCTGGTTCTGTGCTTTTTTAGCAGGCTGCCACTTTTCGGCCTTCACCCACTCTCGGGTGCGTTGTAAGATGCGCTGCTGGGAGAAGAGTCTCTCCGCATCTTTGGTGCGGCATTTTTCGACGGGATAGGTGAATCTTCCATCGGAAGGGTCGCCAAGCTTGACCGCGCGAGGGGGAGTTCTCGACTGGGAATGCGCGCTCTTAAGCGTGTCTCGGATCCGAGCCCATGACTGGGTCTGCTTCGCGTAATCTTCCTTAAACTTGTCTTCACGATTCCAGAACTCAGTATCAAAGCCTCGGGCCCAGGGCTGATAGATATTCGACTGATTCAAACACTGGGCGAGAATAAAGAGATCGCCAATCACGTCGGTATTGTACGCAGAGACCAGCTCTCCCGCGCGTTTGTCCGATTCGATCAGACGCTCCAGCTCGTCCACGACCAAGGGCATACCAGCCAGGAACAAATAATGGCCATCTTCAGCCAGGGTGTGGAGCAGCCAACACAAGTGACGCTCTACATTGTTCATTTTAGAGCCAGGCTTTTCGACTACTCTTATAAATCTCATATCGTTGTCGGGTGGTGGCTGGCGGGCAAAAAAACTTTCGCAAAGGTGGAGAGGGCATAGCTGACACTTTGAGCTTGTTCGGGGGGCCCTTGGATCCCTGGTCGAGATAAAAGCTTAATCGGAGCAAGGCAGCAAGATACTCCCCGGGTAGTGGTTTTGAAGGGGAAATGACATTGGCGTACTTTCTTTGTAACTCGACCAATTTCTTGGCTTGGCTGCTAAGTTCCGAGAACAGCTCTAGCTCATGGTAAGCTGCGTCGACAGTGGTCCCGATAACGCGCGACCAGAAAATTCCTTCCCAGCCACGGCGAAGCGCTGTGTGGATATTGCCATTGAGGTCTTTCAACATCCCTTGACGATGTTCCTTAGTCTCCAATATCGTTCTGGCGAAATAGTCGGGATCTTCGCGCATTGCCCAAAGATGATCTTCTGCAGCGGACGCTCTTGTGGTGAGCAGCGACTCAATACGGCCAAGATGAAATTGCGCAGGACCCCGATATGGGGCTTCTGCAGCCATTACGCCCAAAGACTCGAAGCCACTTACATCACTTTCGGGCTTCAGGTGGACTCCGGAATGTCAGGAAGAAGTTCCCGGCAGCATTGAACGAGGAAATCCAGAAGGCGCACCTGTACCTCCATTATAAATAGGCCCTCCCCTGTCGGGGCGATGGATGACCGGCATTTTCGGCCAGGCATTGAGCAGGACCTTTAGTCTCTGTTGCCGAGTTCGCTTCGACCAGCGCTTCTGAATTGTAGCCTCATGGCGCTGTGCAATTGCATGCAGGGTCTCATAGCTGGTGAAGACCTCATCTGATCTTCTTCTGGCCTCTTGACGAACCTCTTCCGGAGACCTCATTTCAGGGACGGGGAGGGAACTACCGGAGCCGGCACCCACCGCTTTGAAGAAGGCGGCGGGATCACTCCAATCGATTTCATCAGACACGTCATCATATTTCGCGGCTTCCGGCCCAAAAGGGTCGAATTGATGGTTGGGTCTGAGCTCCATGACTGGTCTAGTCAGATGAATGTTTGTTATTGCTGAAAGTCGTTGATGCAGTCGTGTCCCACGCGGTCCGCTCCTGTTGACCGCGGGCGGAGGTTCTGCTGGCCAAAGGGACAGACAATCCACAATCTTCGCATCCTCTCTCATCATCCATCCTCTGTTGCAATATAGATTGACAAAAATTCAAAAACATACAAACAGGAGGGATTCGCTGGTGGTCACCCACCCAACTACTAACCTCCCGGCGTGTGGCTTAAGTACGGCTGAGCGGACGGGAAGCCCTGTTCTCCACACCCTATGGTCGTATGTGCTGGAATAACAGAAGTGGAGAACTGAATAGGAAGGACGTTTGGCTCCAAACAGAGTTGACTGGCAACGGTGTGGATGACGCAGATGGTGAATATTCAATCGGCCATCAGGACTTATCTCAGGCCTGACAGCTATAAGTCGTTCCCTGGAACCACATTAGCAGCTGAGAATAGAAATACACGAGAGACATGGAATATTAAAAACATAGTCACTGACCACTATATCGTCATCGCTCTGTTTAGTTGTGTTGACAAGTTGAGCTGATATCCATGCCGAGATGGGAACGCGACATCATAGGGAGGGGCTCAAGGCAATGATACGGATATTGCCGCCATGAAACCCTCACACACCCGGCAGCTGCGGGTCCGGTTTTACTTCCCTGGTGACTCCTCATTTCAGGATGGGGGACGGGGCGCCACGCAGAGAAACACCCACTTTCCATTTTCTGCCATCCGCAGTATCGAGGTGGCTCATGATGTGACGATGAAGAGAGACGGAGGATGAAGGAGGAAAGATGGACAGAAAGAGGGGGTGAATGCTCTGTCACATGACACTCGGTGCGACGCTTCCCAGGCATCCTTCAGGCATCATCCAGGCAACCTTTCTCACCTTTTTTGATAGCTTCCGAATCAGGCAAGAACATGGAAGGTGCCCCCGTACTATTGGACGGACAGGGAGCACCTTCCCTGCAGCCGACCTCCGCCTCCCCTCCTTCCCTCACTTCGTCAACTTGAAACCTGACAGAGGCAGTCTTCTTCCACGCATCCAACAGTCAAGCACACCATGCCGTTCAGGCCAGGACACGCTTCGAGCACTGGCTAATAGAAGGCGATATCAACTAATATGGGCACACACTAGACGCGCCAGGCAAGTACGACGATGACAAAGGCCCCATGAGCTCCCCCCTACCAGAGAACAACTCCGGACCCCAGCTTACTTCTTCAGCGACCTCGAGGAGCGTTAAACTACAAGCCCTTTGGGATGAAGCATCCGAGTAACTACGCGGGGAGGAGGAGCGGTTGGCTGTGGCATATAAGAAGGATCTTCTGGCACAACACGAACGCCCGGGATGTGTCTGCAGGGAACTATGAAGCGCAGCTGCAATATCTCGTCGAACACAAACTAATGGAAATCCAGGACGTTCGTCTGCGATTCCAAGTCTGTGTGCAAGACGCCGTGGTGAGAGATTAAGCTTGTCGCGTGGTACACTCTATTATCTCCGTTCAGGGCTTTATCGCGACGGCGCTGAGCTCGGACTCACACGCTGCGCTTGCATGGGCTAGTGCATAGGTGCTTTTGAATGTGATTCAGCCTTTCCGATTTGGCCATCGTGTTGCAATCGCAATTGAGTTACTATGGTTACCGTTCTTAGCCAGTCGCAAGAGGATCCCAGAATCACACTCATATACGATGCTATAATGTCACCATACCGAGGATTTGCTGCAATAATATCGAAAGAGACTATTACCCTCGTCAATTTCCAGCAGGAAACATTCATTAGAAAGGAAATGGCACACTTTGAAATGATCGAGACTGCTGCACTATGTCCCAGCGGCCGGTTGATGGCATCCGCGTCGACAGATACAACAGTTTGCCCCTGGGATACAACTACTGGTGAATTGTGACATACCCTGACATCGCATTCAGGTGAGGTTACAGATGTGGCCTTCTCTCCTGACGGTCGGCTTATGGCTTCCGCGTCGTTGGACAGAACGATCAGACTGTGGGATGCAGCCACTTTAACACCTTTGACGACCACAGAAGTTCCAGTTCGTGTCGAATGTCTTGCATTTTCAAGAAACAGTGCCCTGTTGGCATCGGTATTATATTATTGTTGGGTGGTGGGGAAAACCTCTGTCTTTGGGAGGCAAAGACTGGGGCATTCCGATGGCAGGTCTCAGTGAGAGCAGAAGGCTGCTATTGCACACCACTATTTCCCCCCGGGGGAGATTTGCTGACGCCCACAGGCGCTAGAAGGGTATTCACAACCGGACGTACTAATTTCATACGATTATGGGAGACAGAAACTGGAAGCCTAGCCAAGGAGGTCCCTGACTTTTTGATATTCGCTAATAACGTGCCATTTTCCTCCGCGGGGCTTTTATGACGTTCGCAGGTATAAATGCCATCCAGCTGTGGGACCTCAATCTCATGAGAAACCAATCCTCGTACAATGCTCATAGAAACCGGATCACGGGCGTTAGAATCATGCCAGATGGCAGACAAGTTCTGTCTTGGAGTGTTAATGAGTTTATCATGTGGGACATAAGCACTGGCGATTGGCTAAACACCAGTTCAATATTCTTTTCCCATGACGCAATTCTTTCGCCAGGCGGGAGTCACATATACTCAGTACGCCACAAAATAAAAAATATTGAGATACTAGAAACCAGGTCAGCTAAATTGGTCCACCGCCTCAATGGAAATACAGGACGTATCAACACGATGACACTGTCTACGGATGGTGCGCGTCTGGTATCTGCATCTTTGGCAGTCAACCATGATGCACATTACGGCCTCTCCACCGAGGAAGAGTACAATGTTAACCCTCCTGATAAGACAATTCGGCTGTGGGATACGAAGGCCGGACTTTCGATTCGTATACTTCATGGTCTTGCATCTTCTGTTGACTCCCTACCATTCACAAGAGATGGAAAGATATTAGCCGCCGCATATGAGAATGGCATTGTTCAGAGCTGGGACACAGCAACTGGCCAAGCCCTCCTGCCGTTGGAATATGAGCCCAGTTCTAGCTCCACCTTAGATGGGGAAACCTTCCATCTGGATGTAGCCTTCTCCTCCGACGGGAAGACAATCTCATGCACATTTCCAGACGGGGATTTGAGACTCCGGGACATTACTTCAGGGGGGTTACTTACAGTTTTGGACAATAGAATGATCTTAAAATCCGCTCGCTTTTCGCCCAACGGCAAGCTGTTGGCAACAACATCAAACGGTCACATGGTGCAATTGTGGAAGCCCATAACGGGCGAGCTTCTCGGAGTCTATAAGGGGCTAAAAGGTCTTTCGATAGGTTCCTCGGATGACGGTCACTCCCTCGACACAGAAACGGGACAACTGAACCTTGGAGTAATATGACCGACTCTGTCGACAGGACACCAGACGCTCTTTCTTGAGGATGCTTGGGTGCTTCGAGGGACGGAAAATATCCTCCTACTACCACATGACTATCAAGAAAAATGTGCAACCTATCGAGATGGTGTTCTGGTGTTGGGACACGAAAGCAGCCGCATATAGATTCTTACCTTCAATCAGGACGAGTTCAACTGGGCGGGCAAACGGGATTTCCCACATTCCCTGGACAAGCAAGGGGCTTTGAGTAATGGATTATATTGCTCTCCTGTCTTGTGTCCAACACATACGACCATAGGGTGTGGAGAACAGGGCTTCCCGTCCGCTCAGCCGTACTTAAGCCACACGCCGGGAGGTTAGTAGTTGGGTGGGTGACCACCAGCGAATCCCTCCTGTTTGTATGTTTTTTTTGCCAGTTTTGAATTGCCATCTATCTCCCGCTCGAAATCGCGAGCCTCCGGCCGCGTGTGTGGCTTGGATATGCGGCCAGAACCGGGGTGGATGCCATCCCGGCGAGGAAAGGGCAAGCGCCGCTTTGCTGTCTGGTCCGTTCATAGTATGGGAATCTCTCCACTCCGTACGTAAGTATCTCTCCGCGCCGGGCAAACATGCAGCTCACGACAATCCATAAACAGAAATGGTTGACTTGACACCCAATCACAAAATTATTCTATCAACCGCTAGTCGGGTAAAAGACTAGTGTCGACGCCACACTGAGATGTATGACACCCCACGTTCAGCCGTCAGAAGCGCTTTCTGAAATGTTGAAGATTCTAGCCGATAGGTCACCCGCTGTCAATAGCCCCCGTGTTCAGGATTGACTTGGTTCAGCTGATGCAAAAGGGGGGGGGGGTTTAAATATGCCAGCACCCACCTCCGCCATAAGCTGACAGTCCGGTATGAGACTTTTGCAACTTCCCTGCCAGACGGATTCGGTGGGTTTCCGGCTTGATTGCATTCTCAACATCATCTGTTTACCAAAAAGCATACATTCATCATGGCGCCCGTCAAGAACCAGCTCCCGGCGATCTATCAACGCGCGTTCGACAAGTACCAGGATATCACCCATGAAACTCTGCATGTTGATTTCCGACCACCCTCTCCGCGAGAACGCTTGATCATCCATGTATTTTTCTTCTCCTCCAAGGTAACTGACTCGATGGCTTCCAAGAATTCGCTCAATTGGGTGTATGGGACGTGAATGGCCAGTGAAAACTTATTGGATAGAGAAGGGAAGAAGTTGGAGGTTTGCGTGATCGGCTCGGCTCCGACAGACTCGGGCAGAATTTCTGATAGAAAGGGCAGGTTGCTGTCGACAGAGGGACTGGGGAAGCTGAGAGTGACCAGGGCCCAGTGAGAATCAATCTAGTTGGAGAAGCAAGACGTCACCGGTCAGCGCAAAAGATACAATTGATGGAGCTGGAGAGTTCACCACACTCACATTCCCGATACCACTCGCCTGAGGCACCGACAGATCGTCATCGACCTGCCATTTCCACGCGCTCGTCTCCCCGACGCGAAGACGACTGCTGCCCCAGAGAAACGACTGTACATCTAAGTGTACAGCCTCAGTCCCCGACCCGAGACCTGCATTGGCTGCCCGAAAGCTCCCTTCCAAAACCTGGCGACCAGGGCGGTCACGAGTAAAGTGTGGATGGGGTGCCGACACGCTTGGCCGACCACTGCGCGTAGCCCCAGGGTGACCTCCTGCTGCACCCTGCCGGCATTCGGCTCCACGACCATTGCCATTGTGCTGGAATATTTTCCGGGAGATTGTGGATCAACCAGGATAATTGGAGGGATGTCATTATCCTGCTTGGAAAGAACTGGGTCGCGTGGGAAGGGCAAGGTGGGTAAGAGGGAGAGAGAGGAAGAAAGAAAGAAAGGAAAAGACCGCCGAAAAAGAAATTGACACCAGCACTAGTGTCCAGGCAGGAACACTAGGCCACAGCCATTAGCCATCACTAAACATCACGAAACACCGCCAAATACCACTAATTGCAGGTTTCGGGCCATTCCTTAGAGAAACGCTCTATTTTTATTGGGAGCTGTCGTCGCCAGACTAGGACTAGACAATGAGTACACTACTCCAACAGTATAACAGGCATGACGACAAGCCATGGAACCGCATCCGGGCGGTCTCTTGTAATCCTATACAGGGGCAAGAAGATACTGGATCGCGGGAACACGGCCCGCGCGATCTTCCCGTGGAATCTCGATGGGACGGGACATCTGACATCGAGGCTAGTAATATGTTGTATTACATTCAGATATCACCGGCCTTGGGAAAGTGGGCTTATCTGTCGTCTGCGGCGCTGCTCACTAGTAGCTTGGCCGACCCACCCCAGCAATCCATGAGGCGTTGGAGATGGAAATGGGATGCTGGTTTAGACTCCCAAGTCCTCACATCTTTATAATCGATACAGAGAAAAAAAAAGGAAGCAATGTAGGTTCCTGCAGGGGCTGGGTGCTTGGCTACATAAATTAATTGTAACCAGAATCGGGGCAAATCTGCGAGACTCCTCGTTGAGAACTATATAATTTATAACTTGGCAGTTACGGTTGGGTACTGCGTACTGATGATGTATTTATAAATAACGGTATCAAACTCTAATGAAATTCAGGTTGTTGCGGTGATACAGACACACCGTGACCTAACTGCTATATACATGCACCCTGAGATTTCTGCACACCCCTCCCCTTCCTGCCACTCCACCTTCCAAACTGGGAGTATTATCCTACCACCTTTACTATACTGCCTGTCTATCTGCCTGCGCGTCGCCGTGTAGGCTCAACATCTTACCCTGCCGGCGCGTTGATTTATTTTACAGCGCCTTGAGCGGCCTCCTCCCTGGCTCAGGCAACCCCCCATCTGGAGTAATATTGTTTTCAAGCAACTGATTACTAATGATGTATTTACTCAGGGCTGAAGACCAGTGTTTCACTGGTATATCAACTGTACTTATAGAGACTAGATTTTCCTGTTATAAATCACTCATTCTCGGACATAATTTCAGATGACATTCATTACTTGCCAACCTGCTTCTCGAGACCGACATTTTGGGGGTTCCATCCGATCACGTGTCGTTCGCATAGTGTCTCCCCTCCGTATGATTTTCCTCTCTTTTCTCACTCTATTGCCACAAATGTGGCAGATATAATACAGTCGCTCGCACTTCCTTCGAGGCAGGCTCTACATGAGGCTCTGCGCGACGCTCTACATGAAGTCATATGTGGGGCTCTACACGAGGCCCTATTTTTCCTAGGCACCAAATAGTCAAGCGCACCCGAGACTAGGAATTAGTCTGGTGGAATTTTGCCAAGGTAAGATATTCAATCCTGATGGCTAACCTGTTTCATTATATGACCAACCTCATCTGGGGTGAGATTGCGACAAAAACATTCGCCGAATCCCAACTGCCATAATTCCTCGCCCTATCGGAGCGATCCCTGGGAGCTGCGCCTCGCTGTTAGTGTAGCTAGCTAAGAATGCTTGTAGGCGCCATCAAGCCCCGCCTTTCGGGACCAAATTGACAATTGTTGGCAAAGGGCGGGTATCTAGATACGAGATAGTCTAACGCCTGCCTTTTCGGACCCACCCGCCAGCACACCGCAATTATGTGGGTTGTGGACAGAGAGACTCTTGCTGTGGATTAAGAACATGTCCCTGATTTCATGATCCGTGGTTGGTACGGAGTAGATACAATGGACTGAACGGACTTGGAGCTTTAATTAACTTCATTTAGGTCTGAATCAGTATGTTCAGAAACAGGATATTTTCTGACAGTGGGTCTGCTCAGCCTCCGAATCCCACCCCTGAAGCTCCAAACGGTCTCCCAAGTGGGTCATAAAACATAAACTTATTGGGGGCTGAAAATCAGTACGCCGTATCTATCTAGGGCTTCCTGGGGCCCTGTTTAGTGTTTACTCCGGACTTATAGCAGATAGCCGTTTTGCAGCGTGCTTGAGTGGAGCATCCTTATCTGCAGGCGGATGCTAACTCTTCGTGTGCATGCCAAGCTCTGCCCTTGCAATGCTTCCAATGCTTAATTCTTATAGCAATGACGGCTCAAAAGAACTCCTTGTTTATCTGCCCTTCCACCAGCAATCGATCTCGCTTCGATGATGGAATAATAATAGAGTAGCTGGCCGTGCTTGCGGCGAGATGGTCTGATACTTTACTTTCCCAGCTCTCGGTTGGTGATCTTGGTCTATAATGGTTTGTCTGAAGGAATATCGGCCCACTCTATACGAACCCTGCTCCATAGTACCTTGACAGCCTTGTGGTCACCTTCCTTTAGAGGAAGGAGTGTCGCTCTGCCTTCACGAAATGATGAAGGGGGTTGGATATAAATACACAACCATTCCTCCCCAGACTCTATCGAAATTACTTCCACATCACATCGGAATCAAAACCAAGCATCTCTCTCTGCCTTCTTTCCTCCTGAACCATTCTCCAAAACCAAACCTCACCCTCAGGAGTCAAAATGTTCACCAAGTCTCTTCTTCTCCTCTGCGCCACGGCCGCCTCAGTCGTTGCAACAAACAACCTCAACTTTATCTACTCGACCTCCTCCTACGACGATATCGGCGGCGACGGCAGCGGTTACTCCACCGGCTTCACCATCAAGGACACGAGCGGTAACACGCTGTGGCACAGGTCGGACCCCGACGGCTACGCTCCGTGTATGGAAGACAGCGAGAAATTCACCATGACGTCCGACTGCTGGACCGGCACCTGGACCTTTGGTTGCGAGTCCAAATTCGATGGCAAACCCAAATTGTGCGCCGCCTATAGCCCCGATGACGTCAAGTACTCGGGCAAGGTGGACTCCAGTGAGGATTTCATTGGAATCAGCGCTGGCTCCGAGGGTACTTGCGGTGGAAGCTTCTATGCGGCGGGGGAAACTTGCACCAAGGATAGCACGTTCAAGGTCACCGGCCGTTACAGGGGTAATCTTCGGGATTAAGGGGAGAAGGTTGAGTCGGATTGTATACCTTTCAATACTATGGGCTGGTTGTTCTTGTTGGATTAGTTGATGCTGGTCCTGGTCAAGTCGTGCGTGTCTTGAGGCCCTATGTTCCCTTTTCTTTTCTTTTTTTTTTTTTTCGTGTCAAAATATAGGGCTTTCTGTGTCTGTATGAAATTGTTATCTCATTTCCTATATACCTGTATTTATCGATCTGTTTTCTATCCTGAGAGCTTCGTCCCTGATCCCTATGTAGAGATAAGATCATTCAGCATTTCATCCTTCACAATTTGCCCGATTCATATAATTCGTTTATCTTGCTTTGTCCATTATATCTAGTTCCCTAGGCAGACTAAGCAGTGCAGCTTCATGGATCAAGGTTCTCTAGCCTGCTTACATCAAGTTATTTATGAGTATGAGTGGTATTACTGCGGATGTGGCTCTGTTCATTGATCACATTGAAATAGAATGAAGAGGAAATGTGAAACAAATACATATAAGGGGGACAATAGATACCAACTTAAAGCGTGAAAAGCAAAGCCATAGATTAGAGTCCCCTACTGCTCAACGGACCGCGACCCCTCCCGGGCACCACAACAAACTCTTTTATAATATTCTCTTAAAAATCTGTCTTTTTTCTTCAAAGTCCTCAGAAATTATAGTAAGTCCTTTAAAATTTAAAGAGTATAATCCTAATACTATATCTCAAATCCAGACAGACTCTATATAGTCAGATAATTTGTATAATCGCAGTCAGGCAGGCTCTACGCAGCCAGACAGGTTCTACGCAGTCAAGCAGGCTCTACACAGTCAGAGAATTCGCACAATCGCAGCCAAGCAGGCTCTATACAGTCAGGCAGGTTCTACGCAGTCAAGCAGGCTCTACGCAGTCAGAGAATTCGCATGATCGCAGTCAAGCAGGCTCTACGCAGTCAAATAGGCTCTACGCAGTCAGACAGCCTCTATATAGTTATATTTAACTAATATTTTATTATATGACTATTATGATGATTTTTCTTATAATTATTCATATTTTTTTATAAAAAAAAATCGCGATTTTATTGTTGAATTGAGATCATGATTTTGAAGTTTTTACTTTTTAGAAGATTTGAATGGTGCCCGAGAGGGGTCGCGGTCCGTTGAGCAGTAGGGGACTCTACATGAGATACACCGGTGGTCAACCGCCTTTTTACTATGGTTGTGCTACTCTCTCCACCAATGAGAGATGAGAAAACAGCAAAAATACATACAAACAGGAGGGATTCGCTGGTGGTCACCCACCCAACTACTAACCTCCCGGCGTGTGGCTTAAGTACGGCTGAGCGGACGGGAAGCCCTGTTCTCCACACCCTATGGTCGTATGTAAAAGACTTACAATGGAGCCAGCTTATATCAGCCGCCAAAACCCCTTGCTTGTCCAGGGGCACTCACTAAACGAGTTCCACTAAAATGTCTGGGGACTAGGTAGCAGTTGAACTTCATATCGACTCACAGCCACTCCGGTGTACCGAACCTGTCAATCGGACCAAAAGCTTGATACAAAGGGTCCAACCACCGATCTACAATCCATAGATACCCATTGGATGCCGCCACTGTCAGGTCTAGAATGACGATATAATAAAGGTCTGATTCTACGATACTGCTGCGCAGGCAGTTGGGCTATATAGACATAGAATCAGGCAATAATCAGGCATACATGAAGTCATGTATGGGGCCATATATGGGCTGATCCAGGTTGATCAGGGGTTGAAGGGCTAAATCTTGTTCCGTTATCATGCCAAGCCCTCGTTCCTCTTGATAGCCACAGACTGAACAATAACTGCAGCCAGTGCTGCCATGGCTGGGAGAAAATACATCTCGAGGAGGGATATAATTGACACGACCTGCGGAGAAGGGCACGCAGTTATCAAACGTTACTTTTACTTCGAAAACCATCAGTCGAAGTGCCTTTTATATACCCTCTGATGCAATGCGACTCGGATGCTTACGACTTATGCAGCACACATCAGATCAGGAACTTAGGCTGCCCTCTTATTGCGGGGTAATCATTCAATATCGTGGGACAAACTGGACTGTACTACCTGACACAATCATTATTCACTGTGTCCGCGTACATCCTGGCCATGAGGCGTAGCAAACATTCCCTGGCCAGGACTATTGGATTCGTGGTGGCTAGCTGGGGGGGGGGGGGGTAAGAGGAAGGAGTGGCAGCCACTGCCTGCAGTGGCCCCGCTGACAGTAATATTTATAGATCAAGGAGCAACTGACTATCTTAGGGTTTATCGAAGATTCAATTATATGTAACCCATCTTACGGAGTACAGCTTAGGTCCATCGAAGCGGAAGCCCTGTTCCCCATATCCCACGGTTGTATGCATTGGAAAGCAGGCATGGGGGAGTTGTATAGAAAAGATGTTTAGTTTGTAAAAGAATCATATTTTCCTGATCGCTATCCGGAACAACGCATTTCGGTAGGTATAATCAGATAAAGCTGATTTGTAAAAGACAGGTGCTTGCATATCTGATCTCGCACAGCCCCTTTCCTATATTTCACCAGCCAATTGTATTCATCCATCCCATTCCAATCTCAAGCCAACCCAAAGGACAATGACGTCATCAATCTGGACCAGTCTATCTGCTGTCATGTTTAACCTCCAATCCGCGATGCACCAAACCCCAAGGGACTAAAACTCTATCCTGATTTGTGAAAGCTCCTCGAATCAACAACCAACCTCCATAACTCCATCATGACTCACTTTCTTATCCACACCTCGCCAATCCGCATGCGGCGATCCTTGCGACGCGGAGAGATAGCGGCTAGCGGCCGACGGAGATTAGGGCCGCGCTTAGACGAACAGCCCGTGCCAGTAGATTAATTCCGCCCCCACGAGGGCGGGCGGGGCGGGAATAACCACTATTTCCGGCGGTTAACCCCTCCTTGGCTTCGGGACGGAGTTGCCGGTGATAAACAAACGGTATGGATGGATGATTTGGAAGGGTATATATATAGTCTTGTGGCATCTCTGCGATACATTCTGTCTCAACTTCCATTGAAACTTCTCTTTCAGACAAGTCCAGGTCTAATTTATATTATTCACCCACTCAACCATTAACAACATCCCCAAAAAAACACACCCAAAAATACCAAACATGTCCCACTCCCACATCCTCGTCACCGGCGGCAGCGGCTTCCTCGCCAACAGCATCATCACCACCCTCCTCTCACGGGGCCACACGGTCACCACGACCGTGCGAAGCGCCGCCAAAGCCACCGCGCTGCAATCCCAACACCCATCCATCAACATCAAGATCGTGCCGGACATGTCGCAACTCTCGGCCTTCGACGCCGCCGTCACCAACCACACCCCCCCACTCACAGCCGTAATCCACACCGCCAGCCCGTTCCACTACAGCATCACCAACATCAAAACCGACATGCTCGACCCCGCCGTCAACGGCACCGTCGGGATCCTGCAATCCATCCACAAGTTCGCCCCCAGCGTGAACCGGGTAGTCATCACATCCTCCTTCGCGGCGATGTCCAACCCCCTCAAACCCGCCGGGGAGAAATACTCCGAGAAGGACTGGAACCCCGTCACCTGGGCCACGGCCGAGCAGCCCGAGAACGCACTGTCGCAGGCAGGATATCGCACCAGCAAAGCGCTCGCCGAAAAGGAGGCGTGGAAGTTCATGGAAGATGAAAAGCCGAGGTTCTCGCTCACCGTGCTGAATCCCTCGCTTATCTTTGGGCCTGTGTCCCCGGCGTTGAGCTCGTTAGAGGAGGTGAATACCTCGAACCAGCGGATTAGGGATCTTGTTTCGGGGAAGTTCAGGGAGAGGTGTCCGCCGACGGGGAGTCAGTTTTGGGTGGATGTGAGGGATGCGGCGATGGCGCATGTGGTCGCGGTGGAGAAGACGGGGGATGAGGTTGAGGGGAAGAGGTTCTTTTTGACGGCCGGGAACTTTTGTAATGCCGATATTGTGCAGGTTTTGGGGGAGGCGTTTCCGGAGGTTAAGGATGGGTTACCACAGGGGGAGGCGTTGAGGGAGGGCAGGTTTCCTGAGGGGGGGCCCAAGTATGGGTTTGATAATGAGGCGTCGGTGCAGGGGTTGGGGGTTGTGTATCGCTCGTTGATGGAGAGTGTGGTGGATACGGTCCGCAGTTTGAGAGTGGTGGAGGGGAGACAATGAGGGATGGATACTTGGGTAATATGATAGATTTATGAACCATGGAATGATCTTTTTGATTTTGTTATGAATCGCCTGTGTGAGTCCACGAGTAGATGCCCTACAGTACTACATGCAGTCTTAGGGTTGCGTCTACCCCGGAGAAACCCTTGCCGATCTGCAAGTCATCCACCCAGCCATTCGTATTGACCGCCTCAAAGCAGCACGTCAAATGTAGCACTATCCCACTATCCACTATCCACTATCTAGTCGTCCATCCTACTTCACAGATCCATAATCCTCAATCCCATCAAAATGGTCACCCGCGGCATATGGCACCTCCACACCGACAGTAAGCCCGAACAACCCCTCCACAGAAAAATGGTACTGCTCCTTCCATCCCCCGCGGAGCCGAATAACTTCCCCCGACTCCCCCGCCATCCTAACCAAAATCCGGCAATTTCTGCCCGAGATAGTCCCCCAGAAATGGCACGCAGTCCCACTTCCCTCACCGCTGCATATCGACCTAGACTACGTGTATACCATCGATCGCGACAGCGGATATTTAACCGTGACTCAGTGGTGGGGTGGTCAGGAGGGGGGGGGTTGGGACGTCGTGTGCGGCGAGTTGCGTTGGATAGGATTCGGGATTGGGGATTGGGATTGGGATAGGATGAGGATGAGGATGAGGATGAGGATGAGGATGGGGGTGTGGAGAGTGTGGAGAGTGTACTTGAGGATTTTGTTGAGGGTGTCCCCTCCTCAGATATTGGGGAAGCAAATGTGTTGCGAAGAAAGGGAGGGCTGAAGGTCATATATTATCTGACCCCAATATAGCCAAGTTCGAGCCACCTACGTACTCCGTAGTCAGTCACGGTGAGCCATCAAATTGGAGATCATTGTGGACCCACTACGCAGATCACATGCCAGCCTGTGGACTTGGGTGTTCTTCAAGCACGGACCACAAATCAGGCACAGCCAATTGAACTGCGATCCGAATGTTGCATGTTGCAGGTTGCAGAAAGAAGTGGCCCCAGATCATGTTCCCCGAGCAACACGCAGGATCGAGACCCCGATGGAGACAATCCCCATCAGCTAAGCATTAGAAATCACAAACTTGCAAAATTATAATGCCTCTCACCAACTCCTCCAGTTGGCTAGATCGCTAACTGCGATCCTTCGCCCCTGATGACCTAATAATTAACTCATGCCCATATGACAATAGACGAATCCAGACAGCGAGCAACTCGTATATGGCCATGGCGTAAATCCCGACGCCGAGAAGACTTTGTGAACGTATGGAGTAGCGTAGTCACAGTCAAGATATCTCCGAGTGGATCTCCGAGTGGATCATCCAGCCAAGCTCGCGGACCGCAGCACTAGCAGCGACTATCCCGGATCCAGCCTGACGAGGATACGCACGCCTTGGACAATACGAGGCTGAATCCAGGCGCGCAGATTGTCATTCGTCGACTCAAATCCCAGGATCAACTAAGAGTTAGAAGGGCATCATCCTGCGGGGTGGAGTGGTTGAACGAACATCCGGGTTGGAGGGGTGAGGATATAAAGACTGCTGTTCTCGTCCGTTTGTTTGGTCTCGGTATCAGTGTTCAGTATCATTATCGGCTGCGCACTCGGACACATCTATCTATCCTGAAGATGAAGTCCTCTGTTCTCTCTGCTTTGGCGCTCGCCGTGGGCGCTCTGGCTGCTCCGTCGGCGAAGGTCGACGCCGAGCTGCAGAAGCGTGACGACACCGGCGCCTTCAGTCTGTATGCGTGGGGTGTTGCCGCATCGGGACTCAAGTTCTTCTATTCTGACGGTAAGTCCTCCCTCACCTTCCGAACTCTCCTCACTTACTAAACCAGAATACAGGCCTCGCATACGCCGGTGATTCCTCCCTGTGGCCTTATGGCTCCGTTACCACCGACGTCGACTGTCAGCAACCCCCCCCCCCCAAAAAAAAGGTTTCACCACTCACTAACCAACATCCAGTCCACCGGGTCGACGACGTGCTCGTAACTACCGCTACCACCACCGGCATCACGCTCGACTCCGACACCCTGTTCTATATCCGTCCCGTTGACGACGAAGTCCTGCCCGTTGGGTACACCGGCAACGGAATCGCCACGCCCGATGACGCCGTCACCACCGGGTTCCTCTTCTATGGCTCGTATCTGATGTGGGAAGAGTCGTCAGGCCAGCTGGCGGACGTTTTCCGTCTCAAGGAGACGAATGTCACTGGCGTTTACCAGGTTTATTGGGATCAGTCCAGTCTGGATTTGAGTGGGTACTCGTTCCCGAGTGTGTTGGATACGGCGCCTTGAGTGGGGGGTTGATTGGTGGTGGGCTGTGTGGTCCTAGCTTTGGGTGCGGTTGTGGGGGTCTTCCTGAGATGTGTAGCTGGATGTCTGCGGTGTGGGGGGTCCTGCTTAGCAGTGTGATTAGCGAATGCGAAGAGCAGATATGGTATATATTAGTGTTTAGTGTCCTGACACGTACCTTGTTTTCGTAGCCCGGGATGAATATTTTCTATCTTCAATGATAATCCCGATCGAAAGATGTGGTAAGGTGGGGTTGATTCTGTTGCAAGAGAGGGTGGACGCGAAGTCGCACATGTGCTGTTGAAGGCGACCACCACGTGCTACTCGCGTGTCACTCGTCAGCCTATTTCAGTCTGGTGCAATATGCACAAGATGCTGACTCACCACCTGAAAGATAACTATACATCAGTTATGTCGTGATTAGTACGGTTTCTGGAAATTGCTGGGTTTTCTGTTATCTAACTAGCACATGTTAATGTGGGTGAAAGTCATGTCTGGGTAGAGCGCTCAATTACAAAGCCCATCCTGTCAGAAGACATCTTAGCAAGTTTGAGCTCGAGGGCAATGAGAAAATAAGATGGAGTTTGCGATACGCGTCGGAAGTAGAGTCATATTATCATTCTGGATTATGTGCAGCATTGTAGTAGGAATATGATCCGAGAAAAACTGAAAGCAAAATACCCAAAGCAGGTGAACAAGAAAAACAACCGATCATTGGATATCTAGCAAGTAACCAAATAGAAACACCCGTCATGTCAAGACTGTACACATATTCATTTTCACGAGCCCTACATAAAGAGCGTCATCAAATCAGGCCCACTTTCCAAGCAGAGCCATGATACCAGCACCCCAGAGCATCGTGACGACCATGAAGGTCAGTCGCTTGTTGTCCTGGGTGCGGTGAGGGTCGAAGATAAAGTCCCGAGCCAAGAGCTCGACCAGACCGGTGTAGATCAGAATACCGGCCGAGACGGCGTCCAGGACTCCCGAGACCACGTTCGCGGTGTAGGAGCCCGAGTTGTAGGTGGTCCGCACGCCCAGGCCGATGGCGACCGAGATAGGGGTGGTCAGCCCGTACAGCGAGCAGAGGATCCACGGCAGCCAGCTGCCCTTGCGGAACGGGATCGCCGACATACGTGCGCCGATACCCAGACCCTCAAACGACTGGTGGAAGACCAGTACCGGGTAGAGAGTGGCGAACTCGCTGCCCGTGACACCCAGGTTCAGGCCGATGATCACGGAGTGGAAGATGACACCGAACTCGAGGATGAGGAAGGCGGCGATCTGTTGCTTGAAGGACATGTCGATCAGGGTATCGGTCGTCGAGAGCTGTTCGACATCTGTCTCATCCTTGCGCGGGCTGCCCGGCATCTCCTTGCTAGCGGTCTGGTTGTCGACGGAGCTGGTCATGATGGTCTCGGGGTCCTCTCTGCACACGTTGTATTTGACCTCGACGTAGCGCTCGGCCCCGAAGTCAAGAAGGAAGATGCACATGAGCGAGGTCAGGACGATGGCAGGGCACCAGGAGTAGATGGCCCAGGTACCGGTCATCCCGACACATGATTGCGGACCGATCTCGGAATAGGCGGGGTCGAGGAGATGGATGAAGGCGGTGGCAATGATGACACCGGCACCGAAGTAGCGGGCGAAGAGGTAGACGTAGAGGTTGATGTGGAGTCTGGGAACGCGTTTGGCGACGACGGGGAAGAAGGTGACGGCGGTTGAGACAATGAAGATGACGAAGATGGCCGAGACACGGGCACCCAGGTGACCATTGTAATCGTTAGAAGATTTGTTGAGATAGCAGACGACCTGGGCGGCGTCGGCCGTATCGAGGTCCACGTCCTTAGGGTTGAAAGACATCTTTGGGGGGATATTGAGGCAAAGAGTCTATTGAGCAGGGATGTAGAGAGAAGATGATTGGAACGCTCTGATCAATTTCTCTGTTGGGCACGTCGAGGCCATGGCCTTATATAACTGCGATGGTGAGTGGCAGAGATTTCCGGGTGAGGACCTTGAGAGCAGCCGGACGACAGGCTCCGACACTAACCCCGTAGCTCGCCTCTGGGTCGGACTCGTCCATTTTGGCTGCGTCGTTGCTTCTGCTAGTGTTGCTGGTTCGTGAAAGCAATGATCCATTCAAAGATCCAAGTAGTGCAGCTTCCCCATGCCGACATGGTGGTGGTGATAGACCGGACAGTATACGGCCTTGGGAGAGCCAAGGAAGGACAGTTCAGTCAGTCATGACCGTGCCGGGAGACAAACGTGACAGCGCCGACCACCCGAGAGGGGCAGGTGGGAAGTGGTTCCAGGGACCTTGGGGGAAGGCGGGCAGCCAACCAAGTCTCGCTCGGCACTAAGCGGCGCTAATCTACCTTGCGGGCGGCGGGGCGCCCCTCTTCTCGCCGCATCTTGACCACCGTCCCAACAGGTACTCATCCTCATCATCAGAACCGTGGAAATCCGGCAACATATGATCCAGACCGGATGGTACAGAGACCCTAGGGAGCACTGACCATTGACAGTGCAAATAATCCAGGGTCAGCGCGCAAGGTTTCACTGTTCCTGCCAAACACAACGTCCGTCGTCACCAGGCCAGCCCGATCGGGTGGAACAATCGATCGCGGCTGTCTCCGTTTTAGGTTCACAGCTCAGACCAAGCCGTCTCGATTCCAGGGGTCATTTATTTCTTTTACGACCTATCCATCTTTTCTTTACTAATAGAAATGCGATTAATCAGTGATGGGGGACATTGAGCTCACTAACGAACCAGCTACGGAGTACCTCGAGCGCGCACTCAGGCGGGTTGAATCTTCTTCCGCCCGATTGGGAAAAACACCACACCAAACTCGGGCATAAGGCAGCTCGTAGAGAGCTCAAACGCAGCATCAACATCTGTGAGTATCTGGAATACTTGCAACCTGTCAGATTCGGCAGCTTTTCTGGCATTCTCACACTCATAATAGCGCGTGCAGATCGCACGAACCCACGCCCCATCGACGACTGCCGAAGACGCATGCAATAGAGGTCCACCAGGTAGACCCCTAATATCTCCTCTGCTGAGAACTCTAGAATGACCTTCGGACCCTGTCATCTTAGTCACCATGCTTACATTGGGAGGAAAGTCCCGAGACGGAACTGGCCGACCGCGCGCAGCATGTAAGCGAACAAGGAGCATTTGGTGAATATCTAGTCGGACTAGCTCTCCTGATAATGCAGGGGGCTCGTTCCTTCAATTCTCGCTTGGTGTCATACGGGAGGGGCATGTCGGCGGGTTGAAGCAGACCAGAGACCATCGAAAATAATCGTACGAATCCGAACGTGGAGCAAGGAGATCAGAAGAAAGATAACCCAGCATCATCTTCCCACGTGGTGCTGCTATCCACGGTTGCACCGCATATGGGGCATGTGGCTTGCTCTACATCTGGTCTGCGCGTACTCGATGCAGGCACCATTGGAATATCCTTCTCTCTGCGTCATCGCTTACTGCGTGCTTCAGGCTAGGGTTTCCTCCAAAGGTCTTTCATTGAGTGTCGCGTCCCGTACATTTGACGGGCGATACTATGGAAAGACAACCATACAGCCATAACTTCATTATCATTCAAAACGCCCTCCTGACGCGCCATTCCATCCAGTTAACCAAGCAAAGCGTTCGAAATCGGTCATCCACACCCAAGACAGCCTGGTATCGGTGGAATCGGTCGAGACGGCCGGGGCACGTCTGTGTATATTTCACGAGGGATTCGGAACGACATGGTTTAGTGCTAATCGCGGTAGGTCAGATAAACGGTTTCTCAAGCTGGATACGAGTCAAGTCAAGGAATACTCACGCTGCAAGAAGAGCAAGAGCAGCTGGAGCAGTTGCCTTGGCAGCAGTTGCAGGAGCAGGGAGACATATTGGCTGGGATTGGTATGAACCGGTGAAGGCGATACAAAAAGTAATTTAGAGGCTGGAAAGCTGGATGGTTTGCTTGGAGACTGGTGAGGGCTGGTGATGGAAAACTCCAAGTTACCCGGAAAGATGGCCCTATTTATGTCTTTCCGGAGCGGACTGTTCCACGCGCGGGGTCAATTCCTGCGGTACTCGGCGGCTACGGTCATCCCACGGTGCTGGCGGTACCCCTCCTCGGGTGGGGGAGGCAGCTGGACGGCGAGTTACCTAACGCGTAGTGTTTCCTGCTCGTAGGTAGCCAAGTCATGGAACTGGCTGCGTAGCGTTGCCTGACTTCCCATTCTCCCCCCCCCACCCCACCGGATGGACCAAGAGCACGCTAAACTGCAAGGCTGCTGTCTGCCCTAGTCGTGGCTGGATAAGTGATCATCAACCTCCTTCGTTCCCCTCATGATGGAAACACAACTCCATATCGAGAGGTGACACCCTCCGCGACCCAGGAGGAGCGAAAATCGAAGCAAAATAGTGCGAACGGGCTCAGGGTCGGGGGCCTTATTAAATCGGAAAACGAGCACCTTGAGAGCCTGAGCACCTTGGGGGCACTCACGTGTGCGGCCGTCACCCAAGGTCCTCGAACTGCGACCATCTCTGCTGCGCTTCCCCTACGCCTGCAAATGTCTGCCACGCACTTGTCTACGAGCGACCACAGCGTCCCATCTTCACTAGTGCAGGTAGGTAGGACTTTTCGCCCTCGAGATTGGCATGATCTAGCTCCAAATGTGGATAGCATGATGGTCACTCGACCAGCAGCAGGCTCCGTCCATCCACTCTATCCACTACGAAGCACCCTGCCCGTGTCATGATCCAACAGACACCAACAACGCATTCGTCGCCGTGGGAGGTCGGCCATCGCTTGGAACCCTTGCCCCCACCCATCGAATGACACCCGACTTACGGCTCACGAGGGCCGGAGCACGGTGCGTGTTCGTTTCTTTTTCTCCTGATCGGGACAAGACAGCATACTTCCCAATCGCCCGATTCGCTCTACCTACCAATCGGGACACCGAACGACCTCGGTACAATCAGCCTTAGGTCCCTTGTGGTAAAGATATTCGAAGTCATACGGTCCATTGTTCCGCCCCCCGTCGCACTCCTTTACACGGATCCAGAGTATGGAGTACCTCCTGAGGCATTACACCCCCACGGTGAGAGGACCCGGATGCTTCGGAGATTATCCCAGACCAATACACCTTTCTCGCGCTGCCATGGGAGAGGAGGGAAGGGGAGGGGCAGTTACTATATCCGCCTGCGATATCAAGGATGTGCGTGGCAGAAACTGACTCGGCCCGGTGGACCAGACCCGTGTGGCTTGCATCTGCCGGTCTGCGTTGGCGGAAGAGTGGAAAGTGCAGGATTGGTTGCGTTTCCTCGCTGCATTAGTTCAGTAAGGGACGTCCAATCTTATGTTTCTGGGCTGGCTCGCTGCTGTGCGTACCTACATGCGGTGCGGCACAATCGCATTGACTTCCTATTGAAAATTCGAATCTTTTCTTCTCAGGAACATACTTTGCCGACTCCGGATAATGTTTAGGATACTCTTACATTTTACAAGTCAATGGGTGGATGGGTGTGTGATGTTTCTCGAGGACGGGTGGGTATATCTGGCCCGGGGGGTTATCCCTGGCCTTGACGGAGACGCTAAGCTGAAGATCCTCGCTATGACCCCTTATGATCGATTGATTGACTGATTGATTGACCATTGCGTTATACCCGATTAAAGCACTCTTGTAGCACTCCTGCGAAGTGGCCAAGAGCCCAATGGCCATAACTGATAGTAGTTTATATATTTGAGATCCAACGGCGATCCTCATTTTCCCTCCACCTATGACCCCGAAGGTCGATGAAGTTCTTAGGAGAGTCCTAGTTTTCGATCCTTCACCTTCGTCAACGGTCTGGTTAAAGGGATGTCTTCAGTACCTACTTTATCACTTCCATCTCTGTTTTTGTACTGTAACCGTATTTCATATATGCGGTGTTCCCTGTCTAATTATCTATTACAAACAGTCTCAGATTACACTTTCTCAACCGGGCTCTCTCCAGAGTATGTCACAGCAGAACAGATATCCGTCGTACTAGCATCGATGGTACCTGAGAACTATACCCTTGCTCTATTGTATTCTATCTGCATTTCCAGTCGACTTTCTATTTGTAATCCAACTACATGGACCAAGCCGTCTGTCCGTTCTGTCGATTCAAGCCCTCTGATTGGCCGTTTCATAAAAGTTGCGATTTAAAAGCCTCTGATTGGCTGGCTCTGGCCTTATTACGTCTGTCCACAGCATTTGCGCACCCTGTTGAAGTTCCTCCTTTTTAATCTTGTCCCGGACCAGGCAACACGGCTGCCTCGACACGTGTAGAACAAAGGTGCGTACTACTCGGACTTTAGAATGCACGTGTAGCGAATTTGATATGCCTGCCGGCGTCACTGAGGCAAACGTCACGTGGTTATCAGCGTACGTGATGACTAAGGTAGATATGACATCACATTTTACTGAAGGAGGCCAATCAGAGGCCAAGTCACCCCCCAGATTTCTGCCTCCGCACTAAGTATGTATAAGTATATCGACAGCAGCACAAGAGGGGCATGTATCCCTGTGAGAATAATCTCATGGGTTCCTCCAGCAGCATGTGTCCTGAGTCATAACTCTTCATGCTCAGTCAGCACTCTTGCCTCGACATGATGCTTACAAACACCAGCTCTTGAATATGTATGTCAGCATATACGGGCTTCTGTGCCACACTCATGGCTGATGCATTCACAGCTCCCCATACAGTAGGTGACACTAAGATGTCACGTACACGTCAGGTCTCCCATACAGAAATTTCTGTTCGATGTTTCTGCAAAACGAGGCTGGGGCAGACTGATATAACTGCAAACAAAACAAGCCCATGCTGCTACGCCGTACATGGAACTCCAAGGATGCTGTCCGTCCATGTTTTCTTTTCGCGTGCTTGAGAAAGCTATCCCGCCACCTTCGGTATCGGAAGTCTGCTGCGGTCAAAGGAGAGCTCTCCACCCGGGTCTCTCTCCCCCAGGCCGATTGGAAAATGACCCTCACCAGGGAGGGAACTCGGCTGATAATCTGGATCAGCGTTTTCACGTTCCTCACCACCCTGGTGCTCGGATTCCGGCTTTGGGCCATCCGTCTCCTCAAGAAGCGGCTTCAAATCCAGGATGTCTTGGTTTCCATAGCCTATGTGAGTATGTCTTGACGTAGAAACAATCATCAGTCCCAACACACCTCACCAAGTTCTACAGATTAGCACCTGTTCACTTTCCGGACTGGCCTGCTGGACAATCACCCACGGACTCGGAAGACGCACAAGCGACCTCACAGCCACCGAAGCCTCCCTGCAGCACCAGGTAAGAACCTCCTCCCCAGTCAAGTGCACACCATTGAAACTCTCACATCGGCAATGGGGCAGCTCATTGTAGCCGCCGCCGTGACCTCCCTGGTCGGCACAGTCGGGTGCAAACTCTCCATGCTCGCCTTGTACAGCTCCCTCTTCCACGCCTACCGGTTCATGTGCATCCTCATCTGGCTCTCAACCGCTTTCATCCTCGCCTACTTCATCACCTTCCTGTGTCTGAACCTCACCCAATGCCAACCACTCTCCCACCACTGGAACCCGGCCCCGAACGACTGGTGTCGTCCCTTGCAGATAGAAGATCTCCTCCTCACCGGCCTGAATATCTTCATCGATACCCTCATCGCTGTCCTCCCCACCCCGGTCATCTGGACTCTCCAGATGTCCTCTCGCAATAGGTGGATGGTCAGTTCGATGTTCGGCATGGGCTTGATGTAAGTCCTCCCTCCGCCACCCCTCCCTCCCTCTTCCTTCTCGGCTTTCCCCACCGCTGAAACCCCATCTATCCTGACACTGACACCTCCCCAACCACCCAGAGTTGTAGCCATCATGGCCTGGCGTCTCCAAGTCACAGCCAACATGTTCAAGACCCGCAACCTGGGCCACTACTTCACCCTACCCGTCCTGCTCGTCCTGCTCGAGCTCTGGCTGAGCATCATCATCGTCAGCATCCCCTCCCTCGTGCCTTTCATCCGACACTTCACCAGCCCGAGGCTTGGACACAATTCATCGCCGATCCTGCGTCGGGCTCATTACGTGCTCAGTCATCGGTCCAGGCGTCGTCGAGGGCCGGGTAATGTCTGGGAGATGGAGATGGATGAGAGCTTGACGAGGACGGCAGCTGCACTTGGGGACGTGGAGGATGCGGGGTCTTCGACGTTGGTGAATAAGATTCCGGAGGATGAGACACACCCTGGGTCGAAGGTTTCGCGCGAGGACCTTTCGCGTCCGGTCTCGATGGTGGGGTGAAGTGGAGCTGTGCGGAGTGAGTGAGTGGACTTCTTGGATATAGGCATAGGTATAGGGAAAGGGGCTTTTGGGAGGGGAGGGGTATATAAGAGAGGTGTGAAGTGAAATGAGTGCTCACCGTCTTGGGAGGTTAATTTGTGCGTTGTGCTATATATATTCATCTATGTATTGCCGATTCGTGGCTAACCCACCCTCGCACATGTTATTCTTCTCTAGCCCAGAATCTGTATGGCGGGAAGAAAACTAAAACCATCTGGACTTACAGGACTATTCTCACAGAAGAGCTTCGAGAACGAGTGGTCGCACAGTTCAAAAGCTGAACTGCCAGACCCGTCATGTGACTGCCGCTGAGTCCGATGCATGCCTTTTCTTTTTCTTCTTCTTCTTCTTCTTCTTCTTCTTCTTCTTCCCAACAAACAACCAAGCTAGCCACGGAGCCACTACACAACAAAGTCTCATCTCCCCTACGCTGTCCATCATATAAGAACATCCATCATATTGAAAGACCACTAACACATCTACCTGTATTTTAGAACTTGACCTTCCAGCGCCACCCCCCAGCGACGCCCCTAGCAACCACAAACGCCACACACGCCGCCAAATACAAAACGCCCCCAAAGATAATCAGCCCCCAGAAGGCCCCCCCATCATGCTCCTGAATAGCCCCGGCAATCGGAATCGCCGTGAGGGTCCCGAAGCTGACCAGCGTGAAGGTCGTGCCGTTTCTCTTCCCGATATCCTCCGTGCGACAGACCTGGGCAATACACACGGGGGTCAAGCTGATAGCCGCGCCGCTCCAGAACCCGAACAGCACGGCATACGAGATAATCGCCGCGTCGCTAGTGCCGGCGTTATACCACAGCGCCAGGGTCATGATCGCGCAGACGAGCGCCGTCAGCGCCATGACGTTGAACCGCCCGATCCGGTCGGCCAGAAGCCCCGGGAAGGCCCGGCCTGGGATGGCGCCGACGTTGAGGAAGATGCAGAGCTTGTAGGACAGGGACACGCCGATGTTGGCGTATATCCCGTACGAGCAGATGTAGGTGTACGGGACGAAGACGGCGAATTCGACCAGCCAGACGGCGAGCGTGGTGAACGCGTAGTTGGGTTCTCGGAGCGCCTGGAGGTCGACTGCTATCCGGCCCGTTTGGTCGGGTTTCAGCCGGGTCTTGAGCAGGATGCATGCGAGTCCGCACATCACGAAACAGATGATTCCGATGACTCGCAGGGCCCAGGCGAAGCCGAGGGTCGGCCCGATGTAGATGATGATCAGTGGGAAGAATACGCCCCCCAGTCCCCCGGCTGTGCAGGCGATTCCGGTCGCGATGCCCCGCCGGATGTTGAACCAGTGACCGATGGCGGAGATGGCGGGCGTGAAGAGGCAGCAGGAGGAGATGCCGCCGAGCACGCTGAAGGAGAGCATGATTTGGTAGTATTCTTTGCGGGTTAGTGGGTCTGCCATGAGCTGGAGGGGTGCGTGGCTTACCGGTGCTTGCGCTGAAGCAGAAAATGGCGATTATGATCCCGATGGACCCTGGGACTACCACTGGGAGAGGTCCATGGGTGTCGAAGATCGGACCTGTCGAGTCAAACGCATCAGTTTCAAGATTACGCGCGGCCGATGATGTTCGTGGAAGACAACATACCCACTTGGGCCCCTCCGAAGTACAGAAAAAAGCTGAAGACGCCGAAGATCCACCCCACGCTGGAGTCGGAATAGCTTGCGAGTTGATGTGTTGATGTCCAGGCATGGAGCACGGAGACGGTATTCAGCAGTCCCATGGATGGTATCATGGCGCACCATGACCCAAGAACAACCAGCCAGGCGCGAAGCCCTCCCTCTGGATATTTCTCGTCAATCGAGTTATCTTGCTCCTCGACTTCCATAACTTGTGAGACGGCCTTCTCCAGGGCTAATTGTGTCCCTTGGTCGTCGCTGTGGATATGTGCCTCGATATCAGCCATTCTGTGAGTCAGTGGCTTGCTGTCGGAGATAGGGCCACTCGACTAGGAAGATATTTCTACCCTCCCCGTCAGGTAGGTTGTTGCTGGTCGCTGACAAAAGATGAAACAGATTCGGAGATCAACGCATGCTTTTGCATCAATGACTCTCCGGGACAATATATGATGAGGAAGTGGATCAGAGAAGCAAGAAGCACGGCCGCTCGACTGGTTTCACGCTGGCCATCGGGTATCCGAGCATCGATGCGCTGCAGAAAAAACCTCGGATGGTGGAGATCCGTGGTGGTTTGGGCTCCCTGATTGGCGGAACCGCCCCTGGTTCGGCGACCGGCAGGGATCGGGCCCGCCATATCGGGTTCCTTCTGGGAAATGGATGACAGGCTAGCACTGGCAGGCTGCCTTAGGGCTGGGTCCGGCGGCCCCATCTGCAACCTGGAGGTTGCCCAAAGGGATCACTATCAGCAGGAAAACGGACGCTCACCTTTGCCCGCAGGTGGCTCTATGCCTTGGTTTTTGATGGATCAACTGTGTGGGATGTGCCTGCCGAAGAGACAGGGCAGCCGCCTGCACTCCTGCCTGAACGGCTGCTAAGACGCGCCTTTTCCGAGACAGATGACATTTCTGTCAAGCTCTTCGTCAACCAGGGATCGAAAAACGGTTCCCGGTTCAAAACATGGTCGGTGACGCATAGCTTCCCAGCGCCTTCTGCAGCAGACTGTACTCTGGTTCGCATCCGAAGGTGGCTCGAAACCAGTCATTGGAGCAAGCCACGAGCCTGTTTGTTAGCCATGCCGTCAGAATACCCATTGTATGTGAAATGGGTGGTTTTGCTATTGGTATCTTTCACGGGGGGGCGTTTTAAACGCAACCCACCCGAGACATTTCCACTGCAGGCTGGGTGGCGGCCGATCAAAACCTTGAACTGTCGGCTCCAGGTTTTCGCGAGGTCTCCCAGGCCCATGCTGCGGTGATAGCACGTCTATAGGGCATCCCAGTCCCTGAAACCTGGTCTGGCTGTGAAAACGCTCGCTCTACTTTCTTTCGCCCGTTGCAGGTCATCGCTTACGCCGAGCTGCGAAAGCTAGATGGCAGGCACACTCCGACAGTATTCCGACCCTGTATTTGGAATTTTTACGTACTCAAAGTAGAGGACCTTGGCCAAACGCCTTTGTAAAAAGCCATAATGGCTGGACTCGGGGAACAGTCGAAACCTTCACATGATATGGTTGCGGCAATCGTCTTGCTCCTTAGTCTTTCAGAAACCATGCTGATCGCTCTCATGTGTAGCAAGAGCAGATATCCCCCTCTCCCCCTCGATAAGGGTGAACCTAGGGTCCTGTCCATTTAGAGATCCCGAAGCATTCAGCCTGATCAAACTAGGGATCAGCGAGATGTACAGAATCCCACTTGCCACGTTGTACTGGTAGCATGAGAAACCCTCGCCCATCCCCTAGTGCTACATATGGTCTCATTAGATGATGGACACCTTCCATAGCAAGGAGGAGACGGATTATTCCGTCTCATACTGGGAGAAGTAACCGCTTGAAGGGTCTCCGTAGTGGGAAAATCTGGGCCCGAGCGTCACTTGTGATAGGCTTCTTCCATGCTTACCTCTCCTTGTATGGGGCTGCAGCGGAGGTTGGTACTGCTAGCTGCTAAGATCAGCACGGTGCTACGGGGGTTCCCACAGCCCTTGAGGGCATATTATGTTTCTGCATCGAGCGTGGCCGGAAGTCATTACCGATTGGACAGGCATGTGGGTCTTTTCATCTGCTCTGAGCCAAATCCCATGTTTACTCAAGTCGGAGGGCACGAGTGACTTCATGGTTCTGGGATAGCTGATGAGGTAAGCTGTGCTTTTCCACGGTCTGCCGGTCCCCTAAGCCCTCCTGCCTCTTCGGGGAGTCTTTCGATTCCTTCGGCCTTTGAAGCAGGAAACACGAGAGAGGTTGCGCAATGCTCCCCGTTGCATGGGGGTGCGTGGTCACTCTCGGGTATCTATAAAGACGCAGGCAATGTCGACGGATGAGAGGTGCGAAAGTCATCTATCTGCTGGCCTGGTGGAGCTCTTAATTGAATTCTAGTCGTGCTTTCTTATCAACTACAAGACGTCTTGAGAAATGCTTTGTTGCTCTTACATACCTGCCATTCTATCGATACCCTGAAAGTTCCAACTATGGCTCAGATTCAAAGAATTCCCCACTCCCATCTGATGGAGACAGATCATTTTTCCAGTGAGCTGGTCCTTTTCCACCCCTTCCATGTATTTCTGGGCGCAGAAGCTGACTTATCAGGCCGAAAACATAGCAATCATCTTGCTCCATTGCCGGGTCCGGACGAAGTGCTGGTCCACTTGAAGTTTTCCGGCCTCTGCCACTCTTCTCTTCACACATGGAAAGGTGTGTCCGGTCCAAGCTAGACACTCCATCCCCAGTTCTAAATGGATCAGGAAACGCGTCAACGAAGAAACGACAGAACCTTATCGGTGAGCAGACCTACATCCAGTGGTATTGTCTCTGGTATACTGACTGTACTACCAAGATGGCCATGAAGGAGTCGGTATTGTTGCCGTTGTCGGAAAGGAGGTGAATGATATTAAGTCCGGCGATCACGTCGGAGTCCAGGTACCTTTTACCATTGCCCTCTTCTCCCTATCCTTGCTAATGGCCCGCAAGTGGATTAATGCGACCTGTGGAGTCTGTGACGCAGATAAAAAATCGGACTATCTATCGTGCCCGCATGCCCGGATTACCGGATACTCGGTCGATGGGACCTTTGGAGACTATTGCATCAGTCAAGCACGCCATGTCGTGCGTATCCCGAAACAGTATCCCATGGATACAGTAGCCCCGGTAGGACCGTTGCTTCTGCAAAACATGATGAATCCTGGCTAATTCCAATCAGATTATCTGCGCTGGAACTACGTGTTTCAGAGCTGTGCAGGAAAGCGGTGCTCAAGCGGGCAATATTGTGGGTATGTCGCATTCTCCAGCAAGCAGGCAGTGACGATGTGCTAACATGAGAAGCTGTTGTCGGACCCGGGGGCGGCATTGGCTCGCTAGCATGCCAATATGCCAGGGCCCGCGGTTGCCGCGTCCTAGCCATTTCGACCGGCGAGGATAGTAAGCGGATGTACAAGGAAAAGATCGGTGTGGACTTCTACGTGGATTATGAGCGATCGAATAATGTTAGCCTTGAAGTTCAAACAATCACCGGCGGTGGTCCCGATGTTGCTCTCCTGATCGAGAGTACGGATACACTCCTCAAGGAGGCACTTCAGGTCAGTTTTGAACTGCGCTTAATGCAAAGTCACATCTGACCGAAATCAGTATATCCGATCCAGAGGGACCGTTGTTGTCGTGGGGTTGCCACCAGGAACCACGGTTGATGTTGAGTTATCGAACCTGATGTCACGGATGGCTCACATCAAGGCTGCTTCTTACGGGGGAACTCGAGAGCAAATAGAAGAGGCTATTCACATATTTGTGAAGGACAGGTTTTATCAGCCATCACATGTGCTGGACCTTCATCAACTCCCTGAAGTCCTCAAAAGCATACAGAGATACGATCCGAAGAAGATGTCCGCCGAGGAAGCCTTGAGATACGGCGTTCAGCTGCTTGGAGAAGCAATCGTCAAGATCCCGAACACGGAAATTACTTCCATCGTTCAAAAGCCTGTTCACCCGCCCAATCCTCAGCCAACCTTCTACCAGAAAGAGTATAATATTGGCACTTATCTGGCCTACCGGATAGAGGAGCTGGGGATCCGCGACTATTTCGTTGTTCCAGGTAAGCGATCTGACCCTTCCTCTCCAGCACAATCTGACGTTTTCAGGCGATTCCAATCTGGTTCTTTTGGACAACTTGCTCAGAAACCCAAACATTCAAATGGTGGGGTGCTGCAACGAGCTAAACGCCGGCTATGCGGCAGATGGGTATGCTCGTAACTCGGCCACCAAGGTCGCAGTTGTCGTGGTGCCTTATATTGTTGGCAGTTTATCGATTCTCAATGCGATATCGGGCGCCTGTTCCCAGAAGCTGAGGGTAATTGTGCTCGCCGGGTGCCCAAGCACTAACTTGCTTGCCAGTGACAAGTTCTTGCACCACGCCCCTACCTCATCCAACAGAGACCAAGGTCTTCATGCCTACCAGGGAGTCACCGCTGCATCTGTCCGGCTCGAGTCTGCAGAGACTGCCGCTGATGTTATGGATGACACAATAGTCAAATGTCTTGAATCGTCCCTCCCTGTCTACATTGAAGTTCCCAATGACCTTGTCAGCGCTACGTGCGTTAAACCATCGCCATTGAAAAGAAAACTAGACACTTCCTGTCAGCCGGGGTTTATAGAGGAGGCTTTGGAAGCAATCACCGACCTTTGGAGCTCCTCTAGCAAGCCTGTCCTTCTGCTCGGGAGCCTTGCGCGTCGGTGTCTCTCGCATGACCAGATCGAGCTTCTTGCAGACAAGCTCGGTTGTGCCGTACTCTGTCAGCCAGATGGGCGCTGCATGACCGAATGCCATCCGCAATACTGCGGCCAGTTCTGGTCCGGCATGACGAATGCAGAGGGCGAGCGCGTTGTCATGAACTCGGATCTTTGGCTCGTTATAGGTGGCAACTGGTCTGATCTTCATGCCCTTTTAATCGACATCAATCAAGAAAGACACCGCATGATCAGCGTGGATAAGGAGTGGGTCGAGCTCCCTGGCGGCAAATGCATCGAGCCAGTGGATATCTCTACGTTAGTGTCGCGGCTCATCCAGTCCGGTATGGACTCGAAGAGTCTGTCTGTCCCCCGACCCAAGCCAGTCCTGGGGGCACCAACCCTGGATGGGCCTGAGATTCCAGACGCACCGGTGACGATCAAAAGCGCCATGACTGGTATTCAGAAGCTCCTCAAGGAGTACGACACGTTGATCTGCGACGCGGGCGAGTCTTGGTTTATCGCAAACCATATTCTGCTTCCCCCTGGTGCAGACTGTCAGATGCAGTTCCCATACTGCTCAATTGGATGGGGATTACCAGCTGGTTTGGGCTCTCAGCTCGCTCGCACGCAGGGCAGAGCGGTCATTATGATCGGCGATGGAGGCTTCCAAATGACAGCACAGGAGCTCAGTACGATGATTCGTCGGAAGGCCAATCCCATAGTACTGGTTTTCAACAATCTTGGGTATAAGATCGAGGTGAGTAGACAATCGACTAAACATCATGAGAGACCTCGCTTACCGTGAGACAGACTGCCGTGCATGAGGGACCGTACAACTACATTGCCAACTGGGACTACACCAAACTAGCCACCTCCTTTTCCACCCCGGCTCATGCTTCCTCCCATAACCCCTATGCCAGAAAGACGGATGAGGTCTTGGAGGCCGAACCAGCCATGTTCGCGAGGAAGATCAAGACACAGGGTGAGCTCGCACAAGCTCTCCAGAGAGCTGAAGAAGAGCCCGACAAGCTCGCTTTCCTGGAGCTATGCACTCAGCCGGACGACTTGACGGACGAGCTCCAGCATCTTGGCAGCATGGTTTCGAAGACATACACCGAACAACCTACCGAGTCCTTCGACTCCTCCACCAACGAGACACCCAGTGAGCCAACTCCCAAGAGCGAGCCCATCAACGGTTCCGCCAACGGTCATACCAATGGCACGACTGAACCACCCCCAAACGCGTTAGAGAAAACCCGCCCCAAGCGTCCAAAGAAGCACTGGACACCCAAGCCCAACGAGACAAACGAAGTCCACTACCAAAGCGGCCTCAACGCGTCCCGGATCAAGATAACCCTCTCCACCGAACGCAAGCCTATACCAGCGCCAGACGCTCCAGAAGTCCTCGCCCACAAAGCATGCACCGACCACATGATCTCCGCACGATGGACAGCAGAAAGCGGCTGGGGAAACCCAACCCTCATTCCATACCGACCGCTCGCGCTGGCCCCCATAGCTAGCACGCTCCACTACGCGACACAATGCTTCGAAGGCATGAAAGTCTACCGTGGCTACGATGGCAAACTGCGCCTCTTCCGCCCGACCCTCAACTGCGCCCGCATGCTGTCCTCCTCCGAACGCATCGGCCTCCCCCGCTTCAACCCGGACGAACTGCACCGCCTCATTCACAAGCTCTGCGCCGTCGAAGGCCCCAGATGGCTCTCCGCCGACCGCGGCGGCGAATGCATGTACATCCGGCCCACGCTGGTCGGCACAGGCGAGGGCCTCGGCCTCGCCGCCCCCCCAGAAGCCCACCTCTACATCGTCCTCTCCTACTGGCCCAGCCCCACCCCCTCCCCCTCTCCCAAGCAAGAAAAGACCCTCCGCCTTTGGTGCAGCACCGACGACATGGTGCGCGCCTGGCCCGGCGGCACCGGCAACGTCAAGGTCGGCGCAAACTACGGGCCCTCCCTCTACGGACATCAAAAAGCCCTCGAAGCCGGCTACGACCAAGTCCTGTGGCTCTTTGGCCCAGATCGCCAGATCACCGAAGCCGGCGCCACCAACTTCTTCATCATCTGGGAATCCCCTGACGACGGTCACCTTCAGCTCATCACCTCCCCGCTCGAAGACAACATCACTCTCCCCGGTATCACCCGACGCAGTATCCTTGAGCTGGCGCGGGAAAGACTCTCCGATGCCCCGCTGCAGGTGAACATGGATGATGGATCTAGTCGCATTGTCGAGCCGTTGGAGGTCGTCGAGGAGAGGTTCACCATCCATGATGTGGTGAATGCCGCGGAGGAGGGACGACTCCGTGGTGCGTTTTCGTCCGGCACGGCGTTCTTTATTGTCCCGGTGTCTTGTGTGAAGTTTCAGGACACGGAGGTACGTGTTCCTGTTGATGATGTCCCGTACGCGGCTGTCTTGAGGCAGTGGATGGCGGATATTGTTTACGGGAAGAAGGAGTCTCGATGGACGGAGGTTGTGGAGGAGTAGAGTTGAGTAGAGTAGAGTAGATGGGGTGGTTGGGACTGTTTTGATATGATAGATGATAGACTTGTTAGTTAGTTTTGAATTAAATTTTGGTTCTTGGATTTGACTTCTCTTTTCGTGGTTTTTTTTTTTTTTTTTTTTTTCTGGTGGTGGTTTCTCGTGATGCTTCTTTTGTAGTCTCTCTTGGTGGTTCTCATGGTGGTTCTCATGATCCTTTCTGATGGGGGTTTTCCATGGAAGTCTCCGATGGTAAGATATCAGTAGTTTTCGCAAACAAAGTCACTTGCCTACAAAGCTATCTAGACACCCCCAGGTCTGGAAGCGTCAGTCTATATCTCCTCATAGATCCCCCCGAAACCCTTTCTGTTTTTTTCTTGCAATTTCGAATGGTGCCTGATTCCCAGACCTACCGGATGGATGGTCTAATACTTTATTCTGTTTTGTTTTGTTTTGTTTTGTTTTGTTTGCTTTATTTTGCCTTATTTTGCTTTATTTTGCTTTGCGATTTGACGTCACTCACCGGATTCCCAGGATATCTACAGTACTGGATGCAAGCACGGTTTCATAGGACTGTCTGGATGTAATTAGGAATGACAAAACCATGTGTACCAATTCGTGTCTTCCGTATTGCTGTAAGCCCGCAGTGGAAGAATAACTTCTTTGTAGTTAGTAGTTGTACAGCCTTGTCCATCTCCCACCTCCTGAAAACACACAAAGACCCACAATAAAGCCAATCCTCACCTCCGCATCACCACAATGAGTTTTTTCCAGTAAATTTATTCCTCTCAATCAAGTGGCCTCGCCTCATTATACCCGCGCAACAACACCCTCATCCTCACACCATGGCAAGCCAGACAGACCCACCAAGCCGCAAACCGCCTCCGTGTTGGTCGGGCATAAGCCACTACCGGGCCGTCCCCACATAAACAGTTGTCCCTGTGGCCAAGTGGTTAAGGCATAGTGCTTATGGGTTTCTCATACAGGAATCACTGAGATCGGCGGTTCGACCCCGCCCAGGGACAATCTTATTTTGGAGTTTGATTTTTTTTACATCCATCTTCTACTTACTTTTACTTACCTACTCTATCGAATGAATCCACGGCGGGGGGTGTCTTTTATTTCTTGCAGGAGGGGTTTTGGATAGCTGGGCTTTGTGTGTGTGAGAGAGAGATATATAATAAATATGCAGGAGTGCTGGAGATTAATTAATTGGTTCTGTTTCAGCGATGGATGGATGGCTGATAGTTACTATTGTTCTTCTGTCTGGGGTTGTTGGTTGTCTGTGGGTAGCCGACCGAGGCGGAGGCAGGCAGCCAACCAACCAACCGCCCTTCAGGTCAAGAAAGAAAGAAGGCTTGGCGTTTTTGGTGCAATCGGTGGTACGCACGTTTGGGATCTTGTCTATGTGACGGGATCGTCATGGTCGACAGGTCCTGTCCGGAGTACTGTGTACTATGATGGAAGGATGTAGTAATAAATTGATTAAATACCCTTTACAAATTATGTATTGGTTGTGTTGTGGTTTGTTTTTTTTTTTCATGCTGCGTAGTACTACTAGTCAGGGATGCCAAAGCCCTAACTAACTAAGTTCTTGGATATATATATATATGTTGATGATGGTATGTTTGGGTTGTGACTTGTTAAGCATTACCTCCCATGTGAAAAAAAAATATTAATCATAATAATAATATATAGTTCGACGCAGATTATGGATTTGCGAGTTGGGGAAAATCCGGGCTTTTGTGTTACCCCCCCCCCCCCCCCCCGGTTTCATGATGATTGGCAGGAAAGGCCGGTTCTTTGGCGCGCTCAAGGATAACCAGATCTGTGCAGCAGACTGGTGTTTCTAATATAGACCAGACAGTCAGGTTGATCTGACTATTTTGATTTCCAGAGGTTTCGGACTATCAGCGATTGCTCGATCGCTCGAGTTAAATAACCTTGGGGAATTCAAAATCTAATTGCATGCCAATTGCATGCCAGCTCCAACAACTACCGGCAGGCATCCGGCCATGCAGCTCGTTCTAATACTGCGAGGGCGATCATTGGCTACAGACAGACAGTGATATCTGCAATACACAGTACAATATTGATATATATCTGAGGTGAGTCACTGCAGATAATCGGAGAATTCTACCTATCATGTAATATATATGTAGCCAGCAAACCCCACTGGGAAGCACGCGACGCCATCATCGATCTGGTCGTGTCACACTTGACACATCGATTTAGTAGGTACAGATATGTATAGGTAACTCGATTCATTGTAACAGCACCACCCTGCTGCTGCTGCTCTCCATCACTTTCTTCCCCCGCTCTCTCCAGTCCGGACCTCCCTCCCCGCCGCGCCCCCCCCTCTTCTTCCACGAATCCGCATTCAAGTCCAGCGCCACTTCTAGCTCTGAGCGCGGTCCAGTTCCCGGGCTCCCCAGCAATCAGCAGGCCCGTGGCGGCGGTATCGACTCCATGCCCCCCTTCCCAGATATGGGTGCCATCCCGGGCGGATTTAAGCACCCCCCATCCTTTGTCATATATCTAGTATACTCAATGCTAACAATCTCCGACACAAAACAGACAGCTCTTCTACGCCTCCATTCAATACTCCGCCTGCAAGATCAACACCTTCATCCCCCGACCCCTCCTTCTCCAGTCCCACCCCAAACTATAACCCTCCGATCGTACGATGTCTTCGCCCAACAAATCATCTCGCCTATCAGCTGGGAGTTTAAGTTCGGGGGGAGTGGGGGTGAGATAAGGTTTTGGTGGTGGAGGGATTAATAATGGAAATAAGACGATGGGGGGGGGGTTACCTTAGGGGATAAGATTGTACATCATACCTTGTATGGTATACTGGGATTAGAAGAAATAGAATACGGGTGAAACTAGAACAGACTATGAAAGCAGTAGAATGTAAATCTAGAACCGGACATTAGAAAGCACTGCATTTAAAAGCACAGGCCTAGAACCAAGGATTAGAAAGCCCGAGCGATTGACTAGCAGGATGGCATTACTACTACTATTCCTGATTGTTTGTCGGTGTGATGTGATGGAGCTTGGCGGCTGCAGGACCAAGACCCCCGCCCGCTTGGCGCGTGGGCGGGTGGTCTGTAAGGGACAACATTTATCAAGAGCCACCAGTACACAACATCTCCTACTAAATCAATAAGCAGTGTAGCAGTGTACTTACTAGTAGTGGCATTTATTAATGGATGGGGGTGTCAGACCAATCGCAGACGGGAATGGTCATCGTGCATTGAACCCTGGGCAATCATACTTTCCGTTCCGTTACCGGACTGAGACACAATGCTCGATCGGGACGTGAAACATGCAGCGCGTCAAGAGCGTCACGTCATGGGGATCGGCGATGGTTCTTGGCCCAGCCCCTCCGCCCACTCAGCGCCCGTCCCGGCCCGCCAAGCCTGCACTGGCGGGGGGCGACGCCAATGAGCGCGACTCGATTAGCGGTATTTTTCGCGTACCTGACGGTCTGACCAGGTCAGGGTTTCCAGATGCTCTTCCTAGTCCTATTCCTACATCCTAATGTAGGTGGGCTGTGAAGTACTCCGTCGTGGTGGTGGTGGTGGTGGTGGTGGGATAGTCCAAGCTAGCAAGGCATGCCGGGACTGGACATTCCCTGCCATGCATCCTAACCCCCCCCCTGTCCACCTGCATTCGCAGTCCTTATTCGCAGTCCTGTCTCATCCATCCCTCCTATATAACCCACCTCCCCCTCCCCCCTCTCTCCCCTCTCTCTTCCTCTCCAATTGCTCCGTCCGACCAAGTCTCCCCGACCATGCGTCCCATCGGTCTCCTCGGCCTCATTGGCCTCATTGGCCTCGCCAATGCAGCCTGTCCCTACATGGCCGGCGATCTCGGTCATCGCGACGCCTCCGACTCCTCCGATGAATTCCTCTCTCAGTACTACCTCAACGACAACAATTCTTACATGACTACCGACGTCGGCGGCCCCATTGAGGACCAGAACAGCCTCAGCGTCGGCGAGCGTGGTCCCACCCTCCTCGAAGACTTCATCTTCCGCCAGAAGATCCAGCGCTTCGACCATGAGCGGGTACGTCTTATCTCACTGAAACCTCACCGGTATTACCCTCATTACAATGGACTAATACCCCAACAGGTCCCCGAACGTGTCGTCCACGCCCGCGGCGCCGGTGTCCACGGGGTCTTCACCTCCTACGGCAACTTCTCCAACCTCACTGCGGCCTCATTCCTCGCCGAAGAGGGCAAAGAGACCTCCGTGTTCGTGCGCTTCTCCACCGTCGCCGGCAGTCGCGGCAGCACCGATCTCGCTCGCGATGTGCACGGTTTCGCAACTCGTTTCTACACCGATGAGGGGAACTTCGGTGAGCCCCCTCCCTCTCAAAACCCCGTCCTCACCACAAACATCATCGGGATAGCGGGCTCAATCAGGCTAATACAATTGAATCAGATATCGTCGGAAACAACATCCCCGTCTTCTTCATCCAGGATGCCATCCAATTCCCCGATCTGATCCACGCGGTCAAGCCCAGCGGCGACAACGAGATCCCCCAGGCCGCCACCGCCCACGACTCCGCCTGGGACTTCTTCAGCCAGCAGCCCAGTGCCCTGCACACGCTGTTTTGGGCCATGGCCGGCCACGGCATCCCACGCTCGTTCCGCCACGTCGATGGGTTCGGCGTGCACACATTCCGGTTCGTCACAGATAACGGCGCGTCGAAGCTGGTTAAGTTCCACTGGAAGTCGCTACAGGGTAAGGCCAGTATGGTCTGGGAGGAAGCCCAGCAGGTATCCGGCAAGAACTCGGACTTTATGCGCCAGGACATGTGGGATGCGATTGAGGCGGGGAGATATCCGGAGTGGGAGGTAGCATTTCCCCCATCCTTCTCATCCTCTTTGATAGCACAAAGCTGATATAAATCTCCAGCTCGGCGTGCAAATCATGAGCGAAGACGACCAGCTGCGCTTCGGCTTCGATCTGCTCGACCCGACCAAAATTGTGCCGGAGGAATACGTCCCCATCACCAAACTGGGCAAGATGACGCTGAACCGGAACCCACGCAATTACTTTGCTGAGACGGAGCAGGTCATGGTAATCTCCCTCCTTCCCTCCCTTCCTCCCTGCCCCTATTCCCATACCACACGGACGCGGCTCACAAGGATGAATAGTTCCAACCCGGCCACATCGTCCGCGGCGTCGACTTCACCGACGATCCGCTCCTGCAGGGCCGACTGTTCTCGTACCTGGACACGCAGCTGAACCGCCACGGCGGGCCCAACTTCGAGCAAATCCCAATCAACCAGCCCCGCGTGCCTGTTCATAACAATAACCGGGACGGCGCAGGTACGTCCCCCTTTACCTCCCCTCTCTTTAACCCCAAACTAACGCCATGATAATAACAGCCCAAATGTTCATCCCCCTCAACCCCTCCGCCTACACCCCCAACACACTCTCCCCGCCCAACCTCCCCAAACAAGCCAACCAAACCACCGGCCGAGGGTTCTTCACCACGCCCTCCCGCCGCCCCTCGGGCCTTCTCCAGCGCTCCACCTCCCCCACCTTCTCGGACGTGTGGTCCCAACCCCGCCTCTTCTATAACTCGCTCCACCCAGCGGAACAACAATTCCTCATCGACGCCATGCGCTTCGAAACCAGCCACATCAAATCGTCCACCGTGCGCCAGAACGTACTCATTCAGTTGAATCGCGTGTCGCATGATCTTGCCGTGAGAGTTGCGAGCGCGTTGGGGATGGATGCTCCCGCTCCTGACCCGACTTATTATCATAATAATAGGACGAGGGATGTGGGGACCGTGGGCGGGCTGAGCAGCTTGGCTGGGTTGAAGGTGGGTGTTTTGGGGACGGTGAGTGGGAATGGGAATGGGAATGGGTTGGATGACGCGGTGGAGTTGGCTCGGTTGTTGAAGGGCGATGGTGTCGATGTGCTTCTTGTGGCGGAGTATCTTGCTAAGGGCGTCGATCAGACTTATTCGGCGTCAGATGCGGTGCAGTTTGATGCGGTGGTTGTGGCGGATGGTGCAGAGGGGTTGTTTGCTCCGAGGTCGTTGACCGCGTCGCAGCGTGCTCCTTCATCTTCTTCTTCGGTGGCTGCGTCGGTGTCGGCGTCGGCGTCAGCTAGTGCTGGAGCTGGAGCTGGAGCTGGAGCTGGAGCTGCACTTGGCAGAACCACCCTCTACCCAGCGGGCCGCCCCCTCGAGATCCTGATCGACGCGTTCCGCTTCGGAAAGACGGTTGGCGCGCTCGGGAGCGGCGAGCAGGCGCTGCGGAATGCGGGGATCGACGTGAATCGGGACGGGGTGGTGGTGGCGGACTCGGTCGACGACGGGTTCGCGGACCATGTGCGGCAGGGGCTGCACACGTTCAAGTTCCTGGATCGGTTTGCGGTGGATTCGAATTGAGTGCTCATATTTATTGACACTGGCTGACACTGATTGACACTGATTGACACTGACTGACACTGGTCGACACTGGCTGGCTGGTTGGGTGACTGGCTGGGTGATTGGGCTGGACTATGGTATGACACTGGCTGGTGGTTGGTCTGCAGTGCACTATCTAGGCTGGTTGGCTGGTTTGCTGGCTGGCTGGCTGGGAGTTGCCGGGTGGATGTCGCCGTGCGGTGTTATCTGGGGTCACAGTGTGCGGTGCAGTGCAGTGCAGTGCAGTGCAGCAGAGCGGAGCAGTTCGCAGCCTTGATGGTTGCCTTCTTGTAATTAAATTAAGTTTATTAAAAGTGCCTACCTACATAATTTACTCGGCGGCGCTGGATTTGATATGGCTGGCTGGCTGCTGCTAATATGCAATCAATCACCAATGTTGACATCTACTGGGTCATGGGGAGAGCGGTAGGTAATATTAAGTATGTAGGTAGGATGATGGCGAGAATCGTAATGCTAAGGCTAAGTGTGTAAGTAGGTAGGATCATAATGAGAATCGTATTATTAAGTATGTACCTAGGAAACGTAGTTACAGCAATCAGGACCAGTAACAGCAACAGCAACAATACCAGCAATAGCAATATCACCAAAATATCGGCTAAGCAACCGTCCGGGCCAAAGCAGCCTTGCTCCGCGCACTCATCATTCGTTTCGTCTGGCCAGAGGTGGTGCTATTCGAGTCTCCCAGAATCACCCATTCGGCGACGGTTGCCCCCACTGCATCACCGCCCTGGTTACCTGCAATTAGCAGCGTGGCGTACTGCGCCTTCTGCACGGGAGACTCCAGGGTAATGAAGGTGGTGTTCGCAGCGGGGATGGAGACCGTGTTAGCTTCCTGCGCGGACACCGCGTTGTACGGCTGGGACTGGGCGATGTTGGACATAGACGTAACCACTTGGTAATCGATCGTGTTCAGGTCCGTCGAGGTGAATAGTGTAGCCGGGTTTGAGATGGGGGCATCGTGGAAGATAATGCTCAGGTTCTGAGGCGGGGTCGTGGACCAGTCAAAGTAGAAGCCAGAGACGGCCTCCTGGTCAGAGCCGGTGGACAACGTGACTGTCAGAGAAGACAGGCTCGATGTTGATGGCTGCCACTTGGTCGATGTGGCGCCGTCTACTGCCGAGATGGGGAACTGGCCCGGCTCGTAGTCGTCCGGCGAGTAGACTGGCTGGCACTGGACTTGGTTCCCCGGAGTGGTGTTGATCGACCCGGTCATCCGGTTGGGGACAGTCAGGGCGCCCGAGACAGGGAGGTAGTACGTCGTCGCATTGTCGGAGTACGACTGGCCGACCAGGACCTTGATGCTGGTGCTGGCGAAGAGCACGTCCGCGCTGGGAAGCGGTGCAGTCGAGGATGACCGCTGGAGCGTGGTGTGCGTGTAGTTAGACCACGCGGAGATCGGCCAGCCGCGCCAGTAGAACGTCCGGTAGGTGATTTGAGGGATTTGAGGGGGAAGGTTGGGATCAATGTAGATGGTGTCATCCGGATGAAGCCGGAGACCAAGGTATCCATACAAAACCACCTGGTTGGCACCGCCGTGGCCGGTCAGGAATGGGAATGCGGGGTGTGTGCCGCCGTTGATGCTGGCGTCATCGATCAACTGCTCCGACAGCTGATACCACGGACCTCGGGCGTACGGGGCGTATGAGTATTGGTGGTAGGTGTAGGCAGAGCAGCCAGACGGAGAGACATCGCTAGCAATAATAGCAAAGATTGCGTATGTCATGGCTGGACCGTCCGAGGATTGCTTGTTGGCGTACTGTGATAATTAGCCTCATCAATATGATCTCCGATGGCTACTCACATAGTCCAGGTCCGTAAGCGAATCTACGGATGTGTAGTTGTCGGACTCAAACACCAGAGGGAATGTGTCAAGCACCACGTCAGCCTGCTTGACGACCGTACTCCCGTTCATTGTTGTATACTCCAGAGTCACCCCGTTCTCCCTGAGGATGAGAACGTTGTCTGCGATCTCATCCCAGGTCTCATTCGTCTCCAGGCCAAACTGCTGCCGGAAGTTGTTCGCGTTTTGCAGGGTTTCGGCGATCAGCGGCATCGTAAAACCGCCCGCGTTGATGCTATTGGCATATTCGTCCTACGGAAGTCAGCAAAGTTCATGCACGAAATCGGCTACCTACCGGATCGGTCATATTGGTCAACGTCCAAGACGAACCATTGCGCTCGACCAGTTCCGAGTAGAGCGTAGCCACCGAGTCGTAGATCGGGAACAAATATTCGCGGAACCACTCGGTATCACCACTTGCAACCCACTGGTTGATCAATGCCAGCCCAATATCCCCATTCAGGTGATATTCATAATCCCAGCACGGCCCAGTGGCAGTGCAATTGCCAAAGCGACCACTCGTCCAGGGGTAGATAGCAGCCGACGAGCTAAACGAGGTCTGGTTCTTTGAGCCCGTGAACGCCGTCTCAATGTTTGCTGCAGCCTGATAGTGCAGGGCAATGCGGTAGTTTGTAAATCGCTGAGCAGCCTCGGGATGAGACGCGACCAGCCCAGGCTGCATCCAGAGATCGGCATCCCAAAAGATTTGCCCAGCGTACGAATCTGATGTAAGTCCACCGACGGCGCAACTGTCGATATTCAAAGGAATGCCGCCAGCAGCGGCGATCGCATTCGTTCCGGCGGTGTTCTGCAGCAGATAGTAGGTATTTGTAACTGCAATAATGGCCGAGTCGACAATGTGGCTGTCCGCCGGCAGCTCTCCAGTCGCCGGGTCGCTGAAGCGGTCAACAGAGTCCTCGTGCATGATGCTGGCCCATTCTGCGACATGCGACTGCAGCGACGCGAGGTAACCGTCGGCCACTCCAGCCAAGCAGGCAGCCTTGGCAGTTTCCTGCGTTGCCAGAAAGTAGTCGGTTGTGGCTCCGCCCACAAATTTGGTGATGTGAACAGGCTCATTCGCAGTAAACTGCACATTGACGGCCTGGGCGATGGATGAGCTGTTGGGGTTGAGATACGGTTTTTCTGTGACAATTGTACGCGACGACAAATCGACGTTGTCAGAAGCACTCAGGCTCGCATAAATCCAGGCGGTGACGTTGCTCACGCCCCAGGGTCGCACAGCAGAGTAAATTGCGCCATCATCCTCTCCAGAGGTGACAAAGTCGGTGCGCACGGCCGCATAGCCATCCAGCACATTAGCCACCGAACCATTGCCGTCTTCGGATGGGATGATTTCCAAATCCACCACGGCTCGGTTCACATACAGCTTGTGCGCGAAAAGCCGATAGGTGATGCAAAAGGAGCCCTTGTTTCCTGCCGGCGTCCAGGTATAGGACCAAGACAGCAGGCCGGACTTGTAGTCGAAGGTTGACTCAAAGTCCGAAATGGTGCTGTTGTCCACTCCCGCGTCGAGGTATGTGTCGTCTCCCAAATCCAGAATCAGGCCGCTCCAGTGCGGAACGCCGCTAATCACGCTGTCGTCGCCATACTGGGAGAGCCATGGGAAGTTGGACGCATTGGTCTTGGCCTGTCTGTCCCAGAACCCGGAGATGGTTGCGAAACTTTGACGTCGGGAGTACAGAGGCCATCCACTGATGACATCACCGTCCACCGGAGTGTCCAACTCGAAGAAGGGGCCAACATTTGCGACGTTAATGCCCAGGTAGCCGTTAGCAATCGAGCCGCGCGACTGGTAGTGGCCCTGGTCCAGCGTGGTGGTGGTGAGTAGCCAGTGGTCCTCATCCCAGGTCACGCCTGCAAACTGGGTCTCGTAGACGTTGGTCGAGTTGGGCGCCGTCTCGACATCCCTCCCACTGTGTCTATGCAACGCTGCCGAAATGCGAGCATCTTTGCCTGGAGAGGCGCCCACAGCCGTGGGAAGATACAGCAGGAGCGGCAACAGGGTTGCCAGAAACTGCAACAGTTAGCTTGACGCCTAACGAGACACTTGGGGAGCTGCTTACTTTGGGTTGCATCTTGCAAAGCCAGGAGGCGAGTACCGGGCGGCAGCCTTTTCCGACAGGACTTGGAGGCAGGGATAACAGGGGAATAAATAGGCCCAAGTCCAAGACGAGATGCGATGGGATCGGAGCTTTTTCTGGTAACAGTTGATCCACCTCGTGTCCAAGACAGGGAATGCCAAGGGCGATCGAGGGAAATGAATGAGACAACAAGCAGCAGACAAGATTAAAAGGGCCCCTTGAGAATGACGGTGGGATTACCCCGCGGGGGGGGTGGGAGAAGGGAAGCGAAGCGATGGCCAATAATGCAATAGGCATCTATGGCACGATGGTCACTGGCCAGCCACTTGACAGCGTCATATTGTGGGGAAGGGCAAGCCTGGAATGGCTGAGGGCTGGAAAGTCCGGGGATCCCGCTGGGTCCGGCCGGTCGGCGCCACGGACGAGTCTGTGCGGGAGGCATGATTGGGTGGATGGGAACAAAGAGGGAGTGAAAATATGGACAGTCGGGTGATGGATGGATGGTGGATAGATGTGATGTGGATGACGCAAGGTGAGTTGAAGTGAAAGCAGAGAAGAGAAATGAAGGTGGAATCCGGTGAAGGACAAGGTTCGGTGCCTGGCGGGGCCTGCCCTGGCCACCTCAGGCAGCATTGCATCTTCTCCGCTGTTTCTGTGCTTCACGGATGAGATGACTCCCCCACAGTCAGCTATCATCCAGTCCACACACTCATCTTATACCACTCGCTCTTCCATCTCCTCCAACCTCTCACAATGACCCTCCCCTTCCTGTCCGTCGCCATCTACCACCCCCGCTATGGCAACTTCCAACACTGGGCTCTCCACCTGCACTCCTCCTCCGAGGACCTCCTCTTTGAGGTTGATGGCGAGCATCCCACCTTCCAGAAAGTCGTGTCGCACGCGATTCCCTCCGAGAGTCCGACCTTCATCAAATCGGTGTTTGTGGGCCACATCGGCCACCCGGATATTCCCACCGTCAAGGACGTTGTGAACGCCACGGCAGTGGACAATGAGACACTCGAGTGGGACTGCCAGGACTACGTGCTCGAGATTCTCGAGGGGTGCGAGCGTGAGGCTGTGCTGGACGACGAGGATGCGGATTATGTCGAGGCGCGGGAGATCTTGCGGAGTATACGGGGGCCGATGCTCTAGCTCTAGCGATAATATTGATGATCAGTCTCGTCAAGCCTGGGTTTGTTATCTACAAAATACGCTGTGGTTCATGGGGCGTGTCTATCTAGATAGATAGTCCCTGTCCTCGGGTTTGCGGGCCGAGACAGCCACAGGTCTGGAACAACGTATGTATGTATGAATCCTTTGTCCCTCATCAAATCATAATCATGACCATCATCACATCGCAGCAGTCAGAAACAAATAAACAAACTAGTTCTCCCCCGCCCACCTCCGCCACGCCTCTCCCCTCAACGCCCGCGCCGTGTCCCTCGTCCGCTGCATCCCCGACCGGTTCTCGACCGCCCTCCGCAACAAGAAATGCAAGCATTCCTCCGTCGACCCCCACGCCAGACACTTGAAAACCCCGGGAACCGTCCCATCCGCGGCACCGCCCACCATCCCCAGACTCACCTCGTCGGCCATCCCCTGCAGCTGACCCACCTCCACCGGAATCGCCGGCAGCCCATTAACCATCCGGTGTCGGAACAACGCACACGCCTTGCGCACACTCTCCCCGTTATGCGACGCCACAAAGAGTCTGACCGTCGGAAACGGCTGGTCTGGCTGGCCACCCAGCGGATACTGTCGCGTAATCAGGCTCTCCACGATATGGTCGTAGTTCTGGTCCGTCTCGGCCTTGGTGTCGTGAATGCGGTCCCGGTGGTCGTGCGCAATGTATGCCCCCCTCACTAGCTTCACGCCCATCGCCCAGCCCTCTTTCTGGGCCAGACGGAGGTGTGTGTTAAGCGTGGCGGTCGAGGACTTCAGATACGCCTGGTACGTGTTCAGCACCACGGGGCCATTGGCCTCGTTCTGATTGTACTTCCGCATCAGATCCACCGCCCACGCATCAATCGCCGTCTGGAAGATCTGCTGCTCGGCGTCGATCCACACCCGCGACCCCTGCGCCGCAACCGCATCGCATATCTCTGTCATCGCCTCTTGGATCCGCGGCGGGGGGGTAAGATCGCCGCGCGAGAGTGCCTCCACAGCCGCTGGACCAGCCCCGGTGAGTCTGTGGCCGTCAGCAATCAACCCAACCCCCCAAATGCACTCCAACTACAGAGGACAGAAACCCACTTCACAGCCAGATAATTCCCCTCGCCCAGCATCTTCAACGTGCGTAGAGTCCCCTGTTTCCATTCATCCACCGCGCGGTCAAGACCCTCCTGTTTCGCCTCGGCAGACTGGGTCTGATCGATATCCTCCACCTTGGCGATGGACTCGCGGGCATATCCAAGAATCACACCTTTATAGCCCAGATCCTTCATGTCCTGGACGGTGCGACGGACCTCGGTCTCGTTGACACCAGCGCAGAAGTGGTCGTAGACGGTTCGGCGGAGGAGGTAGTTGACCAGGGGGTTCTTGGCGGGACTGAGCAGGATGGACTGGGAGTCGACCATGGATTTGAGAATGGAGAGACAGGGCATCATGAGAGGCGATGCCATCACGGAGGTGAAGAGGAGGGAGCGGAGGAAGGCCTTTGTCGGGAGGGCGGAGAGCGGCGGGGTCTTTGGTGTCGGACTGGGCGGTGGGAAAGGGACATGTTGGGCAGGGGTTGATGACGATAGAGCAGTGGTGGGAGGTGTGAGGAGTTGATAGAGAAGGGGACTGGGCCGTTTAGGCCAGAGCACTTTGGGGTTCATGGTCGGGAAGGGTTCATGGTCTGTTGGGCTTACTCCGAGCCCTTCCTTTCCTGCCTATTTATCCCTGTGAGGTCGGTATCTGCTGAGGGGTATGCTAGCTGGCTGGCTGGCTGGCTGGCTGGCTGGCAGTCACTATCAGTGATTGTACAGCCCGGATCTCTGGCCGATTGGCTTCTCCACGAGGCGATCATCGAGGCATGCGCTTTGGTGGTTACACGGATACGTATGCATGCAGACTCGGTCAAGGCCTCCGGTCAGCTCGGTTAGGGTTACCGCTGCTTGCTTATCATGGATCCTTCCATCAAGGTTACTAGGCTCTATTCTATCGGTATTCTATCAATATTCTGTCTATCTATACCCATCTATCTCGGTCCAAAAAATAAAAAATAAAAATAAAAAAAAAAAAACCCCCGCTAATTATCCTTCTTCAAATGCCTCGTCCCCTCAATCAGCGCATCCGCAAACCGCCCCCTAACCCCGGCCCTCTCAACCGCCAAAACCCCCTGGATGGTACACCCTCTGGGGGAGGAGATACTCTCCCTCAGGATCGCCGGATGAACACCATCCCTCAACAACGCCGCCATACCAACCATAGTCTGCGCGGCCATCTCCAGGGCCTCCGCCCTCCTCAAGCCCTCGGCCACACACCCATCCAACACCCCCTCCAGCGGCACCGTCAAAACCGCCATCGACGCCCCCACCAACATCGTCCCAACATCAAACAAATCCGCAGCCACGACCTTCACCTTCCCAATCGCCCCAAACAACCACCCCATCAGCCCCATAACCTCCCCCTCTTCCGCCTCCCCCTCCGGAACCTCAACGATGGTCATCGACTCGCCCAGCCGCGCAGCGACATTCGGCATGGCGCGTACAATCACCGGCTCTTCTTCCAGATCCTCGCTATACCCCTCCCCGTACACCCACCCCAATATATCCTGCGTCTTCACTCCGGCCATGATGCTAACCACTATCTTTCCCCGCACGGCTTCCTGGATCCCCGGCTCGGATAGGATCCCCCGCGCCAGAAACGGCTTGCATGCGAGCAGGATCACGTCGGCTTGTTGCATCGCCTGCACGTTCTGGCCGTGGGTGATGGTCACTTGCGCTTGTGTTGTGGAGGGGGCGTATTGCGAGCGCAGACGCGCGGCCGAGTTGGCGGTTTTGGTGTTGATGATGAAGGTGGTTATTTTGGGGGGGTTGGCGGGGATGCTGGATGTTGAGGGGGCGGTGGCGGAGAGGAGGCCGTTTAGGATGGCGGAGCCCATGTTTCCTGTAGGGGGTTAGGGTGTTATGCAGTTGGGCTGGGGAGCGGGGGATTATGTGTGGTTTGGTTGGTACGTACCGCAGCCGATGAATGCGAGGGTCTTGGGCTTTTGGCCTGAGGGCGAGGGGGGTGGGGACATTGTTGGAGGTCGTGAATGCTGTTGTATGGAGGATGGATGTATCTAGGTAGGTGTAGTGTTATGGGTATGGTAGATGTAGATGTAGATGTAGATTTGTGTTTTTAAACAGTGAAGGGGAAGAAAGAAGGTGAATCAGTCAGTCGGGCGAATCTCCGCCAGCAGAGGAAAGAACAGCAGCGATATCGCGCTCGGGAGGGGATCCCGAGGATTTGCGGGGGTTGTTTGTTTGACTGCTGATAACAATGTCGATACCGTATCGCCCAGCGGGCAGATACTGATAGGGAGAGAGAGATGATGCTTGGCCCTTGCTTACTGGCTTGCTTTTGTTAACAAGTGGGACTGTAGTCACACCGATAGATACTTGTATACGGAGTACAGTAGCTATGCTCACTCTGGGCCACTTTCTACAGTAGCTAAAAAGAAAAAAAAAAAAAAAAAAAAAAAAAAAAAAGTTAGTGTGAAGAAAGAAATACGTTCAGAACTTCTCTCCTCCATAAGCATACTAAATAAAATGAAGAAAAAAAGAAGCTCCTGTCTTGGACAGGAGAAGATACAAGGCCCGAGCCGCGGATCGAACGCGGGACCTCTCGCAGATATGCTTGGGTTGTAACCCTAAGCGAGAATCATACCACTAGACCACCCGGGCTTGTTATGATATTTGTCTCGAGGCTTGCATACATAAAAAAAAGAATGTTAATCTACAGTCTCTTGCTGCTACAATTCAGGTCTATGCATCTTTTTTTGCGTCATATTTTCTGCCATGGTAGGGAGTCCAATCTTAGAGGTCCTGTAGCGTGTTTGAGTCGGGTGAGTGTTTGTGTTGGGGTGCGGATATATATCTGGTTCGGGTGTGTGAATAAGTACTAAAGTACCTTGGATTGAAGTTGATGTGAATCATGATGAAAATCCATCATATCATGATAGTACTAGGTATAAACACCAATACCCCTACACACAGTGTAGACAATGCAGCATCCAGGAACCATCTACATGATTTGGTCCATGAGCCAGGCATCTTAATATAACGGCCCAAGTCGAGTGTACGGGACTAACACATGAGAAAATACGCAGACTGTGTGCTGAAACAATTACATTCATGACTATCGTATATAGGGGAACAATTATCCGGTCGCGGGTCCATCGAGACCTGGGAGCATAGGCTGACGGCCAAGTAAGGGCCGCTTGCTAGATGCAAGTAGCATCCGCGAGATCGAGGGCCGTGCTCTGACGGAGCGAAACACGTCCGTGTGAGGTACCCCTGCCAACACCGTTCATAGAATCATGTGGTGGCCATCGGCCTGGCCTGAGAGTATAAGGTCCTGCGTGGCTGCTCAAGCAGTCGCCCGCCGACCGAGTGTGCCCAGCATGAGTTGGACGGAGCGCTCGATGTCAGATGGGTTGGGTGTGAGGATCTCCGATTGGAGTTGGTCGCAGTCACATCACGTCACCCTCGGACGCTTGGCATTGGGGAACCCAGTAGGACCGCGCATACGCTTCCGCTCCATCGCCTCCATCTCCTGCTTCATGATCCGTTCCTGCTCCGTCATCTTCTTAGGTTGTTCCATCACCGGCCCCTTCTTCCCAGCAAGCGGATTCTTCTTCGCCGCCGCGGAAAACACGTTCTTGGGCTTGTTGTTGCCAAAGGACAACGACAACTTTGGCGCCGCCGCCGGTGCAGGCTGAACCGGAGCCGGGGAATCGGCGGCAGATGTCTCTGGCGTAGCTGACGCACCGCTGTCTTTCTCTTCCGCAGGCTTCGGCGACTCGCTCTTCGAGCCGCCATCTGTCTTCGCTCCAAAGCCGATATTCAGCTTCACCTTTTCTCCTTCCTTGCGCTGCAGATTCCGAGCCTCGGGGTCGACATCATCCTCCTTGCCCACACCCTGGTTCGCACGCTCAATCTGATCCTGAATCAGCCGCTGCTCCCTCTCTTCATCCCCCCGATCCTGACGCTCCTTCTTGAGAATGGCCTCGCGCCGTCTCATCGCCTCCGGGCTGCGGTCCACATATGCCACAAACAGACCCTTCTCGGTTTCCTCCACGCGACACAGCCCCTCCCGACCCAGGTATGCGGCGAATTGTGTCAGACTCTTCCACTTCGTCGAGTTCATATGGATGTGCTCCTTGTCCGCGATCACCTGCTGGTAGAAATGGTTGATGTGAACCTTCTTCTCGCCGTGAGTCGTCCGCAACAGCGTCAGGAAGTTGTTGAGGAAGTCCTTGCTAAAGTCCTCGATGTATTTCTTGGGGTCTTCGCCGATCAGGAGCACCTGACGCACGTGGCTCTCGCTCTGGACGTGACTAGGGAGAGAGTCAGTAAGCTATCCGAGGTGAATTAGGTGGATGTGGATGCTCACCATTTCCAGCCGTTGTGATCGCGGCACTGCTTCTCGCAGGCCTGACAGTACCATCGGAGTCTGCCCAAGCCTTTCTGTTGAATGTTAGCGTGAATCTTCGGAAAGGGTGCGAGACAGGACATACGGCTTTGATCTTGTTGCCGATCGCCTTTGTGCTCCCGGCTTCTGCGCGCGGCATGATTGGGGCTGTGTATTCTGGTGGGTTGGAAAGAAGAAGCGCTGAGACTGGGATGAAGTCTGCCAGAGTCAAGAGGCGGAGGCGCGAGGCGGGCGAGGCGGATGAACCGATTACCAATAGTGTCACGTGATTAATCGATAAGCTCGGACAGGGCAGGTCACGACCTCGCGAGAGGGCGCTAATCCCAAGCAGGGTATCACATGACCCAGTAACTCTGGCTGATTACTGACTAGACCGTATGCAGTTAGACTCTTCAAGGGATGTTGCGCCCGGTTCAACCGTCCATTGTAAGTCACGTGAGTCGGACCGGGTAGCCCGAGGCCTCCGACCAGCTCGCTCGACCTTCTGGTTCTGGTTCAATCGCCGGACAACACCGAGTTACACCAAGATGAACCCCAATGAACCCCCCGAGGAACTTTCCACCCGCCGAGCTTTTCCGCCTTCTCTACTCCGTACAGAGTATTCCGTACCTGGTTTGGAATGGAATCATTATCATCTGGGTTTAAATCCAGAATGACCCAGGATTGATACAGCATGCGCATTGCTTGTGTTGGATGCTCTGCAGCTTGCAGAAAAGGTCCAACGCGCCGTGGGTCGATGACTCGATTTAACCTCATCTCATCTCATCGCACCGGCTGTTGAACCCTGCGGGCTTACAGCTCGGCCAAGCTCGGCGTGGTCTGAACCGTGTCGGGTTGAACCCCCCTTACCCACACCGAGGTCGTCTGAGCTTTGACCCGCGGTGACTTGACTTGAACCTGTCAGACCACGGCTGTGAGCAGTTGTTGAACCTTTCAGACCACCATGCCGAGTGTTGAACCCCACTTCGGCGTTTTACGGGGGTTTAGACCATGATGAGCTCTTCTATCATCACATGTAAGTTGTAACAGCAGGCCGGGAGTTGAACCAAGTATTATACTCTATGTACTCAATCAATCCCAGACCACGCCGAGCTCACCTCCTCACCTCCTCACCTATACCAACAGTTGAACCCTCAACCCGCGACAAGCTTCTAGTTCTTACCATACCGAGGAGCTATCGCAGAGTCGAGACAAGACAGACCACGCACGATGCGCTTCGAACTTTTGAGACCCATCCACACACCTACCTACTAACTACCTAGTACCTGTCCGCTCTTGATCGAGATCGATATTCGATTCCAACGCTTTATAACTACAATGATTACCTATGGTCATGATTTTTTATTCTCTTGAATTTACTTTTTTTTTTTTTTTTTTTTGGAAGAAAAATATTTAGGTTGGATAGTGTTGAGATGGATGGAAGCCTAGCCTAGCCTAACCAATCTGACTAATTAGTAATCCTCATGATTCGTGAACCCCTCTGGCCTATCTATGGCATGACTATCTCGTCTAGATAGTTCAAGGTTCAAGGTTCAACTGTTCTAGAACCACGCCGGGGGTTTTCCCTACTCGGCTAGATAGGTACAGTACATATCTATCTAGTCTGCGCCGCGACCGGCTTATTCTCCGGGTAATGATAAATTCTAGGACGGTACTCCGTATCTATTCCGTACAGAGTAGAATTTATCGCTGATTCGTTTGATTTAATTTACTTATTTCCATCCAATCTAAACAACCCCTGCGGGTGCAGATATATGCCGTTCGGTATTATTTGATCGAGTCAGGGGTACTATACTATTCTATCCTATCTAGTTCAGAGTGAGTGTGTCAAGAATTAAACTCGGAGAGGGTCTATATTCTAACTATCCATCTCGGGTTCTATTATTTCACAAACTAAAATACAAATACCACCATTTCATCCCATCCCATCCATAACAGCTAACTCTTCCGAATGTCCCAGACAGAAGAGAATAGAGAAACAAACAAATTACAACGCCACCTTCCCATCCAACTTGAAATACCCCGGCTGCAGATTCTGGAACACCTGCAGGGGATCATACTTCTGGGAGACAGCCTGCAACCGGGCGTGGTTTGCCGTGCCATACGAAGGCGCGACAGACTGGTACTGGCTGGCGTAATTCATATACAGGTACTCATTGCCCAGACCGCGGGCCTTGGCAGCGGAGAGCGCCTTCTGGGTCATCCGGCCCAGGACCTCCATGACGGCGGCGTCGTCCGACTCGTCGTCCCACATGAACGCGAGGTTGATGAGGAGAAGAGGGCCGTCGGCGGCGTCGAGGCCGAGCGCGTTGCCGCCGTTCTTGGTCATGTGCTCCATGGTGTTGGTGCTGATGACTTGCCAGACCAGGGCGGGGATGAGGCCGGTGACGTTCTGGATGGGGACGAGCTCGGTCTTGAACATGTTGGTGATGTTGGTGGCCAGCTCGAGGTCGAGCTGCACGGTGCCGGTCCAGTAGCTCTCGCGGAGGCCGTTGGGGTTGTCTTCTTTGAAGAGTAGGGTGATGTTGGATAGGCTGCGGATGGCCATAGTGTCTTCAAGGGCGGTGGAGCCGTTGAAGGCGTCGAAGATGGGCGGGTTGACGACCGGTTCGGCGTACTCGAGGTCGGCGACGATGAGGTAGAGGCCCTCTGCGTAGGCGATCGAGACGATTAGCGCGGCGTTGGGGTCGGAGGGAGAGTTCTCTCCGAAGTTGATCAGTGCTTCCAGGATCGAGGCTTGGGAGTCGTCTAGCCAGACGCGAGAGCCTCCCCACATCAGTCCCTGCTCATGCGTCGTCAGGTCGAAGCGTGTGACGATGCCGAAGTTGTTGCCTCCACCGCGGAGGGCCCAGTAGAGGTCTGGGTAGGTGTCGAGGTTGACTTCGACGATGCTGCCGTCGGCGAGGACGACCTGGTGAAGAGGGTTAGTTAGGTTTGTAGCAGACGGGATGGGGGATGATGGGTCGCTTACCTCGTAGTTTGCGACGTTGTCACACGCCCAACCGTGGAATCCCGAGAAGAAGGAGATTCCTCCCGTGGGGTCGTTAGCTTGGGATATTTGCTGGTCAAGAGGATTGAACTTACCTCCTAGAGTCAGCCCTCCCACGCCAATGTCCGATACGCGGCCACCGATGACCGACAGGCCGTACGTCTCGAGCCAGTCGTAGACATTCAGCCAGCGGTTGCCGGGGCCGACCGAGGCAATGGAGGAGTTGTCGGACAGGGTGGTCGTGTTCAGCGAGACCAGGTCAATGGTGAGTCCATCCTGGATGTTGGAGGCGCCGGCAAAGGCCGCATGGCCGCCGCTCTTGACGGCAAAGGGACACTCGGTCAGCTCGGTCAGCAGCAGGCCAATGGCGACCTCGACGGTGCTGACAGGCTGGAAAACACAAGCCGGGTCGACGTCCTCCTGCTGCTGGGACCAGAAACTAGCGTCCCAGGTGGCGTAAGCCGCCTCGGAGCGCAGCAGGACCTGGTCGGGATAGAGCAGGGGCAGCGCGGAACACTATGGAAGGCGTTAATTTGGCCTGTGCATTAGCCTGCGAGCTAGACAGGGCTCGGAGCCACCGTCCGTCCTTAGCCCCGCAGGATGAGGGGGAAAATCGCTCACCAGCACCGAGCAGAGGCCCAGCGATCGCACCTGCAGCGACGACTCGGACAGCACGCTGCCGTTGAAGTAGTCGTAGGCGTTGACGCCGTACGAGGCGAGTTTGGCGACGATGTGGCTGGTGGTGTTGTCCAGGGCCGTCGCGCCGGAGAGCAGCGCGGCAACAAACAGCGCGCCAGGCAGCAACATGGTGGTCAGCCGGCAGAAGAGGAGCAGCGAGGATCAAGCAGGAAGTCTTGGGGGTTTCAGGAGAGGTGCCGTTCCTGCAGGGGAGGTTATTCCTTTATAGGCCCAACGGCTGCTCGCCTCCGGATTGGGAAGCCTGCAATCGGCTCTTCCTTAGCGGCAGTTCGGCCTGCTGGCTCGCGAATGACATCCAGCTGCAGGATCCATCCGCGAAATTGGCATATCTGACTGACAGGTTCCCGGATCACGGACGGATGTTCCCCCCCGTCCCCCCGGTCGGGCCGTGGCTGTCAAAACCATGAAAAGGGATACCTGTCGCCCACGGGCCTCACTCGAGACCTGGCAGGGCGATCACTCCCGAATCAGTCGGGATGGAGCGCAACTATGTCTCCGCTGGCCAGGTACAGGCCACCGGGTACACCATGATTGCTCTGTCCTCCGCGGTGGTCATTGCTCGGTTTAGTCTGATCCTCTGGAAGTTGCGAGCGCTGCAGATCGAGGACGGCTGCGTGCTGCTGGCCTGGGGGTGCTTCCTGGCCATGAGCATTGCGTACATCATGGTCATGCCGGTGGTGTACAAGGTCGATGCGTACGCGGACGGGGAGATCGCGCCGTGGGCGAGCATGATGTCGGACGCGCTGTTCATGATCAAGGTCTTCTTTGCCAACACGATGCTGCTGTGGGGGTCCCTGTGGTCCGTCAAGCTGTCGTTCCTGTTCCTCTATCGGCGATTGCTCCGCGACTTGCCGGGGGAGATGAAGTGGTGGTACATGGTGCTGGTCTTCTGCATTGTGGTATGTCCCTGCTTGCGGGTGGGCTGGGTTCCTCGCTGACAGTGTGTCCGGACCTTTATCGGGGCAGTCATCTCCAACTTCACCTCGTGTCAAAGCATGCATGCATGGTTCACCGTTGGTCAGTGCGCTGGCGTTGCGGAAGGATTGCAGGGAGGGAGCTGACCGGTTGTAGGAGAGTGCGACACGCATCGCGATGCGGTGGCCGAGATCGCCAGTTTGTATTATAGCTTTGCAGTGGACGTGGTCAGCGATATCATGAGTAGGTTCACCCGGGGTGGGAGAAAACATTGCTAAGTGAAGCGCAGTCATGATACTGCCGTTGCGCCTGGTCTTGTCGCTGCGGATGCCGCTGGGCCAGAAGCTCAGCGTGGCGGCGGTGTTTGCGCTGGGCAGCATCTGCGTCGTCATGGCCGTCGTGCGCGTCGTCCAGATCGGCACGCGCGCCAACAGCGACAGCACCCCGAGTAGTTCCTGGCTGGCCTTCTGGGGGATGATCGAGGCCGGCATCGGTGAGTATTGGTTATATGATCTTCTACCCCACCCCTTGAGACCGAACTAACTCGTGGTCGCTCAGCCGTCATCGTCGGATGCCTCCCAGCCTTCGCCATCGTCTACCGTCGCACGAAGAACTCCAACCGCTACGAGAGCAGCTACATGGGCATGTCCTCGTCCGTCAACGTCCCGCAGGATATCGCGCTGTCGGAGATCTCAGGCAATGGGACCCTCAAAGACGCAGAGATGAAGTTCAACATCACTCCACCGTTACCGTCACGAGTCTCGGACGAGGAAACATGAGGTCAGATACCAGGCATTGATGTTATCATGAGAAACGGGGTTATGCTGTGGACAGCCGAGGCTAGAGTAGTACATAAAAGTGGCTGTGGAGACAAACTATCTATAGGATGGTGGATAGTATGGAACAATGCATTACTGATTGGGCCCAACGCACTTCAACAGATACAGGGATTAGCAGAGCTAATATTCCCCACACACTCAGTAATCCCAGTCACTTGCAACCAATAAAGCTCATGTTGTTGAAGGGCTGATTTCCGCAAGGCTGCGACTAAGCACCCCTGCCCCAGAGCAAAGAACAATCCCCATGTCAGCCTCAGATAGATCCACCTTTACTGATATATTGACCCCCTCCTCCCTCTCTCTGTCTTACTTCTCGCTTCCATTCGCCAACATCAACGAAGTGATCTTGTACACCCTGGAGCAAGCGCGTCCCGAGATGCGCCAGACCGTGCAAACCGGCTGGGACAAGGTGGTCAAGCTGCGCACGTACCACGTCAATCTCCCGCAGACGCGCGAGAAGATCATCGAGCTGATGGTGGCGTGGAACGGGAAGAAGTGGTGCGGAAGAAGTGGTGCCCGGGGCATCAGCCCACGTGGGCGATGTTGGGGATTGAGGCGTTGCCGTTTGAGGGGAACCCATTATATAGGGTACTAGATAGCGTTCCTCCCCACGATCACCACCCTGGGAACCGCCAACATCGCCCCGCGGGCCATCTCCTCCCTGGCCTCCTCCAGCATCGCCCTGACCTTCCCCATCCCATCGCCCTTCCCCTCCCGTTCCAACTTCCCCACCACCTCCTCCACCGTCCACAGATGCAGATCGCCAAACGCCCTCCCCAACTCCCTCCCCTCACAATACCTCTCGACCCGGATCCCCGTAAACCCCACCCTCTCCAACCACCCCCTCAACCCCCCAACCTCAACGATCCAATCATGTCTTCCCTCCGCATAAAACACCCCGCGGAGGGCATCCAGCGCCGGCGTCGGCATACTCTCGTCGTCCTTTCTGACCACCATATTCACGACATCGATCTCCTCCCACTGGATATACCCGCCTGGTCGGAGGAGTGAGTGCAGACGATGTAAGACGGTGAGGGTGTCGTCGATACCGGACAGGACAAGGATGAGGAGGCGGATGTGGATGAGGTCGAAGTTGTTGGAGAGGGAGGGCGGGATGGGGGTGAAGAGGTCCCAGGGTTGCAGGGTGATGTTGCGGGGGAGGGAGGAGGGGGCCGGGGCGAGGGTGAGGGTTATGTCGAGGCCCGTGAGGGGGCTGCTTGGGTGGAGGCGGGACACGTCGAGGAGCCAGAGGGCCGTGCCGGTGGCTATGTCGGCGATGGATGGGGGTGGGGTGGAAGGGAGGTGGATCGAGGGGTGGATGGTGAAGTTGAAGACTTCGCGCCAGAGGAAGTGTTGGAGGTTGAGCCGGTTGGAGGCGAGGTGGTTGTGTTGGAGGGGGTAGGCGTGGCTCTCCCGGGAGGTGAGGTGGAAGTTGAGGAGGCTATTGGGGCTGGTTGGGGGGAGGATGGGGGGGAGAGAAGGTGGTCGCCCATCTTGGTGGTGTGGATTGGGGATTGCATTGGATTGTGAGCGAGGGAGGGATGGATAGGATAGACGTTGTGTCTGCGCTCTTTCATGTGTCATGGGATTGAGCAAGATATGTCAGAGAAGGACACACACGGCAGGTATAGTCAATGCGAAACAAGGCTCGTGGGATACTCTCAGAGGCTGGCAGGCCCATGGTTCGGCCCCTGTCAGGAACCCTAACGGTTCAGTGCCAGGCCCACGACAACGCCATGGCCGATGCCAAGGAGGATTGTATGGCAAGGTGGCTGGCCTTTCCTTGATCCGACAGGCAGAGTTGTTAATAGGTAATTTCTCGGCCCTGCAAGTGTTCGATCGATCAAGCTCGTAAAGTCTGCGTCGCAAGTGTGCAGCAACAGCAGGATCACAATTATTCTCAATAACCATCTACGAAACCCAAAGGACAAGACCAGTTAATTCGACCAGAATCCCCAAGCATCCAGAACAACCTGCTTTTTCTCGTCAGACGCCATGTAGAATACAAGATGCGGAGAGAAGTGAAGGAAAAGAAATTAACCGAGTAAATTTTGTAGCGTCAGAAAAAAAACATTCCAAACAGGATCAGAGCCAGGTCCATAAATCAAAAAAAAAGTCCGCTCTTCAGGGCAACAAACAAACACGCGCATCAAGCCCAAGCAAGCAAGCAAGCAAGCAAGCAAGCAAGCATCGAGCCGAGCCATTCATTAAAAGGCATCTAAGGCAGAGTCTACATGGTGTATTCATGGATTGCCGACGGGCCGTTCTCGTTGTACTCCACCCGACTCATGAACCCCTTGCTGAGACCCTGGTCGAGAACGAACACCACCTTCGAGGCAACCTGCGCGCCGAGGAACACCGCCTCTTCCATCCCGTGGCCCGTGCTCGGCGCCCCCGGCCCGCCCGCGCCCGCAGCCCCGGGTGCATTGGTGTTGGTCTGCTCCTTCCACTCGGAGAAGTACTCCGGGGGCCGGAGGGTCTTGACGGAGGTCGGCGTTTGCGAGTGGCCCGTGGACCGGTGCAGAGACATGGGGTCCATCGAGGGCGTGCCCGGCGCCGGGTTGTTGGCATGCGTGGCAGCGACAAGCAGGGGATTCACACCGTGACCCGCAGGGTGGTTCATCAGGCCGGCCTGGCCAGAAGGCGCTGGAGTGTTGGTGCCTCCAGTGGGAAGGGGAGTGGAGAAGTTGGAGGGGATTTCGGAGGTGAACATGGTGGCGGAGGGGGAGAGGATGTATTTCTGTGTGATGGTGCCCAACAGGGTTTGCGTGAAGCCTAGAGACCATTAGCGGGGGACCCGGAGGAAAGGAACACAGACGTACCCTTGATTTTGCTGCCATTGCCGACGATGATGAGCGAGTCCCACAGCTCACTCCGCTTGGTCGCGTCCGGCACGGCAAGGATGGTATGGTGGATCTGCGTTGCGATATCCTCGAGCAGACCGCCGGTTAACCGCTCTCCGGACTTCTGCTTGGGAGTGGCAGCCAGGAAGCGCTCGACTCCGACTTCAATCTCCCGCGTCTGACGCATGTACCGCCCGGGGCCATTGGGCACATCCGCCTCCGGCGCGATTTTCACGTACTCCTCGAACTGGAACGAAGCCTTCTCTTTCTTGGAGTTGGGAAGGCGGATTGGCTTTCCCGATTGATCGACACCGCTGCCCTTCTTGGTCGAAGCCTTCTCCGCTCTCTCCCTCTCCCGGTTGGCGAGGAACTCACTCGTGTTGCCGCTGACAATGGCGGCGACGTCGAGAACTCCCTCGTCCTCATCCCCTTCGCCGTTACCTGTCTGGGTGTCCTCCCCGGGGCCCCGCGGAGCACGGTCGTCCGACCCATTTCCATCCGTTGAGCCCGTGGATGCCGACGTCGCTGGGTTGGCGCCCTGTCGTGCGGTCGCGGCCGCGCCCGGTAGAGGTGTTCCGGGGGGCAGAAGCTCGGTGATGTTGCTCCGTTTCAACTGTTCGCACATCTCCCTCGTGAATCCCTTCGAGCCAAGGAGCTCCACGAGTCGGTCCGTCATGTAGTCTCCGCCGCAGCTTTCCAGCGAAAGGCCTCTTCCGTGCTCGTTCACAATGAAGTCAGTGACAGCCGTCACGTCAGCCTTGTCCTTGCCAACATCCACCACCGTCGCCGTCGAGGTGCCGTATCCGTAGCAAACGGCGAGAGCAGAGTCCATCAGGCAGAACGCAGGTGTCTTGAACTTCTCAAAGACAAACTGTGTGATCGTCTCCCGATCCCGCGCGGACCAGACCGGTTCGGAGATGAGCATGATCGGAGTGTGGAAGGGGGGACTCAAGGTGTTGTGGACGTGGGTGAGAAGGGCGAAGAAGCAGGGCCAGTCGACAATGCGACCATCCTGAAGCGGGTAGACAGCCCCCTCGTCGGACGTCACGTCCTCCTCGTAGAAGATCTCCGTCGTCGTGTGCTGCTGGGCTTCCCCGTTGGTTTCCTGGCCATCGGGCTTTTGCGCGTCTCCAGCTTGTTCCGAACCCTCGGGCTTCTCGGTTGTCTCCGGTTTCACGGCCTCCTGTGGTGCCGACTCCGGGTCCTTCATATCCACGTCATCCTTGGGCGCGTCGATGCCGTTGCTGACCTGGACCTCCTGTCGGCGCTCGCGAATCCGGTACGGTTCATATTCACCCTTCTTTTCGGCGGGGAACATCCGAGTGGGGAAGCGAAAGCGGGCAGGAGTGAAGGACTCTGGGAGGCCGAGTTGCGCCAGGGTCACTTGCGAGCCTGGCGCAATTATCTGGAAAGAGGGGGTCAGCGGGTGGCCAGGTCATTTTTGGGGGGGAGGAAGGGAGGGAGGGGTGGACGAAGCCATTGGAGGCGTGGGCACGTACCAAAATGTGCTCATCTTTGAAGGGCGGCATGCTGGGCAATCCGACGTGGCGAGAGCTGGAACTGTCGCAGGAGCGAGCGAGCTATCACTCCGCGGTGTTTGCAGCAGCGATCTTTGCGCGCTGGGAGGTTGGGCGGGCTGCCCGATCAGGTTAAGCGCCCCGGTCACGGTCCGTGCTTCCGGAGAGAACTAACGCCTTTGGATCTATTGGAGTCATACAAATTATACACAGTGCAAAGAATATAGACAGCATCAGATTACGACGGGCGGCTAGAGGACGGAGGAGCGAGTCCAGTCAATTGCAGGCTCAATTGTAGATACCCCTCAGTACTATACAACTTCAGCCCGTGGCCAACAGGCAAAGAGATTATTAGCGCTCGAACTCCGGTCCAAACGTATAAACCAGCGGCTTTAGCAAAAACGACGAGGATGGCGTCTCCTCAGTCCCCGAGAAATCGTATAATGACTCCAATGTAAACCAGAAGAGACCAGTCAGACTAACGGATAAAGTGAAGAGAGGGAAGAGTAAATAGAGGCCCTTTCCCGATAAACATCTTAATGGCAGACCCGCCCAAACTCCGCATGTCCGTCCTGGAACGTCGAACTCCAAACCCAGATCCTCTATGACCAGCATGAGACCAACCGCATTACTTTTCTCGTATGTATACGTCCGCCTCGTTCACTCCGGCGCCGCATGGTATTTCTCCGTCGCCGACCGGAACAGTTCCTGCTGCTGCCGGAGAAGCTCCTCCTCCGACAACCCGCTCTGCTCCATCTTGCTCTGCTTCTTTTCTCGCGACTGTGCCAAAACCGTGTCAGTTACGCGCGTCGCATGGCATGTCTCCACATCACGTACCTTCAGCTGTTCCTTGTGCTCCTCCGCGACCGCGAGAACGTCCGGGATGTAGTCGCTAAACCCGAGATCCCGCAGAGCGCGCTCCACATGTTCGCAGGCGATTGTTTTCTTGGCTTCCTTCTCGCTGATGTCGTTCGCTTCGGAGGAAATCAGGGTGATGAATTCGACGCAGCACTCCATGAGCAGGTCGCGAGCGTCCTTGGAGAAGGTCTGGCCGGATGAATTCGGTAGGATTTCGGTAATAATCTTTTGGACCGTCGCTGTGGGTCGGTTAGTTTGGGTTGGGGGGTTTTGTTTGCGCGGGCGCACGCAAAGATCAACAAATCCGCACCATCCAGCGGCGCGTCCGGATCTCGATGCGACGGGATGGAAAGCGACGTCCTACACACCTTTGGGAAGCGACAGGTCGTCGTTCGCTGCAGAAATCGCGAGTCAGTAAATCGCATCGCGCGCAGAATTAGACAGAGGGGCCTTACAGCTGAATTCACGGTCTGACATAGTGATTGTCGGTTGTGGAAGTGGTCAAGACGCGCGTCCGCAACACTTGGGAAAGCGTTCGTAGTAGAAAGTATGGCTGGTCCCGGTGCGCGGGGACTAGATGGTATAAATAGCGATTAAATCCCGGCGCGCTGAGGGACTCGACGGAACGGAAGAACCGCCCGCGGCAGAAAGCTACCGCCTTCGAGGCTTTATATTCTCGGCTCGCGACGTCTTTCTTTTCTTGTCTTTCATTCATGCAGTGCACTCGCACAACAGAGAAAGAAAAATGCTTCCGCTCTCTGTCTTGCCATTTGCTCAAACTTCAACACTCTGAGAAAACTAACTTATGGTACGTTTGTCCTTCTCCCCCTTTGATTTCCTTCCATTATCATGATGAACATCGTTGTCGCCCCTATCAGACCATTACATGGTGACGTACACTGTCCTAGCCAAACGGACCACTGAACTCCAATCCACACATTTACACTGTCATTCAGCAATTGCTTGAATCTTTGCTAACTGTTGGAAAGAATTTTAGATACACTCGCTACACAGATAGAAAATTTGGTCGGAATTTTCAAAGTGGGGCCCGATAAAACCTTGCATTTTCATTTTTGTAAGGTATGCAGTTACAAAATTTACTATTCTTTGCCTCTCCATATGATGATCCCCTTACATTCCATGCTAAAACTGAGGGTTTCGGCCCGATGGTGCTAAAATGTAATGCTTTTCATCTTTCGACTGATTATGTATACTCTATTCTGGAAAATGTTCTATGAATCCTGTCGACGGTATATACTGACTGTCTGCATCAGAACCAGCTAGCCGTAATCTACTCTACGCCTGGAAAGCCTCCAGCGCCTTGTCATTCCACCTAGTACCATTAGCATAGCCACAAATGAGAAGAAAAAAAAGCAGAAATTTTCAAGACTCACGTCACAAACTTCCCACTCAGCTTGCTAGGAGCATCCAGAACCAGCTTCGCCATAACATGGCCGGGCTGCTCGGGCTTCAGCAGTTTCCCCTCCTTGTGCACCGTAGTAAACTTGGCATGCATCTGCGGCTCCAGAGTGTTGACATGGACTTCGCGCAGCTCCCGCTGCATCTCGGTATCGACCATGCCGGGCCGGATGGAGACGGTGGTGATGTCGGGTTCCTCGTCGCCCAAGCTCAAAGCCAGATGGTTCATAGCCGCCTTGGTCGCACCGTAAAGAGCCCAGCCGCGATACGCGGTCGTCGCCGCACCGGACGACGTAAAGATGATTTTCCCCTTGGATTCGCGAAGCGCGGGAATTCCGGCTTTGATCTGTTCCCCCCCGGTGCATCAGCTTTTTGAGGTCTGAGGTCGCGCTGTGTGTGTGTCTGGATGACTTACAAAAGCAGCCAGGCTGATGAAGTTCACGTCGAACCCGAGTTTCCATTGTTCCACGTCCGCGTCAATCACCTTGCCCACTTGTCCCAGGATGCCGTGGTTGAGGACCATGCCGTCCAGACGTCCGAAGGACTTGAGGGCTAGGTCGACCGCCCGCTGAGCGAGCGAAAAGTCCGACAGGTCACCGTTTAGCACCTCCACTTGCTTGGAGTATTGCTCTTTGAGCTGTTGGAGGGGTTCGCGGCTGCGGGCGATCACGACCACGTTGTGGGCTTGGGGCGCTGTGAGGAGGTATTTCGCAATGGCGAGGCCGATGCCTGATGCTGATCAGTGGCTGCGGATTGAGTTGCGATTGGAGGGGGGTTACCTCTGGAGGCACCGGTGACGATGATAGTCTTGCTTGACATTTTGCTTGCGCGGGGTTGAAGGAGGGGCGTAACGGCGAATTGAGTTGATTTCAGACAGGTTTGGAGGGGAAATTGTTGTGGAAAAGTTGCGGGTTTGGCGGTGATGTAATGAGGGGAACGTGGGGTTCTGGCCGCCAGTTCAAATTGGGTGACCGTTTTATATCTTTGGCAACAGGTCTACACTCGATACCAATTTTCATGATGTTCAATGAGAAATTATTGAAGATAAGGATAGAACCAGAACTGATCCCTCGGAGTTGCAATACCCATAATCATCTGGTGATATATACTGAGCAGCGAGCAGGCCATGACCCCTTGCCAAACAGGCCGAATCAAGCAATGTGACTCCGTACAGCCTCTTAAGATGCCCACAGGACGGAAAAAGCATGCTCATTCGTGGAATGGACTTTTATGCCGAGACGAATCTGGACCATGGCAGATGGGCCGGTCTTGCGATGCTGACAGATCCAGGGACCAGACCTTCCAGTACTCTCTTCTTGGCTGCCAAAACAGTCGCACTCATTCACGCACGAAGATTGCATACTGAATTGACTTTGATAAGGGCAGGCGATCTCGGAGATGGAGTACCCCATCATAACGAGTCACTCGAAGGGCGCGATCCACTCCGTCCACTCCGGTTGTCGAATGGCCTGCTCCGGATTTACCCCGCCAGCTTTATCTGGAGTCTTCGACGCGCCCGCCCACTTCCATATAAGGGTTCAGAGGGTCCTCGAGGGGAGTTGACAGTAACATTTTGCCTCTATCATCGCCACAATGTCTACCGTTATCCTCGGAGGAGGTATCATCGGATCCTCCATTGCCTACTACCTCTCGGAACGCCAACCGACAGAGGAGATCCATGTCATTGAGTCCTCATCCAAGCTGTTCTGTGCCGCTTCAGGTTACGCCGCTGGCTTTCTGGCCAAAGATTGGTTTGCGCCGTCCCTTGCACCACTGGGAGAGCTCTCATTCAACCTCCACGAGTCACTGGCTGCTGAGAACGGGGGCGCGGAGAAATGGGGCTACATGAAGGGCACAGCGCTGAGCTTGGGCTCTACGAGCAACAAAGGTGGCGCACGCGGAGACGACTGGCTTCGCGCGGGCACCAGCCGGGCAGAGACGGCTGCAGGAACAAGCAAGACGGCTGCAGAGGTGCCAGATTGGTTGACACAGCAGCAAGGCGCGACGGTGGAACGGATTAGTGACAAGGACACAACGGCTCAAGTGTAGGGATACTCCGATCCCTGTCCCCCAATCAAGTACTGACCGCATTTAGGGATCCCTCGAGACTGTGCCAGTTCCTGATGGATGCTTGTCTCGCACGCGGCGTCAAGCTTCACTATCCAGCCAAGGCTTCGTCTCTTGTCAAAGACGAGGGCGGTACTATCACCGCCATCAAGATCGTGGATTCCAACACGCAGACCGAGTCTACCATTCCTTGTACGAATCTGGTCGTCTGCGCGGGACCCTGGACCCCACAAGTCTTCCAGGACCTATTCCCGACCTCGAAGGTCTCCCTCCCCATCTATGCCCTCGCCGGGTACTCTCTTGTCCTTCGATCCCCGAGACACACACTGGAGCATGAGCAGAACTCATACGGCGGTCTGTGCCATGCCCTCTTCACAACATATCCCCCATCCTGTGGCTTCAGCCCGGAACTGTTCTCGCGAGAGGGACAGGAGATCTACATTGCGGGCTTGAACAGTAGGGATATCCCGCTTCCGAAACGTGCGGAGGACTTCCATGCGGCAATGGACCAGGAGCAGATGGACAGATTAAAGGCCGTGACAGTCCGTTTGCTCGGAAAGCTTGCAGAGGGAAGCGTGGAGTCGAGTGACGACGTCCTGAACGTTGACGACCTGGAAATCACCCGCGAAGGATTGTGTTTCCGTCCGGCTTCGGAGCGTGGCACGCCTTTCGTCACAAGGATCGAGGACAGCCTACTGGGAGACGGTGTTAAGATCGGAGCAGGCGAGAAGAAGGGAGGCGTGTATGTTGCCTCGGGTCACGGTCCGTGGGGAATTTCCCTTTCTCTGGGCACCGGCAAGGTCGTTGCCGACATGGTGAGCGGTGTTCAGCCCGCGGCCGATGTCAGTGGGCTGGGCGTATAGAACGCGGATCGGAGCAACGACCCTGTAACTTGGTTTATTTCGAGCATTTTGTAGCAGAATCGATTAAGCGTTTCTAGTTAATTTCACTTTTTACAAGAAATAATCCCTATTTCCTCCAGCACAGTAGGACGGATGACTAATGAGCTGTCACATGGCGGCCTGAGGCACCAGAAGCTTCTCCGGCTTAGTCATGGCCACCGCCCGCAGATCGAGCTCTCTCCAGAATCTTCAATCAAGAGCTGGGGAGACCTCGACGATCGGAACATCTGTGCAGCGCTCCTCTATCTCCATCTCCTCACCCTTTTCTCTAACCTCTCCTCACCCATCTGCCGAACCAGTCTCACGCCTTCCATCCGCCTACCCCACCGTTCCCCAGAATCGAGCTCGGCGCAACACCAACCACCATGGCCAACTACCTCGCCTCCATTTTCGGTACCGAGCAGGACAAGGTCAACTGCTCCTTCTACTACAAGATCGGCGCGTGCCGGCACGGAGACCGCTGCTCCCGGAAGCACGTCAAGCCCTCATACTCGCAAACGGTCCTGATGCCCAACATGTATCAGAACCCGGCCTACGACCCCAAGAGCAAGATGAACCCCAGTCAGCTACAGAACCACTTTGATGCGTTCTACGAGGACGTGTGGTGCGAGATGTGCCAGTACGGCGAGCTGGAAGAGCTGGTGGTCTGCGATAACAACAATGACCGTGCGTTGCCCTCCAATCCCCCCCCCCCACATCACATCCCTTTGAATACATATACATGTACATGATAGTAGACTAACATTTAAATCTCCTCATAGATCTCATCGGAAACGTCTACGCCCGCTTCAAATACGAAGAAGACGCCCAGACGGCCTGCGACGCGCTGAATAGCCGGTGGTACGCGGCACGACCCATATACTGCGAACTATCGCCGGTGACGGATTTCCGAGAGGCCTGTTGTCGGTTAAATAGCGGCGAGGGCTGCGTGCGTGGGGGGTTCTGCAATTTCATCCACCGCAAGGACCCCGGGCCTGAGCTGGACCGGGATCTCCGCCTCAGTACGAAGAAGTGGCTGAAGGAGCGTGGTCGCGATGCCAGAAGTGTCAGCCGCAGTCCCAGCCCCGAGCCGACCCGGAAGAGGTATTAGTTGTTGTGGTGGCCGCTGGGCTGAGTACATCATCATCGTGGTTGTTGTTGTTGTTGGTTTGTTGCTGTTTTTATACTATGCGGCGTTGGGGAGAATGACATCCTTCTGTCAAGCTGTATTCCTACTTTAGTTGCGTGTTTCTTACTTATGCCATGATATCAACTGGTCGCATTTGCGATAGCCGCGAATTGGTCGGACGATAATGAGACGAATGATCATTGAGCAGACTTGCATTAAGCGGTAAATGATGCTATAGAGCCTTGTAGTGGCCGTACTCCGTCCTTCATCATACAAAGAACCTCCAGTCTTGGCGCTCCAGACCCAATAACGCGGGGCCCGTCGCGTCCATCGATCGCGTCGTCGTCGCATTTCTTTGTCCAGAACTTTCCCCGCACGAACAACTTCCCCCAGAATCAGCGCAGAACAACCACTTCGCCCCCCAAACCGATACCCAGTCACCCATAACCCAGCTCTCCCTTCATCCAGCTCTGTCAACACACAACACTCCCTCCCCCAGACACAACCGCCAAAATGCCCCGCCACGACGACGATGACTACGACGACAGCAACCGCGCATTTCTTCAAGCCTTCATGGCGCGATCCACGATGACCTTCAGCGAAGCCAAGCCGGTATTAGCAGCCATTCTCTCCGCAGAAGGTGCCTCCTCCTTCCCATACCCTCCCCCCAAACCCCCTCTCTCCCTCACAAAAAGACCAAAACTAACTCTCCCTCCCCCGCAGCCCCCAACCCACCTCCCCCACCCAAATCACCGAAGAAACCTTCCAAACCTACATCGCGGCCACCAACAGCGCCATCTCCCCCTTCGACCTCGAAGTCCGCAGCATCCAGCCGCAACCTGAACTCGAATCCCATGACGACCCGCACCCCGCAATCCCCGAACGAGTCTACGCCCTGGTCAACACAACCAGCGACGCGCTGACCCAGCTCGCGACCACCTTCTCCGCCGATGAGATCGCTTTCGTGAAGCGCGTGCTCGACGCCATGTTCGAGACGTATAATACCCGCCGCGCCGAGGTGATGGTTATAAGTAGTATGCAGGCGTTGCAGTTGGCGAAGGTTTCGGGGTCGGAGGCGGGGAGGAGGGAGTCCGGTGTGCAGGGGCAGGGAACACAAGCTGGGGGGGCGGCGCAGTCGTTGACCATGTCGCAGGCGGAGATGATGTTGAAGCAGTTGGTCGAGCAGGGGTGGTTCGAGAAGAGTCGCAAGGGGTATTTTCGGCTGAGTCCGCGAGGACTCATGGAGTTGAGGGGATGGTTGGTGGCCACGTATAATGATGACGCGGAGGGGATTCGGAAGGTCAAGTTCTGTGCCGCGTGTAAGGAGATTATTACTGTGGTGAGTTTGTTCCTTCTTTTGGCATGGATTTTTGGGTTTTCTTTTCTTTTCCTTTATTTTTTTTTTCTTTTTCTTTTCGCTTTTTTGGCTTCGGGGAATGCATTGGCTGACCATGTATGTTATGTGTATAGGGCCAACGGTGCGAAGACCGGGATTGTCCGGGCAGATTGCACGATCACTGCATCCGACGGTTCTTTCGCATGCAGAAGGCCGACACCTGCCCCGTGTGTAAGAAGCAATGGCCCGGGGATAAGTTTGTTGGCGAGCGCGCGATCACCAGCACTGCGCCGAGTGGGCAGCGGAGGAGACGCACCACGAATAATGAGCCCCAGGCGGAGGCGGGCCCGAGCACGGAGGTTCCGGCGGTTCTGGCTGTTCCTGATATCGATGAGGATGAGGATCAGGCGAGTGAGTGAGTGAGACTTAGCTGAGCTGATGGGGCATTATTGAGGTGATGGGATATGATAAGATGTGATAAGATGAGATGAGGTTGCGAGCCTGCTGAAAGGCCGTAGACTGAGCATGGCGTCTTTCAGATGCAGACAGCGTGATTCTTTGGGATTTTATTTCCCAGAGGGTGACCATTGCAGTGTCTGAGATATGAAGGCCGACAGACAGACAGACCACGGAATCCTGTCCGTGAAGAGCCTGCCGCTTCCCGCCCACTTGAGGATGGGATGGGGGTCTGAAGCGGAGGACTTACGACGAACCATTTACGAATATCTTCAGTCTACTGTCCCTGTGCGGTCGATGGACACGTCTAAGATTGTGGAAGATAGCAAGGCGTCGGATGTTATGAGACGCAGGCAGAAACGATACCAGATACCAGATACCAGCTACGAGATTCCATGAACAAAAGTTCAAATTCATCGCAAGCATTATTTCAAGAGTTAACTGTCGCTTCTTATGTGCTTTGACCCCAGCATAAATGACAGAAAGACAACTTAAATCCGAAAAAAGCAACACGAGGCAAGGAAAATCAATCCCGAATCCGAGAATTAAGATAAATGCGAGAAAATTCCGAACCCGATAAAGCAGCATAAAAAGAATGTTGCAACCAGATGTCACAACAATCCGTTGTCAGAAACATTGGCGATCTTTCGAAGCACAAGCACCAAACTAACCCAGGCAAAATAGTGGACGCCATCATTTCCTTTGCAAGAACAGGTCTTCATTAATAGATGAGGTCTTCCAAGGAAACGCGTCGCTCCGAAGCCCAGTCCCGAGCTGTCTTGCCATCGTTACCCCGGATATCCGGATCAGCCCCATACAGCAGCAGCCACTTCGCGGCGCAAGAACGAGTCCTCCGAGACTCAGGGGTATTCCAGCCTTCTGCAAGTATCATATTCAACGGGGTCATGCCGTTTGCGTCAGGCACATCGGGGTCAGCTCGGTTCTCTAGCAAGGCGCGGATGATCAACACAGAAATGTTTGTATGCTGGACAGCGCAATGCAATGGGGTCCAACAGCGGGTAGAGGGGGAGTTGGCCGCGGGGATGGGCCGCTGCCGTTGTCCCACGTTCATGTCACTGTTAGTGAGTGCCTTGACGTCTGGATCGGCGCCGGACTCGAGAATGAGATTCACGATGGCGAGGCAGCCCAGTTGAACGGCATAGTGGAGCGCAGTCAGGCCGTTGCTCGATTGAAGGATCACGCTGCCGCCGTGGTCAATGATAAATTCGATCACGGTGAGTCGCGAGTATGAGTTGTTTCTGATCGTCCCATCAAAGGCGTACATCAGCGGAGTGCGGCCACTATCGTCTCTCCTGTTAATCACGGCGCCGCCCTCGCTATCGTTATCGAGAAGATACTGGATGGTGGCCTTCTGCAAGCCCCAGGCGGCGAAATGAATGATCGGGATGCTTCTAAACTTCTCGCCCAGTCTCGCATGCTCCACCTCCGAAATGACGTATAGGAACCTGAAAATGTCGACATGACCACACATAGCAGCATACTGAACCACATCCGGCTCGGTGTCGCATTCAACGGCAAGACGCCCGTCATAGAGAATGGAATAACTGGTCATCATTTCTTTGACGAGAGTGAGGTTCTGACTGTCGATGGCACCGAAGAAGTGATAGTGGCAGATGGTGGGGTTGAACGTGAGCAGCAGTCGCACCGTGTTTTCATACCGCGTGTCACAGCACGTCAGATACAGGAGGCGCTGGAGTTCATCGTCACGGAATCTGACGCCGGCGTTGAGAAGAAAGGTCAGCGTGATCAGCAAATTGTCCTCGCCGGACTCTCTGAAGCGTTTATCGACCGACTCCGAATCGATTCCACAAATTCCAGGCTCTATGGCGCCACAGAATGCCCGCCTGAGTGTGTCTCGAGTGATGATTTTCGGCGACATCTCCCTGCCATATTCCAGAAGAATGATCAGGGCCTCGAAACACCACACACTGGCACCCATAATGACGGCATCCGCCAGTCCTTCGGTCGGTCTATTCTCAATTGGCTTTGCCATGTGGTGTTCGATGATCACCCTGAGAACTGCCACATGGCCGTGGCGCACCGCATCTTCCATCGGGGTAATCCAATGCGCCAGGGTCCGGGGCACGGGGTTGGCTCCAGCAGCCAGCAGGATCTTGGCGAGCTCGGGATGTCCGTGGATGGCGGCATAGTGGAGAGGCGTGATCCGTCGAGGCAGTTCATTACCGAATCCTAGCTCTCCGGGACCTGCGTCGAAACGAAGCAGCAGCTTGACGGCCTCCAGGTCGGGAGGGTCTTTGCTGATGGCCTTGTGCAGGGCGGAGAACCCGTACGCATCCTCTCTATCGATGCTTCTTCCGCATCGGATCAGAGACAGCATGTGCTCGTGGTCCCGGGCCTTTGCTGCGTCAAAGAACAGATCGGCGTCAGACTGCACCATTGTGACAGGCACCGGCGGAAGTGTGGTTTGTTTGCCTTTCTTTAAGGGAGGTTGGATAAGCGGGCTTTGTTGCAAGTAAATCCGGCGGCGTAATTCTTTTTTTCAAGATCTGTGCGGCGTCAGCATCTCAGCTGAAAACACACTCCGGCGTACTCAACTCACCCCTCACCACTAACCCCTCAATCGCGTTATGACGCTGTCAAGCAGGCCGGTGCCGTGATTCTTAGCTATTTAAGAGCAAAGCTGGTTTAGCAGATGCTGATACAGCTTATTATGCGTAACTGGATCAAGTAATGCGAGCTGCACGCTCCCATGCAAGCAATCACACATCCAGGCGCGAAGGAAGAGGCCAAAGAAGTGAGAGATGGAGAGACAGGAGAGAGAGGAGGAGAAGGAGAAGGAGAAGGGGGGCGAAGGCTGGCGCGCCCACTTAATGCTCCATCCAGCAGTGAAGGGACGCCGCCACGTGATACCAGAAACGGCCGCCCCCAAAATCAAATTCCCTCTGCCTTGATGAATTGATTCACTGGAAGAAATTGTAGCTACTTTATATGATGTAGGTGCGGCAGCGGTGGATATCATACAGCTGCGCCAAACATTGGACCCCTCTATTTGAATTTATACAATTGTGTTTGTTATCAAATTGGCCATGCAGCTAGTAGCTTCCATGATAGAAACCCCAGAGGGAATATCAAAAAAGCAGTTACAGTGGACATGATGTAGATGACGTGGGAGGCAGACTGGAAGATAGAGTAGGCTTCGCCATAACAGGGTATACAGTTGAATCGAGAAGGATAAGTTTTCAGTCTACCTGTCACTGTTGATATTCTACAGAATCGAAAAAAAAAAAATATGGTAGAAGCTCTAGATTACGCTGGAAGGGATATGTATGATATTACTTCGATATGACCCTGATTTGCTCGGTGGTTTGCTGAGCTGTATGTAGTAAGCGAGCAGGGCGATCCTGATAATTCACCTTGAAGGACTGCAGTGCATATAGATAGTAGGCGGAAACATAAATTCAAGAAAGTCAAGTATTCCATCCAAACATAGGAGGAATTATGCCTTTTGTTTCTTCTTTCTTCTTTTTAGTGGTATATCAAAAAAATCCACCTCATGAACCACCGTCTCCTCCAATCAAAACGCCAACAGCCGAAGCGGCGGAGAACCAGTGGAGACTGGAGCTATCAGACAATGAGATGGAGATACTCGCATTGGATTGGATTGGATTGGATTGCTTTCGTTTCGTTGAGGTTGAGGAAGGAGTGAGAAGAAGGCCAAGGTAGGTGGGAAGGCGGGGATTGAATGGGACGGTTACCTACCTTTCAGGTACTATACAGGAGTATGGGGTTGGGTTGGGTAGATACCTGGGTATTGGGTAACTAGAGGGGTGATTGATTGATGGCTCTTGGCATGTAAATGTAGTCCTTGCATGTCTCACTAGGTACTGGGGTACTTGGTATGAAAAAAGAAAAAGAAAAAAGAGGGTTTAGATTTCCGGATACTATCTAGGTAGTAGCTCTTTTAGTACATTTTCCTTCCCCTTCAATATCCTCACCTCCCCCCCCCACATCTCCTTGATATTTTTTATTTTCGGCAATAAAGCGGTGATTTGGAAAGATTGCAAAAAAAAAGGAACAAGAAAACAAGCGGATTGGGAAAAGCATTTTGATCCTTTCAACCGGTCGAATCTGCAACGCATCAGAGAGAGAGACAGAGAGACAGAGAGACAGAATTGGAGCTTTTGTGTGGTCAATGCTCTCTGAAGCATGTCAAAATCCACGTCAACGGAGAGAAAGTAGCAGTAACAAGGAAAGGAATGGAAATGAAATACAAAGTGGAATGTCCTTTTCATGCTCGAAGGTGAATGGGATCAATTCGCGAAGACTTGGAAGACGAAAAAGGGAACCGTGGCTCGTTCAGGTCCTCTGAAGCACGTAGGGGACTGAAACGAAGAACGAGAGGTTGTTTTGAATGGTCGAGGGTCAAAGATCAATTTGGGAAGTCTTAGAAGACGAAAATGAAAATCTTGCGTGGTTCATGTCCGCTGAAGCACATAGGGGAACGAAATAAAGCACTAGATCTGAGTTCGGATGGTCGAGGGCGAGGAAACCCGGATTTTCAAAGATTCAGAGAGGGTTCATGCTTTAAGATCGAAGCCGGGGAAAATCCTCGGGCACAAGCCAACCATGCCGCAGACAGGCTCGTTGGAAGTCCTCAACCGCGCCACCGAACGAGTAGTCCATGCCGTATTGAAGCCGAGCGGGCCGCGGATCGGTCGAGCAGAGCGCCATGCGCACCTGCAGAAGCACGCTCTCCATGGTTGTGGTGGGAAGCCAACCCGAGCTCGTGAGAAGTTCCATGCACATCGCGCCGCCGATGGTGACATGGCCGCCGCCGTTCTGCGTGAAGGGGAGGAACCGGGGACGGATGACGCGGACGAACGGGGGGGTGAGAGGGAAGTTGGGTGGGAAGCGGAGCTCAAGGACGACGCTTGCGAGTTTGTATTTCTTCAGGTCTTGGGCCAGAGGCAGCCCAGGGTCGAAGCTGTGGAGCTCGACGATCCACTGGTAGACGGTGTTGATGAGAGTCGTGTCGACGTACCAACCGAGTTCGTGCAGGGGGGTCCGATCTTGCACTTTCAGTGTCTCTCGAAGGTGTCGCTGCAGGGACTGGGTTGCGGTCGATGAGGCGTAACTGGGTGGCTCCAGGAGTTGCAAGCTCTCGCTGTGTAGAGTCCCCGGTCGGAAATCGGTCTTGGACAGGTCGTCGTGTGCGTAGGTTCTCTTTGACGCCTCGCAGGAACCCAAGTCTTTCATCTCCTCATCCTCCGTATCCGACTCGAGTAGTCTGAGATCTTCGGCAAGGGTTGCCACGCTATCCGTGTCTGCTACCTTGTCGTCATCTAAGACGATCACGGTTGCCCCCTTGGGTATTCCCTTTCCAGACAACTTCCGCTTCTTTTTGGCATGGCCTGAAGCGGGATTGCCTGCCTCTTTCAGTACCTGAGTAGTCTCCTGACACTTGCTGTTCCGGGTGCCCAGAGCAGATATAGGAATGTGGATCGCGTCTCGGTTCGGGCCCAGGACTGGATGTTGCGGATCCTGCGTGTATGTCTGCGTTGGCACTGTGCTGGCCTTCCACTGGTTCCTGGGACTCTCACACATGAGGAACAGGTAACGCGGCTGGATCCAATCCAATTGAGAGACAACAAAAAACGGGCTGCTGCACAAAAATGTCTTGGGTGCATTGACAACTTCGTTCAACGAAATCGCGCCGGTAATCTTTAACTGACTCTGACCCCACCCAGTTGCATTGGAGCTCACACGAGTGTAGCCATATGAAGTAAGAAAATCCGATGCCATGTAAACCCCGTTCCCATAGGAGCGACCGTGTAGCACCGTCTCGAAGTTCAAACCCTGCCTCACTATGTTATGCCAGTTGTGGAGCGGGCTTCCATGCCATGCAAACAGGGTAGGGTGCTTTTTACTGGAGGCGCACGCGATCGCTTGAACGAACCTCTTTTCCTTATCTGGGGATCCTTGTGCCAGTCTGAATTGCATGTAGCCCTGCATGCCTGTCACCTGGTGTTTGGGATCGTCATCGTGTACAATGCAGGATCGATTCGAGGCGACAATCCACCGCAAAACGTACAGCGCTGATGGGGATATTCTGTGAGTCCAGGTCGCGAGCGGCGTGTTTTGCTCCGGGCTTGCACCATTCGTGATATACTCCTTCATCGCATGCACATCAGGGAGGGTGTCGAGGAGAGTGTTGATCGCTTCCATCTTTAGCTGGAGGTTCAAATCATCAAAGTCAACGTTGTAGGGAATGAATGTGACATCTCGCCATGTATGCTTCCATGAATCGTCTCCTTGCACAAACCCCACGGGTACTGGCGCGGAAAGCGACATATACTTGCATCCATCTGTGCCTAGCACGGTGCAGTGTAGCGATGCAGATTTCTGCTCTAATGAGGCGCCCATGGTATTCTTTATAACGATCCACTGCCCCACTGCCAGCTCATGGCTGCCGTTTACCCCAAGAATCATCTGTCGGGCATCGAACGTCGCAAACTGGGCCGGACAGTTGTAATTCGAGTCAATCGCACTGGGAACCTTCAGCCCCAGTCCCACGGGAAGTTCCGTAAGATTCCTGGTCATAGCTCTTACATACGTAAAGCTGACAAGCATGTCAACTACGTATGGCTGTGAGACGATCTCCCATTCCAGCTTGGGACCCATACCGAGTTGCATGTACTGATAAAGGCACAAGGGGTTGGAGCAGACATATGGCTTGAGTGCTTCAAAACCGGCGTCTATCTTGCAATGACAGTTAAGGCAGAACTCGGTACACTTGACAAATCGACGAACGGTATACTGCATGGCGACTAGAGGGAGGGCCAGCTCGACCGTATTCTGCTGCTGGGATAGTTCATCGGCTTTGACAAAACCTGGCGTGGATTTGCTCCACTGCTCTGCACAGCGATATTTGGAATGAAGTAGCTTTTTGGGACCGAGAGGCTTTCCCTGATGGTCGTTGTAAAACAGTTCGGCTCCTGTCCATGAGAAACCATACTCGAGTCGGTCTCGGATCAGGTCCAAGAAGCGCTCTTTAAAGAGACCTTGCAACGGATCGGTGATGAAGGATGATTTCATCCGAGACTGCGTTTCGGAAGTAGATGCACCTGGGCTGAAAATCTGCTCCGACACGTTGGCATGCGAGGCATCGGGAACTGATACCATGGTGGGCTTGTACGTGCCACAGAAGCCGATGTACACCCGGACCAAGTCTGGGCTGGCGTCGGGTTGTGAGAGAATGCGGTCTAGCCCAGCATAGCCCTGTGGGTAGTGGAGCAAGAGGACTAAGAACTGCGAAGGAAGGATATCCCACATCTGCATGGCATCCTCGGAGATTCCCAGCTTCGCAACCCGGCAAGAGATCGACACTATGAGAGCGCCTGTCTGATCGCCCAGATAACCAACTTTGAAGCCTGCTTCCTTCACGGCGCGGAGATCAACTCGCAGCCGCTTCAGGTCGGTAGAGTTGAAGAGGTCTGGACCGCTGGTCTGATCCCAGTCCATGTCATCGGGCTCACCGTTGCTGTCGAAATCATCGGTCGGCAGAGAATCCGCGTCTATGTCTTGTGGCAGAACGGCTTGGTCGAGGCAGTCACGGAAGCCTTCCAGGAAGACATCCAGCGCGCAGCCCTTGAACATAACCGGGATCGACTCTAGAGCCGGGGCGATGGCCTGGGGAATGTTGTCTCCTTCCGAGAAGGCGAAATAAGTGTGATCGTCCGGGTACCCCGAGACATCTCGCAGTGAAGTCAGCGCTGCTACCCAGCACAAGCCCTCTACCATCTCACATACCTAGAATGGCAACATTAAACTCGATGGAGTGAGGTCCGAGGCTGAGCGGAAAGGTGTAGGTGAAGACGATGGTGCTGTCCTCCTCACCGAGCTCGACATGATGGATGCGTTGGAAGCTTCCCGGCGCGGAGACCAGCGAGAAGTCCTGGAGGAAGTTCTTTCGAGGCATGCTGGCCAGGGAGTTGCAACAGCCGATCGTCTGCTAGTATCGGGATGGGGGTACATGTACCAGGAAGATGGCAAGCGAGATAGATGCAGGAGCAAGGAGTGGAGGCGGTTCAAAGTTCCGTGGTGCAGAGGGCAGGCGGGGAAGTGAAGGAACAAACGTTGGGGAGGCCGACATCAGGCTGACTTCAGCTGGCTTCCGCTGGAGGGAAGCTTCCGGCAAGTCAACGGCGCGTTGGCAATGGGCTGAAGCAACGTGTTTCTGAACGGCTTCACGTATTCTCAGGTACGGCATACATCTGCACTGATGATACTGATGGAAGAAGACCAGCTGCTCGCAGCCAGACCCCACCCCTGGAGGCGAAAACAGCCAATCAGATGTCGGCTGTCAGGTACCTCCTCCATTCACTCCACTTGGGAAGTACTCCTCTAGACTCTAGATACGATGAGCGTACGATGTAGATCTAGTTGATATGTGGATAGACGTGGCGTCGTGGTTGGCGGGTATTAAGAACTCAATATCTACTTATTCCTCCTGTGATCCGAGGGTGGAGCCAGCCACTGCACGCTCTGGTGTCTGGTACCTTATATAACTACTCCATTCCCAGAATCCATCTCTTCCTTCTACCTTCTGCCCTTAATTTGTCGCTGTTGCACTTGAATCCGGAGCCCCCCCCCGCCCAGCCCAAAACCATCGATCCCAATGCCCCTCACAATATGATTGAACAACCAGCCGTCGTGCTATTTGGGAAACGAATCGATCAGCGGCCGTCTAATATTCCACTGCTCGAGCCCGACAAGTATCCGAGACATCCGAGCGACGTTCTCGGGGCGTGTAAAAGCGAAGGTGCAAAAGGTCAACGGTTCGGCAGCTCCCGCAGCCAGCTATCGTAGCCAGTGTGTGCTCTTCGAAAAGGAACGGATTCTGTCGCACATGAATGGCGGGACACTCGTCCCAGGCACATACGAATGGCCGTTCGACTTTGTCTTCCCGCTGCATGTCCAGTCATCTGGGTTTGAGATGGTCAGAAACGCTTCTTTTCCGCAGCGATGAAAACCATCCATTACCCCCGACATTTGCGGCAGAAACCAGTGACTCTCTGCGGAGGCTCGACTGTGAGATTGATTACCGACTCCATGCGCAAGTGTAAAAGCCACATCAGGGGTTTATCAGAAGGAACTCACCGTTATTTTCTGAAATCGTTCGCTTGAAGTTCATACCTCTCTCCGCAAAATTGGACACGGATGGGGATGACGATCACTCCGCCATGTATCGACAACAACAAGAGCAGATGTTCAATATTCGCAGTATGCTTTTGCTTCCAGAGAGCCGAGGGAGGGATCTAAAGATCCACGAAAAGATCTGCTCCTGGCTTTCGCCCAGTCAATTGCCAAGGTTCAGCTTCAGCGCATCTTTCTCCTACCCCACGCGTGTGATACAGTCCTCACCACTTCCATGCTTCTCGGAGATCATCCCATTCATGGAGTATTCCTCGGGAAGCTCGCCCCCGGAGATCACGATGGAATCTGTTATTATCACAGTAGTCAGCCAAACTGCTGCGCGCGCGGCACCGTCCTTGATGGGAGCAATATCAGGCCAAGCCAACGAACGCATCGAGGTATTATCCAGGACCTCTCTCGGGATGTCGGTGTCGGGCAAAGTGGATTTGGCGCAGGCGTTTGGTCCCCTCGTGCTCAGACATACGGACGTATCTTTCAGCACGTTCAACATCAGCAGGTCGTATCGACTCTGGGCTTCGTTCAGATTTGAATGCGCGGGAAAGACCGCCGAGTTTAACCTTCCTGATCTTCCGATTGAGGTCATGGTGATGGGGGGGAATGAGAAGAGACGGGGGCAAAGTAATATGTCTCCGCCGTCGTACACGTCTGCGTCGACACTTTCGACACGAACGTTTGAGAAGTCATAGTTTAGGGTGTTTGCATACGGTATGGCTGGTCCAAAGCAGGGTAATGGCTTTCAAAAAGTATCGAGGGCTGTTGGCTGAGCCTACCGATTGCGTTCCCTGCCGTGATGATTTAACAATATTAGCAAGAAAGCTCCAGACGTGTAAACGAAACCGGGGTATGGAATCTGAGGTAATGAACACTTGATATATAGCGATGTTGTTTGTGTGGGAGTACGTCATATACTTTCAAATGTAGCCGTCTTACAGCGTCCATCGATGTGTCACGGCCAAGTAGGAGATTTTGTTTCGATGGTGGGGGGGGGTGTTTGTCTCTGTGTGCGACCCTGCCAACGCTCGCCTCCCCCTGACTCTCCCACTCTCCTCGAATCAAGAACAGCTACCATCACACTGGGCCCAGCGACAAAGGCGAAGCTTGACCTGATTAGCAAAACCTGCCTCGGCGTCACTTATAGACATCCAAGTGATTACAGGGGTTCAGTAGCGTTCCCTTCCCCAGCTTCCCATGTTTTCCAAACTAGGTTGGCACGAGCTAATATGATGTCTTATCTTGTTTCAGGACTTCATTAAGTTACGTTACTGCGATAAAGATACATTTCAACCCTATCACAAGGTCATACGGCAATACTTCGTCTGGGCGTGTCAACCGGGATTTCGAGTTTGTCTTTGGCAGCTCCTACCAGAAGGTCCCCGGGTTTGTGTTCGACGTCTATAGTTATTCCCGAGAACAATGGCAAAAGAAAAGAACAGGGATTACAAAGTAGTCTGTCATGCTTCGTTGCCATCTTCAAGTGTTTGATGCGGTTGCAAGGAAACCCAAAGCATGTCAGTTTTGTTGGTTGAGGCGAACGTCGCTGACAAAACACGTTGATCTACAGAGTCCATCGAGAAGCTCTACCGGGACATACTCTGACAGGGATCCTGCCCAGATCGGGTTGGCGTCTCGCTAAGCCGTCAGCCGACAGCTGGCTCGCCATCCGTGGCCTTCTCGCCCAAGGCAACGATCAGAAGCACATACCATACCTCCAACCGTCCTATACAATGTCGCAGGCCATCTCGAAGCGGGAAAAGAAGCGGACGCAAGACCGCAACGCCCAGCGGGCCGCTCGCCAACGCACCAAGGATCGTCTTGCGCTTCTCGAGCTCCAGGTCTCCCAGCTGCAAGGCGGTGCGGATAAAGCGCTCTCCGATGAACTCGAGCAAATGCGCAAGGAGCGCTCCGAGCTCCGCACCTTGACTGACCATTTGATGGCCATAGCTGGTGCAATGAAGTCAACGTTGGGTTCGAGTGACGATGCGCCTATGCGACCACCACCCCACGAGGGAGAGATCCCGAATGCCGGTCTGATCAGCCACATCTTCCGCGATTATGAATCGCTCAAAGCCGTTGGACCTACTCCGATCTTGCCTCTTAGCGACACTCACATTATTGTGAGTGGGATTTTAAACGGCTGGGACGGTCCGGTCAACGAAGACGAAAAACCCATTCAGCGTCTGATGGCTTATTTGCATCAGCGGTTCATGCTCGAGCGACCACTGGCGAGGCCGATGGACCAGCTCGGTCTGTTGTACCTGGTTCAGATGGCTTTCTTGGTGCGAATCCCATTCCTCAAACCCATTTGCATGGCTGATGCGATTATAGTACCTGCTCGCCCAGCACAAAGGCAACCGGTATCATCTCTCCCAGATTCCTGGTTGGCTTCGTCCACTGTAAGCTTCCCCGCCGCTTCCCGGTACCTTCTAACTCACTCCCCAAAGACCAGCGCAGATGAAGTCTCCCCACAACATCTCCATCGACATGCTCCCATGGTAGGTATTCTTATCCACCCCCGTCAAATCACTTACTAATCGCTCCAGGCCCCAGCTACGGGCGCACCTGCTTTCCAGCCAAGTGGAATCTGCCGTGACAACCAACACCGAGCCGTGCGAATCCTTCGCATTGCATGCACTTCGCAACGTCTACTTTTCCCCGCAAATAAATTTCGAAGATGCCTATAGCATGGGGCCTGATCGCAGACTGGCTGTCAGCCCACAATTTCAACAGTACTTTGCTCCAGATTCCATCGCATGTCCATTTGCTGTTGATTCGGAGTTTCTCCGCGAGTACCCGGACTTCCATGGCATCATACCAGAGTTCAAATCCCAAGAAAGGCCGAGGAACACATTTCACGACGCTTCCTTTGAACTGTCCAGCCTCTCTCCGTTTAGCCAGCCACGTCTCACTATGGATGACTGCGCTGCCTCAGAATCGGCTTTGACTTGGAATAAAACTTCCCCTTTCGAGGACAAACAGCGTCCTACTACAGAAACTTTGGATGTTTCCCGACACAATATTCAACCGTATATTGCTTCGCCGCTCGAGAATAGGAACGCCCCGAAAGACACTGATCAGCGTTACGAACAAGCATGTCCAGATGGGGACATAGCGGAGAATTTATGCGGCACTGAGCTCAGCGAACATTGGCACGATTCTCTAGATATCATAACCAGCGGAGAGTCTAGCGCAGATTGGCTTCTCAGCTCAGCGGACTATGTAGACGGTAATGATTTACTGGACTTCGAGGGTGGTTCTTGACACATACAGGCAGTAACAGAAGGCCACGCTAACATACATCCTAACTACTTATTCCTTTCTAGTGTTTCTGAATACTGACACCACATTATAGTATCCCACAAGGCTAGCCCACTGCAACAGACATATTTCCCATCCAAAAAACAAAACAAGCCAATTCCAGCAACACCATGCCGTCACAACATTCAACTAACTTTTACCAACATCATTCTCAACATCACACCCACTCTTCCCATCACCATCATCACCGACCAACCCAAACTCCATCTCAAGCTGCTCGCGCATCTTCACCTCCTTCACAACCAACGCAACCACAAACTTCAACACCCCAAACGCGATCCCGACCTGCCACACCAACGTCAAACTATCCACATAGACGCCCAAAGCCTGCGCCTTGACTACGGGCGTTGAATCCAAAGACCACATAAACGTCCTGGACGCCAACGCATACGCGCCCCCATCCCTCAACTCCCCACGCACCACAACGCTCTCCACCCACCCCAACAACGCATTCACCCTCGGATTAAACACCGTCGACGGAATCGCCACGCCCCAAATCCCTCCAAAGCTGCGCAGAACCCACCACGCCGCCGTCGCAACGGCCACATCTTCCTCATCCCACGGCGCCTGAATTGCCGGCAACGTCGTCGTGAGAAGAACCCCACTCCCCGCCGCCACCAGAATCTGCACCCCAGCCCAATACCCCGTCGACGTCGTCGCATCCAACCGCGCCAACAACCCAAACGCTACCGTCAACAGAACCGTCCCCGTAAACTGAAACGGCCGATACCGACCCAGCGAGACGTACCCAGAAACGTCAGCCTTTGGCTGATGTTGGCGTTTCGGGGGAAGGAGAATATGTGCTATCCATTGTGATCACTGTGGTAGTAGATCTTCAGTTGAAAATGACTTGCAAAGTCTCTCAAGTAGCATTCTGGACATGCTGCGTCAAATCGAGGTACTATAAAAATGATATTGCTGTGCCTCAGGCACGAATCGACTGACACCCGTCCGAGCTGTGTTTTCTTACCAGTTAGCCGGCTTCCAGAAATTTCGAGGCCCTAACTACAGCACTGACGAATCTTAGCAAATCTGGCAAGTATTATCCTCATTCTCGCTGAGTCATACAATTATTCATAGACCACCAGACTCCCAATTTCCGGAAAGACTCCCAGCACACTAAATCCTGATCCTAGCCGAGCTGGTACCCTCTTGGGTGGGAGCCTGTTAAGATACTTAGACACGCCCGCATCTTATTTCCAGCCCCACTGTTTCCGAAACACCCACCCGGCGTTTCTCAACCCACGGGTTAAGATATGTTCTATTCCTTCCGCGGAATACCAAGTCACCACGATGCTATCGTACCTTGAGCAACTACGAAATAGGCGTACCGTCACCAAATCGGGGTAGCAGCACGATGGATACTAGCTGGGCAAGGCTCGGAGTCCCAATCCCGCGTGGACTGGTGGGATGAAAGTTCAAGCTGGATCGGCGTTTGCCAAACGGTACACGGTATAGTTCACGGATTAGCGTACCAGGTACAGTGCTGATGGTCAATGCTGAGTCAGTCAGGGGAGGGGTAATCATCACGCTCGTGGGAAAGGTTGTCGGTAAAAATTATTGCTGAGACTCTGTTCCGAAAAAGAAAAAACTCCTCCCTATCACAATGGCAAAACAGGAGGCTTATCATCTTCATCCAGCCGGCTGGGAAAACGACCCAGAAGAGGAGAGATTCAGATTCTCGACTCTCGACTACCTGACAGCTTGTAGCTTCAGCAACTACGCGCTATTCTTCAAGTTGGACGATGGAGCGAAGCAGAATGCAGTCGATGTACTCAAGGCAGGTCTTCAGCAGACTCTCAGTCAGGTGCGCCATCTGTGTGGAACAATCGAAAAGGATCCAAATGGAGGACATTCTTTCGTGAAAAGAAAAGAGAGCACAGTTCACCTTTTTGTTCAATGGCTCGATGGTGTGGGCGAGGATTATCCAACCTTCGACCATATCGAGGAATCCCATTTCCGTGGAACAGCACTGGGTGACCTCTCCCTCTGGAGTGTCTCTCCGATGACGTACGGGCAAACACCGGAAGCCCATCCTGATAGCAGCCCCGTCGTGGCAGCCTTCAAGGCGAATTTTATTCGTGGTGGGTTGGTCTTCAATATGCACCACCATCACTATGCAAATGATGTTATGGGCTGGACTGGATTCACGCACCAGCTGGCGGAGAATTGTAACGCCATTTTCACCAATCCTGCATTCCCAAAATGGGACCCGGCTTGTCTTGATCTCTCTCGAATCACAAAGCAGGAACCGCCAGAGGAGGCAAAGGTGGCCGGACCTGCACCAGCAGAGCACCCCCCAAATCACCGAAGTGAAGTATCCTTGCTCTTCCATCTCCCAGCGAGCAAGGCAGCAGAGTTGAAGAAGCTAGCCACTCCCACAGATGGCTCCTGGGTCTCGACTTACGACGCGTTCTCGGCCTTTATTTGGCGGATACTGTCTCGGCTTCGTGCCCCCATATTCAAGCTGGACATGTCATCGCACCTCTTTTGGTCTGAAAACGTCGACATGAGGCGACGGTTACAAAGCCCTAAATGCCCGCCTCGCACTCGAGGCAACGTCCTTTCAGGAGCAATATCCAACATCGCCCTGGTACCTCAACCGACGGCCGCTGAAGTTGTAACTGAGTAACCGCTATCTCAGCTAGCTTCGTACATCCGCAAGCTGACCAATAGCGTAACGCAAGAAAGCCTTGACCAGCAACTTGACTCCGTGGCGACCATCCGCGATAAGACGGCGTTATGTGTCCGCCTTCATTCGTACCCGCCCTTGACAATTATACAAACAGATCATCGTGACGCAAATGTCAATGTCGCTGACTTTGGATTTGCCACTCCCGTCACGTATCGCAATCTCTGTGATGATATTACCCAAGGTGTGATGTACATATATCCCCCGCGCCTAGGGCTAGGATCGGATGAGGGTTGCGAATTTTCCATCGCCTACGAGAAGCATCTAGCCCGAGAGCTCATTGAGGATCCTGAGTGGAATAAGTTCTTTGAATACCGGGGTGTGGATTGTGTCAACGCCAGAGATGGAGCTGAAAACGAGTGATGTGTCACGACCAAATTGAGTGGAATGGTCCTTATGCTCTACATTCCCCTGGTCTGCGTGCTCCGACAGAACGTTTACCTTGCATTTTACTACCCGTTGCTTTCCAAATCCAGGGTCTGTCAGTAGTATACTAGGGTGAATTTACTGTTCTGTCAAACCCACTGACGCCACGCTCAGTAGAGAACCAGTAGTACAGAACATATTTCGGAGCCCTGTCCATGCAGAATTGAGTAATGTCGTCTATATGTCATCCCAATGACTCGGAAACGACCTAGAATTAGCACCCAAACCCGGAAATCCCTACCAGCAACATAGCACAGACTTCGCACAAAGATCGTCAGCTTCCCCCGGAACAGTCAACATATGACAATAAACGTTGCACGAGGAAACCTGGATACCGGTAGCCAAGCTTCGAATACCCCCATCCCGAATGCTAAAATGAGCACCATTGAATTGTATATAAATCCGCTGCGATCTCTCCACGAAAGCAATTCCAACTTACCCAGAGCACATCGTCAGAGTCTCAACATCCTCAAAAGCCCCCAATTCCCAATACCTCCTCGAGCAAACAAACGAAGTCCAAAATGCATCCCTTCCAGACCCTCTCTCTGGCCGCCCTCGCCGCTACCCTCGCCCTCGCCGCAGACCCGGTCCCAACCCAGACCCCCCTCCCAACCGTCCACATCGGCACCATCCAAACCTGCGGCACCAACAAATACGGCCCCGACTACCTCATCTGGCTCGACAGCCAGTCGCCCTGCAATGGAACCGATCTCGGCATCGTCAACTCCTACCGCGATTACGGGCTTTGCGAACTCACGGCCCCGATCCCGGGCTACCCGAATTTGATGTTCTCTGGCTGCACCGAGCGGGTCACTCCCTATGGCCAGGCTGGAGCACCTGCATCCATCTCTGAGAATGGAAATGTTGTGATGCAATGCCAGCAGGTGGGACCGAGGCAGACGGAGTGCCCGTCGCCCTGTGGTGGTGGGCAGAGCGTGCAGGTCACTGCCAACTATACTTGCTCTGCTGTGCAGAACTCTTAGGCTGGGCTTTCTGCTCTGCTGCTCGCTCTCAGGGTGCTCCCAAGCGTGATTTGAGATTGTTACGGAGGAGATGGATGTCGTCGTGGGTCGTTGTGAGGTGTCGATGTTATTGGTTTGTTTACTGGACTCGCACTGTGGATTTTGTTTTGCGATTTTTGCGGACTGGCCTGGTACAAATGGGGAAGAATGATGGCAGCATTTTGTGTATTTATTCTTTCCCCGAGCATTCATTCAATGAAACCAATCGAGCCCTTCAATCCGGTGCCGACAGCCTGAAAGTAGGGGCTAAATCAAGATCGTGCCCGGCAAGTCTAGCATCTGGACATTCTATCGAGTCCATCGCAACAGCCCTACACCACAACAAGATGTCATAAACCTGAGATGATATACCCAACAATATCGGACTACCCCCCCTCCCCGTAGTTCATCTGCTCCAGGGTGACACCTCGTCGCTCCAACTTTCTCGTCAATATAGGCATTCATTCCAGATTCGCTAAGATTGCTAATTCTAGCAATAAGATAGTGACAGCCAAGAGTCTGCCTTCTGATGGGGTCATGCATATGGAAGTAGAATGGTGAGGAAGGAACGGACCCAAAAGCAGAAGAAGATCTAGCATTCATCTCTAGACAAGGACTGACGATATAGTTCCACGATTGGCCAGTTGTTTCTGATAATGTGGGGGATCACGTGCGGTGATAGGGCCGGCCCGTTGCTTGCCTCGGATCCCAGGCACCGACGGTTCCCTTTTCCCGCGTGCTTCTGTTTGGATCGATTTCCTTTTCCCCACAGCCTCCTTCATTGCTACCCCATCCTCCGAGCATGGGCACCTACAATACCAGCCAGCCTCACTCGCCACCGACATCCAGCAAGATTCCATGTCGAGCCAGGTTGCCACCCCCGGTCAAGAGCGACAACGCTCCCGCCAGGCCTGCGTTCCGTGCCGTCAACGCAAACGAAAATGCGACGGGAAGCTCCCTTGCAGCACCTGCACGGGCTACGGCTACACCTGCGACTTCAAAGATGTCGCTGAGCAGAATTCCGCGAAACGCAGCGCTGAATCGGAAGGATACTCTCCACGGGTAGCAAAGGCCGTCCGCGTTTCTGCCGAACCCCACGATAGTCCCGCTGTCCCATCAGCCCAGCAGCACGGCGTCCTGGAGCCATCGAAACAGCGCTATGTTGGAAGACAGTCGTCGGTCGCATTCCCCCTGTTCGTTGGTTTAGATGTACAGGCGACGAACCCGCCCCGTTTGCACTCCTTCGCGTACAATGCGGGGATCAGGCGAGAGCCGGGATACTCCGTAAACTTTCAGGTGGCCGAGTACATCTCGTGGGATACGGTTAAGAGTCTGATCGATGTCTACATGTCTGCTATCCATCCCGTGTTCAAATTCCTGGACGAAGGCCAGCTGTACCAACGGGGCGAGGAGCACTGGAACGGGCAGCGGCAGGGCTCCAACTTTGAGGCGGTCATCAGCGGCGTGATTGCGTTGGGATCCCTATTCAAAGGAGCGCTGGGTCAAGAGAGAGAGATGAGGGTCGTGCGTCACGCGAAAGACATCCTGGAGGACTACGATGTCGGCCGTTCGCCCTGCATCGAACAGGTGTCTGCGTGGATTCTGCGGACGATATATGTCCGGGCAACAAGTCGACCGCATATTTCATGGCTCTGCAGTTGTACTATGATGCATCTTGTCGAAGCAACTGGACTGCACCATGAACCGGACGCCATGATTCTGCCCCCGAGCAAAACTGGTCCGGACTCAACGGGAGCTCGACCGGACACTGTCAAACGAATAGCACAGGTAGCCGAGTGCTTGCATGTCTTGATTGCTTATGACTATGGAAGATCTGTCATGAACATCAGCATTCATTCGCAGGAGCCTGTGCGATTCTTGATGTCGGATGCCGATTTTACTCCCCAGCTCTGTCAGCTGATTCAGTCTATGCCTGTGGGCCAGATGTTTCGGGACTCTGCCGTTGGCTCTCAACAGCTAGTACTCGCATTGGAGAAAGTGACGTCAGTTCATGTTGACCACGACTTCCTCATGTTGGTCCGAACCGACCTTGCGTTCTGTTTGTACCGTCGCCTTCGACTAGGGGATTCCCGTCTGCAGCAAGAACAACAGGATCTGGTGATTAGCACCGGTATGGCTGCACTAGGAGCAGCAAACAGACTTGCCGATCAGAACTGGCCCTGGTGGAATGTTTTGGGTACTGTGTTCCAATTTGTCTGCGTTCTGCTTGCCATGGATACACCGGCGAGTCTTGTGAAACTTCCAGAGTCAGTGAAGGCTCTGGAGACCATTTCAGGCTATCTGAACACCCACCTGGCGACCGAGGCTCTTGCAACTGCACGGCAGCTGATACGCGCTTCAATGGATAAGAAGCGGAAGGGCCTTACCTGCCTTGAAAGGGCTCTTGGGGACAACAATACTGAGTCGCTCACGAATACTGCAGCATATGCACCCGCGCCAATTGACGGGGCTTTTGATCCATTTTCGCAGTCTTTGCAATCCCCTTTCCTGGATCTGGACTTTCTGCTGGATATGGACTTTATGCATTAATTAATGGCTCATTCTAGTACGCTCGAAAAGCATTATATATGATCAAGACGGAACCGAGCCATAGCATGTCAATCGTCGCAGTTAACCTGAATGCTCAAACAGTCTGTACCGATTGGACATCTTTAGGGTTTCTCTCGCGCCTCACCCAACTGATGAGTATAAAACAGCTGGCGAGAATGACACCCAAGCCAGCCAGGCCGACACCCATGTACGAGGCCCCTCTATAACCTTTCAGAATGTCATTCCCGTCATCGTTCACATATGACTCCACAGTCCCGGCGAAGCCGAGGCCGAGGGAAATGGAGTAATTTACAACCGTGTTCACAAGCGAGCCAGCGACACCCTGATGTTCTCGTGGCATGGAGTTGCTCATAATCACTGTTCCCGAGGGAAACGACATATCCCTGAACCAAGTCAGCATTGTTACAGGATGGAGAGGCGTGCGTGCCACTTACATTCCCCATGGCGTGACTAGCATGAGCACAAATGCCTGCGCGTAGTACGTCTGGCCCACTGTCATTGTGGCCAGCATTATCTGCCCAATCGTGAAAGCGAGCATCGCGATAAAGATGATGATACTCGGGGATATGCGCCCCAAGAGAAACCCAGTGGTCACCGCAGCACAGGCCCCAGAAGCAGATGCCCCTGCCCATTTTGCGGTTGCCAAAAGCGGAGAATTGCCATCGATCACTTCGAGAAACTGGTAGTAGTAATACACCAGAATGCCGAAGCTGGACCATCCGGCGGAGATGCACCCCAGAACCCACGCGACCTCTCCTTTAAACACTGATTGGGGAAGCAGTGGGCAGGTGACCTTGCGCTCGATAATCAGGAATCCGGCGAGGACGATGAATCCAACAATCAGTAGAGCATATGTGTATGGCATGGTCCATCCGATGACTGGGCCCTGATTCCATGCGAAATTGATGAGCACGAGGGCCGTGATACCAGTCGTCGCACCGACCACATCCAAGCGAACAAACCAATGGAGGTTGTCATTTTGCGTTTCTTGCGTTTCTTCCTCTGATGTCCGAGGGATCACAAGAATGCCAAGACCGGCGAACATGAAGCACGCGATCCCCATGACCCAATATCCCCAAGGCCACCACACCCTCTCGGCAAACAGGGACGAGAATGTTGCACCGAGGCTGTATCCTCCCGGGGCAGTTGCCCCGAAGAAACTGAAAACCATGTTCTTCCGCGGACCAGGGGCATAAGTGTGCCCCAGGATAGCGACGGCATTAGGCAGAAGCAACGCGGGTCCAATCCCCTGAAACGCCCGGCAAAAATTGAAGAAAACCAAGTTTGACCAGGCCGAGAATCCTGCCAGTATAGACCATAGCCCGAACCAAGAAAATCCGATGATGAAGAGGAGTCGATGGCCATACACGTCGCCCAGTCTCCCTGCCACGAGGATGAATGTCCCCACGGTTAAACTATAGGCGGCGGAGGCCCACGTAAGCTCTTTGGCACTGGCATTGAAGGTTTTGCTGATGATGTGCAGTGGTGCAATGGCCAAGGAGAGTCCGGCTTGTGTCATGAGTTGAGCAGCGCAGACAACTCCGACGAATGCAATTTCATTGACGAGTGACTTGGGCTGATCTAGTTGAGTCGGTGTCTTGGCGAGGGCATCTTGGTGGTTCCCAGCTGAAGCAGCCCACTCTTGCTTGAATTCTGTGTCTTCAGACATGCTATGTTGCCCTTTCGTTAAGACGACTCTCATGGGATGGTAGGCCGCACTTACGTGGATGGATGCGTTCGGGTGGTCTCCGGTTGATGTGCTTGAGCGCGCATGGACTGTGCCATGAACGAGATTGCTGTGATCGGAACTCGACCATGATGATACGAAGAAATCCAAAGTAATCATATTTAAGCAGGTTTCGAGAGCCTTGTCAATGAAGTCATGGCTGATCAATACAGTCACCGGATCGCATTGGACGATGTTTTGTTGGGTGCGGGCCGCACGGCTCGCAGCACCCGCCGCCACAGAACCGTCGGCGGGCCGATACGGAAACCTATCCTCCACATACTCTGGGACGTTGAAGAGATATTCCTGTCGAAGATTCGGTGAATTACTCACAGACATATCGAGGAGTGTTTTATAAATATGTGCGATGACCTCGATAAACACAGTGCATCCATTCGAAAGGCATCTCTATCTATCCTGACACTCATCCACTCAACAAATCAGTCCGTCTAGACTCTAGGCGTCGAAAAAAGACAAGGCAAAATGAAGGCTATTCAACTCACCCGCTCGTCTTCCAGTGCTTCACCTACGATCTCCCTGGTCACTATGCCAACTCCGAATGTGCCACAGGGCCATGCTCTCGTCCAGATCCTCTACTCCTACATCCACCCCTCGGACAAACTCAACGCCAGGGGCCTTTACCCAACGACAACGTTCCCTCGCGTTCCGGGACGAGACTACTCCGGAATCGTGGTCGACATCACAAGCGATCGCGGGGAAGCCAAAGGCTGGATCGGGAAGGAGGTTTACGGGAGCAGCGGATCAGCACTGGGATATACCAGCGACGGACCCCACGCCCAGTACTTTGTGATTCCCGTCGACGCGCTGGTTGAGAAACCATCCTCATTGTCTGTTCTCCAAGCAGCGACCGTCGGAGTCCCGTACGCGACAGCTCTGCTCTGTCTACGTCGGGCGCAGACTCGCAAGGAAGATGTTGTTCTCGTCCTAGGCACGGGGGGGTGCCGTCGGCTCCGCCGCGGTGCAAATCGCCAAGGCAATGGGCTGTCAGCTGGTTCTGAGCGCAGGACGACGGGCGGACCCCAGCCTTGATGTCCTTCTGGAATCGGAGGATGTGGCATCAACCCTCCAGTCCCGGATCCCAGATTTAACGGGCCAAAATCGCGTGGATGTGGTGATCGATACAGTAGGCAACATCGGGTTGATGAGCGCCGCCATTAGCCAACTGGCAGTCGGCGGTCGCTACGCGTGGATTGCTGCCCCGCGCGGGGACGTGAGTAAAAAGTCGACGGTGGACATCTTTCAGGCGTACCGGAAGGCTATTCAGCCAGTGGGTTGCAATTCGAACCTTCCAACGATGGTCGAGGTGGCGGATGAGCTGCGATTGCTGGGACGATGGTTCGACGAAGGTCTTCTGAAGGTGGCGGATGACAGGTCTTTCAGCGTGGTCGCGTTGGCCGATGCAATCGAGCAGGGGTATACTAAGACTGCGGGGGGCCGAGTTGTGATTGGTATGGCTTGATGGGGCCGTGGTTCGCCATCGCCAGTCTCCGCGTGTTTCTCTGTGCCTTGTCTTTTTTTAGACGGCAACACGGGTGGAGGGGGGGATATCCGGCAGAGAAGGTTTTGAGATCACGAGGGTACCAGATAGAGATGGGGTTCGCAAAATTCTCATGTCAGGTGCATGCGATCGAGCTTGCCACATGGGGGCTATATGATGACTTTTGTTAATTCCGGTGCTCACTCTTGCATGCAACTGGCCGGGTAATGACAATCTAATAGAGTTTCCACCATTGCCGACGGCCGACGGCCGACGAGGTCCAGACTCGCCCGCTCGGACGCGGAGCTGCCAGGCAGGCCCCTGATTGGCCCCGCGGCTCGCTTCCCGTCACCCCGAATTACGAGCTCTCCACGACGCGGATATAAACACTTCCCCTCGTTTGGCTGAAAGGGTGCAACTGCAACTGCAACTGCAACTGAAAGGAAGACTCTGCCAGCGCTAAGCTCCCGCACGTGAGCCTGCGAGGGAAGGGCTTACGCTGCCACGTGGATCCCTCGGGTTCCTTTCGCTGCTGCAATCTCCCGGCTTGTTCGCACGGCAAACAGTCTAATCCGCCTAACCAGTCGACCCTGCGCCTGTCTTCCCCAGATCCCCGACCCATCCAGATTGCTCATAGGGCAGGCACGCTTTCCTTCCCCAGGACCCTTTGTTAGCACGTGCAGGTCAGCCAGTCTGACGGTCTGACTCTCTCCTCACCAGTCGATTCCTGCCACCTCCGCGAGAGAGACACCCCGTGCCGCTGACCAGCCTGTTCCGACCACTCTCTGGCCGATGGCCCCATGGCCAACAGAGCCAAGACACCCCGTCTACTTTTTCTGGGGTACTTCCCCGGGTCGACTGGGCCCATGGGGAGACCCGAGAGCCACAGGCGGCTAGAGCTAACCGAAATTTCTTGTTGTGGCGTTTTGCAACGACTTCAACTGGCTCTGTGCCGCGAAAATAGGAGTCATAGCCAGCGCGCTGCGACGAACGGCATGAGCAGCTCAGCGACTTCTCCCGACATTTGCCCGTCTAACTGACCTCTTTCACTGTTGGGCCGCAGTCGTAACCGAGCCCTAACCAGCCGCCACAAATGCTTTGGCCGTGGATGGCGAGAGGGGAGGGGGACGCGGCTTGCGGGTGCCCGTTTGTTTATATTCCAAGCCGTCCCTCGTGTCTTGCGCAGCTTGGCAAGGCTTGACTGCGTGCGCGCTCTCTCTTGTTTCTCGTGTTCCGATTCTTGTTTCCTCTGTGGCCCCTCAACTGAATTGACAACTGAGTGAGCGGCTGCTTCTTCCGCGATGGTGGTCAGTCACTCCGTCGTTGGTCGTACCAACGCCGAAAAGCCTCATGGCTTGAGGGGTATGCTCAAGAATCCGTACGTCTTCGGGACCTGCGCTTTCGCCTCCCTGGGATGTATCATGTACGGATACGACCAGGGAGTCATGAGTCCCGTCCTGGTCATGGAGAACTTCGAGAACCATTTCCCCTACTTCATGGGCTCCACCATTCAGGGTTGGCTCGTCGCCGCGTTGGAACTCGGTGCCTGGGCGGGTGCGCTGTTCAATGGTTATCTGGCTGATAGGATTTCTCGGAAATACTCCATGATGGTGGCTGTCGTGATCTTCACTCTTGGGTCGTCGCTGCAGGCCGGCGCCCAGAAACCTTCATACTTTTTTGCCGGTCGTATCATCGGTGGTCTTGGCATTGGCATGTTCAGTCAGGTACGAGATCATTCGCGGTGGTTTTCTTCTGGTCATTGCCTGCGATGCTGATAATATTATGTTCACGCAGGTTATTCCGCTCTACCAGGCAGAGATTGCGCCCCCGGAGCTGAGAGGTTCCCTGGTGTCTCTGCAGCAGCTGTCCATCACCATCGGCACGTCCATTGCCTTCTGGTTGGACTATGGTATGTTTGCCTTTCGCGAAAAAAAAAAAAAAAAACATTTACAGCTCATCCCTAACCAATGATCAACAACAGGAATGCAATACGTTGGCGGCACCACCTGCAACCCTGAGGGCATCTCCAATCCCTACCTCGCCGACGGCACATACAACGCCGCCCAGAACCACGGTCATACATGTTTGGGACAGAAGACTATCGCGTGGCGCCTGCCACTGGCTCTGCAGATCATCTTTGCCTGGACCCTCTTCTTTGGAATGTTCTTCTTCCCGTTCTCCCCTCGCTGGCTGATGTCCAAGCACCGCGAGGAGGAAGCCACCGCGGCGCTCTCCAAGCTCCGACGCCTGCCGCCTGACGATCCCCTCCTCCGTGCGGAGATCCTGGAAATCAAGGCCGCCGTCCTCTTCGATGAAGAGAGTGAGGCTGAAGCCATCCGTCAGGGCGGAAAGCTCGCCCCCTGGAAGGCGCTGTTCAAGCCCAACATGCGCAAGCGTCTTTTCCTCGGTTGCGGTATGGCGTCCCATCCTATCCCTCAACCCATACATTCTTTCCCCTCCCTAATCCTGCCTTTATCTCCGAATCATCTCACTGATGTCTCAAACAGGTGCCATGGTGTGCCAGCAGTTCACTGGTATCAACGCTGTTTTGTACTACGCGCCCCAGATTTTCGCTTCATTTGGCTTCAGTTCGACCAAACAGACCCTGCTGGCCACTGGTGTGACCGGTATCTTGCAAATCACCTTCACGCTGCCTGCTGTGCTGCTTCTGGATAAATTCGGTCGTAAGACCTTCCTTATTGCCGGTGCCATTGGCATGTTCCTGTGCCACATCGTCGTCGCTACCGTGGAGGGTCTGTATCAAGATAACTGGGACAAGAACCTGGGCTTGGACAAACCCCAAGGTTGGGTGGCGATTGTCTTCATCTGGCTGTTCGCTGTCAACTTCGCCTACTCATGGGGTACGTTGCCCTGTCTCCCCACCCCATCCCCATATCTACCCTCACCCCCCCCCCCCCCCCCCACACTCATACAAGTGTACCCATACTAACCACATATGTTCCAAAACAAACAGGTCCCGTAACCTGGGTGCTCGCGCAGGAAATCTTCCCCAACAGCCAGCGCTCCCGCGGTGTGTCCATCGTGGCCTCCACCAACTGGATGTTCAACTTCGTCATCGGTCTCACGACCAAGGACATGCTCAAGTCCATGAAGTACGGCACGTACATCTTCTTCGCCATCTTCAGTGCCATCGGCGGTCTGTTCATCTGGTATTTCGCCCCCGAGACCAAGGATAAGACGCTCGAGGAGCTGGATCTGTACTTTGGTGGTGGTGAGGAGAGCATCGCCGAGGCGGATCGTCTGCGCATGCAGAACATCCATGAGCGGTTGGGCTTGGCGGGTGTTCAGGAAGTCGGGGACTTGGATGAGAAGAAGGAGATCCGGGGTGATGTGGTGGAAATGTAAGTCGGTCTTTTTTTGTTTGGAATGAATGAGTGAGTTGGGTATGTGGTGGTAATGGACTTGGGTGGTAAATGGGTTAGTGGTGTGGTGTCCCTGGGTTGATGGAATGGGGGAGGAAAGGGAAGAGGTTGTGGGTTATGATATCATGTTGATTCGTATTAATGGAATGATTTCTGATGACTCTTTGCTCTGGCCGCTGGTGTGGCGTTGCTTGTGTAGTAAGTCAGGTTGATCAATCTTGCAGAACTAGCCACGGGAGTCTTGAGGGGGAAGTCATAGTTGAAGTGATCTTATTTATACCCATTATTTTTTTTTAATTTCTTTTTTTTTGTCTTTTGTTATTCCCGAAATATCCTGCCTCCGTGTTTCAAACCATTGCCCGTCATTTCTTACAGGTTTAGATGCAAGACCCGCAAGAAGTACCATCCCAACCCACCACCATTGGAAATCCTGTGATCATCCGTGCGAAGATACTTGACTCTCCTCCTTCTGGTGACTGACTGACTCTCCTGGCTTGGCAAATCGCACATTTCCTCCTAACTCAAGCAGCGACAGTTTCCGAGTAAGATGAACAAACAAATGAATGATTGGTTGGTTTCTTGCATTGCAATATCATCCTGCATTGGTGTCAAGATCCCATGTTCTGCAGATTCTCCCCATTATGTATGCCCGATTGCAGCAGGCAGAATCGATACAGGATCAGGGTTTAGCTTGTCATGCTGTGTTCGTTGCTGAGGTCGAAGGGGGAGGGTAACTTGGCAGGATCTTGTAATGGCAATTGAATTGCGTGCAAGCGGGATATCCACGCGGGAAGTAGATTAAGCATTAGTTAACTAACCAACTATAAGTTTGGGTCCTGGTTATGTAATCCATCCGCGCGGTGTTTCTCTTTTCTGCCAACTGGGAGTGTTCAAGTTGCTCCTCTGGTTTTATCCCTCCCTCTCGGTTGGAATCAACCTGCTGTACGTACACAGACCCTGGAGTCTTGTTGTTTCTCAAGTTATCTCTTTCTTTTCTCTACTTTGCATCTATCAGAATGTATTCCACTCAGTCAACACGAATCCGGTGCGTGTCGCAAAGCTCATGACTTCACTGCTTCGTCCTTTCCCGCCTCACTAACCCACCGCGAGGCTTCTAGGTTGAAGTGGATGCCTGCTTATCTAGGAAGCTATCTACCGATCTGATACACGGTTCAAACACGACCTCACCGGCTGGCACTGGCAGACTAAGCTGACCCACCTCGATCAACGTTCGGAAGAAAAGCTTTTTGGGTCAACCTTTCGAGTCTCGATCTCCACGGGAACTTTGTGTGGCACGAGGGAGGCAGGAAGGACCTGTATCGGTGTGAGGAGTGGAACGACCCACAGACAATAACTCCGGACGCTAATCAATCTATACAATTACAGGTGTGAACCCCCTGCTTATCAGGGATGAGGAGCATCTGCCATCCCCGACGTATCTACTCGACAGTCATGAGTTGAGTTGACACGCACCACCGTCGGAGATCTCGTAGATCTCGCGTGCGGGAATTAGTCCTCTTCGGGAATCGCCCTGACGAAGTGTGGGGCCAAATGCCCTCCGTCCGTCCCAAAGACTGCGTCATCCACAGCAGCTCCTGCAGGATTCCTCATACCTCTTCCCCCCCCCCCGGAGGTCGGAGAAGTACGATGAGTATGGCAGTATCCAGTCTAATTTCCGTGCTCCCGCCGGTAAGCCCGTCTGGTAATGTGCGGCAATGACACCGATGATGGCATTGGCACATTCGAGGGCCTCTATAAAACGCCTGCTGTCTTCCCCGGCTTTCGGTATAGAGCAGACAGACAATTTCACCGATTCTCCCACTTTTGGCCCATCCGGTTTGGGATCGTGAAAATGGGACTTACACTTGGTCTTGCCTCATTGGCATTTCTTCTTCCCTTCGTTAGTGCGCAAGCCCATTGCAATGCAGGCACGCCTTGTCCTACCAATAACGCGACTGTGTACAACGCGACCAATGCCCCCAACTGCACCGTCAGGGATATCCAAGTATTTGTGAACGGGCTCTCGGGGCTCGGCGGCGCCAACTTGAGCGTTCCCTACGCTTTCTATCTCGATAGCAATGAGACCCGCGACGCGTTCACGGACTATGTTGGCGCCTCGACCTTCACCAATGACATTCCTAACGTGTGTGCTTTCCGCGTCAACGGAGTGAATGCAGAGGGGGCGAACTGGGGCTTGGGGGCCCTTGTTCCGGAAAGCTTCAACGGCAGTATCATGTATGATTTCTCTCTGAATGCTGGGAGACATGTCGCTAAACGCTTCTAGGATGGCTGCTCCGGACGTTGGTCTGTCGTGGGGTGTGGCCAGTGCTGGGCTGTATTACAAATTTGTAACCTTCGCCTCCAATTCGGGTCATGACGAGCCCGACTACGTTTCTGGCTGGGAGACCGCAAATGGTTTGATCGACTGGAGCCACCGGGCATTGCACATGTCCACCCTCACTGCCAAGGCCATTGTCAACGGATGGTTTGGCATTGAGCCTAAGCACAGCTACATCACAGGATGCGCCGAGGGAGGTCGACAGGTCATGAAGTCCATCCAGACCTACCCTGAGGATTACGATGGTGCGATGGCAGGTGCCCCGACGTGGTGGGCCACGCACCAGGCGTTCTACAGCTACAAGCAGTCTATCATCGGTGACGCGGCTGCTAACATCCCGACTTCGATGTATGAGGTCATCGGTGCGGAGGTGCTCCTCCAGTGCGATGCCCAAGATGGTCTCTTGGACAGGATCATCTCGGACCCTGTTGGCTGTTTCTTCAACCCGGCCACACTGGCCTGCAGCAGCAACCGAACAACTGATTGTTTGACCCCGCCGCAGCTGGACACACTACACAAGATCTACAACGACTGGACCACCTTCAACCAAGATCTCATCTACCCCGGAGAGTGGTTCGGCACCGAGTTCACCTGGAACACCACCTTCAGCGATAGCGCCCGTGGAGCCTGGTACATCGAGAACGTTCTGGGCTTCAAGAACTTCACATCGCAGGACCTGACCTCCGAGCTCATTGCCAAGGCCGACGCCCTTGACCCTGCAAATGTCAACGCGGACGATTTTGACCTGGAGCCCTTCTTCAGCCGTGGCGGAAAGTTCATCCATTGGCACGGCATGTCCGACTCCGTGGTCTCGCCCGCGTCCAGTGTATACTACCATGACCATGCCGAGTATGCTGCCCTGCAGAAGAACATCTCCATCGACGACCACTACCAGCTCTACCTGATCCCTGGCCTGGAGTAAGTCAATCACATTCTAACTACCCGAAGGAAACCCTTAACCAGATAATAGACACTGCAGCGGCACCCCATCATGCATGGACGCCCTCTGGTATCTCGCCGGTCCCTACCAAGCCGGTGCTTGGTTCAACTTCACCCCCGCGAATGTGGTCGATGACCTCGTGCACGACTCCTTCTTTGCCCTGATCGACTGGGTCGAAGTCGACTACGCACCCGGATACATGGTCACGACCAGCTTCGACGATGCCGAAGAGCCAACCACCCTCCTCAACAACCGGAAGATCTGCGCGTGAGCCATTACCCAACCCAACCTCCCACTTCACCCTGCTAGAAGTCTAACTGGTGTTTAGATATCCCCAACTCGCCAACTGGACCCGCACCGGTGTCTCCAACCACGAGGACTACTGGGACTGCGTCTACCCGTACCACCACCTCGGGGCGGGCTACGGTCCTTCCCTGATCAGCAATTAATGGTTTCACGCACGGCGATTTTGTGACTCTCGTGCATGGAATTAATCGATAGTCAAAACCCCCCATGAATAATCCCTCTATACCAAACTATCCAGAGATAGATCATTCGCGACATGATCAAGGATTTGGTTTTGTATTTTTCATAACCCACAATGTACATTTAGTCCGAGTCTGAAGGCTTGTGAAGAAGCGTTTCACTCAAACCTACCTTCTAGAGCATCATTTCTGGCATTTATAGTCTCTAAGGAATCTGCAATTCTGGGCCATCTAAAGCATAGAGTCACCGCTTCTAATGTACACTATCAATGCCAAGCTTCTCTTGGCATGTATGATCCGCCCCGGTAAATACCCCCCCGAAAAAAACCGCCAAGGGTTTTATCTTTCGTGCCTGAATCTTTGTCATGCCATTCATTGTCTTAACTATCCCAGCACTTTTTTTTTTTTTTTTTTGGCCTCCACATACCAGCTTTTCCACATGCTGGACACTCCCCCGTATGGCCGCACGTGTTATCGGAGGCCCTTCTTTTCTAATTCTCTCATTAACCTGGTCCTCGGTTTCAGGTAAGCTTCGTCCGGAAAAAACGACAAGTAATCCCACTTGGGGCGAGGGGGATTTGGCTTCCTTTTCCATGCGAATGGTAGATGAAGAAGGAGAATGGAGGAGGTGGGAGGAAGAAATGGAAAGGGCGGGAGGGGGGAAGGGGGTGTTTATCGTCTCATGGTGCCTTCCCAAGTCATTCTTCCATGCCGTGTTCATATGCTGTATTTATTCCCTTTTGCTTATAATCTCAAACATTCAGCAAGAAAAGTGACAGGCTTTCAGAGGACTTTTGTATCTTCGTCAGTCTATGACAAAGTGTTTGGGTGTCTGTCTACACGTGTGACGTAGCATGCAAGCGATAGGAGAATTATCATTATCAGAGAAATATAACTAGACACCCCAATCCATATCCATGAACCTTGAGGAGTCGTAGCCAGAGCGAGGTATATACTATTAGAAAGTCCTTGAAGGACTCGGGAATCCCAGACCCAATTCATCATTGTCATTCCGCATATTCTACCGTGCATCCGCTTTGGTAGTCATCCACAGTACCCTTCGCCACATAGGTACCTAGTGTCGACGTTTGAAATTCGTTCCAAAATTGTCATGAACCGCGACCACCTCCAGCTGCTTGCCAGCTTCAGAAGGATCGGTGGGGTCCAGCTCACCCTTCTCACCCAGCGCTTCTGCATTCTTTTCGGTTGCTTCCCATTCTGTCCCCGCAGCGATTTCCAGGTTCTGTCCGCGCGTTTCGCGGACAAAGTAGAAACAAAAGAAAGCAGCGACAATGTCGAAGGCCATGAAGATGAAAAAGGTGTTGGCACCGATGTTGTCAATCATATATGGACTGGCGAAGGAGAAGCAGAACGAAGTCGCCCAGTGAGCCAGCATACTGACTGCGAGCCCTAGACCTCGGATGCGCGTAGGAAAGATCTCAGGAACGTACGCCCAAGGGACAGGGCCCCATGAGCAGTTGTAAATCTGCGCCGCATCAGCATTAGATAGGGACCTTCGGCATGGGAAGTAAGTCAGACATACCATAATGTCCAGGTAAAGCATGGCGACGGTGGCTCGGCCGGCCGAGGTGACAGATGAGCTCGACTGGGTCGGTATCAGTTTGACAATCAAAGCTGTAATCAGCATACAGGCGGCCATGAGAGCCGACCCTCCTGTCAACAGCGCTCGACGCCCAAAACTCTCCGCAAGGAACAGGATGAAGAAAGTGCAAGCAACGACCTTCACCGCGCCAAAAAGTCCGGTAAGTAGAAGATCACGGTTGCCCCCGCTGCCGACGAGGAGTTTGAAGTACTCTGGTGCGAAGACAGCAAGGGCACTGCTGCCTGTCGCATTCTGGAAGACGAAGAGCAATGGTCCAACGAAGAACCGAAGGCGATTCGCCGGCTCCAGCAGTTCGCGATAAGAGAAATTCTCTTTGGCCGCAGTTTCGGCCTTGAGACCGAGCTCTGTTTCACGGAATTCCTCGATCGTTTTTTCACCTTCGTCGCCACGAATCCATTTCAGGGAGTTCCAGGCCTCGTCGGTTCTGTTTTGGCTGAGTAGCCAACGAACGGATTCGGGGAGGGTGAAAGTGCCAAAGAACATGATACCTCCCGATATGAGCTGAAGACCGACAGGAATTTGCCACTCTCGCGATGTTTTCGAGATGGACGAACTCTCAGAGACTCCCTATTTGATCAGGCATCAGTCTGGGATGCAGGGTTCTGAGCCGAAGGACACTTACATAATCCACCCAATAAGCCACGAGGACACCCCAAGTATACAGCCATTGATAAAAGGAACCGCATCGCCCACGAATCTCCTTTGGCGTCATTTCCGCGGAGTACATAGGCACAACAACACTTTGGCCGCCCATACCAATACCGGCGATGATTCGACCGACATACCACGCGGCGAGGGAGTGGGTGTTGATCACTTCGATGATCACTCCCACGCAAAACACACCAGTCGAGCCAATGATAACATACTTGCGTCCATATTTATCGGTGAGCCAGTAAGCAAAAAGAGCTGCAACAAACGACCCCAGCTGTTCGAGACCGACTGTCAAGGAAGAGACTTTGGATTCATGGGCGCTGGTATAGCGAAAATCTTTCTCGAAAGGCTTATAGGTGAGGATGCCGCCGGCGATGCCCGAGTCATATCCAGAGAGGAAGGAGGAGATGCTGAATGCAGCCCCGTGTTAGCCAGGATGTAGCAGAGGAGACCCGCATCACCTACAAGACAATAGCGGCCAAGTGGTATGCACGCCATGTTCCGAGCTTAGTATTGAGCTCGGGAATGGTCCAGATTGCCATGATGGGGCGGTCGTTGTATTATTTGTGGACCGACAACACAGGAGAGACTGCAAGAGAACCAGAGCATTCACATCGGAGGCAGGCTCCCACCCCAGGGTATAAAAACCCCCCGTCTGCTGTAGGCGCCCATGACTTCCAATAATCCTTTGCTAGGCGATGAGGGCGAGTGGGTGGTGAACAACAACTAGCGTCAATTGCGTGCTGAGCGCCCTGTGAGTGCGCCATTTGCCTCGATAAATACTGCACCCGCCCGTTATATATCAGCCCACGATCTCCATATGATGCGCGATGCCAACCCGAAGTGCGAGGGAAAGCGCTGATTTGGCAGTCCGAATTTGTTATCATAGGCGAGAGCCGACGCACGGGCTTGGCTTCCGACGATACATCAGGCGGCCTGACTCAGTTGACTGGGTTGCATTGAAGCTTAGGTGCTGACGCCTTCGTGCTGATGGATGAGGTGATCCAGTGCGGCCACATGGTTTGGCTAAGTGGACGCGCGTCGGCACATTTACTCCACTGGGCAATCCTGGGGAGGGCCGAGTCCGGGCGCAGAACGGAGAATCATCATTAATTAGACATCATTCTGCTGATCGATTCATTATTATTTAATAATCCAGACCGGTGCTGGCGCTTAATCTTAGTTTGGGCCATGTTGTTTTGACTTTGGAGGTGGGATGGGTCGGGGGGGAGGAAGGATCGGATCCACCCCCCGCATCTGGTGGCCTCTCCGTAGTCCGTCCCGTGGTCGTTGGTGACTTGTTCCATCCTTTCTCCCCTTGTATTAAGTTCTTGAGGATTTGCAGTAGTGAGAGGTTTTGTTGGGTTTGAAACAGAAACAGACAGGTCCCACAGGGCAAATGGAGAGAGAATGGAGAGGGAATGGAGAACGGAGAATGATCGAAATTCGGCCGGTGGGAGATTTGCGGTGTCCTAACCTGAACCGGCTTAGTGGCCGCGGCTTGAGGTTTCCGCTCCACATCGCCCGAGCTGAGGGTCCCTCCCTCCTTTTGCTTTCCTACAACGTGCATTTCTTCGGGTCTTGATTTCATATTGAATCTACTTCACGAGGACGTTGGAGATCATATTCCCGCTCGGTTCGATTTTCAGGCTACAGCTGGACACTAGCGTACCGAAAAATAGGCACCAGAGACTGGCTTCTAGTTAATATTGAGGTATTCTTTCTGCTTTCTTTCCCAGGAAAGTTCCGGCCTACGGACACTGATGCGTTGCAGTGTCCAAGACCAGATACACCGTGCTGTTGTTTTTCTGGAAAAAGGAAAAGAAAAGGTTGTTAGACTTTGGAGGATGTCACCAAGATTTTCCTGTCCCTGCAGTCCTGCAGTCCCTCTGCCAAGAGAGTATCAAGCTTTGTACATGCCACATGGTGGGCTTCTAAAGACCCTTGGTGTTCAATGATCTTCAGGTCCATTCCCTTTTCAGCTAAGAAAGGCGGCTACCTATGGAGATACATGTTAGAGTCATGAATATATTAACCTCTGTGATATGTTGGTTATCAGTATACACCCAGACGTATTCTCTTCCATATACTACATATATAGAGTTCGCTTATATTCATGCTCTTTATGATAAATGAAATGTGTTTTATCCAAGTAAATTGTTTAGCACTCCAGTATGTCTTTCGCATTGTGACTGACAGCACTTTCACACAGTAAGATTTGTTATATAGTGGGCATAAATGGTGTCTACGCAGAACATGGATACTACCTATTCACTGAGAAGCCATGTTTCAGATTCTTAGGTGCATACTCTTCACGTACTCCTCTTCCCATGATATTCATCCATGATAGATTCATCTAGAGTATGTCCGTTAATGCTAGCGCACATGTCTACCAATCTTTGGATGGCCATATATTCGCTGAACCCCCCTCCCTGAGGCGATTATTTGAAATCAAAGAGCAATCAATGCACAAGCAGTTAAAGCACTTTCCCTTCACCACCCTGAATCAATGAATGTCCTAGCTTGCGCTTGTGACAAACTCCCAACGCCCAGATGGCGCCATGACGGCTCCTCACTATTACAGTCTCCCAGAATCGTCCACTCATCCAGGACGCTCCATCTTCCCACCACTCTCCAAACATTTCCTCCCTCACAGCTCTCATGTCGGAACAAATTAGACCAGACACGTCGAATCCGGAAAGCGAGGTCCGACACTGGCAGATCGAGACCACCTGGTTCTACTTCCCGTGCATGGACCAAGGCTACCGGGGCACCTCAGAGCACTTCCAACGCGCCATCGACGATCTCGACCACTCGATGTACGCGTTGTATCGATACTGCCCTGCGTTCAGCGAGCAGTCCTGGGGCGTCTTGATCTTCGTCCATCATCCCATCAACTCCGATCTGCCGATCATGCTGGCCTATGCGCGCCGTCAGCTAGAGAATCTCCGTGACGAGGCCAGAATCAAAGAACGGGCCGGATACCATTCTCCGACTATCCGTGGCGTGTATGTTCCTCCCGAAGAGAAGGAACGACGAGCAGCGGAGTGATGGCTCTGGAAATACACTTCGACCTTGCGTTGCTCGTACTTGCTGTGTGGTACGCAATCATCAGATGCGAGCGTCAGGTTGGACTTGGATACGGGAGGACGGTGTTTCGGGGGCGGATACTTGGATTTGTTGATTCATTCTTGCGTCGGATTTATTGTCTTTGGTAGCAGTAGGGTTGTTTGACGATGGGTGTCATCATAGCATCATGTACCTTTTGGCTTTGAATCTTCGGTCATTTGCATACTATGCAGGAGTCATATATTTACTACTCCTGTCCCTCTTACGTATGTCGGAACCATGATACCTGATGACCTAACAAGGACGTGGGAATGAGGATATAATGAGTACATAACTCGCTCGCTCAAACCCAAAATCCAACCTATTTAAACCCGCCCCTTCCCCCGATTCTTTTCCCATCTCCTTCTCTTCTACAAACTTCTCGTTCTTGACGTTCCCTAATCTACCAACTCCCACATCTGAGGAAGCATCCATCTGGGCAGTCGCTCTTTCCAAACAGTTTCACACTCTTTACTACATTCATTCATTTGAACCATCCCACTCTTAGCCATGTCCACTATGGCTCGAACATGGTATTCTCCCACTGTCGAGGGGCAGCCACCTAAGGTTGAGCACTCCAGACGCAGGCGTCTACTTACGATCCTCATTCCGGGTATCATCATCTTCATCATCATCCTCACTGTCGCTATTTGCCTTGCTGTCTTACTTCCTCCTCGACTTCACAAAGGGGACACTAACAAGAGCCACCATGGAGGTGGCACTTCCCCCGATCAAGGGAACGACCAGGGTGGTAACCCGACCATCCCCCACGACGGAGCCTGCCATGTCGTCAACAAAGTGTCTTACACCTTTTACGGCTACCCCGACAACGATCCTCCTGGCTCCGACGTCTCCGAAGACTGTGGACGAGGCGTGGCTGCCGGCGGCATCGGCACCATCGACAACCCGCTTACCTTCGCTACGGCGCCGGGCGAATTTGAGAAATGCGAGATGGTTTACTCGCCCTACCTTCGCAAGTACCTGATCAATGAGGACTACTGCGAGACGTGCACCAAGAACTGGAAGAACCACATCTGGCATGTCGACGTGTGGTTGGGAGGAAACTCGACCACGTACGCCAAGGAGCAGCTGAAGTGCGAGACCAGTCTGACTCCACCGGAGGAGAGTCAGATTGTTATCCGGAGCCCAGGCAAGAATCTGCCTGTTGATCGTGAGTTTCCCTTCTTTCGTTTCGCATCGTGCTGCTGTGACTCATACTGGTGGTTATATCATAGTTACGTCCTTCTATCTTGGCGGATTTTCTGACTGCAGCCTCGATCACGTTTATCACGACTATGATGCGACGGACTATTGTTGAGCTGTCAACTTTATGATCTGTCCACGTTATGAGCTATGGACTTGATGTTAGATGATTTATGTTTCGGTGTTATGATGGAGATTCTGGAGTCTGGTTTTCTTTTCTGTGTCTGCATTCCTGTTGAGAGTTTCTATTGAGCCGTCACGGTGGTGTGCTCTTTCCAGTATGATGATTGCGTCGAGATGAGAGTTGCTCTACGCCTTCTGTCCGCGCATGTTTCTGGGATTTTCTCGATCTGTGACTTGTATGGAGTTATTTTCTTTTGTCATTGCTTGGTTGAACGCACCACCGCGGCGGGATGAATAATATCTCTTTAGTTTTTTTTTGTTTTACCTCAAAAGGCAGGATGCTAGCTGCCATGAATAGGATAAAATCTGGTCAGCGCACATTTGGATGGTCTCGAAGTATAGTGAATCATTATAAGACTTGCACTGCTGTATTATTCTCAACTATTGTGCTAGTATTAGAAAAAGTGACGAACTTGGCTGCAATTCATGCAAAACGGGTAACTATCCAAAAGAAGGACATGGAGTTTATCCAGCATGTGCATTTATTACGACTGGTCAATAAGAAAGAGGTAGAATGAATAAATGGTCAGTAAGTAATTTCTTTTATATAATTTGCAATATCAGTTGAACCATCTTCCTGGAGTTCTGCTACTCCAGATCCACGATAATTTTATGTCCATTTGGGTGTTTTATGTTCCATCGGAGAAGCCCCCGCGCAGCTGCCACCATCAGCAGACCAGATTAGGCTAATAGAGGGCGATATGTTTGACTTGGGTTGATCCACTGCAGGGTCTCCAGTGCCCAGTTTAGGCGGATCGGGGATCGTCCCGGTTTTGGCATGTTCTGGAGACGGGCGATCGACCGCTCAGCCTAAACCCGTTTCGAAGGTGAAGATTCTGAGGGACAAATCCCATTTCATATTTTATTCCAGGATACTCACCATGGCGGCTAAATGGACCCTACATAGGGAAGTGGATATAAAAGAAAGATGACTCTTGACTCTTCTCCTCAGCGGACAGGTCCTCGATCATCGAAAGCATCCATCGCCAACACCAACACCATTCAAACCACCCATCATGGTTCACCTCTCCTACAAGTTTCTCGCCTGCTTGGCTGCCGTCAAAGCCTTGGCCGCTCCCGTCGACTCTCTCGACGAGCGTTCAACGGGGCTTTCCCGTAAACTCCTTCCGCGATTGACGACAAGCTCCACCGGCTACAGCAACGGCTACTACTACTCCTTCTGGACCGACGGCGGCAGTGGCAATGTGACCTACACGAATGGTGATGCGGGATCCTACACCGTCGACTGGTCCGACGCGAGCAACTTTGTTGGTGGGAAGGGGTGGAACCCTGGGAGTGCCAGGTATGTCAACTGCCAACCGATCTTCTAGTGCCATCACTTCTTCCTCCCGCGTCCCGCTAATGTCAACAAATGACAGAAACATCACATACAGCGGCACTTTCACCCCCGACGGCAACGGTTACCTCTCCGTCTACGGCTGGACCACCGACCCGTTGATCGAATACTACATCGTGGAGTCCTACGGCGATTATAACCCCGGAACGGCCGGTACACACCAAGGCACCGTTGTCTCGGATGGGGGTACATACGATATCTACACGGCCACCCGGACCAATGAAGCTTCGATTGAAGGGGCGGCTACGTTTACGCAGTACTGGTCCATTCGGCAGACAAAGAGGGTTGGGGGCACGGTTACAACTGCGAATCATTTCAATGAGTGGGCGGCGCTGGGAATGGATTTGGGGACGCATAACTATCAGATTGTGGCGACGGAGGGATATGAGAGTAGTGGGTACTCGGATATCACCGTTGATTGATTTTTGGAAGAGGTTGTTGCTTTTTTGACCCAGCAGTGGCCTTGTTTACATAGGTAGACGGGATGAAACCTCCATAAACGTATCCAAGGATTACGGACTCTTTGGGGTATTTCTTTTGATTATAAATCCAACCACTCTGTGTGCAAAATATCCCTCAACCCGGTCGAAATAAATGGTCCTTGAGACGTCAAAATTCCCAACCATTCAAAATTTCCCCTCCTCGAGCTAAATGCAATCGCATGGCCTTCATTTACCCCGCACGACTCTCAGTCAAGCAAATCTGCATCGCAGGTAGGACGCCTCGGGTTCTTTTCGACAGGGATATTAGAATTCTGCAGCTGTAGGCAGATGCGAGTCAGTGAAATTCCATTATCTAGGGGGAAACTTATACGCAATCATGCAAAAGTATCTGGGCTTTACCTTTATCCAGAGGGTGTTGGTTCCTAGGTCATAGCTTGTCCTGGAAAAGAATGGTTATGAGCGTCGTTATATTGCCTGTTGGCTACCGTCTTCCTTACCTGGTACCGCTGCCTTTGGTGGCTCTATTTCCGTACCTGAGGAATAAGCCCCACAAGATGGGTACCCCCTCGTAGACAGCATACGAGCAGCTTGTATCCAGAATGCGATCCCGAACGTGGTCACGGAATGCTTTATAGTTGGAAAATTCCAAATCGTACCGTTTCATTGAATAATGTTCCATTTCGCTAGCGTTGATACGGCACTTTTTGGTTGCAGATTGAGGGATGGGATGGAGTGCAAGGGGGTGTGGGAAAGGAAGAACTGCAAGTTTCTTTGGACGTCATCATATTGACGTTGGAAGTTGCTATACCATGGAGCGTCATAGCTTGTCATGGGATGGTCATGCAAAAGCGCATGCGAAGAGCAAGGATTGATGCAAAGAGCGGTGGTAAAATGTAGTCGAAGTGAAATGGAATAAAATAAATCAGGAGCGGTAGCAGGGAACAGGCAAGAGCGACCGAGTGGCCCCGTGACTGCGCGCAGTTCTACGCCGACTCGACGACTTCCTCTGCTTTCGTCTTCGCTTTCCTCCTTCCTCGACGCTTCAACTGCCGCTGGGTCACCAGCTACCACATTGCCAGAGTCAATAGTATCAGTGGCACTCCCAGCACAACGACTATCCAGGACTGGCGTGAAATCGAAAACTTCCCTCCGTTTCCCGAGTCGAATTACAAGAGATTCACACCAAGCACTGTCTTTTAGGGGGTCAATTAAGTTACGATGCTTGCAGCGCTCAATCGAGGAACACATATTGCACCGAAGCTTGCCGGCATCTATATTACGGTGGCAAGGGTCACTACTTTCACCGTCACGTTGTCATCGATCCCTTCATTTGTAAGATCTAACATTGATTTATTGATGCTAACTGTGACTGCTTGGTTTCTCTGGCCAAGAGCGACTGCTAACTACATTTATCTTCGTGTCAGTCTCGTGCAGAGACACCTCTTTGGCGGACGTACCAGATCTGAAATAACATGTGCATTTCTCTCGAGATCCCCGAAGCTCCTGACGTGTCCCTCAAAGTTCACCAGATAAGAAGCGAGGGCATTGAAAATTCATTGGCAGCACTTCTCATCTAAGAGACCGTTCGGCTGGAAAAGAACATCCATCTTCTCCATTTTCTTGATTGTCGCCAGAGCTACACTCACCCAGCAGGATAGTGATAGAAGAAAATTTTCCAAATGCTGTAACTTGAGAAACTCAAACGAAACATACTGGTCAACCTCTTCCCATTTTAATAGATCTCATTTCTTCTAGGTGGAGCCTTGATGAAGCACCGCTTACAGAACTCTCCATTTCTTCACTCAGACTGCGAATACACCATCTCCAATCTCCCAAATAAGCTGACAAAACAATGGAATGCAAAGAAAGCCAATTCAGGACCCGTGTTTCTTGGAATAAGCCACTTTATCCTCGATTTACTCCTGGACCATGAACCAGGTTTTACATGGAGAAGATCCAGAGATCACCATTTTCTGATGGGCTGTGCCGATGGAACACGGCTATCTGGCGAATTTTCCACTTTATACTTCTACCGACTCTATATTTGTCGGTATAAACAAGCAGGTACTACATGTCTGTTATAGCAGTAGATCTGATAATCTCGCTTGGAGCACGCGTCGACAATACCATACGAACCGTGGCCTCCCTGCTTCACTTTCATTTTCCCCAGACCAGCATCTGAGATACGCGGCTTATCTCCAAAGGAAAAGATGAGGTCAAAAAAGCTATTGTCTATGGCTTACAGGCTCATTAGACTACACAGAGCCTCTTCCGTGATCTGCAGAGGGCTGATGGGGTTCTGGGAGCATATTCATCTAAACTACTTAGTCTGATGGGACCCATGCAATTGAGAAGAGCTTCTTACATGATCCTCGCATCTGGCTTGGGATGCGTGGATATATGGTTTGGCATGGTCCGCAAACTGGCATCAAATTTTGCCGGATAGAATTTTGCTGTCCTCCGTCTGCGTGAAACAGGAATTGCGGAAATTGGTCATTATCCATTTTCTGACCGGATCCAAGTCCCCTTCATAAGAGACCAGGATGTTTTCCGGCTTCAAATCTGCGTGACAGCATTTGTAACCTAGTTCCGGGGACTGCAGACCTCGATACAAAAAGCCCAGGGTATTAGCCAGATTCGCCGCTTCAGCCACCAGGTGCTGTGTGGTATACCCCGGGGCTTGGTGACAATGGCCATTGAGAAACGCGTCTAGGTCCATGTCTGCCAGGGCAGAAATTATACTAAAGTCGGTTTCAACAGTTACCACGGCCAAGAAAGGAAGTATATGCTCGTGGTGTGCAAGGCTTGCGCGAAGTCGTTTTAAATTCTTTACTTCGCAGCGGAAGTCCTGTCAAATTGCGAATCGTTTTCGGGGTATTCGTATATCTTTCTGCATGCATATCAGCGTAGCCCATATTTTTCATACTAGTAGAAGAGGCCCTCACGTTAGATAAGATACCATGCAAGGTCTGACAAATCTGTTTACGACTCTGAGCAAAAGCCAGAATTTTCCTAACTAAGCAATGACAACAGACGCTGAGTATGTACAAAGCGACCACACAGAGCCACCGACATCCCCAGTTACGACCCCGAAAGAAAGAGATCAGACAGCATCGGTATCCTCCTCAGCATCAGCAAAGCTTTGCTCTTTAGTGAGCACCAAGTTGCGAGTACACATCGAGAATGCCACCAGCGGCACCGTCAGGCAGATTCCAGTGATACACAAGAGCCGTTGTGCGTACTTGTACGCACCTACAACCGCATCTCGATCGGGCGTGCCCATGGCATGCATAGTGCTGAAGGTGAAGGGATCCGAATACGCTTGCGCGGCCAGGGTGGCATTTCCAAGTCTCTTATTCAGCTCCTCGGGGAGAACTTGCGTCCATATGGCACCGGAAATGCTCCCTCCCAGTGCGCTACCGATATTGTAACAGGCTAGGAAGAAACTTGTGACCACGGCCAGATCTGGGATGATCTGTTAGGGATTTTTCTGCGGGGTTGGTAGGGAATCAACTCACGTTCGTGTTTCGTGGCAGCCTGAATGCTCGCCTGAGCAGGGTAGGGAAACAATCCTCCCGCTAAAAGACACGCCAGTTACTATGTGATATCGAACAGCATTTGCAGATGCGAACGTACCAATTCCCAGAAGGATCTGTCCGCCAATTATTCCCGAGTGGCTAGACGAGGTCGGTCCTCCGCGATAATAGATCAAGATCCCGAAAGCCACCATGAACAGGAGAGTGCCTCCCACGATGAATGGCTTGAGTCGTCGAACCTTGAAGACGACAAGTCCGAGTATGGACCCCGTGATGACTGAGGCAAAGCTGTAGAGGGATCTGATCCTCGTCGCGCTTGTGATGCTCTCATCAAAGCTAACAATAAGAACAGTGTATAAGTATTCGCCCTGGAGCGTCCACGCTACACGTGGTTAGATAATGGGTCATAAAACGGGATGAGCCTTACCGGTGTTCAGCATGAGAGCAATTCCCAGCGCTCCCCAGACTGCGCGATCTTTTAAGAGCTGCGAGACGTCAGTTATTCCCCTCGCATGTTAGGAAGGAATGTTTTCAACTTTGAATGGAACCATCGGATGTTTGCAAAACCTCTCCCAAATAACCCACGCCGGTATGCAACACAGCCCGATAACCAGGGGGGCGATAATCTTGGCCTTCTTCCATTGTGAAGAAAGGCCTCCGGCTATCGTGAAAGGCACCAGAACCAAGCCAAGAAAGGCAATCAGGAGAATGATGCCAATCACATCCAAGTACCAGAATAGTTCCTTGGTCAGCTTCCAGGCACCCAGCGTCCGATAGGAGCTTCGAATATTATCCAAGGCGCCATTCCTTTTCGCTCTGCGGTGGACGATGCAGAGGGTAGCAAGAAGAGGGAGTGTGCATACTAGAGCTCGCTTAGCGACGACGATTCCTGCTGGAGTTTACCTACCGGGGTAGATTATGGTAAACATGCCAACGCCCCAGCGCCACGTGGTCACCCTCAATACAGCTCCGGTGACATCTCCACTAATCCAGGTGTTGATCTAACAACCATTAGTGCTCCTGGACATCGACGTTGTTACCATTTATCCGCTTACTATAAACGGCAGGGCCGGGATATACGAAAACAGTAGGCGGGAGCGAAGCGAAGTGACATCCGCGACCAACACCTCAACCAGCAGGATGATCGCGGTGTAGCCGATCTACAAAGACTTCAGTGTTAGAGAGAGGAATGATATGCGCAGAATTCAAGGGGCATGGGTATTTACCTGGTATAGAACGGCACCTGCAGCAAATTGCTCGACCGTAGTCGAAGACGTCTCAATGATTGTGCCTGAACAGTCAGAGTCAGAGGGAACCACTTAATATCCACGGTGGCATTTCATACCAACGGTATAAAACAGCACCGAGATCAAGATCAACTCGATTCTCCCGAAAACATCGGCGATTTTAGCCGCCGTTGGCTGATATTCCAGGCATGTTAGTCGTCCGATAGGCATCGCCTGGTGAGGAAAGGGAAGTCATATACCTGTGCCGCAGCAGCAATAACCGCACGAAGAATATCTACACTCGACAGTAAACTGTGGGAGCCGTACGAAGCCGTGGCATATGGCTACATCGATGTTAGCATTTCCCTGCAATATCAAACGACAGAAGAATGATACCTGATAGGTCCCTCGCACCAGCCCATCCAGACCATAGACATAGGCGATGAGAAAAATCCCAAAGAAGAGAAGCACTCGATCGATGGGTTGCAGGTGAGATGACAAAGCCTCGATTCTCTTCACGCCCGGGCTCTCCAACTTCAGCGCTGCGTTTAAACCTTGCGGCTGTTGGGGTACAGGTTGAGTTTGGGAGGCTGGACCCCCCTCCTTAGAGTTTTCCATTGTTGTCTGGACTCGCTGGTCCTTCTTTTTCTGTTCCCGGTGAGAGTTCTTCGAGGATGGTTATGGGTAAGGTTGAGGGGGGGAGAAATATTTGATAAGAGATATTTGTGGGAGGAGACGTCAGTCAGCCATCATCATAGCGGAACGCCGAGCCAGCGGACGTAAGATGAGGCCGTTTGGGTGTCTGGGCCGTCATTCCCCAATCTTATCTGATGAGAACGGGTCGATTTCCGGAACAGACTCGAGTCCAATCGGATCAATGATGCCAGGTTGACCGTGGATAAATCTGGTGGTGGCAGGCATCACGGAGATTCCCGGTAAAAGGGAGGAGGCGGGCAGAGGGACCCTCAGGCCCGCCCCTTGCGGTGCTATAACCATCCTCACCCCGCGGAGGGTCCATTTACCACGCTCACATATGACTTTCATTGTCATGGGTATTATTAATTCCTCGATGATGGGAAATGGCGATTTGCCAAATTTCCCATATCTCATGATGTACAAGCAAAACTCTCTCTCTCTTCTCCAGATGTTTGACGAAACAGACTAGGACATGCTATGAAACCTTTACCTGGTATCCACCTACACATCTAGAATAATGTCCAAAGGGATCTATCTGTAATAATAGTCCACCCCTTCTGCCGTCAAGAACAATTGCACGCGGCGGCCCGTCCCGCAAACATTCAGTGTTGAGCATGTTTTGCAGATAGATAGATGGATACGGAGACAAAGTGGGGAATCCTCAACGGTCAACAATCGTGCTGGGGTTCAACCGGTTCAACCCAGCTCAACTGTATCTAGACTGGGGGCGGTTAGCCTGGTTGGGCGAGGTTTTAGCGTGGGCCGGGTGAATGAAGCTGTGGTTCTTTACTATGTAGATAGATTGGGGGGGGGGGGGGGGGGGGATTCGCAGACAGGTGGCCAAAAAAAATAAAATGAAATAAAACGTGGACACGAATGGCTATGGCAAAAAAAAAAAAGAAAATGGTATTGGCATTGGCCTCCACACCAACCCTTTATAGAGATCAAAATTAAAGGTCCAAAAAAGAAATTGCTTTGCATCATCCGTGAATCGAACACGGGCCTCATCGATGGCAACGATGAATTCTACCACTAGACCAATGATGCTTTGATGAAGTAATTGCTTCTGTTTTGCCGACATAAGCCAAATTTCTTTCGAAAAAGTTCCCGCTGAGTTGTAAAGGATCAGACTCGCAACTCGAGTATTATGTGCTATTTCTAACCCTTTTTCTTTGGTCACAGCATACTACCAGGACTTCAGTGGGCTTTTTCTGACTTTATACGACTTTATACATGCAAAACGCGACGCCAGTGCAGAAGCTGGACTGTGCAATGCTGGTTGTGGAATGCGGTGTGTGTTGGTTACATGTACCTGATGCGGGGTGTTGGCGACAATGAGGGTTAGGGACAAAACTCCGGGGAGGTTGGAGGAGCAAGAGCAACAGGTGACCGTACAAGGATAGATTACTGGCCCAGTTATTCCGAAACCCCACAGTATGATCATATATGCCGCTATGACACAGAATCAAAGGCGAATAGAGTTGGTAGATTAAGCAAGCAGATATAAGAAGATGGTTGTGTGGATGAAATACCGCACCTGCCCTATAGAAGCTTTTTTTTTTTTTTTTTTTGCATTATCTCACCAACTACCTGGCTACTTCAATCGGTAGAGTCTGTGGCTTTTAATTGATCCAGGGGCATCCAACAAATCATACCTGCTTCCCCATGAGAAGTGATGCCTCTTCTAACAGGCCGCTACACAAGACCCCCATTGGACATCACCAGACACAAACAGTTGTCGGAAACCTGCTCAATCGGCAAGAGAACAATGGTAACACCTACCGCACTACAATGTTGAGGGCTGAAGATTGTCATTCGTCCCTATTGGAGAAACTTGGCTTTGACAAATCCTTGCCTTAGCCATAAAAACAAGGGTTCCAGCGGCCAAAGCGCTATCTCTTCCTGGAGAACAACCCGATGCCAAAGTGGAAGACAGGGAGACTGGAGATATTCTTGGGTTTCTGGTGGGAGAGACTTGATCCTTCGGACAGAAGCCGTGTCTCACATCCTCCGGCTTAAAGACCTCTGGGGAACCGTGTAGCTGGAAACAGGCGCGTGCGTCGCAGCTTCAGGTAAACAAGACTTCTATAGAAGTGCATAGACATCATTGGAGCAGGCTCGGCGTCAAAAAGTTAAACTGTCCGTGCTATGGTTGATTGTCTGCCAGGTTCTTACCGAAATGTGGCTGGCTGGAATGTAACCTCTATAGACTCTGAATGTACGAGCCTGCTAAGTCAATGATCACCCCACACATAGCAAGGCTTAAAATGGCACGCGCATATTCTTTTCTCTAGTCGACTCGGACAAAACGTGGAAGCATGATGATATGCGCCATTTAGCCATCCACATATTCCCACCTAGTGCCCGGAACCTTCTTGACCCTTCTCGACCCTGCGGGAAATCACCAATCGCTTTGGTAAGGTATATATAGGCTGCTTCGACTGCAATGTGACAGTGTCATAGATGCACATGGGTGTGTGCAAGATGGTCGAAGAGGGGCGAATATCAGAGGGTCGACTCGAAAGCTATTCGGCTGGAACCCGGATGACAGTGACCGCTTCCCTGTTTTTGCATGCTGTTTAAACTCTGGGTACTAGCCAGGCCCCGGGCCACAATGACCCAAAAATTAGTAAGATAGAACCCTGGAACCTGGTCAACCTTGAAAGTGACAGGTGCCACATGACATAACATTGAAGGCAAAATACATGAATCACTGTTGATACAAAAATGGATCTATCCTGCAATACCTCGATAGTCACCGGCTGTCAAGATTTGAGGGCGTTTTTTGTGCCGGGCTTTGGCTAGGATCTGCACCGGCTTAAATTACCGTCGTGGGTGAGAGATCGTCAATGCAAGGAAGTGCGTCCTGTTTCCTGATAGATGTCTGAAAGGGTGTACCTACCGTATGGCTGATCGAAATGGGGCAAATCAAATATAAATATAAGCGATAAAAGCCGGGGTTCTGGCATCCAGAGTCGGTAAATTCAAGCTGCATGTATTTTACCCCATCACAGAATACACAAGATCTCGCACAAAGATCTTTATTATACCACAGAGATCCCAAAGACTTTCATTCGTGCGCTTTCATCATGGATCAATCTGTATGGGAGGTCTTTCGCGAGCTTCCCGGGCTTGTTGAAAAGCAAAATCTTCTTTGCGATCGAAACAAGATAATCAATCTCCCAAGCAAAGACCAGGCAGCGAAACTATCAAGTCTTCGCCCTCCCGACAAAGGACGCTCGATAGAAGGTGTTCTCAAAGACGCCGAAGAGATTCTCTCCTATCGATACAATATCGGTCATCCAAAATTCTTCTCGTTTGTGCCATCACCAGCCTCACCATTATCATGGCTGGGAGACGTTCTCACCACAGCCTTCAACAACTATGCCGGGAGCTCCGAGTCGGGAGCCGGTATTTGTGCCACCGAGGAATCTGTCATTCGCTATGTTGCTGAACAATTTGGACTGCCTCCGACGGCGGGTGGTCAATTTGTCTCCGGTGCCTCTATTGCCTGTTTGACGGCGGTCACAGTCGCACGGGATCAGCTCCTGAAGGAAGATATGCGTCAGAAAGGCGTGGCTTACGTGACAGACGATACTCACTTCTGCATTGCAAAGGCACTCCGCGTCACGGGGCTCCTAGACCATCAGATAAGGACTGTACCTCACAATTCAAAGTTTCAGATGAGTACGGACCACCTTCGTCGTGCCATCACCGAGGATATCCAATATGGCCTGAAGCCATATCTAGTTGTCGCCACTAGTGGGACAACCAGCACCGGAAGCGTTGATCCTCTGAACGAGATAGCAGACATAGCATGCGAGCACAAAATGTGGATGCATGTCGATGCGGCCTACGGAGGATCCGTTGCCTTCTGCAAGCCCCACAGGGACCTTCTCAACGGCATAGGACGTGCCGACAGCATTGCCTGGGACCCACACAAATGGTTGTTCCAAACCCTCGGATGCAGCGTTGTTCTTTTCAAAGACAAGTCCCACCCACCCGAGAGCTTTGCCACCACTGCGCACTTCCTGCGCGACTTCGACCACGGGGTGGATAATCCGTGGAATTATGGAATTGAGTTGACGCGACCTGCACGCCACATGCGACTCTGGTTCTCCATGCAGATTCTTGGGATGGATATGATCGATAGGATGATCTCGCGCGGCTTCGATCTTGGCGAACTTGTTGAACGAAAGTTAAGGCAGCTGGAAGATTGGGAAATCGTCTCGCCCAGCACGATGGCGGTTCTTAATTTTCGATTCAAACCGAAGGGTCTGGATGAGGATGCTATCAACGAAATGAATAGTCTCGTGTCTAAGGAGTTAGTGTCGCAGAATATCGCCGTGATCTTCACCACGTGCCTCGATGGAGCAGTGTGTCTTCGGATGTGCACGATCAATCCACGAACCACGGATGACGACATTCAGGAAGTTGTTGGGGCTCTTGATTTGAATGCACGCGCAATCAGCAAGAGATTTACGTTCAAAAATTGACACCTATCGACCACAGAAGAGTCACTAGGCCAGGGAACAATGCGTTCGGCCGGGTGGAAAGAGCGCTGCGGATGGACGTGGGGAAGGCGGCCTGTTTGAATGTACTGGTCAGCTGACCGTTTAGTAAGGCGAATCTACTTTTGCTTGTCTTCTGCGCAATGAAACATCTCTATATCTGCAACTGTCTAGTTGATAGGTACTTCGCCCCCACGTAGCCTTTCAAACCTAAATCCCTTGCTGACAAGGCCGCCTGAGTTCAGCCAAGCATTGAGCTCGCTTGGATGAACAACATGGAATATCAACATGACCACAAACATGAGCAACGCATCGAATACATAGAGGTATGCCTCATGCGAGATCAAATACCCCCCGAACCCCTCAATGTATTCCACAAGACGATATACTGACCGGACCAGGATAAGAACGCTGGCCGAGTACAGCACCCAGATTAATTTCTGCCAGTTTATGCCCGAACCAAGAGAGTATGATGTCGGGTTATTGTTCATTCGATTGTGGAAGATGCCCGTGGAGATGATGAAGAAGCCGAAGAAGAGGATCTGTACGACGAGACCGACGACGATGACGTGCGAGCCAGTTTGCACACCACTCTCGGAATGACTACTCATGAGACCGGCCCCTGTAGACATAGATTGTTAGTGGTCGTGTAGCGGTTATAGGTGAAGGTATCGTGGAGAATGAAGCGTACCTCCAGCCTGGAGTAAGAAGGATAAGACATCCCCGGTCACGAAAGTTTTGGTTAGCCAGTTCACCCGGATAAGACTGTATTTCTGAGCATGAAGAATAATGATCAGTCTCCCCAGTTCCATGTAGACACTGGCAGCGAACAGAGACGGCGCAACCAGAGGGAGCAAAGACTGGATTAGGAATGGCCCTAGAGTCCAATTGGGGGACTGATTGCTCGATATAGCGCGGGCGCAATACCCGATCCATTCAACTGTTTCAGGTATCAGTCGGATATAGAATCCAGCTAGCACGCAAGCCCTCTCCACTCACAGTAACCTCCGATGACAAACGGTATGAAAAACCATGTTTTGGTGCGGATGAGCTGGTACGTATGGAGAAGCGTCGTGAGCAGAAAGCAGACGATGAATATCACCGCCGCAGCAAGGGAGGGATAGTAATAGTAGTACTCGAAGCTCGAGCGTGCTGCAAGACTCATTGTTCGTTCTCCCTTTTCTTGTCCAGGTCGTTCTTTATTATCTCCGTTCGTCTGGTGGAAGCGCGTAAGATTCAGGTTCTTGAGCCGAGTGAGGCCCAGAAAGGGCGAGAGAAGAACAGGTATTTAAGCCATCGCCATCGGTCAGGTACATTCGTCAAGGCCAGTCGAGAACTATGCCGATTCCAGCAAAACAAACGGCATTCTGAAGGTGAACGAAGGCTGTGTCAACCTTATCGGGAGGCCCCTGGTCCCACAGGGCGCATAAAGTGACCGGAAACGCAACCTTTGGGTTTTACTTGCACATCGTCAGTGATGAATGAGGATAAATCGAATCTCGGAGCCCACGCGACGGTTTATCGCGGGTTATGCAGAACGAGAATAGATCGGCAGCGCGACGACGGAGGGCTGATTGGATGGTTAGCCGATGGTCGGACCCACCCCCGAAAACCATGCCCGATCGGGTATAAATCACGCGAAAGCCATGCCTCAGGGTTTGATCCCGGGTCCGATCTCGATTTCCCCCCCCCCGCCCCCCGGGAATTATTGATTCATCTTTCTTCTCCCGTCTGCCTAGTCGTGGCAGATTACAGGCCACGGTCAATAGCAGCTCGGCCTCACGGGGCTCCCGAGGTCAATAGCAAAGAGAAAGGCGATGCCCCTGCGGCGCTCGCATACGAAATCCCACCACGGCTGTGTCCAATGCAAACAACGCAGGATAAAATGCGACGAGTCTCGGCCCACTTGCGGCCCATGCCAGAAGAAGAAGGTGTCATGTGTATTCAAGAGCCATTTCATACAAGCGCCACCGCATCATAGGGTTGAAGAACCGTTCATCCGCGCCAACTCGCTGGTACATGAAGGCCCCCGGCTTCCACTGCTGGAATTGGAGCTCTTGAACCACTGGCACGTGGCGACGGTGCAGACACTAATACACGAAAAGTCAACAGATACGGTACTGCGTGTCTTTGTTCCGCAAGAGGCTCTCTCGCACCCGTTTCTAATGCACAGCATGCTGTCGTTGTCAGCCCTCCACTTAGGTCACCACGGTTCGATCGAGCGACGGCATCAGTATATAGAAGCGGCCATGACTCACCACAACACTTCGTTGTCTTTATGTACCCCACTTTTGAATAATGTGACACCAGAAAATTGTCACGCGCTGTTCGCATTCTCCTGTTTTGTCGCCACGTTCGCGTTTGCTGCGTACGGGCCAAAAGCCCACCCGAGGGCCCAGAGTGTCTCAGATGTTCTCGAGGTCTTCAAACTTGTTCGAGGAGTTGCTTCTATTGTACGCCAGGCCCGACCGTGGATAGAAGCAGGGAGGATGAGGGATTTGCTGCAAGTTGGTCGTCAGCCACGCGACAGGCCGGAAATGACGCAATCCCAGGAGTTGTATACCCGTCTACTGAGTCTGCACGAAAGACAGCGGCAAGATGATGGCGTTGCCTGCTATGACAGCCCGAGCTCAGTGGTCGCAAGATCGTCTTGGGAGCTGCTCAACTTGTTGCACCTGTCCACCACCTTGGAGAATCCTGCCGCTATCTTGAGATGGCCCGCTCTTATGGACTCAATGTATCTGGATCTGTTGCAGCACGAGAATGGCATGGCTCTTCTGGTTCTCGCTCATTATGGTGTCGCACTAGACATTATGATTGAGAGCTGGTGGATGGCTGGTTGGGGTAGGTTCTTAGTCAATCTTGTCTTGGATCGCTTGGGGCCTCAGAGTGAACCAGAGCTTGCATGGGCCCAAGAGGCTCTCAATAGAAGGGATGCAGAGCACTGATTCAGTCGACTCAAGACCTTGGCGATCGCCTTTAGGATTTCACAAGTCAAGCCCTTCACCACGGCTTGTGTACACATATGATGCTGGAGAGTCGGCTCTTCCGGGGGATCCATGGAGGCCAGTTTTTCTAGTCGACAGCTTTCCTATACCTATTGTCTACTACCTCCAGGAAATTGTAGTATGTGAAGGTGAGATTACCCCAGAAATAAACTTCCTCGACACGTGGAAAGAGACTAAAGATATGACGGCAGAATCCCGCCCATTTCTTTTGTCAGTCTCCAGCAGCTTTTTACACTCACTTTTTGCTCGACATCAGCGGTCTGCCTTATACACAACCCTCCTACTGCAATAACACAATGATGTCGATTACAACGTCACTGCCACATACAATCCTTCTTCTCATGGTACAAAAACACCATCCCAGATTGGCATTCCTCATGATATGTCCATTTCCTTTCTGCCTACCGATCTCCAACCCAAGTCGACATACCCGGAACATCCGCAACCCCACAGAATATGATGTGTGGCCTGGTAGCAATGGACGGGGTGACACTCGTCACAAACGCCCTCTCCTTGCTGGTAAACAGCCTAGTCTAGGCCCGGGCCAAATGACGCAAGGGCACCACGCAAATCAAGGCAAAACAGCAGGCCACGCTGATCAGCGCACCAACTCCCGACGCCACTGCCAATGAAGGGCGCTGACGGGAAAACGCCATCGCAGGCTGACGATAACGGGTGGGCGGCTAGGCACCGCTAAGCCTTAGGGGCTGCGGCTGGTTGGCTGCGGCGCCGCGGCCACGGCATCCCGCACCGTCTCGGCTGGCCCGTCACTCCCGTTCAGGGCACGTGGGGCCAGTCCGGCAGCCGCTTGGCTTATCAGGCCTCTCGGGGTGGGTTAGTGACACGGTGACACAGTGCGTCACTCCGGAGCTGGACTCGCTTGTCTTCAGCTCCGAGGGGGCCAGGAAGCGGGGTGACAATCGCGGAGATGGGTGGTGCGGTGCTTGGAGCTTATAAGAGGGGGTGTGACCCCTCGCGTTTTGTTGCCGCTGATATTCCACTGTAATCGCTGATAAGCTGCCTTGAACAACCACAATTGCTTCAATTTGTCACTCATCCCTTCAATCTACTTTCTCCGTCTCCACAGACTCATCTCCCAAGTTCCAAGATGACCATCCCCCACTACGGCGTCTGGGTCGGCCAGCCCACCCGCTACGACGCCCAAACCGAACAGCAAGACCCCAAGTCCCCCCACATCTACCTCTACTTCAAAGACGATCAGTACTCGCGCAAGGAGCCCGAAGCCGCCATCAACGTCAAGTCCACCGACAAGGATACCCGCCTGGTCTACTGGTTCAACCGGAACTTCACTCACCCGATCTTGGACCAGCTGGCCAGCCTGGACGAGGGATTCCACCTTCTGCAGTCCTCTGAGCACAGATATCGCCACTACCGCCATGAAGAATCCACCTCTGGACTGAAGGGTCTGGATTTCCTACGCACCGAGGGTCTCGTGAGCATCGAGGCGGGAACTCTCCTGCCGTCCGAGGAGACCTCGGACAATGATATCCTCGACAAGTTGGATCCCATCCTCACGGATGCCATCAACCAGAAGGCCACGGTGTATATCTTTGGGTCGTCGTACGGGTCCGGAATCCATGACATCCATATGAACCAGGGAAACTCGCCGTCGTATGACAATGGAATCTATGAGGATGGTGCCTTGTTGTTCCGCTTTGAGGATGGACATTGGGAGTCGGTTTTCTTGGCGTTTGCGTCCCAGGAGATCCCCACCAATGCTAAGGGGCTGCCGGAGGAGGGTAGCAAGACCCTGGCCAGTATTCTTGGGGAGTAGATTGCTGGGATTGTAAGAGAATGGATGGATGTATGCACTTGATGAATATGATGAGCTTGATGAATCAGGAAGGCAATCACTAGCACAATAAATCGGAAGTTGAACACACTATGCAAGTATAGCGTAACTTACAGTTTACTACTGTGTTTGGTTCTTTCGTATTTTCTGCCATGTCTCCCCTCTGTCCACTCCACGCTCCTAGGTAATTGTGAAATTATATACCCACACGGCATCTGGACTTTTACCGCGAGTCTGAATCAGGGTAATAAGTGGTAAAGACAGTTATATTGAGCTACATGTATCAGATTAGTAGCAAAAAAAAAGAATGGGAGGGGGGGAATTAATACTGGTTAATAGTAGCCAGACTACTACCAGCAAAGCGTGAGGTTGTATCCCGTGATATGTGAGCCCTATCTAGGTCGCTTTCTCCAACCGCCGTATAGTCACAAAGAAAACGAGAATACAGATCACGCAGTTTCTCGAGACAAACATGCACGTAGAAACACGTAGGATGATCAAACGGGCCCTTGAAATCCTGCCAGAAGTTCCCACGAAAACTTCCTCTCCACGATCACCCAATATTGTGTCTGTAGATGCTCCCTTTGACCACCTGGTTAGCAGACGTGTCTTCCTCCAATCCTTGCTACTTCTCGTCTCTATCTCTCATCCTGCAGACTTCTACCTCATTTTACCATCTCTGAACATCTTATCTTCGCTATTCTACGCGTTTCATAACAAACTGCCGCGATGCCTGACCGTCCCATCCTCAAGAACACCCACATGGGACACATCGACGTGATGAGAAAAGAGTTCCCCATCCGGTCTCCTCTCCACTTAACCCCCTCCCCCTTCACTGCATCAACATTGTATGGATCCACCGATCCCCATGCCTCGAGCCTCTTCCGCCTGCCCCCAGAGCTACGCCTTCAGGTCTGGGAGTACACCTGGCCCGAGCCGCGCGTCATCTCGCACACGATGACCGCAGTCCGCAACGAAGACGGCGACGACCAAGGCATAGTCCATCATCTCTTCCCCGCCGCACCTTTCTCCGTCTTCGTGGAGACAGACTACTTCCGCATCCTCAACCACACCGCCATCCAGCCGTCTTATCGCGGACCCGTCGCCCTCTGGATCTGCCAGGAATCTCGCATCCACACCTTGAGACGCTACGTTCCAATCATCCATTCCACCCTCCCGATGGGCTCGTTCTACATGGACCCGAGACGCGACTCCCTGCTCCTGTGCTGGGACTACGTGATCTGTCGTCGGGTGCTGGAGAGGGACTATGGAAATCAGTTGCGGGTGTTTGAGCATGCTTTGGTGGATGGGAACTTCCAGGCGAGGGGGGATGCGGATGCCTTTCAGGCGGTTTTGGACGCGATGGGCTCGGTGGAGACTCATTCCCTCTCTGAGGCGTTCTGGGAGGCTTGGGGAAGGAAGTTGGATCGTTGTGGCGTTCGTGCTGCGACCAAGTTTGTGGGTCGTCTCTGCGAGAGATATCATGAGTTTGAGGGGAAGCTTGAGGGTACTTGGGGGCAGGAGTTGACTGATGAAGAGGACGGGGTTTATGAGTTCTTGAATGAGGAGGCGTTTGAGGAGGATGGTGGCGACAACGGCGACGAGGAGTGGTTTGAGGAGGAGGAAGATAAGGAGAAGGTGGATGAGGAGGAGGATGAGGAGGACGAAGATGAGGATGAAGATGAGAAGGATAATTGCACGAACACTGGTCTACAGTGCAATGAGGATACCCTCGCGTCGTACTTGACTTGGGCTCCGACCTCGAATGGAATGGTTGCCGGTGTGCACTTGTGCGATGGTAAGAAGCATATTGGACAGGGGTGATTGGGGTTTTTTCGATGCTCTTGTGCACAAGCTATGAGATATTGTCGGAGTTTGGATTGTTCTTTGCTGTCGCTAGGATTTGGGGAGAAGGTTTTCTAATGGTCACGCCCTATCTACCGTTGTTTCAACTGTCTCGATTCAGCCTGTTTCTATCAGGTCTGCTCCAGTACACCAGGTGGATTTTTTTTCCCTTATGTTGTTCGAGTATTGATGTCATCTAGCAAGCAACCGTTAATTAAATTAAAGTCCCAAAATAGCCTTCCCTTTTCCCCTGGTGGTCCTCCTCTAGCCACATAGTGAATCAGATCAAAGTGGGATGTGTTTTAACCCCCTTTAGCCTCGCGCTTCGGATATCTCACGCTGCACAGGACCGATATAACTTCTCATCGGGTCGCTTTGCTGTACTCCCGATCTAATATGGGGAGTAAAGCTACAGAGGTTTCATAGGCGCCTGGCATAGTAGGAGGAATATGGGAAACATCTCTATCTGTACCGCATCTTATCGCGTGAGATGTAATCCTGGATCATTGTCAATATGCTTCACTGTGCAGTGTTCTTTCAGATGGGGAGAAAAGAAGCCTATGTCTTCTGTCTTCCAGTAGCCTATCTTTGTTTTCGAGTGGAAACAGGACCAGTACCTTGAAGACTTGCAGTAATATCGAGCACTGTGCCAGGGATGTTGCTGTCCTGCGAGATGAAAAAAAAATAAAAATAAAAATAAAAAAGGATGAGACACCGATTGATGTGGACATCTCCATCTCCAGAGTTCGCAAGCCAACCTCAGCCCAACGCCCCAATTTGGGGTTTTTTTTTATTCGTTCATGTTACCTGCTTGCAATGCTAGTCTGGCGCCACGTATTATATAGAAGCTTTATGTTCATGATAAACACTGCGTTTGAGTGGCCAAAATCCTTGGGATATAGATTCGGGCAATTGATGCTTGAACACCAGAAGCTTGTCTGGTCGCAGGGCGGCCAATAAGAGTTTCATGGAGATAGGTATGGAACTCCAAGAAATTTCAAGGGAGTGGAATCGGGATATAGCCCATGGATTTAATGTTGTAGAAGGGCCTACGCGTGAATGCAGTCAATGGAATTAGGGCCAGTGGTAGACATCCACATACAGGTCACTGTAGGTGTTCTCCGACCAGATTCGACAATCTAAATTTGATGGGGATCATCAGTTAATTCTGATTACCTCAAACCTCCATGCTCAATTCACCACGAGGTCCTCTTCCTCCGCCGCCTAAGAACGCACCCATAGTCAACCCGAGCAGTGGCATGGTAAAGGCAACATACGCCCACCACAGCAAGGAGACCAAGAGTTCGGGCTCTTTATTAAACCCGACCAGATTGGTCCAAAATGGACTAATCTTCATCGACAGACTGTCTTCCCTTTTTTTGTTCGCGATTGGGGAATTTTGTGACGCGTTTGGTGGATCAATTGCGTTGCCGTACCCGATTGTATAGTAATTTGAGGAGTCGTGGGTGATAACAAGAATTATGGCAAGGTCTACCGGCCCAATTGACCCTGCTCCTTGTGTCAGCGATGTAGATTTCCTCGATTCGATGCTGTACGCCTTGATAGGGCCCAAGAATGGATCCCGCCAAGAAGGACGAAGAATGACTCCACAACAAAAAAAGAAGAATTGTGCTCCGATAGGGGGAATCGAACCCCCGGCTGCCGTGTGAGAGACGGCGATGTTAGCCACTACACCATATCGGATGTTGTTGTCGGTTTGACGGAAATCTTGCTAGAAGTGTATAAAGAGTAGCTGTTTGGTTGGAAACATTCTGATCGAGTATGTTTTGAGTTAGATATGTCCCCCATCTTCAGCGGGACATTTGGAGCATAATTTATCAATAAATATGTGAATTCGAAGCAAGCAGTGGAAATTTTAAGGACATTTGAAAAGTGGTTGTAGGATAGGCGTGGGGCATCGAGACGTGTCAGCCATGGAATTATGTACACAACCGTGCACTGCCAGGGTTGTCCTTCAGCCAGCTTCCAGCCCCTCACCCTTTCTTTGCTCCCACTCCTCTCGTCCATCCTTGCACGCTTGTTTCGCATCATGGGGAGAGATCACCTGGGAATAACTGAATTACTACTATGGTTGGAACGGGCTATTTATGGCACAGATTGGTATAGCACCACTCAGCCCATCTTGTCCAGCACTGTATTGGTGTACCCCCACAGCAGCGACGTATAATCCGAGCAAAACGTCAATCCAGTGTAGTAAGTGTTTCGCCTCCCCTGCAGCGCATACAGCTTCCGATAATAGCCATTGCGAATCTCCTCCGGCGTCACCATCAGCGTCTCGGGCGAGTGATCCTCAAACGCCACGATTTCGGGATTCTGGATCGGATACGTGGCCTTCCTCTTCATCCGGGAGAAATCCGATATAAGAAGCTTCTTCGCCTCCTCCGCTGTGAAGTTCATATCCCCGACTAACTTGCTGGTCGGATATCCCGAGACCCCCATATACTGCAACAGATAATCAAACGGCATTTGAGGCAGGTTACCCGGTCCCGTTCCAGGGTCCGCATTCGAGACATAAATGGCGTCCGGGAGGCCGGTGTTGTTGAGAACGGCGACGTAGTACGTTCTCCAGAACCACTTTTTGAAGAGCTCCGTTTCGGTTTCGTCGAGGTCAAAGTCCTTGAGGTTTTTCATGATCGGGGGGATGGTGATCAGGAGCTTTTTAGCCTTGATCAGTTTGCGACTGCCGTCCGTATGCTCCACTGTCAGCTCAACCCCGGAATCGGATCGCTTCGCCTCAGCCACCGTGGTCTGGAAAAGCACGTCTGAGCCTAGAATCCTCCCTGCCTTCCGAAACAGCTCGTACACGCCGTTGAGTGGTGTGATATAGCCCTGGACCAGGGCGTCGATGTGCGGGACCCCAAAGTTCTGGACGGCATATAAGAGAGGCATCTCGAGGAGATTCCCCACATTCTGCCCAAAGAAGAATACCATTGGTATGGCCGCCTCGAGGGAGTTCTTCTGCATAAATTCTCCAAATGGACGGACGAGATCCTCCGGTACGGGGTCAGGGAGGTCGTACACCCCTTTGTTGAGGAAGGTGTATTGCTTGATTGCGCTGCGATAGAGAAACGTGGCCACCCCGGTCTCGATGAGACCACTCGGGGGGTCTACGCGTTCCCCTGTGGTGAAGTCGACGTAGTCGGTTCTTTTTTTCAGAGGGACGAGTTGCTTCCACTTCACCCCGAGGCGGGTGAAGAAGTTCCTGGATACCTGGTCGTTGAAGGCCCCTTCGACCCCGTAGTCGACGTGGCTGCCATCCGGGAGGTAATATGTCTCCGTGTGGCCCCCCAGACGGTTGTTTCGCTCGACTACCACCACGTGCTTTCCTTCATCTTTGAGTCGAATCGCAGCGTATGTGCCTGAGCCTCCCCCTCCGATAATGCAAACATCGCAGGTTATTGTTTCCTCGATGGTGTGGTTGTCAGAGGATGGGAGGGCGGTCGCTGCAAGCGAGAAGCCTGCGAAAGAGTAAAATATCGCAGAAAGGAGGAGCATCGGGATGACTGGTCAGGTCATGGATGTGTAGGGAAGCTGGCAAGTGTCAATGTCTAATCTGGCTAAAGATGCCATCGGTGGGAGAGATCAGCTTTACGGCAAGCAACCTGCGCAGGGCTACTTATAGAGCGAATTGGAGAATTCACCCAGTGAGCTCACATCCCAGTGCCGTTTCCGGTATACTGATCAATGACTGGCAGGGGATCTGATTAAAGGTCGGGCTGTGGAACATGGAGTGATCACCAGCCGCCCAGCTCAACCCTGACCTTGCCCCAGCATCTCGTGCAGTAGGCACATGATCCAGGGTCAGCAAAGAGTAACAAGTCTTAAACTCTGGATTTGAACATCACTTCTCCTGTCTCTCCATGGAAGGGGGCTCTCTTCTAGCCTACCGGTTTGTCAACTGCGGACAGTCATGAGTCGATTGCGCTATCCTGCTATCCTGGATACTTTACATGTGAATATGGACTGATTTGTGCAACTACAGAAACACCTTAGCATGTGGGTATCTCTACATTCTTCTCCGGTATATCGACAAGTTGACATCACATGAAAATGCACCACCCTGGTATTGTCTTCTGCAGGACTTTGAAGACTCGTGACGGCGTTTCTATCCTAACCATGCCAAATGCAAAATCACAACCCAGAGCAAGAGATCAATCAATCTATACCCTACCCGATGGGGCACTCATCCCACGCACAACCCATATACAGGAAATGGCATATCCCCCCCAATCCCACGATCTCGCTTACTCACTCACTCCCCCCTCGACCGCACTCACCAACTCCCCAAACGCCTCCTGAATCCCCTCCTTCTCCCCATCCCAGAACCCCGCCTCACCTTCCAGCCCCAAATCCTCTCCCTTCGTCGCCTTCAACCCATCCTCCTTCCCAGGAAATGTCAGCGCGACCATCCTCTCCAACGGCCTCATCCTCAGCCCCTCCAACACCTGCCTCAACTGCGCCGCGGCCTTCCCCCCACCATGTCCCCCATAGCTCGCCACCAACGCGGGCTTCCCCTTCCACTCGTTGTACAGATAATCAATCGCATTCTTGATGCTGGCCGGATACCCCCAGTTATACTGCGGGGTGACGAAGACAAAGGCCTCGTAGCGCGATATCTCCCGTGACCAGGCCCTGGTGTGCTCGTGCACGTATCCGTCCGCCGAGCTGATGAACGACGGAATCCCCGGCTCGTTGTACAGGGGCAGGTTCCATTCCGCGAGGTCGATGGTCTGGACGTTGGCGGTGGGGTGTGATTCGAGGATCGCCTTGTGGATGAAGGCGCTGATTTGTGGGCCTGCGCGCGGTGTGCGCTGGCTGCAGGTTATCAGGCCGATGAGGGGTGCCATAGTGGGACGAGACTTTGACTTTGGGGGTCGAGAGATTGCTGGATGGAGGGAAGGGAAGTGATGGTTGTACTTGTGTGATCTACGGGTATGATGGACGTGCTGCTGTCTGGGTATTTATCCGGGGTGTCGGAGATGTGTTACTATCCGAAGGCCGAGTCCGCGGCTGTCTCCGATATCCCCGTCGGCGGTTTCTGTTCATCCGCTGCTGTGGCTGCCTCGTTTCTGCCTGATCTCTGGTCTATAGAGTTTGGGTGGCGCGTCACTGGGTTTGGATGGGTCATCTGCTGGGCGATGTCTATGGTGTGCCATTTTGGTTGTCTGCCCTAGTGCTGATGGCGGTCGAGCGATTTTTGTCGTAAGCAGGGCTCAAGGACGGCAGTATGAGTGAGTGATTAATGTGCGCGTGGCAGCCACTGGCTATGTTTCTGATCTGTCAGCATCACGTAAATTCGATGTGCGCTTCGCGGGGAACGACCACCATGGGGGGAATGAAAAAAAAAATGAAATGATGGGGAGGGCGATACAAGTCGCTTGGACAGAAAAATAAGGAGCAAAAAAGAAAGCCCAACGCGGGGGTTGAACCCGCAACCTTGAGATTAAGAGTCTCACGCTCTGCCGATTGAGCTAGCCGGGCTGATTTGTTGAAGGCTGGTCGTTTTAGTGTTTCAAGTACGTGCGTTAACTTAGTGCCGTTTGTTGCTCTTGTGATGTCATTGATCTTTCGACATCTTTCTAGTTGGCTACGCCGAGGGTGTTTTGATAATTTGAGAAGGCTAGGTTGCTTTTAATGTTCATTTGAGCGGCTTAGTGATAATTTTTGGTCCATTGGGGAAGTTGTTTCTGTGTATGCAATGTGACATGAGCGAATGTCTCTGGTGTGCGGAGATATATACTTGTGGGACCGGGGGTATTTTTGTTGTCTTTTTGCTATGGTTACTTAGTTACCAAGAAAATTCCCAACCCGTGTACAAACACATCCTTCACATCAAAAGGGTTACAATAGTGTATTGGAACTCTCCTTGGAAATCGGCGTGACGAGCCTCTGCTAGCAACTCCCGATGTGACGTGTCAATCCCCAGTCACGAGAGCGCGCTGGATCTCTCAAGTTGATACGGCGTAGAAAGCAGAGCGAATATCTTGCCTCCGTGATATGTACCAGAGGATCATACTTACTCATAGTATCAGGCCTAGAAGCCGCCCTGCCACCAGCCGATATCAATCTGATATGATCACCAGCAGACCAATGGTAGGCCTGGGACGAGCGAGAGGTCAAACGAATCGCGAAAATCCACCCTCGAGTCCTGCCCAATGGGGACGTGTCGTGGTGACGCGTAGGGAAGGATGCATTCACTTCCAGCCGCGTGTAGAAACATTGACATAAGTTCTACATACAGAGTACTGTAGGTAGGCAAGTCTGGTTTCACAGCCGTTCCTGCCACTTGAGATCTGCCAAGTCGAAGCAGGGAAGTACCTACGGTTACTTGGACAAAACCACGAAACGATGCTATTTCCTGCATAATCGAGACAGATCATTATCTTAAGCGATGGATTTTCTATAATTTTGAATGACTATCCATGAAATGGACGCATTTCATGCCAGGAAGCTGAAGCAGCAGCGGTCGCGAGTCGCGAGTCGATTACAACGCTAACCCGTTACGGGTAGTATTGCAAAGGGCCCAAGTCCAGAGGGGTCTAGAACGGACCCACGGCCGGCTCCAACCAACTTGCAAGTTGCAGGTTGCAGGACACTAAAAAGCCTCGCAACGCACGCCTGGAATGGAAGTTTTCGAGATTGAGCGAGCGCAGGTGGCGAGAAATGAGCCATGCATTTTTGATACGCTAAGATCTGACAGCAAAGACTGACTTACCTGGCTGGACTGCTTATCATTGGCGAGATCTTCCCTTATCCGCCTCTTTCGAGTGCCTCATTATGAGTCATGCTGGCTCACGCCGACTTCCCGCATCGCCTCAACACCATGTGGGCCGCCAGACTTACCGGATCGGGCAATGGCACCAAAGCCATATCGCATACAAATACGGAGCCGGTTCTCGAATGCTGAGATCAACATCAACCACAGTTTGACGCCCACACAACTCCCAATACACAAACCAGCCACCCCATTAATGCCAGACGCCACAACCACCACTCCAAACCACCACACAATGGGCTCTCCCAGCCAGCAACAATACCACCTCCCCGCAGGCGTCCACCCCATCCCAGAACACGAGCTCGACCTCCGCCCGGACTCCTCGATCGACCATGCCCTCCTGCACCCCAGCCCCGTTACCGACGAGAAAAACGTCTGGTTCTTCTGGCACAGTGGCTACGCCAACATGCACCCTTACACACAGCGCAACGTGCGTACCTGGTACCGACGCTTCTCCAAGGCCGGCTGGGCCATCCGAGTCCTCGACCGCCAGCCGTCCTCCCCCCTCAACGTCGCCAACTACCTCGACATCCACGACCCGAAGAACTTCCCCCGCGCCTTCGCAGACGGCACCATCTCCGGCGACTACGCCAAGCAGCACACCTCCGACCTCGTCCGTCTCCCCCTCCTCCTCACCTACGGCGGCATCTACGCCGACGTCGGCATGATCCAGATCGGCGACGTGGATCGCATCTGGCGCGAGACCGTCGCCAACCCGGACTCGCGCTTCGACCTCCTCTCCTACAACTGCGGGGGCATCGATGAGCGCAGCCTCACGAATTACTTCCTCATGGCCAGGCCGAATAACCCGCTTTTTGAACGGTCGCATCGTCTGCTGCTGAAGCTGTGGGACGGGAAGACGAGTACCGAGGGCATGCACGCGAGTCCGTTGTTGAAGGACCTGGAGCTGATCAAGGGTAGTCCGGATATGGACGAGAAGGCGTGCAAGGAGTTGACCGACTATATTATCCAGGGCCAGGCCATGACGCTGGTCATGGGGCTGGTCGACGAGGAGGATAGCTGGGACGGGCCCCAATACGTCGCGGACCATATCTACGGCATCGAGTTCATGGTCGGCTCGCAGCTTATCAACCAGATAACGAACTGGGATGGAAAGAAGGCGTTCGAGCTGATGTCTTTGTCGCTGCCTGCGGAGGGCGAGGCGGAGACGACGGACCAGAAACAGGCGCGTGAGATTGTCGAGGCCTGTCTGTCGAAGAGCTTCGGGTTCAAGCTGGCCCATGGCTATATCTTGAAGGTCATGAGTGCGACGCTGGGGTCGCTGTGGAAGGAAACTGAAGGGTCGGATAATGTGCCCGGCACGTATGCGCATTGGCTGAGACATGGGATCGTCCACTGGGCTCAGGATGAGCTTCCCCCGACGTTGCCGTTCACGGTGATGCAGCCGTTGAAGAGAGGTCCTCTTCTGAGAGAGGAGTAGTTATACCCTTTATAGGATATTGTTATGTTACCATAGACTAGACTTATATCCATTTCTACAATAATACACACCCATTCCTCAACCTCTATCCATAAAGCATGATATAGTAACTAGTCAGCGGATAGCCCCCGAAAGCCCTATCCCATCCCATCCATGGGCAAGGGCAATGCACTATACCACCCTCTATCTTCCAGTGTCTAGTACATGCGACCATAGGGTGTGGAGAACAGGGCTTCCCGTCCGCTCAGCCGTACTTAAGCCACACGCCGGGAGGTTAGTAGTTGGGTGGGTGACCACCAGCGAATCCCTCCTGTCGCATGTATAATTCTTTTTTTCACAGTTTTTTGGCCATATTTCTTGTTTTTTTTTTGGGGGGACCGACATCCACACTATTTTCATGCCGGGTGGGACACGGTCGCGGAAGCTTTTTGCGGGATTTGTGGGTGGGATATTTGTGGGGGGGTCAGCGGATTCATGATCCAGCTGGACGAGAAGATAAGCGTTCGGGTGCGGAGTCGAAGGAACTTGGTATCAGCAAAGCCACGGGGAAGTCTTATAGGGTTGACGGTAGCTACCCTTGGGATTGGGGTTGGGCGCCATGGAAATGGACTGCGGTGGCTGGCGTATACAGCTTTCATGTACTGTATGTATTGTATGTATGCAGATCAAGAGACTCAGATATACTTTATATGAATTGCAGTGGGAACATCCCTGGTACGATTTGTAGTTAGTTAGACAGTTAAGCTTTCGGACAGCCCCTCGTGTTCACGCCGGGGAAGTCAATTCCGTCCCCCCCCCCCCCCGCAGAAATACGAGTCCACGCGGGGTTCAGACCAAAAGAGATCGAAACTCTCTTTATTGTCCTGGTGGTATTGTTCTTTTTATTCTGAAACAGGGCAGTCTGGTTCTCCCTCTCTATAGGCGTTTATCGTATAACCTTTACTCTCTTAGTGCCTTTTGATGATGTCACCTTGGGGTTGGAATGCAGGACTAAACGACAATCATATTTCTCTCAAAGGTAAAATAATAAATAAAGCAGGAGTTGGATACATTTGATCTTGGGTTTCCGAGTTTCCAGGGTCTCCAGAGTTCCAAACAGCCTTCAAAAACAGTACTATCCGTCCCATCTCCCAGGTCATGGTGTGCCAGAAGGATTCCGCAACGTCTGACAGCAATGCCCCGACCTTACAGGCAGACAACGTACGAAACCCAGACGTTAGGTAACAACTGCTTCGATGTCAGAGGCCCGACCAGGTGCTGCAACGGTGGAAGCAAACTCACGGGATTGGGAAAGCCAGCATATTTGCCATCTGCGCAGGTGAGCTTTTTGGCCTGGGTCTTATCCAGCGCTTGATCACTGTTAGACTTCATTCCCTGGACCTTGGAGGATCCCCCCGAACTTACGACTCGCTCCACATCCGGTTCCAGCAACGCCTGATACAAATGCTCCTTTACAATAGAAGTCGATCGGTGCTGCCCGTGCGACAATTTTGATCTCGTCCTCCGTGTCCGGGGCGGGAGCGGCAGCCGCGAGGCTGGCGGCGGCGAGGACACCGAAGATGGTCTTGAACTGCATTTTGGATGGATGGTCTGTAGTCTTTTCTGTCTGGGATTGATGATCTGATGGTGATGATCTGATGGTGGAAAAAGAAAGCAAGTAGTCGAGGATTCACCGGTCATTTATAGACAACATCCCCAGATCTAGACCGGGCTTGAGCCTTCAATCTTGATGTCACTATTCGCACTAGATCCAGACCAATAACCCAGATCGATGTATGGGACCGTGATAGCGGATGCTGCAGCCGTCCATTCCGGTTCTGTGGTTGTACACCTGCTCTTCGCCCACATCGGTCGGCCCAGACATTCCATGTTGACATCGTGTTGGCACGGGAGATGAAGTGTCGTCGAACAAACTTCCAACCCAGCCTTGGAGGAACACGAACTCCGCCACTTGCTTGTATGCCCAGAGTAAAGGGTGAGGCTTTTTCTGTCGGGCCTGGTTGAAGGCCACGATACGAGGCTTGGCCGGACAATCCCTGCAGGTGGATGGAGTGGTTGGTGTCACTGGTTCTGGCTACATAGACTAAGTCCCACCATCACTTGGCCCTTGACCGGAATACCCTCGATGCTTGATCCAATACAACTTTCTAGGCTAGGTCCATCACCCGCGATACCACATCCTGGTGACCTTCGTCCTCCGCATCTTCTTCTGCAGCTGGAAGATCCCATACAGCAACGCCTCGGGTGTCGGGGGACAACCAGGCACATAGATATCCACGGGCACAATCCGATCCACCCCCCTGACCACACTATAGCTGTCATGGTAGTATCCGCCCCCATTCGCACAGCTCCCCATGCTGATCACCCATTTCGGATCCGGCATTTGATCGTAGCATTGCCTCAGCGCCGGTGCCATTTTATTCGTCACCGTCCCCGCCACGATCATGACGTCCGCCTGGCGGGGCGAGGCGCGGAAGATGACCCCCAGGCGGTCCTGATCGTACCGTGGCATCGAGACGTGCATCATTTCGATCGCGCAGCAGGCGAGCCCGAAGCTAAGCGGCCATAACGAGCCCTGGCGTGCCCAGTTCACGATCTGGTCGAATGTGGTTCTGTGGGTGGGTTGGTTAGCTTGCTATCACATCATATTCATTCATATGGGCCCTGTTGTTGTAATCTGGGTTGTGGTTGTGGGTGCGTACAGGACATGTTCCACCGCGTTTTTGGGCCTTGCAGTAATTGATAACGAGTTCGAATCCCTTTCGCTTCTGTGCGAATGTGCTGTTTTGGCTTCTATCTTCGATCTTGCTGTTGCTGTAGAATAATGTCGTGTCGCTGCACGGGTGATGGGATATAGTGTCCGGGATACTTGATAGTATGCTGGAATTAGTTGGATGCTCCATGATGGAAAGGGGGAGGGGTTGACTACATCTTCCGTGGAGTGACGGCGACTTACCAGAGGTATAAAGCGACATACTTGTGGACTTGAGATCATCTCATCCAGGCAGATCCAGTATTCAACCTCTCCTCTCCTCTCCGCAGTGGGCTTTTCCCTGTCCGGTGGGTTTTCTCCGACTAAAATCTTGTAGCGTCATCCTTCGGCATAAGGGGGATTTCTCATGATACATGGTGAGTAAAAGAAAAGAAAAGAAAAGAAAGTGAGTACACGATCCAATTCCATTCACTACAAGTGCTTGGCGGCTGTTTCGCCCTTCAACTTTCCCCCGCAATCCAGACAACCACAACCACAAGATCAATAGACGGGGAGTAAGGTTAGCAGAGGGTACTTGTCAAAAATATTCATATTGACTACAGTTACTTACGTGGGAAATCAAACCTTTCAATTTTTGATGACCATATCGAGTTGAACTCCTTCCACTTGATTATATATATAATAACCGTAATACCACAAAGATGATTATGGTCCGGCATATCCATATGCCTGGTCCATCCACTACCCTACCCTACTCTCCCAAATAACATGTCATATCCAGATACTCCCACCAACCTCTATTCTATCCTATCTCCCCTCATCCCCCTTTGTCTCTTCTTCTATTTAAGACTTCATTTGTACTATATAATTTGATTCAATTGTAAGTCTTGTACATACGACCATAGGGTGTGGAGAACAGGGCTTCCCGTCCGCTCAGCCGTACTTAAGCCACACGCCGGGAGGTTAGTAGTTGGGTGGGTGACCACCAGCGAATCCCTTCTGTTGTATGTTTTTTTTCCTTTTTGTTTTTGCATCAATTTTGGCCATTTTCTCATGCCTTGACGTGCCTTCTTCACCAATTTATACTTGCCTGCCCCAGATATTGTTTTTGTGTCACTGTCCTCCCTGTCTAGCCCCGTCGCACAGCAGCGACACCCACCCAGCCCCATCCATCCCATCACGTGCCCACCACCGTCCGTCTGCCACTCCCGCCGCTTACATGAGCATCACCGCGGCGCGCGACGACGACAAGGCCACCTATCAACCTCCCAGCAACCCCCCCAACATCCTCATCGCAACCATGCTGTCCGGAATCCAGAATGTACGGCAGACTGCCGTCCAGATCCTCAACTTCGGGCTGGTCCTGAGCACCGCCTTTATGGTCCGTCGCGCACCCCCTCAACCCCCACCCCCGAAGCTATCGCTAACCCATGCACCGCAACGCAACAAATAGATGTGGAAGGGCCTCTCCGTCCTCACCAGCTCCCCCAGCCCCATCGTCGTCGTCCTCAGTGGATCCATGGAACCTGCCTTCCAGCGCGGCGACCTCCTCTTCCTCCGCAACAACCAGGCCTCCTTGAACATCGGCGAGATCGTCGTCTACCAGGTCAAGGATAAGGAAATACCCATCGTCCATCGCGTCGTGAGGCAGTTTGGCAGCGGGTACGGTTCTCCCCCTTCCCTCTCCCCCAATTCATCCCCGTGGAATTCGTGCTTCATATCATATCCAAAAATTGCGCCGGCGGAATACACAGCTAGCTAACGCGGTCGGCTTGGTTCGGTTTCCTGGCAGGTCTGATTCGAAACTCCTCACGAAAGGCGACAACAATATCGCGGATGACACGGAACTCTACGCCCAGGGCCAGGATTATCTCGATCGCGACGATGTCGTCGGTAGCGTGTTCGGGTATATTCCCTTCGTGGGCTACGTGACTATTCTCTTGTCGGAGCATCCGTGGTTGAAGACCGTCATGTTGGGGATTATGGGCGTCTTGGTGCTTTTGCAGAGGGAGTAGCGCGTTGCCTTTTTTTTTTTTTCTTCTTCTTCTTCTTTTTTCCTTAAAGCCACTGTCTTGGTGCATGAAAATGGGTTGGTAGGGATGGTTCTTTTTAGTGCGCTATTAATGGATTGGGGTTGTGGTTCGGTTCTCTTGTGTTTGGGTGTAGTGTGTGTAGTTGGGGTGGGATGGTGTAGATGTGATATGCTGGTAAGTGAGAACAGAGTCTAGAAGCTGTTCTAGAATATAATAGGCTGATTTCGTCGGTATTCAAGATATTTGGAGCTGATGCACATGCCATCTTGAGCGGCCAAGATAGCCAGCTACCAAGCTACTCCTGATGCCTCGCCCGATGGCACACCCGGCTATAGGATATCGCCACCTAGCTCCACCTAGCTACCCAGCTGGATACAATAACTGCCCACATGGTATCACGTGTAGTAACTAACCACCTGGACCAGAATCGTCATGGAACGAGCACCTCGGCACCGGCAGCATCGGGGGACCTACCCACCCCGAACTTGCATCCCACCAGACTCATGATATCAATGCCATAGAGCAAGCAGGCCACACTCCCGCTGCGTTGGTTTATTTGGATCGCCCCGCTGAATAATTGACTCAGTGCTCGCTTGGAAAAGCAGTCTCGGACGTCAACGGAACCAGACCTTCGGATAGGATAGACTTCACATTGACCGAGTCCGAGTCAATTTCCACCCCAAGAAGCTCTCCTCCAGGCCTTTCTACCGACGAGTTAATTCCTCGAAAGCTTTGTGGCGACATGAGCTTCCAGACGCCCGACTCTCCGAACCCAGACAGACTGGAGTGTTGACAGTTGCTCTCTGGCGTGTGAAGACTGTATGTGGCACGCGATGCTTCCCAGCGACATCCACGCACGCTACCGCGCACGCTAGCGGTCGAACGCGATCTAGACCCGCCCCCGGTTGTAGCATCGTACTGGGCACGTAAGTATAGTCGTTACTGGCCGTGTCATCCATCCAGCTCCGCAGCGTCGCGGTCACCAGCATCGGGCCATCCGCATCGCCACACAAACACAAACGCGACATCGTCCGCACAGACGGACAGAATTTGCCTACCGCTGACTCCGTGGCTGAACTCAATCGCAGGCAGCAGAAATTCCCGCTGGCAGGACTGGCCTCGAGGGCCCGCAAGCGCAAGAACTCAATTGAAAAGTCAACCAGAAGGTTCATCCAGAAGGGAAATGTGGAGAAAGACATCCATCCATCCATTGCAAACCTGCAGCTAATGGCCTTGAACGTTGAACGTTGAAAGTTGAAAAAGTATTGGCAAGTGGGTTCCACCCACTGTGGCTGCTGCTGCTGTTGTTGTTGGTTGCTTCTTGGCCGGGTACAAGACACACTCGCAGATCGTGGACATGCCCTTTTCGAACCGAACGAACGGACTCTGCTTCTGTTGCATCAAAAGCAGCCATGGAATCGAGCGCCCCCCTTTGGGTCGCCAGGTACGAATTCTTCTCGAACGACGCGTGCCTGCCCCGCCAAGAACAGCCGGGTGTCCCGTTTGGGAATCACATCGTCTCGACCCATGGTTCGGGGCCTCAAGGGCCCGTTGCCCGGGCCTGTTTCTTGCTGCCGATTGTATTGCGATTGGTCGCTTCGGATGTTCTCCTGAACTAATTCAAGCACCGCCCAATGGCCGTTGTCGCTGCTGTCAGGACCGCGGGGCCACTGCGGGCTTGCTATAGGCTCGATCCCCTGGCCGGGATGGAGAGTCCACGGTTCGTGGCCACAGATTCATGGATGCTTTACTATTTTCTGGTTGCTTTCTTTCTTTCTTTCTTTCTTTCTTTCTTTTTTTTTTTCGTGTTTCATGCTGGCTTATTTTTATCGAGTCTTTTGCTGTGCTGTCGAGGTATGTCTGCTGATGGGGTCGAATGATGCCATCGAGGGTGTATGTGTGAGGATGTGACGGAGGGTGTTCGCGCCATAAAAAGAAACAAATCGAGGAGATAAACTCCATCGACTGACCACCACTTCTGTCAATGCAAGCATAGAGTGGAGGCACCAAGACACTCGCAGGTCCACCCCACCGAGCCCGAGTAGGCAATACAATACATTTCCATCGCAGTCTAGATTTGCGTTCGTCTCTTGAGACCCGCTTGGCTCTCTGAATGAAACAATGCCTCCAGCCCTGCCCTGGCACCCAAACCCAAACCCAAACCCACCCACCGTCCAGACTTCTTCTTTGCCCGCCAGTGAATGGATAACCCAATCGGCCTACTTTGCTTTTCCAGTGCCCTGCGTTGCCGTCAACCCCCAAGGCTGTCTCCACCATCTCCATCCCAATCCATGGCAACCCTCTCTACACGGCGCTGACGCACTCCGTTCCATCCGCGTTCTCGAACCACATGCATCCATCAACCCAGGGTCGAGAGAGCGCCAGAAGCCAAGCAGTGGCGTGTCCAGAACGGCTATATAGAAGAGCCCTTCCCTTCCCTTCCCCTCTCTCCCTTCTTTCTCTCATTCAACTGCAAATCATCAGTCCAACTATCCCACACTCTCTTACCAACCCAGTCGTACTTGACCGTACGACATCCACTCCTTGAACGAACTTCACTTCACTTCACACTTCATATATACCCCTATCGCTCGACGCGACCCACCAAAAGTCACCTCCTCAAAAAGCAAAGATGCAGCTCACCAACCCCCTCCTGCTGCTGGCAGCCCTCTCCACCACCGCCCTCTCCACCACCAAGCTGGAAGGCCACGCCCGCCGCCAATGGTCCGCCAGCGGTAGTGTGTCTGCCTCGGCCTCCTCCTCTTCCTCTTCCTCCTCTTCCTCCTCCTCCTCCGGAACCTCCACCTCCACCTCCAGCGGCAGCGCCTGGTCCTCCACCCCCAGCAGCGGCGACTACTCGACCTCGGGCTTCGGGTCCAGCACCTCCTCCAGCGGCAGCGGCGACACCTACGAAGGCAACGTCGGCAGCCCCTGGGGCAGCAACATCATCGAGGTGTCCGAGTCCGACGCCTCCAGCTACGAGTACGTGATGCAGATCGCCGGCCAGAACGAGGACGACTGGACCGTCGTGTTCTGGAACAAGTACGGCCCCGACGGCACCATGGACGGCTGGTACGGCAACTCCGCCGTCAGCTTCACCCTCTCCGCCGGCGAGACCAAGTACATCGCCATCGACGGCGACTCGCAGGGTGGATTCGGGGCCGCGCAGGGCTCCAGTCTCCCCACCGACTCGAATGGCGGCTACTCCTGCACCTGGGGCGAGTTCGACTTCGGCTCCACCACCAACTCTGGCTGGTCGGGCTTCGATGTCTCTGCCATCCAGGCCCAGAATGCCGGTGATACCGTCCAGGGTATGAAGATGTGTGATGTCTTGTCGGGTACTTGCTCGTCCATCACCACTGGTGCTGCGGACGTCGATAACGCCTATACTTCCTCCGAGGCGAGTGAGGGTGGGATCGGTGGGAATATCTCCGGTGGCGCTGTGCGCATCGCTGTCACTATTGATTATAGTGGTTAAGTGGGGGGGGGTTCGAATTGGATTTCTTAAGGCTTGCCATATGTATAGAAGAGAATCAAAAATTAGAACAGACAAAAATTTATATATGAAGACTTTATATATATATATATATATATGCATATAGGAGACTTCTGATCTGACAGACAAGAACTAGCAGCATGTTGGGTTAAGATTCGTATGGTGCGAGTTAAAAGTCAGGATGGTGTGTGCTGAGCTGAGGCTACGGTAGAAACTCATCCGATCGATCATCTTCGGAGTTCGTTTGCTCGCTCTCCAGGTACCTAATCTCTGGGGTACAATCACTTCAGAGGGTAAGGCGATGGCGTTTCGCGGCGATCTCTGATATAATCTGCAGCCTCACCCCGCGCGTTGTATATGCGTTCCTCAGGGGAATACCTCGATATGACAGCTTTTGCAGGACAAACCCAAACGAGACGATGGAGAAGCAATACATGTATAGTGGGAAACGTCAGAATATCAGTCAACAAAGCGGTGCTGGGGGTTGAAACAGTTCATTGTCCTGATCCTGCCCAGGACCAACCAGTCCTTCCCTCCGTATCGTACCAGATGAGAGAGACACCAGACAAAGGTCTTTGCACAGTCAACATCGAGGAACCTCGTGCGGCCATGTATGTAGTATGCAGTCTGCAGTGATTCCCCCCCCCCGCCACGTTCTCGGAGGAAAGTTGCCTTACTGTACACTTCTGGTGTCTGTCTGCATGGATATCACGGATCTCTTTCTAGACTCTCTCGAGGGAGCTCAGGAGACGAGACGGCCTCCACCGGAACAGGAGTAGACAACGAACCCTCTCGGTCTCTGCAGAACAGGTAGATAGGTGTGTGTAGATCGGTTACCCCTCCGTTGCCCGATATCATCCTGCACACCACGGAGTTATGCGACATTTCCCTCATATTGAACTCCATGCTCACCAGCGGAGATCCGCGGGAAGCCGTGGCCTGTCTATCTCTCTGTGGACCTATCTATCTACCTACGACCTGTGAAAGTACGTCATCAAAACTGCGAAATAATTTCTTCTGTGGTCGGAGAAAGGGAGAGGATGCAAATCGAACTGCAGGCATGCATGCCATTCGGAGTAACTGTGAACGCGAACGGATGCCGATGATGTTGTTGGAGCTGTTGGGCAGGAGCTTGAGCCGGAGACCGATGCAGGCCCAGATTATGGTCGCCGTCGCCAGTTCCTCCCTGAGAGGGACAGGGACTTGGACCTGCCTGGACCTGGACCTCTCTAGACCCCCGATCGCATGTCCGTTGCAGGTGGATGAGTGGGTGGATGTGAATGTACAGAGCACTAGTTTACGGTGGATAACCCTCTATAGCAGTAAGTAGTAAGTAAGCGGCCTGGCCAGCCAGCCAGCCAGCCAGCCTGCATGTGTCAGGCCAGGGGGGTATAATAAGCCTGCAATAATATTCACACAATATACAGCACTACTCCGTAAGTACTGTGGCATCGTAATCCAAAAGTACAAAAAGTTGTTCCGTCGCCTACCGCGTATACCCAACCCTTGTTCATGTTCCACGTACCTTGCATCTCCGATGGCATGGGATGACAGTGGCCCTTGGTTATCCTTGTCCTTGTTTTCGTAAGCACCGCCGAATTAGGGCGACACCCCCGCCTCCGACCTGGCTGCGTTGCATGCAGGGATGATGATGATGATGATGTATCCTGTAGATAGATAGTGCGTAAAGGCTCCCGGGACTCCGCGTAGTGGCCGACTTAGGTACAGGAAGGATTCTGCCGCCGTCGCGATTATTCGCACTGACACATGCAGATGTCATATCATCCATGGCGGGCTTATCGTCCGCCGCTACTTACGAAGGAGTACTCCGTACGGAGACTGGCTATCGTATTTGTGACGCCCGGAGCGGAACTGTCTATATTGATCGATTTATTATCGCCGATGCACTCGGATATCTGTCTAATCTATCGGATTCTACACCGAGAGAGGTAGGTTGTCGTGTGGGTTTGCCCGCTGCACACCGCAGGTCCGGGACAGGATCACTCACTACTTACTCAATCTGCGACCTCGGAGAAGAGAGAGTCGGGTCGGGGCCTCGGATGAGTCCCAGATGCTAAAGTTAGACCCGGGTGTAGATACCGACAGGATCGGGGAGGGGGAAGGGAAGGGAGGGGGGGGGGGAAGTCCAATCGTAAGACATGGTGCCTGAAGAACAGGCTACGGTGAGTGACAGTCCGTGGCATTATCATCATCATCCTCCTCATCGTGGCCGTCCTCAGGCTGAGGCCGGAGATAACTTGGCCGGATCGGCAAGCCAATGGGAATGTTCGTCAGGGAACGTTAGACTTTATGCGGAAGGGATCAGCCGGATAGCGTCCGCGCGCGACCGTGATTGGCTCCCGGCACCAACAGCTCGGCCATCTCCTGACACTCAGATGAACCTTGATTGGTTCGCTCGGTCTTCCCCCTGTCACCTGCATTATCTGTGCAGATTAATATCCATCCCGTTAATCCTATTCGGGTCCATTCAGCCACATTGAAGATCTCCACCCCTCCTCAAGCACTCAAGACGTTACATTGTCATTCCGACCTCGGCCAAGGAAAAATCGTTCAATAATATTGTTATTATTATTGGCGTTGGTCCGGTTCCAGTTAGATCCTTTGTCATCTCCCCCCCCCCTTCCCTCCCCCCAAAGCCAATTGACGGCCCCCCCCCGCACACCTTTCCTTTCCCCAATCTATCATCCTCCCGCTAGACCACCACCGCGGGCTTATCATTCGCCCTCAAGACTTGTTCGTCGGGTCGAAGCTTGTTCTGTCCGCGCCGTCGACTCTTCCGGCGCCCTCTAGTCGCCGCCACGCTCGCCCGTTCGTGCTGGAGCCTGGGAAAATCGCCGAGAAGGATCCAGCCATGAAGCTCGAGAGAGTCCGAGAGACTAACTAGATACTAGATACTAGAGAGGGATGACTTAACTTTGCGGGAGAGATAAGCGCTGGGCCAAGCCGTCGGGCGTCCGTCCCCAGCACCGGATATCCCGGTGGAATGACATGCTCGCCAGCTCCAAGTGCGTGATTCGCCTTCGCCTTCGCCCTTCACGCCCTTCCCGCTCTCGGCCTATCTACCCGTGCCGTTTCTGCGCTTGTGTTTGTGCTTGTGCTTGTGCTTGTGCTCACTGCCCACTGCCCACTGCTCTGGCCTGTTCGTCCGCCCGTCCCAAAACGGCCTCGTCTGTCTACACCAGCTCACATCCCTGCCGTCTCTGGCTAGCTCCAGCCCTTTTCCAGCTACACAATGAGGGTGCGGAACGGCGGAAGGGCGGATATGGCTGACGGCTGACGGGGAGGCTTCGCCAGCCGTGCAACCGGAAAGTCACTCGCTAATGCAACACAATCTTGGCTGCCAGCTGCTGCTCCAACCAAACAACGCGGCCTCACGTTGGAGCCACTGGAGCTATCTATCTACTCCTGTCTATCAGTATCAGAATCGTAAGTCTCTCTACCGAGCTCCCTGCTAGGTAGGGCCTTTGCACCCCCGTATTTGCACTAAGCGGGGACCTTTCTTCAGCTAGCAGCTAGCTGGAGATAGAAGAATAGACAACAATATGCACGGCGAGGAACCGCTCTGAGCATGATCCACTCCTGCGCCGACGGTGAACCTTCTCTAGCCTGCAGGCCCCCGTTTGATACGACTGTGGGTTCGGTGGGCGGACTTGAGATTGATCTCCGTCGGACCAACAGCGGGGGTGGTGTCATTGCCTGCTGGGAAGTTGGAAACTGGAGATTGCCTGCTCTCGGAAGCTTGTGAGAGAGAGGGCGAGATGGCCTCGTCGACGAGTCCGGGACTCTCGACCTCGATGCATAAATAGAGGCCGCATTCCTCCCCTCCAACCGTTTCTTCTCCATCCAGCATCGGACAATCTCGAGCATCATCTGGTTCAGCTTCCCACCACCACCACCACACTTCATCAACAGTTCTATCTACTCTTGTCTTCTCGACACCTCCTCGAAAGTCAAAATGAAGTTCTCTTCCATCCTCACCGGCTCCCTCCTGGCCAGCGCCGCCATCGCCGCTCCTCTCACCGAGAAGCGCCGCGCTCGCAACCTCGCCCGCCGCTCCGACAAGCAGCGCCAGACCAACCCTCCCTACATCCCCGGTACCAAGGATGTCCTCAAGCTCACCAACTCCACCGAGACCGAGTACTCCGAGAACTGGGCCGGTGCCGTCCTGATCGGATCCGGCTACACCGAGGTCACTGCTGAGTTCACTGTCCCCAGTGTCTCTGCTCCCTCCAGCTCCGGCTCTGGCGGCTACGGCGGTGGCTACGGCGGTGGCTACGGTGGTGGCTACGGCGGCGGCTACGGTGGTGGCGGCCCCGGTGGCTTCTGGAAGCGTCAGGGCGAGGAGTACTGCGCCTCCGCCTGGGTCGGTATCGACGGTGACACCTGCGAGACCGCCATCCTCCAGACCGGTGTCGACTTCTGCTACGCGGACGGCCAGGTCTCCTACGATGCCTGGTACGAGTGGTACCCCGACTACGCCTACGACTTCGACGACATCGAGATCTCCGAGGGTGACTCCATCAAGGTCACCGTCAAGGCCTCCAGCGACACCAGCGGCACTGCCAGCATCGAGAACCTGACCACCGGCAAGTCGGTCAGCCACACCTTCACCGACGTCTCCGACGGCAACCTGTGCGAGACCAACGCCGAGTGGATCGTCGAGGACTTCGAGTCCGGTGACTCCCTCGTTGCCTTCGCTGACTTCGGCACCGTCACCTTCACCAACGCCTACGCCATCTCCAACGGCCAGACCGTCTCCCCCGCTGACGCCACCCTCATGGACATCGAGCAGGACAACGAGGTCCTCACCTCCACCTCCGTCGATGGCGAGACCGTCACCGTCACCTACGTCTAAATCGCCTCTCAGCTTCCCCGCCAGGAATGCGCCGATGTGAATGGTCACAATGACACACCAAACCATGGGGATGCAAGGAAAATGAGTGATGATTTATCCGGAAAGATCTGATCTCATCGAGTTGTTGGTTCTGATTCTGTTAATGCTTTTACGAGTGATTGTATCTACATCTTATGTAGCGAATTGAAGTGCGCGCACGATGCTATAAAAAAAAAAAAAAACCCTCACTCCCCCACCCCCCTTTACCTCACAATCGTAGATCGTAAGCCAGATCGACATTGAGATCATTTGGATTTGTAGTTCATTCCATCATTAGAATACTATTAGAATAGTAGCTGTTTTCTCCTGTTTTCTGTTTGACTGCGAAGTTTATATCATTGGAACGGTCGGGTAGAGTAAAATCTTCCTTGCACACTCGGCATCATCTGAAGACAATTCATTCGCATGGAGTTGACTGATCCCAACCCCGTCGTATGTATCCGAGCGCATCGACATCGCGAGTAAACGTCTGAAGATGCCCACGCAATCCCCAACAGGTGAGACGAGAATATAGTAGTCGAGCAGGTGTAATACCAGGCAGGATACGTATATTCGATATAAGGTTGCCAAGCCGGGAGTGGCTGAATCTTGGTGGTATTTGCATGGGTCCTCGCCAAGCTGTCAGGGATAAGCTCTGAGACATTGTCATCCTTCGAGGGGAAACCGGGTCTTTTCGTCCGTGATAAGCCCAGGGCCATTCCAGCTGTTGAGAAAGCTGGCTCGAGCGGTGGTCATCAGCTGGATGCATGTGTGTGTGTGTGTGTGTGTGTGTGTGTGTGTGTGTGTGGGCTAGGGAGAATTCACTCCTGAGATGGCCTGACGTTGGGATATGGCACGTGATAATTATGATCTCGTGCAGTTCATCTCACACCCAGCAACTTCAGACCCATCTATGTTAAGTAAGTGTTCGTTGAACACTCAGAGGCGAGTGAGTGGGTGAGAGGGTGAGTGTACATATCAACTTCATCGGTGCGCGTCTGGATGAAGGGGCAAGATATACTCTGGAGCAGTCTCCGCACGATGGGTGACACAGGCATACAGTAAGAAGGCCGGCAGCAGTGATGGTAATCCTCTTTTAGTAGAACTGGAAGATATATACACCATCCATAGTACTCAACCAAGACCCCAAGGCTCGATAAAAGGGCTCACACCGAACGCAGTCTACTGCAGCACATCGCGTTCTGTCCCCGACGGAATCCGATTCGTCTCAATAAGCTGTTTTAGCAATGAAGCCAATGCAGGGACCCTTCAGGGTCCATTCCCGACCCTGAGATGCTGCCAGGGACGGTTCCAGAGTTGCGATCCCACAAGACAGAATGCTTCGCCTGCGCGCGCTAGGCCGCATGCGGATGGAAAAAAGAATCATGTGACCTCAGCTGATGTAAGTTTCTCGGCCGATGGGGGAGAGCCAATCAGATGGTGCGGTGTGGAGGGTCCGGATTCGGTATGGCGTCGGCCTTGTTGACAGCCAAATGCCGTCATTATTTATTCTGCCTGCATCTTCCATCTTGTCTATCTATCTGCTGCACAGTACCTAGGAAGTACTACTCTGCCGCAGCTATCCCGACTATCTAGATCTTGTACTTATCTGTTGTTTTCTCTCTTCTTCCTTCCCCCCCCCAACTATTTATACTCTTTTCTGTTGGACCTAAGTCACATGACTCAACACCCTGCCGGCACCCCCACGTAGGCTAGTTTGAATCTGACCAACCTTCTGCTTCTACATTTTCCATCCCGATTGCTTTTCAACTTCGCCCCCCTCCTTCAGCCCCTCCATCTTCTGTCTTCTGTCTTCTGTCTGCATCGAAGTCTCATCTACCCAGCCCACCAACAATCAACTCATAAGCTCTTGCATACAACCCCTCACATCTGCTCGCAATCATGTCTGGCAACGACTCCGGAAAGGGCTACTCCTACACCAGCTCCGGCACCAACAGCCAGGTAGGTACCTTCGTCTCCATAATCTTCGCCATCATTGCCAGAAACCTCCAAACCATCATACTGACAGGATAACCTGCAAAAGGGCAACCACTACTGCTCCCGCGACTACGGCAGCGGTGCCTCCAACTCCAACTCCTATCACTACTCGAACAGGTCAGACCCTCTCCTTCTTTCCGGGAGAGCCATCAACTAAAACAGAGTCCCGCATCCAGTAACGGCTCCTACTACTACTCCAACCCCAATGGCAGCTCCTACTACAACAATGGTAACGGTGGCTCGACCTACACCGCTCCTTCTTTCCCAGGGAAAGAAGTGAGCGATGAGAATGGACTAAAGTTAATAACACCCAACTATGAGAATCTGATACTCCGTACATCCACATTCAATGACCACAAAAATATTCCCACTCTCGAGTGTAGCACCATGTACAAGTGCAGTACCGTAAGGGCCAGTGAAGGCAGCTACACGTCATGTCCCCAACGGTCTTTCCTTCCGCGCTTCCCTCACTATGAATACGCCTTCCCCGCTTCTCACCTTCCTCCTCCATCCCATCCCCCATCTTCTGTCTCCATCAAGATCTCATCCACTCACCCCATCAACTCGTAACCTCTTCCATACAACCGCTTGAACCCAATAGCAACCATGGGCGGTAACGATTCCGGAAAGGGTTACTCATATAGAGGCTCCGGCACCAACAGCCAGGTATGTCGTCGTTACAGACCTCCAAACCTGACTGCACCATGCTAACAACACACACCCTGCATAAGGGCAACCACTGGTGCTCCCGTGACTACGGCAGCGACGCCCCCAATCAAAACCCCTACCACTACTCGAATAGGCGAGACTTGTTTTCTCTCTATGACATGACAGACAGGGCAAGGGCTATCAACTAACAGAGGAGGTCCTCAACCAGTGACGGCTCCTACTACTATTCCAACCCGGATGGCAGCACCTACCACAATAATGGCAAGGGCGACTACTGCTACTCCGACCCTGATGGCGGCAAACACTACAGCGATGGTAACGGCGGTTACTCCTCTACTCCGTCTTCTTCTTCTTCTTCCTCCCAGGAACAGAAGTGAGCTATGGGGGTAGATTTTCTTGCGATACGGGATCAGGCTGTGTCGCGGTTGGTTGGTTCCTGAATTGGAGAGGGGATGCGAGATGAAAATGAAAACGGATTGAATTTCTTTCTTAATGCTCGCGCATCATGCTTTTATGCCGGGATGAGGTCCTTATCGGGAATCATCGATGGTGTTGAATCAGCGTCTCTAGTGTACGCGGGTTAGAGGGACGTTTGTTGTGTAGTGTAGTTGTAGTAGTTTTAGTTGTGCGTGTCCCTTCTGCTGCACTGTGCTCCGACATACCCAACATCGATTCGAAAACTCCATCCCAAGACACTGACACTGACACTGACACGGACAGAAATAGCAGCCATCTCGGCGATCGGCGGAAAATCCCCCGGCGATCTCGGATAAAGTTTAGTTCCAGAAGCCAACGAACAGATTCCGACCAAAAACATTCCTCTCTCGACCATCCATCTCCCCAGTAAATGCGAGAGAATACAGTAATCCCATCCCAAGCCAACTACTCCTCCGTGGTACTTGGCGGTAATCGGTATACTGGACCGTGGGACTCCCCCCTTCCCACCGCTGGCCAGTCACATCGGAATCAGCCACACTGCCTGCTTAGCGCTGACCGCGACCGACCGCAAAGACCGCATCTGACATCGGAACTCGACCGCCCCCTCCTTTCCTCATCTGTTCAAAATCATCACACCCCTTCCTCATGTTCCCCAACCCGAGATAAAAAAAAAAGCCTGCCCATTTTCTATCACTACAAGGGAACCCCCCCCCCCCCAAAAAAATAAACTAAAATAAAATATAAAATTAAACGAGAGGCCCAGGCCTGGCTCGAAGGATTATGAATCCCCGGAAACTCTTCATCCTCATCTACAAGGGCGACCCCCTCGACTACACCGAGTACCGCCATACGGCCTTATATTTCCAGTTTGCCGCGCAGGTACGAAGTGTCATGCATATCCTGGGTACGCAGGGTCTTTACAAGTTCGTCGAGTACCTGGGCGCTGACCCCATGGAAATCGGGGACCTGGTGCGCGTCGTCCCGGTCACGGAGATCTCGGGCGACGTCGACGATGAGGAGGCTATCCGGGAGACGGTGTCGCGGACCCCCGTGCGCAATGGGTATATGGATCTGGAGTGGAACTGCCAGCACTGGGTGGGGGATGCCCTGGGGAGGTTGGTCGAGAGGGGGTGGGTGACTGAGGCGGAGCGGGCGGAGGCCATCGATAAGATGACCGATGCTTGTTTGGAGGCCCAGGATGACCAGGCGCTGTCGGCTCAGTGATGGTCGGAGGCTGGGGGGGAAGAAATTAGGGACGCGGGCCGTCTGAGTGCACATTCCGTTCAGGTATCGATTGACTTTGACATTCATGGGGATGGTTATCTCGCGGGCGAGTGATCATACTTCGGTTCCCCGGCTCCCCGGCTCGCGTCCCCGGAAGGGGTTAGATTGGACGACACGGCAGCATTTCAACACCGACTCCCAATGCCATGATGCCTAATGTGATGCAGGTCTGCGGGAGGTGAACTTACCGAAAGAACGGTGTCGGATCTGTGACGGCATTCCATGATGAACCTTATCGGTCATTGACGCTCTTGCGACAATAAGCCCACCAACCGTGGCGCCAGAAGGCTTGATCACGACAATGATTTGGCGCAGAGTTGTGTATATATATGCTAGAAAATGCACGGCTATGCGCGCATGGCGCATTGCTGATCCGAGATCATGCTGGGTAACCGGTCTTCATCTACTTGAGAAAAGGAAGACGTGAAAAGGAAACACAAAGACATCACATTACCCACTTGACAGACGTGGCTGAAGTCTTGCTCGTAGCGTGATGGAAGGCGGATAGGAACCAGGCATGCCGCATTAGGCCTGTTGACGCATGAATCTGTAACTGTGTTCTCTTCCAGGTAAGCAACATTAAAATTGCGCATGAAGCAAGGGGTTGATCAGAGAGGGGCGAATAGGTCATTGGACATTAAAGTACACCGGCACCAATACTGTCCCTGAAGTATTCCTGCTGACCAATTATAGGTCCTCTGCCATAAGACACGGTTGTTGATCGATGCTAGCGCGACTTTCCATCATTTGGTCTCCCCACTTCATACGCTGCTATGGTTTTGGGATCCCGAAAACATCAAAACGGCCCTTTCGCATAAATTCCTAACTGGGAGCACCGGGAACAGTCGTGTGCTATGGTCCGTCCGAACTTGATCAAGGTCCAGGTGGCACATGTAGATATCATCGAGGAACTCATGGATGATACGCTTGCGTTGATTCCGGCCCATGCTGGAACTGTCGACCGGCAGGACCTTTTCCTCTAGTATATTATTAACTCAGCGACCAGGTTTCTCTTCGGACACAGTGTGCACAACCTCAAGAAACAGCGCGCCGGAATCCGCGACAATATCGAGCAGGACTTTGCTAGTGCATTGTTTTACGCACACAAGCTGATCCAAAGGGTCTGCGCATGGGTACATAAGATATTCCTGACCCGAAGGCAAGGGACTGCAACCGCATCTGTCACGATCGTGTAAAAGTATGCCAACAGCACACTAAAGGTGCGAGAATTGCGCAACGAGGAGAGGGTCATTGCGGTGGGTGACCACCACGATGATGGAAGAGAGAATAAGAAACCTTTCACGGGCTGGCACAGCAGACGGGCGTATCCAGTACGAGCTGATGTACGCTCTTCCAGCTAGACGGGATACTACTGTTTCACTCTTGAGCAATATTTTCTTCATGTTGGCAATGAACCCCGGATCTGGAAGAAGTTGCGCGAGGACGTTGCCGTCCTCAAGGGTCGCGCGCCCTCGTATGAGCAACTGCGCAACCTGATGTAGCTCAAATATCACCTCAACGAATGTAAGCCACGATTTCCCGGAGATCGATTCACCTTCTTTTCTTTGAGTACTATACTGACTGACTGGGTACTATCGCGCTCCGAATTCACCCCGTTATCCCGGGTAATGAGTTTTATGCCGTCACCGACATTATCCTGCCTGTAGGTGGTGAACCGGACAGCAAGTCGCCTGTTTTCATCCCGAAGGGCCGCAACATCGTGTACCACCGATGCCATGCACCGACGCGAGTATATGTACGGTCGACGACCCGAACGCTGGGCCGACCTCTGTCCAGGGTGGGAGTATCTTCCGTTTCATGGGGGACCGCGGTTTGCGTCGTTCAACAGTATGCGCTCAGGGAAGCGGGTTATGTCACGGTGCGTGTGGCGCAGAGGTTTTCCGTCCTGGAGAGCTGGGGCCCAGAGCCGTGGGAGGTGGGCTTGACGCTGACCTCTTGCTCGAAGAACGGAACGATGGTGGGGTGGAGGTAGTTTGAGCTGGGATCGCCTGTTCTTTCTTTCTTTCTTTTTTTTTCTTTTTTTTTTTTTTCAACTGTCTCTTAGCCATGATCCGCGATTAGGCCCGTAGATACAATGTGATGATTGCTTCCTACCTGAAGGTGCTGAGGGGATCAGTTTCACACCGCAAAGGAGCCCTGAGCATCGATGAAGCCGAAGCTCTGGCAGGAGAGGATGAAGGGAGAGTGAATGTTGTGCTCGAAGTCAGGTGCCCGGCCGCCACCTGACTTGCAAAGGCACAAAGTACGCCTGACGTGTTCCACTGTTCTACTGTCCTACAGGCCCAGACTCTTTGGATCCCTTCTCGATCCCATCACCAATGGCCGTGAAACAGAGTCAGGCAAGTGGACTACAGGGCTGAAGTTCCAACTTCTTCTTCTTCTTCCCCACTAGCAGCTCCCCCGTCTGTCGTCCCAAAGCAGAACATCGGTCTTCGCTCTTGCTCCACCAACAATGGCCCACCGCCATCGCCCACAGTCCAGACCTTGACAATATTGGTGGGGTTGCCGATGCTGCTCTGGCTCGTTGGGCTGCTTGACATGATGTCTTTGTCCACCTCCCGAATGATGCGAACGGAGGGCGATGGCTGTCTCACCGGGTGGATCAGCTGCAGCTGCGGCTGCGATGTCGGCAGGGGGGCCATGGTCGGAAGGGGCTTGATGCAAACCGCGAACTTGCTGGCGTCGTACAGGCTGACTAGGACGGATGTGGTCAGAACGGGAGGGAGGGATCGATCGCCTAGGTAGAGGCCGAGGAGGCTGAGACGAGAGATTCGTGGGCGCCAAATTTACCTATAATTAGTAGGTGATGGGCCCAAAAAGGAACCGCAGCCAAGAAAACATGCAAATAAGGCTCGCTGCCTTATAGCGTTACTGTGACACAGCAGCATAACATATCTGCCCGGCCGTCTGGGAAGCAAAACCTATAACCAAACAGGGAATTCGACACAGGGCAAACCGACATGACAGGCCACGTCTAGCCTATCACTCTTGTCCGCTCCCGTCCCGGGTGAAACGGGGCTGATAGGTACCCTGTCATCTGATGGGAGTGCATGCGACAACCGCCGGTACCTGGAATGATGCGGTCGGCTTGTCATGTTTTCCAACAATATTCGGCCTGCTGGGAAGGCCCCGACATTGTTTCACGGCTTCCAGAGCAGGCTGGAGAGCATCGGCACCTGTTGGTGCTGACTCAACTGGCGGTGAGGTTTGATGATCTTTGCCGTCACACAAGCCAAGCCATCCCAATTTGAGTGCCCCTGAGGCTGGAGGGTTAATTGATGGGCTGCGGAAGTGGCGGTGAAAAAACGGCTGGAACAGCACTGAAAAGAAAAAAGGAAGAAATCTGCCAAGGGAGCTTCTTTCGGATTCGATGAAGCTGTGGCCAGTGGATCTCAGGGTCCTGCAAGATGGACGGCGGAATGGCTTCCCCGATTGGACTATTGATCGCCTGAAGCCATGCCCAGCCATTTGTCGCGGATGTGGTCAATAGTCCATGGCGACCCAGGCGGGCTAGCGGACTCCATCCGCGGTCCAGTCGATCGGAACACGATCAATCACGATGCCCACCAAGCTAGCCAGGTCTGACACTCTGCCTCGCTGGACGACGAGCCCACTGTGGAGCCCAAACGGGGCAGTTCGAAGAAAAGAAGGGCGATGGTTCCATCGGATCCGATGTGTCGATCAGCGTCCCATTGCTTTTTTTCACTTTTCTTTGTCGTTCGTTCGCCCTAAGTCTAGACAGTCCCCGTCTTGCCGGTATGTGACCGTCTACCTCAGTAGACGCTCTACACTCACTCTACACATGTCGAACCTCGTCGTCACTGGTCACACAATCGAATCCAATGCCCATAGCCTAACCGGCCCATCGGTGCCCAATACCCGGGATCAAACTAGCAAGCCCGGAACGCTATCCGCGTGAACGGATCGGAGAGTAAGAGGCCAATCAGACCAGAACCGTTGATCCCGACGGTCCGTCACACAAACCCTCAGCCTGCGAACTACGTGTTCCGTCCCGCCAGTCGACTCTGTTCCGATGTGGTCTTCTGGCCTTCCCCGGCCAATCGGGACGCTTGCCAGTCTGCCAGACTGGAGTCGCGAAGCACTTTAGGAAAAAGGACATGAGAAACCACCGTCCGATGGTCGTATACCAGAGCTGCACCTCATCGCCTGTCCACTTCGTCGCGACGGGGAAAGCATTCCCCATCTGCAGCGGGTCATTCCTTCGTTTTCTTTGATCCAGCAATTTCGCACCATCCCACAGAATGCAAGGGAAAGGGACGAACAAAGCCAGACCGATACACAACGCCGTGGATTCCTCGTCGATGGGCGGCCACATGGCACGGGATGAATTATCAGGTCGATGGACCCAGATGCTGAAATGAAGTCGATCGGAACCGCTATGAGATTATCTATAAATATGCTCGACGACCTGCTGGCAGAAGTCTTCAGCGACTACGGAGTACACTCCACCTGATGCTTATCCTGCGCCCATCACCTACTTTTGAACCTTGTCTTGCTTTACAAAGAACTCCCTTCCTCTCGTCCCATACCACTCCTCTGTTCGCCCCCATACAAAGAACCACCATGGACCGAAAGTCATCTGCGGCAAATTCCGGTACAGGCAGCAGCAGCATCAACAACACTCAGTCAGATCTCTCAGACCTGGAGAAGTACAAAGCCCGATGGGCAAAGATCTATGATGATACTGTCCGGCAGATCAACGAAGTCAGAGGTGAATAGATGCCCCCAATCGGCTTCTGATCCAGCGCTGACACTCCTGCTTCTTCTAGAACAAGAAAAGAAATCACGCATAAGCAAACAATCAAAATCATCCAGTTCCAGCTAGCATCAACGAAGAATTCGGAAAGATTGGCAAAATCGGGTGTTTATCGGGATTATGTTGCTTCTGATTCTCCATTTCGCTATTCTGATCCTTTGCTTTTCCTTTGTTCTTGTTTTTTTTTTTCTTCTTGGCTTCGTTTATCTTTTTATTGCTTTCCTATTATTCCCCTCACGCTTCTTTCTGCCGATAGACCTGGGTTGCTTTTCCTGATATACCATTTTCTTGACCATTCTGTCTCCACAGCGCCCCATCTTCATTTTACCAGTTCAGCTGGATGCCAAAAAATGAGTTTTTTTTTCTAGTAGCTTATGTCCCTGTGACGAATGCCGATCCTCTATCAGGACTCATACTTCTACCCGCGCTAGTGGTCCACGCGCCATAAGTTATATTACCCCTGACGTCATCGCCACCGGCGTACCTTTTTCCCCTACCTAGTCAGTCATATGGAGGGAGGGCTTGGGTGATTTGTGTCGTAGCTGAGCCAGGGTGAGATGCAAAGTGACGTCTGGACCTTGTGAAACAAAGGGGAGACCATTGTGGAGGATGGTTCACCACACGGTAGGCCAGCCACAGTCGACCAGTCAAACAGATATCGTAGGGCCAGCCGAGGTCCACTACGAACTGCCTTCACAACCCACTCCGTACTCTGGATGCCCCGAATAGAATCAATAGCTGTTCCACCACCCAGCCCACGTATTGCCCGCCCGGAATAGAAGCCCAATAATTATGACGAGTCGACTTTTTTGGATAGTTGATGGTGGCACATAGTTACTCCCGCTATCGAGCGTCCCCGACCAAAGTACCCCCCCCCCCTCTCTTCTTTCCCCCCACCGGAGAGTCCTCCGTACCAGGAATGGCCACGCCGATCTCCCTAGATTCGTCGCGCAAAAAAGTACGATGCTGCCTGGCTAAAAAGTACCCCTGACCAGTAACTGGTTTCGGAGGCCTCCTTCTTGGCAACTCCTCCGTTTTCTTTTTTTCCCCTGCTCATATGACTGATGCATCAAGGTGTGTTTAGTGGCGTGGGGGGGATTTGCGCGCTAAGCTCCTCCTATCTCCCTACTACTCCACATTATGGTACTCCGTAGACAGAGAGATAGCAGTACACGGTAGTATTAATTCGTCAGCTGCATTTCTGTCCCGGATGATCTTTTCCCCGAGGCTGCTGACGCGCAGACAGACATATGCAAGTGTGATGATTGCCGTGGACAATGACAGCAGCAGCAACAGCAGAAGCAGAAGCAGGCCAACACAAACCGCGTCGGCGCGTTTCTATCGGCCGGGATTGGGCTCAGTGGCGAAGTGGATTTTCGCGATTGTCGCGGTTCGAGGACTATTCGGTCGGTCGGTCGGTCGCTTTGGCGAGGTGTGAGATGATATATATGTATGTATGCGCTGCATGGAGTTATATGTAACAGTGTACTTGTGCTTGTACCTTTATGCACATGTACATGCCCAGCTTGCCACCGACAGACCTATTTGCCTTCCTACTTACCTGGCTGTCAGTTTAGACGTGCTGTTGACATGAGTTCTGCAGGTTTCGTGGCAGCGTTGCCCGGATTCAGCGGAGGACTTTTGCGTCTGCATGGTGGTGCTGCAGTGAGAGGAGAGGAGAGGCTGGTGATGCATGGATGAGCCACAGGCAGGTGACCAGCAGCAGGTGACAACGAGGCTAGCTGCATCGGGAGGTCACGTTGCCAGGCTCGGTGGATTGTTCCTCCTTCCTTTTCCAGCCGACTCTTCCTCTTCTTCCTCTTCCTCTTCTTCATGCACTGTCGGTCATCAGCGGGGGGGAGGGTGGAGGGCTGTCAGCTCCATGTCTATGTGACACTTAGACAAGGACCCCGATAGGCTTTATCATTAATCCATTTGCGGAAAAGCAGACGATTTCATTATTTCGTGGCTTGGATACTAACCAAACCATCCCAGATCTTATTTACTCTTTACTTGGGACACAACCGCCCGTTGTTATTCCACGAATACGGAAGAGGGTCCGTCGTCTGGACCTCCCAGTCCTCCGCTCCAACGGCAGTGAGAGCAAAGAACAAGCCCGTCGGGTCGTACTTCTGCTTTAACGCGTACAGACGAGGGTAGTTGACGCCGTAAAAGGCTTCCTGCAGATTGGGCTCTAGGAGGTCGGCCTCGCTCATATATGCGCCGGAGTCGGGCGCCAGCTCGCGCAGCACGTCCATCCACTGCGTCACAAAGATCGAGTAGTTGTAGACGGTCTCCCAGCTGGAGGTGAAGTTCCACTCAGATCCGACAATGACATGAGCCAGAGCATCGCGCCATGCCGGCAAGACCGCGTTGTCCTTCGGGAGCTCGACAGCGAGACCCGTGCCACTGATGTGGAACCCGGCAATGAACAGGCCCTGTTTCGGTTAGCGATCACGGAAAGACATGGGTGGAATGTGCGCTGTCATACCTTTTCGATGGCGTCCTTGTGGGCGAGCAAGTTCCGGTTCCGCAGTTCTTCGGTTTCGAAGACGCTGCGAGGCAGCAGACGGGAAGCCGTCTTCACAACATCGGATCCGACGCTTTCCAAGGGGAAAGCGACCTCCCAGACATCGTGGCTAGTCCAGTCAGTCAGCCAGTGCTGTCGACGGACGGGCATGAGGAACGTACAAATTGTCGGCGTGGTTATACCACGGGTCGCTATAGGTGATGTTCAGCTCATCGAGAGCATCGAACCAAGGCTGGAGGAGCGTCTTCGTCTCGGAGATGCTCATGTTCGGCGCGACGAGTGACTCCATGCGGAAGTAGTAGTCGGTGTCGCCTATATAACTCGTCCCGAATTCAAGGTCCGAAGCACCCAGGTAATAGTACCCGTATGACCCAGCATCGACCAGTCTTTCGAAGTTATCCAGGTAGGCACCGAAGGCGGACCAGAACGCGTCATCATTGGGAGCATCGCTGATCGTGTAGTTAAACGTGACAGTTGTAGTGGGCAGCTTCGGGTACGCCTTAACGGTCAGAGACGTCACGACACCGATCGTGCTGCCACCACCACCGCGAAGCATCCAGAAAACATCAGCGTTCTGCTTGGAAGTGGCAGTGATAAACCGGCCATCGGCCAAGACAACTATTAATCCGTCAGCATAAGAAATCGCCAGGTTGGGTCTGAGATCAAAGGGGAAAGCAACCTTCCAAGGCCAACACCTGATCCGCCGCCATGCCATACAGACTGCTCAATGGCGAGTGGCCCCCACCGAAGGTGTAACCACCAGCCACACCGACGGTGGCACCTTCACCTCCGATAACTGTCACGCTGGACTCCTTGGCAAACTCATATGCCTCGTAGGCCTGGATACCGGTGCCTAGTTTCATGGCGGGACCAGTATAGCCATTGTCGGCTCTGAAGGTCGGGTAGAATGCCTTGTCTTTGAGATGGTGAGTCCAGATAGACAGGGCGCCTTTGCCAGACGGCTTGCCGTTGAAATCGTGACCAGTGTTCTTGACCACAAGGCGAAGATTTTGGTTTCGTGCAAAGTTCACGGCCAGTTGAATCTGAGCAGCGGTGGATGCGTTGACGACATACGTCGGATAGCCACCCTGCGTACAGGTGTCGGTCCAGTTATATCCAGTGGGCATGCATGAGCGGCCCTCATAAAGCGGGAGCATGATAGAGCTCGGGTCACTCGATCTTGATGCAAATGAGCCTGGGTACATCTCAACCATGTTGGATCTATAGAGGACTTACTGATAGTAACCACTAAACCAGCCCGTGGTGATCTCCGAGCACTTTTCAGCATCATACTGCGGCCAGTCCGGGTAGCAGTAGGCGGCCAGAGGCACAGGCTTGGACAGGCTTCCGCCGAGCAGCTGATCAAAGATGTCCCAGGTCGACTCAGCGGGCCACGCCGCATCGCCTGGCATGAACTTGCAGCTGTGACGAGTACCGTTGACAGTCGCGTTGGTTGCCCCAAATGAAAACACCCGCGACAGAGTCTCGTTCTTGAGTGCAGCAGCGACCTTTGCCAGGACTTCGTCCGTGAGCTGCACAGCTTCACCGGAAAAGAGAGGCGGCGCTGCGGATGAGCCCGTCGTCACAGTTGTCGCTGCTGGACTAAGTGAGACTGCAACGCTCGAGGCACCCCGTGTGGACGCGATGGATGCCACCACCGAGGTGGCCAAACCTAGAGACAAAAATCCCCTCATGGCGACAGCCCGAGTCACCGTGAGAGCAATAGACGAGGCAGAGGCTTGCTGCTGAAGAAAGGGAAAGATTGGCTGGAGGGCGACAAGAGGGCATATTTAAATGCTCGCGTGAATCCGACCACGGAGCCAAACACTGGAACCCTGCAAGCGGGTCGCAGAATTCATACCTGGGGCACCTTGAACGCGAGAGCGATTGGTTGGACAGAAAAGCAGATGGAGTCCCTCACGCCGTATTATGATCTTAGCGTCTATCTTGACCGGCCGGTCACGAGCCGCGATAGGAAATTTGCGTGTACTGCAGGGAACTTTCACACGGCCAAGCGGCTAATGCAAGTTATGTTGGTCTCGAGCCTGATGACTCGATGAGGTCCCCGCGTGCCGTGCCTGATTCCTTTCAACCTTTCGGCGGATGGGGATGAAAGTTCAGAACGCTCTAGATACAGAGCAGACTTTATCACCTCACCGACCCTGTCGCAACCCTGATCAACAGTGAAACGGCCGCCCGCAACAAGTGCCGTTTCCAGATGACCATTGGATTTGGTGCCAGGACTAAGGGGTCCTACCTGAAACTAGTGTCCAATAAGTGTGGGGACTGGGCATGGGCCGATATTAAGCAGTTGGCCTAACACCTGGCTATCCACCCCGGCTGGTCTTAGTGCCATACCCTTCCGACCAAACCCCGGCAGCCCGACTCAGATTCTCCGACCCAGCCAGTCATACGAAGCGTCAGGCACTCAATAACAGGGGTGAGATATTTACTGAACCTTATCGAATCGATGCCGATTTGCTAGAATGCACGTGGAAGGGAATTTTTGCACAAATTGCGGGAAAAATGTCGTATTATCCCTGCCAGCGGCTCGCCATGGATCTGCGGTTTACTCTGAAGGAAGGTGTGTCCACTGCCTGTAGGCTCAGTTTATAATGTGCCTTTCTGCTCAGATCGAGCCCCCATAGTTTGTTACATTCGTCTGGTCCTTTTGCACGCAAAGGCCTACCATGACATCCAGCGACAACCTCCAATCACAGGTAATCGGCCTGATACTCGCCTTTCCAGCAGTAGCGACAGTGGCGGTGGTCTTGCGTATATGCAGTCGTATATACATAGCCAACTTTGCTCTTGGTAGGCCCTTAACCGCTTTATCCTTTAAGCCAATGCTGACCCAGAAGATGACTGGATAATCTGTTTTTCGGGGGTAGGTACCATTCCGAACTTCACAACTTGTGACCAGGCTGACACGACCAGATTCTTTATTGGGGGGAGACAATATCTTCTTATTATGGTAGGTGTCCACACTGGATCGCCAGCTCCCATTAACCACCCATGCATCAGTCATAAAATACCAATATCTCGGCTACCACATCTGGGATATTCCGGCCGACTCGCCCCAAATTCTAGGCGCTAAATATGCCTACGCAGTACGGTACACCCTGCTATCACACCAAGCTCGGACAGAAAGTGTTGACATGGTTTAGACTGAGATTCTTTACAACCCCATCCTTGGGCTCATCAAGACATCTATACTGGTTTTCCTCCTTCGCCTGTCAGGACAGAAGATTGCAGTGCGGAGGACAATCTGGGTTATACTGGTGCTGAATGCAACCACCATGGTAGTAACATTCTTCGTGATTGTGCTGAATTGCATCCCTATCGCCGCAGTCTGGGACAAAGCGTCGTATCCCGACGCAAAATGTCTAAATTTTGCAAACATTGTGACAGCAACAGCATCAGCGTCCATCATTACAGATGTTCTGGTGCTCATGCTTCCCACATGGATTGTGTATAACATTCGCATTCCCCAAAGACAAAAGCTCATGCTGGTGGGGGTATTGTCATTTGGGCTTTTGTAAGTTGGATTTACTGCTCTTTTTGCCACCACTTGAGACTGGACTAACACCTGCGATTATAGAGCTGTGATAGCAGGTATTGTCCGCGTCATTCTCCTTGATCATTTTGACCGCCACCCCCCGTATGATTATACATACTCCCTCATTTTTTGCATTTCAACCATCGAAGTCAGTATCGCATTCATCACCGCCTGTGCACCGTCCCTCAAACCCCTCGTTGTCAAAATCATACCCCACTTCTTCGCGTCCAAAGGCCGAAGCGACGCAGAATACAACAAGCGGAGCGGGCCAGGGTTAGGGTACGAGCTGGACAACCGACTCCGAGGATCGTGCCGAAGAAACAGCCAGATTGTCTCCGCTCAGCAAACAAACTGGAATCAAGATACAGACAAGAACGGGATTTTGATGACTACAGAAATGGAGGTTCGATGGGATGGCGATGGCAGCAGTTCCAAGAACCCGGGCGACGGAAATGATGGTGACCGCCAAGGGGACAGTGCAGAGAGTTTGTTCCGGTATCCATGAATTGTGGTTACGCCTTCGACTGTGCTCTTGCCCATGATTATTGACATTCGGATGCGAACGTCGGAGAAACGTCGGGCAGACTAATTCCTGCCAGACAGTAGACTGGTGGGCCGCTTGCTGCCCGGATCTGAACCCAACACTTCCGTACAGTGGGACCCAGGGACAGAGATGTGGGCGCTTCAATCACCCACATCTCTGTCCGGAGATCTCCGAGTATGACCTTGGTTACGATCCCCGAACAGGCTAATCGAAGCTCAGGTCAATTCCTGGCCTCCTCGATCCGGCATTCTGTACGAAAAATCCTAACCCTCGACCCGATAAGAAAATGTTATCGTGGAGACCTGAGTGTGAAACCCCCCTTTCTTCTAGTCGTTCTGATTAAACTTCGTGTCTGATCCTGCTGGCTGCACCTAAACCTAATTCAATCGCCCTCCGCCCTAATCTATAATCTATATAGATAGGGTGGTGGAGTCGACTAGCCGTTAGTGTTCCATGAGGCTGTGTTCCACTGCCGGACAGGGATGAGAACTCCGTATGGGGAGTCGGGAACTATTGTGGCATCATCGTTAGCCACCAGGATGGGCTGGTGGCTGGAAAGGATTCCGTCTGTCTTGGTTGGGGAGGGGTTTCTTTCTTTCCTAATTACAAGGTCTCCGGCTATCTGACTAGTGATTTCTTTTCTTTTTTGCCCCCCCCCCCCCAACCCCGTTCGATAGCGCCCGAAGGATGTCGAAGGAATCCGAATTAAGGTGCGGATTTGGGTGTTAGGGCATGTGTTGGGTCTAGCGTCAAGGGCGAAGGATTTTGCAGTCTGACTAGAGAGAGATAGAGAGATAAGGTAGGTAGTGCCGTATTAGTGTGGCTGTTCTTTACTCCCATCTAACTAACTCTGAAACTCAATTGAACGCCAAAGAGGTAACCTGAACGGAATACAACGTCCGATGAAGTGATGACTATACTATTGATAAGTGGAGGGGGCCAACAGACCGGCACAATTAGAATCCGGCCTCCGGGCCATTCCAGCCCGGCGTCAGTCTCGCAGCCCCTCATTTCTCCATCTTCTCCATTCCTCTCTAGCTCTAGAGCATACCCCACATGATCCCAATGTTGATCACAGCAACGCCATGAACCGATGGCACGAGTCGAGCTGCCGACAACCAGAAGTCACTACCGCAAGCGGCATCCCACTGCGGCTACTGCTTTGCGACCCCGAATCTCGGCGATGGTGCAAGTATCCCTCCCCAACCAGTCCAGCTGCAGAAAGAACATCATTGCATGGCCATCCATCTGCCGTCGCTTATCGCGGCGTGAACACGCACGGAGAAATCCTGGAACAAGACGCAACACAGAAGTCCCTAAACCGAATCCCCGAGACCGCCCGTTCTCGCAGATCACGAGCAAGAATGGTGCCGTATGCCTTGTGCTGGTGCGATCGAAAGCCCGATTCATGTCGAATATGAGATTGTGTTCATTCGTCGGCCTCCGGTTCCGCCGTGCGAGGTCTCCAGATATCACCATGCCATCCTGGGGGTATCCTTTTCACAATCCATGTCTGCCAGTCCGACTTCGGAGAGAAATGGATGGATAGACGGACGGACGGTCATCTTTATCTTGTCAGCACTACCGCCCGCAAGCGCCATTCGCAATCGGGTCTATATGCATCGTGCTGTGCGTGATCACCATCCGAGTGGACAAGATGCCTGTCCAGATACCCACCCGGTACGACCCGAGTATGCGTGCCTCAGGGATGCCCGACGGAGCTAGGGTCTAAGTACTTACTTAGTCCGGTCCATTCCCCCCTCGCGTCTGCATCCAAAATCCTCCTCGCAATTCATCTCACCCACCGCACAGCTCGCCTTTGGTATCCAAAGAGGGCTCCAACCTGTTGCAGACTTATAAGGAAGGTATTGCATGGTTTCGCAAACCAACCATGGCACGTCTACGCAGCGCAACTTAGCCGATGAGCAATATGAGGGCTTGGACGCCTGGTTGCAGGCCTTGGGGGCCTTTCTCGTGTATGTCGCGACATGGTGAGTCCCTCGCGACTGATCAAACTGGTGTATCATGTCTCAATTCCATCTTCCAGGGGCCTCTTGAGCGCCTACGGGTCGTACGAAAAGTACTATGAGGCCACGCTGCTGGCTTCCACCTCCACAACTGCGATCGCCTGGATCGGCACCCTCCAGGGTGTCATCCTCATTGGTAAGCCACAGCGTGCAAAATACAAAATACCCTCCACTCGGCTCGCAAAAGCCTGTGCAGTGGGAGGCGTCGTCACCGGTCCCATCTTCGATCGTGGATATATCCGAGAGCTCCTCATCACCGGCACCATCACCACGGTGTTTAGTGTTATGATGTTGAGCTTGGCCCATCGGAGACGCAATCCTATACGTCCCCAGCATCAGTCTCGTAGCATCCAGGTTCCAGCGACATGGAGGATTGGCAGTCTTTCTAGCCACTTCAGGCACAGCAGTTGGTCCGGTCTCCTGCACCTTCTCAGTATAACTACTACTCACTAACGACATCCAGGCGGGGTCATCTACCCCATCATCTTCTCTCAACTGCAGCCCAAACTCGGCTTCGTCACGCTCGCCGAACTCCTCGCCGCCATGGCCATCATCCTCCCCGCCACACGAGGCAAGAGATCTAACAGCGTCCGCTCCCTGCTCGATCCCACCGCATTCCACGACCCCGCGTTTATGGTCTTTTGCGTGGCGCTGTTCCTCATGTGGATCGCTTACTGGGTGCCCTTTTTCCTGCTCCCGACCTTCGCCCAGTTCAAAGCCGGCGCCAGCTCGAACCTAGCCTTCTACATCCTGGTCATCTGTAAAGCATCCACCATCCCCGGACGCTACATCGCCGTGCCCCTGTCGAATCGATTTGGTCCCGCGCCTACCATGGCCGGCTTCGCACTAGCATCCAGTGCTTTGCTATTTGGCTGGATGGGTGTCAATTCGGTCGCATCCACCATTGGCTGGGCTGTGCTCATTGCTCTGTTTATGGGCCCATTGGCCGTATTGTATCCGATCATTGTGCCGCATTTGTCCCCGAATAAGGATTTGGTCGGTACGAGGATCGGCATCTCGTCGGCTGCGGCCGCGATGGGAACTTCGATCGAGTTTCCGGTTACATTAGCCCTGGATGATAGTAAAACTGGCTTGTTTTGGAAAAGTCAGGTTTTTTGTGGTACTTGTATGCTCGGTGGAGCTGTTTTGATGGTCTATGTTTACTATAAGATGTCTAGGACCGCGTAACGGGGTGGGCTGTTCATGAGTAGTGATGGCTGGGATGCGATGGTGGTAATTGAATGGGGGGTATCAATATCAATGTTTGATGAGATTGCGACGGTGGTGGTTGTATATGAAAGGGTATCGGTGTTGGTATTGGGCTGGGAGTGGGAGTGATTGAGTTGCGAGGTGATATTTTGGAAATAGGGACAAGATGTATCGTATGTTATGTATTCCTGTCAAAGTCAAGTCGCTAACGGGAATATCCAGATTAAAGGAATACGATGGAATTCGGAGATCCCATATACTAACCATCTCACACGTATACCCTAGCCACAGAGCTGTCGACACTAGCCGCACGATACCAGCCACACTTGGATGCAATCATCTCTACAAAGCGGAGGAGAAGAGTGTGTAGGTTGATCAAACGGATACAAAAACGTGGCCCTTGGATCTTGTGACCTTATTCACAACGCCACTCACAGCGGACCAAACTTTCCCACGACTCCAAGTCTATTGGATCAACTAATATTTAAAAGTATAAAACTATCTACATTACATGCTCTTCCCTCATTCCAATCACCGCAGGAACTGCTTAATAACAACATCCAGCTGCGCCGTCATATCCGCATACAACTCCTGACGCTTGGGCTCAAACGCATCAAAGATCTCCTTAGCCGATCCAACCGCAATCTGCTCCTCGCCTTGCTGCAGCTGCGCCCACACGCCACTCACAAACTCGTCCAGCGGCATGCCAATCAAGTGTCCGTCCTTCAGGTCGGGCTGGTGCTTGGTGTCGTGCAGCTCCGTCTGCACCGCGGGCGGGAACACCTCGATCACCTTGACGTTTCCGGGTCCCGCGCTGACCTGCGTGCGCAGCGCCAGGATGAAGTGGTGCAGCGCCGACTTGGAGGCGCCGTAGTTGGGGCACCGCATCATCGGGACCAGCGCCATCTGCGACGTCGTGAATAGAATCGCTGTCTGCTTGTTTGTCTGCGCTTGCAGGTGCGGCAGGAAGGCTTTGCTCAGGTAGACTGGGGCCGTGTAGTTGGTTACCAGTTCCTGGTTGAAGATGGATAGGTCGACGGTTGAGGGCTGCGCGAAGTCGAATGGTCGCTGGATGCCAGAGTTGACGAAGATGAAGTCGATTTGCGGGTTTTCGGCGAGCACTTCGGATGCGAATTGGGGGATCTGGGGTTGTTCGTTAGCTCGGAGTTGGGGAGTTTGGGTTGTCGTGAGATGGGGAACGAGGGAGTTTACCTTTTCCAGGTTGGTCACGTCGAACACCTTCGTCTTGACCTTGTCGGGTCCGTACTGGGCGGCAAACTCGGACAGGTTTGCCTCACGCCGGCCGGTGAGCACAACAGGGATGTTGTTCTGCACGAGGGTGGCTGCCAAGGCCCGGCCAATGCCGGAGGTGGCGCCAATGATGAGGGCCTGAGAGTAGTTGAAAGGCATGTTGGGTATAGAAGAATGAAGTATGAAGATACTGGGTTGGAGAGATATGAGAAGGTTGATGATGAGAGTCAGAACGCCCGGCCAGCAGGTCTTATTTTATGTCCGGAGACGTGGCTATGCTTGTCTCAGTCGTCATCTGAATAACAAACTGAACAATCCGCTCAGGAAACTTCTCGGACCCTGAAGAATCAGACTATGTCTATTGTCTACAACGCTTACAACGTCCCTTCAAGGCTTAGTCTCCGTCAGGGTTTACGGCACCGGCAGAGCCCAAACCCAAACTCTAACTAACGGTGAAAATCCGGATCGCTCCGGGGCGACGCTGAATGGCTCGCGTCCGCCATACAGCGGATACTAGTCCTGATCGGGTGCCCACCCTCCGCCAAGACCGCTTCGATTCTTCTCCAGCGGACACTAATCCCTTTCCGGCAACCTGGTCGATCAGACGCTCTGGCCAGCCTTTGCTCCGATGCCATACAAGGTGCACCTGTTCCTGCATCTTTGCAGCCGGATGATTCTCTGTCAGATGCATTATTCAGCGGCATCTCCTTCTCGAAGATGCGATCACCCCACTGCGGGCAAAACAGGGTCTTCCGGAACCGGCTTAGCCTCCGCCCGGTGGAACCTGGGGTGGAATCTAAGCTGTTTTGGATATATGGCTGCCAGCCCTCTTTGTGATCTGCTGCTGCTGTTGAGCATCTTCGAGGGGTTTCTTAAAGCATTGAGAGCTCTCGAAATCAGCATCATCCTACACTTCCATCCGGGATTTCACTGTGCTTACGATTTCAAACCACCTCTCTACTTCTGCGGGCCGGGAATCTACAATAGGAGTTGAAATTTCGTAGCTATTCACTCGTTGTTAGATTGTTAGATTGGTATACCTCTTGGGGGATTTTCAAACTGAACCACTAGTGACTGTTGCAAGGGCCAGCCAGATATAGATATTCAGCACATTCCCCCACCAATCATAACCACGATAATGGAAATGACCCGGCATAACCCCCTCTTACCTAATCAGTCCACCTGGACACTGCCTTCGGAGTAAGGCACAAACACAACAGGCAGGCAGACAACTCTGCCTGAGAAACCTGGCAGTTTTTATTAGCAGCAGCTGCGAAACCCGAAGGAAGGGTTTGGATACTCCCCGATTATCTACGCCCTTTTTATAGCCAGAGGGATTACCATATGCAGCGCTATTCCCCATGGAACTACATAGTGCGTAGCAAATGTCCCCCTGACACAAAGTGGTGAAAGATATGGAGAAAGAATTAGGGAACAAGGGGGTATGATCTCATAGTGGAAAAGATGCAGCGTGCCAAAACGCTACTCCGGATATCAGCGGGCCTCCGGGCTTTTACCGATCCATTCGGAGTACGAGCTACTCTGCCCTATCATATCGTGTAGGATGTTGTGAACTTGTGTACTATAGTACATGCAAAAGTAGTAGGCCCTGCAAAGTACAAAGTATGTCGGATCTCACCGACAGGCCGTCCTGTCGGGTCGGTGGGCTATCTGCTTTTACCGGTGTCGTCTACCAGGTGGACATGCACAGTACATGTTGCATGTGAGGTGTACGGCAGTGGATTTGGGTGGTATTTAGTCTTGAGAATTTACAATTAGATTGAAAGGATTGAGTATATGCATCATGACATCCTTTCATGTCATCTCTTAGAATGCATATTAAAAGGACAGAATATACGGTAATCTGTCCTAGAGCCACCAGCATAGCGGTCGATTAATTAACCGATGCCGATGCCGATGCCTGGAAAACATTCATCATCTAGCAACGGGCCGCAATAATCCACAGAATACAGGTATAGTAGTTCCTTAATACTACCACCGAGTAAGCACTGACATCGTCATCATGCAGGATGGTACCTGAAAAAAGTTTAACCACACGAGTCGGACCCGTCACGTCATTGCCCCCAGAAAATCCCAAAAATTAGGGTCTCGTGGGCTGTAGACTAACTAGTGAGAGGTGCAGCTTCCACGGGTGTGCATGTCTGTACCGACCTTACTGGATGACAGCGTGGTGCCGAGAAGAACCAAATCTTGTGTCAGCAGGCAAACAGATTATTATGTGGGAGAAAAGCTTAAGTCCAGTCCGGGATGATATCATACGGCCCGTGCTTGAGACTGTACTTTATTCCGTGTTCGGCGACAGGAGAAGGGAGCCGAGAACGGCTCGACAACGTCACTCCCGGTCCGATCTGCCCCGGGATCCCGGGTCTTAGGATCCCCGCAATATAGGTGGCTAATGGGCCTGACCCCGGATGGGGAGGGGGGGGGGGAACCTCCGTGGAATCCGGTCAGGAACAGGACCTGGAGTCCGGGGGTGTGATTATAATCAAGAAAATGGCGAGGTTTGGTGGAGAGGGAGGGGAGGGAGAGACGGAGAGAGGGAGAGAGGGAGAGAGGGAGAGAGGGAGCAGAGCCCTCCGTCAGATGGGGGTGGCAAGGGCAACTGGCAAGGGTGGAGATCGGGTGGAGATTAAGTGGAGATCAAGTGGTGGATCACCCAGCACATTCCTGCGCTGTCCATTGGCTGCAGGCAGGTGGAGCCCGGCGATCCCACGCTGATTGTCCAAATCCGGTTTTGGGGTGAACTATGACAACACCATCCATGATCCATGCCCACGGGGCATCGTTGGCGGGGTCGCTGCATCCAGGCACCCAGGAACATTTTTCCTCGAGGGATAGATATATCTATGGAAGGGCCACGTTCAGATCTGGATCTCTTTCCTTGATCTCTTTTTCCTGTTCACGGCCCTCCCTCTCCCTCACCGAAGTTCGCCGTCTCTCATCCCCATTCTTGTACCCGTTCGATTTTTATTCCAACCTCATCCCCCCACCCCCCCAAAAAAACTTAGATGGTGGATGATACCATGACCGACGTCGAGAAAGCCGAAAGACGCCCTTCCGGTAGTCTCTCGTTGTCCAGCAGTGGCTCCGACAGCCAGGATAGCGGCGCATCCTCCCCTCCCAGTTTCAATGGCCTGCAAACCCGCCCGACCGCCATTAAAAGGCCCTCTGCTGTCGGCTCTGTCCGACCGGATGGCAAGCGCGAGCTGAAGGAGGGCGATTGCTATGAGATCCTGGCCTACTGCTGGCCGCGCTGGAAGAAATGGGCGTATCTCGCCGCCGTCGCCTGCGTGCAGGTCTCCATGAATTTCAACACCTCCGTCTTCCCCAATGCCGTCAAGCCGCTGTCGAAGGCCTTCAACATAGGCGAGCAGGAAGCCCGCACCGGCCAGATGATCTACCTGGTGACTTACTCCATCGGGTGCGAGTTATGGGCCCCCTGGAGTGAGGAATTCGGCCGTTGGCCCATTCTCCAGCTCTCCATGTTTCTCATCAACATCTGGCAATTCCCGGCTGCCTGGGCCCCGAACTGGGGCACGATCGTTGTCGCTCGTGGATTGGTCCGTTGATCCCCCCCCCCCTGGCTTCAAAATAATCATCCCACTGACCTCATCCAGGGTGGAATCTCAACCGCTGGCGGTAGTGTCACCCTCGGTCTGATTGCCGACCTGTACGAGGCAGATACGCAACAGTTCCCCCTCGCCTTCATTGTCCTGTCCTCCTGCATTGGAACCAGCATTGGCGGAGTCATCGGTGGACCCATTGAGCGCTGTACGTCCTCCCCCTCTCATACCCCTTACATCCAAAGCCGATCCTAATAAACCCCGCAGACCTATCATGGCAGTGGTTCTTCTGGATCCAGCTCATCTTTGGCGCCACCGTCCAAGCCATCATATTTTTCATGCCCGAGAGCCGCTCCACCATCATCATGGATCGGGAAGCCAAACGCCGCCGCAAGTCCGGCGAGGACCCGAACATCTACGGCCCCAACGAGCTCAAGAGCCCGCGCGTCTCCCTCAAAGAAGCTGGAAAGATCTGGATCCGTCCCTTCTACATGTTCCTCCGCGAACCCATCGTCCTTTGTCTCTCACTCCTCTCCGGTTTCTCCGACTCCCTCATCTTCACCTTCCTCGAGTCCTTCTCAATTGTCTATGAAGAGGGCTGGGGCTTCGGTGTCTTGGGCCAGGCCTGGGCGGTTATCCCCATCAACGTCGGTTACATCATCGCGTACTTCTCCTACTTCCCGTGGTTCTGGCGTGACGAGAAAATCCGCCAGACCCAAGGTGAGGATGCCCTCCCTCCCGAGCGGAGACTCAAGTGGCTGTTGTTTTTGGCGCTGGCCGAACCGATCGGGCTGTTTGGCTTTGCGTGGACGTCGCTGGGCCAGGCATACGGTGTGCCGTGGATTGCGTCCATGATCTTCTCCGCCATTGTCGGCATCGCTAATTACGCCATCTACCTCTCGTCCGTGGATTATATGGTCGCCGCGTACGGTGTCTACTCCGCCTCAGCCACAGGTGGTAATGCCTTCTCGCGTGATCTGTTGGCGGGTATTGCCGCCATGTACACGACCCCGATGTATACCAACATCGGGAGTAAGTGGCATGTCGAGTATGCCACTACCATCCTGGCGTGTCTGTCTTGCTTGGTGGTCTTGCCCATCTATATCTTCTATTGGAAGGGCCCGCAGATCCGTGAGCGCAGTAAGTTCGCCCAGAGTCTGGCGGTTGACAACAAGGCCAATAATGGTCGGAGAGTCAGTCGTACGGATTCGGCACCGTGAACGGTGGGGGTTGATCCTCTGTTTGCATCAGCGTGTTGTTCAACTTGCATATAACGCTTGCCATGCACTTTACCCTGTATATACGAAGATTTATGCCTAGATTACGATATAGAATTTTCACGATTATGCTGGCGGTTGACTATTGGTGATGTTAGTGTAGCAATGCCTGTTTGTTGAATAAACTTACTATAGAGACGGCTGTTCATTCAACTCGTATATGGAATTCCCACTGTTCAGTGTGGGCTTGGTTGTGCTTCAAATGCTAAAGGCTTATGCCCCTTGAGTGCTCCTGCTGAGTCCAGACTTACTCGGCCATCTTGTTCGACTGCAAACAGCACCATAACCCCTCGACGTAGTGCATGCAAAATGTCCTGACCTGAGACCATCAACCTCCGGCACAGATCGGATTGACTCGATAGTCATCCATCAATTTCCATCACAACCATGCCATGCAAGGGGTGTCGAACAAGCCACTCAGATATGACCAGATACCTAGGTAGCTTTGGAAATCCTGGATATTCTGGCCCCGTGCTCCTCTCTATATCAGCATGTGTTATTGAATTCGTACTTTACTCCGTACCACGAGTGGGTATGGGCTATACTAGCGGCCAGTAGCTAATATCGGCGGTGTGACAGCTGACAAGCCTTTCTTCATGCATACTAGCGGGGCCGCCATCACTTAGTCCAATCCAATCCAGATTCTCATATGACTCAGGAAATACGAGTTTCTAGAATCGTCCTTCATAATGAGACCCGCAGAATCGGAATGCTCGTAATTGCGGCTCGGCGAGGCTGCACAACAGGCAGTGGCAGGCGCAGCAGGGCGCAGCGCATCCGAGACGGCACATCCATATAAGTAGGAATGCCAACCGGTAAATCTATTGTCTAAAGACAATTAGTCAAAATTCTTCTTGAAGGAGAACTCATATCTGGATTACTTTTCAGAAACCTCACATTTTCAACATGGCGCCCACAGTGTCCGCCTTGTCACAGACTCTCCAGTCTCTGACGCTCAGCAAAATCCGGGAGCTTGAGAAGCGACGCAAGAGTTATGACATGCGGAAGGTAGCCATCCTAGAGGCGGCTGATGCTTCTCAGGATCCTTGGCAGCGACTCCAGTACCTTCTTAAAGGTACTTTGGAGCTATACCCGGCAGCAGCTACCGACTCGACAGTGGTCAACATTGAGCGCTGGATTCACCAGTCGACCTACGACTCTTCCATTGCACCGAAAATTCTGGCGGAATTCGAGACGGAGCTTCGGACAAAACTCGACGTTCAATCTCGGAAGCTTGCCCTCGCGGACCTGTACTCTCGGTTGCTGACAGAGTGGGTCGACCCTCCTAGTGGTAGACAGGAAGGCTCAAGCACGCCAGTGGAGGATGACTACATGGTTGTCGATGAGCGACAAAAGCAGCGCTTGCAGCAACTATGCGATCAGTTCGATGAGTCCGTCTTCCAGCCTTTGGAGACAGATGAAGCGCAGATTCGCACATTCCTTGATGGCTTATTCCCGGATGATGAGAGTAAAAAGGCTCTACAGGAGCTCCGGAAAGAGATCGAAAGCAAGGCTTCATCGCTGTGGTGTGAGAAAGAGCCATTCAGTGCGGACTCTGTGGCAGACTGTATACATGGACTCTTGAACCAAGACCTCCTCAGTGAGGAGAAGCGGGTCATCATGAAGTCATTTCTGAAGACCCCGGTGGCGTTGACAGAGATCGCCGATGTGTTGAATATGAGATACGGTGACATCGAAGGCTGGGATTGGAATGCTGGGATAGAAGGCATTCCCGTGATTCCCCGACAACAAGCGAATGGCAAATATCGCATTTGGATGGACGATGACCTGCTCCAGCTTATCTTCGTGCAATATATTGGAACACGGCTTTGTAATCTGTTGAAAGCTTCGTTGACGCAATTCATCAGATCGGAATCTGTGTGGAGCTGGGCCTGCGGGCCTCAGATGACGGAGCGCGATCGCCTTCGAAACGAGTACTATACAACTGGTAGTGATGAAAATTCCACTGCTGAGCGACTGCGGAAAGAGGAGTATCTGGACACATATTTTTTGTCGCAGCTTCCAAAGTCCGAGACTACATTAGGCGAGGACGGCAACTCGTATGACGAGGGTGCAGATGATGAGGGACATCCGATGATAGACGAACAAAAGAACTTTCGACAGCTCCTGCTCCGTAAGATCGCCACAGAGGCCCTCCTGCATCGACACATGCATGGGGCAGCGGTGGTGATCCAATCCGATATGAAGTGGTATGCCACCTGCCTCCCCCATGGAACCATTATTGCCGTCATGAAATACGTCGGGTTTCCACCGGAGTGGATCGGCTTCTATCATCGCTATCTGGCAGCACCTCTCAACATGGACGACTCTTGCGAGGGACGGGAGCCCATTGGACCTCGCATCCGAAAACGGGGAATTCCGTTCTCTCACGCCTCAGAAAAGCTGTTGGGAGAGATGATCCTTTTCTTCATGGATTTGACAGTGAATCGCGCGACGGGAATGCTCCTGTACCGTCTGCATGATGATCTATGGCTCTGCGGTGAGCCATCCAAGTGTGTGCGAGCGTGGGACGTGATGCACCAGTACGCCCGGGTGACAGGGTTGGAGTTTAACCACAGCAAGACCGGATCTGCCTATCTAGCCGGGTCCAGAGACCCTCACATCGCGGCCGAATTACCCAAGGGTTCAGTTACGTTCGGTTTCCTCAAGCTCGACGCGGACACAGAGACATGGGTGATCGATGAAGAGCCGGTCGAGGCGCATGTCCAGCAGCTCAGGCAGCAGTTAGAGCGCTGCGACAGCGTCATTTCTTGGGTCCGTACCTGGAACAGCTGCATCGGGCGGTTCTTCAAGAACACATTTGGCCAGCCGGCGTATTGCTTTGGGGAGCCCCATGTGCATGCCATCCTGACCACGTACAAGAATATTCAGCGCACGATCTTTGGAAACCCAGAAACGGGCGGCATCAGCATTCAACATCACCTGCGTGCCATGATAACGTCACGCTTTGGCGAAATCGACATCCCCGATGCTTTCTTTTTCTTCCCCGAGCAACTGGGGGGTCTCGGCCTGCGGAATCCGGTCATATCCGTGTGCTTGGTGGAAAGGACCATGAGCGGCCCGCCCTTCAAGAAAATCCAGGAGTTCTTCGAGCAAGAAAGAACGTTGTATGATTCCGCAAAGAAGGCATTCGACATTCTCAGCGACAAGCAGCGGCGTCAGCGGCGGGAGGGCTACGCTGCCGATGACGAGCTGGAACAGCCTTTGATCAATGCCAATGAAGCGAATACGTTCATGTCGTTTGCAGAATTCACCCGATTCCGTGAATCCCGAAGCCCCGAGTTTAGTAAATTGTACACAGCGCTGATGCAACTCCCATTATCCAAGGGTATTCGCCGGACGAGGCAGGTTGATGATGCCCTGCGTCATGCTCTAAATCAGCAGCAAATCCGTGGGTTAAGCGGAGAGGAGCGGTGGAGCTTGGAGTTATATGTGGGGGAGGTGGTGAGGACGCTTGGGGGTGTCAACCTGGTGGACCAAAAGTTCCTACCTGTGGGGGTCTTGGGGATGGTGAAGGAGAAGCCCGTCAAGTGGCAGATGGTGCTCTGAGGACTCTCCCTGACTACATTGACATTCAACCAGTAATCCGAAGCCTTCAGGAAGACAACCGGGTGGCTGTAGTACACGCAGAAAAAAGTGATAAACTTAATGAATTTGAAGACTCCCACAAAGCAACGACATAGTATTGAATGAATTCTCTGGAGAGAAAAGCGAGATGATAGCCTCTGGTTTATATCTAGGTAGAATCTGGGTGTTTGCTAGAAGCAGGATGAAGGAATGGGCAGTAAGCGGAGAGAGGAAGAGGGAAGAGGGAAGAGGAAGAGGAGCGAAGGAGATCGATCACATGACAGAGTGCCCCCCCTGTCTAAGTACGGAGTACCTACCTAGTAGTCGAGTTCCAACTTTCAAGTCTTCTCACACATCTTCTCTTCTTTGCCTTCCACTCCAAGACTCTTGAATCACGACCATCAGCCAGATGGTTCACGATTGTTAGTAATCTGTACCAGCACAGCCACCTGTTACTAATCCATGTGTTTCAATGTTGGCAGCTGCCGTCGTCCCGTGTGTTGATCGCCGGATCGCCGGATCGCCGCCGGAGTCCGTGGGCCCGCCACCATCAATAGTAATAATCGGCTTCAGCGCATAATTTAAAATAGCTACTTACGCTCCGTCCCGCCCTGCCCCTCCATTCTATTTTTACACAACATAATAATTATCGAGTTTTGCCGAGCGGATCTCCCCTTCGCCAGCCACCATGGATGTCGATGATGGTACTGGTACCATCATCCATCGTGTTCTCTCCCCCACCACCCACCTCTCCTACCTCACCAACCTCGTCATCGACCCGCATCTCTGCTTGACCCGCACCCACGCGCCGATCACGCAGCTCGCCCTGATGATCCACGGCTGGGGCTGTCAGGCTATCCACTACGCGCCCCTGATCACCTACCTCACGGCACAGGATGCCTCGTTCGATCAAGGGTCTCTCTACGTCGCGGTCGATCTACCGGGCCATGGCCAGTCGCCGGGGTCAGCTCTCCCAGAGCCAGACAAAGGGGGGGTCGTGGAGCTGGTCCTGCGGCTGGGGGATGAGGTTTTGGGGTTATTGGGTTTACGATACGACCAGGTGCAGGTGATGGTATATGGGCATAGTATGGGGACGCGGACCGCGCTGGAGGTATGTGCGATATTGACGGATCGGATTTCACGCCTGGTGCTGCTAGATGGGTCGTGGGCGGGGGATGCGACGCCGGAGGATTTGGACCTGGGGGAAGTAAGCGAACGGGCGGCCATGTATCGGGGGGCAGTTCAAGAACGCCTGCATCTCTATTTTGGGCCACGGACGTCAACAGAGTTTGAGCGTGAGACACGCGAGGGATTTGGAAGCCTGGATTATGAGTATGCCCTGCGGATGGGATACTGGTACAATCTGTTCGATGCTGGGGCTGCGGAGGTGCTGGACGATCTCAATTCGAGGAATCGCGACCTGGTCGCCGCGGGAAGAGATCCAACACATGTACTAGTGGTCCAGAGTCAGGAATCACAGAGCCCAGGAGGGAGGCACAGCATCAAGAAAGGAGAGACAACGGAGTATATGAGATTCCTACGGACTCATATCGCCAGGGAGTGGTTGCAGGAATGGGTCGTAGAGGAGGCCAGTCACTATCCGCACGTCGATGACATCGGAGAAGTTGGACCGGTGATCCACGCTTTTACCCGCAATTGAATCTCCAATTCAAGGGAGTCTACAGGCGCCATGGCGGTAATTGTAGTCGAATGCAGACAAAATCCCCATCAGATGAATCGCTGTGCCGAGAACCACTGTGAGATGGAAGATCTGGTGCGATGATCCGAATAGATCAAATTTGCCCAGCCAAAGCGATTCAGGGATCTGCGTCTATGCTCAATCATCAGCATTCCTCGGGAAGGTCGCCTACTAAAACTCTTAACACTGACGGTATAGAGAAAAGCACCCAGGATCAGAAGGAGTCCCTCGCCGAGATAGTACAGCATCCCAGACCGCTCCACCATCTGCGGGAAGCCAAAAAGAACCGTCCCGTGGATCAGAGGCGCAAAACCCGACAGACCAGTGGCGACAAACGCACAGGTTCGGAGTGTACGCCAGCGACGACCTTGGAACCTGGGGTTGAGCTGAACGGACGCCGTGAGGCAACTCAGGGTGGCTATCTGAAAGAGGGTCCGGTACTTCCATCTGCTATGGGGAGATGGCAATGGGTACCATGGTCCAATAGGTCCGTTTCAGGGCTGACTCGCAGTAGAAGCCCATGTAAATCCCTGATACGAAGTCGGCCAAAGTCAGGACCACGATCCCGATCAGATCTAGCCGTAGGGATCGATCGCAGACGCGATGGGAGTGGTTGATCAGGGTGTGGTATGTGGTACACCGCGGACATGCCCAAGGTGAAGACCGCCGTCAGCAGGAAGCAGGTAAACACGGCATGATCGCTCCCGGTCGCGTCGGGGTATCTGGCCCGGAGGTAGTGATGGGACGAGCCCCCTGCCAGCAGGAAGAGGATTGCGGGGGCTAAATGGGAATAAATGTTGAAGGTTTCATTGCGCAGATATCGCCAGCTAGCCAAGCAGGCGCGAGTCGAGTGTGAGACAGGGCGATAGCCATGGTGGATGAACGGATTGTCCTGGTACCAGTCGGGGGGATCTGGTGGTAGGCGAGCAAGGAATGGGTCGGGCCCGCGGCGTCCGGGCTTCGTTTCCGGCATCGCGGCGAAGGGTCCGTTCTAGATGCGCCGTCGCCGTCGTTGTTGCTGTTCGGTTTCTTGGGGCGTTCTTCGATCCTAGACATATCAGTAGTAGCTCCAGGCTCGGAATTACCGGGACGGGATCGGGAGGGCATTAATATTTCTGGCCGAATCCTCCTTCTGGCTTCTTCACACCCGGAACTGCAGCCAAGGAGGGGGCTTGCAGGTGAGATGCAGGATGCAACACAGTAGACAGGTACTAGCACTGGCGGCGATAGGAGGCCTCCGGTGGCCTATCACCGTCGATCCACAGACTGCACGAACAAACCGGTCGTTACACCGCTTCAGATGATCGGGATCGGCCTCTGCGACGTGTAACTAGACAGATGGCGGGTACGGTGGAGGGTGGACATGACTGGAAGTTGAGGGATTAATCGGCGGTGATTATTGCAACCCAGGAAAAACTGGGCGAGTGCGACCGCACCTGCCCTATGGACTATCTACTAGCCTACTGCTAGTGCTGAGCTAGTCGCTATGGAACTCGTACTCCGCGGACCCCTCCAACGTTTTCCTCCCCCACTGCAAGCCCTCGAGAAACCAACCCAGCTTCATTTATGCAATTGAAGGCAAGTCATTTTTCTTTTATTTTTTTTTTTTCTTTAAAAAAAAAAAGGAAACTGAGAAAAAAGAATATTGGTGGAAGCTGTATAGTAATCTATTCCCAACGTACCATGACGCGGGTGAAGAAGTATCTAATCTAAGAGCTCTAACCACAGTGGTATCTCTAGAATTGCGAAACCAAGAACGCTAAATAACCCAGACACAAGGAAATACAGAAAGTGAAAAAAAAGAGGGGCACGCAAGAGCTTTCAATCACATGATCGAAGCTTGCTTTTCAAGAGGATGATAGGATGATTTGATGAGGAGATGATAGAGGAAGGAGGTGATAGTGGAATGCATCCACTGTGGCGACAGGTCAAGGCTCTCGACCGGATGAGAGCACGCTAGTCTCGGGGGACTGGCGGAAGACGAGACCTGCTGGAGGGGCGCCAGCGTAGCCGGGCTCACGGACGGGTTCCGTGAGAGTAGGCGCGGGTATACCCTAGGCCGAGATGAAGGGCCAGTGGTAGGGTGGGTTGGTTGTTGGTGACATGGTGGTCACAGTCGAGGGGAAGTGGCATAGAAGTGAGAACCGAGATAGACGAGGATGCTGTTGCTGCGGCTGCAGGTAACAGACCGACCGGCTAAATGACTGACGGATGGAGGATCCTGACGACATCAGGCGACGACGGCGATGCGGGACTGAGCCAAGTGCGCGTCGTTGCGACGCGGGAAGATCTTCTCCAAGCACTTGCGGCCCTTGTCGAGCAGACTGGTCTTCTCACTGGATCTCGGGGAAGTGACATTCACCCGAGGGGCAGCAGCGGCCTTGGAGCTGCTGCGGGATGCCCGGCGAGGAGGGGGAGGCGGGATGATCTCGTCATCGCAGCACTCCTCGTCGTCCTCGTCGTCCATGTCCATGCCCATGGAGCGGATGTGGACGCGGATGTCCCGCTTGACGAGGGCCATGGATTTGGCGTGAATGCGAGCATGGCCGAGGCAGCGGCGGAGGTCGGGTTGCTTGACACTGCTTTCCTGATCGAGTTTCTCGCCGGCGAGCAGGCTGAGGCGGAGGTGCAGCGAGGTCTTCCCTAGCGGGGAGGTTCTTCGGGGATACGGTGTAGGAGCGGTGGATTTGGCGAAACGGGGGTAGGAGGTCTGGGACATCGTACGGCTCGGTGTGTGTTGCATTCCCTCTTCTGCGATTGGAGACGATGGAGGCAGAATTGCAGAGTCCCGCACCCAAAATGGGAGAGGGGGGAGGGCGAGGAGCGAAGAGAAGCTGAGTGGTTTGCTTTGCTTTGGATGGCTTGGTTGTGTGGGATGGAGGGGGATAACGGGGCTGGCGAGGAAGGTCTATATACTCGGGGGGGGGGGGAGGAGCCAAGCCGATGGTGGAGAGGCGTTGATAGTTCGACCAGAACGACAGTCTGATAGCTGGTCATGGGACAAGCAGAACTTTGTTTGACGAACGCTCTAGAACCCGGGCCTGGAAAGCCAAATCGACATCGCGGTGGATCCGCGGGTGGAGACCGACTGTTCCAGCCCTGATTTCAGGCCGACAACCCGTCCAACACAGCCCAATCGCGGGTCCCTCCTGAAGAACCTGCCTGCCTCCGAGCCGCCGGTTCCTGGGAGTCAGACCGTGAGACCGTGAGACCGTCAGACTCGAGACGCTGTCCCGGATTTCTAGTTCCAGCCCAGCATGCAGGCGCTGAGGCCAATAATTGACAGTCCGGCTCGGTCCATCCAGAGTCGAGAATCTCCCCTCCGAGGTTCTGACCTCCCCTGCACCAACACCAAGGGTACTATCAGGCACAGGCACAGGAACATGACACTCTGTCCGGCGTGGTGCCTAGCCCGTATGCGGTGCCTGGGTGGTATCTATCTCGCAATCAGCTGAATAATAACTTGCCGCAAACAAGCGATAAAAAAAAAGACTAAGGTTCGAGAAGCCTGTGGGTGTCCGTGCATCCGCACGTGGAACTGATAAGCTCGTCGGCTCGAGTGATGCTTTCTTTGAGGCTGGTGGTTTCAAAGTTCTATTCTTGGGGGGTGGTGGTGGTGGGGGGGAACTCGTACTGCTAGTCTGCTACTAGTTAATTGACTCGTAAGTGCGCCATCAACCCATGTAACCGTTGGATGTGTGCACTATACGCATACTACCCCCCCCCCCCCCCCCCACCATAGCTTTTTTTTTTTTTTCAGAAATAGAGGGAGAAGAAAATAAAAGTGGTCCGGGGGTGAGTCAATGTCACATCTAGACTCTTTGTCCGAATGGATTCCATGACGTGCTCCAACTCTGGTACATAATCGAGTACGTACTGTGGTACGGGAGAGGCGTGGCAATTGACAATCATCGACTTGTGTGTGTGTGTGTGTCTGTCAAGACTGGCTGGCTGGCTGACTGGCTGTCCGGCGGTATCCGCAGATCACCTCACATCAAACCAAGGTGGCAAATAATCATAATCATAATAACAATCATGTGTCTTATCTTGCGTGCGACCACACTAACGTAGGCGGTGATCCTCCCGACCGACCAGTCTGCTAGTCTTGCTCATCCGCGAGGGTCCCGACCGACCGACCTCCCCTGCCATTAACACTTTCTCCGATGCCTAAAGAACCCCCTCCCCGTCGGCAGAGCTATCGCCGATCTTCTTCGTTGCTTCTGCGCCTCTTGCATCTGCACATGCACGGTGTGACAAACTGGATACGTGCCTATCTCCTTTGGGCACCCTCGATCACTTGTGATCGCGATTTGCGCCGCCAATGGCGTTGCAAATTCCCCTCCTGATAGCCTGATAGAGGGGTTGACGCTGTCATCGACCCCCACCAGAGCTTTCTCAGCGGTCATACTAACTAACTAGCTAGATAGTAGTACTTAGTATGGACTCCCAGGATGCATGCACCTGATACTTCCGCGACAAGCGGCCATAGCTTCAAGTTGGGCAGTGACGTCCTCCCTCCCCCTTCCCCCCTCCCCGGGAGCTCTAGCAAATTTTTCCACGGCAGTTTCAGGTTGACACCCGATATTAAATCATCTCCGATGCCCGTCCATCCGGCTTGATCATTGATATCCCCGAGGGGTCGCGCCGTTGGATGTGTTTGTCTGTCGGTCCGTCCAGACAGACTGCAATTGCTGTCCATGCGCCTGCGTCGCACGCAAAATGGGAGGGAACAACAACATCGGGTCGGAGCCAGACCAGGCCGGAAACTGCAATTGTTGTCCAGGAGGGGTCGAATAGTCCCGTCGCTTTCCAAGGTTCTTAGCAGTTAGTTGGTTAGTTCGCCCTTCTTTCTTCTTTCCCTTTTCCCTCTTTGTTCGATTTTTGTGTTTTCTGCAATTCCCCCCTCCGGACTAGGGAGAAGATCTAGCCGAGCCCACAAATCTCTCCCAATAATTGCCATGGATCCCCCATGTGCTGGTCCGGCGTTGAGGTGTCTATCGTCCCTATTTTCCAGGTTCTTATCATCGCATCCCGGTCGGACTCATACATGTCATATCCTACTCGCTGCCACATGCATACGGTGTAGAGGCCGGTCCAGCAGATCCCCATCACACGGCTACGCGCCTGATGAAGTTTCATGGATCGCCTAGAATCTCCCTGTAATACCCTTGATCCTTCGCATTCGGCCCCCCTTTAATGGGACCAGTCATGCCCACGTGCTTGGGCCAACTACTTTGACGAAGCCCCCTCCCTATCACTCCCTGGCAAGCCACAAAAAAAAAAGAAAAAAGAAAAAACCCGGGCGGCAAGATAGGACGTCACACGAATGGAAGAATTACACGACCGGCATATCCAGTGCCACAATGGATATGATGTAAGGCCGATTCAGGTCGTTCAGCGCAGAGCCATCCAGACCCTGGTGGAGATACATTTGCGGGTTCCAAACTTGCACTTGCAGACCCTGGCCAGCGGCATGGTCGATACCCATCCACATCCCAACCTCTAACTCAACCGCAGTTCCGGGTCAGATTCTGGCCTCCCGGGCGGGGGGGTGAAAGGAGTAGTTCGGGTGGATCACTCTTCGCCGATCAATGTCTCGGTGTGAGGCACTGAGCATGCTCCTTGGCCCCTGGTCGAGCAGAGGTCAAACAGCGTATATCGCCGGGAATTCCCCTATCTTCTTAAAGGTGCCGAACGCCGGGGTATATCCAGCGATAGCATCGGCGTTCTGTTGGAGTCCAGATTGGGAATCAGGATGTAAATGTCCATATCATGCAGCTCGTTGCAAGGAATGTACATGATGGTCTTTGGGGTCTCCATCAAGCGGATCGGTTTCTTGCATACTGGGTCATTACTACCTCGTGAGTCATGGCTTACCTCTGTCTTCCACGGGGACACTCCTCTTGTAGCACCACGTCATCGGAGAGGTACAGGTTTTGGTAGTCGGTGCGGGGCAGCGGAAAGTCGTCCCCGACAATATCCATGACGGTGTCCTACTCCCTGAATTGCGAGGCTGTCATGCGGACCCATGAGATCTGTTCCCGGGTCATTGTCCTCGTCCTTCAGATACCCATCACCAAAGTCTGACGCTCATTCGGTCGTTCTAGATACGTCCGGATCTCGTACAAATCATGCAAGCCTGTGAAGCGCAGCCAGCCATACATGGATGGCACCAATTGCACGCAGTGGGGTAGAGTATGTCCCGGTTATATAGGCGAGGACCTTTATCTTCGTCATACCCGGTCATTTATCCTCCCAATGCTCCTTCGACAGGGAAGAGCAACGATACATCTCATCAAAGTCCTCTTGCCCATGATTTGCCTGGACCGTATGATCTGAGATTAATTGAAAAAAAGTTCTCTGCGTGGATTTCCAGAGGAACTGTTCTCGGAAGGGATCCCCGCAGGCTGCAACCGGCCAATGGATCGCGAACAGTTGCCCGCGAGACCGATATTCCCATTGGCCTCGATCATATCATATCTATGTTCGCCTTTCTTGTGTCCTGACGATGATTGCTGATCCATCAGAGCCACTCACGCCCCCAAATCCTCATTAATCACTGCGTAGTTCCAGGAGCGAGTTCAGCCGGATCGGGACAGAAAATGGATGGCGGTAGATATCGGTACAGCCATCGCGGGCCTTGACGCCAACGTCATATTGTGCGAGGATATCACAAGACACCGATCGCGAGCTATTGAAGGGGGGGGAAGGATGGTTGATCGGTCGATAACCAAATCCGGTGGGGAAAGTCACTGCTGGGCAGGCAAGTGTCAGTATCGGGCATCAACCGTGAATATAAACTTATAAACGTACGAATATGGGGGGGGAATGTAGAATTAGTTGCGTAGAGACAGGAAGTTGACATGACAGAGTGTCCCGGTCGCTGTTTATATGCGTGTCACGAGGTCTGTCTGTACGGTAAGTCGCGCGATCGGAATGGCTCGGGATCGGCGGATGGTACGGGTGGAGCCGGCAGGAACCGCGCCTTCCCCTTACAGTTGGTTAGTTCCGTTCGGATTCTTCCCCCTTCCCCCTTCCCACCCTCTTTCGCTCTCCCACTTACTGTCAGTTAGTTAGTGTCTGGCCCCAGATAATATTCGAGAAATGAATCAGTGCCACACAACTGCGTCGTCTGTCGCCAATGCAGATCCCCTGTGGTCTTTGCATTGCAGCAAACCAGGCGCGTACATCGTACATTTACGAGAGAAGTGCTTCACAAGAGTCAACTCACTATGTCAGTGACTGGCCTGGTCAGATACTCTTATGATGATGACTCTGTCCTAGTGTTTGAGACAATAAAATGAGGTTTGGGTCGAGTTCTAACTACTGCAATAGTCTTATAACCACATGTTCAATCCATTCGACAAAATAGCTCGTGTTCACAAAAAGGAAACATTCACAGAGAATCAAGACAAAAGCACGTGACAATAAGAGAAAGGAAATCGGGATAGTGATTGATCTTTACGCTCGAGACCAGCTGGGCAGGTAAGGGTCAACTGAAAAAAAAGTGAAGGGGGGGGGGGGGGTTACAGGGTGACAGAAAGAGGTGGAAGAGGATAAATCGAGCGGTTACAGACGGAGAATGTCATCGATGCGCGCATCCGACTTCTCCACCACCGTCGAAAGCATGCGCTCAACAACCCGAGCCTCCTCCTTTACTTCCTCACTCGTCCACACCGACTGGTCGTACGCGAACTTCAACTTGTACGCGTTAGGATCGGCAGTTTTGATCACCTCGAACACCACAGCATAGGGTTGAGGCATGGTCACCGCGGACTTGGCCATAATCACCCAGCGTTGGTACTGCTCTGGGGCACCGGCGGGCTCGAAGGGCTGGAAGAGAAAGAGAGCGCGGTTGGCAGACTCCTCCCGGCTGATACCACAGGCTCGACAGATATCCTCCACGCCCACCGTGTTGTTCTCCGTGTATTGCCAGAACTCATCTTGGGTGCGCAGAAGGAAGTCCTGTACGGAGTCCTGCGCATCGACCCGCGACCGCATGGGCAGGAAGTTTGCGCACGTTCCATTGATGCCGTTGGGATCGGGCAGATCCACGTTGCGTCCGGTGTAGAGGTAGTCGAAGGACACGTCCTGCTGCTTGCTGCGGAAGGCCAGCCAGAGCTGGAAGATGGCCTGGAACATGATTGAGACTGTGACACCCCGGCTTCGGCTGAAGCTGTCAAAGTCCAGATTTATCATGTGCACCACTGACGCATCGATGCGTGACTGAATCTGGACATTGTTGCTCGGATACGAGAAATGGATGGGTCTCTTGTCTGGTTGCGTCCAAAAGTCCAAGGTCGGGCGCTTCTGGTTGATCTGCCAGATATGGAAGGCGAATTCCTTGAACGACGTGAACGGCTGCAGTGCTTCCTGTCGCTGGTATGCCTGGAAGTGAGCGTCAAAGACTCGCAGTAACGTGCCGTCATATAGACCGTGATCTAGCTTGGTAACCACCTCGTGGGTCCCGTCGCCATGGCGAAGGATGGCATAGCGAATGAATGGCTTGCCAAATCCGAATTTGTCCTCCCAGGCAGCATCAATAATTTCCTTGCGTTCATCCGCATTGGCAACATCGAAGAATTCCACAGTGGGCGTAGAATCGCGAAGTACAACTCCGTACCAGGTTTCCTGGAATCTGGTGAACGTGGTTCGCAGGATTTCATTCGTCTGGGTCAGCTGCTTGACTAGGTCAACCCACTGAGTCACTTGCTCGGTGTTCTTCCCGAGGGCTCGAACGGCCATCAAGCGCCAGAATGTCTCTGGTCGGGCTCCCTGAGTAAGGAACTCGGCCTGTCCGGGGGGGCATGGGTAGATATACTCGTACTGCTCCTGCTGAAGGCCGTGTGAGGTGATGGTACTGATCAACTCTGTCGATGGAGAGAAAACGACGGCCTGCGACGCCTTCTCATCTTCCGATTCTTGCTGAAGCTGCTCCGCCATCGACCCAAGCAAGGGGTATCGGAGCACATCTCGCACGGTGGCATTCAGATGTCTCCGTCGCAGCCAGCTGACCAGGTTAATCGCAGATATTGAATCACCACCCAGGCTGAGGAAGTTGGCTTCTAGTCCAAACTGATCATCGGGTAGCTGAAGCACCTCGATCCAACCTTGTTGGAGGGATCTTTGTGTCTCAGAAACTAGTGGAATAATTTCTTCTGACTCTGACAACCCAACTTTGTCAAAGGAGAACTGCGAAAGCTCCGCCTGGCTCATCGACTGCACCCGTGCTTTGAGCTGCTTCCGATCGGCCTTTCCAGATGGCAATCTGGGCAAGAACGGCAGGGGTAGAATGAACTTGGGGACCATGTAATGAGCAAGTCCGCTGAGGTTGGACTTGAGCCTTTGTGCATCATCCGCAAATCGGTCCAGGGGGAGAACACGGAGGTCCTCGTCGATTGGCTCAAAGACCACAGATGCGACCAGGTGTGCCGTGGTGTTGTGCTTCCATACGGTGAGAATGCAGTCTGTGACGTCCCCTGTTCGCAGGAATGCTTGTTCAATCTCTCCCAGCTCGATCCGATGGCCGTTAACCTTCACCTGGTCGTCTTTGCGACCCAGGCATTCGATATCCCCTCCGGGAAGGTATCGAGCCAGATCACCACTGCGATACAACCGGCGGCCACCACCGATATCGCTATCAATGAAGGCCCCAGCCGTTAATTCGGGCTTCTTAAAGTAGCCTTGTGATAGCTGAGGACCCCAGAAGCACAGCTCTCCCACTGCACCATAGGGAACCGGCCGAACTCCGTCAGCTTCTAGGATGACTGCACCCACGGACGCGAGAGGTTTCCCAATGTTGCCACCGGTTGTTTGGGTATCCACCTCCTTCATTGTCACGAGAACTGAAGCTTCTGTTGGCCCGTAGCCGTTGCGCAGAGTTAGCCTCGACGCCCAGGTAGTCACCACGTCTCGCGTCAATTGTTCGCCACCAACTGTCATGGATTCCAACCCGGGAACGTCCTCGGGGCTCAGTAGCCGGGCCACTGTGGGGGTCAAGAAGACATGGTTAACGCCCATATCATTGATTGCACCCGCAAGGTCACCGAGAAGCTGCTCTGATGGCGCTATGCAAAGGGTTCCACCGCTGTGTAGAGTGACGAAAAAGTCGTACAGAGACACATCAAATACATAGTTGGAGAATTGCAAAGCCCTGAATGGCTTGCCTTGCTTGCCCTCAAACTCAATGATGGATCGCATAGCAGCAGCACATGCCCCATGGCTGATTGTCACTCCCTTAGGCTGGCCGGTACTCCCTGAGGTGTACAGGATATAGGCGAGGTTATCAGGAGATACATTCACTAGCTGCTTATCTGTCGAGTATGCACAGAGTCGGGCTTGGTCGACCAAAACACTGGGGATATCCTCGCCGGCAAAGTAGGAGGCGTGCTCGCTCTCGGTCAAAATGACCTTAGCGCCGACATCACGGGCAATGAAACCATTTCTGTCGAGAGGATTCTCGGGACTCAACGGCACATAGGCAGCGCCAATTTTGAAGAGGGCCAGAATGGTGATAATCATGATTGGGGACTTTTCGAGGAGGAGAGGAACAATGTCTCCGGGTGTGACACCACGCTCAGAGAGGAAATTGGCCATCCGGTCAGCCCTTTTATTCAGTTCTGCATAGCTCAGGAACTGTTTGTTCTGGAAGTTGATCGCAGTTCGTGATGGATACTGGTGCGCAATCGCTTCGAACTGCCCATGCAGGGTCGCCTCATCGGGCTGGTTATCATTCCATTGTAGCAGAAAATCCAGTTCTGTGCTGTCGATCAGGTTTAGTGAGCGAACACTGAGTCGAGGATCATGAACAATGGTTTCAACAGCGTGACAGAATTGATTCAGGATGAATTCCAACCGGCGCGGTTCCATGGGAGAAGTGAGGCTAAGCTCGAAGCCTTCGTCCCCTTCTCCAATGTTCAGTGTTGTGTATTCCGTCCTCCAGGCCGACCGAGGTCCAAATATCTGGAACACCTCTCCGGTGAGCTCATTCTTCCCTTCTTCCCGAACAAGAATGTTCACCATGGTATCTAAGAACGTGGAGGGTTGATGGCCGGCTGCGGTGAACGCTCCTCGCATGCCATATTGGGAGTGTTTGATGATGCTCCACAGATTGACGTTTACTGAGCGGACCAGATCCAATAAGGATTGATCAGGGTTAACTAGCACTGCTTGGGGCACCATTGCTAGGGTTGGCCCATCAATGGCCTCAATTCCTGGGAGAGGTAGCTCTCGGCCGGAAATCGCTGTGGCCATGACAACTGACTTTGACGCCGTGTGCAGTGAGAGAACCAATGCCCAAGCGCCATAGAAAATAGCACTTGATGGGACTTGGAGTGCTGCTGCGACCGACTTCAGGTCCAAGGGCAAGGAACGAACGACTGTAAATGAATCGAGTTCGGGAGAATGGTTTAGAATCGTTGGACTGACCTCAGCCAGATGCTGTCTCCAGAATTGCTCTGATTTCCCCCGGTCTTGGTTATGTACGAGTCCAACAAATGATTTCCAGTGTGCACGATGGACGGAACGCTTGCCAGAGTACACACGTGCGACGTCATCAAACATAAAACCGTGGGACCAAAAATCGAAAAGTGCATGATGGACGGATACAACCAGAATCGATTTGTCGATCACCGCCACCCGCATGAATGGCTGGCCCAGAGTAACACCAGCCCTTTTATCGGCTTCCAAGTACTTGTCTAGAGAGATCGATAATTCGGTCCATGGCAGGTCGAAGTTGTTGCGGGTAACCTGTACAAACCCTTGGGTTGCCGAAACAAACGAAGATTGCAGGTTTTCGCTCCTCCAGAAAATGACCTGGAACGCAAGCTTGAGTCGTACAAGATCCAGGTGCCGGACGTCAAAGACTCTCTGGTAGAGATAGTCCGGGTTACCCTGTATTGTGCTGGCGAGAATTCCCTCCTGCAGGGCAGTAGTTGGAAACGCATCGGCCACGCCGCGATCTGCCAGCAAGTCCGTTTTCAGGCTCTCGTCCGACAGGAGAGAAAATGGTGCCAATGGACTCGGCTGACCCGCGTCCTTAGAACCTATGCGAGAGGCATCGGCCACTTCTTCCACCGTCTGCGACTGAAGCATGTCGGCCAGCTCGATGTGAATTCCCTGTCCTCGCAGCTCGCGATTCGCCTTGATTGCATCGATAGACGTGCCGCCCAACGAAACGAAAGAGTCAGTGGGAAGGATGAATGATGGGCTGAGATGGAGAACGTCGGCCCATACTTCCACAATCTCCAAGGCGACCTCACTAAAGACGTGCGCTTCCCCATCAACGCTACGACAGCGGCCCAATAGGTCGCTGACATCAGTCGACTCGGCCAAATTCCGAATGGCTTTGAAGTCGACCTTTCCATTTCGATTCACGGGAAATTCGTCACATTGAAGCCAGTAGCTGGGAACCATGTAGGGGGGGAATGATCGCTGGGCGTGACCACGGAGACTTTGCACCAGACTTTCCCAATCAGATTCAGGCGCTGGAATGACTGCAGCAACGAGTGATGACTTCTCGTTAATATAGGATCCGACGCAGGCAAGCGCAGCAACACCAGCTACCGTTGCCAGATTTTGTGCTACCTCTTGCGGCTCGACGCGCTGGCCGTGAATTTTGATCTGATGGTCAATCCGGCCAAGAATCTCAAAGCTGCCATCTGGAAGACGTACAGCCTGGTCCCCGGTGCGAAACAGGATATCCCGTCCGAGGAGATTCTTGACGAACGCGGCGTTTGTCTCTTTGATGCGTTGATAGTAGCCATTGGCAACCTGTGGACCAGAAAGACACAGCTCACCTGGTTCCCCCGCAGGCAGTTCTCTCCCTGTGCCAGGCTCCAAGATCACTGCTGATGTGGTGTCGGCTGGTCGACCAGGATTTCGAGGGTTGTCGCCCCTCTTCAATTGTCGGGAGAAGTTTAATTGGGCGCATTCGCTGAGACCATAAGAGACGCGGAGGTGAACCCGGTCCGCCCACAGATCAACCAGATTCTGCGACAGGGGCTCACCTACAGTGGTCACCTGCTGGAGAGAGTTGGAAACCTCCTCGGTAGACAACAATGCCAGTGCAGAGGGGGTGATCCCGAGTGCATCCACCTGAAGGTTCGACAGAACTTCCGGTAATGCAGTAGCCAGGCGGTCACGACGAGCCAGGCAGAGGCAAGCACCCTTAGCCAGCGTTGCAAGAATGGTTCTCTGGGCAGCTGAAAACACGGGATTGTAAAAGAGCAACCACCGCCTGCGGCCGTTGAGCTCAAATTGATCAATCCCGTGGGATGCGGCGCGATGACTTAACAGCACGCCTTTAGGTGTTCCAGTGGAGCCTAAAGAAATGTTAGGTGGGAATGTTGAAGGCGTTTCTGCCAATACTCACCAGAGGTATATATCAAGTATGCCAGATCTGATGGGTTAGTAGCGAGAGGGCTGGATGCGTTGGAAGTTCTAGTTTTGGAAAGAAGGTTCTCCACTGAGGTTGCTTGGTCAAACAGGGGACGATGTTTCTCATGGACCACAACGGTCCGGGCACCACAGTCAGCTGCAATCACACGGTTGCGTTCTGGGGATCCCTCCGGGTCAAGCACCAGGTATGCAGCGCCTGACACCATGATGGCCAGGAGGGTGGCCACGAACTCAACACTGAGATCCATACACACAGGCACAATCTGACCGGGTGCAAAGTTGCCTGTAGCCCTAATCTGCTCCACAAGCTGCCATAGTTGGGAATATGTGTATGGCTCCTCGTCTTCATAGTGGACGGCAACGGCCTCGGGCTCGGATTCGACTTGATACCGAATGAAGTCCGTGACAAGGCAAGGTGCCGATGGACGTTGTCGTATAGAGGTTCCTTTCACACCCACGACTTTCTCCTTGATGGTGATGGATTCTGATGCCATCACATCCGCACCGTCTATAATATCTCGGACGGCAATAGGAGCCATTTTGAATGCACAATAAAATAGGTAAAGGATACGTTCAACGACAGTATGAGAAGAGAAATCAGCAGTTGTGCCCTGAGAAGGAAAGTGTTGTTCCCAGACGGTTTATCTCAGATCTCATCGACGAGGACAGACGGCATATTTATACTTATGTCTGGACCTCCTACAAGGAGCCTGGCTTGGAGTTCCCCTTCTGTCGCAGTGGTCATCCGCCAACTTCTCATGGTGGTCAGAACACGATACCTTCGAGGCAATATCCGTATTCCGGTGGAAGAGGCTCATGCTCTGGGTTGTCACCCCGGTCATTTGAGCAAATATCGACATATTCCGGTAAACGATGCTCATGACCTGGATTCCCATCCTGGTCCGCTCAACCATTGGGGATGCTCGGAGGACGCCCTGTGGAGCTTGTCTGGTCAAGTCGAAAGACCCAAGGCCGCAACCAGAATAACGCCATCCTGCGTGTGCGTCCTGGTATGGCTTGTATTGGATGGCGGCAACCCTCTACAGCCTACCGGATATAGGTGAAACAACTATCTCGGCGGTTAATCTTGTTCCGTGTCCGAGTTCAAGATGCAGGCTGTCAGCCACGCGCTCTCATGCAACCCCGGGACACGTTGTATGAGACGACATGCCTGCAGGGGCTTACGTGCAGGATGTGATCTGCAGAGTTATCGCCTGCTTCATTGCATCCTTCCATACCCGAGCCGGGTCTTCCGCCTCCTGCATGTCAGACTTAAGTCTGATCAAGGGACAATCCTGACAAAGTTATACTTCCGGCTATGAGGGATTTTCCGCCGGATTCTGCAGGAATGTTTCCAACGATGTCTATAAGACCTCGCAAGACATCGGCTGGCTTCCGTCTCACCATCCGAACCTGATTATCATTCCTTCACTCCAACATCCTTCACAACATGGAATCTTTAGCCTTTTCTTACGGTGCCCCCAAGCCAATCGAAGGGATCCGTCTGGCCACGGCGCCGCTGCCCGTCTGTGGGCCACAGCAAGTGGTGGTCCAGTTCCTGGCGGCCCCGATCAACCCTTTGGACCTCCTTGTGATCCAGGGAAAGTATCCGGTCAAGCCCCAGAACAGCATTGTCGGGCCTGACAAACAGACGCTAGCAATCCCGGGGTCTGATGGAGCGGCCCGTGTTGTCCAGACGGGAACCGACGTCAGCACCCTGGCCGTTGACGACATTGTCATCCTTCGCGCGCACTGCCACGGTACATGGCGCACGCACGGTGTGTTCGCGGCGAAGGATCTCATTCGTGTCCCATCCGGCATCGATCCTCGGCTGGCCTCGATCCTCCGAATGGGGGCCGCGCCCGCGTACTTCCAGCTGCGGGACTATCGCCCTCTCGAGCCCGGCGACTGGATCCTGCAAAATGCGGCGACGGGGACGATCAGTCACTTTGTGACTCAGCTGGCCCCGATGTACGGGGTTCGAGTGATCAGTGTCATCCGCGACCGCGGCACGGCCGACGAGCTCGCGCGGATCAAGCGATCGCTGCAATCCCACGGGTCGGCGCTGGTCGTGACGCACGACGAGCTTCGCACGACCACCACTCTTGACGACAAACGCATCGTGTTGGCGGTGGACTCGGTGTCGGATGATGCGCTGGCCAAGGACATGGCGGCCCGTCTCATCCCCGGTGGGACCCTGGTCACAGCCGGGTTCCTGGGGGTCTCGACTGGCGAAGGGGTCAACCTGCGGCAGTTCCTCTGGCAGCGCAACATCACGCTGCAGGCCTTTCGACTGAGCGACTGTCTCGGAAAGCGCAGCCTTGGCCAGCAGACGGCGCTCATCGAGTGGCTGGCGGAGTTGTTAACGCGCGGAGTCCTCACAGCTCCGGCGCTAGAATACGTGCACTGGAAACGGGGAGAGGATGGGTTGGAACAGCGACTGAAGGAATCCGTCCAGGCGCACGAAATGGGGGCGATTGGGGAGAGGAAGAAGATCCTGGTGTTCGACTGAAGATGACTCGGTTCCAATGTACATAGCTAGCTAGTTCTGCGGTAATTAGATCGATCGGGCAGATCGGGGGGGGGTCGTCAGCGCGCGGAGGGTAATGGACCACGGGGAAAGAAAAGCCAGAGGAGCCTGGAGAAGGATTGACGGAGGAAATGGAAATAATTGAATCTGAATCTGTTACGCGATGTGAACCAATTCTGGACCACTTAAGCCTTCAAGCTTTGGGCTAAAATCTGACACGGAAAGGGCCGTTGGACTCTCCCTCCCTCCCTTAGGGCTGCCTGCCATTATTCGTTGCTCGCCCGCAGGAACCCCAGCATCCTGACTCGCCGATCGCCATCCTGGGATCCATTCGGCTAGGCAGAGAACGGCACTCCATCGGCGAAGGATCGCCATCCCTGCGGTTTGCTGGCTGGCCATTATTAATCTGCGGGTGCAGCGAAGGGCGAAGGCCGACAGTCCGAATGTCGCGCCAGCCTGACAAATGCCCTACAATGCCACCCTGGATTGGATCCTATTTATGCCTCTCCCCGTTGACGCCAATGGCCTCCCTCTGGCATCCCAAGCAATCCTCGCCATGGCCGACCACAAAGAGCCGTCCGCGCAATTTCCTGGGGGCGAGTCGGACATGTCCGAGACCGAGAAGCAATCGATTGCGCAAGACACGCTGCCTCTGGCGCCTCCGCCGCCCCCGAATGGCGGCACTCTCGCCTGGCTGCAGGTCGCCGGGGCCTTTTTTCTCTTCTTCAACTCCTGGTGAGTATCCAGTCCGTCATTCAGTCGTCGTCGTCCTCAGTCACTGAACTGACCTCCATCCCCCAGGGGCGTCGTCAACACCTTCGGGGTGTTCCAGAGCTACTATGAGGAAACGCTGCTGTCCAACTACTCGGCGTCGGCCATCTCGTGGATCGGCACCGTCCAGGGCTTCCTGCTGTTCCTGGCGGGCATCGTGGTCGGCCCCATCTTCGACAAGGGCTACCTGAAGAGCCTGATCGCCATCGGGTCCTTCCTGGTGGTGTTCGGCCTGATGATGACCTCGCTGGCCACGGAATACTACCAGTTCTTCCTGGCGCACGGGGTGGCCGTGGGCATTGGCTGTGCGTTCCTGTTCCTGCCCAGCATCGCCATCGTGGCCACTTATTTCACCACTCGCCGTGCCATGGCCACCGGCATCACCGCCTCCGGAGGCAGCATCGGTCAGTCTCCTCTTCGTATCATATCCCTTCCAACCCTAACTCTCATCTCATCTCATCTCATCATCAGGCTCCGTCATCTACCCAGTCATGTTCCACAAACTCATCGACCGGGTCGGCTTCGGCTGGACCGCCCGCATAATCGCCTTCGTCGCCCTGGCCGGCCTCATCTTCTCCTTCCTGGTGATGAAACGCCGCCTCCCCCCCCCCCAACAGGCGCGCTCTCTCCTCGACCTCTCCGCCTTCCGCGAGCCGTCTTTCAACATCTTCAGCCTGGGCCTCTTCCTCGCCTTCGTCGGCCTGTACTTCCCCTTCTTCTACCTCCCCACCTACTTCACCTCCTACCTGCACGCCGGCGACAACATCTCGTTCTACATCATCGCCATCCTCAACGCCGCCTCTGCCTTCGGCCGCATCACCCCCGGCCTCGTCGCCGACCACTTTGGCTCCCTCAACACCATCATCCCCATCTCCTTCATCGCCACCATCATGGCCTTCGCCTGGATGGGTATCCACTCCAACGCCGGCGCTATCGTCTTCGCCGTCATCTATGGGTATGCCTCCGGCGCGATTGTTTCGCTCCCCCCCACTATCCTGGCCCGTCTGACCCCCGATATGTCTATTGTCGGGACCCGCATGGGTATGTCGTTTACTTTTGCGGGCTTGGGGCTGTTGATTGGGAATCCCATTGCCGGGACGTTGTTGAATTTGACGGACGCCGTGTTTTGGAGGGCCCAGCTTTTTGCGGCCGTTATGATGGTCGCGGGCTCGGTGAGTTTTGTGGTGCTGAGGTTGATGAAGTGGAGGGATGGCGAGGGGTGGAAGATCTGATTCTATTTGATTTGATTCAATCGGGTCTTGCATTTTTTTTAGCTAATGTGGTGGGTGGATGAAGCGGGTAAAATTAACGTGTTGAAGAATCCATATAATCATTTCTTTGAGTCATAGGTATGTCTGGCTTGTTGGAGCAATGTGACCACGCTGTAGGGTTGTATGCTTCGAAGCTCTTCCCGATCCTGCTTCCGATTGCGATGCCGATCCCATCCGATTCACTGTACAAAATGGACTCACATCGCTCTACCTTCGATGACTACAGTTTTCTTGATTGCGAGTACTGCAGTTCTTTGGCTAGACTCAAAATCTTAATTGTCTCAGTGGTTCACCATTTGTCGAGTTCTATCGAAGGTGGAAAGGTAAATGAGGTCATTAAAGACAATGGAGTGAATCTTGATCTGTGCTCGAAAAAGCAAGCAGATTGCTGCGGACGAATAGGGTTGCTCGGAGTAGACATGTTGTTGGGATTTGGATACGGCCTGATCAAACATTAAGATGTGACGTGTCTGTGTCGTCGTCCTCTCTTTTAGTCGTTCGGGACTCCCTCCGTAGTTTTCTTCACCTCCACAACGTAGACTTCATCCCAAAGATGGCGTCCGTCGCAAGTCCTTGTCCCGTTCCGTCCGTCAGCTACGTGGAGCTCCTTGACGATGATAAAAACATCAGAGATCACGCGACTGAACGGCTCCTCCAAGCGTTGAATTTTTATGGCGCGTGTCGGATTCGAGGCCACGGTATCCCCCAGGAGATCATAGACCGCATGTTTGAGAAGGTTTGTGGACTGGAATCTTTGTCGGGCCAGAATGCTGAGCTCCGCGTGTGAATAAATGACTCTAGAGCCGGCCATTCTTTGAAAGACCTCTAAATGAGAAAGTCACGGACCACGCCAACTCTGGCACAACCAGTTTGTCCCGGTTCGTTCCATTCGCAAGCGAGAAGATCCGCGGGAAGGCCCATCTGGATGAAACCGTGGAGTTTCAACATGGCGTTTATGACCTGGCGGGAAATTGGTCCGTGTCTGGCAGAGAATTGTTGGATGCTTCGAGGCCCTTGCACGATGTTTGTAATCTCTTCCCTCTTTGTGTTTGTGTCTGGAATACTAAGCAGAGAGTTATAGGAATGCAATCGCGTCCAGTTTCATTTATTCGACTGTTTGTCGTCCTCACTGAAACTCCCTCGGCCCTTGTCCTCTTTACACAGCCATCGCAACTCCTTCATCGCCCCCTATTACTACTGCTTCGATGGCGATCAGGACACCGAAACTCTCCGTGTAGACCCTCACCTTGACCCCACGACCATGCTGTTTTGTTTCCAGGACTCGTACAGCGGTCTTGAGGTGGCGGATATGAGCAATCAGACAGGCAAATTATCGACCACAGCCATCCAGCGAACCGCCCCCTTCATCCCGGTGACATGTCAACCAGGGGAATTTGTCCTGTTGGTCGGGCATGTCTTGCGTCGGTTGGTTGGGGAGGTGAAGCATTCAGTGCACCGCGTCAAGCGGCCACTGGGAACGCCGGGGTTTCATCTAAATTATTGGACGGTCCCGGATTTGGAGACGAGTTGCGATTTTGGTGATAAAAAGGAAGATGTAGCGGAGTATCTCGCGAGGGTCTTTCCAACCGCTTTTGGGAATAGGAGACAAGGAATGGTGTCGCTGTCGTGATTCTTAGGGGGTGAATGTTTAGGAAGAGATAATAACCAGGTCGTTCAAGAAATGCCAAAAAGATCAACGTATCCTGTACTGCGACGCTACTGTGCGGTTTTAGATCATCACATTCTCATTTCCCGAGACTCACTGTTTCGACAGCTCCATCAGTCCAGGATGCTGTACGGAGACTCTCCACTGCCTCCTCTCAAGGTGATCTGCCAATACTCGCCAAATTCATCCTTCTCGCGTGTGAAAAGCTTCATGCCCGGAGGGGTCGACACGAGCTTATCCATCGCCTCTACCACCCGGGACTTCCAGTTGAGGTGGATCCCCAGCTCCTGGGACATCATATTACACCGGACCATAATCTGCCAGCAGTGTGTCAGATGTCCCATTAACACCCGTCGGTTCCGCCTGTGGAGTGGATCGTGCGGCACACGGAGGACTTGAGATCCCGATTCATCGTATTCGGTGAAAGCAGTGATCTGCAAGACCAGTTCTCGTGGCAGCCCTTGCGCTCGAAGATATGCCTGGACCGGCGCGATGTCCAGCGCGCTCCGGCGCGGACCTGGGGGTTGTCCCCCACACTGCAAGAGCAACTCGTAAGGAATCTGCCCGAATGGAAAGTCCTCGTATGCGGGGGTAGGCGGGGGGTGTCTCACTCTTTATTCCTCAAAGAGGATGCCCCAGGCAGGCGGCAGTAACCGCGAACCCTGACTAGGTAGGTATACTAGTACCGTACTCTGGATGACTCCATTATAGGGGATTCGGGGTCCCAGGAGGGTTTAGCGCCCGGCTTCTGTGACTGGAAGTCAGTCGGTCCCCTGAGGCACGAACCGTGGTTCGGAGAGCTTCCATGATAGAATCCAGAAAGTCTGCCTACTACTGGTAGAACAGCCCGCTGGGTTTGTGTCTCCTCCGCTGTGGTATGGCGAAACAATTTGTTGTAAATTCGACTGAAACATCCTTTGGGTATTAACCGTCACTAGCCATTCCAAGCGTGTAGAGGTAGCATAGTCAGTAGGACGTCATATCATGCAGCGGTCATATGAGGGTGATGATGATGGCGGATGGCGGATAGCTGCGGATGACGGTAACCCTGTCTCTATTTTTGCCCATCGTAGAGTACTACTGTGTTACTGTGGATTCAGCATACATCCCAGATCTTTGGTCCGTCCACGTCTCTACTGCAACTAAACCTTCACGTCTAGGCTCAGCCACACGGCAGGACTCCTAGATATCAGCTAAAAACTAGTATTGGCAAGGCTGATTCCAGCAGACTAGCAAATAAAGCAAACTATAAAACATAGGGCAAGTATACATCTCGTCGTTGCATCATCCAGTCCTCCGGCAACACTACAGCTTGCTCTGGTCGGTAAGGCTCTGGCGCAGCTCCTTGCGCTGCACAGCGCCAAAGCGCAGGTTGCCGACATCGAACACCTGCACGTAAAGTCAGTCCAGCCCCTCCATCTCCAGTCACGCAGGGTACTTACCGCGTAGATGCTCTTCAGGAAAGTATCTCCCAGGATGTCGAACGTCATGCTTCCACGGCTCTGGATACCGCCATAGCTATAGCCCGTCTTGGCCTCGGTGAAGGCGAGGTCCTCCTTCTGCACGGCAAACTGCTTCTCGCCCACCGCGAACGAGACTACCGGCAGGCTGGAATCGGCTGTGTTGGATGGGTAGATATAGCCCTGCAGCTCCTCGTCATAGTACGCACCCTCGATGGCATCGTAGATGGCCTGGCAGGTCTCATCATCCACCAGCGCCAGGGTGGTACCGGTGTCGGCAATCGCCATGTTCCCGGTCCGGGCGATAGTCTGGCCATTGACGGTCGCCGAGGTTGAGCTAAACATCCAGAAGCCCTCGCTGTTGTCTACGGGGGTATAGGCCACGTCCTCACCCGCCGCCTTCACGATGTCCTGGTCGATGTAGCCGAAGGTGTAGAATGACTCCTCGTCGGTATCCCGCCAGGTATCCAGCTTCGCCGTGAACAGCTCCGCCGACTTGGGGATATCATCCTGCAGGATCATGTTCTCCACCGGGGTATTCACCGACTTAGGCTGGACAGTGTTGATGTTGCTGAAGGCCAGCCCGAGCAGTCCGTCGCCCTCACTCTCAACGAAGGCCGACGACATCTCCTCGGCCAGCTCAACGGCCTGGTTCTTGACGATCAGACCACCAATGTTGACGTCGTCCGTGCCAACGGTGCCCGAAGCCGATGAACCGTCGCCGTACGAGATCTCCCAACTCTCCCCTTTGTCGGTCTTGAAGGTGCTGGACTTGGAGGGATTGAAGATGGCGTGGGAGCCGCTCTCCGAGAGGGTAGCGGATGGGAGCTTCGTCGACCAGACCTATGGTGCATTAGCCCAGTCATCTCCCTCTCTTCTATCTTCCAAGATGGGACAACTTACCCACAGATCCGCAGACCCGGTGTCAAAGTCCAGTTTCAGGTTCTGGGCAGGGGTGCCGATACCGACCGTAGCCAGGTACATGGAGTCGTTCTGGACATCCTCGGCCGGGACCTCGCCAATCTCGCCACTGACGGTGTTCTTCTTCTGTAGCAAGGTGCGGACGCGGGCGCGGCCCCCGATGGCCTTGTCGGTATAGGGGCGACCGGTCTGCTGGAGCTTGCTGCCGAGGGAGTAGGGGCCGGGCTTGGTCGGGGTGAAGCGGTACTTGCGCATGAGATGCACATAGGACTTGGGACCCGAGCGTTTATAGCTCAGGTTTGGAATGAGCTTGATCTTGGAAGCCATGATGAATGAATTGCGGAGGGATTCCTTCAGGATGGTAGGATGACAGAGAGGAGGAGGAGGAGGAGGAACAAGAAGAAGAAGAGAGCAGCGAGGCGCAGACGAGGCCGGCTTTTAAGCGGGCGCCTGCCTGCCTGCCTGTTTTGGCCCCAACGTCATTCCTCGGGAGAACAAGTGACGCCTTCAATTGCCTTGCCATCTCTCATTCGCACTCGCCCTCGCCCTCGCCCTCGCCCTCGGCAGCCGACCCTTTCAGCTGTGACAGGTCGGGTGATTGGCGGCAACTGATGGGTGGATCGGCGCGATGACGCGAAGCGGGCCAGAGATGGCCGCCAGACTTATCTTATCGAGGGGCCAGAACCGGGTCAGTCGTGCGCCGGTTGCTATGCTACGGCGGATCCAGTATAGCTCACCTTGGTGGTGAGACGAGGAAGTGGCACGATCACATCATCTCGCAGTGGATCGACGAGCTTGGCTGCGGTCCGCAGGGCTTGTTCGCTCTTCACATTGGTCACCTGCCAGGTCGCCCCTTATCAACTCGCAGCCGATTACGCACGGGTGTGTTGTTCTATTCATGGCGACCGACGAAGTAGTGTCTGAGATAGCAGGGGATCAGAGCGCCCCCACCGGCCTCGAATATCAGCTCGGGCAGATCGTTGCCCCAACCACTCCAGGCGGGCCGGCCCTGGGCGGGGTTACTATCCAGTCATCCCCAATTCAGAGCAGAGACAAGACAGGTCCAATCAATTGAGGCATTTTCGGGCCCCGAGGAAGCCCTTCTCTTTCCTTATCTCGGCTGCGACTTCGGCAGCGCAAGCGCCCGCATTCCATTGCAGCGCGTCGTATCCCGGCCTCGGCAGGAAACCCCTGTGAGTGATTTGGTCGATCCGTGGTTGGCGAGATGGATAGATACTAAGCTCAATTTCCAGACCATCGGCGGATTTGACGCGGACCATATGACTGGTGCTGATGCTTTCGTTGGGCCGCTCATAGTCACAAACCCCCAACCTGCAGACCCGTGCGCGTCCACCCGAGAGTCACCAGGAGGAACACAACAACTGTCTGAAATACGGCACAGTTTCCTCTCACATATATATCAGACCTTCTCACCTCCTCCCGGAGTCCAATATAACTTTTGTCTCATGAGGATCAGCATGTTCCACAATACTGGGTGCTGACGCCAGGGATCATGGTTGTTGTCACACCGCAGGGGCATGGGTGTGAGCACAGGCACGGGCGGCATCTCCCGCCCAGCCCTACCACACAGGTCAGACAAGTCCGGGTCAGACAGTGGCTGGGTAAGCCAGGTGGCCTTGCACTCGGTTCAAGGTTTAAAAAGGTTTTCCATGGGTAGGAGACACGGCACGGGCGCACGGAACGGCAGGGAAAGGAAAAGCAAAACAAAAAAAAAAGCAAAAACCAATGGAGCTGCGGGGAATCGAACCCCGGACCTCTCCCATGCTAAGGGAATATTATACCACTAAACCACAGCCCCATTTGTTGAAAGATTAGTCAGATGTTGATTATATCACCGGCAAAGGGGTTGAGATCTCCACGTTCTGGTTTGGGGGCTGATTATGGTCTAGGTGTTACTGTGGATACTGGGTACATATTATAACACTCTGATCTGTATGCTTGCACATGATCTTGTATTTCTGTTCTGTTGATCGTTGTTTTTATTAAGTTCATTCGTATTTTTGCATTTTCGCTATTCTGGCTGAGGTGTATATATATAGTACTTTCCGTTCCCGGAACCATCCAGGGAGTTCAGGAACAAGTTCCTTGGATGCAAGCAACATTCACAGTTGACATCATCATTAGCCCATGCCCGCAATAGCTTTCATGGATCCTACTAGTCGCTTCTACTAGTCGCTTCAAGGAAAGACAGAATTGAACAAAAGTCAATAGATTAGATGTCCGACAGTCTTGCGCTGCAGATTGCCGGGTGGTATATATTAAGATCTAAAGAGATGGCAAAAACAAAAACTTTTTTTTAACCTCATGCACATTACTCGTGTCCATGTCGCATCGTATCACGGGCGGGGGTCTGTCCTCAACCCCCCCCCTCCCGCGCGCGGCCGTCCACCTAGACGATCGCGTGTCCCGTCTGCTGCGCACGACGACCGGTTCCTACGCCGTCGATGCCCTCCTCCTGGTTCTGACCCAACCAGGGCTTGGCCGCCTCGCCCATCTCGCCCTCCTTGACGAAGTAGATGAACAGGCCGATGACGATCAGCACGAAGGCGATCGGGTACAGGAACTGAACACTGTAGTGGAAGACCTGGATACCGATGATCAGACCCCAGAAGTTCATCGTCAGCAGGGAGATGTTGAAGAAGGTGGCGGACGAAACCCGCAGCATGATCGGGGCCAGGGTGTAGAAGATGAACAGCACGATGGTGTAACCGACGATATAGCCGGCGACCTTGCCGTTCCAGGTGGCTCCGTGGAAGGAGGACCGGTCGAAGATGCCGCACTGCACACCGTTGATAAGCATGCCCCAGAAGCCCATCTGGCCGATGACCTCGTACATGGGCCGCTTGGACACCATGAATTCCTCGAACAGGTTGCTGAAGGCGTAGATGGTGCACGCGAGCAGCGCGAACAGGTCGCCCTTGACCTGGTTCTCGGCCGGGTAGTTGGCGCCGCGCAAGTAGTCGGAGGCGATGAGCATGCCAAGCCCGCCACAGGCGAGGAAGACGCCGATGTACTGGGTGATGTGGTAGCGCACGCGCAGGAAGATGAAGGAGACGATGACGATGACGATGATGGTCCAGAAGCTGAACAGCTCGGCACTCAGCAGCGAGGTGTAGCGGTAGGCCAGCACCATGAAGTAGTTTCCCTCGACATCCAGGAAGGACAGGATGAAGTACTTCCAGCAGTCGCGGTAGAGCATGCGCCACCACTTCTTGAAGCCGTACTTGTAGATGGTGATGCTGGTGTAGACCAAGTTGAGCAGGATGTAGTTCCACAGGGTCTGGAAGGCGGGGATGCTGGTTCCGGCGTCGGAGAGGAGAGTGGAGAAGGTGGAGGAGCTGATATCGGCCAGGGCCAGGATCTGACTGGGAGGAGAATTAGCTAGACTGGCAGGGTCAGTGAGGGCGGTCACACATACCCCAGAACCAAGACGATCCAGAACTCGCGCGTCTTCATGTATGCGAACAGCTTGGCCGCCCGGCCTTGGGGCTGCTGCTGCTGCTGCTCCAGATCCGGCGCCTGGGTGGCATTGTCGGACGCCTCGGTCACGGCGTAGGTCTGCTTGTTCTTCTCGCCCTGGAGCTCAGGCTGGGGCTGCACCTCGGCGGATACGGCGGTCTTCTCGTTCTCGTGGACGGCTGACATGATGCAGATGCGGATGAGGGGTAATCGCGGGGGGGGGGGAGGGGTGGGGATTCAAATTAGAAGATGATTAAGGAATTAAGATATGAAGGGTCGAGCTTTTCGCCAGCAATAGTGAGCGCAAAGCTCAGAAGTCGCTCACTGCTAGGACCAAGGGGCGCAAAGAAAAAAAAAAGAGAGAAAAAGCCGACCGTGGCTGCGAAGGAAGAATTTATGGCAGAGCGCCTAGACCGAGCGACGGGCAGGGCGACTGTCGAACCAACCCGGACCAGCGAAAACTCGATAATCGTCTAGAGTGGGGGGATCCCAGCCAATGAGGGGCCACACTGTCATCACCGGGCGGGGGCGGCCGCCGATAAACTGAACCGACATCTATGGACTCTGCTGGGGCGGTTTTACCCCTCCTCGGAGGGGAATTGCCTGGATTACCTACCCTCAGGAACCATATATTGCCATCTCCCTCGAAGGAAATACTGTCTAAAGTCTTGAGTATCTACAGCGTCCCACCACTCTGCTTCACTGCCATGTAGACTATTCCCATGAGCAATAGTATCTATCCTATCCGCTCCTGGCCAAGCGCGGTGGGCCCCTGGCAGCGGAACCCGCCCGAAAACGTGCACGGCCGTTCGCCTGTCAGATATCTGAGTATCTAGTAAGTAGAAACTAGATAGTACGCACTCACAACCGACAAACAAGGCAAGGGGTCAAGGCGTGCCCAACAACCCCTCACTTCCACCTTCCGGGTAAACAAACACCAGAGAACTCCAGTATCTATCACCTACAGACTCCAATGGGACAGTTCCCCAATGGCTCAATGGCTCGACTTGCCCATCGCTACTACACCGTATAGTCGGTTGCATTCCACACAGCACAGCATCAGTCAGATCAGACCAGACCAGACTGGATTAGAGGCCAATGGTGGTGGTGGTGGTGGCGGCGGCGGCGATGGTGGCCCCGAGGACAGTGTTGCTGATGACTGAATGCGATCGCCCACAGAAGATCGAAGCCACGTGGGGTGGCGTTTCCTCTCATTGGGCGCGAAAGTGGAAGAAATTGAGTGGTGATGATTATTATCATCATCATCATCATCATCATCATCATCAAATAATGCACAACCTAGATCAAATAGCTCGCGCATAGTAGTTACGGATCACATCCGGTGTAAACTTGGCTGACTGTAATTGTAGCAACTGGAGTAGTTGAAGGTAGATGCTATATGCCCTAGTTTTGTCAGTAAAATATATAATCCTTGATGGTCTAACGGTCATGATTTCCGCTTGTCAGTCCTGAACAGGAACAAGCGCGGGAGACCTGGGTTCGACTCCCAGTCAGGGAGGATTTCCTTTTTTTTTTGTTCCATCCCCCCTGGATGGATCATTTATCTAGCTACTCTAGTCTATATGGACCGGATGGGTTTCATGTAGTTTATAGTTTATGCATGTTCCCTTTTATGAGATACCCATTTCCCTCACCGAAGAACAGCCCCGACCTCTCAATCAGTTCTGGCGACCTCCATTTCCTCGTCCGAAGGCATCTTGATATACCATGACAGAGAATATGCTCCAGAGCCTTTAAGTACGCCGACAAAATCCTGGCCCGTCTGAATCGAAGATCATGCTCCCCCGCTTAAAGAGCCATTGGATCGACCCTCTTTGCCCCTTTCAATTTAGACTGGGTAGAGGCCTGATCGGCAGATCGGCTTCCACAGCAGGTATGCACATGAGTCGATTGATTGTTGATATGGAGTAGATAGTACTCCGTAGTAGCGCCCGTAGAGACTCAGACGGGTGGCTGGGACGAGGATGTGCGAGATGACCAGGCACCCACCAGCCTGAAACCGTGGAAATTGCTGGGAGAGGCGCAGTGCCATTATAATATCCTCTGAACCAAAGATGATTTAAAACGTATATCTAGCATGTCTAGCATATCGAGTATATATCCACTATCTACAGAATTCTTCGAAAAAGAAAATCAGTATATGTACAGGCATTCATTCCACATGGTCCACTTCACGCCTGGACGTTCTGTGACCTGTCCTTGGGTTGGTACTGGGAGAAGCTCTCCGGCCACAAGAACATCTTCTCTTCGTTGGATGGCGTGGCCGCGACGAATTTCGGTAGCTATAGGGGAAGTAACACTCGTCAGCGATAACACGGTTAATCTAGGTTGCGTTCTTGACTTACAGCTTGCTTGCTGGAAATCCGCCGCCACATGTTGGCGCGCGGGTTGAACCGGGCGGGTTTGCCCACACCTCCGGTCTTCTCCTGGTCCTCCTTCATGATGGCTTGGACCTCGCGCTTGACGTCGGAAAACGAGTCGAACCCTGTGTAGGCAATCTTGTTCTCCATGCAGTATTCCTCCAGGCGCAGACCTTTGCGCGCGAAGAGTACGTCGGCCTCGCGAGCTGCCGGGAGGTCGGACACCCCGTCGCCGATGAAGATGATCAGAGGGATTTCGCCCTCCAGGGCGTCCTCGGCGGCTTGGGCGCGGCCCTCCTTGATTGACAGCGCCTTGTCGTGGCCGAGTTCGGTCTCGTGGCGCCAGATGGGCTTCCATTCCGTCCCGTCAGATCGGATGTCGGCATCGTTGGCGACAATCTGAATGTGCGAGGCCTGGGGAATCCGATGGTTGGTATGGGAGGGAGGAGCCTGTTTGGGGAGAAAAAAGAGTTACCTCTTGCGGTCCCAGGAAAGTGTCCAGCACTTTGCGCAGGATTGGTTTGAGCCCGGCACTGATCACATTGAAGTCGATTTTGTTGTCGACGCAGAACCGGTGGAACTCCTTAAAGCCCGGGTCGATGTCGAGCTCGTTCTGCATCACCACGAAGCCATCCTCAAACGGCACCCGCAGCGACCCCCACATCTCCTCTGATACTTCGCGAAAAGACCGTTCGCCCGACTTGATCTGCTGGTCGAGCTTCTCGCGGCGCTTGGCGCCACAGCCGAGGTTGTCGAAGAGCACATGGCCCGTGTCTTGCATGAAGATGGTGCCGTCGAAATCTGTTGGGTTTGGGGCCTGGTCAGGGTGCGGTGGTCATTTGGAAGGGAGGGGAAAGAACGGGCATTTCTCACCTGAGAAACAGACAATCTTTCTCGTGTGATCGGCAGGCATTGTGGGGGTGGATTCAAGGGATAAGGATAAAGGAGGGGCGAGGTGCGCAAATGATTGAGGGGAGATGGATCTATATTGGAGGATGATACCCAAGGCCAGACGGGGACACGGGGACGGGCCCCGAGTGAAAGAAATATCGAAGCGAGGCTGCGGAAGTGGCGAGCAGCAAACCGGACAGCCGGACATTCCCCATGACGTCGTATCCAAGAAGAGGTTGATCGAGAGCGGCGGGTAAGACTGGATCCGATCGGCATCCCGAGGGGATCGTCGCGACTCTGCGTTGCAAACGTCATCGGTCATGAAGGATTTGAAGGATCTGGAACCACCATGACAACATCAACACCTGGCCCAACCATGGAATCGTCGACACGGCACATGGATAGACCCTGAAGATCACCGGTACGCTCTATGAAAATACTACTTCGGTTGTAGAGAGAGATCATACCGTGGGACTGCCCCGGTGACTCTTCGCGCGGATTCGCTTCCCCCAGGCAAAGAAAAGGAACGGCACCGGGATCAAGACTGCTGCGATACAGCCAAAGACCGTGATGCCCCAGTCCACCCCAATGCGGTCGAACATCGGCTTCACGAACAGGGGGAATGCGCCCGCCATCATGGACCGTAATAGGGTGGTCGCTGCGATCGCGCTGGCGCTGAAGCGGGTGAAAGTGTCGACCAGGTAGTTCAACGAGCTCTGGAAGATCGTGGTAAATCCGAACCCCGTGAATGCGATCCCGATGAGTGACGGCCAGTAGTTGATTGCCGGCGACGAAGTCCCTGGTTCATGTCAGCGCATGAAGCAAGTCGAGTGCTTTGCACTGAACGTACATCCGAAAAGAAACAAGCCCCCAGCAAACGCGAAACTACCGACCATCATCGGAGGCAGCCGGGCCTCGGGCAAGGGCTTGCCGTTGTTTGCTCGGAGTTGCTTGAAGTAATATCGATTGTTGTAGACGTTGGTCAGGCCGGCAAAGAAGATCCCGACGAGAAGGGCGATAAACGGCAGGTTCCCGGTAACTGGACCCCAGCCACGACGCTCCTGGAATTCGATCGCGAAGCTCTCAAGGTTCACATATAGGATGGCTAACAGACCCCGGGTCAATATGGTTTAATTTATCGGAGGATCCGGTGATAGGAGCGACAAACCGTAAACGAAAGACCCGAATGTCGACATGAGTAGGCCGATTGGCGTACCCAGTGTTTGGAAAGGACGAATCAGGTATTTTTTGGACAGCTCAGAGACGGAGATATCCCATTCTTCGTGCTATAGCATTCTGTCAGCTAGACTGGAGGGCGTATCATGGCATCCATGTTTGCCCACCTTTGCATGCAAAGCCCAATTCTTGCCTTCAAGTCGCAGGCGACGCGCCTTCCGTACCAACAATGCGGGTGCATAGCTCTCTTCGAGCAGAAACGCGTCTAGCACGAATTGGGTTATCATCAGGACGCCTGTCAGATATTCCGTCCAGCGCCAGCCAAGATAGCTGGACGTCAAGGCCCCGCCGATGATGGGGCCGAGACACGGTCCGCCGACGAGAGTGATCGAGTAGACGACTATAGCCACGCCGCGGTGCTCGGGGGGCCATATATCTGCCATGGCGCCACCCGTGACTGCCACGCTAGAGCTGCCGAAGAATCCAGAGAAAAAGCGGGTAATCAGCAAGGTCTGGATGTCCTTGGCCGTCGCTGTCCCGAACGAAAAGATCGCGGCGATAAAATAAGGCTGGGGTACAGTTAGCCACTCGCCAACAACAGCATCCGGCATTCTCAAGACAGGCGTACCGCAATGATCACCCATTTCCGGCCGTAGATCTCGCTCAGAGGGGCCCAAATCAATGGCCCCAAGCCAAGGCCAAAGACCAGCACGCTGATACCCGCCGTGGAGGTTTCTGTCGAGACATCGAAATCATGCGAGATCTGCTCCATGCCAGCCGAATAGATGGCGGACGCAAAGGTGATCCAGCATGTTGTCATTCCGTATAAGATTGTTGTCCTTGCCTTCTTTCGGAAAGGCCAGTTGATGGGACGATACGGATCATCTTGCCCATCGAAGTCGACCAAAACATCCTCCGAGGTTGCGACATAGAGAAGTGGGTGCGACAAAGTCATTTCACTTCTGGTAAGCTCGTGGTTAGGGGTTTGAGTCATAGTTGAAGCCATTACTGCTATCCCGTGACAAGACCCCGGCCCAAAAGAAGATAGCATATAGTAGACACCCTGGAGGTCGGGAGTTGTTGGCTCTTTAACAACGCTCCTCGGACTCTGGCAACGATTCTTCGGTCGGGCTGGGCTTATGCGTGCGCGAGCCACGGGCCTTTTTTCTTTTTCTTTTGCTTTGGCAAGCTCGCGTAAGCTTATCCGAGGCCGAGTTCGGACGGCATAGGCCCCAAAATGAACTGATTTTTGTAAATCACTCGTTAGAGGCCACAGACACCAGGATTGTGATGGAAGCACTGTCTCTCGCTCAATCTAGGGCCAGAGCCTTCCGGATCTATTCCGGTGTCAGCCATCCAGGAATCCGTGAGGCGTCATCTAGATGCAGTATTGCCTCAAAAATATCATTCGATTCTTCTACAGAGCCCCCCAAAAGCGGGTCCCCAGGGAAAAACTCCCCGAAGAGGTCCAATGGTTCCATTAAGAGGTCACTTGGAAGCCCCTCGCTTGCAGCCGTGTAGGCCTGGTCGGGAGGTACAGCTCCTGGGTACGTTATGGCACCAGGTCCATTTTGCATATCCAGACTGATAACGGCGGATGATACACCCGTTTGATTTCCTTGATCCCACTGGCCTTCCGAGTTAACCTTTTGCATATGTCGCACATACTGTGCCTTGGCCATCAGTCGTTTGATGGGACGCCACAAGGTACCCTTCCTTCCACTCTCTTTCATCTTCCAGTTGTCGTATACAGTGTTCACATACTCCCATGCCCAATCGCAATCTGCCGAGCGGGGGCGAGAGCAGATCTCCGATAGTACAAATGCGACCGCATGCCATTGAATGTGAGTTTTTGAGTGCCAACTCCAGTGAGAAATCTGCTCATTCGTAAGTACCAGGCTCGATAACTTCAGAACCTCGATGGAGGACAGGAAGAGATGGTCACGCATGGGGACTGATAGGCCAGCCCCATATTCCTTGTCACCCAGGGGGTAGCGTGCAATAAGCCACGCCCGCGCAACCATTAAGCGCGCAACGAATGTTGAAGCCAGGAAAAAGGGCTTGGAAGTATCGCAATGTTTCAAGTATTGGTTCTCGAGTCGATCTTGCAGATTTTGGACAATCGCTTCACGTTCTTTCAGGGGCAGCCTATCGGAACCCCTGGAGTATCCCGGTGCCTCCATGTTTGGCGCCACGAAGCTAATATTCCACAACGCCCGCATCACCTCACATCGAATGAGACAGAAATACATGCCGGTGGCGCCATTCCGCTCACCAGGTGGCTCGATCATGTCCGCACTCAGGTCACTGTCTTCAATGTTCAGCGGCAACTTGGTATCAAAGGAGGACTGGCGCACGATTGGTTCGCAGCCATGGTATTCAGACGAGCGAGCATCCAGAAGGCAGATGTGCCACCACAGCCGGCGGCGAAGTTCTGTTTCCATAGGTCTTAGTCCAAAGACAATACCATCACGATGAAGGCCCATGGCCTGAGCGATATGGAAAACCAGGGAGGTAAGGGACCAGACAGTCCGCGAGTCATCTTCGTTGCGTAATGCAAACAGAAAGAGCACGGCGGCTTGCATCAGAGTCAGACTCTGTGTGTTTAGTAGATCGGCCCGGGCCAGAGCCTGTTCCACCGCAAACAGGTACATCTCCGAAGCGTGTGCCTTGGATACACCCAGAGTGCTTTCGCATTGCTCAGGGTCCATACTTATCACGGCAGCGTAGTAGATTGCGAACAAGAGTGCCTCGATATTTCGATCCAGTGAGCCTAGCGATGCAATGGCATCCCAGTGACTCCGAATCAATGTAGGCATGTGAAATATTCGCACCATGGGCGCAACGTTCTCCTTGAATATCTCTAAGAGATTGACCGATTGTGCCAGGGGTGGGTGGTAGGGACAGAGCGAGTGAGCGAGCGCTCGAAACCCTAGGATTGCAGCGTTTGACCCAGAGGGCATAGGTCGCGCCGGAACCGATCCATCCGCAATCCCATCTTGGTCTTCCTCCATATCAGGCTCATGTAAGAGGTCGCGTAGCTCTGCGATCTACCAGACCTCGTCAGCCAACAACACAATGCCAGGAGGATTTCAATGATCTCCACGACGGGTGGACAGACAGACCTCGTCTCCCAAATTCGCCCACATAACATTACTGACATAGTAGCTTCGGGTGTCATCGATCAAGAGGCGGCCGAGACGCTGCTCCACGGAAGGGTTTGAATCTATATCTCTAGCTTTCGCATCGTGGTTATGCGGTGAAACCGCGGCGCTCTCCGCTGCAGGTGAGGGCGGAACGGATCCGAGGGCCGAGTTTGCTTGTTCCTGTCCCTGACTCTCCAGGCTCCTTATGATGTTCTCTAGCTTGGACAGCCGTTCCGATAGCTGTGCATTTAAAGCGTTGCGTGATCGCTTGGGGGCCCTGCCCCGTCCCGGGGGGTATACACACTCGGTTCCCGCACGGGTACAGTTGACACAGGGCTGCTGCCGGTCGCATTTCACTTTCCGCAGTCGACAGGAAGAGCAGCTGCGCGTGTAGGAGGGAAGCGAGCAGGAAGAAGCGGTCGACCCCGATGTGTCCATGGCAGTGTCAAGCAGTCGTTTGTGGTTGGTATCTACACCATGCCTGAGGATCTAGAATTCGAGATCATACCCCGAGAGGAGCCGAAACATGGGAGTGAGACGGCGAGGCGTTCAGGTCTGCAGTCAGGCGTTGGTGGGTCCGCCAAGCCGCATAGGCTTATGCGGTCCCGAGGTGATTAATCCATTTGGAATAGTTAACTATATTTCTTTCTGAGGGAATCATCACTAATGCGACCGCGAGGGTTGGTGGTGTGGTGTGGTGTGGTGTGGTGGGATGAGGATAGGATGGGGTGAGCCTTGCCATTCTTAGTTAGCAGTAAGCATAATGAGTATATTGTTGCGTACTGTGCTGGGAACCTCGGTTGTTTGGCAAGTGGTCTGAGGTGGAGATGAGATGTACACACAGCATTTTATACTGCTACTGTGTACATACGGAGTGAGTTGGTGATTTGGCACAACATTTATTGTTTAGTAGTACGGAGTAGTTAGAAGATAGATCTTGCCAACCCAACCGAGGCACGCGAAAGCGGCACGACTCGCGTCAGCCGCCTTCTCTCCCCACCCGCACCATACAACTAACCGTGGAACGGGATTTGGATTTTATTGGGGCTCTCTCATTTATCTGTGCCATGTTTTTCGTTTTTTCCTCCCCCCCCCCCCCCCCACTGATGCACTGGCCACTGGCCTTCCTTGCTCACTCACTATGCTCACCATGAAACAATCCGGTTGGAGCTACCGACGTCGCAGAGGGACGGACACAAATTGATTAATAAACAATAATCGTGGTAGTTAACTATTATTAATAACTACTAACTATCTACTAGCTCTTTAGAAACAAAAGATCTCGTCGCTCATCTTGGAGATCGTGCCCGGGGCCTGGAACCCCATGGTAGCCAACGTCTTCTTGCACGCGTTCACCATCCCGGGGGGCCCACAAAGCAGGATCTTCGTTTCGGCCGACGGGGCGGGCATTCGCTCCCCGAGCACGGTCTGGTTCACATACCCCGTCCCATACGCCCACCCCTCGGGGGCACTGTCCAGCATATACCACAGCTTGAAGTTCTTGGGGTACTTGCGGGCAAAGGCCTCCAGTTCCTCGCGCATCAGGATATCCCCCTCACTCCGGTTGGCATAGATGAGACTGATCTCCGTCGTATCCCGCTCGTCCTCGCATATGGCCCGGATGAGTTGGTACATGGGCGTGATCCCCGTTCCCCCGGCCACCATCCCGATCCGTGTGCAAAGTCCTCGGCTGTAGCGCATCGCTCCCTTGGGGCCCCGGAATTCCACCTCGTCCCCGACAGTCAGATTGGCAAGGTATTGGCCGGTCAGTATGCCGTCCGGATAGCACTTGACGACCAACTCCAGTCGACCCAGGTCCAGGTTGTTCGATACTGGCGTATATGATCGGCTGACAAGGTTGCCGTCGATGATGGCGCGAATGGCAACGTGCTGCCCAATCGGGAGTCCGACCACCCCTTTCGTGTCCGGCAAAGCGAACGAAAACCGGTACACACCCGGTGATAGCCGATCCTTCTGGACCAGGGGCAACCGCTGGTATTCTTTGGAGTCAAGGAATCCCTTGGCCAGGTGAGGGTCTGCCCGGATGATCTTCCGAGCTTTCCTGTGTGGTGGGTAGCGCATGAACCCGGATTCGATCTTCGTGAATTTGGCCGCTTGCTGTGCCACCATGCCACCGATTGCGCCACAGATAAGAGTAGCCGCGAGGAATCCATTGGTGAATCCCCCAGCCGGCAGTCGAACCCCATCAAATCCCCGAGGAAATATATCTTTGACAAGTCGTCTGAGGTTCAACACCCCCGGGGCTTTCTGGTCAAAGACGTAGAACAGTGTTGTCACCACACCCAAGGCCCCGGCCACTGCTCCCTTGGAGTAACTGGCTGACGGCTCTACCTTCTCTGTCCTTTGGGCAATCACACGGACTGTCTGTGTCGGGACGTATTCTTTCGCTCCCTTGAGCGTCCCGATCAAATACTCCTGCAGGATCTCGCGCGAGTCTTCGGAATGACCCACATCCTCAAAGGCCGCAGTGGCGTCGGTGCCTGCGGTCTCAATGAGAACATCTGCACCGCCGGGATGATCTTGCAGATATTCCGTAATATCAAAGACTGTTCGAGCCGCTCTTAGCATATGTATCTCGCCAAGGCCTGGGAGTGTCTTTCCTACCTTGCCCATGGATGGCAACCCAAATGTCGCCCTTACGGTTGTGCTGTGCCACTTCGGCCAATGTGTACTCGACAAGCTGGGTATCAGCACTTGCTACTGGTGCCTCTAAGGGTATCGAATCGGCCATTATGGGCTTGTGGGAAATTCAATAGGACTTCTGGTGAGGATGACCGTGTTTATGGACCGGAAGCAAAATAAATAAGGGGGAAAAGGGAAAAAAGGAACCAGAGCATTATAACTGCTTTTTTGATCCGAAATATAATTGCAATATGCGCCTAATGAAACGAGACATAAATGTCACCACGACGATACCCACAATTGTGTTTTCTGGTTTATTAATGGGCTTCGCAGTGAAACTTGCCTCGGAGATTGGCCAGGCTTGACGTTAACGGCCCGAGTTGACGTTCGGCACGGTGTGGCCGGCAGTAATACGTTTCCACTACGCACTACGGAGCCCTATACTTTGGTGACAGCCAGTCACCAGTCACCAGTGAGGCTTCGAGGTTCCCCCTTTCTGCAGGAGACTTCCTAGCCAGTGGGTCTGGGGAGGGGCGATCATTTCTTCCCTGCAGCTAGTACGGATTGTCGGTGACGGCACCATGCGAGACAGCCGAGGTAGATAGGCACCGAGGCCGAGGCCGTCTATGCGCATAAACGGCTCGCAAATGAACAACAGTCGTGCACTACCCCCGATTCTGAACAACATGCCCTGTCTTTACCCGGTGGAATCCAGGATGGGGTGGGTTTGTGTTCAGCCCGGCCGCCGGCCCTAATTTGTCTGTCGCATCGTCTCGGGCTGGTTACTAAAGGAACGTATAAAGCCGCACGATGGCCCTTGGCAATCGGCGTGTCTCTACGGAGTGTCTGTCTAGCAATCCCGAATTGATCCTGGGTTTCTACAACATGCCAGCGAAGCTGTTTTATCTCCTAGGCGAACCGGCTTCAACGGCGCGGGAGATCGAGGTGGACTCAACGCTGGATTATGATGCGCTCAGGAATCTGATTGCTGCGCATTTTGCGATAGTCGACCCTAATGGTAATTAATGGTCTCACCCCCGGGATTCCATGCTTGCTGACGTTCTCAGGCATTGGGTTCCAGTCTGAGGACATCGTATACACCAATGTTGGCGAGCTCATCGCTTCCGACGCTCCAGTCACCATAACCATCGATGGGAACCCGGTAAAAGAGATCCCTGGCCCGAGCGGACTCCCGATAGTTGGAAACTTCTTCGAGGTCTACCCTGACCACCTAGGCAACCACCAACGCCTTTTTGAGCAATACGGGCCCATCTTCAAGACCACCTCTATGGGACGGACGACGTACCACACCAACGACCCGGAGCTTAATGCCATTATCTTCTCCGAAAGCGACTTTTTCACCAAGAAAATCAACGCGTCTCATCCCCTTCACGCGATCAAGAACAGGCAAGCGGGTGTATTTCTTGGCGACACGGACACGCCCGAATGGAGAACCGCTCATAAATTCCTTCCCCCAGCGTTCGGCCCGAAGGCCGTTCGCCATTATGCCCCGGTAATGCAGCAGACAGTTGAAGATGCCTTCAATGTATTTGATGAGCTTGATGAGCAAGGTGAAGCATGGAATGTCTATCAATACATGCTCAAGCTTGGAGCTCAGGCGGTTGGCAAACTGGTTCTGGGAATCGACTTCCACCATTTTTCGTCCGTCAATGCTCATCCGCATGAGCTAATTCTTCTGGTTGCTGAGTCACTCGAATTGAACAAGAAAGTGACAGCTAGGGGTGATTGGTATGCCAAGCTGCCCTTCGGAGACCCCAAACGCTTGAGAGACATCAAAGACCGGGTCTTTGCCATAGTCGATGAGTCCATCAAAAATGCCAGTCGAGGTGGTGTCGAGGACCTTCCTCTCCAGGACGCTGCGCTCAAAGCACACAACATGATCGGTATGTATAGCTGTAATTATTAGTCCTGTACAACACCCTGCTAAATGGGACAGATTATGCAATCCGAGCGACAGATAACAAAGGCGAGAAGCTGCCTAAATCGAGCTTGATCGAAGCCCTGGTGGTGGCGACTGGAGCCGGTTTCACTACGACCAGCTCCTTGCTGTCATGGCTGATCTATAGTCTTGTCACCTACCCGGGTCTGCAAGAAAAACTGTTGCAAGAGCTGGTGGACAACGATATTGATGCCGACACGCAAATCACAGCCGACTTGACTGACCGTCTCACCTTCATGGACAAATTCATTAAGGAGACTCAGCGCCGACACAACCCATCATATCAGCCTGGACGTACCGCAAAGGTTGACATGATTCTGCCTGGGGGTTACAAGCTTCCCGAAGAATCCATCGTCATCGGTGCTCTTCACCACCTTCACAACAACCCGAACATCTGGGACAACCCGACGCGGTTCAACCCTGACCGGTGGGATACTGAAGAGGTCAAAGCCCGCCACAAGGCAGCCTATATCCCCTTTGCTGCCGGTCCTCGCATGTGCATCGGATTCAACTTTGCCCTCCAGGAAATCAAGGTGTTTTTGCCGAAACTAGTCTATCGATACAAGTTCACAAAGGAAACGGAGGGGCCTGTCGAGTACGATCCCATGTTCCAGCTGATCAGGCCGAACAACCTGTACGTGCGTGCTGAACGGCGGGTCAAATGGCCGCCGAAGTCGGACAGTTTCGTGCCAACGGCCTCACTATAGATCGACGGACTACACTCCTAGACGGCGATCTGGGCCTAGGGTGGTGTGCTTCTGTGTGAACTCTCTCCCTGTAAATAGACTAAATTAGGCACAGACTAGCGTTTTTTTCTGTCCCACATGATAACTGGGCACAGCAATCTTCATCGTTCGATGTTCTCACGAATCCTTGGCCTTTCATCAAACAGTGTCAGGCCGATGTACCTACTGATGGAGTCGACTTGTTTGCGGGGCTCGATGATGTCCTCGCGCGAGTAGAAAAGCATAGATGGAGGACTTTTTCTTCCTTTCTTGATTCTACCAAACTTGGAAGCTGGGCCCATGGATGATACCTTCTGGTGCCGAACCATCGTCGTGTTACGGCAACTACAACCGGTGTTCGGCAGGTGAGAATGGAAAGCCACATGGGCGGGAGGAATCCTACATATGAGTGCGAGTCGGCTTGTCGGGGAAACGCATGGGGAAAGCTAAGTAATGGTATTCCCAAAGACAAAAGCCTCGGCGCGTTATTCGGACAGGATGGGTTCAAAGCCAGTCGTCGATGTCTCCGTCCGGGTAAACGTGATCCACATTGCACAATGCAGTCATCCCACAGGGCCCGTTCTCGATCACGGTGTAGAGAGGCGCTTCTGTCGGCGGCATGTCAGCATCGCAATGCAAATACTCAGGCTAGACTCGGCCAAGACGAGGAGAAGCAAGAAGAAGAGTCCGGCTTACCATCGACGGGCAAGTCTTCGGTCGGATTCCGCATGATCCCCAGCGGCCCTCCATCCTGTGGCGTCAATCTGATCTCGCAACCGATCTGGTCATCTCCGCCACTGATCTCGTTGCTTCCCGTCCAAACGTCGATGTGGTACGCCTCGCTACCGTCCCAGTCCCAGTCACACTGCACGCAGTAATCCTCGTGGCGGAGGTACTTGTGTAGATAAGGGTCGTAGATGATCTCGCAGAGGTCAAACTCCTCCGGCACGGAGGCGAACGTCAGCGGGTCGTCGTAGGTGCCGGTTCCTGCCGCGGTGAGGCCCCGGCCACAGTCATAGGCAATGGCGGACCCCGGGGGGTCATTGTCGGGATATCCGTAGAAAGTGTGGCTGACATCGGGGACGAGAAGGTTTTCTGTTGCGCGGACGGAGGAGACATATTCCCGTAGTGATAAGAGGAGCAGGAGGAGAATCATGACTAGAAATAGCGCAGAGAGTAACGATAGCTGAGAGAGGGAGGGGGGTTTTTTAGGCCTTTCACCCCGCTGGTAGGGAGGAGGAAGGACTTGGGTTAGGAGAGCAGGAGTAGAGAAGGAGGGGGGGGGGGAGAGAGAGAGAGAGAGAGAGAGAGAGAGAGAGAGAGAGTAAGAGAGTACATAATAGGGCTAGAAAAAGAAGTAGTTTAGGGCTTGATACTTCAGTTTGAGTTATACAACCAGCCATGGCATCGTCGATTTCACGAGGATAATCTGATGCCCCTTCGTCCTTGAGTTCCTTCTGCCTCTGTCCCATCGGCATCCATCCATCTGGATATACATCTGTTATGTACATAGTAATACTTGTTTCTCCCGCCAAAAGCAGCTTGGCGCCTGGCGGCCTGAAATACTCGGCCGTCCCAAACATCCGACTGGATCAGGCAATCAACTCCGTCCGACTTTCTCTCTCTTCTTCCTCTTCTTCCTCTTCGTCTCCTCCCCCCCTTCTCTCCTGTCAATTCCTCTCACCATGTCTTCCAACCCTTCCTCGCGAGGAACAGGGCTGCACAGCAAGATCCTCACTGAACTGGGCCTGAGGTCGGTCTGGCAATCCCCGAGGGATGTGAAGTTGCTCTGCGCCCAGCGGTTTGTCCGCCTGTTTGCCTATGGCGGTTCGACCCTCATTCTAGCCTCCTACCTGTCAGCATTGGACATCGCCGACGAACGCATTGGCCTGTTCATGACCTTGACCCTGATCGGGGATGTCGCCATCAGTTTCCTCCTCACACTGTTTGCCGATGCCATGGGTCGCCGGGCGGTTCTGGCCCTGGGTTCAGCCTTAATGGTGGGCAGCGGGCTGGTCTTCGGCACGGTCGGCAATTACTGGATCCTACTGGCCGCCGCCGTTTTTGGCGTCATTAGTCCGAGGTGGGGAGGTAGTACTATGTATACCCTGAGCACTGCGCTGACGTCCACCAGTGGCAATGAAATTGGTCCCTTCCGGGCCGTCGAGGAGTCGACCCTGGCCCATCTCACTCCCCATGAGCGCCTGAGCGATATCTTCGCCTGGTATTCGCTTATCGGCAATGCGGGAACCGCACTGGGGATGATGACTGGCGGGTGGGCGATCAATCTGCTCCAGGTCACCCGGGGATGGGCCTACATTCCCGCTTGTAGGGTCATATTCTTTGCCTATGCCGCCATCGGCGCACTCAAGTTCCTCCTGTCTATCTCCCAGAGTTCGGCAGTCGAGGCCGGGGAAAAAAAGAGGAAGAAGAAGAAGAAGAAGAAGAAGACGGCTTCTCGGCATTCTGGCGAGGGTGAAACACAGCCGCTGCTCGGCGATCAAGCGAGCAACCCGACAAGCGAAAGGCAGGAAACCCAGAAAAAATCCCTCCTCTCTTTCCTGGGCGACGCGGACCTCGTTTCCTTGGTCATACGACTTGCAATCCTGTTCGGCCTGGATTCATTTGCCTCTGGTTTGGCATCGCTGTATGTTTATATCACCCCGGACACGGTGCTCAAATGTGCCAAACCCACAATTATGTCCTAGATTAAAAAAAAGCCCCTGTTAGTAGCTGACATTTATGCCAGGTCGTGGATGACATACTTCTTCAAGGGCAAGTTCTCCCTTTCCGAAGGGACACTCGGTTCGATCTTCTTCACAACCAGCCTCATCTCTGCTGCATCCGTACTCGTCGCCTCATCCATCGCCAAACGCATCGGCAATGTCAAGGTTTGCTTCTTGCCCACTTTCATCCAACCGTCCGCCTTTTCAATCCAGTCGATCTAACCAACCCCAACAGACAATGGTCTTCACCCATCTCCCCTCCGCCGTTTGCCTGGCACTTATCCCTGTTCCCGGGGCTCTCCCACTCGCCCTGACTTTCTTGATCCTGCGTTCCTGCACTCAGACCATGGACGTGGCACCGCGCTCGGCTTTTCTGGCTGCGGCGTTACCGTCTGACCGTCGCACAGCCATCATGGGCTCTATCAACGTCGTCAAGACCTGTACCCAGAGTCTCGGACCCCTTCTGACTGGCGTGTTGGCTGATCGGGGATTATTCGGTCTTTCTTTTACGATTGCGGGTATTTTGAAGGCTACGTATGACCTCGGTATGCTGCTCAGTTTTGCCGGGAAGGAGAAACAGTCGAGGCAACGGACACCGGCTACTCAAGGGGAAGAAGAAACTGCTTAAGCAAGCACGGCGTCTTTGGAATATAATCATCGACCTATAAGGCTTTTAGGAGATCACCATGACCGGAAACCCCTTCAATAAATATATAGCAGGTGATATATATACGACATACATTTTTGATACATCCACCATTGTGGATCCTATATATATATATAGTACAGTTGCTTTTCTCCGCAAACAATCGGACTACGGAGGACTACTACTTAGTTCTGTGCCTCTAGCTCCAAAGAACCCTTGGGGCTGCAGTCTCATCGGCATCTGACACCAAATAGGTCAGGGTTCAAAGCGTCAAGTCACCGGTGCGTGGTTCTGTTTGTTATGTACATGAATGAGCATTTCCTGCATCAGTATGCACTCATTATTTGTTCCACAAGAGCCCTCCGGGTTTGCGTCAGCGGTCCTCATTCGGGTGGCCGATATGTCGAAAAATCGACTGCTCTATTATTCCATAAGCTCCAGGTGTTCCGCAATACTGAATTTCGCCCCAGTTTTACTCTGGACTTCCTCAAGTTCCACATCCGGTGCGAGTTCCGTCAACAGGAGCGTTCCTCTCTTCCGGTCAACCTGGAAAACACACTAGGTTTCACGGTTAGCTTCCCAATACATTGTTCCGGCCTTGACCTAGGCACTCACCAGATCGGTAATAATCGTGCTGACGCAGTTGGCACCGGTCAAAGGAAGGCTACATTCAGTCACAATCTTTGGCGATCCATCCTTCGCCGTGTGGCTTGTGGCCACCACAATCTTGGTCTTCTCGGGGTTGGAGATCAAGTCCATGGCTCCACCCATCCCCTTGAAGACCTTTCCGGGGATCATGTAATTTGCTAGGTCGCCATTCGCGCTCACTTGCAAAGCCTGTGAGTCAATCAGTTAGTATATAAGGTACTCAGCGCGATGTGTTAAACACTAGTAGGTCGTCTACGCACCCCCAATATTGAGACATCTACATGTCCCCCTCTGATCATACCAAATGACTCGCTGCTGTCAAAGGTTGCGGCGCCGGGGACAAGTGTGACGGTCTCTTTGCCGGCATTGATGATATCACTGCGAGGGCCAGTTAGGGGAACGTGCAAGCTGACAGGGCTTTATCGCCGAAGGAGCCTTACGGATCGACCTCATCTTGGGTGGGATAGGGCCCCTTGAATAGCGGTCAGTTCTCTATCTTCCACAAATTCTAAATACGACTCACCATTCCTAGAATTCCATTCTCTGACTGTACCCAAACTTTGACTCCGTCAGGTAAGAATGAGGGGGCGAGCGTTGGAATACCTATGAGTCTGTGAGCATCGAGTGATCCTGTATGTTCAAGTCACTGTGCACATACCAACGCCCAGGTTTACATAGTAGCCTTGTTTGAGCTCCTTGGCAGCTCTTCTAGCAATCCGGTTTCGCATGGCTGTCGCAACATCTCGCGCAGAATTTAACTCACTCTCATCATTCTTAGATCGCAGTTTCTCTATCTCAATGTGTTTTTTGTCGGTTGCCGGGACGATCCTGTCCACAAAAATCCCCGGCAAGTCGACATCATTGGGATCTATCGAGCCGATCGGAACAATATTCTCCGCCTCAACGATGGTAAGCGAAGCTGCTTTGGCCATAATGGGGCCGAACGCCTTTGTGGTGTAGCTGGCATCATGGGGGAGTTAGCATTTCACCCATATGAATGAACGGAATGGAAGAATCTACCGGAAAACGCAGTTCCCTGCCGCGTCTGATTTCCATGCCCGCAGTATTGACACATCTCCATTAATCGCAGTCTCCATCAAGTAAGTTTTACCATTGAAGACCCGGGTCTCACGGCGCTTACCATGCTCAAGCACCTTTCCGGACGCGTCTAGGCGGATGGGGATCTCACCCTCTTGGAGTAACGTATCTGCGGAGGATAGACCAATCAGGCATGGTTACAAAAAGATGGTAATAGCAGAATCATATAATTCCAGACTTACGTGCCCCAGTAGGTGTGAAAAACGCGGGGATTCCCGCGCCTCCGGCCCGTAGCCGCTCCGCCAGGGTGCCTTGAGGACACAGTTCGATAGCAATGTTCCCCATCAGGTACTTCTGCTCAAGGGCTTTATTGTTCCCAAGATAGGAAAGGATCAAACGCTCAACCTGTCCGGCTTGCGTCAAAGTAGAAAGCCCACCCTTCCCGGCAACGCCAGCATTGTTTGAGATGGCTGTCAAGGAGTGCAATTCAGTCGCCCCTCTGCGATGAATCGCTGATATTAGAGTCTCTGCAACATAGTTGTTAGTCCTCGGGCTGCTTTTTCGGATTACTAGAGAGAACAGGGTCTTCTTTACCTGCAACGCCACATAGGCCAAATCCCGAGCTAAGGATAGTTGACCCGCTCTTTAGATCAGCTACCGCTTCATCCGCAGTCTTAAACAACTTGGAAGCAGCACGGTCAATCTTTGGAGCCCGCGGACGTTCCTCGTCTGTAGAGGTCGAGAACCTTGCACGGGCTGGGCGTACAATTCTGCCGCTACCTGCATAAGCTAGAAAAAGGCTTGCGGAAAGGCGTGTTCCTAGGCAAGGCCGCGGCCGAGAAATCGACCTTCGCGACAGGGTAATCACAGATGAGCGAGCCGTTGCCATTTCTCTTGCGAGCTGTGACGAGATTATCGCAGGCCTAAGATGGCACCGACATGGATGTCTAGCAGGAATGCGAAGACTGAGGCTGGCTAATATGCGCGGCGGCCCTCGGCACTCGGGGCTACTTCTGGGCGCCGACGGGTGGAGCCCTCCCTTCGGTCGGGGCCAGAATGCGCTTGATGAGATCACTGTCTGGCATGCCTGCATAGCAGTGACACAAAGTACCCACGCGGCGGGTCCAGTCAGAAATTAATCTCTGGCGCGTTGGCCATGTCAAACCACTCCCAACTCATCATATCTTCTAGTGGCACGTCGGGTACGTTGCTCCCGAAGGCAGTAGTACCTGCTCGGTTGACCGCGTCAATGATTTGGTCATCGGACATGGCGGAAAATCGCAGCGGCTCGGCCCATATAAGAGAGGGCGAAATCGACGATGGCTGTGTCATCGAATTTACGGACCCATGCCCATCTATATCTGGCGGGGGGTTCGGGGTTTCTGTGTTGGCCAGCGTTCGCAATCCATCGAGGTTCCGAGAGTCCGAGCCCACGGGAGCACGTCTGATAAGTTCTCGCAAGAATCTCCCATATAGGACAGATGTCCCGTTTCTGTGACCCGGGGTGCCACCTATCCGTTCAAGGACACTAGCAGCCTCCTCAATAAGGTGGCGGACGCTTGGGGCCAGACTTGATCTGGGATCTGCCGGAGTCACGCTAAGGCTCAGCGCAGAGCATGCAGCAAAGGAGATCATGATAACCGTGTTGTTGGGCATAGACTTCAATCGTGACTCTCCTTGAATAGCAGCTCTTAGGACATTCAGTGCTGAAGAAAGCCCAGCAGCACGAAAGAAGCGCTTGACTTCAAGAGGTGCTGTCGGATGATTGATCACGCCACCGTAGGTGGACAATCTGGTATGCGTTACTAGAATCTCGACATATGGTGGAAGAGAATGTGCTTGGTGTGGATTAGCCTCTTATATGCTGCAAAACACATGGCCAGCCGTGATTGTCACATAAGAGACTTACATTGGCCTTCTCCAATGGCCGGAGCCCACGTCTCGTACCATTGATCATAGAAACTTTCTATCATGGTTTTGATTCTGTAATTCCGTAAGCCATATCTCATCCTCATCGAACATGGAAGACACACGTACGACTGGGCTGCCTCAAACCCGCCATCATTGACCGGGTGACTGTTGCAATTGGCCTTGACCCGTTTAAACAGCCCGTCCTAGTATCATTTGGTCAGATCGCAGTGTCTAGCACCGCTGCTTGTAAGGGCCAGAAGGACTTACTAAATTCCGTCGCAAAACAGCCATCGAATTCATCGGACCATCTCGAAAGTCTGCAAAATCGGAGATATGCCACCTGTCGCAATTTTCAATGAGGGCAGTTGAAGGCACAGTATAACTTCTCCCGCGGGCAAGGCATACGCTGTGGAGCATGTAAGACAGAGGCAAATGTACATCGATAGACTCAACCGCCGAGCAAGATTACCCACCCTCTTTCAAGGACAAATAGCGCTATCCAGGCTCTTTCGCGTCTTCGCAGTAGCCTCCAACCCCATTCAGAGTCTGGCTCTATGTTATCGAATCGGTCCACATGTAGAGCCCTCTTTGAATCTATGCACTCCGCCTTGGCGAGCCTTCTCAGAAGGCCGGTCTCAAAACTTGTGGATGGCGTCACAATTTTGTTTAACGAAAGATCTAGCGCAACAGCTAAAGCCATTGCAATGTAGGAGCATGTATCATCATCTCCCAGGCAACTACCCGGCTCCATCCATGGAACATTTATCATGAAAGCGAGGACAATCTCGACCGATCGGTGGCGTCGCATAATGACGTTTTGGGCCAATGCTTTACAATGTCTGGAGAGCCTCTTTGACAGCGCTGTAGCAGATGGCAGAAACAAAGCAGCAGCAGCCATGATAGAAGTGAAAAGGAATGCGGATTGAGAGCGTACAAACGCTGCTGTGTGAACCAGGGGATCAAGGCCCCATCTAGTATGTGCGAGATATTGATAGAAACTAATGGAAATTGTAAGCCAGATAGCCACAGACCTACTGGGGCTGAACATATGACATACAAAGAAAAAAGGGATTCGGCTTCATTTGAAGTTATAAGTCCAATGTCGATGGGGTCTATGTCTGAGCCAATATCTAGACTCGCCCGAATAGGCACGAAATAAGATTGCGCAACAGATGCATTTGCAAATATGGCGCTACTTTGAATTGCACCCTGGGGCCGAAGCGATGTTGAAGTTGGCCATCTAGCTAGGTCATGCACTTCATTTGGTGATAATTGAAGATCTGAGGCGCGCGCCAGCAATTGCAGAGGGTTCTCCGCATCATCCAGGGACAGATTGTCGCCATTATTATCATGGGGCGAACGGCACCTGTAATGTTGACCCTGGTCCTCGGGGAGGTTATCAAACTCGCTATCTGCTTGTTGTCCCGGAGTGTCATTGAGCAGATCTTGCAAGTCCGAGATAAGCTTTTGAGAGACCTCACTCCCTGCGCTATTCCTAGGCCGCTTAATGGCCTGTTCAATTTGGTGCAGGGCTTTTTCGATACCCTTGCGTTTACTATTAGCCAGGATGTCAGCATGCGTATTGCTACAGCATTGTCAGTAGCGCGTACTTTTTGACGCCTTTCTGCCTGCCGATGTGATGGCGAGGTATGACGCATTCTAAATCAGATTGTTTGCATCTGCCACATAGCGCATCGCTCTGGCTTCGATTGCAGCGGACCTTGCTTTTCCTGCAATTCAGGCAAGCGGCTTGTCGGCCATTTGGTTCCTTGCGAGGGTCCGAAGTACCCGATGAATCATCCATTACTTCTGGTCATGAAGTATATTTATGCCTGTTCAGCGGCTTTCACGGCGGTTATTATTGCTTGATACCAGGGCGTGGGGTATTGGAGCATGGAGACAGCGCGAAGAAGATATATTTTCCAGCCTGCTGTTTGTTGTTGACAGCGAAATGGAAATCCGGAAGAAAGCGGTCGTGCTTCCGAAATGCGGTTCACAGTTCACAGACCAAGGATTCGATCTTAGAGCAACAGATAAAAAACCAAGATAGGAAAAATCAAAGAGTAAGGGTAGCAGGGTTGAGCATACCCTCAACGCTACTGAAATAAATTGAATGGCAGAAGGTCATAGAAAACACAAGATCAGAGACATGGGAAGTGAAAAAGAAAGTCCAAAAACAACAAGCCCAACGCGGGGGTTGAACCCGCAACCTTGAGATTAAGAGTCTCACGCTCTGCCGATTGAGCTAGCCGGGCTTCACTTAGAGCAGCGCAACCAACTTTTTAATTATATAATCCAAACATTTAGTCCGCCATCTTCCCCACCTGCAGCGACAACGCCATGCATGCTGGTGTAGTTCACCCTTCTTCGCAGCAAATGTGCAGGGCTGGATATCAAATCCCTGCATGAGTTTGCCTGTGGAGTATGGAATTTCTCTTAGCCTTCCCAGTGACCCTACTCTGAACACATCAACGGTAAAAGCAACAAATTTCTGAACATCTACAAGCTGCTAACTGAGTACCAACTACTGTTGCAGATAATCTACTTCACTGGATCAATATTCATATAAAACACCAGGACAGGAGTAAAAGTCTACGACGTGGGGAGGGGGGCAAAGACCGCAGTAGAAGGATAAAGGTCACAAGAAACACGAAGAGGTGAGGGCATAACATCGTAAATGCCCAGGGAGTAGCCAGACACAGGGTATTCACTGGGCTGCTTTTGGAGTATAGGCGAACATCAACCAAGCTTTCCCAAAGGAGGATTTATTACTCCAGCAAATCGTCTACAAAGAGGAAGATAAGGCAAATAGGATAGAACTTAGCTGGCAGCTCTAAGAGCTCGCAGCCTAGCACCCAACCCATCCTCGAGTTCAGAATCAGCCTGTTTCTGCTCCTTAACATCCTCTTTAGGGGCAGTATCCTGATCCAGCGCCACCCGCAGGTCAACACCAGCATCATCGGCAAGCTGTTCCATCAAACGATCGACCTCAGTTTCGCCCTCCGCCCCGTATTCCTGCATGGAGACGCCCTGCGCGACATCTTCGATCGCATTGCTAGCGATTTTGAAGTCCTCGGAGCGCGCCAGAAAGTTGTTTGCATGGGAGACCAGGGTCTCAAGGTTCACGCTTCTTGAAGCGGCGTCCAAGCCCCGCGATGCCAGTGCTAGAGTACGAGATGTGTCGCGAGTGCTCTGCGCCGCCTTCAGTTCATTGATGATGACGTCCGCTCGAGCGGCTTCTGCTCTAAGAGTCACCTGTCTCCGTTTCTCACGTACAGCAGACGCCGCATGGATACGAGCAATTTGAAATTCTCGATTTTTCATGGCTTTGTCGGCCTTCGACTTTTCGGATTTGAACGTTGCTTCGGCACGGGCGGCCTCCTTTTTCAATCGATTGGAATGTAGCTGTAGAGCGGAAACAAGGGGGAAGGAGGGAAACCAAGTCAGTCAGTATGCACTTGAGTAGAATAGACGCGCATTGCATGATCATGCCGGGGACACATAAATATGCTAAAGGAAGAATGCCATACCTTGACATTGGTACGAGCTTCAAATATAGGATCCTTCCGAACCATGTCGTCAAGAAATTAGGTATGAAGGGGTGGGGGGGGATTGAAAGATGGGATAGGATTTCAGGACAGGTGCATAAACTGTGGAAATACACCGGGCGTGAATCTGAATCTAGAATGGACAGAAGAAAGCCGAAGGTTGGTTGTTAGGATAGGATAGGCGAGCGGGGAGGCAACAATCATCGCCGCGGGCTTCAAGACTGGAGGGGGACTTTGCGTGGCAACGTCATCCCGAACACCGTATCGGGGCTGCGGAGCACCACGGGGTCCCAATTGCGGCGGCTTCAGAAAAAGTTGCGGGAAGAATCAGAAAGTTAAATATCTTACGGGTAAGATTTCTGACTCTTAATCAGATCTTCACGTGATATAGCTATACAGAAATCAGAATTATAATCTAATTTTTATATAATTATAATATATTAATTACTAAATTCTGACTATAATAGAAAAAGAATATTTTTTTAAAAATAATTTAATATTTATAATATTAATTAATATTATTATTTAGTTATATATTTTTCTTAAATTTTTTAAGCTTTAATATTAGATCTAAAATAATTATAATTATATAAATATAATCTTCTATTTAGTAAATATAATAATAATACTTTTAAAACTTTTAATATATATTATATAAATTCTTAAGAATCTTTTTCTTTCAGAATATCTACTTTTTTCTAGTTTATTAATTAAATAATTTAAATAATTAAAAAGATTATTATAAATATTATAAATATTATAAATAATAAGTCTATTATTTTTGAAAAAATAGAAAATAAAAAAAATATAAAAGCTTAAGAAGATATTTTATCTATTTTTACTTAATTATAATAAAATAAAAATAATTAATATTATTATATTTATAATATTAAATAAAACTTTTAATTATTTAATAAAAATTAAATATTTAATAAATTATAAAATAAATTAAGTTTTAGTAAATTTTATAGTTAAGAAGAAAATAATAAACTAAATTAGATTTAAATTATTAAATAAATAAAAATTTCTTATAATATTAAGAACTTATATTTATAAATTATATAATTTTCTAAATTTATAATTAAAAATTAGTATAATAAACTAACTAATAAAGAATTTTTAAAAACTTTTTATAAAAAAAGATTTTATATTAATCTTTTATAAACAGCTTTTAAAATATATTTTCTTAAAAATTTTTAAAATATTAAAATAAATTTTAAAATTTTTATTATTATTTTTTTATATATATTTAATAATATTATTCAAGATCTTAATTTAAAGTTTTTATAAAAGAGTATTAATTATAAGCTAAATTATATAAATAAAATAAAAAATATAATACTAGCTTTAAATAATTTTTTAAAAATTAAAATTAATTAAAATATTATAAAATTAAATATTCTAGCTAAATTAAATTTAAAATTTAGCTAAGATTATACTAAATATTATATTATTATTATTAATATTATTAATTATTATATTTAATAATTAATAAATAAGATTATATTTATATAAGATTAATAAAATAATTATAGCTAGATTCTTAATAATATAAGATTTAAATATTAATTAAAAATTTAATAAAATCTTATAGTAGTTTGTATCTTTTATTAAAAAATATTTAATTAAATTAAGAAATATTTTCTAATTAAAGCTGATCTAGTAATTTATTATAATTAATATTTATTTAATATTTAGAAATTTAAATAATAATTATATATAAATCTCTTTAAATAATTTTATAAAATATTCTTTAATTTATATTTAATTAGAAAAACTTAATTTTTAATAAAAAAATAAAATAATAAGATTAATTATTTATTTAAATTAAATATATTTAATAATTCAGAACAGTAAATAATAAATAATTATAAAATTTAAAATTTAATTCTAAAAATTTTATTTATTATAGATTATAGAGATCTAGAAAAAAATAATAATTAAAAAAGATTTATTTTAAAAAAATAAATAAATATTTATATGTCAACAATATGGGCAGACTCGCCAGTTGGCTGCCTAAGGCTTGCCAGTTCACTGTCTAAGACTTATCAGTTTGCGGTCTCAGATTAGTTAACTGTCTTAGACTATTAATTAATAGACTGATAATTCTAAGTTCTGTTTATTCTATAGTAAAGTAAGAGATCTTATTTTTATTAATTATTTTAATCTTTATTTAATTATTAATTCTATTATTCTTAATCCTGTTCTATTTATATAATTTTTATATAATTTTTATATAATTTTATATATTTTTATATATTTTTAATAGTTAATTAATTATAAATATAAATAAAAAGATCTCTTAATTTTTAATTAGTTTTTTAATAAGCTTTAATCAAGTTAAATCAGTTTTTAGTTTTTTTTTTATTTATTTAATCTTTGATTCTTTTTATTATTTCTTTTATTTTTTCTTATTTTTTTTTTATTTTTATTTTATTTTTATCTTATTTTTATATTTAATTTATATAAGAAAGTAAGAGTTCAGTAAAGTCTTTTTAAAAAATTAAAAAAAAATTTTTATTTAATTATTTAATTTCTAATTTTTTTATTTTTTTACTTCTCTTATCTTTCTCTTATTTTTATCTTACTTTTGTATTAAATTTATATAAGAAAGTAAAAGTTTAATAAAGTCTTCTTAAGAAAAGTTCTTAGTTATAAGCCTGATTATACTCTTATATTAATTCTTTATTAATATTTTTAAGACTCTTTATATTTTTTTATTTCTCTTATTTTTACTTTATCTCTGACTTAAAATTTATATAGAAAATTATAGAACTTTTAAATAAAAAATAAGATCTATTTAAATTCTTAAATTCTTTTAACTATTTTTTTATTATATCTTAAAATTAATAATTTAAGAAAGTTTCTATTATTCTTAATAATTAATCTGATTAATTTCTTTGGATTAATTAAATTTAATTATTTATTATTAATAAGAATATCTGAGAATATATAAATCCAGATTTATCTGAGAAATCTAACTACTCTATTAAATTAGTTATTATATTTATTTTAGACTTTAATTATTATACTACTTTAATAATAAATCTCAGTAAATCAGATTGTCTTTTATATTAGAAAATTATAAATTAATTTAATTATTAATTTAAGAAATAGAAGAAAATTATCTCTGGATTAGTCTTTTTAAATTTATTAATAAATTCTATATTAAGTAAGTAAAATCAGTATATTATACTTAATTTAAAAAAATCTTATTAAATTTTATAAACTCTAAAAAAAAAATTATTCTTATTAATCAGTTCTATATAAAAGAAATTATTAATAAATATTATAAACTATGATTCTCAGAAATAAAAAATTCTATTAAGAATTATATAACTTAATAAAAGCTTATTTATTTAAAAGTAATAAAACTAAAATTAAGCAAGATTACTAGTTTTATTTAAATAATTTATAATTTTCTTAAATTAGTTCAGAAAATAATAGACAATTTTATAATAATTTAATAATTAAAATTAATTAATAATAAGAATAATTAGAAAGAATTATCTAAATTTCTTAAGATAATATAAAGAGTATATAATTAAATTTATTTAAATTCTTAAATTAGATAATCTATCAAGCCAGTTAATAATAATAATAACAGAATCAGTTATATCTTCTTTTAAGATTTTTTAGATAATTCTAAATCAACTATTTCAATAATTATTTTAATAACTAAGTTAAAATAAACTTTCTAAAATAATAAAATATTAATAAAAAAATAAAGATTTAAAAATCAGCCCTATCTATATAAATCAGACAAGAATAATAAATTTTATAATTTTAATAATTATTTCTATATTAATAAGAAACTAAGAGATTCTGAATAAAAATCTAAGACTAAAATCTTAAATTATTTTAAAAATATTTTCAGAAATAGCTCTAAACTAAGATATTTCTTTAAATAATACTGTCAGATTTATTAAATATTATTTTTATTTAATAAAAATAATAAAGCAACTGACAAAGCAGAAAAAATCTTTTTAATAATAAATTAATAAATTATCTATTTAAAATAATTATTAATATTTTATTTATCTTAATAAATTTTTAATACTGCTTTAGATAGCTATATCTATAATTTCTTAAATTTCTTTATTAATTATATTTCTATTATAAATAAAAATAGATTAGTAAGAATAAAAAATACTATTTTAATTATTTAAGACTATAGAATAATTATTTTTTATCTTACTTATTTAAATAGAAAAAATCTATATTTTAAACTTAAAGAAATAGTCTATATTTCTTGATTTTATATAAATATTCTCTCAGCTGTAAAAGCTGACGAAAAGAGATTATTTCTAAATAAAAAAAATAGATTTCTTAAATAGACAGATAAAACTCTATTATATTAAATTAAAAAAATCAAAAAAATATACTATATTTAATAAAAATAAAAATCTAGTTTTACTATAATTATTACTATTAAATTAAGTTAGTTAATTATTAAGATAAGTTAGTTAGCTATCTTAGACTTGCTAATTCACAGTCTTAAACTAATTAAACTCTCAGAATATTAATATATAATATCTGAAACAGTCAAAGAATAATATAAAAAATTAGAGTATTCTAATAAAAAAGCTCTAAATTATCTAAATAATTCAGTTCAGAGAATTAATATTATTAATTTATTAAAACAGACTAGCTCAGATAAGCTAAGCCAAATTAAAAAATATTCTATATATAAAATTAGCTAATCAGAAAGATAAATTTTAAGATAAAAATTTAAAAAAAAAATCAGATATTTGAATTAATTTATTAAAACTTGATTTATATAATAAATAAAATTAATAAATAAAAATATATTAATTATCTTTATTATTTCTATTTAAAATTTTATCTAGAACAAGTTCTAACTTTCAAATCAGATATTTCAGAATTAATTATTAATATAATTTAATTAATTATTAATCAGTTTAAAATAATATTCAAAAAATTTTATTCTGATTAGAATTAAAATCTCAGCACTTTTCTAATCTAGACTAATATCAAAGATTTACTAATTAATTATTTATCAGTTTATCAGCCAGAGCAAAATTTATATACAGAAAGATTTAAAGCTCTAATTATTTCTAAAATAAGAAGTTTATTAATTAATTCAGGACTTCTTATATTTTTATAATTTAAAATAATAAATTTGGCTATTTTTATTCTAAACAGAATATTAAATAAATAACTAAATTAGAAAATATTATATAAAATTATCTAGAAAAGTCTTTCACAGTTATCTAGAAAATTAGATATTTTCTATTTAAGAAAGTATAAATTATATATTTATATCTAA